CAACAAATTTACCAGCAGTAAACGGTGATAATGTCGTCCAACCTTGAACAAGAGCAAGGAAGATATTTGCAAACAAGCCAAAATAGGGGCTGTACGGGTAAAACATGCTTTTGAACGGTAAATCGCTTACTCGGCGCTGTTGCACAGCCCACGCACGGCGGAAGCGCAAGTGGATGAAGCTGATGCTTCCCCAAACGAGGAATGTGCTCACGCCGGCGAGGTTGATGATGTAGCTGTATGCCTCTGAGGCTCCGGTTGAGACGTTCATCATAGAGATGGCACCCACGGCATTGGTGAGAAGAATTGACCAGACTGGGACGCCGCGCTTGTTGACCCAGCCGAGAATCTTGGGAGCCTTTCCAGATTGCGCCATGTACAGGACGGTTCGAGAGCCGATGTAGATGGATGAGTTGACAGCTGACAGGCATGTAATGAGGATGAAAGCATTAATGAGATGAACACCTAGAGAGAGAACACTTCGTTAGTAATCTTCATCAAAGGTAGTAGCCGACGCAAAAAAAGAAGAGAATAAACGTACCTCCGTTCCAGCCAGCGTTTTGTATAGCAATCGTCATGGGGCTCTGCAGCGCCTTTGCACCTCCGTTGATAAGCTCATCAGAATCAGCTGGACAAGTGAGGCCGAAGAAGAAAGCCGATCCCATATAGACGAAGATGATGCGGAAGAAGACTTGGCGTATGGCTCGAGGCACTGCAGTACCTGGGTTTCTCGTCTCGGTAGCAGCCACGGCCACTGACTCGACTCCAGCGTAGAAAGTAGAGCAAAACACAAACACAGTTGCAACTCCTCTGAAACCATGGCCGTTGAAGGCTCCTGGATTATGCCAGTATCTGAATCCAATGGGGCCATCTTGGCCAATCAATCCTCCGGATGCGTACACGATGGAAAAGATAAAGTACGCCGCCAGGCCAAGAATCTTGATGAGTGCCAGGATATACTCTGCCTCGCCAAAAGCTGTAATGCCACCGATGATTTGGAAGGCCAAGAATATGCTCCATAGGATGAGGAACCAGGCCCAGAGAGGGACCTGAGGTGCCCAGAAGTGGAGAATGCTGCAGATGACATTGTACTCGCTGGCCAGGACGGTGGCCCAGATGATGAAATAGTTCCAGCCAACAGCCACGGAGAAGGACTTGTCCACCATGCGTTCAGCTAGAGAGACAAAGGCACCACCACCTGGGTATAGAGTGGTGATTTCACCCAGGGACTGCATGATGGAGAAGGCAATAATACCTAAGAAGGAATAAAATTAGACTCAAACGGCTACTTCTCTGAAGCTCAGAAACATACCGATAACACCAAATCCGATAATCAACGACGCCGGTCCACCGCTATTCAAGGCTCCTCCAGCGCCAACCAGCAAACCAGGCCCGATGATGCCAGCGAGCGCCATCATGGACAGGTGACGATTTTTTAGTCCTCGCTTGACGCCCGAATCTGGATCGATCAGACCGTCATCGCTCGAGTCGATGTTGTGCGCTCCATAATGCTGATTATATTCGGGAACCTCTTCGGCTGAGACATCATCCAGTCGCGGCTCGTCGGCGAACTTACCGCCGGATCTATTTTGGCTAAACATGGCGTATGTTCTCCCAAATGCCTGTTTGTGTCTCTCGTTTATACTCTCTGAGGGTATCTCAACAGTGTAAGAGGAGGAAACAAATTAATGTATATAAAATAACGAGACAAGAGGACGGTGAGAGAAACTAAGCAAGTCGTCCGGGTCGGCAAATAAGACAATAAGACAACATGGGCTAGCCAAACCAACAAGCGCAGAGACTCGAAAAGAAGAATAAGCGAATTGCGATCCAGCCACGGCGATGATGCAAGAATAAAGAATTCTCAATATCTACAATCCCCTTTCCCAAGTCTCCTGTGATTTGTGCTACACTAACGCACCTTGGGCACAGCGCGAACCGCAATCTTTTGTGATGTAGTTTCTATGTGTCTCTGCCGCTCTTCTGACTCGCTCCTCTACATTTGTACCTGTTAGAATGTCTGCCATCCCGGCTGATTTGGGATTCTGGGGCCCTTGCTGGCGCATCTAGCTTGCGATCACGTCACTTCACGTTTTTTGCCTCCACATATTTGTGGATGGGGGAAGCATTCGCGGTCTGGCGGAGCAAGTGAGATATGCAGGGCTGGTTGAAGATCAATGCTACCATGTGATTGATTTTTCGATACACGTAAATCTATAAATCTATGGATGCACATTGATCTCCATTTTTTTTCTTATTTTTTCTTTCTTTCTGTCTTTTTTAATGAAATTCCTCTAGAATTACGTTGCATTGCGTTTTCATGGCATTCGTCGATCATCCTGGTCTCTGATACTGAGCTAAGAATGGCGCCGATCACGACATCGCCATGGGGCCATGGGTCTAGAGTGGAGAGCATCCAAGGACCAAGGCGGCAGCGGTCGCGGCGCACAAGGCTGTCGAATGGCATGAATCGTCAGAAAATAGACGACTGGCACTAATGCAGTGCTATAAACTGGTGACCTCGCAGTGGACAGTGTTTACGAGGCTGAAATAAATTCCCCATTGAACGACATTCAATATGTGAGCTTATAGATAGCTATAGACTAGTACTCAATAGAAAATTTGACATTGCGTCGCTGTCTTGAGACATTGATCCTTTTTACCTTTTATCCCATCCAGTCTTCAGTTCCATGCTTCTTTCCAGCAATTGCTTCTTGCTTATTCATTAATCATATGCGTGACCCGATTGATCCATCAACTGTTTCCTTTTCAAACAGGGTATCCTTCAATTTTACAAATAAAAGTACATAATTGGTACACAGATGGTCTCTCATCACCGGCCTCTTAGACTGGCGTCTTGATTACACCATCGACGCTGGAGTCTTCGGCCTCAAATTTCCTTGGGATAAGACCCTCGGCCATATTAATAGCTCCATGCATATCGTTCTTATTGAACAGAAACAAGCCCTGGATGGCGGCAGCGCTTGTATGGCGGTTCGAAGCCCGGCCATCTTTGTAATTTCCAAATAAACCCAGCTCCTCTAGACGTTCCAAGAATCGTGCCCGGCCAGAGTGATCCTGGTCAACATCACCATAGAATCGATCCCACATCTGCGCAGCCTGGAACTGGGTTGCCTCGCCAATCTTGAGCATCATGTCCACTCGACCTGGTCTGATCAGCGCAGGGTCTAAGCGCTCGATGTGATTGGTAGTGAGGAATGCGATGCGTTCTTCTCCGGCAGCCACTCCGTCCAATGCGTTAAGGAGACCAGAAAAGGTGACATTGGCGCCGCTGTATCCGTCGGTATCTCGTTGGCGGCGGTTGACAAAAGCGGCATCGGCATCTTCCAATAAAAGTAAACTTCGTTTCGGCAGCTTGGTCAGAAGGTATGCCAATTTATCGTCAGTCATACCCATTTCGCTGAGATTAATCATTGCCACGCCAAAGTCAAGTTCTCCTGCCAGCGCTTGGATGAAGGAACTTTTGCCGCTCCCCGGAGGTCCAAACAGGAGATAGCCTCTCCTGTATGGAATACCACGATCAACATACCACTGCTGCCTTGATAAGAAATCCTTGACATCGCCCACGATGCTCTCTTTGATGCCCTCGTCCAGTATGACTGAGCCAAGCGGCCTTTTCTTCCGAGGATCTCCAAGGGGAGTCCATTCAAGCCCGCGTGCAGAATATACCACAGTCTTCCCCTCGTTCGCCTTTGCGGCTAGTTGATGGGCCTCTTTAAAGAGATCTTCAAAAACATAACGGTGCGCCCAGAGAGTGGTTAGCTGGACAATCTCATGCGGCTCTCCTGTATTCATGTTGGCAGTGTTGTGCTTCTCTCTGTTGACGGCAATAAAGGCCTTGCCAAACTTGACAATATGCCGTCCATATCCAGGCTGAAGAAAGAAATGGGCATTGATTGGTCCGGTTGCTCCCGGCCCTCTTGCTCCTGTCGCCGTGGCCACTGATAGGTTGTGGATTCGGGTGAGTCGAGAGGCGATGAAGCCCGGCGTCTCACGAGGCTGGGAGAGCCATGCTAGAATCCAGGGATATGCCGGGTCCTGCTTGCTTATCTCCACGTTCACGAGGAGGCGACGACGGGCAGCGCCAAGCACGGCGATTGATCCCTTGCGGGCAAATGCCGCGGCAGCGCCTAAGGAGGCGAGGCCAATGCCTCCAGCGAACAGCGGATTATCGAACAGCGCATTGAGGTTCAGCACCGACGCAGATGCCGGTGATTCAGACATGCCGGAACCTGAAGAAGCGGGAGCTGTTGCTCAATCTCAATGGGCAAAAAAGAAGCTATGATCAATCATAGGTGATGATGACTAAGCAGACATCATCGCGCGCGTAAACGCCGGAAGAAATAAAATTTTAACCGTTGCAAATAAACCAAAAAGAAAAAATTTATCTTGAACTAAAGATAAGTATTGCTCACGGCAGGGCTTGAACCTGCGGCCTCCGCATTACCAAGATTTCAGCCGAAGCCGAAGTATTAGTACGAAGCTCTAACCAACTGAGCTACGCGAGCCGGCGATTTGTGCTGGGAGAACTTGTAGAAGTACTCTAAAAAGTGCCATGTTTGGCTAATTGACACTCGTCGATATGAGTCTATACATCAGTGCCATTACTTTCACCCATTTTAATGCCCTTTGCAAGTGAATTCAGCTATTTTTATAGTTAGCCCCTTTGTTATATTCAGCTATAGTATTTAAATTATATACAGCAATCTCATCCGCAGACAGAACCTAATATTACTGCCACAGCTCCTCGCTTATATTCTTTTGCCATCGAGGTGCTTAAATTATATACATGAGCCCATTATTTTTTATATTAATCTTTTATAGTATTTATCAACCCTATAATTTCTACAAGTGTACAAGTATGATAGGCACTGTCACAAATGTAAAACCTTGCCTAACCTGCCCTTGCGTCCAGGTAGGCCTGGGTTTCTATTGCTGCGTGGAAAGCTGTAAACTGCACTGATATTTATAATGCCATGGGCTCAAAAGCGCCCTCTCTCGTCTCCAATCGTCCAAATTGGACCAGTGAGTTTATGCCGGCCAAAAATCTTGATTGCGTCTTGCAAAGTCCATTTCTTCCAGTCTGCATCGGCGTGGCGGCCGTACCATTCAGCCGCGAAATCCCAAACTTGCTTGACTGGACGCACATCTCCCTTTGCGATCCCTCTCGTAGCACACCACTCGTCCACCTCGGCCTCATTGCGGAATAGCAGCTGGACCGAGCAGGTGTAGATGACGTTATCCCAGACATCAGTCATGGGAACTGGAAAGTGTATCACAAAGTCCGTGTCCACCAGCTGTCCGTCGCGGGCCGTGATGGTCACTTCGTCGCCGATGGCGCCAGTCCTTGTCGTGAAGGTCGATGTTCCACCTGCGAGGTGCATCACGCCGAATGAGCACCAGGCACAGTTCCCCCACCATTTGCGATCGCCCGAGGACACGACGCAGGTCGTGGGCGCTGCCGAAAACGGGTGGGCAACCCACACCTCGTCGGATTTGGGGTGCAGCACAACACCATGGTAGTCTGCCAGAGCTCGCAGGGCTTGCCGCGCCGTAGCTACATCACTTTCGAAGCGGGTGGCGATCTCGCTGACAGTGGGAGGACGCTGGCTGTTGAGGAATGAGGAAATGATGAATTCGTGCAAGCTGGAATGATCCATGATTGCAAACCTGCGTACTCTACGTGGCTTTCGGATGTTGCAACAGACTTGGCTTGGATGGAATGCGAGAAGATGGGCTCTATTATAGTACTCTGTATACTTTATAGATTCTGACGTACAATGTATAATGTAAGTCCGAAGCCGATTCCTTGAGCCGTTGAATGGCGCGCCCAAAGGCTGAAGTAGAGTGGAGAGTTTCACGCCGTTGTATGGACTGTTTACTCATCAAAGGTGCAGTGTAGGCGCCGCGCCCTGCTGGCTACCTCAATGCAGGTGGCTTATGGCATGATAGAAGATGGAGAGACTAATGCATTTCCAAGGGCCGAAGGGATCCATTTATTAATCAAGGCCTATATTGAGTTATCTACCTTGGATCTCTTTAATGCTTGGCAAGCCATGAGACCTGTCGTAATAAATCAGCTGAAGAGCTGAAGTATATGCGGGCTTCTCGGCAGGTATTAATTCCACTAGACGTCTTTGGGGGTAAGATAGTTCGAGGCAATAAGGGGCTGAGTGTCTCATAAGTCCTTGCATAAAGTACTAGAATAACGGCAATTGCTTCCAAAGCCACTTAAAGCTTCCTGTATTAGGACCTTTACATCCTTATATGGACTGCCGTGTGTTTATACCCTGAAGAGGCTCGAGGAAGCAGGGCAAGCCCTCTTGCTAGAGCACTTTCATCCCCAATGGCACTTAAAGCGAGATGTATCTTAACTATAGCTAATGCTAGAGTCTAGAGCAGTGTCAAGTTAGTTTAACCAGAGGCGCAATCGGTCAATAACAAGCACAAGGCGAGAGCCTAGCGCATTTGAAGTGATCTGAGTAATAATGCAGCCAAAGGCACAGCCTAAATGCAGTAGATGTCATATATTAGGTTATATTATGACTTCAAAAGCATGCCCTATACGATATAAAGAGTTCTTTCAGTTATCAGGATCAGCCACCGAAGTGGTGGCACAGATAACCCAGACAATAGCAACTGCAACATTGTACCAGCAGCAACAGAGACAACTTCAGTCCAAGCAGCTGAAAGTCTGATAGAGGTAGGTTTGACGACAACATTTTAAGCACTAGCGGGCCATACAGAAGCAGGCCAGGTATTGGCAGCCCAGGAATTAAACGGACTAGTAGACCACGCGGTGGTAAGCCAGACACCTACCGTTGATAATAGGCACAGTACCTAGCGTATTCTAATAGGCTAAGTATTATTTGTAATATAATACATAAGTGTCATGCGTAAAAGAGACACGAGATCAGTAAAGGGTATATTAAGAAAACGGTGCACCAGCTCTGTTTAATATTACAGGCAAACCTGGAGAGGTTGGCGCCATAGGGTTAGCCTATGAGCCACATCTTTTTAACAAAAAGGAAGCATATGTCTTTAATTTTTTAGCCTTAGACATCTAAATATAGCAGAATTCACTTATTGAACAAGATCGTATGCGAGCCATTTATGACTGCAATGGCTTTTTTCGATATATTATCCTCTTGCTTATGCTCTCTGTTTTAAATAGTAGTTGCATGGCCTACACTTTGCTGCTGATAATAAAAAACTAAACTAGTTTTGTTACTAATACATTTAATATTAGTTACTGAAATAGTGACTATTTCTTTTGCCTGGTAGAAACGCGTTTAGCCATAGGACAGTTTAGAGGGATTTAGGTTAATAGAACAAGGAACTTATTAGACTTAAGGTTACATAGGGGATTGGATCTTGTTTTAGTCAATTTAATAATATTCTGGACTGCTAATCTTCCTAATATTATATGAAAGAAAAAAGCCTGAAGAAACCCTCCCTTTGGTAATTCTTGTCTCTACGTACTCCGTAGTTACCTTGGCATCCCACGATTAATCGTGCCTAGTAAAAATTCACTCAGCCTACGGTGTTGGATCGCGGCCGAATATGCGAGGGGAAGGAATCATATCCTTGACGTGGGAAAGGCCACAAAACCACCTTAGAACCCGTTCAAACCCCATCCTAAACGCCGTATGTGGGACCATACAAAATACGAGACTCAAGTACCCATCCATAAACATCCTGCATCTCAGACTTCCCCTTCTCCCTAAGGCGTAACTCAAGTTCCTCTCTGGTAAAAGACTTTTCAGAAACACCCCATATTTCACCGAAGCCATCTGGGGAGATCAAATCTGAAGTCATGCTTGGCTCGTCAGCAGCCGGATCAATAGTGTAAGAGAATGGCTCAAGACAGCGTGGCTTGTGCGTTACCCAGACAGGCCCGTCAAAGTGATCTGTGAGAAATTTCTCAGCCTATTTTGATATATTCTGGCCAAAATTAACTTCTTGACCTCCTACTTGTAGAATACTAAGAGCCTCCCGATAAGTGATGCGCACAAAAGGGATCCGTATGGGTGGTGATTGTTCGCCAAGTACCGCCGTAACTCTCTCCGTATAATTGGAAACGGCTTTAAAGATGCCTTGGAGAAAAACCTCAACCAGATCCATGATGTCACTCAAGTCTCCCGAGCAGAATTCAGCTTTAATATGCCAATGTTCCATGAGATGGCGGTTCGTTCGGCTTTCATTTCTGAAGCAGGGGCCAAGGTTGTATACACGTTCGTGGGCATGAGCAGCGGCTTCGAGGTAGAATCCAGCACATTGTGATGGAAACAAGCTGTTCTTTGTTTTCAGATTGGAGATATGAATAGCAGAGTTCGGTTTATACAGTATCGAGGGTGTGATTAGCGGCGCACTGATATCAACGAACCGACAGGCCAGGAACCACTTCTGCACGGCCGATGTGACATGAGACCGATATAAATTGAGCGCCCATGACTACCGGATCTCGAAGGCAAAGGTACCTATTCGCGAGAAGAGAGTGAGTATTTGTCGATTCAAGAATAGATAGACCGGTATTACGGATATTAGGATAGAGGACGCCGCTTGCGTTGGGGATTCTTGTCATGCACCCAAGTGAATATACCCCGCCCAAGCAAGAGGCTGCTTAAGCAACTTCTGACGAACTCTCGATACCGACTCATGCAAAGCTGCTGCAACGACTCTGTTGTTGAGATGACCACAGTCTCTAAGCCGCGCGTAGAAATCCCTCGCGACTTCAACACAGATGCTATCGCTCGAAGACCACATAGACCCGATGACATGTGCAAAACCAGCAGCCTGGAATCCACTGGCTATATGAATGGCTTCATCTGCTAATTCTAAGACCTTACTTTCCGCTGTAGAACAGGCTGAAAGATAAGCAATTCTAGCCTTGGTTCTGGACACCTCCGAGATTTGTTTAACAGTGAGTTTGTCTAGTTGTGGCAATCGTTGAAACTCTGGGTATTTCTGAAGCAACAAGCAGCTCTCTGAAGGATCAGTTGGATCTGATACCCCGTGGCAGGCGAGATGGACGATATCGCAGGTTCTCATACGGCGTAGCAAAGTCTCAGAATCGGGTTGTACTAGGGACTGAAACCAGAAGGAGCTTTCCACTGCGGCTTGTACCGCTGTTTTCTCCATGGTCACTCCAGGGAGTGGCCGCTCACCTGGAGTTGTGGGCATCGTCACAAGCAGGAGTTTGAGGTCATCGTTGTCTGTCCCCAGTGCAGTTGCAGCACGCCCTCTTGAGTATGATAATGCCTTTATAGTCGGGGTATAAGAGGAAATCACTCTGCTGAGCGTGTTCTCCACCGACCCTGCAGAATGATCGCCAGCCGCGTGAAAGGGTAGGAAGCTGGCGAGACCGACACCAATCCACCAGATACGAGGGAGATCATGCAGCTCAAGTTTCGCGCTGAATCCCAGCTGGTCTAAGACAAGTTTGACACAACTGGTCCACAACCATTGCAGAAACTCGCGGTACTTCTTGTTGTTCCTCCCGTACTCTTCTCGGGATGCAAATCTAGTTAAATCCTGTCGAATCCACTTTGTCACTTCGGACGCCGTTAGTGCATGTAGCTCAATAGCGGTTATAGCAGACGCAGAAATAATGATTGCGTCGCTACTGACTTCAGTGACGTTGACTATAATGATGACACCTGCTTCGGCTTGCTTCATGAGATCTTCCGGTGTAGGCCCAAGGAGGAATCGCTCATGCCCAGGCAACCGTCGGATAGACTCTATGCAATTGTCCAGCTCGCGTATCACTTCAATACGTCGGTTCACTCTCGCAATTCGACTCCTCGAATCTTCAGTGTCTATAAGAGGAGCGTTAACTTCGTTTCGAAGCTTATCATAGTCCTCAGCTTGTTCCGCATAGGAAGCCGCCAACTCTGAGATATCGCTCCTATCGTCAATCAGATAGCCCAGGATCACTCCCCGGCCCAGCTCGAGCAACTCTACGGCTTCGGCTGCACTGTCACCCGCTCTAAGTGAGAATGAGCACGACTCGGCCGCAAGATGCGAAAAGTGCGATAAACACCACTGCTGATCTGCCTGACTAAGAGTGCGGTTGCTGACAAGCGTCATGAGTCTCACAGCTTCCTTTGATATGTTGCGGGCGAAATGCCAATCTTTCTGCTTTTGCAACAAGAGTAAGGCATTTGAAGCTGAGGTTAAACGGCTTATTGGGGTTCCATTGTGGCAGTTAAATGACTTCAAGAAGGCCTCTAGTGCTTGTTTGTCGGATTCAGCTGTCGCTGATAAAGTTAGAAGAAGGCCTAGGTGACCTAGATTTGATGCCAAGGCCGGATGATTCGATGGCGTAACCTTTGTTGCCTGCTCTGCCATGGATATAGCCTCTTCCAAATCGTGTTTGTTCTTTGTCCGTTCGTATCGCTCGCGAAATAAAACACTCAACCTGTCCAGCACTAGTCCCAGCTTAGCATGATCCGTGGACATAGCAGCTCTTGCTTCCTGCTGCACTTTAATGGCTTCTTCCAAATCCTCCAGTCTTCTCAATTGATCGTAACGTCGCAGCAATGACATGCTAAGGCTGCTGAGAAACCGTTTTCGATTTGGATGGTCCCGGGGCGTGGCGATGACGGCTTGCTCCCGTAACCGGATGGATTCTTCTACATCCTCGAGCCTTCCAGTTCGATCGAATCGATCAATCAAAACTCCACCTAGCCTGTCCCATCTCTCCGCCAGTTCTGGATGGTCGACGGGAGTGAGTTCCATTGCTTGTTTCGCCACCCGAATAGCTTCTTCCAAATCCTCCATCCTGTTAAAGTGTATATATCGGTCACGAAACACAGATGCTAGATCAGTCAGTCTGGCTGCAAGCTGTGGATGATCCTTTCTAGAGTGCTCCACCGCTTTCTCTATATGATGGACAGCTTCATCTAGATCTTCTATCCTTCCCGTCCTGCCGAAACGTTCGAGCAATCGACCACCTAAGCTATTCAATCTGTGTGCTAGTTGTAGATCGTCTCCAGGAGTGATATTCACAACTTCCCTGGCGTTGGCAAGAGCCTCTTCGACATCATCTAGGTTTCCTGTCGTTTCAAACAGAGTTGAAAACATAGTCGCAAGGTTGCTCAACAATCTCGCTCGTTTTGAGCTATCCTGAGGTGTGGTATCCAGTGCCTGCTTTGCGATCCGGATAGCTTCCTTCAGGTCCTCTATTTTCTCGAATCTCCCAAACCGGAGCGCAAGGTCAATGCTCAGATTATTCAAACAGTCTGTCAATACGAACGACTCCCCATTACCCTTTTGTAATGCTCTTCGTCCCAAGGAGATGGCGGCTTCTAGGTCCTCGATTCTCCCGAACCGTTTGAAACGGTCCGAATGGGCTGCCCCTAGATTTTGAAATATACTTCCCTGGGTTCTATCTCCTTCTTGAGTCGCATCCACTGCATCCTGGGCGTTGAGAATCCAATCTTCCAAGTCTTCCACCCGTCCAAGTTGCTGATATCGCTTGTGCAGTAGTAAGCTTAAATTGTGCTGCCAGCGCAGGTGTTGTGGATCGGTTTTGGGTGAAGTTTGTACCGCTTCACGCCCTTTGCGAATTGCTTCGTCCAAATCTTTTAATTCTTTTGTCTGCTGAAATCGATCGTCCCAAATATTGCTTAGTGTGTTGAGATGATCGGCTTCAAGTAGGTAATGCACGTTCCGAATGACTTCTTCAAGGCGTTCTAATGTTAAAGTCGGTCCCATGTCGGTCATTCTACCTAATGGGGACTGCTCTAGTTGTAACAGCGCCACAGTCTCGCGGAGAAAGAGTTGCTCTTCCCCTATCCGATTTTTCAATCGAATCTCCTCAATGCGGAGCCGTATGCGGCGGATAGCGTATTGACAGGCTCTCGCTGTGGCATGAAGTGCTTCCTCCGTTAATCGAATTGCAATCTCGAAGTCTTCCATTCTACCACTTCGCTTAAATCGTCCTCTGAATATTTCAGTAAAGGCCTGAAATCTTTTCTCCAGGTCAGGGTGATCATTGGGCATGGCCTCAATTGCTGGCTTGGCCTTGGTAAGAAGCTTGTCGAATCTCCGTGCCAGATCAGCCTGGACTTCGTTATCGGCCACTTGCATGGCTTTGTCAGTATTTTGAATGGCATCTTCCAGGTCTTGTAGGTTCCCAGTCCTGTTGAACCGGATTTCAAGATTGATTGCCAGATTTTTCAGCCTCGCTGCGTGTCTCGGATCCCCTTCAGGAGTAGCCGCCAGCGCTTGCTCTGCGCTGCGAATGCCTCGGTTCAAGTCCTCAATATTTCCTGTTCGTTTGAATCTCATCACAAGCATGCTGCCGAGGTTATTGAACATCATTGCCCGATTTGGGTGACCTTGTGGCAGAACGCTCACATTCCGCTCTATTCTGCGGATTTCGTCGTCTGAGACTACCATTTTGCGTGTCTGTTGATCGATCTACGTGCCGTTCCGGTACAACAGCAGGCATGGTCAGAACTGGCCGGCGGCAAGTGGAAGAAGCATCACAGTCAAATATTAATACAGCCCCTCCTGAAGAATGTCAAAGAAATATCTGAGTGGTAAGTTCACGAGATTCTGTAAGTAGACTTGGTCAGCCCTGCGCTAGTATTGATTTACACGAATCTGGGGCAACCCCTCTTTGGTGCCTCTTGATTTTCGTTTAGCGCCGACATCTTGGAGACGGACCGCGTTTAACACGCTGTTCCTGACCCATGCTTCTGCCTGGGCTTACCAGCGGCTCTATTAGCGTGAACAGAGTCACAATGAGAGGTCAGGGCAGCATTTTCACGAACATATTCGATTATACAAGCCACAACGAATTCTAAGCGATGCCATATAATCTGGTTCTCCGGCAGTCATTCTTGCCTCTTGACTCCGTGCGATTAGGACGACTTGTATTGAACGTCGAGGAACCACAGCAGGATTATTTCGATGCTCCTTGCGACAACGCGGTCGAACCGCTCATCAAACCCCACATCCGGTATAATGAAGTGCAGCACACAGCGGCTGATCAGAAGTTCGCATCAATACTGACTCGGCTGGTGTCTGCGTCTCGCACCAAGCGGAACAAAACATACACCCAAGTTACAACCGATCGAGCCATGACATATCAACTCCGGAATTCCGGGTTATGGTTCAAGAATGCTCTTCAAGACGAGTCAACGCGAAAATGGCTCGAAGAGGCTATCGACCAAGGAGACGACGTATATCTGATCGTGGGCTACCATACCCTGTTAGATGCACGTATTCTCGAAGGTGCTGCTGCGATGACTGAGTCTCACGCCAAAGTCGAGGTCCCAGTGACTGCATCCCTCGCGGCCGCAGGAGCCGCTGTAATTCCTCTCGGTGATATTGCGGACCCTAAAATTTCGGGGTTGAATCGGCAAGAGCACAGCGCTCAGAGGCAGTTCGTTGCCAGTGGTGAGCAAGTTGTTGCGTTGCAGTATCGCAAGGTTCGATTTAAATGGTACTCAAGTCGAGAGATGGACAATGCCTTCTTAGATGATAATCGGTGGAAGGTGTATTGGGATATGAGGGGCCAAGAAGAGACTGTTAACGATGTGCTGGAAGTCGAGCTTCAGGACGAACTGGAGCTGGACAGCGATTATAAGAAATGTTCGTCACTGGCTGAGGATGACTTTCTCTATTAGAGCTGTATCATTGAGTGACCAAGGGGGAAAATCATGTGTCAGAATGATCATACGAACGAACGCGAGCTGGTCAGCACTACACTCGATACCGATACCTAATACCACCAAAGAAAATAAAGAAGTAGACATCGAAAGCAGACAAGAGGCACAACGTCCTTATCAGAAATACTTATTATATTATACAATAAATCGCGCGTTTGTTAGTTTTCTTCAGACCCCAATCCCCCCCCAATCTCTATAAAAAAGGACCAATACGGCATACAATGCTGATGCCCATTCCTTGCCTTGCTTATGCATTTAGGAATATGAACTCTTCTTTAACTATATACAAGTAGCCGGACAGGCTCCGCCCTGGGCGCCCATCCACGCCTTTTGCAAACCAACCTCATCTTCCCACAATTCTGGTGCCTCGTCAAAGGTCAGTCCCGGGGCGGCAGCAGACTCGCCCCAGACAACGCCACACTCGACTACATAGTCCTCCCAGCATGCCAGTAGCTCTTTAAATTTGGCTGGTTCGGCCGTTGCCAAGTCCTTGGTCTCACCAGGATCCTGGACAACATTGAACAGCTCCCAACCGTCATCACCTACGCCTGCGCCGCCGTGCTTTTCGGCAAAGTGGACAATCTTCCAATCGCCTTTACGTAGGGCGCCTCGTGCGAAAAGCTCCCACCCGATGGGTTCGGTCGACGAGTGAATTGTCCACATCTCATCGTCCTCTATCTTCTGACCACGGCCGAAGTACGGCATCCACGACTTGCCGCGGATGGCATGCACGCTTCTGCCTCGAAACGCTGTCATTCTAACCTTCCCTGCTGTCGACTGATGCTCTGTGACTGGTGGCAGCGATATGTCGGCTGCCTCCAAGAAAGTTGGCATAAAGTCCATGACAGTCGTCAAAGACCGATTCACCGAACCAGGAAGGAAAGACGGATGGAAAGAACCGACGGGAGGTTTGACCACACATGGAACAAGAATGCCACCCTGCGAAGGGAAGCACTTGAACAACCTTGACGGAGCGGTCAATGCCTGAGCCCATAGGGGACCAAGCCTGAGAGAATGTTAGAGTTGCTGCTTTTGTGTCTATCCGATCTTGCGCATCTTGGTGCAATTGTGGAGAAGCTAAACGTACCAGGTATAAGAGTTCCACGCGCCTATGTTGTCGTAGGAATTGTCATAATACTGATGGATTGCTCGCTTGATGTTGTCTCCCATTACAGCTGTGTCCAAAGTCAGATGTCAACAAATACCCGACTGTTATGGGACGGAAAAGGTACTCACGGACAGCTTCTAGCCTGTGTGCAGCAAGGTAGCCCTTGGTTAGTCTTGAATTCTCAGCTTGCTTTGTGGGGAGAGATTTGACACCTACGCGGCACCCTCAGCGCCATTGTCGCTCATGAAGATGATGAAAGTATTGTCGTATTCTCCCGTACTTTTCAAATAGTCCATGACCTTACCAATATTTTCATCTATGGTGTCTATCATGCCTGCATAAGCCTCCATGGCACGGCTCGACAGCTTCTTCTCCTCCGATGTAAGGTCATCCCATTCTTCGGCATCCATCGTGGTCGTTTCTACGTTATGCGGAATAACAGACGGATCGATAATGCCAAGCTCCTGTAGCCTCTGTAAACGCCGTGACCGCAGAGCATATGGACCGTCATCATATATTCCCTTATACCTGGACACACAGCGCATTATTAAGCGAGATCTGTGAAAATAGAAGAGATCTTAACCTACTTGTCGCGTTTCGCCTTGGAACACTGTAAGGGCCAGTGGGGGGCAGTATATGGTAGAAAAGCAAAAAATGGCTTTTCCATGTCATTTTCGGACCGATTGCGAAGATACTCAATCATTTTCTCGGTATAGTAGTCGGTGGAATAGAAGCCCTCGGCGTCTTCAGTCTTGTTGGCGGGACTAGTCGTGAGGGCCATTGTCAGCACAACGGGTATCAGCAGGAAGGACGCGCACCGCTGATTAGTGAATAAACAGAAGAAAGAAACCTTTCCTTTTCTAAAAACTCACATGTCGACTTTTTTTCCTTCCTCAGCATGGATTGGACGTCCGCCCACCGGGAAAGGTTCCTTCACTGGCTCCCAGCCGTAGTGGTTGCAGCAACCGGGCAGCATAGCAAAAGCTTTTTCAAACCCGCGGTTCCAAGGTCCTTGAGACATCCGCAAACCTAAGTGCCACTGTAGAATAGTCAGCATCACACTCGCCCGTATCGAAAGTGAGATTAAACGAGCCAGAAGAAGAAGGTAGAATGACTCAAAGAAATGAGGCGACGTCATCAGTGTGGAATCTCATGTAATTGAAAACAAAACCAACCTTGCCGGACATGAGTGTAAAGTAACCATTATCATGTAGAATCTCTGGTAATGTGGCAACGTCAGTGTTGAGGTAGCCCTCATATCCTGCTTTACCAGACCACCTCTTGGCCCCCTTCTCGCTATTCTTATATTCAATGAGCACGCCGAGACCACCAAGGTGGGCATCCGTACCGCTCATAAGCATGGCACGCGTGGGGGAGCAAGCGGCAGCAGCGTGTGTGTTCAACATGCGCACGCCCTCGGCCGCCAACTTGTCGATATTTGGAGTCTGAATCTCGCTGCCATAGCACCCAATATCGGAAAATCCCTAAGGCCAAGAGTTGTCAGCTGCAGCTTCCAGTGCCCCCCGACGTTTAATATGATACAATCGGGGCGGGACACTACACCACATACAAGATCATCTGCAAGGATGAAGAGAAAGTTGGGGCGTTTGATTTTCGAGTTTGCGGAGGACATGCTGAATCACGATTAAAGGACTGGGTGGAAGCAGAAACAGGACCGGAAGGAAGGACAGGGTTTAGGTGAAAATAAGAAAGGTCAAAATTGGTAAAACTGAGAGAAATGAAAAAAGAAAAGTCTCCAAAAACGCTTGTTTCTAAATAGAAGCAGGAGTTTGGGGTTCCAATGGAGAATTGGAGTAGCCTCGTATAGACTCAAGTCTACCATATTAATAGTTTCTGTCGTTTCTAACGGGGGTAGAAGGCGCAATAAGGCTGGCAGATTAGGCCGTGATTTCAAGAGTGGAGAGCGTGTGGATACCACGGGGCAAAGCAGCTAAGACGGGGATGAACGGAGTTACCCTTGGGCTTCGGGGAAGTGCCCATGCGCTATGTGCGTTTGGACGTGTCGGCTTACTAACTAAACTGGCAAGATGCTGATCTGGGGTCATACTACTCCGTACTTATAATAGGGTCTTTGCTCGTAAATCTTCCTTAGCTACATCGGACTTGATCATGATCTATCAGCAACGATCAAATTTAGCATCTAGTCTTCATTCTTGATAACTTCAAACTTTCTCTATCTTTGCTGATAAAGGGAGGAAGATGGCGGCTGTTCCACGCTCGGCTTGGGCCATGGCGACGCCCATGCTACTATTCTCGTGCTTCTGCCTGCTTGTAGGCGATATGCTTTTTGGTTTCGATACAGCCAGTTTTGGCGGCATCTTGTCCAACCCTGTAGGTGAATTGCTTAGTTTGCGCTGGCCGTGAGTCCAATTTCGGAACAACATGCTAATGATGCTCCTGGCTTCTTAGGGATTCATAAGGCAATTCGGGGCATACAACCCTGTCACCAAGGGCTACGCCTTCGACTCTCTCCACATCTCGCTGCTATCTTCTCTTGCATTCATCGGCAAGTTTATTGGATGTTTTTTGGCCGGTCCGTGCATTGAAAGATTTGGGCATCGAATAGTCTTCATAATGCTATCTGTTGTGTCCGCTATCGGCATCATTGGTGAGACTATGAAATACCAGTCCCTTTCTTAATAGCTATGTTAATTTATGGTCGATGTTTAGTCGAGATCACGGCGGCCGGGACTGGCCCTGGCACTGGACGTTACGCGCAGTTCATTGTCGGTCGTATCATAGTGTATATCTCTATTGGTCTTGTCGAAGTTAACGTTACGCAAGTTGGCCTTTTATTTGAAGCGACATGACACTCAACAGCAGGCTGACTGAGTTCTCTACAGTACCTACCAGGCCGAAATTGTTCCAGCGGATTTTCGTGGTCTCGTTGTCGTATCTCTGCAGCTCTTCCTCAATGCGGGAACACTTCTCGCTACCGGTGTCAACAAGAGATTTTCAACTTATACAGGCGCTACCGGATGGAAAACCGTTACGGGCATCCAATTCATATTCGCTTCCTGTGAGTGCATATCGTCTAAGCTCATCTCATTCTCGACACGTTAGTAATCTGACACTTGATATGACCATGTGACTAGTGATTGCCTTATTCACTATTTTTATTCCCAACTCGCCACGCTGGCTTCTCTCTAGGGATCGTGAAGAGGAGGCTGTTGCCGCTCTCCGCCGCATTCGGCCCAAGGAAGATGCTAGCAATGGCAACTGTGAGGCCGAAATAATAGCGATTAAAGAGGCCATCCAAGAGGACGTACGCAAGGCTCCGTGGCTCGACCTAGTACGCGGCACCAACGCCCGCCGGACCATGATTGTTATGGTCTACTATTTCTTTCAGCAGGTTAGTGAGCTACTTCTTTTATGCACTTTAGATCTTCGTTAACACGGGTATTGCACAGGCAACCGGCCAAGCTTTCGTTTCAACCTACCAGACGGTTTTTTATCGTGACAACGGATATGCCGCTCATGCCTTCACCTACCCCATCATCAACAGTTGTCTTTCCTTGGTTTCTGTGATTCCAGGGATGTATGCAGTCGATAAGTTTGGGTGAGTTGAGACACTTGCTGTTTCCAGCTGAGACGGTTTTGAAGGCTAACTGCGATTGATGATTAAAGTCGGCGGGCCACCCTTTTGCTTAGTTTCTTCCTTCAGGGCTTTTTCATGTTCTTGTTAGCTGGTCTGGGACAGATAGATGGCAAATCACGCTCAGAGAGCGACATGGTTGTCGCCTCATTTATGCTCTATGCCTTCTTCTACAACGTGAGTTCACTTGCTGTACCCCTAACATCTGATTTAGTGCAATATTGACAATGCGCTGCTAGATGGGAGGTGCTTCTATTCCCTACCTCCTTGGTAGCGAGATTCCCAATGCTGCTCTTCGCGAAAAAACTCAGTCGATTGGGGCCGCATGGAACGTGATCTGGGCTTTCGTGACCAACTTCATCATACCCTATATGATCAACAGCATCCACTTCAAAGTTGGGTGGGTGTTTGGAAGTATCTGCATGCTGGCGCTAGCGTTTACATTCTTCGTTCTCCCGGAGACCAAGGGAAGGCGTCTTGAGGATATTGACGCTATATTTGAAACCCCCTTTAACCCCTTTGCCCCCCATCCAGCACGCTTCACTGACCATGAGCTTGGCTTTGGCGGGCTCGAGGGCCAGGAAAAAGGCGCCGATGTTGATGCGTCCCACGTTCATGTAAACCCATAAAAGGAATTAGTGGAGATATGGCACATGAGAATTTCAAGACAGCTCTGTGGAATGATTCGATAATTATGTACAGACTCTGATAGTAATAGGCGAGAGAAGGTGATATTGTTCCTCGTCAAGACATATGCCGCCCGAGAGTGAGTTTCTCTTATTTAGTCTTTGAAGCATCCAGAGTAGCCCAATCCCTGTATGCATCAGCTAACTAGGTATCCACACCTCGCGGCTTAACGCAGGTCAAGCGTTGTCGTGACAGAACAGAATCCCGTTTACTCTCCAAGATTTAAGAATTGGAGGTTTGTTGCCCCACTTCAAGCTAAACTAAACTATTGTACAGAGAGGATTTGCCTCATATTGTGAGGCTAGCTTGTTGGCTGTTGGTGCCTGGCTAGAAGCTGTCTTGTGATGTTACCATTGATAACGGTACAAGTATGTGTTTCGTCCGAAGCCAGCAATGAGGTGCGGAAAGATGTGCCTCTCTAGTTGATATAGTTTACATTCGGATAATTTCGTTGGACTTAAGGTGGCTTGTTAGGGAAAACTAATAGTGCGGTGCAACCAGGTGGGGAAGAAGATCCGGTTCGTCTCCGGAGACGGAATATGGCGTGGATATCAAGACATCCAAGTAGCTGTTCAATTGGACGGACGACCGACTACTGATTAAGGCTCTGATGAATCTGTTAGCTAGTTCGTCTCTGCACGCGTTGACATCCAATGTACTCCACTGTATTTACTTAGTAGTCTGGAGTGGCTTAGGCGCCAGCACACAGCCCGGTTAGCGTGTCTTGGTTCAGCCAGGCTCCCCAGACCCACTAGACATGCCCCAGACATGCCCCAGACTTGCCCCAGACAGCACAAAAAGCACCGCGCACCACGACCTATTGCTTGAGGGAATCAATGGCTCTGCACATCTCCGGCTGCAAGGCACTTCACCCTTTGGATTCAAAGCAGGATTGGCTGGAGTTGGGCCTGCAATTGTTCTTAACCTTGGCCCCCTTCCCAGAGGCAAGCTGCCTGTAATCCACGAAGCTTTCTTCTGACTCTGCATGCTTGGTTTAGCCTCACACTCCCCATCTGTCCTATCTGCCCCGTCCAGCTCCGTCTTTCCCCGCCACGCCTTCAACACATCGTCCAGCCTGCCGAAGCGAGCAGCAGCTGACGGCCGACAACTGACACCCTGAACGAGCGGATGATGGCTCCCGACGCACATGCCGGAGCGCAGATACCGCGATGGTCACGGCAACAACCGGCGGCCCAGCTCACAGTCCCGGTTCCTGGCGGAGAAGACGGCCGCCCACACGATGCTGGCGGGGTCGCTGCTTCGTCTTCTTCGGGCACCTCGAAATCAAGGAAGCGGAAGCTGACTACTGAGTCTTTCACACGGCGGAAGCGCGCCGCAACGGCTTGCCAGTTCTGTCGACTGCGCAAGACCAAGTGCGACGCGGAGCGGCCAGCGTGCGGCTACTGCGTCTATCACCGCGCCAAGTGCATCTATGATGACTCGCCTGTTGTGGACAACATGCCCGAGTACATGGTCCAACTTGGCGAGACCATTCTCTCCAGCCTTGGCGAGGTCAAGCAGCTGCTTAGCCAGCCGCGAGACGAGCCTTTGCCATATCGACAGCCGCAACAACCGGACCAACAGCAGCAACAGCCATGTTGCCGCGACTCCGTGGCCTACACGCCCCATGCTGTGGATAATGGACGCTCATCTAGTATCTCAAGCCCGCTGGCCCAACCCCGACAGCCAGTCTCCAGCAAATGGATATATGCCTTCACGCGCTGCGAGACCATGTTGCGCTGGCCCGTCTTCAAAGGGCTAATCGACGAGAAAGACGCTGAGATTGAGTCATTCTTGTTCGAGGTCGGCGGAGACAGCGAGAATTTTCCAGCACCCGGTGGCTCACCGTCGTCACCTCATTCACTCCTCGACGTGCCAGCGCCTATTGCGCGCCCGGCTGGAGTCATCGACGAGAATGCCTTTGTCCCACTATGCCGCAAGTTTCTCGTCCACGTTTACCCACGGAACCCAATCCTAGACAAAGGCGCCCTTATCTCATATGCCAAATCCGCGGCGGCTAACGGGCTGCAGTGGAATGCCTCGTCCTGCCTCGTGGTGCGTATTCTACAGTGCCCAGAGCCATATCCACAAACCCCTATATGATTCTTTCTTCCTCCGCCCTGACTGTCCCATTCTGCGCAAAAGTGGCGACCGCATACTTTTTTTTTTGCGACGACAGAGGTCTATTTCTGTTTCCCTGACCTCTTTGCTAACACGTCCTTTATTATAGCTGCTGGCTTGCGCCCTCGCAAGTTTTACAACTGCTTGGGAGCCACCAAATAGTTCCTCGCCCAGCACGGACCAAAATGCAGATGCCTTAGGGAGACACCCAGTCGCGACGGCGATAGAGGACGGCCATGAGGATAACCTGACAGCCAGGGCCTACTATGAAGCCGCTAAGAAGCGTATTGGTACTCTGGGCTCATCGCTTATTGACATTCAATGCCTCTTCTTCGCTTCTGTCTTTGAGAAGTACGCCTTGCGCCCGCTCGATGCCTGGTTTTATGTCCAGATGGCCTGCATGCGACTTGAGGCCCTGCTTGTTCGTCGAGGCTACACACATCTCCACAACGACGGCTCAATGCCGACACGGACGACAATGACAACCGAGGTCATGAACAACCCGACGTACCTACTTGAGCAGCGAGTATTTTGGACATGTATCAAGGCGGAAAGGTTCGTATCAGTCCGTCATCCCCCACCTAAATCCGGTACTGTCTCTTTTGAACAAACAAAAGCACACATGTACGCTTATAGACACATGTGCAAACCCAAAAGACCCAATCACGCATTACATATGGCTGTCTGTTTTACTAGCCGCTAAACCACCGTAATTAATAGCGAACTTATGCCCGAGCTCGGCTTCCGCCCCAGTGGCCTGTCCGACCTTGGGTACCCGGACCTCTTTCCCACGCCGCCAACGACCTTTGCGGGAGCGACTCAGCAAGATGAAGCTGGTAACCGCGACGCGCAGGTCGTCTCCCAAGCCCCAGAGACGCAAATCGACGAGAACCGCAGCTGGCTGTTCTATCTGGCCGAGATCTCGCTGCGGCGCACTATTGACGACGTACTATGGCTGTTCTATCACCGTGGCGAGGACTACTGGATGAACAACGTGGACTTGCTGACGCGGCAGTATGTCGAAACTGACAGACAAATAGAGCTTTGGTATTCTCACCTACCCCCGTCCATCCGCTTCGAGCGTCTGGGCCAGGCCGAGAATGAATATGCATTTTTCTTGCAGCACCGCTTCCTCGACTGGCGGGAGAACATACTGCGACCGCTGCTATACATCTTCTTGCATCACCCGGGCCAGCTGCCGTGCGAGGTGGTGCAGTGCGGCCGCGAGGCTATGCAGATCGCATCTGAGCTCATTATTCTTAGCTCCCAGCATCATCGACACGGCAGCATATGGTTCGTTGCCTATCGTACGTTCGCCTGTGCAATGCTCATATTGGCTGTCGTAATTCGCTACGGAGACGCTGAAGCCCCGGCTGACTGGCAGTGGCTCATCACCCTTGCTTTGCAAACGCTTCGGCATTGGGGACTCGAAGCGCGGGACGTTGCACTGATGCGTACGGTTCTTGAGAGGTTGTACACAGCTGTGCGACAGCGGCACAGCGACAATGGTGATATTGGTAGGCGATAATATAAAGGTGCTGGCCATGGGGGGCTCGACGTAAGAGCCCTGCCGGCCGACATCACCGCAATAACACACGCTACGACTTAACTTATGTCTTATTATCCCATTTAGATTTAGTAGACTTATAGTTGATTGAGTTAATAAATGTTGTATAATTGGTGGTGTGTGACCGTTGTGACAACGTAGTGGGAAGTTGGGCGACGTCAGGTCTAGGATCCGGAGAGCCATGATATAGACGCGGTTCTTAATATTAAAATACCCAGGAAACTCTCCCGCCAAGTGGTTAGCTTGGTTGGAGTAAATTCTTTGTGATTACTGCCGCAAATTCGGTCGCTTTCTTGTCTGGATATTGTAATTGGTGTTCCAGATCTACATTCCGGCGCATATGGCAAACGTTACGGATGCTCTAACAAGGGGGAGATTCCCATCCCAGTGAACCTTGTGACCACACCACATGGAAAAGTGGCCTAATTCACTTGGAAGGGAGTAGGACTAGCGAGACGCCACAATGACGGGGATAGACGGACATTGAACGCCAGCAAGCCTCACACTTGTCCAAATGGGACGAATCTCCAGCTCCAATACTCTACTACTCCACACAGCTTAATTATGGCGCATGTTTTCTCTGGGGTAGAAAAACTGGAGTACTCCGCATGGGGTAATCGGCTTGGCCTTGTAACCCCCTGTCGTGTCGAGCATCGAGTCACTTGGTTTGCAAAAGACGTAAATATCCACACGGATCGTGTGGGGACGCCTCCAGATGAACCAGGGCGACATGGGATAGGGGAAAGAGACGAAGGGCATGCCTTATGCTGAGCTGGTCAATTGCTGGGCTGTTAACATGCACATCGGTTCCTCGTGGACCGTTAACCTCGCCAACCTGCGAGGCGAATACATTGCTGGCGAATTCCGCACAAAGGGTGCCCCTATTTACGGCGGCCCTACCGTTGACGCTCTGGGCCGTGTCGCCACTGGGAGGACTTTTCCAACGATTGTAAGCTGTTTTACTTTTTTTAAAATAATTATTTACCCTTTATTTTCTTTCCTGAAGCGTGTGCTTTGAAGCGCTGATATTTGAGCTTTCTTTCCCCCTTTTCATAGCATACCTGGCTGAGAAGATGGCTTCAAGTACGATTCAAGGCGTTCAGGATGCAGGTGTCATAGCCTCCGTGAAACATTTTATCGGCAATGAACAAAGAGATTGAGAGGTCTCTGGGCCACTGCTTCGGAACCGCCAGGCTGCGTCGGCCAATATCGACGACCGGCCCATGTTCGAGCTGTGCCCGTGGCCGTTTGCCGATGCCGTCAGGGCTGGGGCCGGGGCCGCTATGTGCGCCAATCAGCGGGTTAACAACTCCTCTTCATGTCAAAACAGCAAAGGGCTTCATGGTTTACTCAAGGAAAGAGCTCGGCTTTCAAGGCTTCGTTCTTACAGATTGGTATGATCAATGGGGGGTGGGGGTGTCTCGGCGGCAGCATCTGGCCTTGATATTGGCATGCCTGTCTCGTACTATTGGGGAAGCTCAAGTCAGATGTCGCTGGCCGCTGTTAGTAACGGGAGCCTGTTCTGCGATTGCTTGGTCGACATGGCGACTCGCATCCTCGGTCCTTGGTACCAAATGGGCCAAGACAAGGGCTATCCACCCCCAGGTATTGGACCTGACCAAGGACTGGTCTAAACCACGCAAGAAGGTCAACACTCGCGATTCTGTTGCCAAAAGCACGCTGCTCGGTGTGGCTGTTGAAGGCCATGTCCTTGTCAAAAACGTGAATAAGGCTCTACCCTTGAAAAAGCATTGAACTCTTGTCGCTCTTCGGCTACGACGGAGTATCAACCCCGCTTTATGGACGTGCCAGATTCGTCAATCAAGGACAGTTGGGAGTAATAAACGGTCCATGGGGCAACGAAGCCGAATCTACAAATAGCACTCTGGTGAACGACAATGTTGCCGGCGACGCTTACTATAGCTCCCTCATCGCCATCAACGGCACCATCATTCGGGGCGGGGGCTCTGGCACCAACTCGCCGGCCTATATTAACTTCCCCTTTATTGCTTTGGACCGGCGTGCTTATGATGGTGACTTCTCTCTCTTCTGGGACTTTGAGTCAACGAACCCCGAGGTCAATTCAAACAGCGACGCCTGCGTGGTCTTCATTAATGCCTACCCGAACAGGGAGGTGTCGAGGTAAGCAAAACTAACTCTATGCTCTCTTCCGCGTTGTTGGTCCGATTTCCTCTCTCGAGGGAATTTTGTAGAAATACTGAACCCGATTGAGACTGATTTTTTCACTTGCTCTAGATGACCACTCGGACACCCTGGTACAGAATGTTGCCAAGAAGTGCAACTGCACCATCGTGGTCATGCCTAATACATGTAGTCCAGATGGTGCTTTAAATAACTAGGTTTATCCCATTTTCTCATAAAATGGCATAATATCCGCCATTTAATGAATTTTCCCGCGTTCCAACTCCTCTAATTACGGCAACTCAGGTCTATATTACAAAAGGGTTAACATGCCCTGAAGTATGGGACTGCCTATTCAGTACCCCAATTCTGTTATCTAGCACCCTAAATTTATATGGGAGATACAAAGGGATACTTAAGCCACTATGTCCTCATATAAGTACCTATATAAATTTACCGTAGAAACAAAGGAAAAAAAAAAAAATTTATTTATTTAAATATAGTTAATATATATATATATATATATATATATATATTTGTTGCCGGTAAAACTGTATATTTTGCTGGTTGAAAGGTACTTTACTGCGTATCTGCTTAGTAATTACGTGCAAGTACCTCAAGGTGCTGAATAGGCGGTTCCTTTAATAGTCCCAAGAAGCATCCTGATTCGTCGCTATGTCTCCAAAGTTTGTATCAGCCCTCCACTCACTAGGCTGCAGCAATCAGGCAGTAAGAGAGTCTGTGGTTGCGGTACGGCCCGCCCAGCTTTGAACCAACCCCGCTAGCACCCCTTAACTTCTGCCAGTGCCGCATACGTCTTGATTTATACATAGAGTTTATAAAGCCTCTTCATCATTATGAGGCACGTGCAGCGCCTAAAGGCTAAGGTGTTAAAGCGGCCGGCCTTGCCTGGAGGGTCTATGGCTGGGCAGGCTAACCCAACTACAAATACTCCTAGGCCACTGCACCAACATGCAAATCTTAGTTCAACCGAATCAACGGAACAGAGCATAGAAAAGCATGGTTTATTTAAACTCGCTGAGGGGAAGCCTGACCCGTCGGGATCCAGCAACTACCCGGTCGACATCATTGCCGTCCATGGTCTTAATGGAGATGCCTTCTCGACCTGGCGCCACCATCAAGATGGCACCCTATGGCTACGGGACCTCCTCCCCAAATTCCTCCCCGGATGCCGCGTCTACACTTACGGCTATCCCTCTAAGATATTTTCACAGTCATCAGCCCGGGTTGAGGAATACGCACGGGACCTGCTAATCTCCTTAAGAGATAACCGCGAGGACTCAACCGTTGTACTGCCATCTGCTACGTCCATCTTAGCCATATCTGACATTCCCATCTAGGGCAAACGTTCCATTATATTCGTATGCCACAGCCTTGGTGGCATCGTTTTCAAACAGGTTCGCGTCTCCAAGATTCTGGAAGCAATACACTAACCAACTATTACTAGGCGCTCGTCATTGCCCACCAAGATGACAATCTCTATGGAGATGTGCTCAAATCGGTCATTGGTGTGGCTTTTCTGGCGACTCCCCATAGAGGTAGCTCTGTCGCAAGTCTCGGCAGTGTTTTTGGGACGATTATAAACGCTTTTATGGGACCCCGAGCAGTTAGAACTGATCTACTCAACCATCTAATATACGACTCGGATGCGCTTCAAAAACTCAGTACGTCAGCTCGCAACCTGTTGGGCAATATCTCCGTGGTTTCGTGTTATGAGAACAACCCAGCAGCTCCATTGTCCACCTTGGTGAGTGGCTTGATTCATTGGCCGCCGTTTTTCATCCTTATCTTATTGCACATGTCGTTCTTGAGAGCTATTTGGTACGATAGCTGACTGAAGCCCATCTCGGAGATAGGTCGTTAATCACGCTTCTGCTACGCTAGGCATTCCGAACGAGGAATTGATTCCCATGTTCGAAGACCACAGAAGCATTTGCCGTTTTCCTGGAGAGACGGAAAGCTACAAGAAACTAGCCAAAGCTCTTCGGAGAATAGCCTCCCAGGCAGCCGCTACGAGTCCGCCATTAAAGCGTGCTAGTACCCACTCGTCTACTGCTGGTGAGTTACGCTGGAAGTGATATTCTAAGGCAAAATTCTAACAGTCTTTAAGTCCTCAGCGACTTGGAAAGAACATGTATGACTCTGCTCAATGACCATGATGCGGCAAAGGGCATGGAACTCCCTTCAAAGCCGGTGTCGGGCACGTGCCAATGGATTCACAGTCACCATTTGTTCATCTCCTGGCTTGAAAAAGGCAGCAATGCTCTCCTTTGGTTGACCGGCCACCCGGGGTCTGGTAAAACAATGCTATCGTACTCTTTGGTTCAACACCTCAACGATGTCCGGGCCCAATCTGGGAATGTCCTCATATACTTGTGCCAGAGCAAGAACAAACAGACAGATGGAAGGGAGGTTCTAATCGGCTTGATACTCCAGATGATTGATCGTCATCGTTCAATGATTCGATACGTTCGTTCGGTCTTCGAGAAGCAAGGCGCAAGCATGATTCAGTCATTTTATTTGCTTTGGCGTATATTTTTCAGGATTGTAACAGACCCCAAAGCTGGCTTCACCTACATCATCCTGGATGCACTAGACGAGTGTGAAAAAGCTTCTTGCCACCAGCTGCTCGAGTCCATATCCGATATGGTGACTAATTCTTCCTGGCCTAAGGGAAGTGGCACCACAGTCAAGTTCCTGTTGACGAGTCGCCCTTTCCTTCGCCAGTCCTTTGTTAGCACCGAGGAGGCTCTAAAGCCGCAAATATCTATCGACGATAGCCAAACTGGCTACGCTAATGACCTCCAAATATTCATCCAACAACGAGTGAATGAAATCTCTTATAGCAGGCAGTATTCGAGTGATATGAGAGACTTCTTGTATCAGACGATAACTGCTAAAGCCGATCGAACGTTTCTATGGGTTAACGTTGTGCTAACATCTATTGAGAGAAACCTGCTCAGTTCAAGGAAGGATTTCCAAAAGATCATCGCCAGCATTCCGGAAGGACTCATGGAAACATATCGGCGCTATTTGGCCGCTGTCCCTTCCGATCACCAAGACGATGCGTCGCAGCTGCTAAAACTGCTGTTAGGAAGTTCGAGATCTTTGCATTTGACTGAACTCAATATCGCATTCACTATCGACGCTTCGCATAGCACTGCCGAAGAGGTTATGCAAGATACGCAAAATTCCATCGCCCATACCGTCCATGGGATTCTCGGCCCCTTGATAAGAATCATAGATGGTCACGTCTCTCTAGTTCACCAGTCAGTAAAGGACTTTCTCCTAGAGCAAGTCACCGCAGAGTATGACAGCTTCCCTGCTATGCGCTTGGTGAATTCACAGAGCTCCGCTCTACAATTGGCCACTGCTTGCATTAAATATCTGCTTCTTGATGATTTTAAGGTTGACTGCTTTTCCGCAAATGGCTCGCCTACCAGTCCCAGTCTAGAAATATCAGACTTTCTTGACAATTTACCACTTAGCGATTATAGTGGCGATTATTGGGATAGCGAAGACCCCAATCTCGCTTCGGATGTGCTTTTTCGCGAACCAGATGAGCTTCATCCAGATATTTGCGATTTACTCGTTTCAAACTATGCCTTTTACAACTATGCATCGCTTCATTGGGCAGAACATTTCGCGATCTGTGAGCAAGTTGCATCGGACCATCTCAGAACTGCGGCTGTGTCGCTCCTGGATATTGATACTGCAAGCTGCCGCAACTGGTTACATTTTTATCGCACTCGTGCCGTTACTTCGATAAATGACAGTCCTGTAGACCAAGATCCTATTATTTTAGCATCACAATTCAATTTGCTTGTTCTCCTGAACGATCTGCTTGGTAGCTGCGAACCTTCTCAGGCTACCAAAAGCCGAGGCCTTTATTGGGCGTCCCGATTTGGTTACGATCGTATCCTTACCTCTCTGCTTGAAGCGGGCGCTGAGCCTAATTCGAGTGACCTAGATGGTCAAACGGCACTCACGATTGCATCCGAGCACGGAAACTTGGCATGTGTCGTCAAGCTATTGGCTGACGAACGAACTAACTTGAATATGCCAGGACCAAGGGGGAGAAACGCACTATCGCTTGCATGTGGCGGTGGACACAATGATATTGTCAACAAACTTCTGAGTAAGGGTTGCAGCGCTGATGGTCCGGATAACTCCGGGGCTACTCCTTTCTTTTGGGCCGTAGGAGGAGAACATCACACAATCATGTCGACTCTAGCAAGGATTGGCAGCGTGGATATCAATCATCGTGATAAGGCAGGGCGCACGGCCATTTCATGGGCTGCTGGGGACGGAATGGCTGATACCCTAGCAAGACTGCTCAAGTTTCCAGGCATCGATGTCAACCTCGCAGATAACAAGGGGAAATCACCTCTCTCTTGGGCAGCGGGTAATGGCTGCGTTGATACGGTTGAGGTGCTCCTTAGAAGCAGAAAGGTGAATAAGGCAAGCAGTGATAATGATAAGAGAAATGCAATATCGTGGGCTAGCGGTGGTGGACACCATACTACCCTTGCCAAACTTCTCGATGGAGGATGCCCGGGTGTTGATGCTGAAGATATTGATGGATGGACTCCATTAGCCTGGGCTATTCAGACGAACACGCCCGAGACTGTCCGGGCTCTTATTAACACTGATCTGGTCCAAATTGACCGGCGTGATGGTGGCGGACGGACTGCCTTGTCTTGGGCCGTCGACTACGGGCATAAAGAAGTGGTAAAGGTGCTTCTGCAAGCAGGAGCTGATCTAGAGGCTGAAAGCGACAAGCGGAGCACTCCAATATCTATTGCCAAGCAGCTTGGCAGGGATGATCTGCTTAGTGTGCTTATGATGTATGCAACATCGCGACAATAAACGCCGGCCGAGGCATTGCTTCAAGATCGACCTGCGGACCCACGCTATTTAATCGGCGTTTCTTTAGAGTTAATGCTATAATACTATTAGAATCTGCGCTCAAAAAGCTAGATGGAGAAGTGGCAAGACAACTTCTAGATACAATCCTGCGTTTTCTCAGCATCATTTTAGGCTTTTAAGTTACATTTAAATATACAAAAGTATCATACTTTACAGCCTTTTTTTAAGGACTATAAAACTAAGAAAAATTACTGCTATTGTTTAGAGTATATATTTTATAAGTAAAAGAAATAAAAGAAGGTAAAATTATTTTAAGCCAGTAGGACGCTACCTTAGACTACTGTATGCAGCTGAAACTATGTTAGTGTCGGCCTGCTAACGGCCCTATACTAGTAGATATAGCATTAGCCTACCGACCTTTTATATGTAGAGTAGAGAAGCAACCGCGTAGAAAATCACTAGTAGAACTAGTATATCGAATAGAAATAAGCTTTATATTCCGACACCGTTGACCTTATGAAGGCAGCTGGTCTGCCAAATCGGTCGCAAAACAGCGGATCGATGGACTAACCTTTGCCCAGTGTCGTATTTGACTTGGTAGGTCTGTTACGCCTAGTATAGTTATTATTTAGACACCTCTTGATTTGACGGACTGGAAAAGGAATTCCTTTATATTTGGAATAATAATTACGCTGTATTTGTCTTTAGGTACTCTAGGCTCTCTTTGGTTCCACCATGCTAGAGCTCAGATGTAAACAAGCTATTAAAAATATTTACAATAATATCAAATGCATACCCTATAGAACTATATAATTTCGACAGTCCATAGTAATATAATGGCGAACAAAAGATAATTTCATCCGAACATGTCTTTTCAAAATATAGAATAACGAGATTTTTCAACTGGAAAGCAAAGATTCAAGATTCGTGCTCTCGCGCTCTTCTAACAGCAGAATACCTCCATTAATTCCACAGGGTAGCTCAAGATGCGTGATATTGATAGAGCAGTACCATCTAGCCCTATTTCAAGCATCTACGATATCATATTGGCTTTCGTACTTGCATCTGCACTGTCCCTGTATCTGAGAAATCTGGAAACCGAACTAACTCAAATAATGTCAATCGACAAACAGCTGCTCGAGCTTCTCCACGAGTAAGGGACGAAGTGGCCCTCAGTAATCGAATCGCCGGAAGCCCATCACGCATAAGAGCCCGAATTTTTGCACTTTGCCTTCATTAATTCTTTTCTAATCTTTATTCAAGTCTATATAGTGTACCGAGAAACAGTTTAGCGGCACCTAGGCCAACTTGGCGACGCCATCCCGGCTACCTCGAACCATCACCTCGACTTTTAATGAGCTGCAGTTGCAGACGCACAAGATGAGCTTTCAAAAGAAATAACTGTACTAGCGATAACAGCACCACAAGCACCATTGGCGCAGTCACGGATACCATAGCCAAGGTTGACATTCCTACAGAGACAGGCTGGGTCGGAGGTGCCGCAGCCAAGAGTCGTGTATTGCGCCAACATGTTACTGAAACATGTTTGCTGCGAAGCGAGAAAAGTCAGCCCCCTTGTATAAGTTGAAGGTTTGGTTCACTTACTCCGCAAGATGGCAGCTGAGATATGGCTGTCGGCGTAGGGCCAGCAGCGGTAGTGGCTGAAGTAGTTGATGTGGTGGAGGTGGTGGAGGGGATAGAGGTGGACGATGTCGTGGAAGTAGTTGGAGAGTTTTTGACGTTGTCGCCGTAGTTGTAGTTGTGGACGGTTGACTTGTAGTTGTGGAGGATTCGGTTGTAGTTATAGCTGAAGTGGACGTCGTCGGCGTTCCCGTAACCGTCGCACTAGCACCGTCAAAGGCACTTGCGAGCACCAAGGTTCCATTCACACCAGCCGTCATGGGAACCACAGTTGAAGTTGTTCCACTGTAGCTGGTGACATCCAGCAATATCTCTGGCCACACAAAGGAGTGCAGATAGGGCGCTGTGTGTCGGAGAAGTTTGGAGCATAGAGTCCAAACCCACTAAGCAACAAGCATGGCAAGTAAGCAACTGTCTACGCATTCATGAGTGAGGTGAAACATACTCTGGGCAGCAAATTCTGTACGTAGAGTTGACATCAATAGTCTGCAACTTGTAAGGGCAGACCAACTGCTGAAACGGAGGCAGCGAAATAGTGGCTAAGGCGCTGGCATAGAACTGAGGCGGGTAACAAGATGTCACAGTCTCAGTCGGTACGGGCGTCATGATATTCTACCAGAGCACGTCCGTATCTGATGGCACCGCGGTGAACCCTCCATCGCAACCTGTAGGCTGAGTGAAGATTTCGATAACAACCAAGTCGTAACCCGTGCCGGACGAAGCCGAAGACATTGATCTCGTTGTAGTGGATGATGTTAGGCTTGTCGTGGATGTTGATGAAGTAGATGTGGAACTTGATGTAGTTGGTGGCTTTTGACCAGACGTAGTTAAGGTGATGGAGTGGAATTGTCTGGGTGCAATCGACGGTATATCAGGGAGGTCTTGGCCAGAAGCAAGCAATGCCTTCCTCAGCAGCACCAGCGCAAGACTTGAAAACTGCATATTGAACAATCGCTAGAACCACCTGTATGACTAGGATGAGCTATTGTGAAATTGGCAGAGGGGAAGACACGATGCCCAACTTAACCATCTTTCGACTCCCACCAGAGCCTTTGGCCCATCGGACCATTGTCTTTCTACAGAGTCGTTTCTTTCTACGGTATAAGTGCATGACCGCATATTGGATGTTGGCGGAACTACGTGTGGTAATTTCGGCGGGCACTTTTGCAAGCTACACTTGTGGGAATAGGATTTCTAACTCTAAGCGAAGGAATTAGATAACCTTGTAAGAGTGGATTTTGGGGTCTAGATGATCGGAAACGGTGCTGTTTTAGCTATAAGGCCGGAGGATCGAGACCCATCTCGCGCGGCTAATCGGCAACGGGAAATCATTCCTTTTTTGGGAGCGCTTAAGATGCTGTACTAGCTTCTCCATCAGGCCAAGCCTAATAAACCTCTATCTCGTTGGAAACCTCTTCCTGCACTTCGATATTGCAACTTGTCATATTTTCCCGACATCTCTGATACCTACCGGATTGATAAGCCATCCCTACAATCGTACTACGGTGACCTAATTCTAGACCGTTGGATGTTTTCCTGCGTTCGTTTCCGCTACTTAACCTAGAGATGACTCACTCGTTAGACGGCCATGCTCTCAGACAGCCTGCGTCGTGGCGATGAGGTGACCAGGCATATCGGGCTTGAATACCAGAATACCATGGCCGCCGACGGCAAAGCAGCCGTCTCGCTGCAAGACTTGCCGACCGAGCTTGTTGCCCTAATCCTTACGCATGTTGCCGACATTGCGACACTAGATAGTCTCATCCGAGCGTGGCCCGCTGCGTATCGCGTATTCGAGTCCAGCGCTGTCGGTATCACCGAAGCTGTCTTGTCTTCTGGTTACGTATGCGGGCATATCCGAGTCATTTTTCGTATTATCGCCTTGCTGCGATCTGGAACCCTCCCAATCCCCAACTTGGCCGATTTTCGACGACGGGTTATTGTCGATGCTATGAGATACCCATCTCGCGTGCGCAGCTCGCGAGACGGATTCGCCCCAGCCTTCTTGGCCAAGGAGACACCACCGGCAGTAATACGCAGTCTTTTAGCGACATATCGGCAGGTCATGTCGGCCTCGCTTGGCTGTCTCACCTACCATCTTGCCCGTTTTAAAACTCTCAAGCCAGAGCATCCCATTGACAGGACGATCAAAAATCCTGTATGGGGCCGGGATATCCCGACTTGGCAATCGAGGCCACAAGGAAGGGAATTTAACGTACGGAACGTAGGCCCCCCATCTTGGACCGAGGAGCAGCGCGTCAACCGGGCTTTCTGGCGTCTGCAGCTTCTCTACGATCTCAAAAGAGCCGCATCAAGAGGTTTATTAGACTGGCCAGACGATAACAAGGCTGCACTTTGCGACATTGTTGCAGTCAGTCGTCCAATCGGTGGGCCTACGCATTTATCTCTTCGGAGCCGCCGCTATGGGCACGAAATTTGGGCTGGCTCTTCAGACTTTTACCATGCTTGGGTGCATACCGTTCCATATAGTGGACATTATCCGGGCCCCCCGGAGTACGAAGAGCTGATATCCGTTGTCAATTATGTTCGAATCGTTCATGGCCAGGAAGCCTCTGAACGGTTAGCTAAAGGTGAAGTGTGCCTGGCAGGGTTACAAGGACCTGTAGAGATATATCGAGAATGGTCGCTAGCTAAGCCTGGCGTAAAGGACTGGAAAACACTCGTTCGTCCATCTGCGGGCGCCGGGAACTACGATTACGGGCTGCGAGGAAGCTCAATACTGAATATGGTTGACTTTGACACTTTTGGGCGCTATGGGTTTGCGTTTTGGTCGTGGGAGCGCATGTTTGCGTATGGTCTTGCCAGAAGGAGCGAGTCTGAATATGAAGAATATAGGGTCACTTATGCTTGGGAAAGTATCCTCAGTCCTGAGGAAGTTGCGAGGGCGGAATGGGAAATAGGGAACAGGACATAGAAAGCATGCTTGCCGTTACATGACGAGGACGAATATAGTGATATATTGAGCCCTTTAAGTACCAACATAGAATATAATAATAATTATGGTGAATGTACATGAAGATGAAGGAAATGTCTGTTAACGGCCGCTGTAAGAGCCGGAGTGCAGCATGAACAATCTACACGGCATAGTGACCGAATCCTGAGGTAGTCTTCTAACCAAGTGCATTAACTTTCGCTTCTCCATTGATGTGATCTCCCTTTTTTTCGGCGGTGATCTGCACTGAAGGTCGCTGCTGTTAATAAGGTTGGTCGAAAATGCCTGCATGCCGATGACATCCTGGTGAATCTTGGCTATGACATCTTTCGGTGCCGTAGAATGACCATAGGCTTCGACGATTAGCTCCAATGCGTCTCTTTGCTCTGGAGTAGTAGAGGCTTGGGAGGCTAGCCAAGTCTTGTCCCAATCGATGACTTCGTATTTTACAAAAGAAAACTCCTCAGCGGTGATTGGTGTCACCCCGTCGACTTTAGTGATTACCTGCGGCTTGTCTTGGAAAAATGTAGAGAACGGAGCGCCTTCAGGAAGTCCTGATAAGTATTTCTTGTTGAGGAACCTGGTCTGATCACTCAAGCGGAACTGGTTGGTTATGCGGAGAAAAATCTTGGCATCTTTGAGACAGGAATTGACAAAGTCAGCGGCGGCGCCGCCAACCACATTGGCCTCGCGACGAGCGTTCTGGGCGGCGTCGAGGATTCCTTGAAGGAGATCTGGCAGAGCAGCCTCTACGACGGCGGATCCTGTGCCAGTTGGGAAACCTGCCTTAGGAAATAGTTTCGATGGCCAGTAGAGGAGGTGTTTCCCGCTGCTATTTTTCATCTGTATGATTCTCGAAGCCATTTTGTCCGGGTCCAGGACGAGGGAACGCCCATCATTACTCCATTGCAGTTTACCTAGTGAGTTTTGAGCCGACCTCCTTGGCAAACTCTTTCCAGCAGTCTGTACGGGCTTCTAAGCCCTCAAAGCTCTAAATGCTACTCTAGACCAAGTTATAGACAATTACACGACTGTCAATTCTGGCTATGATCAAGTGTTTGGGTATTATCAGGAGTATGCCAAAGGCATTATTCCCGATGCTTTGAATGAATTCATGGACATGGGTGATTATCAGAATTCACACGGAGGGCCTAGAAACAAATACTTTGACTGCACATTCCAGAGTGGCAGCCTCGTAGAAACGCAACAATGCCCCTGGACAGCATGGCAGCTGTTATCTTACTATTATCTTACTATGACTACTCTATAACCTCCACTCTCAAACTCTCGACCGGTTTCTACAGAGAGCTCAGCTCGACCTATGGTATCAATTCAACCTGGGTCAAGTTTGGGACTGTTGAACACAGAGCTAACTCGTGTGCTGGTCCTGGAAGGACTTGTGTGAGAAGCGATGTTAAGATCATCGGTATACCCCAAAAGGCAGACGACGTGGATGTACCGAACCCAAAAGATGTCATCTCCAAGGCGATGCCAAATATACAGGCTTTGCAGAACACCATCTTCTCTCGGATGACTGACTTGGCTGTCAGCGCATGGTATGAGCCTACCGATGACATTCTCCAGGTCGTTAGCATGCCAGTTTTTATGATCCAGCAAGCCATAAACAGCATGGCTAATGCGAAGTCCCTGGGCCAGCAGCAGGAGAAGCGAGACAGGATTAACTTGATCCTCGAGATCTTAGGCGTCGTCTTCATCTTCGTTCCTTTCCTGGATGACATAACCCCCGAGCTTGAGGTCTTCGACGGCATCTTCAGCACTGTGGCCGCGGCTGGTAACGTAGTGTTGACAATCCAGGCCATCATTGCCGACCCGACATCAGCGCCCATGCAGCTTCTGGGCCTGCTTACGGCGGGCGGTACGCGAGATGAAGGCGACTCTACTAAGATGGCCTCTACAAGGAGAGGAATTAGTGAAGACGATTTGGGAAAGATTGGATCTTTCTATAAGGAGGCTGACGATGACTTCCAGGACGTTATCAGGCAGAGTTGCAGACTGTAAAACACAGTTCGACCAAGGATCTTATTGTCGTTATTAGTTGATTCGACGGGGACAATTTATATGCAGTAGTCCCCTGATGAAACTAAAGAAATTGCAAACGTGTGTGTGTTTATGAGTAAAAATGTGTGAATGTATTGGCCTAAATATATTCGCTCAATAAATGCGATATATAATTATTATTATCAATTATTCTAGTTTAAAAAACTATTAATTTAAAAATTTTATATAGCATGTTCATCTCAACGTAAAGAATATTAGAGTGCATCTGTAAATAGGAAATCCCAATCTATTTTAATGCGTACTTGTGTAACTTAATTTTAGTGAAGCCTAGCGAGGCATGAGACCATCTTGCAAGTCGTTTCAAAAGTGCCGCTTTATCTAGAAGGTGGCAAAGTTCTAAATATCCTTGGAGACGGCAGTTACATATGGATAAATGCAGTAGAAAATGGGTCGTAATTGCCTCGTAATTGCCTACTAAGCGGTGATTAAAGTTAGCTTTCGGAACCTGGAGTTAAAAAGTAGTCCGTATAAGAAACGATACATGAAATACATGATGAAATTCTGCATAAAGCCTCATATACCTGCGTGTTTATTAACTGTGAGGAGCGTAAAATAGAAGCTTGAAGAGTTGATGTTGGATTTTCTGATCGAAATTATGGATACCTCGCACAATTTCGGATTCCGACGGCTTACCTGGAGAGGCCTGGACTCAATACAGCACGGTATTAGATTCAAATACCTACAAAATCTTGTTCCATTATACTTAAAGTCACAGAAATTAATTCCATTGGCTGGAATCCTGTCACCGCTCTTCGAAATGCCGAATCACAGTAGCGTTAAAAAGATCAGCAGCCACCCCGGCCAGATACCTGCCCAAGATCTCGAGAGCTTCTAGGCTGACACATACTAGGAATCTTGTTAATGCGATGAGTAAGCGGTTTATTCTATTGAAAGCCAGAAACTACGAGAAATTACGCTCTTCTCAATGCCCAGGTGGAGTTCAGAGATAACCCTAGAGATTACTTTGCGGAATTAACACTTAATGCCCGAGTCTGGTGAGGCGTTTCCTAGAACGCGCAACTTCTGATTAGCGAATCGCCGGATAGCCTCGACTCGGATGCCGAGTTGTTGGTCGACAAGATTGCAACCTTCATCTTCCGTCTAGGTAATCAGGGGCATGTAGCTACTAATCTCCATATTTTCAATATCAGCCCTCCGGGCTGGAGGAATATATAAAGACGATATTCCGGTAGGTTTAGTAGGGTCTTTTTGTTGTAACAGAATCAGCAGAGAATTTTCAACGAGAAGAACATTTTACTCCTTCCGATTCAAATACTTATAAGTTAGTTTATCATGTCACTTAAAACAGTAGTCGTTGTCGGTGCAACTGGTCTGCAAGTTAGTATCCAGCACATCTTTCATATATATATTGAATGAGTTTCGTACTAAAAGCAAATTAGGGAAGGTCTGTGGTTGCTGAGTTTCTCAAGTATCCCAACGATTACCGCGTCAGGGGCCTTACTCGTGATCCCTCTAAGCCTGCTGCCTTGGCTCTATCTGCTAATGGTGTCGATGTCCAAGCTGCGGACCTCAATGCTGGTCAAGAAGCTTTAGAAAAAGTATTCGAAGGAGCTAACATCATATTTGCTCTGACTGATTTCTGGGCTCCGGGATCCAAAGTCATAGAGATTGCCCAGGGGAAAGCTTTAGCTGATGCCGCAGCCGCGATTCCTAGCCTAAAGCACTTTGTGTGGAGTGCTCTTCCTGACCCAATGGAGGTTTCACAAGGGCGATTTTATCATGTGCACCACTGGAAGAGCAAGGCTGATGTAACAGATTACATCAAGACAAAAAAGCCTGATCTGTGGAAGAAGACGACAACTGTCCTGTTTCCGAATTATTTCGAAAATTGCCTAACATACCCCAGTAATTATTTGCCGAAACAGGTAATCTCTAGTCTTAAACCAAGACAATAGCGAAAGATTGGAGGCTAAATCATTTTCTCACAAAGGTTTCAGGAAAGCTTATACGCGAATTTCCTCTCAGTTCTAAAACAAATTTGCCAAATGTGGCGATTTCAGATACAGGCAAGCTCGTCCATGCAGTTGTCGAGAATCGGAAGAGCTACTTGGAGAAGGCAATCGCATTTTATGCGCAAGCGTTATCGGAAGGCGAAAAGCTAGCACAACTGGCTAAAGGTATGCATGAGGTTCCTTTTCTTATACATCGTGTTGCCGTGATATCGTCTTATCAGGAAGAGAATAGGATACTAACGAAATATATCATCAGAACTTGGCGTTACATTCGAATACCGAAAATCCACTCCAGGGCAGTTTCAACAACGGCTTGAGGATGCCGGCATGATTCCCGAGCTAGCGTTGGACTTTACAGAGCAACTTTTGATATTTGAGTACTTTGGAAACATATATGCGAGCCACGATTTTGTCCAAGCTACGGAGGTGAGCTACACTGAGTTGTTGAGACGGTTACAATAGCTCTGCAAGCACGGTGCTAATATGAGATTGCGTTCAGATTCCCGGCCTATCTTTGAAGACGTGGGAAGAGTTTATTCAAGAAAATAAAGAAGAACTACCAGCCAAGATTGCATCGGCAAATGCGCCCTCTCCCTAGGGATTCCTTCTTGTAGAAGAGCCATGATAGGGGGATGGGGAGGCATGAGGCACCATATACGCGATATTTAGCAGCTACAGTAGGCGAGAGAAGCAGAATAAAAAACATACATTAGACAAACCAGTTTTCAACTAAGTTTTGGCTTCAGCTGCAATCCTTTATTATCAAACCTGTCATATAGGGCAAAAAGAAGATCAAACTGGTTCGCTGCTTACTGTTGTCCAATTTGATGACTGCTAATCGAAGGTTGGTGCACAACCCTCGTCAGAGTCCGCAACATGCTGCTGAGCAATCTCAATAGCCAGCATTGAGCGACATTGTAGAGTAATCTAAAAGCTCAATCATTGGTTACTCAAACAACAAATCCGATGCGCGGCATTGGCCATCAAACGACTGAGGTGGCCTGCAGGCGATAGCCTCACTTATAATATGCGTTCAGTTAGAGGTGGATAGTTTGCGAGTGACGCAAAGTTAAAAACTTACTTCTACAGTGCAAGACTTCGATCTTAGATAACCGCCTCGATTAAAGAGCCTATCGAATTAGTTGAAGCATTATGATTGAGGTCAATCCCAACATATACCCTTGGCTTTTTAAAAACGTTTATCTTACTCCCCAGAAATTTATTCATACTCTTTGTGAAGGCAAATTTTACGTAGGAGCGAGTGATCGTTTTGTGGGCTAAGTCACTAATTTCTGTTTCTCTCCGACGAGCGACATACACCCACTTTGATGACGAGAATATTCTCTTCTATCTGAATTAGTACTTTTCCCATCCTTTGCTCCTTATTTCTGTTCTCTTCTAGTCAACCCCCACATGTCTCCGACAGCTAATGCTACTTCAGAGCAGCTGCTGCTCCAAATATCCTTCACTGTCTCCAGTTAAACCCCCTGCACGGCAAATAAGTAGTTTTATATGGGGCCTACTCTAAAACCCGCTGATTCAGCGGTAATACCCCATGGTCCTCAGGATTTGATACATCCTCGATTGCTCATGCTCTCTCATATTTTCTCTCTTCTCGCGCTCACAACTCACTTGACATTAATCTCTTAAATGGAGTTAGTTCTCTGAGCTACCTCAACTCTGTCCGATAACAACAAGAAAGAAATCAGGCTTGCTCTAGCCTGCGACCATGGCTACTAGGGCCTTTATTAAATCTGCCAGGGGACGACGAGCAAAGGCATGCGATTCGTGCTCTAGAAGAAAGGTGTGTGTTGCTACTCCAAGAGAGTGGATCTTGAGAGACTTGCGCATCATATTTAATTCCGGCTTTGGCTGGCCAATAACCTGATCATTTTGACCGTGATCAGCCAGTTTCTCAGGCCAAAAGTTCAAAGCTGACATGTACTTTTTTTTTTAACAGATTCAATGCGATGCCGATGTTCCACAATGCAATTGGTGCAAGCATCATGATTTAGCCTGCACTTACACTCGGCTAGTGGCCAAAGCCAAGAGGAAGAAGAAGTGAGATTATTCCTCTTTTGTCACCTACCGCTTATATTTCCAATTTATATGTATATGACCATTACAGGCGCTGGATAGTTCCTCGCCGTCAAGTCTCAATACACTGACCCACGATTAAAGCCCGGGCAACAAAGTACCCCAATCGGAATCTATAGCCAGAATGGAGACAATTTTGACTCAGCGGCTATCACAGCATGAAGTTGGTAAGTGCGTTGTTTCATTACTATTACAGCTCCCCCCAAGTAGCGCCAACAGTCTCTGCATTCCAAGACGGAAGCTCCCCTAGCTGCTATCTCCTCCCTTCATCCCTTTAGTCTTTTTCATAGATCATGGGCCAGTGCTTTTTGTTCTGTTCTTTAGTGGACTCCTCGAACCGGTTACACTACTTTCAATGGAGATGGTCTGTTAGCACTATGGTGCCACCCTCTTATACGCACAAATCTACCATTCTTTCCTTCTTATAATTCAGCTAATACATAGTTGTCTCGTATAAACGCTCGCTAATCTTTTCCCCATCATTGTAGACACACAGCTACAATACTTTACTTCGTCGCAATTCGACCTCTGCAATGCTACTTCTTTCACTGGTATCCCGCTTTTCTCTGACCAGGGACAAGCATGGATTGAATCCCGTACCGGGAGCTGCATGACACCTCAAATTCTCTGCGCCTTTGGCCGTCAATGGCACAACCCCCGCTGCCTATACCTGGATACAACTGCGAGCACACAGCTTTGTGAACTCCCTCCCAGGCCAATTGTGGAGAGATACGCTGCCATGTACTGTTCATCGTTGCAATACCTCGTCTTCCCTATATTGAGTAAATACCTGTTTGTTAAGACCCTCGACTTAGCGTATCAGAAACTTGATTCTCCGTCTGCAGCTAGAGCTCGGTCTTGCGTCTACTCGTTTCTCGCCATGACCTCTATTTTACGAGTTGAGGAAGAGTCCAGCACAACAATGGCTTCTGAAACGTACGCAACAGCTGCTGCATCATTCATACCTCAGGTAACTCAAGAGATGACGGGAGATGGACTTCAGATGCTCGTCACGTTAGTAAGTTTATGAGCCTCTTTCCGTCCCCTAATGCTGCTACTCTATTTGTATAGCTTTTTCCTTTTGCACAATTCTCTTTTCTTTTTCCAAAGTCTAACTTTTACCACAGGCCCTAGTATACTATTTCATGGGCGACCTCCGCTCCACAGGCCTCTTCATTTCCATCGCTTCACGCCTCATCTTTGCTCTCAATACTCAGTTGTATCTCCAAGAGAAAATCTATAATAAAAACGACATAGCTTGTCATCTACGGGACCTCTTTTGGACTTGCTATTCTCTCGACAAAGACCTCTGTATCCGCACTGGCCAGCCTCCTTGTCTCTCAGACCTCCACTGCGATCTTACACTGCCTCCTGATTACTCGATGATGCAAAATAGGCACATTCAATCTAATAATATCCCTAACCTTAGCAGTCAGACTGTACCTATGTATCCCTGGGATCTACTCCTTTCTCAACTCAAGTCCCGCGCTTATGACGCTCTTTATTCGCCTATGGCACACCGCAAAACACAATCTGAGCTCTTGGAGAGTATCCGCGTATTGGATGAATCACTAGAACAATGGCGCTTGTCTCTCCCACTGGACTTTCGTCCAACACTCACGTTTGGGAAAGCCACCCCTGTCAGCTCCAATGTCAGCATGCAATCCAGTATGGTTCGGCTAGCTTATTATCATTTCGTGGCTATTATCCACCGGGCGAGTGGGAGGTACAAAGCGCAGTCACCAAACAATTATCACAAAGGCGTTCGCTCTAGTTTCAACCTCTCGCTTGATGCCAGCAGATCAACATTGACATACTTGCGTGTAGCTCTACATGTTATAACAGACGACTGCTTTTGGTAATAACACCTATTGATTTGGCATTTATGCTGTATCCATTTCATTACCATAAGATATGGCTAATTACCTTTTTTAGGATTATTATCTACTACCCTATTACTGCCATTCTCGCCCTCTTCTCCAATATTATTTCAAATCCTCTGGACGAAAACACTCTCGAAGACCTCGAAATCTTACAGGATGCGCCTTCTTTGTTCAGAAGTATTCCAATACGAAAGCTTAGGCTTGCTGAACTAACGCATTTGAGATTCCTTGATGCCTTTACAATGGAGCTTGCCAGATTGAGCAGACTTGCTATAGAAACGGCCACGGGAACAGCTCTCATACAACTAGTTTAAGAAGAGTAAAACAAGCTAAATAGACATTAAAATACGAAAAAAATCCTACAATTGCCCTGTTACTAGCTAATAGCAAAACTGCTACTAGAGGCCCTAGTAAGCATTTAATATTGCTACTCAATTTTAAGCCAAGCTAAGTCCCCAATGAAGTTGAGTTTCAAGAAACACTTTAGCAATTAAAGCAATTGACAAATACATGCGACTATTTAAGCCATTCCATTATGCTGAAAATAGGGGCACTTACATAGGAAGTATTACTACCTAGGCGTGCAGGGGTTAGCATAGCTATGGCCTATAAAGAGGGGAGCTATATCATGTTATAATATCAAGCAAGCAAGCAAGCCAATTGAAGATATATTTCAACACATTAAGCATCGCAATAGTATAGCTATATAACGCAATAAAAAAGTACACCGTGGTCGGTTCAGGGCTCGGATCTAAACTAATCTAAGAACCCTAGCTCTACAATAACGTTAACTATTCGGCTAGCCCCGCCGAAATACCACCTGAAGCTGGAAGGCCTAGGCCGAGGCGTCTGACATACATAGAGCTAGCCGACATGGATTCGACGACTGGATGCCGAAAGGCTGAAGGGCGGACACATCAAAGCCTGGGTGATGTTTTATCACCATCATGAAGGTATTCGGGTATTTTTTCTCTTAAAGTTTCAGGTCTCGTAGCTGAAACTAAGGCACTAGTGGAAAGGAACCAATTGCCATTGTTATCGACGTAGCGATATAGTGTTGAAACGCAGGCGGCGGTGCCCCATACAGTAACACATGCTGAGACCCTGCATTGCCTTGTCTTGTTAGTGTTAGATGTCAGCACTTACGCGTGCTGACAACTTGCGAGGAGTTTACTGAGACCGCACTTTTTCAAGGTACAAAGCTCACAGATGCAGCATCTTTTATCCCCCCGTAGGACCCTGCAGAACTGGGCGAATCGGGCCATGTGTAAGTGCAGATTCAAAATATTAACCGCCGTGGGCAAGCACATGGAATTTCGGCAAGCCACTCGTAGATGGAGGATTAGATCCGAATCTAGCCCTAGCCCGCTTATCGGCTTATAACTTGCTCTTTCGAAATTAACTTGCGCACACCAAGCCCTTTGGAGGATCAGTATATTATCGTCGGGCCAAATTGGCCAATGGCACGTGTATCAGCGAGGCCGCTTGCAAGGTTTATGAACAAGGGCCTCCATACCTCTCGGCCGCCGCAAGCTCCCGGTGACATCATGTCCGACTTTATTTGTACGCCCCCTTGTGCTTTGTCAGGGAAGCAAGCGGGTAGCGAAAAGATCGAGACCGCAAAATGAATACGCGCATAGAATGGAACAGTACCAGCTGTACTGCAAAGCAATTTTCCTTCCATCGCCATTCATGTGTGTGTATTATCCAAATTTGTGTGCCGATTATTTGCCTCATCTATTTTCTTATATCCACTTGAGATGTAACCACGAGCGGCTCGTTCCTACAATGATTGTATGTTATAAGCGCGTAGAAGTCGATTCCATATTTTTTTTTCTTTTCTTGTTTTTGTTTTTGTTTTTATTTTAATTTGATTGAAAGAATATTTTACGTTCGAGTGTGAAGCAGTTCGTGTAACCTATGTCAAAGTGGTAAAAGATGTCGAAAACGCCCGAATCCGAGCAGGTGCCCGAAGTTATTGATGGAAAAAATATTGCAACTTCAGGGGTCTCAGAGGAGCTTTCCTCGGATAATGAGAAAACAGACGAAACGAGAAGCGATGCCATAGTTCAGGAAGAAGCTCTGGTGAGCGCAACAGACGACAGTCAATACCCGACGGGATTGCGACTAGTCATCATTGTTGTGGCTCTGTTTCTGGCAGTCTTCTTATACGCAATTGATATGGTACGTGGACACGCTTTGTTAATCTAATCTACATGGGCATCAACAGAAATTGAAGTTGTGGTTGACCCTTTTACCAGACAATTGTTGCAACGGCCATTCCCAAGATTACCGATGATTTCCACAGTCTCGATGAAGCCACATGGTATGGATCTGCCTTTTTCATGACGACGGCTGGTTTCCTATCGGCATGTAAGTAGCTCTTCAACACCGTTTACAACACCGTTTAAAAGCGAAAGCTGACCGTTTCGTCTAGGGGGCAAGGCATACAAGTACTTCCCGCTAAAGCCCAGCTTCCTCCTCGCCATGTTCATCTTCGAAGTCGGTTCTCTCATCTGCGGCGTTGCGCCAAACAGCAAAGCACTCATCGTCGGACGAGCCATTACAGGTGTTGGCGCGGCAGGTTTGGGATCGGGCGCTTACACTATCGTCGGTTACTCGACTACGCCTGCGAAGCGTCCTCTGCTCATGGGTATTATTGGAGCATCTTACGGAATTGCAAGTGTTGTTGGACCTGTCATCGGTGGTGTTCTGAGTGAGTACCTACCACTTCTTTAGCAATCCGTTTATATCTTGGCTGATGTTAATATTAGCTGATCATGCGACATGGCGCTGGTGCTTCTACATCAACCTCCCCATCGGAGGATTCTCAGCGCTCATCATCTTCTTCTTCTTCACGGCTCCAAAAGAAGCCCGGCCGGCTCCAGCAACTCCATTGGAAAAGTTCCTCCAGATGGACCCTCTCGGTATCATTCTCGCCATGGCCGCAACCATCTCCTTCATCCTCGCATTCCAGTACGGAGGCCAAGAGTACCCATGGTCAAGTTCTGTTGTTGTCGGTCTTCTAGTTGGCTCTGTTGTAATCACTATTGCGTTTGTCGCAGTGGAAATACTACAGACCAAGGATGATCGCGCAATGATCCCACCACGCCTCATGAAAGAGTTTAATATTTGGTCGCTTTGCCTTTTCACAACTTTTAATGCCGGCACGTTCTTCCAAGCCATCTATGTACTACCGATCTACTTCCAGAGTGCATATGGCGTCTCCGCGACGGGTTCTGGTGTGCGCAGTTTGCCATTCATTGTTCCCTGGGTCATCGCATCTCTGGTATCATCTGCCGTCATTCAAAACACTGGCATTGCGAAGCCATGGTTGCCGTTTGGTGCCGCGTTGGCCACTGTTGCGAGCGGCCTGTTTTACACACTTGACATTGGAACCAGCAACGGTAAATGGATTGGATTCCAGCTTCTTGCCGGCATTGGCTGGGGCTCCAACATTCAGATTCCCATGATCACTGCTCAGGGAACGTCCAAACCCGCGGATCTGTCTCTTATTACTGCCATTATTCTTTGTAAGTATATAGCATGCAGTTTCGGAGCTCTCATCGTCATTTGCTGACCCCCAGTTATAGTCTTCCAAACTGTTGGCGGTGCCCTCTTCGTCTCAGCCGCCCAAGGATCCCTCGTTGCCAAGTTGATCTCTGAATTGCCTAGCAAAGCTCCTTCAGTAGATCCAGCCAAGGTCATCGCAGCAGGAGCGACCGGAATTCGTGGTGTATTCCCAGCAGAAGTCATTCCTGGCATTTTGGAATCCTATTTGGCAGGCATCAGAGTTGCATTCGCCATCATGATTGCAGGGGCTGGTTTTGCGACCGTGACATCCGTCATTGGTAAGTGGAATAAGTTGGACAAGGCAGCTGTTAAGGGTGCTGGTGGAGGAGCATAAACAAATCACACAACATGTAGGAAGGGTGAAAACTATTTGCATCAAACGGAATTTTGGGCTTGTGACCGGAAAAGGAATTTTCATTACTGCAACTGTTGAAGGTATGTACAACAGTAACTGCTTGGCTTTACCAAAGATGGTGTCAACAGTCGGATTTGCGATATATATCCACGGATAGAGAAGAACAGAATGCCTGGGCAATCTGTTGGTAGTAAATCAACTAGATGTTTAATTAAATACATAGCGCTATTTCTCCCCTCTAATTCATCCTCTGACTCTATATCGTACACCAAAAATCTACCCGAAAAAACTTCAAATGTTGCCAAGAAGGGCAGATCTATTGAGAATCCTCCAGGTGCAATGTGCTTAATAGGTAGCTAGTGGCAGAGTCAAGTTGATCCGGTCATGGGCTTATTGTGATTTCTGAGGCTACCAAAATCTCTATTCTCGAATCTTACATGGCCTCTAAGAGCTACTTGAATGAGTAGCCAAATATCATGCAAAGGAGTGGTGCAATTGATATTACACCAGGCTCATTCGAAAGTACAAATACCTGCATAATTAAATGACTATTGTAATTAGCTGAACGGATTTTTTTAAGCAATGCATTACTCATCTTGATATTATGTATATGCTTGCTCTATAACAATGTACGCATATTCTCATAATAATCTTATCCTAGCACACCTAGTAGTCTGCGTTTCGCAGTTACTTAATCATTATTAATTGAATTGAGAGAATGAACAATTATCCATGTGTAGTTTCTTGATGTCATAGACCATTTACCGTGGCGAAACTATTCTCGAATAGTCATCTTCTTAACCGTAATAGCATATTGACTGTATTATGTCATTGATGTCATTGCTTGTATATAGAAATATCATTGACGTTGTCTTTTACGAAAGTATATAGATGATTCTCGATCATACTCCCTTGCATCGATTTGAGGAGCTATATGGCATAAAATCATAATCTCCACCACGAGGTGCTGCCAGGGCCTCCCTATCGTAGTCTTATTAACACATCACATCAAAATCCGCCTGCGACTTGTAACGTCTATAAGACATATTCACAGCCTGGCTAATGGATTCGACTAAAAGGCTAAAAGCACCATGCTTACAATACTCACCTAGGGATCGAATTGTCAAGATTCTCATTCGGAAATATCCTAATCTAACTTTACCTTGAGAATGGTTAGATAAAAGCTTGTATTGAAGGTAAACACTTGCGTAGGCATCATTGGTGCAACAATATTTTCTACGGAGAAACGATCGAAACATCAATGATAACTACGGAAGGAGGAGTGCCTTAGTCGATTTAGATCCTTAACGCCACCAAGCCACTACGATGGAATCGAAAAGAAGGTCCGCTTTCTCATGGATGCGCCGATTCCTTTTTGAGAATGAGGTAACAGCTGGTAGGGATGAGAAAGGAAGGGATTGCATAAAATGAGAGCCACTCTATGCCGTGGTTGCAAGCTATCGATGCTAGCCTGAAGATAAGCTTGCCTGGATCTTGGATCTATAATCTAAATCGCTTTCTATTACGCCACATCATTGGGTTTGTGATCGTGAATTTCAATAACGAACTAAATCCTGTCACTTTGACATCAGAGTAGCGAGCAAAAGTTACATTGGATCTACGCCGCTGACAGCCATCAAATCTTGTGTTATAATCGGACAGTTAGATCTTGCACCACTATGTTTTGGCTGTTCCAGGTGGCGTATTCTGTATCCTTGCCAGAACTGATCGCCGCTTGCCGAGAGTCCATCAACCACAAAAGAGTTAAATGAACGACACGAAATGTCGACTTTCTGTGGCCCGAATTGCTTCCGTACGGTTGTTAGCTTTATGACTCATACATCTAATTTCATTCATACCCCTCATTTGATCACAATCACTGCTCAATGATGTCTCAAGAGAATCATACAAAAACTCAAGCCATGGTTATGATAAGTTTCGCGCCTCGTGACGCACACCCGAGTAGTTTATAGTCTGAAACTCGCCTTGTTGGCATCAGCACCATGTGAACAACCTATCTGGTAAGTATAAATAGGGCTTTTGCTCCATTGCTGCTGTCAATTGTAGATGTAACCAGATTATGATCATAATTCTTCTAGCAGAATTTGACGCCAATATTCTCACGCTACGTAATATCTGAACACAATGTCTACCGACTATACACCAGATATCAATATGGAGAGCACACTTCAAGATGATTCATACACATCTACTCAGATGAACGAACCAATCCCAGTGCAAGGAGACAATAAGCAAGTCGAAGATCCTGTGAATGCATCATCAGCTGACTCCGATGAACAATTGGGTAAATGTCACGTATCCGAAGTGTATAATCATCGTGAATATTGTGGGCTAACTCAATCTTCAATGCAGAACAGGATGACAGGGAGGCTATTGACGAGTCGAATATTATTGATGAGCGTACTAGAGGTGCTAAACCGAGAGAAACATATAAAGAGCCGGGGGATAAGATAACTGGGTTAGAATAGGGATGTTTGGTAATGTCAATTAACCTAAAGGTGTGCGAAAAGTCTCGTGAGCACTGCCTTTGATGCAGAGAGACATGTCTTCTTCGCATTAGATATCTCGATTTATTCATATATGCTAATTCATTCGCCTTATTATTATATATCAATTAAGTATCACTCCACAGCAGCCGATGCTTTTGTCTCAAACCTTGACAATGTATCAATATTCAGGTATCATTACTTAAACAATAGCAACCAAAAGCAACTGACGCCCTTGTTCATTCATAGTTGGGAGTGACAAACGCCAGTCGCATCTTTAGTTGCAAATTGAAATTATTGTATACATGTTATAGTAGCTATGATGAAGCTCATTTAGGCTTCTGTCCACCCATCATTGATTCAACTGTGCCTCCAATAGCCCCCTCCGTGGTGAACTGCTTGCCAATAACTCCCTCCTTATCTAGAGGGCCACCAATACTCTGCCCCATCCCTCCTATCGCTCCCTGCTCTAAATTGTAGAAACCGAAAAGTAAGATTCCAACTCACAAAATGTCTAAGATATGCACGACGCATCGGCCAAAGATTCATGCAGCTACATACCTGTGAATTGCTTGCCAACAGCACCTTCTTTATCGAACATCTTTGGTTTGGAGTCGCTGGCACCAATTGCTGGATTCGTGTCTGAAGCAGCGTTTGTTCCTGGCGCAGGTGCAGATGCCATGATGACTGAACGTATATTGGCACTTTATGAAGATCCGATGGGTTAGAACTCCAAAACTGGAAATACTTATGTAAGGTATTTGTATATTTCTGAGAATATGGCAAGGAAAGATGTTTAAAGTAATTATTGGGAAACAACCTAATAAGAGGTCATTTATAGTGCGGGTTATGGTTACGCTGCCCAGAGCTGACTTAGTCCGGGTAGACATCAATTGCAGTAGCCCAATCGTCATCGCGAGACATGATTGGGGGGCTTGCAACATCAGAAACTTAATAGGTAAGTATGATATCATCGATAGCATTGATGTTTGCGCGCATTCTTATATATCAGCATTGCAAGTGATGACCTTTTAATATCCTCTTTAGGTCATTATTACGATTGTAGGGCGTCAACCTTTTGAATGGCAATCATGTGATCATGATCGTAAACATTAAGTTAAATAATATCTAACTCCGAATACCATCAGGTTGATTTTGGTAATGAAATTTTGAGTACCGATATTGAGAAAGTACTAAAAGTACAATTATACACTACATCCACTGTGTCTAACATCGATAACCGGGGAAACTTTGCCAACTGGTGGCTAATTTTCCTGTCCTAAATGACAAAGCAACGGCACTCTACTAATGCATCTCACACGACTCGTAGACCGAAGCAAGAGGTTCGGGAACTTCCTCTCAAAAGATGGTCAGGACAGCCACAAACAGTGATTTCGCCAGCATGGATGCGGACAAGCAGCTGCATGCTCAAATTCACGGGATATTTGCCTCGCAGCGCTAATTCATGTTAGCGCGAAGTTTCATTTAAGGGCAGCCAAGCTTCAAGCTTCAAGTGGTTCTTCGGAGTTGGGCAGCGAGCGGATTCGGGAGGCTGGTCGGAAGGGCGGCTCTAAGTGATAAATTTAACGCGATTCCATAGAGCAACAGTAGTACACAAATTGTATGCCTGTGCATTATTATCGTAATGTCTCATCCTACAGCTGCCTAACATACATTCTGCTCTAGTACTCCCCAAGCATGAGTGATGCATCGTACCTAGGCTCAAGACATTTCTATTCTCTATTGCACACGCCCCCCTGAAGCTCGTCTAGTTCGAAATAGAGAACATCAGCTTACAAGCATAAAAATAACAGCTTCTTCACCTAATTTCATTACTCATCTACACAATCTAATCCTGCCAAATCTGGCGAGAAGTAAGACCAACTTGCGTATTCTCGCAAAAGCGCCGCCCAATCTAGAAGAATAGCTTAGTTTGCAGTAAACTAAGCTTTAAGAGCAATACGGCCTAGATATGGCGCTTGTTTTATGGAACTAGGCGCCTGAAATAAGAATATTTCCGCTCCACCTTAGATCGCATTATATCATCCTATTGTCAAGGCGGAATATCACAATTCTCCGACATCGTATGTAAGCGACAAAACTCAGTTGTACGGCACTCTAAGAAGGGATGATTTCTTTTTCAGTGTCATCTATGACAGTTTTTTTTTCGGTTGAATATGTCACTGGGCTTAATTCTGCGTGTATAAAGAATATGGCTGCGCCAGCAATGATACTGTCATACGGTAGACCTGACTCAGAGAGCTGAGACATTCGAAACTCGTCTAGCGAAAGGCTGAGTAGCGACATATTAGGTCTTGACCTACGAATTTTTGATACCTTTCGATTCAACCATAAATACTTTGTTAGAGTGAGGAATTAGGCCATAAAATATAAAAAGAACGGTGTAAGTGATTGTGTTATACTTGTATTGACTAGACCAAGTGCTTTGGCCAAGTAGAGATCCTTATCATCGTAGTTGCTTGCTACGGGTAGAATACGCTTCATGCTTGCACTTGTACTGAGTGCGATTACACTTTGAGGTCTCCGCCTATATTTTTAGTAGTAGCTCAATATAAATGTAGGTATGTCAGGATTACTGGCATGGGGACATGCCCAAAGTCCAATGTTCCAGCCGTATTTAACGGCATTCTACCAAAAACGATCGTGTGATAGGTCTTGTGCCTCTAAGTAGTGTTTCGCACGATGATAAGAATCAATCACATTTTCCTAAAGCAGTAAGTAAATTATTAAATCGTTGATCCCTGGCCTATCTCGTTTCAAGTCGCACTTGGTGTTCCAACGAGTTCTGGAGGCGGCTAAGCAAAGAAACTTCCATGTCGATCGTTTTCATTGATACCTTTACTAAATTCTCAAAGACTAAATGAAAACTCCAATGAACTTGGGAGATATTCTTAGGTTATTCGTCGATCATCTATGATACATTAAAGCTGGTGGTATTGCATGTAGTCCCCAAGGTTGCGGTCGTGTGAATATCTACCGACGCCATTGAGATTCCAATCACTGGGAATTTGGAAAAGTCTTACTACAGTAGTATATAGTTTGCACATATTGCAGTTCTAATAAAGGTCATGTTCACAAAAAGGGCACGCTAGGGAGCGAAGTAAGGGTCGTCCGAATCAAGCCGCATATGCTGAATGGCGCTCCTTGGGATCTTACCAACGTATTAAAGTTGTATACATAATCCCGTATCACTATTAAATAAAGATATAACTTCTATTTGAGGAAATGGCCATGCTCTATACAGGCCGAAGCGATGCAAAATTTTTCTTGCCCAGAATGGAAAACGGACCCTTACAGCTCATAGCAGGGTATGGATTACGGCATGTGTAATCACATGTATTGATACAAGCATAGCGTGCTGAGAGTGGAGCAGCTCGTAATGTAAGTATAGTTTCATTGGTGATAGTAAAAAATGTGCGGCAGCGGGAAAGGTTTAACATTTTATCTGATGTAGTGATCTCCGACATGTACCATGACAAGTGTGTATATATTTTTGAATCGATCTTTACACAGATGTTAACACTTAGCTTAAAACGTGAGGTCAATATTAAACTGTATAGAAAATGCTCTAAGGTGTCTACTTTATTCGTATATTACAATATATATATATATATATATATATCACTATACAATTTATAATATCTTCACCTTATTAAGCTTTGCGGATGTTTTAAAGCAGGAAAAAAAATATTATAAAATTTTTATTATAAATTCTTAATCCAGCCATCTTTATTTTTAATACCTCATGTACTTCTTACATGTTACTGCTGGAGGTCGCCGATATCCTCGAGACTGTGTCCGATAGGCGTGGGTCAATTGCAACAATGGAGTCGCATCTCCACCGCTCAGATTAGTATTTCGTATTAGCCATATTCTCCTAAACGCTTCTGCGCCATATAAGTTCATGTAGGAGAAGTAGCTTCACGCATATACCTGGTAGGTTACAGAACCCAGGACATGTATGTTGGCTATTCAACCAACATGCCGAATAGCCAAGCTCGCCCGCCTACTTTGGTAATTTTTTGGAGGGTTCGTTCCTTTATTAGCAGGGCTGCCTTGGTTGCCCAGTTTTAGCGCTGTGGCGCACAGAACTACAGACCCGGAGCATGCCGACCGAAGCTTTACGGCGAGGCGGCCGTCCAATAGGATCTCAATTGCCTAGTTGGGGAATTTTCATTCTTGATTCCCCCCCCCCCTTCGACAAAGCTGCTTTGCGACATAACCAGTATATATAAGATGGTGTCGCCATGCAGCCGATCAAATCTTGCATTACGTCCGTGATTAAGCCGCTCATTGGGAATTTGTCACTACGCAGCAGTCCAAAACTCACGTTAAGCTCGCACCAGTTCACACAGGAGTGTTACAATGGCAGGAGTAAAGAGCAATGAGCTTCAGGCTCTAGTCTTTGGAGCATCTGGTATTACTGGATGGGCCATAACTAACGCGGCTTTGTCATACCCAACATCCACCACGTTCAAGAGGGTGGTGGGCCTGACAAACCGGCCATTGAGTGTGAAAGAAGCAGCGCTCCCCCAGGATCCGCGATTACACTTGTATCCCGGCCTTGACCTCTCCCAGGATTCTCAAACCATTACTGAGTATTTGAGCAAAATCGACAATATCGGAGAAACCACTCATGTTTATTTTGCATGTAAGTCTACCTGGCCCTGAAAATATTTCTAGCGCCGGCGGCTAAAAAGCTGGGATCACAAGCATACGTCCATCGCGGATGGGGAGTGGAGGACTCTGAGAAACGCAAAAAGGAGAATGTGGATTTCATTGCCAATGCAGTGGCTGCAGTCGAGAACGTCTGTCCGAAGCTGCAGTTCTGGACATTCCCAACTGGTGGAAAGGTATGTGGCCATACAGACTACCGCTTATTACCTGCTCTGGAGCTAAGATTATGTTAGTGGTACGGGCTCGAATTTGGGGATGAAGTGAAAAGAGAAGTTCCTCTCAAAGAGAGTGCGCCGAGAGTTCCACCCCCTCATGGAGACCATATTTTCTACTATCCTCAAATTGACACGCTGGCCAAGCTCTCCGAAGGCAAAAACTGGAATTTTGCAGACATTCGCCCAGATGCAATTGTATTTCCTCATTTTCAACTTGTGCCTTGGGCAAATTTCCGAAGACTAACACATAAACGCAGATTGGCTTTGTCCCAAATCATAACGCGATGAACCTAGCGGAACCCATTGGCCTTTATCTCTCCCTATGGAAATCCCTTTCACCTTCTACCGAGGTCCCATTCCCAGGAACCGAAAAGGGGTGGACTCAACTCCATTCTGACATTTCTTCTAGCCAGCTTGCGCGATTCCACGTCTACGTTTCCCTAAACTCAGAAAAAACGGCAGGCAAGGCATTCAACATTGCAGATGTAGACGCGGGGACAACGTGGCAGGACACATGGCCTGGTATCGCAGCTTATTTTGGGCTAAAGGGAGTGGGACCTGTAGCAGAAGGAGAATTGAGCGGTTATAAATGGGTCGAATCACAGAAAGACAAATGGGATGCCTGGACGAAAGAGAATGGCTTGAGGCCAAAGGTGCTTGAACAGACGGGTTGGGATTTCATGACCATCGTAACGTGAGTACTTATTAAAACAAACTGCGGTTCATCTAACTGACACAGATATTTAGTGGCACGTACTCGGAAAGGGATCGCAACTTCGACCTCACTGAGGCGAGGAGAATCGGTTTTACTGACAAGCCCGATCACATCAAGAGCTACCATGTTGTTTTCGACAAAATGAGAGCCGAGAAGATCCTCCCATAGGGTAAATGGTCAGGTAGGGCTTCATGGAAAGCGGGCGTCGAAAATTATATAATGGCTATTACAGAATTGGTCAAGAATTCTGTGTCAGAGCGTTGGGCTTATATGCAGCATCTGGCGTAAATTAAACATATTGACAAGTTCAAGAATTAGTGCCCCTTGAACGTGTAAATCATTTAAGAACATGATACATGATACCAAGTTGGTTATAAGATGCAAATTAGGGCGTATACGTAAGATGTCCAAAATTACGGATAGTTATTGTTAACATTTACCTGAGAGACCCAGAGCATATGTAAGATTATGCTACTGCATTGAACCCTTCCAAATTAGTATGTGAATATAACGGGGAAGCGATTGAATGGCTTTGCTATATCCAATGGGGAGATATTGATCTGGCTAGTGCCCATTAACAACAGCTAACCGTCCGCCCTCTTCCCCAGCTTGGAACTGAACAAGCAATCCATGAGATTCCTTTTCCAAAGCGCTCTCACTATCATCAACACCCGACATGCTGGGCCGTTGGTCAAACCCGCGATAAAAAACTGCCAGTATGTTATTCGTCCACGGTATCAGACCTGCCCTTCTCGTTCTCAGCATAACCAGCACCAAAAACACTAACGTCGCTATCAATTCGAATGCAGGTAAAATGAGCCATTCCCAAGTCACCACCGCATGACTAATTGGAGAAAAGGCATCCCCATGCACAGGTGCTGGTTGGTAAGATGCACTCCGCAGACTGAGAGACATGCTGTTGGCCAGGTTGTCCATCAAATCCTGAAATCCCGTCTCTGAGCTATTCATGGCTGTTCGTACCATTCGCATCAGATCGGAAGAAGAGCTAGACTCGAGCGAGTCGATCAGGCCCGAGTCCGCACTGCCAATAAGCAGAGAGTTGAGCCAGGTAACTGTTGCATCTTTCGAGGAACCCAAAACTCGAAATTCGTCTGGTGAATTAGGAGGACGAAGTATGTAATGCTCATTATCAGGAACTATGCCCTGCGTTTCGTTTGTCCATGTCGAAATGACAGTCTCATGCAGCGTGCCGTTGGCAAAGGTTGCGCTCATGTTTCGAACGCAGAATTGCAACATGCACTCATAAGCGACTGGGGCCGCGTATATCTTCCCTGTCATCGCCCCGGACGAGTATTTGGTCTGATCTGGCTGTTCAGGGATCGTACCAGGAGCGGCAGCAACCGCGAGAACGTCTATGAGTATAGATCCATTGTGCGAAAACGCGATGGAGTCCCATTCCTGCACAGAATTTGTCGTGGAGACGTTGAGTATGCCATTTGAGATGGAAAAGTCGACCTGGTTGTTCATCTGCGTCGGCCGAATACCTGTCAACCCAAAACCGTTTGGTAAAGTATATACATCTGTGTCGTAAGCTTCGTCGGTAAGCTTATGGGGAACGATGCGGATTTTCTTTCTCTTCAGCTGCGACGTTATGTTCTTGCACGTATTACAAAACCCCAACGTCTGGTAAGAGCTCCATGTACAATTGCCAGTGCTGCAATGTGCCGTTGCAGTGAAATTAGTACCGATAGGGCTGTAAAAAGCCAGGTAGGGGGTTGAGGTGAGTACGGAATCGACACCGTCTGTGGTGCCTCCGTTTCCAATAGACACCGAACCAACGCCATTCATATACCGCGCAATGGGTATCAGGGCACTTCCGGAAACTGGGTAAATGGTGTCATAGTCTAGGGCCTGCTGGACGAAAGTTCCGATGCCCAGGGCAACGATGACGATGAAAGCACCCAAAGACGCTAACAGGCTATAAAAGAAATATGAAGGTGAGAAACGGCCATCATCACGAGCATTTACGCACATCAACTACTTACCCTCCTCTGCGAGTTGCAATGAGAACTACACTCCCCCAGGCCCCTCTGCTGGCTTCATCTATCGTGTGAAAGTCGGCCAACGGTGTCTTTTGCAGCGCATTCAACCATTTCAACTGGCCAACACCTGCTCCAAAAGATATTTCTAGGAAAAACTCGCCAATTGCCGACAAAAGTTGAATGATGGCGCCAGGAGTAATACCAAACTTCAACTGCGGCAAGGGATGGCCATCAAAGACCTTTAACGTAATAACAAGAGCAATGAAGCAGCAAGCACTGGCGATCCAGCTGAGAATTTCTATCCTCCAGGCTATTGAATGCCATTTTGAGCGCAGACGCTGACGTGGCGGCACTCGCGCTTTCGGAGGTTTCTCTGGTTGTGGTGCTATTTCGGAGGTAGAGCTGTGGTCGGGATTAAGAGGGGGCTCCTCATCCTCGCTGCGGTCTCCGAGAAGGCGCTCAAGGTGTTGCTCGGAAGGAGGTGGAGCTTCCAAGTCGTGTAACTCATGATTTGTCTCCATATTTGGCTTATATAACTATGCAATCCTTGTTGCAACTCTCTCTCTCTCGCACAGACTGGTTTAATGAATCATTGAGCGAATACAATACAACGAGAATTAGAAGAGAAGATGGGCCAGAACGGAATAAATGCAACATTTATTCGTGCCGAAGTCCGTGTTATAGGTCACACTCATGGGATGTCGATTGGATGCTGGATAAGGAATAGGGAATAGGAACAAATAACAAACTAATGGCTAAATGAACCTAGCTCTGATCCTTCGCGTTGAGAGAACCTGTATTATAGCAACGCTGCAGGTTTCACAGTTTCAAAAGTGGCAAATCGAGTAAGCCAGCTGCGTGAGGATGCGCTGGCTAGCCTATTGTGATGATGCAGTCTCCTTGTTTAATATATTTGGCGCCGGCATGGCGTGTGATTGTACGCGCCGTTCGGACTTGTAGCTCCTATCTACCACGATCGCTTAATAGCGTGTTGTTCAAAGAAGATCCTTGTCGTTATTCAACCAGCATTAATGTTGCTATACTTTAATCGCCGAACTTGCTCCTTTACAGATGGTGTCTTGTCATTTGATGCTGTCAATCTCGGCTGCAAAGGACAACCGTGACCGAGTTGGCTCTTTGATACGTGAAGCCATATTGCAGATGAGGCAAAGGTTCGCGACAACAAGTGGAAAAATCAGCGCGGCTTTCAGCACAAGATGTAAACCACGTATGGCGAAAGTATAGTCTACAAGTTCACAACCAGATGCTTAACATAATAGTCGTGGATTATTTAAGCCATATCTTGGCCATTTCTCGATCGAGTTCTTGGCGGACGCTAATCTCGATGGCGTTTATTTTTCGCGGTTGGCTTTAATTCGGATAGTCGCTGCTGCTTACACGTACTGATGGGGACAGAAAGAGAGCATGGGGTGATCAAATTGCCTATTAGCGCCTCATGATAAAACAATAAATAAACTATTCTAATTACATATAATTATTTACATTCTTAATTGGCACATCACACAAGCCTAGATTTTGACTTTACTTAGTCCCTTACATAATATACCTTATTATAACATGTGTCTCATGTCTTTGAGTTTTAACCGCCTTTGGAATATGCCCACCCCTCTTTAGTTGTTCCTCGGCAATCCGTAGTCCAGTTCCCAACAGTTAGTCAACGCTTCTAGCGGCTATGGGCTGTTTTAGTGTCAACACAAGCACACAACTGACATTTCTATAGGTAGTTTTCTAATAACTAGAGAATGCAAAATGGTAATTCAGCTGTTGTCCTGGCGTTAGCTTGGACTTGGACTTGGACTTGAGAACGTTGAGGTTGGGAGATTCTCTTGATTATGTATTTATTCATTTATTTTTGTTTGCTAATGATACAGAGACCCGATTGAAGTCTATGGCAGCTGCAGAACAGCGGGAAAAGGGAGCTCAATAAAAGCTAAAAATATCTTCTTTTTTTTCTTCATCCAAACCTCCCCGTGTTTTCCGTTTACCATCCTCACAAAGCCCAGCCCAACCAAAGCCACCTGTAGCAGCGAGCCAGTCCCGTGGTCCTCCTCTCCCTCCGACGTTTATCTCGTTAAAAACGCTGAAGTGTGTGCTCGAAAAACATTATTGTAGCAGCTTATTTGCCGGGGTTCTCCTGGACGAAAGCAACACCCTTGGCAATGTTCTTCTTGAGGTCGCCCAGGCAGGCCTCGACGAGCTTCTCCTCGTTGGCGTCGATCTTGCCAATGGGGAGGATCTTCTCAACACCGTTGGGGCCGAGCTCGACGTTGGTGCTGAAGAAGTCAATGCCCTGGTCCTTGTACAGAGGAGAGTCGACAAAGGTGGGCTCAACGACGCCCTTCTCGCCGTCGGCGGCGCGGAGGAGAGCATCGGCCATGCGGGCACCGGCGAAAGCCATGGAGAGGGTGGCGGAACCGGCACCGTCCTTGGCCTTGACGACCTCGTCACCACCGAACTGGACGCGCTTGACGAGCTCGGCGTTGGAGGAGAGGTCGGGGTGGTTGCTCTGGGAGAACAGAGGGACGATAGTGACACCGGAGTGGCCACCAATGACGGTGATGTTCTCGTCCTTGGGGTCAGTGTTCTTGATCTCGGAGACGAAGCGGCTGGCACGGACGACATCCAGGGTGGTGACACCGAACAGCTTCTTGGGGTTGTAGACACCGCGGGCCTTGAAGACCTCAGCGCAGATGGGGACGGTGGAGTTGACGGGGTTGGAGATGATGAGCAGCTTGGCCTCGGGGGCGGACTCGGCAACGGCCTTGGCGAGGTCGCGGACGATGGAGGCGTTGGTGTTGAAGAGATCGTCACGGGTCATGCCGGGCTTTCGGGGGACACCGGCGGGGATCAGGACGATGTCGGAGCCCTTGAGGGCGGCAGCGAGGCCGCTGGGGGTGGGATCATAGCCCTTGACAACGGACTTGGTGTTGACGTGGGAGATGTCGGCAGCGACACCTGGAGGGGGGTAATCTGGTTAGCCATGGCCAGCAGTGACAGCAGTAGCAGCAGCAGTAGCAATGCCTGAGACAAAATTTGCGAGGTTTATATGAAATTGGCGCACGAGGGCCATCGCAGCGGGTGTGGGCTGGGCTTACCGGGTCCGCCGCGGATATCGTACAGAGCAAGCTCGGTGACGCGGGTGTTGAGCTTGAGGAGGAGAGAGAGAGGCTGGCCAATGCCACCGGCAGCACCGAGGACGGCAACCTTGGACAGCTAGAAGGACACAAGAAGCAGCTGGTCAGCACAAGCCGTTGGGCATTCAGAGTTTTGGAATTGCGGCCAAGCAAGGCGGGGGAGGTCGGGAGCAGCTCGTACGTTGCGGGCAGAGGCAGAGAAAGCCCTGCGCTGGATTGTGGAGCCCAACATTTTTGTCTAGAGAGAGGTTCGAGGGGGAATTGGTCCAAGAGTGGCGGAGATGGTGCAATGCGCTGAAGATGGCGAGGTGGTTTCTTTTATACTCGCTGCGATTAAATAAAGAAGCGCAAAACTAGCCATGGCTCAACGGTGGCTATAATCCGGGATTTCCCGGCTAAACTGCTGGATCCGTCCAAGGCCGCGCCTTAGTGCATGGCCGCGCCCAATGCGGCTGTCGGACAGGCACAGGTACATGCTGGTGCCCCAGCAGCGGACCGGCCGGAGGGAGAAAATGGCAGTCGGGGCTGTTTGTTGCTCAGTTGCGTCCACGGCCGCTGGAGTGAGAGGAGATGGGCCATTGTCAGTGGATCTGACTGCCGTTCGGCCGGTCTGTCCGTCTGTCTGAGAGAGGGGAGCAGATGACTCTCGGAAGCCGGGGCCGCGAGCACATGTCTATGTGCCTGCATCCATAGGTAGAGAGAAAGGTGCTCGTCAGATGCGATCAGTTCCAGGTTACGCTTCTACACGATACGTTATTGCTGGGTAGCCTTTAAGGTACCCTATTCTGTATGCTATACCTTAGCTCACGTTACTAAAGCTGTCTGATCAGCAGTAGCAAAGGCTAGCATTTGGTTTAGCACCGTTACTAACAACAATTGAACCTTTTAATGTGGGTGACGAGCTTTGCGAGTTAATACCCGCCCGGCACCATATAATGTGGAAAATCGTATATCCAAAGTACAATCATGCTTCTCCCTCCATTATCAGGGCATTCCCAACTGAACAGCACGTCTTTGTTACACTTTTCATGTTTAAGCCCCTATATGAATAGGAACCATGACAAGGTAGTCTTCGTAACAGGACTCTTCACTACATATAACTTCCAATTGTATACCAATCCGTTGGGGTTGGAATCTCCAGTGGAACAAGAGAACTATAACGAAGAGTCTTGATTCAAGGTGAGAGCAAGGAAATGGCTCGAGATTTCCACGCGACACCGCACCCCACCATGAAATATACAATTGGATGTTAGCTGTATTGGTCTGTAATACAATCATTAATGGATAATCAGAACACAACGCTATATTAAATCGCTACCTGCAAGGAGCTGCATGTAAATACTTGTAACAGTTTCTCTCACATCATACTCCACCGCTGACGATTATAAATCTTCATGCCTTGGAGCCTTGAGCACAACCTTCCCATGAGCGTGCCCCGTCTCGCCCCTTCCTGAAGGCTACTCTTACCTCCCCGAAGTCGTAAACAGAGTCCATGACTGGCCTCAAGTGGCCTTCGTCGATCAGGTTCCCAATCCTCGTCAACTGCTCCATATCCATATCGATAATAAAGAAGATCACCTTCTACTCAGGCTGCTTATCAAAGGCAAGGGCTTCTCTATCCTTGATGCTGATAAACATGCCGTCTTTGCTAAGAACCTTCAAAGCCTGTTTAGCTGTCTCGCCGCCTACGGAATCGAATACAATTTCGACATTTTCCAAAACCTCGTCCGTCTTGACTCGTTTGTGGCCCAGAATTTGGTCGACTTAAAACAGCTTGCCAAGCTCAACGCTCTCTTTAGATGACGTTGTGCCGATAACTGGAGCACTAACCATCTGGCCAGTCCGAACAGCCCAGATCGCAGTTGAACGTCGATGCTTCGCTTGGTGGGGAAAGCCTTGCTCACGAAAGCCCAAACCTCGATACCGACCTAAAGTCCGCTATCAGCTGAGACCTTGGGCCCTACTTTGCTACAACTCTAGAGTAATCTTCCCCGAGGATGGGGGACTTGTATGTACCGTCTTCCAACTTGTAAATGTCCCAGTAGAGCTCCATCCAGATGACGCTGGCAGCTTCTATTTTGACCAAAACTTCGTCGTCATCGATCTATGGTACGTCTTCGTGAACGAACTTGAGCTTCTCAGTGCCGCCTGAAGGGTAACGGCGTATAGCTTGCATTGTGTACAGAGTGATGAGGTGCAGTCTAACACTCGAAATTATACACTTATTCGTACCTACACCAATGTGATGCGTGTATTTCAACAGCAGATTCTGCTAAATCCATATAGATCAACTTTTTTTTTTTTTTTTTTTTTTTTTTTTTTTAATTTTGCGTTTTGAAAGCTGTTAGATTCACTATATCGAAGACTGCTTTAACTCAACGCCGCCCTAGGGCTGCGTGAACATCTTAGTTTCTTGCTTCACACCGTTGCTCTTGAGAAGACAACATGGACCAATATATATGTATGCAAGCCGCCCAACTTTAAGGGTATATGCAAGTTAGCCAATCTCAGTTTCCGAATTGCATTTATCAATCTATTTCCTCAAGTTCAACGGTAAATTAAATAGATTTATGAGCTAAAAAAAGAGGAAAAGAAGAGAATGTTGCTAATCATTTAGATAAGAAAACAGCACTAGGCATATGAATAGGTTTTTTTTCCCCTTTTCCTTTTTTTTCTTCCGCTACCGATTTCACACTCTCAAGTTTAAGATAAACTTCAAATCTCACAAGCCCAGCCCACAAGTTGGCAAATATGACCGCTGCAGCGGCCTCTTGCCATTAGCATCATAGTTTCTAGCCATCGCCACTCAAATTGCGCTGTAAGGAAGTCGAATCAGCTAGTGTAACTCGCGATGTCGTTTAGCTATCATTGCTTCTCGCTAGTAAAATATTAGCATGTGATGATGAAATGTAGGAACCTCCAATATTAGTGAAAAAGAAAGGTATAATAGCCTACCAAGACAGCTACATTATGAATACATAGTAATCATTAAGATGGAATCACCACGACGGTATTCGAAGGGATCAGTGCCCAGAACTGTCCAGTGTGATCACCACTGGATAGAAAAGCCACAAACGTGTCTGAAGTAACATCCAAATACTCATGAGGTCCCGTGAAGGTGTTGCTTAGCCTGTATGGATAGTGCTGCCCTGCTGGCGAGTCCTTGAATTCCCAATATTGGCCCGAATAATCTCCTGTCCCAGTCATGTGGAGCCCAGTGCTTTGCACTCCATTAGTATTGATGACATCAAGGGACTGCTGCACACCGTTGGCAATAGTGTGAAGACGGTAATGGTGAGGCAGAAGTGAGGGAGTGAGGAACCAGAGGCTGTCGGATGTAACATTGGTTGCGCTGACCATGGCAAGGGAGCCATCAGATCTCTGAGAAAGAATCTTGGCTGCAGCCGTGAAGCTATTCTTCAGGACATAGATTAAGCTGGTATTGATTGCCGCCATCTTGTAGTTGTTGGTGCTGCTGTATCTCTAAGATAGGTCAAGCTCTAATATAGGTCAAGTTGAATAAAGTTCTCGTAGAACAGAGTGGTGAGATGAACGAACTTTATAGTTGAAGAAAAGCAGCTATTACTTGTGAATGGCGTATGTTGAGGCTGCATGACTGCATCAAAATGTCATATGAACAGCGCACAAGACATATTATGCGACTATTGCTCCGGCCTATTTTGGCTTCTCACGACTAATACACGTTTTGCAATGCAATACGAGAACCGGCGGCTTTATTGATTTCCTTGCAGTGATCCTGTCTGACGCCTAGCACAATCTTGCAACCTCACTGGCTCATTTGGCGAAGGGGCGTCTGCAAAGGGAGGCTATGCATTCTGAGCTAGAATACTTGCCGCCTAATTTGTCTCTCTGCCGCGCAGGGCACAATCTAGAACAGTGTCTACCGTAATATTGGATTTCAGGCGCTGAGGCATTTTTACTATTACCAGTAAGGTTATATGCACTGACCCCTTACACAAAACGTAATAAATTAAGGTATGTGGTTAGTTAGGCGTAATCTATTTCTATTCGGTGAATGGTGAGATATAACGATAGCGCGTGTTTTATTTCGAGCTATTTCATCGCACATACGTAAGTTTTGTGATATGCTCCGAGCGTGATAAAATACAAAATAGAACGGTCTTTCGATGGTACACATATAAAATGAATTTCTGCGCGGTCCTATTTTTGCCTCTGGCTTGATGTGATCATTATTGGATATCTTAAAAAAAATGTCTGAGATAAAAAAAAAGTTTGACCTCTAGTAGATAGAGAAAGAAAAAAGAAATGTCAACCAAGGGTTATACATCGAATGGTAGGGAGAGACATATCCCATGCCTCCTTGAATATCCTGCCGGTACCCAAGCGACTTGCAATCTGACGCTGGTCATCCCATTCAACCAGCATAACATTATACATTTCCGCCTCGTCTGAATACGTCACATTTCCAGTAATGGAGTTAAACCCCTTTGCCAACGCCCCAGAAAGAACTACAAACTCATGCTTCCCTTGCATAACTTCGTTGGGCCCCTCGCCGTTGAGGATCAGGTATCCTGCGAGTTGACGCTTGCTGCCCTTGGTGCAGTGGATATGCGCATGGATCGGCTTTCTCACGGATGAATTCATCTGGAGTGATTCTGGGTCGCGCCACTTTCTGTGAACTATAGTAAAGAATGAACAGCTCGTCCAGAATTGGAGATATGGGCCTTGCATATTGGGCAGCTCGACTTCAGGTCGCGTACCAGAGTGCCCTCCGACAGACTCGAATATAGGATCCCAGCAGAGCGCATTGGTGCTGAGATTGCAGCCGAGAGGTACTTCATCAATGCCCATGCCGACGCCGTTTGCTAGACGAGGTGCCGTCAGTCCATCTTTGACATACCACTTTGTAGTCAATTCTATCCATTCTTTCCCATCAGGGCCAGGAGCATCATATTCTGCCTGCCCAATCCAGCCAGCCCACGACCAGCTAGGAAAACGTGTTTGTTCACTTTTCCGACGAGTTTGTAAGACGGACGGAGTCCACAGCAACGCTATATCCATATAGCTCTCAGGAAGAGCAGCCAGGAAATTGTTTCCCATGTGGTGACTTAATTGGCTCGAGATTCCCTCAAATGCGTTTATGATGTCGTCAGAAAAAGTGAGCCGCCGTTTAGTATATTCCTTGACTGCCCTTGCATATTCGGTAAAGACGACGGGACGACACAAGGGAGCCGGCACATAATCCTCTTGATTTCCATCCCACTGCTTCTCAATGTGCTGCAGCGGAGCCTTGTCTTGTGCCCAACGAGGCGACAGCTGTTCGAGCCAGTGTACTTGTTCGGCCTCGGCTTTAATCAAAGCTGGTGCATCCTCACAGTAACGTGCATTTCGGCATTGCCAAAAGACGCTGCCTTGGTAGAATAGTAGCAAACGCCTAGACAGTAACTGCTCCTGAAAAGTCCATCCCCTAGAGCCCCAGACTGAACCGGCTGGATCCAAGGGGAGGTCAATAGCGGTGGCAATGGAAAAGCCTGGCCAAATATCTTCATGCAGCTGATTTATGTTTCGAGTCCGTGTTCCAGGTCGAACGCCTGGAAGACCGGCGTTTGCATCGATGCCATCAGCTGCAACAATAGTAAGCAAGGCAGCCCCGTAAACCCTATCCATCGACTTGATATGTATGGCTTTGTCAGATTCGTCTTGGTTGATACAGAGTTGGTCGACCCAGAGGTACCTTTCGCCCAGACCCTTCACCACCGTAACGGCGTCCGTGATGGTCTGGCCAACGGGAGTTTCTTGAGCGAATAGACTGCCCTTTTCAGCCAAAATAGGCGCGGTCTGGCTATTCAACTGTAAATATTGAGTCCGGCCCCATACATAACTTAAAGCAACATATTGACAGCTGGGTGGCGGTACTACAATGCACTCATCCACGACATCAATTAGGCGAAACGATGATTCTGGGCGAGAGTGCGTTGGGCTGGAAAAGGCGCCGCATTGGCTATTATGCTCGCGTTCGCACTTGGTGACCCATTTGCGGCAGATATCGAGGTCAATCTTATCCTGGTCAATGCGATGATATAACGACTCTGGCAATGACTCTGATAAAGGGACGAGGCGGAATGTAAGTTCCTTATCCATATCCAGAGGCGACGGAGGTGGATATATAGTAACGTGCAGAAAGCGGCTTCCCAGCTCTGCCGCGGTGTCTTGAAAATGCTGTAAAGAGAAGGAAAATGTAACCTGTACTCCCTCTCGATGGTCAACAACTTGGTGAGGCGTGAATTTGCGTGCTGTCTGCGCGAGTAGTCGACAAAACGCGCAGATCTCCTTGTTGGCAAAAGCATCTCGGAACTTTATCGGATGCATGCGGTTGGAAGACTCAAAGCTGAAGATGTCATACAAATCGAAAGCTGTGCAGTTGAGGCATTCGCCAAAAGACCCCAGGCGAGGCTCTAAAAGCACCATCTTGGAAGTCTGGGCGGCCGTAGAATGAGTTGGACGTAGGGAAGAAAGAGCGTGCACGCGACTATAATTAGTATTGTAGGCCAGGTCACAGCGATATCTGAAGGAGAGGTTTTGATTTTAAATTGAAATGTAACAATAAGACGCTCAGTTTTATTTAGACAAGAGCAGTGTAGTAAATGGATTATCAATACATATATTAAAGGATTTCGCAGTATTTTGAGTTGTATTCAACTCAGCTTCCGTGGCCACCATTTAGTGTTGACAAACAGCTTACATCTACCTAATCAAGGAGTAGCGCATTCAAATCAAATTGCCTGCGAGACTGCACAATTTAGAGGACGTAGGATGTGGCTTAGGATTCGATAGCCCGTATAGCCAATAGTAGCCAATTGAACAACACACTAGGCGGCATTTTGGCGCGACCACACAGATTTGATCTGCTGCAGCTGAGTCCGTAGCGGCGGGGTAGGCGTTCTCGCAGGGGCTGTGTTTCCTGAGGCTGAATTATGCGTATCTGGTATATTAGGGTGAGCTAATCGTTGGAATGAGCCTCATTCCTGGTAGATGTCGGGTTTTGATCAAGACGTTCAAAATGAAAGAATCAACTATTCAACTAATGTGTTTCGTGATAAATTACGTTCTCATTGACTCCTAGTAAATCTGATAATACTAGTTGCCTCGATGAAGCCATTGAATTAAGGCCCTGTTAATCCTTAATTCTATTAAGCTTACATATAATTTGAAATCCTGCTTGCTATATATATTTTTTGCGAGAATGCAGCTGGGGGTCTTTTCTGTCTTCTTGATTTAAGATCACAGTGTATCTGGAAAGCTTTACGAGACAGTCAAGTAAGCCTTGTTGTCAAGACATACAGTTTTTGCTGTTCACCATAGTTATACATATAGACATGATCTCGATTTATACATTTACAATATATTTGCTCAATATCTCTTCGTTTTTCTATGTAAAACAAATGAGTCTGCAGCTCGAGGGGCCCTAGAGCAAACCGAATTGCAACTCCAAGACGCCTTTCGGCAGAGACAGCGGCGAAAACCCCGTGTCCCTTGCGCACGGCGCCACGAGAGACTGCGAAATACCTCTACACTGAGAACTCCAAGGCAGCCAAGAGCACTGCTTGTCCCAATGGCGAGATTCTCACCCCTTATGCTTACAAGATGATGAAGGGCGTTACGGACAACTATGTCAAGTTCCTAAGCGACGCGTGCGGTGGACAGATCAGAGGATGAACCCCCACTGCGACCCCTAAGAAGGTCCCTTGATGTGCTTCTTGTTCTTATACTTGATAGTCCTAGACATTTGTCAAATTTATACTTTTTTCAATCCACCTCGTGCATTTGTGCCAATGTCATATGCCAAGAATCGTCGAGGGCATGCTCAATCTCATCCGAGAGTCTATCCGGGTCGGGCGGGTTTCCCTCGCTATCAAACGAAAACACCATCCACCAGTCTTCCACCATCTTCAGCTGAGGGCCAGTGAGCACGAGCCCGGACCCCTCGTCGAGGAACGTGACGATGTCTCTATGACAGCCAAAGCCCCAGTCCGTGAACACGTGTCCCCACGCCAAGTCGCCAGGCTCCAGTACAACCTGAATTTCCCTAAGACTCTCCAGTTCGGAGAGAATGGACAGGCCATTATAAGTGGTAGCCGACTCATACCATTCAAAGTGGTCGTCAGTCCGAATCTGAAGCCGCTGGACCTCGGATCGTTGGGAGAGAATGGCCTCAATGGCATAGAGGCTCGAGACGCAGAAAATGTCGACCTCGAAGTTGACCCACGTCCAGCGCGGCTCAGTGCCCGCGGTGAATGCACGCTGGTAGGGCGCTTGCCGACGAGACTCCCGGCACACATGCATGAGTGCCGGGGGCGGCGTTGACGTGGTCTCGTAGAGAATGTGCTTCTTGCTGAAGCTGCCCCCGCCCTTCTTCGCGCGCACCTTTGTGATGCGGCGAGGAGTCACGGCTAAGCTCCAGATGTAGGAGCGGAGCTCGAAGGGAAGGCTGGCGAAGGACATGCGGGGAGGTTGCAGGAAGCAGGCGGCGACGTAGGAGAGGAGAACACCGTCGTAGTCTTTTGGGGGAGAGAGCGGAGGATCTTTTGCGCCAGACACAGACAGTATCAGGAGAAGCGGCGTAGCCAGGACAGGAAAACGCCGGCGATGGATGCGAGGATGGAAAATGGAAATGCCCCAGGAATGTCCTCATCGGGATTCACCAACGCTTTTGCACTGATCGATCTTCATTTATAGAGTGTATAAACATTTTCCACGGTCAGTCCAGATTATTGTTCCCGTGTATTGCCACAAACTTTTTGAACTCCTATGCGTTGAAGACTGCAACAGTGGTTTTCAACTGTTAGACGGGTCCACTAGGCTCTCTTGCTGACTTAGAGCACAGTCTAAAATACCTACTCAGACCATGGGTTACCCACAGGGCTCTACAGTTGGCCAATACCTTGAAACGGGTCGGGCCGTCAATGATTAAGCTTATCTACCTTCGCCATATCGCTCTAGGAAAGGGCAATGCTTGTGTCTTCAGTGCAAGGCACAATTCCTAAGATAACACGACGGTCAAGCTTATACACCTAGAAGTAGCCATTAACGGAGAACAGCCTTCTGGTGAGAGCAGAGCCGTGGATGCACGCATTTGAAGCCAGCATAATTCTTGAATTAAATAACTAGCTGATGCACTTGGTCAAAAGCTAGAAACGGCGGTCTCTGGGTGGAGTTCGTGTGAGTCGCAACCAGCTGCATTGTGAACTTCTCAAATGCTCCTCACTTGAAGATAGTACTAAATTCTCTAGTCATTATACATTTTCCATTTTTAGAATACGTTACACCTTAAAAAGTCACATTCAGCCTAGTGAGTAGAGACTTCAGTAAATAGCCTTAGTGAAGGTGGTAACACTCACAAGCACTGTCTACTCGAGCATGGTTTCGTGAACATCTCGTGTCTCAGTCCATCTAACGAACCATTCAACTAAAACAACAAAACTGTTGAGTTAGAATTATATATTCAACCATACGTTATACATAAATAGAATGAATTTATAATAAAGTTTAAGTATTTGCGAACAAGTCAAATTTACACGTAAAAAAAAATTGGAAGCAATGGGAAGTCTGGCACTAACTTATCTGTGAAAAAAATGAACAGTACATACTATACTTACTCCGTCTAGTTAGTGCTGTGGATCTATCTATATGATTGACCTTATCCGATTTACTTGCATTCAAAAAATGATATTTTAAATTATATACTTAAAACAATTTTTCGACCGCAACAATCCTGCCACAATTACCCCTCTCCTGTAGTAGATCTTCCCAGAGGTAGCGTGGAGTCTGATTTAACCAACAGAGAACAATTGATGCAATAGAAGTCACTCAAGAACCATCAAATCATATTTGGCCAAAAGAATTACGGCCTAATATCATCCATATTTAAGACCATTGGTCTGTGATGAGTCGGTAAAGTACTGTTATTGGGATAGTGCTTTTGCATATGGCCATAATAAGACTATATATCAGAGCCTGCAGCAAACCGCCATCCACTACATAGATCGTAGCCGAGCCTACACCGTCTATGTAGCATTTATCATGCTGATCTTCTCCCATCAGTGTCGGGTCTCTTTCTTTCTTTGGTTCAGATCTACTACACCTACAACCACCACATTACCAACCGGCAGTAATAGCCGATAAATATTTCTGACTTCATATCTATGCAGGGCCAAAAACCTCAATATATTTTCGTCGTAGCGTAGTCTTTACGTCATATGGGTTTTATAAAGCCATGTTTATGAAGTTCGCAATATATAACAGTTGACTTGGGAGGTTGGAAATAAACTTATGATAGGGCCGACTATATGTTTGCTGTCGCCCATCAATGATCAACAAGCTGCACAGGCCCCTATAGGCCATGCAATATGCGTATTCTATATAATGCCTTGCTCTATCTCTATGTGGTGTATAGTGTTATCTAGAAGGTACCATGCGATGAATTTACCATTTGCCGTTTGACTACAAATAGTCGAACATCCCATTAGCACGACTTGTTCGGACAAGACACAGAAAAGTTATATCTCGTGTCATTTATTCCCACTGAATTGTATCGAAATGAAGCTACTATCAGTGCTAGTGTCGATGTTCCTTTTGGGTGGCATTGGATACGCCCAGCTTCTTCCTCTACCAATCTTCAATCCGCTTGACCCCAGGTTCGATGACTGGCAACCACCTGGACCAGGTGACTGTGAGTAATGGCTGGCATATATATTGAATAACGCTTTTCATGATCTAACCATGAGATTAAAGCACGTGGTCCTTGTCCGGCTCTCAACTCTCTCGCCAACCATGGCTTTCTGCCGCACAGCGGTAAGAATATTACAGCCATCGACATTGTTCGAGGCACCTTTGAAGGCTTGTGTCTCTCACCAGAGTTCTCAGTTGCCGTAGGTGTTGCAGAGCTCTTAAAATCTTATACACTTGCCTCATTTGACTTACATGAGCTTTCCAATTATGGCTTCATCGATCATGACTGCAGCTTGTCTCGTGCAAATATTGGAGACGGCGACAATAACGACTTCAACGAGACCATTTGGTCTGTTCCTCTCCAAGTTCTTAAAAACTACTCTGCTATCACTCCTCAAGCTATCGGGGGTGCCAGAACAGCGAGAGATTTATTTGACATTGCTCATAACCCCAATCAAGAGTGCGGTGCTCGCTCTATTGCATTTGGCGCCTTGGATAACGGATTACTAATTGCAAGTCTCGGGGGAAGCCCAAAGCTGGACTGGGTGCGCAGCGTAATTGAGCATGAAAGACTCCCGACGAACCTTGGTTTCACACCAACTCCTCTCTTGATCAATAATTCTCCTATTATCCTTACGCTTGCGTTAGCATCACTTCTTTCTCAGCCCTACTTGATAGAGATTTTAGGTAACACTGTGATAAAGATGATAAAGAATCCAGCGGTAAGATTGGCAAGACCCTCATTTCAAATAATGCTTGGCTGACTTGGTTTAGGATCTCCTAGCTGAGGTTTTCCCTATTAAGGGTTACAATATTACGTACATTACTTCAGTTCTTAGTCTGGCTGGATTCTCTTCCGTTAACTTCCAAAACTTCTTATAAGCAAAAGACAAAGTCTATTTTAAAAAAAAGATTTGGAATATGAAGGAAATAGGTATCTACTAAATGTCTTGACTAGGGTTCACTATCGGCTTCTAAGGAGAAGTGAAGGGGTGGAGGAGGCTCGCTGTAGTTGAATATCTGAAATACTATGTGTCTTTCACAACATTCCTCTTCCAGAACAGCATCTGTGATTCTCATCAAAACTACTCCAAAATTATGCTTGTGCCCCACATATGATGACGGGCTGGGCTCCTAGGGAATACGGATACGGCCCCGGATACGTAGAGATGGCCACGTCTAATGCAAGCAGCTTACCCTGCTACAGACACAGACTATAATTGGTTGGAACAGGATTTCGGTGTCTTCTGTGCTAGCGCTGTCTGCGTTGAGACCCAACCCAAAGTTGAGGCCGAGGAAGTATTTAGTCACAGAAAGAAGGAAAAGTAATGAACTTTTTTTTTTGGTTTAATATGAAGTAAGAATCAAGAACGTCCAGCGATTTCAAACACTTAACACGGTGATCATTTACTACCTGTAGTATCATTTGGGGGGAGGGGGAGAGAAAAAGGCGATAGAGGAAAGACAGAGACATAGAAAGCATCGCATGCAGCTAGCTTGGGTAGACCCAGAAGACAGCATAAATCTGGTATGCCTTGGGCCCTATTAGGCAACATGACCGAAGTTATTCGCCGATGTGCAAGGTCTCTCAGCTGTGCTGGTAAATGCGGCGCAGAGATTGGGGATGAATGTGCAGCCCGATACCTACAGTGCCCACCGACAAGGCTACGATAAAGATGCCGGCCAAAATATCCATGATCGCACTCCATGTTGACTTTTGAATCATTTTTGTATCAAGACAATTATTTCGCCGTTTATATAGAAATAGAGCTAGAATTCATGGTTATTTATCTGCCGTATATGATCCATAAGATCTAGAAAGGCTTGTCAATATTTCGTTGTTTACAAATGGAGGGCTAGCCTGGTAACACCCCTTTATATTGGTGTTACGTGGAGAGATAGAGTGCACATTAAGACCCCTGGCTCCCGCTAGCGTCATGCAAGTCTTTCCAAATGCGATTGTAGTACGAATAGCACAAGTAAGTTCTCGTCTACAGCTCAGTATTAGAGTATATATACACTTGGATTTATAACATCAAAAAGCTTCTAGCTCTGCGTTTAATTAGTGATTTAATGATACGGAGTATTAAACTGGCATTTCCTATACCTCTAACCACTATTAGACGAGTTAAATACTATTAACTCAGGGAACTACGGCAAGCGAGCAGGCAGGGTGGGAAGATGGGGGCCGATGGATCAGGCTCGGCGATGCCTTGTGCGGCTGAATTTGTGCGACTGGGAAAAGCAAAGTATTGAATAGTACGAAATGAATGTATATAATCTAATAATCATTAATTAAAACTTGTAAACCGTACCTATTATTCTCTTCAAGCACCACGGCGCCCTTCAGCTGCCCGCTCCATTAATAGTGCCATTCATTAATCACCATCATCTAGTATTTTTCCAAGTCTCTTTTTTCCGGCTTGATTAAATCGCGTTCTTTTCTTTGTCAGTCGTTTAGCATTCCCAAATGTCGCAGCGGGATTTTTTCTCAATTTTATTGATGCTGTGGCTCGCGAGTCGCGCATCTGCCGATGGCGGTGATGATTTTGCAAATAACCTCGCCTCTGATCTTGGGCCGTAAGTACCTATTGAAATATTGGGTTTTTTGTACCTATTATCTAAGCTAAAAATTGTTCGTCTACAGAATCATTTCTCTATTTGGCGAGCGAGTAGTCATGCAATTCATGAGCCAAGCTATGGGCATAGCAGACTGCATTCTGTTGGCTGTAGCTCCAATCGGAGCCATCACCACTGTTGTAAGCGCTATTAGAGTAGCAGGGCCAACATGGTTAAAATCGTTCATTGGACGAGCAAGAGAAAATCTTGCTGCCGCAGAGGTTGAAGTGATGTCCTCTACGTCAAAAGAAACATGCGAGCTTTGGAACGGCCATAGGGTGGTTAGATGCCCGGGATCGGCTGATATATATCAATTTATCTGTTTAATCCCGAACGATGTTAACCCCTCAACTCTGGCTAAAAATGGATTCAAGATTCAATATAAGACACTAAAAGATATTGAGAATGATGCCGGAGCGGTTACAGAGATGGAGAATAGCTTTACTGGTACGCATCAGCAGGACAATCAGTTAACCGAATCCTGTGGAAAAGATTCAACAGCACTGCTGCAGCGAATAGGTGAGCATTAATGATCGTTTTTGCGCTGTTATCATTTACTAAGCCATATCTTAGAAAAAACTGGTCCAAATTACCTTGGGCAGTTTCTCAAAAGAAATTGGAGACTGCTTTTAGATAGGCTGAAACCTATCTGTATGATTTCTGGCCGGGGAGGCACCCGCTCAAATATACCAGATATAGAAACACCGACGGATGTTTCAGATACATCAGATAAAAGAGCATTGACTGATGCCTCAGGCACATCAGATAGAAAAACAACGACGAATGTCTCAGATACATCAGATAATAATAAGAAGAAGAAAACACCGGACAATCATGTCACGCACATACCCTCTTCAAATAACGCTTCGTCTACAAATTCACAACAAACACAAGAAATAGAGATAACCATTATTACGGATAACTTACATGATGGCGCACCAAATCTACTGCTCAATTGCCACGACCGAGCCGGCCGAAGAGAAATATATATTGCTGCCGCTCTTGCCATCATCCTACAGCTTGGCGCTGTATTATATTTTGGAATTATCACTTACCACAAACCTATTCAGAGCCGTTTCCTGAAAGATGGCAACAGCATAGTTAAATACGCATTTCCATGTGCTGCGATAGGAACTATACTACTAGTGTTTGGCCTATTCATATGCTCTTGGGTCGTTGGCGAAAGCACTATAGAAACGTACTACGAAACGGGGAAGCATCAAATATTTGTTGTTTGGTTGCAAAAGGGCCACACCGTGAGTGATCAAGAGTTCAAGCCCTATGCAATCTACCCAGCTAGCAAGCGAGATTATTTTACTATATCTCGACGGCAAAATATCGAGAATGATCGCAAGGAAATTAGAGACCTATATCGGAAAGTATTGTATCGACTATCCGAAAGTCCTATTGTCTGGCGTCTTCGAACGGATCTGGCCAAGCTGTCAAAGTTGTACCAAAAATTCAAGGCTTTCATAACAAAACCTGTCAATCAGAATGACCCCGAAGCAGAAAATATGAGTTCAGAAAGCAGCATCTCTGCTGAAAGCGAGGATGAATCCAATAAGCAGCCCTTGTATTGGCCATTAAACTTCATCACAGTTGTTGGTTCTTTTATTTCTCTTGTGGGATTCATCTCACAATTCATTGGGATGCGGGGACTAAACTGGACAGCATCAATTGTACAGCTTGGTATTACAATAGTGGTAACCGTACTACGGGTAATAGTCCGACGCGGACTAGGAAAAACTCCTAATCGGACGGCCTTGAAACCGAAATTTGAGCTTCATTGGTTTGTTCTGAGCTTTGGAAATATTGCTGCAGTACATTGGATCAATTCTGATAAAAAGTCGGTCAATACACCCAAGGAAATTGATGAGTCAGGAGATACTTGGTCTTCTAAATGGAAAATCTGCACCGGAGGAGAGCAGAGATACCATTCCTTAAACGCTGTCGATACGGGCAACGATCCAAACAGCGATCGGAGTATCAAAGATTCATTGCCTCATCAAATCATGTTAGCACGAAAGAATTTAGGAATTATTTCTAAATGGAGAAGCCCAGTCCTAGAAGAGGCTATTTCTTTGTCAAGAGCAATTGAAGCAGCTGCAAGCACATTTTTGATTCGGCTGCCCCCAAACAAGTATGAATGGAGCATTCAAGCGACCTACGTAACACAAAAACAGATGGCTGATTCAACGAAATCTGTCGAGGTTGACCCCACGAAGATTAACGAGGCTGACTCCATGAGGAATGTTAAGGATAGTATCTATATCACTATTACCAAGGGTGAGGATAATGGATGGCGAGTCGACGACGCGGAGATTGAGGCAATTCTCTCTCTATGGCTATACTCAACCTCATCGACAGACCTTTCCGAAACTAGTCGACTACGGAGTTTGAGGGTGTATGGACCAAGTGAATCTAAAGAACGCCTTAATAGGGACTTTGAGTGGTGGATGCGTGAAAATATTCCTAAAATTTTCAAATACACGGAGAAAGACTTTGCTGAACTCATATCTGACTGCACGGTAGTGGGCTTTAGAACTGAACACGCCCGCAAGACTCCAGTCCAAAACAACCCCATTGAGGGATGTCTCGTTCTAGAATGCCAAGACAAGCAGCAAAGGCTCTTCTCTCGAGACTTATTTTTTTCATTCATGCGTTCAGTTGCAAAGATGCCCGAGGTTGATATTGAAAGCGCATCGATCGCACATCCAGTATCTTCTAGCACAATGACTGGAGGGTGGAAGCAAATGAAATTGAAGAGCGATGATATCTCTGACCTGGCTAGAAGGTTAGAGAAAATTGGATTTGGATCACTGTCGGACATCTACATTGATCTAATTATACCTCTAAGCCTTGAACACAAGCTGACGAATGTCAACAATATCATTGACGAGATTACAAGGGAAGCATATAAATATGAACATTCACAACAATGGGAGAAACTAGTTGACACCTGTATCCGTCTTCTGGATTTAGCTCTGCTCTTTGATCTCAAAAAGGAATCTTCTTCCCCGCTAGCTATAGCTATTTGCCTCGGTTTTCTTTACAGATTACACCATGAAATAAAGCTTCAAAAGTCTGAAAGAAGGGCCGAACAAGAATTGACAACACAATTTAAAAAACTCAAAAAAAGATTCATTCGTGATAATCTTCAAAGCTCGGCTTACTTTTCGACCATCTTTCCGGACGAACTCAGATTCCTCGCCGTGTCTGTCAGCATACTGGCCGGCCCCAGTTATAGCAGCACAACATCGTTCCCCGATAGTTTCCAAATTGCTGCTGAGAATCTCAAATTCATTAAAAAAAGGAAGCTGGAGCATATTCAGAATTCCAAAGCATTTGAAAAGACTGATGCCTTTGGTTGGTCACTGCTGCACTATGCCGCCAACTTGACCCCGGACAGCATAAACATAGATAGCAACTACCAAATGAGCGACGAGTCTCGTAACTCTCGAGATCTCATGGGATGGACACCTTTACACCATGCTTGCTTCTATGGCAACGAAAAAATGGTAAAAATGCTGCTTGAATATGAAACTCCGATTGAGGTTGCTGGAAAAGATGGAATCACACCAATGCACTGTGCTGTTCAAAGTGGGAAAACCGAAATATTACAAAAGTTAATTGAAGGGGTTAATCAAAGACCCAAAAAGCACACTAGGAAGAGTGGACGTCATGTGGATCATAATGAGAGACATCCGATTCACTGGGCTGCAGTCGAAGGAAACGTCAAGATGGTTCGCCTAATGAAAGGCGATATCCGTTTGAAGGATCGATTCGGTTGGACTCCTCTTCATCTTGCTGCAATATACGACCACAGAAAATTACTCCGGTACATTACTGAAGATCATGCGGAAACTATAAATACCAGCGACAATGAACTTCGCACGCCTCTGCACCTCGCTGTGAAAGGAAAATTGAAAGACGCTGTGCAGATACTGATTCAAGCCGGAGCAAGGATCAACACGGTTGCAAAAAATGGCCTAACTCCGCTTCATGTGGCAGTAAAACACAAGCAAAAAGAAATTCTCAAGCTGCTTCTAAAACAGGGAACCAATAAGAATGTTATGGACATGGAAGGTCGTACACCACTCTATTTATCAGTAGAAGATGGTGACATTGAAACTATAAATCTGTTAATAGAAGGAGGTGCGAATGCCAAAGTAGCGACAGAAGATGGAAGAACACCGCTGCACATTGCGTTAAGTCGTGGGCGGGATGGGCTTGAGGTTGCAAAGATATTGCTTCGAGCCGGTGCTGATGCCAATGCCAAAGCACAAGACGGCGCAACTGGGATGCATATAGCAGCACAGTTCGGTATTTTATTAGAAATCCTCAATTTCTTGGTCGAAATTGACCAAAATTCATTGGATATCAATGCAATTGATGAATACGGACAAACACCGTTGCTGATTGCGATCTATGAGGCAGATTGGAATGCTTCGGAGCGATTACTCAATATGGGCGCTCGAATCGATGCGGATCGGAGAGATGGATACACGCCAGTGCTTGGTGCTGTCATAAGAGGTAATAAAGATATTTTACAGCAGTTGTTGGGTAAGGGAGCCAGCGTGGACGATGAAGATGAAGATGGATACTCAGCATTGCATCTTGCTGTCCTCCACGGAAACAAAAATATCACTTCATTGCTGTTAAAGGCCGGTGCTAGCATTGATGCTGTTGAGAGATCGAGGAATGAGACTCCACTGCACATTGCTGTTCGCATGGGATACAGCGACATTGTACAGATTTTGCTCGATAGTGGAGCCAACATGAGATTACCCAACGATTTTGACTTCTCACCATTAGAATACGCTTTATATCGTGGAGATCTTCCAATGGTGAAGATTTTAATAGAGCATGATAAAAAGTCTGCCATAAAAGCGGCATTACAAAAGAATGAGCTGGGAGAGACTCCATTACACACCCTCACGAAGGGTCACAACGACGAAGGCACTAAGTGCAAAATGCTTGACGAACTCCTGGCTATTGGTCCAGAGATCGAAATTAATGTTAAGAACGGCAAAGGAAGTACACCACTGGATTTAGCGCTCTGTGAGGCAAGTGAAAATCGCCTATTTATTACTAAATTGTTGGGAAAAGGTGCAGAGGCAGGCTCAGAGACTACCCAAAGAATATTGGAAGACTGGAAAAGCCAGAATGTTGGATTGCAGGAACCATTGAGCGACTAGAAACGCGATGTTGCAATCCCCCCGGCTTGAGAATATTAATTTATCCAGGTATCTTAAAAATAGGTGGATAGCATCGGTTCTATTTATATAAGTCTGATAAAGACCTATGTGAGTAGCCAAGGGTAAGGCAGAACCGTAAAATGGAAATGGGCACAAAATAGGAATACGAACACTGATTTTTTTAAAAGAGGTTCTGCTATTATACTGGTACAAGTAGTAGAAGCAGTACATAGTGTAAATTGAAGTATAAATATTTTACTCAAAATTGCCTATAAGCTTGACCAGCACTCCTTCTTACCTTGTCATATAGACGATGTATGTTTTGTAAATAGTCTGCATGTATTTAATTTCGTTGTAACTCTCTGTTTACCACATCGTCTTTTTCAAGTCAACTCCTGTAGAATACATCATGCTTCTCTCAAACTCTCTATCTATACCCCTAGTGTAATCTCCTTCCCGCTACCTCCCAGCCTAACAAGACTTCAATATCCTATCATCCCTCACCTCACTCGGCGATGCCACGCTCTTCACTCTCGGCCCATCATACATGTCGGCTCCGTGCTTTGGAAAATGTAACCAAATGTGTTTCGCACCACATACTTTAGTTCCCACATCATACCTAGGATCGCGAAGTCGCATGAGGCAGTCCCTGCAGCAAGTTCGGTCTACGCAGTAGATAAGCCATAAAAATAAGTCTTTAAGCTATCTCTTTTCTTACCATCCGCTGTGACTCCATCACAGTTCAAGCTCGACCGCCGCCAAGGTTGACTCATGAACAAATGCGTGGCGACAGACTAACAGATTGCTCACTCATTAATATGCTCACGTACTATAAATATCATTACCATTCAACTACCCAGGTAAATTAAACATTAAAGGAGTAGTACTAGACACCATTCATGTAAACACAAAACACAAACAAATCGATCCAAACAGTCTGCCCACCAGTCCTCAAGAAGAGGCCCATTACTCTAAGTTTCTTTTTTACCCTCAACCTTGTCGCCGCATTCTTCAGCTTCTTTTTCATCTTCTTCTTCATCTTCGTCGTCTTCATCCTCATCGTCATCTTCGCCAGCATACTCATCCATATTTTCGACGCCTTGATATTCGTCCTCATCAAGTACCACTAATTGCCTTTTCTCCTTTTCTCCCTCCTTCTCCTCATTCTTCTGTGCTTCTTCTTTGCACAGTTTTTTAACAGCTGGTGCTACAACTTCTACAGAAACATGTTAGCAAGTTCATCCAAGTTATGAAAACGTAAAGAGAGAAGAAACAAAGAAAGAAAGAGAAGAAAGGAGAAAGAGGAATAGAAAGATAGTTCATACTCAGTGCCTTCCTGAGGCCGCAAGATCCCACAACACACCCCGACGCAGCGGACGAGATCTTGCCGTGATGCATGCAAGCGCAAGCATAATCCGTCACATCGCAGTCTGTCATCTTTTTGATAGCATTCTGGATACACGTAACAGAGCAAGCGGGCATGCCATTTTCAGTTTCTCCTCGCGCTTCAACGGCGACGCCGAGCGGCATGTAGGGAAGAGTAGCGTTGGTATAGTTCTTCATGGGGGCAGGCATGGCAGAAGAAGAAGAAGCCATCATGGCAGATACCATGGCGAAGACGACTGAGGCTTTCATTTTGACTTCTTTGGTGATTTATTGAGCTGATTCTTGATGTTTGATCAATTATGACTTGTGAGAATGTGTTGAAAAGAATAGGCAAGGTGCTTTCCGAAGTGAATGGTCCAACACTCCTTTTATATTCACGCAATACCAGTGCCCCACGGCCCTTATTCCACTTATTTGCGTTGAATACCACTGATTAAACTCACCCCACGATGAGTCAACTGATTTCACCGAGAGGAATTAGATACGCCACTGCTATTAGAATTAGGGGGTTCTTCACAATACCTTCAATTACACCATCGATCTTTGAACAAATGGGTACATGATACTCTGAAAAACATCATCTCATAAGTGTGATTCCCTTAATTAATTGTCTCTACCCACACGCAAACTACTTCTCTTTATACTTTTACTTCTGCTACCTTTAGTACCTCTACTGCCTCTGCTGCCTGACTCCTACTATTGCATTACGCGTAATACTATTCAACACTTTTCTCTTACAAAACAAAAGAAAGGAAAAGGACTATTTGAACGCCATCGAGGTGCCTAATAGAGCTAATTGCTCAAGGGGCTTGAATCTTCGCAGCCACAGGGTCCATCCACCAAGAATTCTCCATACGAAATACGAGAACGGCTTTGAGACCAAAACTTACATCTATAAATAAAGCGCAAAAGGATATTATAGGCACATATTTCAACAAAAAAAAAAACTTCTCAATTATATCATAGTATTGAATCCGCTTCTAAGACGCTTTACAACAAAACTGTTTGTACCACTTTATATAGTTTAAGAGCACACTTGCTCTCCAAACCGGGTATACTATCCATTCCTGCACATCCAGCAGATGGGGAAAAAAAAGTAAGAAAAATAAAAAATGAGGGTATCCGAGGCCTTCCCATCCATCTCCATTAATGGCCTTGTCCGCTTTCTCAAATTCGCACAATACTTGTCAACATCCCAAATTTCTCTCGCTGAATTATTTTCGCCAAAGAGTGTATCCTCGTCCAAAAACCCTTCTTTGCGCTGTCATGTATTTTTCCAACAAAAAAACAGGCATATAACCCACTTTATCCAACCATCCGGCAGAATGCTCCCTACGCCTTCTCCCATCCGGCAGGCCCTGCAGCCTCATACACTCCCCTCTTCGAGAGGACACGTCCGAGACCTCGGTGGATCTCAGCCTGGAACGCTTCGAATGGGATGCGCTCTCCGTCGATGCTGATGTAGCCGTCGTCTTGGTCCCTCGGCGTGATGCGGTACGCCGAGATTTTCTTGTAGGTTACATTGCGGTTGTCAAAGAATTTGCCAGACTCGACGGCGAGCAACGCTTGGGTGACGGCCATTGGCGAGATATCCGCTCTGATCAAGACCATGTCCAGAAGCCCGTCAGTAGGCACGGCAGCAGAGAAGAAGTTGGCGTCGGGCGACATGTAAGCCATCTAGATAATGCGTTAGCCATATTACATTTTCAACTGCCAAGGTGCTCTGAATACGTACGTTTCCAACATAAAATGTTCCAATATTATCATATGAAGCAGTCTCCCAGTCAGCAGGAATCTCATCTCGGACAGTGCCGTACTTGAGTTCGGGCAAGCCCTCTGCGCCTGCCTCTGCTTCAGCATCCACGCTCAAGAGACTAGGATCAACGGCATATTTCTTGTAGTGCTGTTTGATCATCTCTTTGCCGTCGATTTCCAACTTGACCGACAAGTCGAACGGGTAGCACTTCTTCTTCAAGACGCGCGTCACCAGGCCAACCTCGAAGCGCTTACTGCCCATCCATCGCAGATTTTCCGTCGCCAGATCGCTCTCAGCAATGATTCCTAGAGACTGGGACAGGAATGAAAGGGTGCGCTTTTCGCCCTGTGTGATGGACACGAGATCCAAAGGCATAACCACGCCCTTGATGACCGACAAAGCCGATATTCCAGTATCATTGCTTCCATTGCAATTCAACGAGAATGCGTTGCCAGATCCGCAGGGAATGTGGCTCACGGCAATTTTGGCTAACGCCTTGGCAGCATCAGGTCGTCGGCCCAGTCCATTGAAGATTTCGAATGGCGTTCCATCACCCGACAAGGCCATGATAGTGTCATACTTTTCGATATTTGCCTTTTCCGAAAGCTCTGTCGCCTCTCCGCCCCTCGTCAAAGTCACCACGTCAAGCTCCATCCTGGCAGCTTCGAACAGCGGCTTGACAAACTTGTTCCATTTGTTCAGAGCTCCTCCAGGGCCTGAATTGGGGTTGATGAGCACATATGCTCGCTTCCGTGACTTCGCGTCGCCATACGCGGCCGAGATGAGCGCTGACACAAACAGCTCAGGCGACGGGCCATCGCCTTCAACTTCAGGGTTCGGGATAGTAAATGTCCAATGCTGCAACTTCAGCGACGACTTGCGTGGTGCGGCATATTCCACAACCAGAGCATTACCGCGCACCTCAGCCCATAGAACGTTGTATAGCGGAATCGTGTGCTTCCCCTTGCCATCTGAGCTCCGGCTCGGGAAGCAGTTGAGGCAGCAGAGATCATCAATGAGCTGCCTGCCGGCAGATGGCTTGCCGCCGGATGATTTGTGTTTGCTGCCATCCGGATCTGTTTCGAATCAATCGTCAGCCACCACTGCAATGCGATGCACCTCATAACCGCGACACTCTCCCCAGTATCTGCATACCGAATAGAACGAGGTCCTTCTCGCCAATCGTCAGCGTCTTGTTACCCCCAAGGCTCAGGCGCATTCCAATTGCCGTCGAATGATCCATCACTTTGGCTCCGTCGTCCATATTCGCGAGTCGTACGGCGTCCTGCATTGGGAGAAATCAAATCTCAAACTTCGGCGGCCGAGGCACCCGAAGCGTTCCAGGGTTGGAAATTGAAGCGAGAACAGGCGACTAACTAAGCGGACGTCTCCGGACAAGGGAACAGACGGCGCGATGAAAAGTCAAGAGTAGGAAATGAAAAGGGGACAAGAATAAAAGCCCCGTGGAGGAGGAGTAAGAAGAATTAAATAAATCGTCAGCGAGCGTGAGAAATTGGCGTAAGGAATGACAGCTGGAAGGGAGACAAAGTTCAACATCGGCCCCCCTTCGCGGCACTCAGAAGCATTGCAGTTGGTGATGAAAGTCGCTAGCTAAGCCGCGGTAGGTGGCCTAGCAGCTCCGATAAGGGGATAAGCAGTGGACTGTGCAGGTCGCTAAGCAAGGCCAAGCCAGTGAGAGCTTGCAGCGCTCCACAGCGCTCCACCGCGCCCAGTCGGGTCTCTGTTCCGAAAATAGCTGCCCGTTTGCATGGCTTACGTACCTATATACCACCAGAGCTCGTATGTATGTACCTTGCTTCATGCGAGAGAGGTCTAAGAAATTGTCGCTGCATTAACTAAAAAAGGATTCTGGCTTGACAATGAGATTGGCGGTGTTTGTTCTGCTTGTCTCTTATTGTTAAAGCGAGTATCTACAGTCACATTCCACCGCCTACTCCTGGTCCAAGCATATCACACGCAATATCAAGCTGGTGAGAGCTTCAACCGCAGAGCTCCATCAGCGCTCGGATCAGCTCACTGCCAATGCGCTCTCATCTCACTCGACTCAATCTCATTTCAGCATCAAGAGGTGCAAACATTCAAATGATTCATCGCCCATCATCGATAAATTCAAGCCAACAAATGCCTACCAACTTTTGTATGACGCATCCAACCCTCCCTCCTTTTCACAAAAAGAAAAGAAAACTCCCCGAAAAGAAGTAAACCATATCTACCTGTAGAAAAAGCCAATCAAACAGGCTCTCTACCGATAAACATATGAAGATGCGTAAATATGAAGCGAGCCCAGCCCTGTTAGACAAGCTAAATTCCATTCTTCTTCCCCCCCATAAACTGTCTCTATCCGACGGTTCCCTCGATCTCCAATTCTCTTTTCTCTCCTGTCTCTCGAATAGCAACATGTACATTTATTACTTTTTTTTTTTACTCCGATAATCTCGTAACGTTGGGCCACTTTGTGAGAGCTGCCTTTCTGAACGACTCTATCTCTGCGCTTCTCCAGCTCTTAAGGGTTTCCAGTGCCGCAATAGCATCTGTGAATGTCGCACTTGCGTGCTCAATGAGGCCGTGGACTTCCTTTTCGCACTTTGCAAGATCCGCGCCCAGTGTCAGCCTGGCCTTGACGGCGGAGAGCACGTGGAGAGGGCTAGCCTGGTGCTTTTCTTGGAAATCTTGGTTATACTTTGTCAGATCCGTCGCGGCCTCGACGGCGGTGAATTCTGCTTTCAGCGCTTCAAGAACCTTGGGCGCGAGGTCTGATGGGGGGTTGTTGAGCAACTTTCGGAAAGCGATGACTTGTTCGTGTACCCTGGGGTTTTCGGCATCGATTGCCAGAGATCGGTTTAGGCACTGCAGAGCAAGAACATATTTCTCTGCAATGTAGTCGTTAGTAATCTATAAAAGATGCCAGGGCTTAAAAGACAGTCACTTACTGCGGCGGATGTAAACCTCAAATCCAGCGATCTGGGCATCGATATTCTTCGGACCTGCTTGCAGCATTGGTCCCAGGAACTTCATCGCCTCACCTAGCGGGTCAGTTGTCGCCGCCAAGGTCAAGCCAAGAGGGTCTTCGTCCTTCTTCTTGGCATCGGCTGCTTGGCCGCCCTTGTTGGGGTCTTGCTTAGCTTGCCTCTCTGCCTCTTCTCTCTCAAGACGCTGCAGTTCCTTCTTGGCCTTCTTGGCCGCCTTCTTCTTCTCGAGAGCATCTTCTTCGTCTGCTCCGTTAGTTCCATTGGCAGCTGGCTTGTCTGCCATGGCGAGATAAAGGTTGATAGCATCAAGAGCAACTCTTGAGTAAACTGGGTGGTCACGGAAGTGATCTTCCCAGCGAATCATGTCAATGTAAGCTCGGATTTGCCCCTTTCTCAGTGAAAAGCTGTGGAAATCAAACTGGTCATCCTGCCAAACATCGAAAATGTTGTTCAGGGCGTGGAATCGCTTCAGAGCGAGGCCAAGGTTGCCCCGTCTGGCGTAAGCCTCTCCGTCTTCCGTCAAATACCAAATGCACTGCATTTCTAGGAGATCCGCCAAGGGGCCACCCACAGTCTCAGCTCGCGTAAAGAGGCCGACAGTCTTGAGGGCTTTCTCGTTCTCGCCATTTCGCAGCTGATATTTGGCACACTTGCTGTTGATGTATCGATCCTTGAGGTCAAGTTTTCTGGCCTTGTCCATCATCTCTGCCGCTTCCTTGATATTGCCGGTATGCTTCAATATCCTGGCCTTTGTCATGTGGAAGTCGACACTCTTGGGATCCTTCTCAATGGCGCGATCGACATACTCGTCAGCTTTTGCCAAGTCGCGACTCAGGTGGTAGTTGTAGTGTTGAGCCAGGTAGTATAGTCCAGCAGCCTCTCCTTTGTCTTTGCTCTCAGAGTCAATGTCCTGGGACGCAAGATACTTTTCGACAATCTCTCTCAGGGTATCCTTCTTGAATGAATCAGAGTACAGGTGTTTCAAGTTAGCAAAAAGAGACGGGACTCCTTTGTTTAGCATAAGAGCCACATAGGACTCTGCGGCTTGCCGAAACTCGTCTCCTATGAGTAGTAATTGATATTAGAATGCTGTTTAACAATTCCATCTAGTGATCATTTTTGGGCCTTCTTTTGATATAAAAAGAGCCTTCATTGCTACTTACCGCTGAGAAAGTCGAGAGGGACACGTCGGGCAATATCACAGCGAGGGAACTTGGCAGCGTATTCATCGTAAATGGCCTTTCGTGCAGCCACATCCTCCTGGGAAATCTCCAGGGCCTGTTCCAGCTTCTCGTAATAGTCAATGTGCTCCGGGTTGCGCTCAATAAGAAGTCGGTAAGCCTGGACAGCGTCCTCCTTCCGACCCAACTTGGAGAGATAGTCCGCACGGCATTCCAGCACCGCCAAACGATCCAGGTTGTGCTTTGCATCACTCTCCAGATGGTCCAGTGCCCGCTGGAAATCACCTTGCTCGGCAATGATGGAGTTCTTGTACATGACTGCCTCGGAATGCTCGCCATCGAACCGAGAGGGGGCCGACTTGAGCGTTCCCTCATATGTGGTCAGAACATTTTCCGCCTCCGTAAGGTTACCAGCCAAGTGGTGGGCAATTGCCAACGCAGTCCAGCTGGAGCGGATTTGGGGTCTCGCCTGGAGCATAGCCGTCCGGCTCTGGATGTATCCCTGGTAGTCTCGAACGTGCACTTGTAGAATGGCAAGGTCTCGCTGGATCTGAGCAGAGGAAGGGTCAAGCTTAAGAGCAAACTTGTATGCCTTGATGGCCTCCTCGAAATTCTTGACCGATCGATATAGGAGTCCGTAGACATGCCAGCAAATGTGAGACTTCATATCGACCGTCAGGGCCTCCTTTGCCAGAGGAAACGCCTCGTCGGGCTTTCCTTGGCTGTTGAGAATCAACGCCTTCATGGCCATGGTGTCTCCATGGCGAGGGTATTTCTTGAGGATAAGATCGGCCGTCTTCAAGCCACGTTTGTACTGCTTGTCCTCAAAGCTACGAATGATGGTTCGGAACTGCGCCGCTTCTTTCGGCGCCAGTGGTTGAGGCATCGTGGCGGATTTGTGCAAGTGCTGGAATATGTACGGTTCAAGAGGTCGGTATTTTGCTTCGATAGCAGGCCAAATTTATCCAACTCGGTAGAAATCGATGTCGCTTGTTAGGTCGGGCCAAGCTGTCGTCGACGATGAAAGAAAGGTGTTCGAGACACTCCAGAGGGCTCCTTGTCGCGTGGCACTAGTCGGCCTCAGTAGCAAACCGCCAACTCCCAAATTGACAATGCAAGAAATGGGATTCCAAACAAGTTGAAATTCGCCCCTCGTCAACAACTTTCTCGAGCTTCGCTGCGTGTTTCTGCCAGAGAGTCGAGCAGGTGTAATTGGAGACCAGAAATCGGCGCAGGAAGATGGTGTCGGCTACACCTCGGAGTTGGGTTCTGCCACTTGACCAAAGCCTAAAACAGGGGACCCCACCAAGGCTCCGAATTGACGACGCAGCTCCTGGTGGGGTAGCTGTGCTTCCATGGCATTCGGAGAAGAGTATCCGGGGATGGGCTTGTTTCCATGCATATTCTTTGGTTGAGATTGAAGCAATTGATTCTAATGTCACGTTGAAAACCAGCGAGAAGAGAAGAGAGAAGAAAAAGAAACAGAGGATTAAATGCATAACTACCTCATGGACTTTTAATCTAGCAATCTTACTATTCAATAGCTGTAAAACTAATACAAGAGAAAAGGGTAGATATATATATGTTCAGGCTGCACAGAGAGAGCGCAGCTACACTAATAGTACAAGTTGTTATATACAGTTGTGGCATCTTTCTTTTCGTATCCACATGTCCATTTTCACATTCAAAGCCATATATGCTGTTTCCTGACGACGGCGTTACCTCGTCGTGACTTTTGATATCTTGTCGTCCGGCTTACTCGGTCATCGGCCATCTTCGCTTTGACCCGGCTTCTGTGCTGCCTCCCATTTGCTCATGGCGTCTTCCCAGGTCTGAGCAGAAGCACCGCACCTAGCCTGTATGACATCCCAAGTTCTGCTGCGCACAATGTTTTCCACAGCCCGTTCCTGTCGCATCAAGAGAGCAAGTGACTGAGTACGAGCTTCTCGGGGGAAGAACCGTCCCGAGTAGGGATCTAGCCTTTCGTCGACAATCCGCTCGCGATCGCGCTGCTTCTCCAGTTCAAGAATGGCAGCCTCTGGGTCGTCTGGATCCGGGCTGGTGGCTACGATGCCGCAATACCGAAGCACTTCGGCCCTCGCCTTCCATGAGGGAAACAGCACCTTATCCTTGAACGACTGGCATGCTTCGGGGTTGATCTGCTCGGCAAACGATTTCGGAGTCCGTGTGGATGTCGATCCGGGATCGAAGCCCGCCCGAGATGGCGTTACCAGGGCATTTAGATTCTGTGTAATGGAATCGTCTATTGATGATCGAGACAGGCGCAAGAAATCTAAATCATGTTAGCACGCACAGTCCCCAAGTCGCATTACATGTTTTATCAGATAGAGGGCTTGTATCACATACCACGCAGCGTGCCGGTTGAAAAGCAAAACTGGGGCGAAAGGCGAGGCAATCCGGGAGGTTGCGACATTATGGGCTTCGGCTTCTTAGGGCCACCCACAGCTCCCGCTGTTGGAGCGGCGCCTTTCCACAAAATGTCCGCCAGTATGTGGGGGGTAAAGGAAGAGAAGAGAATAGCACTAGAATCGATGATCTTCTGGCGGTGACGCGGCTATGCGGGCTGTGCTCGTCGCAAGGTGTCACTGCTGGAATCGCAAAGCTCGGAGGCGTTGATGGAGTGACGTGAGGATCTAGAAGGCGGATGGCCTGATGGCGCCGAGGCCAGAGCCGGCGCCGTGCCGGAACAACCTACAGGGGCATTACAGAGCTTCGGGCGAACGTAGACCCGCCAATCCCGGTGTGAAGTCACTTGTATGGATATGGATGATCTAGTTTATAGATGTTGGATTATTTTATTTACAAATAGTGTTGTTGTTAATTAAAGGTGTTTTCAGTAGTTCATGTGATTGTTTTCGTCTGGTTTGGTAGCTTGTTTCTATGTCGAAGTCTTAAACCAGCTCACGCGATCATTTAACCAGCGCTATAGGGTGCCCCTCTCAATTCTGCATAGCAGAAAAGCAAAGAGGGTCAATAGGTGATAAAAGAGCTTGCTACAAAATACAATCTAGTAGTATCATAATACGCGAGCAAAGAGAGCAAAACCCTGTCTCTTTTTACATCACCCGCATCATATTGGCGAATTAGCAAAAGTATAGCAAATTATACCACCGACACAAGTGTCAAAGCCACCTCTATCAAGCTTCGATACCTTATTAAATAGTTTCCGTTATGCTTTTCTTTTCTCTACTTTTTTTTTATTCAATTTAATTACATATATCTCTAAGAGTATATGACACGTATTTATTAAGTATTTTACGAACAAGATACTCAAGCGAGAGAGGCATACACTACAGCACTCAGCAACGTAGGCTTCAGCACTTCTGTTGGGGACCTGTATCCGTTTATTTATGCTAAATTGTCAACATGATAAAATCACCAGCAAAAGATTTTGTTGTAATACTACTCAATATTTTGCAGCTGGCCTTCATGTCACAGGGTAATGCGGCGCGCTGCCCAAAATGCAACCTCGTCCACATCCACCTCTAGCCCAGCGGTGTTATCACAAGGGCGTTTCTGGAGTCACAACAGCCTGCAAAGACTGATTTGCCCAAACCAGCCTCGGCGGCAAATCCAACGGGTCGGTCCTAGACAAAACGTAGTGTTATACAGAAGTCAGCATTTAAAATGTCTCAGGGGTGCCTGGCAGCCAGTCGCATGCAAGTAGTTGTCGCTTCACCGGGCAGCACCAAAGGTCCAGTCGTATTACACATGATGCCTACTGGTGTATGCACCCAGCACCTAGTCTGGATTCCAGGCACCACGACCACTAACACCAATCTTCCCATCGGAGATTCCATCTTATGTCATCCACGCAAAACATGCCAAGCAGGCTGCTTTTCCTGCTTTTCTGCTGTTCCCCAGCTCGCTCGTACTCGTATTGCCGACCCCCCCAAAGATACCCCTGCCCGCCCAACTCCAGAGCGTCCAATGGCAGCGAATTCCGAGCACCTGCACCCCACACGGCACGCATCAGCTCCGGGCCTCGTACATATCGATCTCCCCTGATGACGATGGAGGCCTGTCGCGTGGCCAAAAAGTGAGTGACGTGCAGTGCTGGGCGCTGCTGCTGGCATCCCAGCCTTGCGTCGGATTTGCTGAATGCGTCTGTACAGCCACGAGGGCCCCAACAAATGGGCGCTGTAGCCGGCAGCCAAGGGAGATGGATTTGGAATTCTGTGCCCTGCAGCAAATAACAAACACTCGGTGGCTGCGCTGCCAAAGTAACTGTTGATTACCCTTCGTGCTCTGCTCTGCTGTATAAAGCTTCTGTCCTCCATCTGGAAATACCTTAATCACCCCCCTAGCTAACTCGCTACATTGTGCCGAAACAAGGCCTGCACCTGGCTCTTAGTGGGTTTGCCCTCAACTCCTTTAATAAACAAGCTTCGCATTCCTCTTTGTCCCCTCCCTTTCCAGATTCCGCCATCTTTCTTTTTTCTTGGGCTGCCTCTTTGGATTCAAAGTCTTCTTCATCTGTTAATCTTCTCCCTTATAAGCTTTAGTACTCCTCCTACTAGTACACTTAGTATTTTTTCCTTGTTATCCTTTCGGCGCTACATCATCGACTCCTTTCCAGGGTTCAGCTAGCCTCTCCCCGCGAATTCATCATTTTGTTTCGATCCGATTCTCACGCCGCAGCGCTTCTCTTCTCGCCAATCCTCACCACCAAACCGAATAGCCAAACAGCAACACCTCTAGACAGCAGCAATGGCGGACGCAACAGCTAACAGCGGAAGCTGGTCAGCTTTCCTCAAGGTAAAAAAAACACTCGAACCAAAATAAGCAAAAAAATCATTTTGCGACAACATCGTCATCAGCTTCTAACAAACCGCAACAGTCAATCGCCTCCTTCAATGGCGACCTCTCCTCCCTGACCGCGCCCCCCTTCATCCTCTCGTCGCAGTCCCTCACCGAATTCTCCTCCTACTGGGCCACCCACCCGCCCATCTTCACCGCCGCCGCAGCAGAGTCCGACCCCGCAAAGCGTGCCATGCTCGTGCTCAAGTGGTTCCTCTCCACGCTCAAGCACCAGTACGCCTCCCGCAGCGAGCAGTTCGGCAACGAGAAGAAGCCCCTGAACCCCTTCCTGGGCGAGCTCTTCCTCGGCAGCTGGAACGACGAGGCCGGCAAGACGACGCTCATCTCCGAGCAGGTCAGCCACCACCCGCCCGCGACTGCCTACTGCATCCGCAACGAGAAGACGGGCGTCCAGCTCGAGGGCTACAACGCCCAAAAGGCCTCCTTCAAGAGCACAATCATCGTCAAGCAGATTGGCCACGCCGTGCTCACCATCCCCGTTGGCTCTGGCGACAGTAAAGAGCTTGAGCGCTACCTCATCACCCTGCCTTCGCTGCACATTGAGGGCCTCATCTTTGGCGCCCCCTTTGTCGAATTAGACGGCTCAACCACCATCACCAGCTCGAGCGGCTACTCTGCCAAGATTGACTACAGCGGAAAGGGCTGGCTGTCTGGTAAGAAGAACACAGTCATCGCTACCGTCTTCCCCACCGACAACGAGAAGGAGGTCCTTTACAACGTCACCGGCCAATGGACCAAGGAATTCGAAATCTACGAGGGCCCCGCCAAGAAGAACTCAAAATCCACCCTGGTGTCCGTCTACGATGCCGCGGGCACTTCTCAGTCTGAACTGAAGCTCGAGCCCCTCGAGAAGCAGCACCCCCTCGAATCCCGCCGCGCCTGGAGCAAAGTCGCCGAGGCCATCCAAAAGAGCGACATGGACACCGTCTCCATCGAGAAGACCAAGATCGAGCAGGCCCAGCGCCTCATGCGCGCCAAGGAGAACGCAGGGAACCATACCTGGGAGCGGAGGTACTTCAAGGCTGCCACCGAGGACGAGACGCTCACATTGCTGGGCAAGGCTGCGGGCGTACCCTTGGATGGCGACAAGGACAAGACAGGTGGCCTGTGGAGATTTGATGCCGAGAAGGCTGCCAAGGCCGATGCTGAACAGCTCAATGACGAACAAGTCGCTGAGATCGAAAAGGAGCTCTTGGGTCAATAAATCTTAGCTTTTGAAAAGATGAAAAACGAATAGAAGGCGCGAGTTAAATATTTCACAAAAGGGGGGATTATAAACGAAGGGAAAGATTTTTTTTTAAAAAGGAAAAAAAAAAGCAATGGCGATGTCTTTGGCAAATACATGGAAATCATGGGGTGCTACATGCACAGCATTGGAAGGGGTTTCTCTCGGGAAATAAATCTGGAAGTTGGGCTTATGCGAGAAGAATGATGGGTTATTGGCTATCAAGAAACTATAGTTGGCAGAGGGTAAATATTTTTAATGTAGAGATGAGAATCGCTTTTTTCTTCTTAGAACGCGAATTTGTTCTGTTACTTTTTTTTTATTTCATTATATTTAATTGTCCTTTTTTTTGTGTCAACTAATTGTAACAAACACAGTTCGCGGAGGGCCCTCATGAATAAACCAATAGGTATGCAGAGTATTCAGGGGTTATAGGACACTTCAATCAAACATCTGAGTCCTCGCATGAGTTCACTATCCCAAAATATATTTTCAAATTGATATCCTTTTTTTTTTCTTTACTCAAAGCGCAGAGAACAAACAGCATTTAGAGCTGGTTGGCAGTGTTGAAGTCCTTGAGAGCCTCAGCAACACGCTTAGACATGGTCTTCTCACCCTCACGGACCCAGACACGGGGCTATTATATAGTCAGTTACTGTCTTGATAAAGGACAAAGACTTTCAAGATGGGGAAAGAAAAAAAAAACTTACGTCGAAGTACTTCTTGTTGGGCTTGTCATCGCCGTCGGGGTTGCCAACGGCGGTCAGGAGGTAGTCCTTCTTGTTCAGCATGTAGTCACGGATACCGCTGAGGTAAGCGAACTGCATGTCAGTGTCCATGTTGACCTTGACGACACCGTGGCTGATGGCATCGAGGTACTCCTGCTTGGAGGAGCCAGAGCCACCGTGGAAGACGAAGTAGACGGGCTTGTCCTCAGTGGACTTGATGGCGGCCTTGACGTGGGCCTGGTGCTTGCCGAGCAGCTCAGGGTGCAGCTTGACGTTGCCGGGCTTGTAGACACCGTGGACGTTGCCAAAACCAGCAGCGATGGAGAAGTAGGGGGAGATGGGAGAAAGGGTGTTGTAGATGTTGAGGATGTCCTCGGGCTGGGTGTAGAGGGAGTTGTTGTCGACATCCTCGTTGTTGACACCATCCTCCTCACCACCGGTGATACCAATCTCCATCTCGAGCCACTGCTTCATGGGGGCAGCGCGCTTCAGGTACTTGGCGGTGGTCTCAATGTTCCACTCAACGGGCTCCTCGGACAGATCAATCATGTGAGAGGAGAAGAGGGGCTCGCCGGTGGCCTTGAAGTAAGCCTCATCTGCGGTGAGCATGCCATCGAGCCAGGGGAGGAGCTTCTTGGCGCAGTGGTCGGTGTGAAGGACGACGGGGATGCCGTAAGCGGGAGCGATGGATCGGATGTAATTGGCACCGGCGATGGCACCGGCGATGGAAGCAGCCTGGTCCGTGTTGTCCACGCCCTGATTTCCAAGTCAGCACCTTTGATAGAGAAGATGGGCACATCTTGAGCTTGAACGAGAATTTACCTTTCCGGCGAAGTAAGCGGCACCACCCTGGGACATCTGCAGGACGATGGGGGACTTGGCATCGCGAGCGGCCTCAAGAGAAGCAACGACGGTTGAAGAAGAGGTGACGTTCTTTGAGTGGCAAACAGTTAGCTACAGAGCTTCCACTCGGGCGCAAACAAGAGAATGGGAGAAGCGGTTTTCATGCGCGAGACGTACAATGGCGGGAATGGCGAAGTTGTGCTCGCGGGCGTACTTGAACAGGGCCAGGACGTCATCGCCGACGATGACACCAGTCTTGCGGCTCAGGACATCGGTAGCACCCATTTTTGCGAGTTTTGGAGGTGAATAGGTAGATATAGGTCGGAATGAAGCTCGAAAGCGAATTCGTAGGAGAGAAGGTTTGATTGCTGCAAAAGATGAAATTGCGAGAAGAGTTTGTTAGCAAGGGAGCGTGCTAATAAAAGATTTTTGCCTATGACGAAGAGGAAGCGAGATAAAAGAAGAAGAGAGAAAAAAATAGTAATTGCTGGGTCGTAATGGCAACTCGTAACAGCGCGGGGTTTTTTCAGTCTCAATGCTCAACGTAATTCGGCGAGATGAGCGGCGAGTTGAGTTATCGATAGCGCAGCTAGCAGGCATTTGGAGGCTTTTAGGGGAGATAGCAGGAGGGCCAAGGAGGATCCGGGAGGGGCAGCTCCGTTGACGGATGGAACAGGCTGGCGAGATTTGCTGCAGATGCCGGATCTGACTGGCCCGTCGATGGCGGCGGGAGGGTCGACCAGCGCGTACGGCGTCTGCGAAAAGGTGGAGATGGCAATTGGTTGAGGCAAAGCACCGAAGGAAATGGAAATGGCTGGTTGAGTGCAGCTCAGGCCAGATCCAATCGCGGTCGTTCCATATTCTCTCACTCATGGCGTGGCTCTCGCGCCCGAGCTGCTCTGCCCATCTGGTCTCTCTCCCCTGCTTTGCTTTGCTTCTCTCATTCATTCATCCATTCATCATTCATTCTTGGTCTTAGTTTTGCATCAATTCAGCCGCCCAGCCTGTTCTCATCAATCGACATCCTGTGGCGCCTCGGATGCTCTACCGATTTTGCTGCTGCTTGCCTGCTGGGAACGCAAAGGTCATGGTGGGGCATGGAGGGGCAACGTGGGATAGGTGAGGGGCTCAAAAGACGTCAGGGCAGGCGAAATAAGTGGGAAGAGACTTACAGGGAAGAGGCCAGCTGCAGGGCAGGATAAGCAATTGGTGAGTAGCCGAAGATTAGGCGCGGGAGATGGGCCAAGGCGAAGGGTTGACGATGAGAGGAGAAGAAAGGAGAAGAGAGAGGAGAGAGGAAAGCTGGCGATGGTAGATCTGAAGTATGTCGAAACTAAGCACCAGCGAGCGGGGCCAGAGCTCCCACCAAGGCAAATCGTGTGACCTCAGCGCTGCTCCTCTTTGCCGGGAGCTTCTCCTGCCGTAGCCGAAGCAGCGGAAACATGCGGGAACGAAGGAAGCTTGGCTTATTCTTATGCTATCAATGCTACAGCATTACAGTACATCTTGACGGCCCAGCACAGCATTTATTAATAGCAGCGAGTGATTGGCTACGTTGATGGTTGCTAGTCCTGTATATACCCCGTCTCTTGCTTGCATTGGGTGAGACAGAGCACTGCAGATTGCTTGCAACTTTTCTCACTCACGCATGCTCTCCTGAGCCCAATGCCGCATCATACACGCAAAGTCCCCTTGGCCTGGTTCCCCCAGCTAATCCATCGGGATCCAAACGCTGTGGGTATTTGGTAACGAATATTGGAGATGGGGCCTGGCGGTCCCGATTTCTTCCAATGCAGGTACTTTTGACCCGGCGCGGAGTGAGAAACCGTTCGGGAGGTCTAAACAATAAACAACAAAACGACGGCAAGGATCAAGTTAATAATGCCAATGCTATTGGTACACCGCTTGTTCAGGCCAAATTTGCTAGAGAAGAGCAGTTCTCATCCCCTTTTAGACATTGACGGTGTTGCTCGATGCAAGAGTGGACAGCCGACGACCGCCCCTGGGAGCGATGCATTGCCGACGATTCCCGGAGCGCCCATGGCTGCTCAGGTACTCGGTAGTCAATAGAACGATGATCCACCACTTTTTAGCTTATATACTTGGTGTCTGGGGTAACTAATTCGTTTCCATCTGCCTACTACCTAGACTGCCTAGGTTTTACTAAGTAGCAGGTGGCATGTGAAGTACCTACCAGTCTTTCAGCCATCGTGCCTGTTGGCCCTTTTGTCGCTTATAAGGAACATATACAACACGTCTAATTGCCATGGTAGATCCTGCGTGATTCAGCATTGTTTGGCAATGGTAATGAAGCAATTTTACAATGCATAGTATTATTAATACCTACCTAGGCAAGTACTTTTTTTGCATTTGAAATTCTGTTTTCGTGTGATATTGTGTCATGAAGATACTGGGGCAGTCGAATTCCAAAGGTCTTGCTTCTGTAGTGTTGCTGATAAGATAAAGGCCCCACTGCCGTAGAACCGCGGGGAACTTCCAACTTCAACCCGACCTTTGTTTACTTTTGTTGATTCCTCACCATAAGTTTGCCCTTTCTGTTGGATCGGCCTCTACAAAAAGCTCATGGCCAAGAATATGGCGTGATGCCGAACAAAGGTGGCAGAAATCCATCAGGCCCGTGGGGTCGGCTCAAGCCTGTTGAGCAGGATCCCCTCGAGAGCATTGGCCTTCCGTCGAAAGGTGATACTAGGTGAGATGACATGTCCGACCCGAGTCAATTGTTTCATATCCATCATATGCAAAACTGTAGAAGAAACCAAAAAGAAAGAAAAGTCAAGAGTGTATCTATTGACGACCTCAAATTAGGTTACTAGACCTGAAAACGCAGGAGAGCTACTATACCAAGATAGTGGATCGGTATATGACATTCTGCTCTGACGCTGGACAACGAGACGAGCTGCTTCGAAGATTCTCAGCTTTGGAGCCTTCGTCCTCGAAATCTTCATCTTCAAATTCGTCTACAGCTCCGGTGACTTCTCGAAGAGTTTTGCCCTCAATTAATGATGAAACGCTCCACAGCCCTGCCAGCACCAAAGCTCTATCTGATGTGGTGGCCGCTCTGAGGAAACTCCGTGAGGGCATCGTTGCCACGAAGCGGGTAGATGACTTCGCCGTTCAGGCCTATCTTTTTTGCATCCGACTCTCCATTCTCGTCAAACATTCCGAATCCTACCACCCGGCCATTCTTCACCTGCTGCGCTCAATCCACCCGCACCATCCGCTCACATCGGTCGAGCTGCAAGAGGTGGTGGCTTATCTCGTGCTTGATGCCGCTTGTCGGCGCGGGGCTCTAGCAGAAGCCTTCGCTCTGCGACAGAGATATAGCTTAAAAGACACCAAGGTAAATGCAGCGTTGACAGCATTGGCGCACGACAACTATGTCCTATTCCAGAAGGTGAAGAGAAGCGTGGACGGCCATCGGGCAAGAATCATGGAATGGGCAGAAAGCGATCTAAGGATGCACACGCTCAAGTGTTTTGGAAGAACATATCTATCAGTCGAATTGGACTTTCTAGAGCAGGCGACGGGCTCAAAATGGGCCGACCTAAAGCAGGGTGATGGAGTCGGCTGGGACTTGGAGGGCAGCAAAGTGGTGATTCGCAAGATCAAGGCTCGATGATGGCAGAGGAGAGCTTGAGAAAGATGTGGAAAATGGGATAGGCGCGGCGTTATGGAAGTTTCTTTTGCTAATTAAAGACTATAGAACCATGTGTTAAGAGACTGTATACTACTATTAGTAAGTATATGTTGCAGTGTATCTTTGGCACTTTGTATTTGCTGCTGCCAGCTGTTCACGCAGTGGCTGCATCTGAGTCTCCAGCAACGAGCAATTCACTCACCTTTCGCCTTTGAGCACCCATTGCTCGACCATTCACTTGGCTTTCATAATGGGGCCAGTAACAGCTGCAGCATCGGAATCAAAACACTTGGACCCCGGATTAAATACGTTGAAACAGATAAGAAGCTACTCAAGCACGCACTTCCACCAAAGCTAAATGCGCGGCAACGTGCCTCTTCCCACCAACATCAACATCACATTCACTCATTCTACCTCTGTACATTTTAGCAAACATCATTTAGCCTATCACATTTGCATTGCCTCCAGCTTATCACCTCGTGCTGCCTCTTGTCATGGCACCGGCGAAGAAGCGGGCAAGAAACGCGCAGTCAGATGCTCAACCATCGTCGGTGCTCCTCGCGGATTACCGCACAGCTTGGCTGCTCGCGTACGTATCTATCTATTCCTTTGGCTATTTTGGCGCAATACTAATGATACTGCTGGCCCTTGCGTACGAATAGATCTGATGAGCCATCGGTTGAGATCATCTGCAAAAACGAATGTTTCAAGGTCCATACGAGCGTCCTCAGACAGCACTCGGAGTATTTCGAAACGTGCTTGAACAAGCCTTTTATGGAATCGGATGGCGTGGTGAAATTCGATGACATTGATCCCCGGTACATGGCATTCTATCTTGGTATAGCATATAGCTATTCGTCCATCATGCCGCACACGCCACCCGCAGCGTCCAAGAACCCTGAGGCCAGGGCTCAACGCACGCCTCTGCGCGATTATATCGAGGTGTTCAAGTTGTGCGACCGTTTTATCAGCATGCAGATGAGCGAATTCCTCCATAAATGCATCTTGACGAGCATTGGAGATGGGCATCGAGCCTTGTTTCGCTCATATGCCGACAGAGACCAGCAGAAGACACTGATGCGAGACTTTGCAGATGGATACGAGGCGCTGGAGCAAGCGCATCCAGTGCAGAAGGTGCTGGCAGAGAAGATTATTGAGTATTTCGCAGAGGGCATTTCCTACGATGCCTGGGACAGCTGCATGGAGGAAGTTATTGACCGTCCCAGGTTTGTAGCGCAAGTATCCAAGGGCTTTGCGAGGAAGCTAGCGGATGCAATGACGACGAAGACAAAGGTGAAGCGCAAGGAATTGGGAGGTCCATGAAGAAGAGCTCGAGAGGAGATGAAGCAATGGGATCACAAGCGGGAACATGCGTATCCATCTTGGGGATAGGCAAAAGTAGCTGCGAGCTGACAGGCATTTGCTCGAGCTTGTTTTTTTTGCCCCCGTCTTTACTTCCATTTTTCATTTTTCGTGATGATTATAGGCGATAGCTGCGGCATGAAGCTGAGGGCGACTGGGTGATGAGATGCACCGATATCCGAGTTGAGCATGGTAGTACCTAGACGAGAGGCGATTTTCTGGACCTGAAGTAACACTGGAACTGGTACGGCTAGATGCGGAGGGATGTACAAAACAGCTGCGAGACGGAAATAAAAACATGAAAATTTTTGAGAGGCGAAGCAGCGGAGTGATGAGATGAATATATTTGAATGTTGGCATAAGAATTGCCGCCTCGTGCGGCTTATATATGCTGTCAATTTCCACTACTACTGTTACTCTCCCAAGCTTGGTCAAAAAATCAGACTCCCCAAAAAAACGCCATCTTCCAACTCCCATTCAAATAATAGATGGGAGATAGAATGCCAGGATGTGTATAGTGATAACCCCCAAGAATAAAAAAACCATATGACAGATGCTCGCTTTGTTTTCCCATGAAAATGCCATTTTCGCCACACCCCAGCTCTAAATATGCCTCGGGCGCATTTCTCCTTTTTTTGTCGTTGTTGTTACTCTGAAAATAAATCACGAGTTTTTTTTTTACCTCCTCTCATACTCGGCAACGCCCCTCTCCAGATCCTCCAGGGTCTCGCGCCCGCCGTAGAGGTTCTCCATCATCCGCTGCCTGTCAGCAGAGGCCTGCTCGTTGGCGATGGCGTTGGTGCGGCGCTGGTCGCGTGTGATGTCGAGGTAGGTTTTGGAGGCGTAGCCGACGACGGAGATGACTGCAGCGGTTTTTAACCTGAAAATGTATACTATTAGTTTATTTATTCTTCTTTTATTTATTATTATTTTTTTTTTTTTCCGTATATATAATTTTTTTTTTTCTTTTATTTCATTTTGTTGTTTGGGGAGCTTATGGCTGCTTACCATCGGCGTATCGGAGCTCGGCGCGGTGGTGGTCGGAGATGTGGCAAGATGGACGGGTGCACTCTGGCAGCAGTTGAGAAGCTCCTGGCCATTTTGCTCATGTTTGTGGGGTGAAAGTATAGATGTAGATGTACAGATTGAAGACGAATCTGTTGTTCGTTTTTCAAATGCCTGCAGAGCTCTGTGTCTGATGTGCTGTGCTGTGCTGTGCTGTGCTGTGCTGTGCTGTGCTGCTATGAGCCGTCCAGAAGAAGAGCTGGAGGAAGAAGCTTCGTTTGTATAGTGTAGCTAGGCAGTAATGTATGAAGTAATAATTCGAAACCGAAGAAAACAAACGCCACCGTTCCCCCTCGAGGCTATTATAAAAAGGGTCAAGAAGGGGTGGCTCAGACTGCGCCCCCCCCCCCCCCCCAGTACAGTAGCAGCGCCAATCTCTTGCCTCTAATAAAGGGCCATTACCACGCTGCTTCTCTCGCCATGGTGCGGCCACAATAGAACGTGAAGTCGAACCACGAGCCATTTGCAGCCTAGTGTGGCCTTGCCGGTGCAGTAGCCGCGGCGTCCGATTCGACGGGAGAACGCGGGGAGGGGGCCATGATTTGCGTTTGCGGTGTGGAGGGGGAGTTCGGTTTGTGGGTAACTGTTTGGGTGGTGTGTGTGATCCGAGGTTATGAGCGTCTGGGATGCCATGGCTCGGCTGACCGGGTGCGAGAGTGAGAGCGTGAGTGGCAGTGAAGAGGAGCACGTGAGAAGGATGTTTCATTTCATTTCATATATAAGACGCTGCGTGTGTGAGAAGAGTAATTGGAGTAAGAGTATATGGAGTGATGTTGTCTTGCTGGTGTTTCTGAGCTGCTGCATAATATGTACTTACAACTTGCATGTGCATCATGCATGCGTTGTCAAACATTTCACCTGTGTGTTGCACCATTTTATTTATTTATTCAAAACATGCACCACTAATAAAGAAATACCCTGTCTAAATCTCGGCACTTGCGTTTTTTTTTTATATAATTCCGCTGCAGCAAGATACACACGCCCAGATTGTGGCTTCATCCAACGAGCTGCCATTCCCTCCCTCCCGCCAGCATCGGCTGATTTCCCCCTGGCAGTTGCAGCAGCAATCACGCTGTCGTCGCCTGACGCTGATGCACGCCGGAGATTCAGTATCCGAACAAAGATGCTCACACTGACAATGAAGTTTTTTTTTTTTTTTTTCCAATGCTTGATTGATTTCTGCTTCGTCTTGTTTGCTGCTGAATCGTACCCACGAAACTAAAACTGGCCCTTCTGAATGCCGTCAATTACCGCCTCTCCGGATTTGTCCGCTTCCCGACATTCCATGCCGTAATAATGGCCTCTTCTCCGGGCATGTTAGCCGCAAACAACCAGGCTTCGGCAGCCCAAAAGTCCCCCCTTGATAGCCGAACGCAGCTAGAATGCCAGGGACGACGAGAAGAAGAAGAAAGGAACAAGAATCTAATCTCACAGACCCGCTGTCACGTAGATTTCCCCTGCAAGATCCAAGCTACCCAGATTCGGGCCTTACACACTACTATTACAAGTATGTATCTGTACTGTCCAGGAACAGGAAGGAGGAAATACTACTACTACTACTATTCGGCATTCAATGCTGTGGCAAACCGTCACCATCGTCTTCTCCATCGTAATGTCTCTGCCTTGAGTCTCTCCACAACGGGCCCCTCGCCGCTGTCCCCACGCCGCCAACATATCCAATGTCCTTGTCCAGATCTAATCCCTTGATGATCCCCAGCGGCTTCGGCACCAGATCCGGGCTCTTCACTCTCCTCCTCTCGTCGCGTCTCGAGTCTTCCAGCAGCGGATACTTGTCCAGCCAGTCCTGCCACGCCTCGTCGCACTGCTCGCTGCTCCTCGTCGGCTCCCTCGTAAAGCACTTTTCTCGATCCATGAGCCAGTAGTGCAGCAGCACCGCCGAAAGCAGCTCTGCCACCATCCACGGCTCTTCCCACGCCCAGTTGCGCTGCCGCATGCGCCGCTCGCCATGGCGACGCCAGAGCTCAATCGTGAGCAGGAATCGCATGATGCAGCTCTCCTGCGTCCATTGCGCACGTTTCCCTGATGGCGTTTGGTCGGGCTGCTGAGGGGGCTGCAAGTGACGATGAATCAGCATCTCGGTGCGCTGACTGTCCTGCTCTGCTGCATCCAAGGCGGTGACGAGATCGCGGAATCGAGGCAGGGTGCTGGAGAGGGCTTCCCGGAGACGTGACTCTGCTGTGAAGTCGAAATCGTTCTTCTGACATGCTGTTCGAAAGCTGAGATATGCTGTCCTGACTGGCGGCGAAGTCGCAAAGGCTTCTATCGATCTCGCCTTGAGCAACACATCGCTCTGCTTCTCGATAGATGGCCACACCTCAGTCGTCACGAGATAGGCAAACTCGGTCAAGATATCTTTAACGAGGACGCCGTCTTCACTCTCATCCCTATCGTCAAGAATATACAAGGGGAGATAGATGCCACTGGTCTTGTATATACAGCAGCAGCGCAGCGAGCAATCCCCATTGCCGCATAGCCTCTCGCTCGGCAAAGGTCTACCCAGGGAAAACTGCTCTTGTAGACGCCGCTCCTCATCTCGTCGATGGCGCCGGAGTGTAAGAGCCACGGGACTAGGAGGGGAGCTGGAGAAGTGAGAACTGCTTTGCGGTGACGAATCCATGGTAGAAGATGATCTAACAAGCGAGAGAGGACGTAGCAGCCTTTTCACTGTGAGGGTAAGTTCACTTTATACAATTGTAGAAAAAAAGCCACAGCTCGATGGGGGGCGTAGACATGGCAGGCCGCATCCGGCATCAGCTGTACAAACGCCTGTGTTCGACAACAGTAAAACACCCACGGGTCGTCCGGTGATGTGGCTAGATGTGCGAAGAAAGCTACCTATCTGGCCAACATGAATAAAATACATAAGAGGTGGTATAATAGATACAAGAAGAAGTTGATGTTGGGGAATGGAACAGGGCTGCGGTTGATGGCGGTGAACTAAACCCAACAGCCTCCGTTGAACTCTATTTTTTTCCACAATGACACCTATGCACTTTGATGCATATCTCAAAGTAAAATTCACTCTTTCTCTTACGGATGGATTAATCCTGAGAACGGCGAACTCCCCTTGGTCAACGGATGAAAGGAGACGTTGTGTAGCCAAGTTGGAATTCAATGCTCACACGTCCATCAGCGAGCGCAAACAAACAGTAATAACGGCTAAAATTCCCGCACTTGGCAATTTCAATAAAAAGAAGAAGAGAAGAAAAGAATAAGGAAAAAAAAAAAAATAATAATAATGCTCTACCACAAGAAACCTCTACATTTGCGGCTCCCACACAAACACTTAGCCATGTGCGCTCCATTCCCCCTCTCCATCTCGGCCCCATCCTCCGTCACACCGTCCACATAATCAAACGTCAGCTCCTCCCCAGCAGCAATCTCCCGGATGGCAAACAGCGCAAGGTCGTGAATGTGCTTGTCCGCATGGTCGCCCACGCGCGCAAAGATGCGCAGGTTGGGCTCGCACGAATGGTTGATGAAGCGCGTCGGCCCGGAGAGGAACTCGCCGTCCACCTCTAGCGGCGGGCCCTTGAGGCGCGGGTCCAGCGACTCTGGGTTGGTGAATTTGTCGAGGGCAAAGAGGTAGACGTCCTTGCGCTGGGAGATGGCGGAGGCGGCGCGGCGACGGTCGGCTTCGGCCGACGTGATGATTTCGCCGAGGTAGCGGTCGACGAACTGGCCCTTTTTTATGGCGACTTGGGCATGGACTCCTGATGATGAGGATGGTTAGCAAGGTGTTTCTCTTCTTCTTCTACTTCTTCTCCTCCTCCTTCTCCTCCTCCTCCTCCTCCTTTTTGTTCTCCCTCTCCCTCTAGAGTATGCATAGCACATAGATGGACTGGACTTACCCCATCCCCTATCCGGGGTGCGAAAGATTTGCAGTGGAATCGTCCGGCCGCGTTCAACCACTCGGTTGGGACAGTCCTTGGAACATGAGCAGCCTGCATGGCACTCATACAACGGCTCCTTGGAATTCAGCATCTTAGACCTCAGCAGTCCCTTCTTGGCGCCATGCGAGTGGTAGGCATACGCCTTTCTCTTCCCCTTGCTGTGCCCGTTTGCCCCGTAGTTATCGTCCTGGTACCCGTCCTCATCGGCGCTGCTGTTCTCCATGTCTTCCAGATCGGCGAGACAGTGGCAGCCCATGAACTGACAATCGCCATCCCGCTCGCACGAGCATCCGCTGCGGAAACTATCCTCAGCTGCTTCGACGCCATCGCCTAGCACCATGCGGTCTATGAAGCGGAAGTTGGGCGGGATGACGGCCCCGTCCAGGCTGTTGACGATGGAGACGGGAATGTCCTTGTGCGTGGGAAAGGCACGGAGCTGGCAAAAGTGGCAAGATTCTCTCTCACCTGCGTGTTCCTGGAAGATGGGGATGAGTTGAGATTTTTCACCAGGGCGTGGATCAAATACTGACCGGCTTGTCATGGAAGAAGAAATGCTGCTTTGTGACTTCCTCCATGGTTTGTGTCTAGGTAGTATTTATCTTCTAGATGTTTTGCCTTTTACTTGATAAATGTGCTCTCTGCGGTTTTCTTTCTGCTCACGGAATGTAGCATCCAGTCATCGACCATGACCTTTGGCTCTTGTTGGTGAACGACATGTAACGCGGTGGCGGTGATGAATTACGTGCAAATGGGGGGAGAACAAAGGCAAGCTTAAGTTTTCATGAATGAAGAAAATTTTAAAGCCCCGGATAAATACGCATCATAAAAAACCAACAACAACGAGTGATGGTGATGAATTTGGATGAGCTTCGTGTCTGGGGTAGCGGACTGAGGGATGCTGACTACTGCATGCCCGTGTTTTGTTTTCGACAGGCTGAGCCGGCGCCTACCCTAGAGCCTCGGTGAGCGCCACGGTGAGGCATGCAAGCCATTCGGTGAGGCGGATAGATGGAAGGCCCATGCTCGATCCACAGCAGACGAAGTGGGGGAGGCGAGACGAAGCAATTGGCGATTTACACGTATATCTGCATCTGGCTGTGATGCCTCTTTGGTCGTGACGAACCTGAATCGGGCTGCGCTGGAATACGCTGCTGCTAAGCATTACGCGAGCAGTGGCAGGCCATCGTTAAGCGACTATGACGTCCGTGTATCCACGACTTACAGCCTCTGCTGGATCTTGGAGTCAGCAGTCGTATCACATCACGCTATTGCCTCCTCAGCTGCTGTAGATACGACGTGCCCGAAAGCTGCTCCTCTTTTCTCGCCTAGACCGCATCCACGCAGTCAACGACGGGGTGGCCAATGAAACGGCGGCTGTTTGCCTTGATCTCTCATCACACCCTCGATTGCTGGGCGCCATCGCTTCTGCATCGCTTCTGCACAGGGCTTCAGCGGAAGCCTTCAGTGGGTTGGCCGTTTAGCCTTTGGAGCACTGCACGTACCCCTCACGCACGTGTAAGGGAGCTGCAGCGGTTCTCTCTCCGCTCCCAATCGGCATCGTCTCCAGGCATCGTCTCCAGCATGTCTGGCTCCTCTCCTCGTCTCCTCTCTCTCTCTCTCTCTCTCTCATATGCAAATACATGCATGCATAGCATTAAAATCATGTATTAAAAAGGCATCAACAAACAGTCACTTCTCCTTTCTTCTCTCCTCTCATCTCATTCTCCCCATTATTATCAGCAGCCAAAGGCAAACAATATAGCAGCAACAGTGACATACTAGCTATTCACTTGCTCTTACGTATCGCCTACAACCCTGTCGAGTTCCCCCGAATCCCGGCCCTCTCATCCTCGCCAAACGACCAAAGAAAAAAAAAAAGACTTCGGCTCGAATCCACCTCGCCTCTCTAATATTCCTCACCAGAAAGCCAAAATCTCTCGTTTCTCCCCGCCACGGCCGGGAAAAAGATAGTTTCCTCTACCTCACAGCCACAAAGTTGCGCCAGTCAGCTGCGCCGCTTCCCGACCAAGCTCCAGTCTCGCCATCAGCGCTCCGGCCGTCACTTTGTTTTCTCCCATCTTTTAAGCTTGCGGCTCGAAAGAGAAGCAAAAGGGAAAATTACCCGTTCCTCGACTTTGCCACCGGACAGTCTCTTTTCTTCTCTTTTGGCCAGTTTCCATCCTTCTCTCTTTACTTATAGCTCACTAGCGAAGCTGGCAAGCGAGAGACTGGCATCTGTGGCCAGATCTGGTATGGCGTTGGCCAACTCACCGTCCAGCAGCTCTTTGTGGACAAGCTGAGACCAAACAACAATCGCAACGTCACAAACAGGACGACAGCCGTGCATCATGGTTCGTGTCCTCTCCCCTCCTCTCCTCGTCTCCTGGTGCATCGTTGGAGCTTCTCCTCATCCTTCACCACGTACTAACTCTTTGCGCCAGGGCTGTTGTTTCTCTCGCTCCGCGGGTCCAAACTCGCCTTACCCCGGTGGCGTCCCCGATGCCTCCTCGCGCGCCGGCAATCCTCCTCCCTTGACCCTGCCCGAGGGCATTCTATCGGGGGGCTCGCAAACCGCTGCCTCGGTGCGCCGTCGCCGCCGCGATCAGACCCACCGCGAGCAACCCCGTCGCGAACGGCCCCCTCTCGACCAGCACATCAACCGGCCGCTGCGCAAGCACGAATGGACGTCCGCACAGCGGCGATGGACCCGGCGCGAGCTGGCCAAGGAACGCGAGGAGTTCTTCGAAACGAGAGTCGTCTGTAGGCCGGAGATCTGGCAGACGCTACATGCCGCATTGCAGGTGCTGTGGGAGGCGAACCCGGAGGATTCCCAGGACGAGGACAGTGCGCTGGCCACTGCGCAAACCATCCTAAACGCCGCCGAGATCTCGCTGCCCACGGGCGATCTCGTCAACGGCGCATACGACTCGCTGGGCAACTTGTATGCGCTGCCCGAATACATAGTATCTGATCCGGACAACTTGGCGGATGACAATGACCCGGACTTCAAGGGCGATACGTCTACGGCAGAGGAAGAGACTGCGGGTGAGGAAGAAGACGATGCCGATTCCGAAGAGGCCGAGAGAAGACGGGAGGAAAAGGGCAAGGGAGTGCTTGACGAGCGAGAAATGGTTACTCTGCGCGCACGACTGAGCGAGACGGGCCAGGATATCATAGTCCCGGTCACCAAGACTGACAGCGTTAGGAGCGTTGTCAAGAAGATTACCGAAGTATCAGTGGTAAGTTGTTGATTTGTCTGCTGTTGATATCTCTGCATCAGTTGATACATGTACTAAATGCTCTTCGTTTCTAATCTAGGCCCCTTCTGAAAAGAAGATTCGCCTCGCTTACATGGGAAAGATACTCAAAGAGAATGCGTCTCTCGAGGCCCAGGGATGGCAAGTCGGCCATGTCATCAACGCCCTCGTCTTTAACCGATGACACTACTTTCACTCTTGATTGTTTCTATCCTTCTTTTCTTCCTTCTCGGGTCCATTTATACAACATTTGCCATTGGCACTCCTTTGGCATTTACATCTTTTTTTTTTTTTTTTTTTTTTTTTTTTTTTCTTTTCTTTTTTTTTTTTTTTTCCATCATCCCGTTTTTAATGTTTGGATAAATACCCCCTTCATCTCACTTTTCACGCTACAACTCGGAGTTTTTTCTTTTTTAACGGAAGCATATATCCCTTTGTATGGTGCTCGCATTGCATCTTTAGTACAAGAACATCTTTTTTTCTACTTCTTCTTTTTTAATACCCGACATAATAAAAGATTGCCTGTATATAGCGTGGCGGGTGGATAGCTGTTTACCAACTGCGGAACAAGACAAAGAACTGGCTTCTGCTTCGACGTTCATGCCCCGTCTATTGGAGAGAAAGCATATTACTACTACTAGCTAATTGCGTTGACAAAATATATATAATCAAAACCTACTATCAGCGTCTTGGTGTCTCATAATTTAAAAAAGTAGTCACATATCAAAGCATACGTAGTAAAATAAGAGTCTTTATATATTTGTAAAGATTTTGAATCATCGCCTACTAAATTCACACAGAGCTGGTCCCACCCTATTCATTGTCGGCGTCTTTTTTCCCATTCCCTCCTTTTTGTTCAATGCTGGATTGAAAGTGGTCACCAAGACGCCATATTCTTCCATGTAGCTCCTGCCCCCCATCATCTTCCTCCGGTTCCCTCTTTGCCTTGTTAATAATGAATAAGAAAAGAAAGGAAACAACACCACCATCTTATATCTACCTGGTTCTACAAACAAAGGCAAAAAGAAGATTCATATCTCCCACACGAGTACGCGCGAAACAAAAGTATAAAAAAAAAGGGGGATTCGTAAAATTATCTAATTTTTTTGTGTGTAGTCTTTAAAAAAGTCTCCTCTTCCTTTTGGCATCAGGATTTCCTCACGTCTAAGCGGCCGAGCCAATCTTATTAAGACCCTTTAGTGAGCCCAGACTAAGGGCCAGGCCTTGTGACCTGCTCCTTATCCGCACGAAACCTGTGATGGGGCCGTCCTCTCCCTCCTTTTCGATGCTCAGATTGGCCAAAGCATCCTCACCTGCAGGGACAGTGTTAGCAATAAGTTCGTATATGTAGCTGTAAATGTATAGTATAACCAAAGTCTGTACTTACCAAACACACTGCGAGCGTACAGATTTGCGCTCAAGAACTGGCAGTCTCCCTTGAGACTGGCCTCGGGTGTCAAGCAGTTCATATTTGTGCAGGCCATGAGCTGATCTAAGAACTCGCGTAGTGACTTGGCCTTGGAGTTGATGTTGACCTTGTTCTCCCACTCAAACTCTGTCCACATTGTTCGGAACTGAGTCTCGGTGCATGTGGCAGGCTGGATGTAGTCCATGATATCGACGTGCAGGTCGTTCAGAATAACCACGTTGGTGTCGGTTGAGTGAGCGCCATCATAGACGACGTTACCAAAGATGACGCCAGTGTCGGTTGAAGAGACCTTGATGGTGCACTGCACGTTGTGGAAGTCGTGGGGTCCTAGATTTTGTGTTGTCGGTCGCTCAACAACCTTGAGGTCGCCCAGTGTTGCGAACTCGACTGAGAGGTTCTGAAGGGTGTCGGTGGTCTGGTTAACCAGCAACACATCCAGGATGATGTCAAATTGGTGCACCTTGACATATGCCTCGGCATATACAGGGTCAGAGAAACCAGTCAACTGAACGACACGGCTGAGCTTGGATGTGAGATCTTCGGCACCTCCTTCGCCGCCAGTTGCCCTTTCCAGGTCCATCTCGATTTCGTCCAAGCCTTCAGTGGCATTCTTTTTGGACAGTTGACGAATTGGAATGATGTCGTCGACCTGAATAGCAGTCTTGGCCTTCTCGTGGGCCTCTTGGGCAGCGCGCTTGGACTCCTCAACCTGGACCATGGCGCGGAATGCCTTGCGTGTGTCGTCGAGCCAAACTGCTTCCAGCTCCTTCTTTTCGTTGAATTCCGCGAGTGAGCGGACACAAGCCATGATTCGGTCAACCGAATCTTCGTCAATGGGCGCCTTGACAAACTGGGACTGTCCAGCACGAATGATTGAGATCATGATGAGCATAGCCTCGGCCTTCAAGGCGTTGGTGCGCGCCTTTTCGGCTGAGATTTCTGAGTGGCGCATCACCAGCTTTACCAGTGTTGAAGACAAGACTGTTGACAAGTAGTAGTCTCCATCGAGGATAAGCTGTCGCAGAGGGGGCTTCTGGGCGGCCTTGACGGCCTCCAGCTTGGCCGCGGCGGATGACTGGCTGGTAAGAGCAGTCTCGGTCGCATAGGTGCCGTCGGCGAGCACCTTTCTGGAGCCAGTGGGCGCAGCGGGCTTCGAGTTACCGTTGGTCTGATCATCGTTCTTCTCATCGCTATCCTGCTCTTCCAACAGTCTTTGCTCCGATGCGACAATAGGGATCTCTCCCAGACTGGCTCGGATTCCTTTCCAGGCGTCCCGAATATCCTTCTCTTCCAGAGAATATTCTCCGATAATCCAAAGGATGCCACGGTAGACCTTTCCGGCACGGACTTCACTGAGAGTTGAAACAAGACGGCGCACAATGGTAGGTCGAAGCTCAGGGAACTTCTCGACAACCTCCTTGACGAAATTTATAACGTCGACGGCAGAAGTATTCTTGAAATCGGCGATAAAGTCCATGAGAAGCTCCACTACACTGGCGGCAACCTCTGAGAACTTGATGGCGCACTGGTGGATAGTGTGGATAAGAAGAGATCGGTATTCGGTGTTCTTCTCATACTCTTGGTCAACCGTCTTGGAAAGTTCCTTCTTCAGCAGCAACACTACTTCCTCAACGTTCTTGCTAGAGACCATGGACAGGGAGAGCTCAAGCGCCTTTTTGCGGACGTCGATATCTGTGCTGCTAAGGACTCGTAGGATCTCCATAACCAGGTCATCTAGGACGCCTTCGTTCTTCTGGCGCAATTGGTCCACTCGGTCAAGGACAATGAGTTTGACGTTGTTGTCCGCCTCCTTGATGCTCAGCTCGATAAACTTGGATGCTGCAGCCTTGACGGCAACAGGGTTATTCGTCAAGGCAGTCAACGATGAAGCCGCCTCATAGACGACAGTAGATGCGCCGGCTTCCAAGAGGTCGAAAATTAATCTCAGGTATCGAGCCTATTCCTATCAGTTTACGAGAACTCCGATGAAGACTACGGTGGGTAACACAGGCCGCTGAATATCCATACCTTGTTCTGAGAGTTCTGTACAGCGTCTTTGCGGATAAACTCCAGTTCAACTAACTGCAATAGTTCCTCGGCATTAGGAATTCCATCAAAGACGGAGCTTAGATATAGGAGAGCAGCGTCGTGGTTGATGCTGGCGAGAGCTGCGAAAGCATTCCTCTTGCAGGTGGCATCCGTCTCAGTCTCTAAAAATGTTGCAATCAACTCTGCGGCGTCGGGAATGAGAGAGGGCGAGTGCTGGTAGATGGAGGCAACAGCGAAGACAGCGTTCTTCCTGACGTAGGCGTGTCGGTGCTCGAGGCAGGATCGTGCTGAAGAGAGAAGAGGCTCAATGAGCTCGGCCTCTCTGAGCTTGCAAAGAAATCGCAATGTGTTGCCACGGATGTACTCGTTGGGGTGTTGCAGATCGTTTCGGATGCCATTGCTTCATGATAGTCAGTCGATTGGGGTTCTCTCGAATGGAGGGGCTGCCAATGGCATGCATGCACTGGGCCGACTAACCAGACTAGAATCATTTCTTGCTTTAGCTTTCCGGCCGCGTCAAGCTTTGGGCATATCTCGTAGTAGAAGTAGAGGAGCTTCTTGAGCGGCTTGTACTTGGAGGGCATGACGAATCGGATGATGTGCATGAGTAGTGATGGCATCGGGTCGCCGTTGAGCATAATAGTCAAGATACGCTTCATGGTGTCGACCTTGCTCTCGTCGGTGCCCTTCTCCAGCTGCATGCGCAGGTCGGAGAGGGAGGGCACGTCCGAGGCATTGTCCTGGTGCACCAGGCTGTAGGCGTTTTCCAAGAATCCAGACATGATGGCTGATTTCGTAGTCTGCAGATCAAAGAGAGGAGAGTCGAAAAGACTGGGGGAAATTGAGCGATTCGGCCCAGCAGGATCGTTGCGTCGAGGCAGCGGCGGTGGGGGGAGGGATAAGGGGCCTTAGGACGAGGTGGGAGGGCGAGCTTCGAGTGTTGCAGAAGTCCGAGAGCTCACCAGAGCCATGTGCCAGAGAGTTGTCGCGGCACCAATTCCAGGGCTCAAGCTGCCAGAATCGCCAGGAGGGGTCGGCAGAGCTGGCTGGCGTCTGGGCGAAGTTGATGGCGTTGCTGTTTGGGCGGCTTCAGACAATCTGGCTCTTTATTGGCGATGGCTCACTGGGACAGGTACAGGTGGCACCAAGCAGCGTCGAGAGCCAAACGTGGGGTCTCACGTGATGGGAGCTGTGCTACTGCTCAGCAGCGCTACAGTACAGCCACTGTTGTAGCGCGCTATCGACTCACCGCATTGATTTCTGCCGTGCCCCACCATCCAGTGACGCTGGAGCTCGCTCGCAGCCTTGCGACAGATTAAGCCTGGGAACAACTTGCCGAGACAACAGCAGCAACAATGACGGCGCCAAACGACCAATTCTATATCCGCTACTAGTAAGAGACCATCTATTGCGCATGTCTAACTATCGACTGTAGCGGTTACTGATTTTATGCTCAGCTCCGGCCATATGGGCCGGTTTGGCCACGAGTTTCTAGGTGCGATCTGGACACCACCAGCCTTCCTCCCTTAACCCTCGATCAGCAGTTCCAATGCTTACACGGGAATATAGAATTTGACTTTCGTGTCGTCGGCGATGGGCGCAGCGCGGTCGCTAGATATGCAAACAACTCAAACTACAGAAACGACAGCCTGATTCGGAAAGAAAGTACGGACACATTATGCCCATAGCTGCGTTTCATTTCATTTGGAAAGAGTTGCACGTATTAATACGAGGAAAATAGTGTGCGTGAGCTCTGCAGTCATTGAAGAGATCAAGCGGATCGTGAAGCAAAGCGAAATCATCAAAGAAGACGACTCAAAATGGCCGCAAAAGAACAAGGACGGCCGTCAGGAGCTGGAGATCCGGCTAGGAGGCGATCATATTTCATTTGAGGTTCGTCTTGGTTCTAATGTTGAATTGTAAGTGAAACTAACTCCTCGATAGACGGCCAAGATTGGATCATTAGTCGACGTCACAGAATCAGCAGATCCCGAAGGCCTCCGAGTCTTTTACTACCTGGTGCAAGACTTGAAAGCGCTCGTCTTCAGTCTGATAGCGCTTCATTTCAAGGTTAAGCCAATCTGAGTCGATACTGGGGAACGGCGGCGAAACAAGCAAAAGTTATGATACCAATTCGACCTCGAAGATCGCACGACTGTAGCCTCCATGACAGTATGTGGTGCGTGGTAGAAATAATCCAGGTCTAGGCTGGCGTATGGGGAAATTCAAAGACAAAAAATCAGCTCACTTGATCTTTAGCAGTGGTTTGGTATAGCTTTGGGACGAGAGATGATGGTAATGTTGTGCATTAATTTGTTTACATAGAATACAGCTAAAATGGACTGTCAATCGTCTCCTTTGGGACTGTCATCTTACATGCGTGGCGAAGAGCCGTCATGTCTCAGGGGGCTGTTGTCTTTTCTTTTCTTTTTTTTTTTTTTTTTTTTTTTTCTCTTTTTTAACCCTCTTGCCAAATCTAGACTCGGCTCCGTAACATCGGTAAGCAGTAGTAGTACCTATGATGGAGTACGATGTGCATGTGATAGAACGTCAGATCTACAAGTATGCTGATAATCTACGACACAAGAGTAGCACGTTTAGCTCTTTTCATATGTTAGATCATGAGACACTTCAATCAATCAGTCGGCTACTTTATCTTGATCAAGCCATGCAGCCATGCTCAACGGCGAGTGGGACTTGGGCTGCATCTTATCTCGCCGACGATCCACATTGTGGTGGCTACTAGCAGTAGTACGTACTTAGCAGTATGTATGCATACCTTATGTATCACCACGTAAACGAGAGTCAAAGGGTCCGCCGCAGGAGGCCAGGGGGGATTTGCAAGATGTAGAGACGCACAAGTTTCGTTTTGTCTCGTTTTTGGAAATACCTAATAGCGCACACGCTAATCGCCTCTATGCGTTAGTGCTCGTGAATCTTCGCAACGTCTTCCGTATAAGAATATTACCGTAATCTTCGAGAGAGTTCCTGGCTAGCGAACGGTATAGGTAATAACTGTAAAGAGCAAAGAGTAATACTATCTACTACTATTTTGTTACCGCGTAATATGGCAGCACTGCATGTAGGTAGTAGTAGTAATCTTCCATCAGCAGCCTCGCTATCCATCCTCCCCGTCAAGTCGTCCCACTAGCATCTGCCGTCTCCGCAAATCTCCATCTCACCTCTGTCAAAGGTACTGTGTACTTGCCCGTCCCAAGACATGGAATCGCTCCCCGGGTTTTGAAACCGCCTTGCCGCCTAGATGCCTGCTTCAACGCTTCTACCGTTGCCTCCAAATTCGACACGAGGCGGTATTACTTCTCTTTTTCTGTGGCTCAGCCTGCCTTAGCCCAGTGCCTCATCCATTCACGCAATTGCTTCGTGCTGCTGTCATTGGGCAGTGGTACCGCTACCCGCGCCGAGCCCACCTGGCAGCACTATAAAGTGGGCGCGCCTGTTAGTGGTGCTGTCGTTCGAAATACAGGGAAACAAGGCCCAAAGTTTGCCTCCCGAGGAAACGCCATCATCTTCTCCTCGCCGTGTGGCTTTTCGCATTCTTTGCCATCGCCATTCTTCGCTGTTCATCAACTCCAGCACGTGCCATTGCGAGATGCACGCCGCATCTCATCCCTGAAGAGTCTCGTCCCCAGCGTCGCCGGCCGCCTTGCCGCTCTCGGACCTGTCACCATCACCGCCAAGTCCTTCGACTCTATCACAACTCCATCCGCTCTTGGCCAGCTCAAACACCCCTACCATCAACATCTTACCCGCAAAAAATCACAAACCAGGGACAAAGACATTGGGATTTATTAATTATTCTCTTTGTTTGCTCTGATCACGTTTCCTACCTCTCCAACTGCGCACTTGCCCTTCTTCGCTTCCCTCCACCAGCCTTGCCTGCCACAGCCAGACTCCGGCCTTACTAGCTAGCAAAGCTGCGATAATGCCGACTCCATCCTCCAATCCGCCTCCTGATCAATCCTCTCCGCCCCCCTACGGCTTCTCGACATGTCCTGAAGATCAACCACATCCCTCACGAGCTGCTCGTCAGACACAAGACGGAGCGCGACCGACGTCGGACACAGAAGTCAGTCAGAGCTCGTCGACAAGCATTGCCTCACCTACAGCCCATTCGTCCGAGACTTCTCACGACGATCTAGCCGCAGAAGAGTCGGTGTTAATAGACGGCCAAACTTCTGCTGGAGCTTCGCCCATGGATACTTCAGCATCTCTGCGGCCGCTATCTAGCGGGACGGTTGCGACCTCTCCCATATCGAGTGAACGAGACGATGACCTCAAACACCAAGGAGTCGACCCAAGCGGTCGCTTAAGCCGAGAGTCGTCCACCTTGTCGGGGACCCTGCAGGTCGACAACTCGGACTCGTACCAGCGTGAGCCCGACTCATTGGAATGGCTCGAGCAGGAAGATGAATACAACGCCCCGCCCATGCCATCTGACTGCACATATATAAGGGTAAGAATGCAGCCGTTCTTGTCTAATATTCACTGGTAGAGTGCACTCAGCCTGCTCACACTGTATGCAGAAAATTCCCATCTCTGCGTCATCATTCCTCCGACCTGGAAGCAAGTTCCGCGGCACACAGCAATCTGAAAGACAGGTCTACGAAGTCCAGGTCGAGATCAAGCATGTTGACCTGCGCGAATCCTTCCTCTGCGGTTACTTGCGCATCCAAGGTTTGTCGCTCCAATTCGGCAGCATTCTCAAGTTGCGTCATAGCTAACCAGCCTGGCCCATTCGGATAGGACTGACCGAGGACCACCCGACACTCACCACCTATTTCGAGGGAGAAATCATCGGCACAAAGTACAACTTCTTCACCAAGCACGATGACTGGGGCGCAAACTACAAAGTGGACATTAGCCACTGGTCCAAGTTTAGCGCTTTCCGGCCGTACCAGAAGATAGCCCGCAAGGGTCCCATCACCATCACTGACCTGGCACAAAGAGATCACATTTTCATGCGGTGGAAGGAGCATTTCTTAGTTCCAGACCACCGAGTGCGAACAATAATTGGAGCTTCTTTTGAAGGCTTCTATTACATTTGTTTCAACCAAGTCAAGGGAGAAATAAGTGGAATCTATTTTCACTCCAAGAGCGAAAAGTAAGCCATCACCGTCCACATCGTCTTCCCCTCCACTCCATCCTTCCATACACGTGGAAACTAATACCCCATGCCTAGGTTCCAACAGCTGGAGTTGAAGCATGTCCCCGACCGAGGATGTTTCAGTGCCATGGAGTTTCGGTAAACACTAAAGCGATGATTTTTTATTTGTTGACTAATAATGGACACTATATATGGCATCGATACCATCAAGGAAATTTCTTTTCCTTCCCTTCTTTCTTTCTTTCTTTCTGCTCTTTGCTCTAATTTTCTCTCTCTCTCTCTCTCTCTCTCTCTCTCTCTCTCTTTGTTTCTTCCGAGAGGATCAATTATGGAAGGTGTTTAACGGGATATATACATAGCATGCGTGCAAGGAGCCTGGCTTTTTTGTATAGGTTATGTCGGGATGCACTGCAGGGATTTGCACGGAATATTTGGCTGGTACGAGGAAGTGTGTTAGCTATGAACGCGATGAATATGAATAGATGGAACATGCTGGTGTGGTAGTACCTTGAGAGCTTTATTGAATGACTATTTGAAGCATTTGTTATTTAGGAATAGGTAGGCACGCGATGCAAGTTATCTTCGGGTGAGCAGTGCAGCATATAATTTGGAAGAGAGGGCGCGTCTTATGATTCAGCCTCGAACTTTCTAAAGTAGCCTCGCCGAAAAGGGTTGAGGTCGTCTGCTGTTGTGCCTGTGTTTGCGGCTGCTGCTTCGGCCCTCTGCTTTTCATGTGCTTCAAGATCAGACTTTGAGACTTGGGAGTCTGGCAGCCGCCGGTAGGTGATCAATCTTCTTGACCCTGTTGAAGTAGTTAGCCTAATAAGATCCCACCGTATCGCTGAAAAAAAAAGGGGGGGGGCCAGTTAATGCTCAAGGCGTGGTGGGTGTAATGCAAATACATACATTTGTTAAAAACCTGGACGCATACTACAACCACCTCGAGGCAGGGATGCGCTGGAACGGGGATTTCTTGCTCTTCGTCGTTTGCTGTGGGCATCCAGAATGAGAGCCTGCCGTTATCTACAAGAGTGTCTGATGCGAAGGCGAGTATGTCGTCGAGCATAGTGAGGAAGCTGTATGGTTTCTTGGGAGGAACGTAGTCTGGTGATCTGGAAAAGGCAGCGTGTCAGCCATCACTGCATAGCTCTAAGGGCGTGAGAGGGCACAAAATACTTACTGCCACTCATTTACGCCCAGCTCAATCAGCCATGTCGCATTTTCAGGGTTCTTTAACCCGAGAACTTTCAGTCCTTCTCTGACTCCGTAAGGCGGATCGCATACGACTCCATCCCAGATTCTTCGTCGTCTAATAGGTGTGTTTGTTAAATCCGCAGAAAAGAATCCTCCAAGCTGGGGCTTCAGCCCGTACTGAGCGAAATTGCTGGGAAGATTCTTCTTCTTGTTACCTTCGCCGCGCATGCTCCGTCCATCAATGTCGCTGCCCCAGCCAATGGCCCCGAAATGCGCGCAGGCAATAGGGAACGAACCCGTGCCGACGAATGGATCGTAAAAGAGCTTTCCCGGCGCCGCATGGGCGATGTTTGCGGTGACGAGAGAGAGCTCGGCGTCCATGCTGGTAGTGGAGATGTACTTGCGCTTCTTGAGATCGTACTTGTGGATGATGTCGCGGGCGGAGGTTGCGACGAAGCGGCCCAGGCGGATGCTGTCCGGGTGCTCAATCTTTAGGGGCACGCTGTTGAAGGGCCAGAGCTCGAAGACGGTGAATGTGTTGTCCGGCTTGGACATGCGGATGGGGCCATCGAAGGGGAGGTAGCTGAAGGAGTTGATGAGGGCGAGGCGCTCCTCGTTGGAGTGCGCTCCTTGGTAGGAGTCGACGACGAATTTGAATGAGGTTTCCTTGTATTGAGGCCAGAGATGGGGCGTTTGGGATTTGATGGCTTCGTGGAGAGCCTCGAGGGTTGCGCCTGTGCCCCAGAGTTCGTGTATTGAGTGAGCCATGACTGAGCGACGGAGCAGCTTCTTTGCGTCTTCTACTGATGGGAGCTGGACGACGCAAAATGGAGACTGTGGTGATAGAAATGAGCAAAAGAGTTATTGTTATGGGAGAATAGGTCTGCTTTCCTTACCTCGCTGCTGTATTCTTTGACTTTGAGATTGACGCCCTCGAGGACGGCGAGGGCTTCGATTTCGGGGAGCCTGAAGGACTCATGTTCAGACGCAAACTTGATGACGAAATCCATTTTGAAGTCCAATATCGGTATTTTTTTTTTCCTTGTGTACTTTTCTGTGTATTCAGATGCGTGTGGTGTGTTTCAGGGTATCTTCAAATGAGACTGGGTGTGTATGTGTAAAGTTCTACAATGGGAAATTTTTCTAGGCCGTGTATTCCTTCCTTCTATATTTCATAAGGTGACAGTCATGAATTCTAGGGCCGGAAATCAGTAATTATTCAATTTTAACACAGTTTAAAATGCACTTACCATATGCTTCTTAAGGAACGTCAGAGCGATGAGATTTCGTCTCTTTAGTTTATATAAATGAAAATTGTCTTGTATTTTAATAGCCCCGCCAAAAAAAGAGGAAAAAAAAAATTATGAGTTCTTATCAGGCGCCGCTGCGGGAGCCAGTGGCTTTAACCCACAAGTACCTTGTACCTGCCCGTTCATCTCACTTTTAGCTTCTCCCTCTAAAACTCGGCTCAATCAACTAAAGCTGCAGCTACAAATAACGACAATTCATATACAGCATCGTCTTACTTCTCAAGCCGCTCACTTCAACGCATTACACGTCCCGACAAAATCATGTTACATCAGGCTCCGTCGATATATCAGTCGCCAAAATGCTTCGTCACGTACGGGACAATGGGGCACGTTGATCCGAAGCAGGTACCGAGTAGAGGAAAGCCTTGGACAGCCATGTCTGAGCTCGACTTTATTCACAAGGTTGGCAGCCCAAAATTTTGAATTGCTTTATAGATTGTTAACTAAAGACAGGTTGATTTGATTGTTCCTCGGGATATACATGATATCGTTGCCCAGAAGATGGCTGAGCGCGAATCGCCCTCCTATTACAGAATAGTCATGACGCTTGGCCAAGTCCTGGAAACGCAATTTCTTACTCAATACATCAAACTGGGTGTGTAAATCTTCTTCTTTTTTTTTTCTCTTCCTCTCGGGGTTTGGCAATTTTCCCAGCGCCAATTTTCTCCCTGTCACTGTCTTCAAAACTAATACCAAGTAGGAAACATCATGATGCTGTCAGAAGGTAAAACAGCCATGGGGCAACTATTCACTCTTCGAGAGGGAATTCTCAATCTCTACCTCGATAGGGAAACATATGAGCGCGCTGGACTCGAAGGAAAGCCTTACGGCATCAAAGGTGACCGGGGATCCAAGCCTAGGTGGAGTATGTTTTGAACTGCCCTGTGCTGAGACTTGGCGTGGATGCTAATGAATTAAACAGGGATATCATATAACCTCAGAGAAGAATCAATGTTACACGGAAGAAAGCGATTCGACAGATTGGTATATGCATGCAAAAATGTATTAAACCAGCCCATGAAATGGCTTGTCTGCAACGCTTCTACGACGGGTACGTTTCCATGTTTTGCGTCATTGCCACCGGTATCATTCTATGGAATATTTATGCATACTAATTTCTGTAGTTCTGAATCCAGGTCTATTGGAGAGTCTCAATGCAACGAAGGTGACATCCTCGCCAAGGGTAGCTACAGACACCGGAGTCAACCAGATATCTCTCCGGATGCCTTCCACAATCCTGGCCCAAGGAGATCGTGAGTCTTTGGAATATACTGCAACGGAAATGTATGAGTGGCTATCACTTGTTCGCCTGGAAAGCCCTCGCATAGTAGCCGGGGACACCATTGATCCTTATCTCTCTCGATATAGCCCGCCGGAAGTCGACAGTGCCACAGCCCAAACGCAAGTCTGTAAGCTGAGTTGGCAAGGGCTCCTATCCTCGCACTGGTTACGGGACCTATTTGTTGACATTGTCACCAATTGCCCTTCGCAGTCTTGGTTTGCGCTTAGCGCTACAACCTTCTCCCGCAATATCCTTGGCGGATGCAGCGAGTTGACCTTTCTTCGTCCACCCGAGAGCTCAGGCGAATTCCTCATGTGGGAGATTAAGAGTCTAGATTGAAACCAAACGCTTAGGCTTGCTTAGACCGCACATTACGCTCCTCCGACAGCCCTTGGTCAAGGAGGGCCTCCTCCACCAGCTTCCGCAGATCTGCCTGGCCCTCTGCAGTGTTAAAGTCTTCTCGCTGCGCTAATTCTTCAATTCGGCGACGGAACTCTGGGTCAAACTCGGCGGGAATATCCTGCGCTTCGTCCATGGTGCCAACAGTGACCTTCATGCCTTCGGGGGCATTCCTCGCAATCTCCGCTGCCGCTGCCTCGAGTTCTTCTCCAGCCTTTTCAGATTCAATAGTGGCCAGATAGGCTGCAACTTCCGGGAACTCGGCTTCTCCCTCAATCTTTTCTCTCGCTGTGAATCCTTCCAAGCCTCTGTGCATGACATCCACGCCCAGCTCGACTAGGGCTTTGGCAGCTTCGGCGGTCTCGACGACAAATAAAGCGGTTTCGTTGTCTTCGTCTTTGAGGTTGACATCCACTTTGAATTCTTGGATCAGTGCTCGGAGCAGGTCAAGGTGGTTGTAGCTGGCCGCAGCATGGACAAGGGAGTAGCCATGTTCGTCCTGGGCCGAAGCCAGCGCAGGCTTTTCTCGAAGGAGAGGCAGCAGCGCGGGGCTGTTGTCGGCTGCCAGGAGAAAGGGATTTGAAGAAGCCATGGCGATTTTCTTTCTGAGCCTGTGCGGCGAGTTTAATTTCGATGTTCGTTCCTCGTTGGTAGTGTATAGTTTAGAGAATAGCAGCTGTCGTGCGATGCTAGCGGCTATAGAGGGGTAGACGTCGAAGTTTCCGGGAGAAAAAAAAAACTGAGCGCTGCCACTTGACCCCTCCCCCCACTATCTAAGCAAGGCAGATTGGTGACATCCCTGCGACCAGCCGCAGCCCAGGGCTAGGGATCGCTGTAGGGGGCGATTTCTACTGGACGTGCTGCCTAAAGCCCATTCAGCAGCCTCCATGTAGCGGCAGTGAGTGGTTGTTGACCCACCGGCCCAGAGCTAGCAAAACAACACAAAATACTGCGAGACATCAAATCTGAGTCGAGAGTCGATCAACACGTTCTTGCCACCATTCGCCCGGCTTCCAAGGCACGTAGCACAGAGACCAGTTCAGATTCGATCCTGGGCGCCTCTTTCCTGTGGCTGGTCTGTGCATGACCTAAGCCTTCGGTGAGGAGTAATTCTGGATCTGGCTGTTATGCGTCTGACTCACCAAACCTTCCAGGGCTGAGCAAAAAGAGGGCAGTGTTGGGCACCGCTAGCAGCCTCAACAGTGCATCCCTGTACTCCCCATAGAGCTCATAGAGGGAAGCAGCTGCAGGGGATAAAACACGGAGACGGGGTTCTTGATATTAAATACGACTGCATTGTAGCGACTGGAAGCCTGGATTCTGGACAGAGCATTCAAGCATCATCTGCACAAGCATAGCTGGGAACCCGGTGTATGGCCATTTCATCCAGACTTCGACATTGACTATACAGCTTCTTCTCTCCCAGCAATCACAACGCAGTTACGGCGGCAAAGCTGGTCAACACGGGAACAACTCAACGTGCAAAGATGGCAGCCCCATACACGCCGCAAGATGTGTCGGCCGTCTCCCAGATGATCTCGGCTCTGGACAAGGCCCGGAAAGATAAACGAGGTGCTGGATTCTCCTGCAAAAAGACCACCTTCTCCGTCAAGCCTTCTCGAGACGGCATCGAGGTGGACTCATGGAGGATGCAGGACTGGGACTATAAGCGCAAGGGTCTTCCTACATATGCTCGCGGCCTATTCACCACCAAAACCAGCAGAAACACACCGGAAATCGCAGTCAGAGGCTACGACAAGTTCTTCAACGTCAACGAGGTCAACGAAACCAAGTGGGCCATGATTTCTAAGAATACACGAGGGCCTTATGAGCTGACTCTGAAGGAGAACGGCTGCATCATCTTCGTGGCTGGCCTTGAGGATGACACTCTGCTTGTTTGCAGCAAGCACTCTACCGGCGACCGTAGCGATGTTGAGCTCAGCCACGCTCGTGCCGGAGAGATTCGGATAGAGAAGCAGCTGGCCGCCGTTGGCAAGACCAAGGAGGATCTTGCAAGGGAATTGCGCTCCCGGAATATTACTGCCGTAGCAGAGCTTTGCGACGACTCGTTTGAAGAACACATTCTGGCCTATGAGAATGAAAAGGCCGGGCTGTACCTCCACGGAATCAACCTCAATCTCCCCGAATTTGCTACTTACCCAAGTAATCTGGTGCAGGAGTTTGCAAGCCAGTGGGGCTTCATCAAGACAGACCTACTAATAATGGAGGATATAGACCAAGTAAAGACATTCTTGGAGGATGTCGCCAAGACGGGAGCCTATGATGGCCGCGACGTTGAGGGATTCGTTATTCGATGCAAAATGTCACCTAACCCTACCCAGCTGCCTTTCCAAGACTGGTTCTTCAAGTACAAGTTTGAGGAACCTTACCTAATGTACCGACAGTGGCGAGAATGCACAAAAGCCATCATTGCGGGCAAACAGGCCAAGTTCAAAAAGCATGTCAAGATCACTGAGGAGTATCTCCTTTTTGCGCGGAAACAGCTGGCGGGAAACCCGAAACTATCCAAGGAATACAATCAAAATCACGGAATCATCAAGCTGCGAGACGATTTCCTGGCTTATAAAAACATCAATGGATCAGACGCTGCCAACCTTGAAGGTTGCGATCGTGTGATTATGTCAGAAGTTACAAAAGACGTCATCTTGTCACCTATTGCAACCCTGGGCTGTGGAAAGACTACTCTAGCTCTGGCATTGACGTACCTATTTGGCTGGGGCCACATCCAGAACGATAATATCTCAGGCAAAGGTCGGCCACCGAGATTCGTCAAGGCAGTTATGGACCAGTTGAAGCAGCACCCCGTTGTTTACGCAGATCGCAACAACGCGCAGAAGCACGAGAGAAAACAGCTCATCGGCGATATCAAGACGCAGAGCCCTGAAACTCGAATTGTCTGCTTAAACTTCCGACATGACGAAGAATCCATTGATGAGATCCGGCGGGTAACCCAGGATCGCGTCATTGAACGAGGAGACAACCATCAGACAATCCAAGCGGCATCAAATCAGGACAAATTCCTCGAGGTGATGGAAGGCTTCATTAAGCGGTTCGAGGAATGCAATTCCAACTCTGCGCCAGATGCAGGATTCGACCTAATCATCGATCTGGATCCTACGGTTGATAGCAGACAGAACCTTGAGACACTGGTCAAGGAGCTAAATCTATCCCTGCCCAACGTGGTTAAGGAAATGCCAAGCCCTGAGAAACTCGATGAGGCTATGGACTTTGCGCTAGGATACAGGCCTGACTTTAGACATACTATCCCCGACAGAAGCGGAAGAAAGGATGCCAAGACTGGACAGCAGCCACAGCAGCAGCAGAAGGCACCGAAGAAAAAGGGATTGGAGTACATGTCTGTAGATTTATCTGCTGACTCTATTAACAAACTCCTCGACAAGTCATTCAAGGCAGTTGGCCCGGAGGCGGCCAAGTTTTACTGGCAGCTCAAGAACACCAGAAGAGTACAGCGCAAGTTTCACGTCACGTTGATGCACAGAGCTACAAAGGACCAATACCCAGAGTTATGGAAACGATATACGGATCTCCATGAGGCTGCTGGCGGAGGCGATGCCAAGCTCGGTGACTGCGACTTGATGCTCGAGCGGGTAAGTGGATGATTCTTGAGCGTTTTTGGAATTGAGAGATTAAAATAGCTGACCTTCCTTTTTTTTTTTTTTTTTCTGTTTATAGGTTGTCTTTGACGATCGTATCATGGCCATTGTTGTCCGCATTGTCGACGAGGAGGGCAAGTGGGAGTGCGTGAACCGCATTGCGCATATCACGGTGGGAACACGAGATGATGGCGTGAAGCCGAAGGAGAGCAACGATTTGCTAGGCAAGTGGCTGGAAGAAGGCACTGGCGGGGAAGGAAACAAGATTCAGGAGGTGGTGTTTGATGAGAAGCCGTTGATCAAAGGGGCGGTCAAGGGTGTTTTGTCCAGGTAGAAAGGGTTAAATGTCATGCATCAAGGTGAGCGAGCAAAAGTTACTAGTTCAGGCAAATGCGGAAAATGGTTTTAAGAAAAAAAAAAGAAAGAAAGAAAAACGAAAAAGGGATACGGGATACGGGATAAGACGTGCCGCAGTGGCCATGGTATGCTTTGTATGATATACCCGCTGAGCTGGGCGAGCAGTGTCGCCTATGGGTGCCAATATATATGTGGTTATAGTACCTATGTAAAAATACTTTTGACTCTGGCTGAAGACAGGCAGGTGAATCATCTCCAGATATTGTGAGGTATATACTTAGTTATGCGAAGAAGAGGATGAAAGGCATATGATGGTGTATGTAGAGCAACCTTGTCGGATCGCCTGCATGTAGAGAGTTCATTGGAGCGTAAGAGAGGGTATAAGTAGAGACAGGATATTGCTCAAAACATAGGTTGGTGTCACCAAATAGCAAACGATGGGAAAAACAAAGCCGAACCAAACCGCCCCAAATAAAAAACCAGACCAGAAAAAACAAGAAGATGGGCGTAGCTTCGTCTACTCATCATCTAGGCATCTACTAGCTATACTTCCGAAAAAGGGAACTTCGAACCTATATGCCGTATTGAGACATCAGTTAGCCTTGAACTTTCGATATATCTTTTGTGACCCAGAAGAGCTTCTTTATGCGTGTATGGTTTGTACCTTTCGAGTATCTCCGCGTCTTGATATGCTTTGAAAGATAGGAAACCCATCAAGGCTAGGTCGCCAATGAAGAATATCCAGCTAAGGAAGGAGGACCAAGAGAAGAGGAGGTGGAAGACCATGATGGCTGTGAATAGGAGGGCGGATTGCCAAGCGTGGAATCTATACATGTAATGGAAACGGTCTTATTAGTCTTTGCCTGTCTTCAATAATGCATGCTCTTGCATGTAGGACAAGAGTGCCATACCTGACATAGTCGCTATTCCTCTCCAAGATCAACAGTATCACCGCCCCGATCGGAGGAAACGCCAGATACGCCAGACTCGCCTCGTAGTCCAGCCTCAGCCCCAGACTCGTGTCGAACTCGCTAATCTCGGCGGGATATGCGCCGGGCATGGCCAGAGGCGTGCCGTTGGTGCTGCTGCTGCCGCTGCCAAACCCCCACAGGCCGCCGCCGCCGCCGCCGTTGTTGTTGTTGCCCAATGCGCCGTGTCTGCTGGCCGCGCCGTCGAGGTCGCCGCTCCAGGCTCGCTGCGGCTGCGGGTGCTGCAGGGGAGGCGGGCTGCGCGCGACGGAGGCGATTGCGGAGGGGGAGAAGGGCCGGCGCGAAATGTCGGCTGAGGCGCGCGGGGAGGACATTGGCGAGCGGGCGTGCTCTGGGGGGGAGGATTGGTAGGGCGCAAAGTCCATGGCTGTGGATGTTTTTTTTTTGCTGGTTGGAAGGTTGGAAGGCTGGTTGTGTGGTTTTTTTCTTTTTTTCGGAGTTGGAGATTGGAGGTGGTTGGAGATGCAGATGGGTAGGTAACTGAGCTTGGTATAGCTACCCTTGGAGTGGAGGGAGGGAGGAGCACGAGACGAGGCTAGCTGCTGGCTAAACAGAACGATCCGAGGCGAATGGGCGCTGAATGGGAGGAAATGACAGTCAACGATGACTGCGTCAATCACGAGAGAAAATGGTTCGAATGAGGTGTTTGCGAAGGTGATGCTAGGCTAGCAGTTGAGAGGTACGCATGCAGTTTACACGCAAGGTGGAGGTTGATTGCGCCGACATCAATCACATGAGCTGCCGCCATTGGAGGCTGCAGGCCCTTGAGCTGCTACCTAAACGGGCTGCCCCAGAGGGAGGGTTTAGTGGTTTGCCAGGGCTTAAAGTGCTGAAAGTGGGCTCTCGCTGGGTGTTTAAGCATGGATGGAGGGCGGAAGGGTCCGTGCCCGCTGGCGGCTGTGGTGACGTACCTCAGCTGATACCGTACCCACCAAACGTCGATTGGAGCGAGCTGATGTTTTTGTCCAGCTGCTTCTTTTTGGAGCTGGCTGGGGCTGGACTGCTATCATTTTGCTGTAGAATTAGGTCAAGATAGTTGGTGGTAAATAATTGGCCAATTGTAAATTTTGACAGGGTGTATTGAGCTGTGTTTATTTGTTTAAATGAATGACATCAATTGTTACATGTGTGCCGAAGCAGATGAATTGTCATAGTGTGAAGATTGAGGTTTGACCCGTAAATAGAGATAAAACACTTTTCATGAACCAAGATAGTTTGGGACTGCGAGACTATTTTGCTCCTGTTTCTCTTTTTTCCTTACACTATGTATCAGCTTCAAATTTACCAATCCATATATATCATTTGACAGCTGCTTGATATGTATATCCGCCATTCTTTCCAGGCAATTCTCATATATAAATCACTGCACGCATTCAATAAGATTCTGGCATATATGCACACTTGTCTGCCTCAAAATTCAAGACTAAATTCAGCACGTTATTCAGATGGGATAGTGTGTTCTGACAATCTTTCTTGTCATGTTATGCATTTCTATGAATACATCTGTAATAATGTACATGTTTAATAATTTTTTTACAGCCCTATATCCAAACCGCTGTCTCTTTTTTTATGTCTCGCTCATTTCCATCATACAAACATCTAAGAAGAAGAAGCATCCGCAGGCGCATCCTTCTTTGATTCCTCTTCCAGCTGCTCCTTTCGTCCCTCAAGAGCCAGCCATAAGCTGCGGCTGCCACCTTCCAGTGTGGATGTGATACCCAAGCCCGCTCCTTGGAGGATGGCCACCAGCTGTGCACGAAGACCGTCGAGACCACCTTCAATACCACCGACCCAGTGGATGCCTGCCTGATCAAAGACCTTGCCTTCAATGCGTCCTCCTATTAACACCAGTTTCGCCAAGCCGTTTTGGAAGGTGGGATCGTAGTATCCAGGATTCTTTCTTCGAGTCGGGGCGGGGAATTTTCCAGGAACCGGGGCGAGAACGCTCAGGGCTGCTGCGACGTGCGCTGGAGAAACTGCAGGAATGATAAGGCCGGCCAGGGGTCCAACCATGAGAGGCTCAATCTGCGCGTAGGCAGACTCGGGTGAGATTTCAGCGCTCTTGACCTGCTCATAGGCCGCCTTCGACAGGTCATGGACTATAGGTCCTTTAGAAGTCCGCGGTGTAGCCTTTGAGGCAGCTGCAGCCTCAGGGTCGTAGAATTCCACAAGCTTCAGCGCCACATTCAACATGTTGGTCCTCAGCACTTGCAGCTGTACTTTTGAAGAAAGATCCACAGGCTCAGCACCGGGCATCACATTCACTGGTGGGACACCATCCAATGCCTTTTTCAATTCTCTTCTTACGGCAGCCCATTCCACTGCTGTGAGATTGCTGTGCTGGAAGAACAGGATGAGGGGCGTAGTACGGAGCAGCGAAGTATATGTTCGGATCATCTGACTCTTTCGGGTGTCAATTGGTCGCGCGCTGGGGGGTTTTGTCGCAGGAGCAATGTCAATGGGAGGCTGAGCACCTTCGGGGATGGATCGTAAGCCGGGAGTTGCATGTTGAGCGTCTGATGTCGAGAAGTTGTGGGCGTATGCGCCGAGAGAAAAGGCCCCTCGAAGGGTTGAGGCCTCTGAGCTGAGCCGTCGGAGGCACGGCCTCGCCGCTCTGCTTATTATTCTTGTCATTCTATCTGTATTAGTATTTACAATCAATTCAGCGCAAATTATGGCGCAGAAAACTTACATGAATTGACCCAAGCTGGCTATTTAGACCAGAATCTTGCGAAAGCATCTCTCGCGAACTTTCAAGTGGCCCCACCGCCGTCGGCGGTGTCGGATCAATTACCCGCCGTTCCGATTCTGAAATTGTCATCAAATGTACTTGCAGGTACAGAGGGGCAGCTCTTTGCGCAGTTTAGCGCCCAGCGGGACCCCAGCGCTACCTTCCAGTACTTGTGCGCTTTGAGCTACCAGGCACCCAAACTGATTGCGCGCGACACCTCAACCTGCTTGGACCTGGTGCCCTGCAGCTTCAACCTCTTGTAAGCTGGCCGAGAGCAACTACTGGAGCTAGTACCAATTCCTTCTTTAGCATTCTACAAGGCGATCCCCCCATCAGTACTGAGATATCCATTTTCAATCTTTACCCTCAAGTTGCTTCTTCCCTTCAGCTCCTTTGCCACAACACTCATACAAACGACCGACCTACCCAGCTGAGGGCCCCCTGTCATCATGTCGACCCTCGAAGAGCTCGATGATCTCGACCGCCGGGAGAAGGAGGAGAAGAGAAGAGAGAACAATGACAAGAAGGCTACTGTTGCCGACGAGGACGATGAGATGAAGGATGCCGAGGACAAGGACGACATCCTCGACGAGGAAATCCTCAGCCTAAGCACACAAGATATTCAGACTCGGAAGCGATTACTTGAAAACGACTCTCGGATCATGAAGAGCGAGCTTTCGAGGTTAACGCACGAAAAGGCTGCCATGGGTGAAAAGATCAAGGAGAACATGGACAAAATCGCAAACAACAGGCAAGTTTTACAAGGAGTTGCCCCAAAGCAGAGGCTGCTCGCCTGCTGTTCAACAATGCTATCGAGTATTTGTCATGTGGCTAACTCTTGATACGTGACGTGTAGACAGCTACCATATCTAGTCGGAAACGTCGTTGAATTACTAGACCTAGATCCTACTGCAGAGTCTTCCGAAGAAGGAGCCAACATCGATCTCGATGCCACTCGAGTCGGCAAGTCCGCCGTCATCAAGACTTCCACGAGACAAACCATCTTCTTGCCACTGATTGGTCTTGTTGATTCTGACACTCTCAAGCCTGGTGACCTGATTGGTGTCAACAAGGACTCATACCTGGTTTTGGACACACTGCCCGCCGAGTACGACAGCAGAGTCAAGGCTATGGAGGTGGACGAGAAGCCGACAGAACAGTACACCGATGTTGGAGGACTGGATAAACAGATTGAAGAACTGGTGGAGGCTATCGTATGGCCTATGAAGGAGGCGGACCGGTTCAAGAAGATTGGTATCAAGGCACCAAAAGGTACTACACGCTCCAAAAAATAGCCCTCCCGAAATTTGTGAAGGCGACGAGTCTTCCAAGGTGATCGCAATGCTAACTAAATTTCCTGATAGGTGCTCTCATGTACGGTCCCCCCGGTACCGGAAAGACTCTAATGGCCAGAGCCTGCGCGGCTCAGACGGAAGCAACATTCCTGAAGCTCGCAGGACCTCAGCTTGTTCAGATGTTTATTGGTGATGGAGCCAAGCTTGTACGAGACTGCTTCGCTCTAGCGAAGGAAAAGGCCCCGGCAATCATCTTCATTGACGAACTCGACGCCGTTGGTACCAAGCGATTCGACAGCGAGAAGAGCGGTGATCGAGAAGTCCAGAGAACCATGTTGGAGCTGCTCAACCAGCTTGACGGCTTTGCATCCGACGACCGTATCAAGGTCTTGGCCGCCACCAACAGAGTCGATGTCCTTGACCCTGCACTACTACGATCCGGCCGTCTGGACCGCAAGATCGAGTTCCCTCTGCCAAACGAAGAGGCCCGCGCACAGATTCTCAAGATCCACTCACGCAAAATGAAGGTTAACCCCGGCGTCAACTGGGGTGAACTCGCTCGAAGCACGGATGAGTTTGGTGGTGCCATGTTGAAGGCAGTCTGCGTTGAGGCTGGCATGATTGCCCTGCGTTCAGGAAAGAACCAAATCGGCCACGAGCACTACGTGGACGCTATTGCCGAAGTACAAGCCAAAAAGAAGGATGTAAGTATCAACAAAATCTCAAGGTTACCCTTTATTGGTGTTTGCTTTACTAATATCTGGTACTCTAGACCGTCAACTTTTACGCATAATCTTTTTTCTCACATTTGCGACGGAGGATCACGGGATGGCAAGCTCCTGTGTGTTTAAGGATGCAAGGGGCGGCGGATGGCGTCTGATAAGGGCGTGTGGTATTGGCATAGAGGGACAACGTCAAGACCTGGGAGGACGCATGTAATCAATCATATTCCTGGCAGAGGCAGGGCAGCTCAGTAGATGAGAGCCAGGTTTTGCAAAGCGAATAGAGTATCGTCAAAAGAACAAAAAAAAAACCTAATTAGCATGCATTGTTGTTTGTTGTTTGTTGTTTACTTTGTCTTTGACGAGCTTGGCGTAATCGTGCTAGAGTTTCGTTTGTATATGTGATATAAGTTGCGACGTCTATGTAATTCAAGCACCTATCTATGAACTCCTAGGTATTTGAATATCGTCATGTTATCAGTCATCGGTTGAAACAAATTCTATGATAGCTTTGACGAGATCAGCAATTTTCTTCCCAATTTCTCAGTGAAGTATAAATAAGCTTGTAGTTTAAAGAATAAAAACAAGGAAACTGTATGCGTCTCCAGGGTAGGGCCACGATGGCCGATGCTAGCCCCGGACCATTCTCTCCTGCTAGATCAGCGTTGCTAACCCCCCACTTTTGACCACCACCGACAGCTACGTCATTGTGATTGCGATCAAAGTTAAGCTCACTGGCAATCGCCGCCATCCTTGCACGCTGAATGGCCAGCAGTATCTCGATTTCGACCCCGATCTGGGATACCAAGCAAGCAGAGAAGCTTAGTGGCCCGCAGCATGTATCGGAGTCATCAAGTACGCGTGAATGCAGGCGAATGGCGCGCAATTGGTGTGTACAGCGCGACGAGGGTACTTGCGCTTGGAAGCTTGTGAAGGTACCCTCGCCAGGTGCAGGTTTTGGTGTCATGGAAGTGACGTGATAGAAATGCTGTCAACAGCAGGTCATTACCTCATTTCCACTTCACAGCTGCAGGCCTTCCATGTTCGCCATCTGTCCTCGTGTCAGCGTACTTTATTTCAACCTTTCAACACGACAACTTAGCTACCCTCACGACTCCTACATCGACATTAGAATCGAATGTGAACTGGCGAATTCACTGATACACTCTACTAGGCACCTCAAAGATTATTGGTTCTTGCCTTGCATCTCGTCACTGCTGCAACCATGTGGCGACTTCGAGATCTCCTCGTCGTGGGACTCGCCGTCTCGGGAGCTACAGCGAGCACCTGGTTCCCTGGCTCCAAGACCAGTAAGTCTGAAATCTGAAACCTCAAGACTTCATCCTATCTACAACACAAACGGCGATGGAATTGAACACATCTGACTGGAGCTGACAATAGGTGACGCAGTCTACAACAAGTGGCATGAGACGGAGCTTGAGCGGTGGCTGTCTGACCAGAACATCCCATATCCAACTCCAGCTGACCGCAAGGATCTGGAGGACCTCGTCTCGAAGAACTGGAACGACTATGTTGTAGAGCCTTACAACAAATGGGACACTTCCCAGCTGAGCGCATATTTGCAAGCCCGAGGCAACGACGTGGCACGAGAGGCTCAGAAGAACAAGGATAGTCTGCTTTCTCATGTCAAATCAAACTGGTATGAAACCGAAGACTCCGCCAACGAGGGCTGGTCCAATATCAAGGACTGGATTCTCGATACTTGGACCGATTCCCAGCTCAAGTCTTTCTGTGATAAGCATGGCATTCCAGGTATGCAATCTCAGCCAATTTCTATACATGTATAGAGTGGAACCTATAAGCAGAAGCTAACCTGGGCTCAATGTGTAGTTCCCCAGCCGCGCACTCGTGATACTTTGCTCCAAAAAGCTCGTGAGAACTATCAGACCATTGCAGAAAAAGCGGGAGAGACTGCTGCTTATCCCGGTGACTGGCTCTACTCCACCTGGTCCCAATCCGATTTGAAGGAATGGCTTGATAAAAACGGCTTCCCAGCCCCACAGCCAACCACCCGGGACAAGTTGATTGCCTCAGTTCGCCGCAACGCTCGACTTGCATACCTGAAGTCTCAAGAGGAAGCTGAAAGCGCCTCGGCTAGGATTCAAGCAGCCTATACCTATCTCACAGACACCATTATTGACGCCTGGAGCGAGTCTCAGCTCAAGGAATTTTGTGACAAGAACGGAGTTCCTGTGCCTCAGGGTACCAAGCTTAATGAACTCCGAGCTCTTGTTCGAAAGCACCGCGCTGATATCTTGGGCGACACCGTTGGCGCCAGCGTCAAGGCTGCTTTCGGCGCTGCTACTTCCAACGCTCAGAACCAGTATGCCAGGGCGACTGACAGCGCTTCTCTTGCCGCCCAGGATGCCTTCAACCAAGCCGTCGACAAGTGGTCAGACAGCCGACTCAAGGCTTATCTGGATGCCCGCGGTGTCCCTGTTCCCCAAGCCAGTAAGACCGATGAGCTTCGAGCTCTTGTTCGAAAGCATACACACAAAGCAGCAGCTGGCTGGCAAGCGTGGAATTTTGATGACTATAACTACGATAACTTAAAGAACTATCTGAGTAAACACGGCAATGCTGCCGCAAAGGCCGCGGCTAAGAAGAAGGACGCTACCCGTGATGAACTTGTGAGAGCTGCCCAGTCGGCCTACTCATCCGCCTCGTCAGCTGGTGGTGCACAGTATGCCTCTGCCACCAGCTATCTTGCGTCTGCGACATCTTCTGCCAAGCAGGATGCTTTTGATGGCTGGTCCGAGAGCGATCTCAAAGCCTACCTCGACAGCTATGGAGTTCGTGTTCCTCAGGGTTCTAAGATTGACGAACTCAAAGCAGAAGCGCGCAAGCAGTCTACCTACTTCAAATATGGCACCTCTTCACCCGGAGGCACTGTCTTTGCTAAGATCGGAGAGACTGCCAAGGACGGTTGGAGATGGATCGCCCAGCAGCTCAATATTGGCAGCGAGGTTGCCAAACAGGAAGCTATCAAAGCTGAGGCTGAAGCTAAGAAAAAGGGCCAGAAGCTGAGAAATGAGCTGTAAAGTGCTTAGTAACTCACGATGCACTTTATACAAGAGACAAATGGCAAGTCAAAAGACCTGACCATGGCGAAGGAAGTGGTCGCCAAGTGTAAGATGAAGCGAGGTACCAGAGGCGCTCCGTCCTTTTTTTTTCTTTTTTCTTTACGAGTTAGGGTGATGGAAAGGGTTGGGACAAAAGGCGATGGACTTTCATCAATGATAAATGATATTCGAGTTGGTATGTTTTCATAGTAATACGTTTTTCACACGTTGATTTGATGCCCTACGGAGTGAAGTAAAGTGACAGTCGCAACGTATGCTTTATATAGTAAAGGAATGTAAGTGGACACCATTTGCTTGGATAAAATTTTAGTTGGCAGTTCTATATGTGCACTTTTATTACCATATTCACCTAAACTATTAAAAACAAAGACAACCTTTCCTTTCCACTTCTTCATCTCCCTTATGCCCATAACCTCAATGTCATATCGGCACCAGCACTGACAATCCAAGGGTGCTTGGGATGCCAATCCACGTCCATAACACCGAGCTTCTTCTCCACCTTGTGGCCTCTCAGCATCTTGACGGGGACAATGGTCGCGTTCTCCATCAAGTCGCTGACGACCTTGCCGTGGAAGATCTGCAGAGAGCCATCGTCGCTGGCGTCGGCGAAGAGGGGCAGGCCGCGGTGGAACTTGACCGCACGGATGGCCTCCGGGTGGAAGCGCATGGTCTTGTAAGGGCGGTTGGACAGGTCGAGGTCGTGCCACAGCAGGCGGCGGTCGTAGGAGCCGACGATGAGGTTGTCGCCGCCCGGGTGGACGTCCATGGAGGAGATCCAGCGCGCGCCGGGCTGGATGACCTTGAGGAGCTCCTGGCGCTGGAGGTCGTAGCAGCGGATCATGCGCTGGGTGGCGACGAAGAAGTAGGGGCGCGTGGGGTGGAACTGGGCCGTCTGGGCGAGGCCGGGCAGCTTGCGGAAGGGCACCTGGCTGAGGTGCTTGGAGAGCGTGTGGATGACGACGGAGCTGCGCTGGCCGGTGGGCGAGACGGTGCAGAGGAAGTCGCCGCGGCGGTGCCAGTTGATGGTCTTGATGGTGGAGCGGACGGTGGCCTTGAGGAGGACGCCCTTGGCGACGAGGGACGAGCTGGGGCGGGACCACTTGGCCGGAGGCTCCTTCTTGACGCCGTCGGCGGTGGTGGCAGCGGATGACGCGCCGTTGGTGGCGTAGCCGAAGCCGGCGTCGAGAATGTCGCGGCTGGCCTGCTCGGTGGCATCGCTGACGATCGGAGGAGCAATGAAGAACAGGTCCTCGCCGGCGGCCGCGGCCAGGATGAAGGTGTCCTTGCTGGGACGCCAGCGGACCATGTTGACGGGCTCGGGCTCGTCGGCCGAGCTGAGCTGGGCGCTCCACTCCTGGTGGCCGTTGAGCGCCCAGACGCGAACCGTGCCGTCGTCGCTGCCGGAGGCGATCCATTCGCCGTCGGGGCTGAAGGCGACGGTGCGCACGCGGCTGGTGTGGCCCCTGAAGATGGTCTGGCACACGGTCGGGAAGGGCCGCAGCTCCTCGGGGCGGGGCAGCTTCGGCAGCAGGGAGTTGGGGTCGATGTTGAGCCTGTTCTTGCGGACTCGGGGCGCCAGGTATAGGTCGAGGCAGCGCTCGAAGCGCTCCTTGACGAACTCGCCGTAGGCAGGCACCTTGCGCAGGGCGTCGAACTGGCTGGGGAGGTACTCCTTTTCGCGCTCCTCGGGATCGAGCTTCTCCCAGGCGTCCTTCTCCTCGGCCGTGGGCAGGTACTCGGGCGGAGGGTTGTAGCTGAGGTCGTAGCCTGGCGGTGCCAGCTTGGGCGCGGGGATGTTCATGATGTGTCGGTCCTGGGGCTCCTCGTTGGCCCAGATGTCGTAGTACTTCTCTTCCTCCTCGGTCTCCTCCGGCTGTGGGGGTCTATAGGGCAGGATCTTTCCGTCCTTGATGGCGCGAACCAGCTTGGCTATCCTCTTGGCTTCGTGTTTGGAGGGGACGAATCGTCGCTTGGGTTCTGGGGCAGCGCTCAGAGGCATCTTCTCCTCTATGCTGGTGAAGTAGGGAATCAGATCCTGTGCGGCTGTTAGTTACAATTTTCACACACACACACACCATAATATCAATTGACAAGGGGAAGAGAAAAGAACATACTGGGTAGGGGTCATAGTCATCAGAAGGAACTTCGTTCATCTGCAGTTTCTTCAGAAGCTCCAGTTCCTCCTGGCTGAGGTTCAAAGGCTTGCCCGTCTCAGGGTCAGTCAGGCCAGTCCAGCCCTTGGGGAGCTCGATGCTGTCCAGCAGAGCATCAAGAGCCTCGCCCGTGGCGGGCCGCATGATTTTCTTGCCATTGATGTCATATCCAATGTGCGGGTATGAATCGTAGAAGGAGAGCGGAATGTTGCCAATGGTGTTGACGGGGCCTTGGGCATCTGTATCGTCGCTGTCATAGACTGGATCGATTTCTTCATACTCGTAGCGCTCGCCTCCATTGGCATCTTTGACGATCCTGTAGTTTGGTTTGTCGTCGTCTACTTCCTCATCATTGGCACCGTTTTTGCGCTCGCCATTGGGTTTTCCGTCTTCCTCGCCATCACTTCGCACATCTTCGTCTTCGTCCTCATCTTCATCCTCATCCTCATCCTCATCCTCGTCAAGTTCAGGCTCTTCGCCCTCCGAGTCTGATTCTTCGACGCCGCTCTCGTCTTCGCTTTGCGATAAGATTCCCTCGAGCTCAGCGCCGCCGAATTCGTCGTCGGACTCGACAACTTCTTCGACGATTTCTTTTCGCTTCCGCGAGGGGATTGACGGACCCATTGGATCGGTGTTTTGTGACTTGGATCTTGTACGCATGAGAAAAAAATGGGCGATCCAGCGATATGTTAGACGCTCAATGCAGCGGCAGTAGTTTGCGATTCAGGTAGTGTAATTTTTTTTTTCGCGATAAGCAGCAGCTCCATATCAAATCGCGGAATCGGCCGCGACTGATGTGCCCCACCTTGCGGAACATCCCCGCTCTTACTGTAATCCTGCTGGAAGATTTCACAATGTGAGGTACTCTGCAACAAGAGGTTCATTGTGAATAAAAGCGACTAAAAAAAAAAAAAAAAGAANAATTAGGATTTTAATACTATGCAAAAGGTTACGAGAAGTAATAAAGATGGGAAGAAACCGGTGGCAGTACACAAGTGTGTACACCAACTCCAATTGTACTGAAGGCTGCTCCGCTTACTCAACTTACAGAGGACAATGGATGCCTACAGCTTGACCGTAGAAAATCGCAACTCCTAAGATACAAAGAGAACTGATCATCTGCACATTCTTTTTGACTCGGAGTCGCGGATATCCAATACAGCTCCCCACTGGTTTGGGTATATAAATAGCAATGGTTCCTCTCGGCTTGACTTTGTGTCTCCGAGGCCGACGCCCCAATTTCAAGCCGAATGCTTTTGACCGCCCCGGTGTGGATATGTGATATCGGGATATATATCCAAAAATTGGTTTTCGTTCGCCTAAAACTATTTTTCTTTTTTCTCATTGTGGAGAGAGAAAAACCACTGTGCCCAAGTCTTCGGTTTCGTAGTCAGTTCGGCTTGACTCACTCGCCGATAGCGCATATAGTTAATAGTATGCTTATCCGCTAATTAGCCAAGCTAATTGATGCACCCGCCTCAACTTGCACGTACTAATGCGTTTTTGCTGTATTAAACACGCAGTTTTCAACCGTGACCGAATATTCTCTCACTAGTAAATTCTTTTTCCCTCTAAGATTAGTCGAATAGAGCCCATTCGCTTTGCCAAAATGGAAATACGAAGCGCCACAAAATTAACAAAGAAGGATATCGCCGGCCGAGACTTCTCGTTTGAGGTATCTGCCGAAGTAGCGAAGCCCTATGATGCACTTACGCGAGACGAGATAATAGCTACCAATCCTGTCCCGGTGATAAAAAAAGACTTCGGATTTGATGAGTCCGAGTTTGAGAATATCAAAGCCCATGATGCGGCATTGTTCACTATAGTGGAAGCCGAGGCTGTTTACGGATACATACACGCAGCAAAGTCTTGGAATAATATGGTGGAGATTCGTTTCATTGTGCTGGATGTGAGCATTCGAGGTCAAGGATACGGCAAGATGCTTCTAGACGAGGCGTTGAAGTGGGCTCGCCAACTGGGAGTTGCTGGAATTCGTCTAGAGTCTCAATCGAACAATGTCGCGGCATGTCGCTTTTATAAGCGATATGGATTCAAGTTTGGTGGCTACGATGAGTACCTTTACCGCGGAATTCCGCAGAACAAGCAAGAAACGGCCCTTTTCTGGTATTTTATGCTGGAATAATTTAAAAACTCAGGCTGTCCAATAGTATGAAAAGAAATCAAGTATATTAATTCCAAAGGGTATCCTACTCTTTGCTATTTGAACGAGAGCATTGCAACAAGCCTGTAGCTAGCTTCTTAATTAGATAGTAGAGTTTTGCAATCTTGAAAGACAATCTGTTGCGTGCTTTTGAAACCAAACCCAATCCCTCGTGTACCGTAATTAAACATCAGTTATACATAAAAAACCGTTTTTCTGATCTTTTTCTAACAAGCCACGTTTGACTTAGAGCACACTATATAGCTGCGCCTATTCAGAGTTAGTACTGATCTTTCCTGGTGCGAATTCCTCAGGAGCTAAGAAACTCACTTACTCGGGCTTCCCAGTTTTCCTGTTTTTTACAATGCGCACGAGCCTCTTTCCATGTCATCTTTGTTTTCTTGGTGCTAGGACCTATACATAAGCTTATTAGCTTTGCTGCTAGTTGTGTATTGCATCCAGGGCCATTACCAGATGTGGCTTTTTTATCTGATCGTGTATTCGAAGAGTCGACCAGGGTTACTTCGGAAGACATTGCTTCAGGCGTCGCAGCCACGGTGGAAGCCTTTTTTGTTGAGAGTCTGAGAGGCATGATTGTTGTGTGAGTTGTTAAAAAACTTGAACAGTTTTCTTTGTTAAAGAGTATATATATGACTTTCGTTTTCGGTTATCGTTGTTGAACGAGGCTCAAATTCGTTTAGAGTGTTGTCTACGACTAAGAGCTTTTGTATAAAATGTAGGATAGAGTGTATTGCGATTGGAGTATAGTGTACTTGGCGATAGAGTTGATTCAAGAACGGATGATTGTTCAAATTTATTTGATATCTTAAATACTATGATGGTTGTATTTGTAAACGAGTCCCAGCAAGTTGAGGGGACCAGCCATATATATATTCAAGTTCAGAGTACATGTTCAGTCAGCCCGTCATAAACCTTAATAATCCTTTGTGATATGGATTCTCGCGTGTGGGCTTAGCATGCCACACGACAGACAAGCCTTGCTTGCGCCATTCCGTTTTTTGAGTCATCTGCCAGGCTAGTAGAAGGCGCATTAGATATCCTGCTTGAATGGCCCATACGTGGCTTGCATTCTCACGCGTGTAAGTCGTCGTCACGAAGGCATCCAGTCCAGCGTCCTCCCGATTGGCTCGGAGTGAGGTGCCTGGTCCACTCTCCTACGCCCTTGCTCAGTCTTTTCGGCTCGATTGGCGACTAGTGTTTCCGAGCGACGACCCGTGCCCGAGCCCGAAGCCGCCTTGTAAATCCGACGAGCTGGTCCTGACAAACCATGGACTCTTTCTGTTTACCAATACAGGCGTTCTTGTTGCATTTCTTAGCTGATTCCATTGTGTACACGCCGTACGGCAATTATCAATGCACCGGATCCTAGCTAGGCGTATGTGAATTCCCTAGGCTAATGACTGCTCAGTCAGCGTCTCCGCCGGTCATGCTCCGTAGGCCAAATGGACGGATGCAAGCCTGTGATCCATGCCGTTCACGCAAAGTGGCCTGCGATCACCAGCAACCGGTTTGCAGACGCTGCATTAGCAGAGGCCAAGAGGACGAGTGTGTCTACACGTCTTCGATGCCTCGGAAGCCACTATCCTTAAAGCGGCTGTCATCGCGCGATCCGGGTGCCCCAGCCGGGGCTACGACTTACACCAGTAGCAACAGCTTTCACGCTGGTGAGTCAAGTCCGAGGACGGCCGGACTGGGGCCGAGCCGGCGGCCTGGGTCCGCCGAGGGCTACAGATCACTGCGTCGTGCAGAGCTTCGGCGACAAACTAATACCCACGTTCACGACACCCAAAAGGTGATACCGCCTTTAGGGCCGTCACATACTGCCTATTCCTTCGAGTCACCTGTGGATTATGCTGGACGCCGACGTCAGTCGATAAACCACGAACTCGCTTCGACTACCGCAACCCCAGGGGGCCATCTTCTCTCGGACAGGGCGTCTACCCCAGCAGGAGATCAAGAGTCGGGGTACTTGGGGTACATCAGCCACTCTTCAGTCTTACAAGAGACTGAGAGCAGCCTATCCATGATTCAGGGGTTCCAAGCGTTCTTACCCCAGCTAGCGAGCAATGGCTCAAGACAGAGTGTCGAAGGGCTCCGATGTCATTGTTCACCGACAAAGGAGATGTGCCTTGTAGTGCTTCGAGGGATACCCGCCCCAAATGTGGGCCATATCGAGGCCAACAAAGACTCTCCGCTCTATCGGGATAGCTGGATGAGGGTGGTTGGGCAGCGCGTACTCTCCGATCTGCATGAGAGGTTTGGTTCTTACTTGGGTCTTTGCCGAGTAGACTCCCAGCTCGAAGATATTGCGCATTTTCTGAGCGAAAACACCACCAAACCATTCCGAGAAGACGAGCCAGATCCTGAAAAATGGATTGGACAATTTACGGGGGATAACCTCAGATGGGAGTCGATTGGGTTCATTTTTAGTTTTATATATTTTTTGCCTGGCGATTGCACTGCATTCGACAAAGACGCGGCCAAAAAGCAGTGGGCACAGGTTTCTCGTGTGTGTCTTGGCCTTTGTATCGATTTGAGTAGGAGGTTTGCGTCAGCAAACAGTCTGTTAGCCCAGTTGTACATGCGCCGATCTACTCTAGAATCCGTCCATACTGGAGATGCTAGTAAGTGAAAGCCCCTTTAATGACAATTTTGTGATTCCAAAGCTCCGATATACGGTGAAGTTTGTATCATGTCCTTGCTAACTTAGTAGGCTATTCCTCATGGGGGACCGGAGCAGAGTCAGTGGCTTTAGCGACATTCCTTGGTTTGCATGCTGAGTCAAATTCCCCGTCTTATGAGCCGTCATTGGCTTCTGAATCTCGACGACTCCTTTTTGCCCAGATGTTTGTTGGAGAGAAACACGCAGTATTGTTTACAGGCCGGCCGCCTCGATTATCTCATCGATATGCGTTTACTCCCCTCCCTCTTGACCTACGAGACGAGGACTTACTACAAGGTGGAGAAGCTATCAAAGAAGCTGTGAAATCTCTCGATAAGAATGGATGGAACACCAGCGGAAAGGTGTACGCCGCAACTTTCACTCGAGCAAGATACATCCTATCGCTTCTACGAGATGAGCTGATCGAAATTGGCATTGGCAAGGCAGCACAAAAGGTTGCCTGTGCTCTCCTTCGGTAAGCTCAACGCCTAATGCGTGATACTTGTACCAAGCACTGCTGACTTTCTCGACGAAGAGATGTCAAAGAACGGCAGATTGAGGCCATCAAAGACTTCCCTTCGGGATTAGACTATAATCCGTCTGATCTTGCGGATCCCGATGCAAACATTAACGTGCTATTTGCGCGAATATTACTGCAGCTTGAACAATTGCAGAATCTCTTTTTGATTGAAAGGCTGCTATTGAAGCATGGGGAAATGAACAAATCTACCCTGCTGCCAATTAGTTTTCGGCTCGTGGAGTTGACATTGCTGTTCTGGACGCACAAGGATCGCTTTGCCCCTTTTAGAAATGACTTTGAGTGGCTGGTAAGACAAACCCCTTATAACTGCCCCAACAAGCGAAAAGACTTAAGGACATATACTAAAGTGACTGTGGCTTTTCTAGGTCATGGCTTTTGCAACCCCTAGCGGAGGTATACTCTGCATGGAGCTACTGAATTCCTCATTCAAAGGCAGTCATCCCAAGAACTCCTCAATAACGCGGTCCAACATTATACAGCAACTCAGCCTCCTAATAGGCTTCCTCGAGTGGATCGATCCATCTAGACCGAATGGTACCATGTGCGTGACCACCAGTGCTGTTATGAGGCGTGTGCTGGACCATGTTCTCAATGCGGGCAGCGAGAATATGAGCTGGCAACCAGATAATGCCCTAGACGACATGCAACTTGACTTTAACTTTGAACTTTTCGATACGTTTGACTGGATTAGACCTGATGTTCTGACGAACCAGGCGCTGGAGAGCTGAGCCATATACAGCGACAAATATGTGGCCCTCGTCTTGCTTCTTGTACATATTGAATCGAAATGAAGCCGAAACTCATAATCACGAACATGGTTTTTTTCACAGGCCGAATTTTGTTTCAAACTACCCCACGGATACTAACATATCTATCGACGCTATTTTCACGATGAACAAGAACCATTTGGAATAAATGTAAAAAAAAAAAAAAAGGCCAACATATCCCGAAAACTCTCCTTACCCTTTCACATACCACTTGGTAATAAAGTCAAACGTCAACCCCCTCTGGCACAACCTCCGGCCCCAGTCCCTCGATTTTCCCTTTGCAGCCAGAGCGCTCTTCATCCCATGCGTACTCGACAGCAGGATATTCTCGCCGCGCGGCAGCTCGTCATGCGGCCACCGACCATTCTCTCGCGAAAAGCTCATGTGGCTTCCTCCTCGTCCTCCAAACTCCTCATATCCCATTGCGTTCATTGCGGATTTCACTTCCATGTAGGTTACTGCTGCGTTTACGCTGCCGTGGATGCCATATATGGATTCGAGAGTGGTCCAGTCTCTTTTTTTGATGATGCCTTTGGGCAGGCCGTCGGGAGCTGCCGGAAGGGGCTCTGATGACGTGTTGATGGCCAGAGCTGATATATCTGGAACGGGCAAGATTCGAGTTTTAGGCACTGGCGGAAGTGAATATTGCCTGAGAGTGGCATGTAGCGACTCTCCCCATCGTGAATAGCTCTGCTCAGTTAAATCAACCCGGCTATGTACATCTCGGATATTCTGGCTAGAACCTTCAACGCCATTGTCCTCATCTCCGCTGAGTAGCTCGCCAGATGCCTTCAACCGTTGCCTCGCCTTGTTATGCCTACGAGCTTGCTTCTTCATACGCCTTTTCTCTTTGGCCCGATCCTCCTTGGATGGACCTAAAAGGTCTTCTAATAGTTTATTTCTCCTAGATTGGCGTTCTTCGGCTAGATCTTTCTCATATTGTGCAATAAAGCGATAATCTTGCATTTGACTCTCAAGAGGAACCGTTTCCTTCGGTCCGGCTTCCTCCTTCTCCAGATTGAATGGCTTTTCTCCCTTTTCGAAGGGACAATCATCTCTGGATATGCCCATTACGTCTTCGAGCCTTGAAATTGCCTTCTCATTATTCGCATAATAAGGGCCCGACTCATTGTTCAGGGGTACTATGAAGTCTCTCAGCAGGGACGCCCCAAATCTCTTCATGTCCCCTTTAGCATGTCCTATCGAGATGGATTCTTCCTTGAATCCTTGAAGCTCATCAAAGAGCAAGAAGAGCCTCTCGAGTCGCTCTCTAGGAATTTTATCGTCAAAGTCAAAAGAGTCAAAGTCGAAGAAGTTGATCGAGATGTCTCCGCTGCCGGAATGGAGATATCTAAGCCGCGAGCTCTCGTCTGTAGCTGCACCTCCGAGTATATCCATTGTAGGCCACAAGGACTCCAAGTGATCGGCCAGGCTTGATAGGATAACGAGGCTACCAATTATATGACGAATAAAGTCTGTGATGATGGGATTTCCCTTGTAATCAAAGTTACCATCCGAATGTAAGGCTATATCATAGAGATAATTTGCTACTTCTTTGATGCGGCACAATGTGTTATCTATTGGGCTGGCGATAAAATTCTCAATAGCATCAAAGATATGTAATCTCTCCCAATCTTCGCTTCGCTTTATCTTGTCATAACCATGAGATGGATCTAATAGTTTGGAGTGGTATATCAGATCTGGAGCACCGTAGTGCCTCTTTTCTGTCTTGCAAGTGGTCTGTTGTGCCTGTCTCTTTTTCGCCTTTGCTTTTGCGTCTTGGGCATTACTATGAGTATCACCAATGGCAAATGCCAAATCTCTCATTGTCTGGCTTCTTTGTAGGAAGAAATCGCGGAGGTTGTTGTAATAGATCAATGCCATCACCTTTAGGAGCATCTCTCTTCCCATAATCCGGAAACTCTTCATACAATAGGTCCTCAAATTCTTCAAGGCGAGTTAAGATAGAATGCCAGATATAAAACTCAAAAATAGATCACCGCAGCACCCCCCTCATGAGATCAAAGTAGAGCATATGACGAGTCTTTTTATCTGTATAGTTCTCCATGAATATAGAATAAGTGTCGTTAGAGTCGAAATTTTCAAAAGAGTTTTTTCTTCCAATATGCCCCCAGTGATGACCTCTTAGCTCCTCAGTAAAATCATAGAGCAGCTCTGGGTTTTCGAAAATTTCTTGAATACCGGTTTCTGCTCCTTGCATCTTGATATCCAGCTCCCTAAAAAACACAGAGGAAATTCGGGTAGGTGGAGGTAGATAGAGCGCCGCCTCTGAATGTTTAACCACATCGACAGTAGGCCTCTCTTGCCAAAACTCAATACGTTTTCTAGTGTCAGCAAACACCAGCTCAGGGTCACGGCTGGGATTGGGATTCACTAGTGTTGTACAGTCCAAGCTCATGTCCTGACAAATAGTTGTGAGGACATTCAACATGTACAGATATGTTACTCGCTGGTTCTGAAGCATGATCCAAGCCCCTGAAGGCTCAAAGAGCTGTCCTCGGCGCCAAAGGTCATTGTATTCTTCAGCAGTCGCATTCCAAGCTTTTTCATCTTCCGCATCCTTGAACTTCTTTGGGTGAGATATCTCACCCTCCCATCCAAACCAAAATTTCGGGCGGTAACCGGAGTTGGAGGTATCGAAGCTGACCATGCGGTTTGCAAGCAAAGGACCTGTTAGGTTATTAGTCCTCCTGCCAATGAAAGTCATATCATTATCCAATTTAGTAAAAACAGAAGGGTGATACCGGCCACGATAGTGGATAAACGAGACCAGGTGCTCAAAACTGAACAAGTCTTCGGAAATGATGTGAGGGGCCAAAAACGAAATTCGGCTCGTTCTATCCCATACGCGCGAATCTTTGTCATTGCATACATATGGACCAAGCGAAATGTACTTTGGCTCTTCCTTCATTGGCCACTCTTTTACGGTACTGGTTTCAAAGAAATTTCTGGGATGGTTGTAGATAGCGCGGTACATGTCTCGTTCGTTTTCTGACAAGGGGATTGTTTCTCCCTCCTGGAAATAACGGAGAAGAAATCTTAAAGGGGCCTTCGAAACTATTGCTTCATCTGTGGGAGACTCTATTAGAAAATCAGATTCTGTATATTTAGCCTCCATAAATCTTTTAATATCTGGATGACAGTCGTTGAACTTCACGACAGTCTGCTCCCAGTCTCTTAAAATAGCATACAGACGGTTATTGGTACTCCATTCGCTGTCCCATTCTTTTGGGTAATTTTCCCGGATGAATGACTGAATATTGGACTCATAATTGCTGACCATGGCTCTTATCTTATTCCATATCTCGACTATCTCTCTGGTCATTTGATCCATAGCCTTTTCGTACTCTTTGAATTGTGCATGTGGGCCACCTGGGGGGTATCTTATGGTGACTCCCCAGCCCCAGCGTCGCTGGAGCTCTACATAAAGGTCTGGCGGCTCATCTGGATTGTCTAGTATTTCTTGCATAGCTGAATCTTTCATTTGCTGCACCTGATGGGACAGGTTGCTTGGAGCCGAGAAAGAGTTTGGATCCGCCAGGCGAGGGTTTTTCCCTAGGTAGATGTCGTGGACCTCCTTCAGATAAGATTATGGTGGTGTCTTAGCCATAGCGTTCTTAGATTGGTCTTGAGCCATGATGGACCAAGATGGAGGGTAGATAGAGAAATCGCAATCTTTGTTAAGAGGTATACTGTGGAAGCGAGCCGCAAGTTGAGATGGAAAAGGGCATAGCGAAATGAACTGATTTCAGAGCAGTTTTATATGAAAACTGGAAAATCGAGATGCAATTTATCATACGTTAATAATTCTCACAGGATCATGCTTTCAGGAAAGCGTGCAAAAAATGTTCCAAACACGTATTGTCCCAGGCAATAAAGCCAGCCATTCAGAAAAGGATGTAAGGGCCGAGATCCTTTTCAATGGACAGTGCAGAACAAAAAGAATCGTTTATACATGATAAAAGAAAAGTTGAAGAAAACAAAAAAAAGAAAATATGAACAAATATTTAAATAGACAAATAATCAAGCCCGCAAGTAGCCTTCCAAAGAGATACTGATGAAAAGATAATACTCGGCCGTCGACCCCAGTGGTGAACTCGCGATGCCAATGATTAGTCAGCAACTCTCGAATAGGCAATGTCGCAAATCCCAAACACTCTGAGCGTGAGCGAGCCTCTCTCATCTTCACAAAGCAAAAGCGCCTTCTCGCATCAATGGCCAGGCGACGCGTTCAATATCTAAATGATCCGCCTCCTTGAAAACTAGACAGCGTTTAGTTCCTATTTTCTGCACTTCACACAAACGCGCTTTGCGACATGGCGCGTCAAAAGACTCAAATGGCCAGACCCGCTCCAGCCCAGCGATCACAGACAGAAAACCAGCAGCGAGGCCATGAGAGCGCGGCCGAAGCTGGTGAAGTTGCGATTCCGCAGTTTTTCAACACCACATTCTCAACTCACCGTGTCTCTCCGCTCTTTATCGGCGCTCAGAAGCTGGACCAGACCCGCCTTGATCGACTTGCTCATCGGCTGCGAGATACGCTGGTGGGGGATGTGGTTCGTGGGGTGCAGATTGGCTTGGAGGCTACAGACACGCCCATGGGCCAGGTTGGGCCGCTGAGGGCAGTGACTTTCCGCTGGTTTCAGGCGACGGATGTGCTGGGCGACAAGTCCTCTGAGAACTGGAGTGAGCTGCCAGATGAGCAGAAGAAGGGCCTTTGGATTGAGATGCGGCATGAAAATGCAGCATATGTCGCGCTGTTGCTGCCGGGTTTTGCGCGTTCACATCAGGGGTCCAGCATAAACACCCCAGCTGCGAATCTATGGAACATGGGCTTTGACACTCCGGATATTAGCGAGGCTGATGGTGGCCAGTTCCTTCGTCTGCCTCTATTGCTCCTTCGAATGCCTCAAGCTCTCAAGGCTGTCATCGGCGAATGGCTGTCGACAACCTTTGATTGCCGTGTCACTAAGCTTAACCTGGGGACTCGAACACTAGTCGGCGTTCTGGAAGGTTGGATTCAGCATACCGGACTGCCGCGAGCCGATTCAGACCTTGTCTTGACCCTGGCATTTAATGCACCTGTAACAGACCCAGGCCGAGAGGCTTTACTTCGCTTGGGCGGAGATTCAGACGAAGACGAAACTGAAGTCGAGGCAACTGAGCCTGGGTTACGATCCATGGAGATTAGCATTTCGGCTTCAGATTTGCGCCGTTTCTTACGTGCCGGAAATGCGCTACAGAAATCCAAACAGACAACTTCTAATACGGGCCAGGACACTGCCTTGTGGGAGCGTGATGATCGAGAACGGCGCAGACTAGCAGGCTCCCACATAGACGACGGGTGGGGATGGCTAAAGAACAAAGATGGCTCTGAATATCCCTTGATGGAGGCTTTAGCAAGCCATCTAAACCAGCACGTGGCACTGAACCTGTTCCACCCAAGTGTTCGTGTCATTCAAGTATCATGCGGGGGATTTGTCCTCTCGCAGTCTCGGATCAAGATTGTTAAATCGGGAGACGTAACCGACGACTTGTCTAGAGCGGCGTGGATGTTTGTGACGCTCCTAGGAGAAAGAGTGCAGAGCGACGCAGTACCTTTGGGGACCTGACGGGATGCAAATACCCTCGATGATGGAATAAACGGATTTCAGCAGCCCGTTTTACAGCCAACCATGCCGGAGGTTTGAGATTCCGCTGCCTCCCTGGTTTGTGGGCAGAGGAACCACAGGCTTTGTTGAGACCATCCTAATGCCATGAGCAGTGCGGCACTTGCAGTAGGCCGCGTCAATGACAGTACCACTGATAAGTGGCTGCTCTGTGTGCATCGCCACGGTTTATGCCAGAATAGCAGACCTGGGAGCCCGACCTGTCGATACCTGTTTTATCAAGGCTGCTCGGGCCAAGTATCACGTCATATCAACTGTAGCTGCTAGAAGATGGCAAGTTGGACGCCAGCTTGGCAAAGCAGAGAGGAGAAACGGGCTTAGTGTTGATATCCATGTTGCGGGATGTACTGCGAGGTATCAAGATATTGGAACACTGCAGTAAGCTCCAGGTTCCGACCCTGCGTTGATGGCCTGACTTGAGCAACTGTGAAGAGTAGTAGTAATAGTAGTAGTAGTAGTATTTCGTACGTGCTCATAGCACAGCGAAGACCCATTTATATCAATGAAGCCATATAGAGCACCAATATAGCATTAGCATGAGTATCACGAGTATCATAAATCCCGTATCACATCTCGTATTAGGCCGAGTGCGCCAGTGATGGTTGGCTTTGAGTTGGTCCGAATTCCGTGACGCGCCGGGATTGCATATGCAGCCCAATGTCGGCTTGATGCATGGATGCTAATTTAGCTGCTGCCTATATTTGGCAGCATCTCATCTCAATTTTGGCACAGCAGCCTGTTTGTATGTAACCTGCGATGATGCCAGGAGGGGCAATGAGCGAGAACAGAAGAGAAAATAATTTCCTTTTTTTTCTCCCTTTTCTGTTGAGGCTTTCCATGATGAATAGAGAGTGGGAACAACGGCTCGGCCAAATGCTACTGCACTGTAACTCAGAGTGAAGCCAAAAGTTCCGATCCCGTTTATGGCACTCGTGGTGGTGGTGTAAGTACACGGAACAGGCACTGCATTCCGGCGAGATTATTCGTACATACAAGGATGCCACAATATCTGTGTGATAGCGCGCTCCGTAGATCTACAAGTACATGTGAAGAATAAAATTAAAGTATTCGTATACGACGACTGCTACCGCCACAGAACACTCTTCTGTCGATCCCAGAATGCCAAGTAAACCACGCCAAAGCCAAGTCAAAGCCAAGACTTCCATCGTTGGTTTCCGCGGGTCCCGTTGGCTCCTGCTTTGCCAAGACCAAGCTTTCGCTCTTCAGGAACAGCCCAGCGATCGCACCTGCCAGATGCAGGGAAGTACTTTCGTAGCTCAAAATCAGGTAATCACCAACTTCATGCAGATCTACTACAGTATATTGCCTTTTTTCTCTTCTCCTCGCAACTCCATCTCATCAACATATCTGAATGGCATCGAAGGACGATGGACCCTGTCCTACTGTACAGACAGTATGGGTGTAAAGAGCCACTCGCACGGCCTAGCGTGATAATGTCTTACTATTCGCACACATCAATTGACAACCGAAAGAGCGCAGCATGAAGCAGTCTTGGACGGCAATCCGGCATCGCCAAGACTGTCTGATAGGCTCATCTTAGGAGTGGCCCCCATCATCACCACCACCCAGGATATACGAAAAATCACACAACAAGACGGGAACAAAGAAAAAAAAAAAAACTGTGAAAACAACTGTGTCTACTCTACGAAGCAGTATTGGATAGTATGTACACGCGGAGTACGGAGATCGGAGAACAGAGAGAGCGAAAGTGCTCTAATCTCCACTGCTTCGTATTCTACCCGACTCTCGGTTCCGCATCGGCGCATTTCTCTTTCACCCTCGACGGGACCGGCCGCTTTTCGAAGCAGGAGACATGCTAAAAAATCACACTATGTATCCCACATCCATGCACGGGGCAGATCGAGATAACAAGCGAGGCCGTGTGATACACAATGACAGAGCTTGAGAACGCCATGCCCCGAAAAGGAGAGCTGCAGAACCAGCAAAACGCCAAGAACGTTGCTAGGGTCGTCTTGTGAACGCATTTTGGCGCAGAGTGGCTGCATTTGTGGAGGGCAGGGGCTGTGGTTCTATGGCTGGCGCCAATCCATCTCCGCAGAGCTGCTGCCTCTCGCCGGGTGGGTGAACCGAAAGCCGCACTCGATTCAAGCCCTTTACCGAATGATTCATGACCGTTGGCTATTGAAGCACTAGGCAGCCAGAGCTTTCGTTAATTAGGCCCCAGCGAGATCCATAACCGCGATGTATTCGCCGAGAGCCTGTCTGTGCGGAGGAACGTGTCACCCTTTAGCAGGACGCCCGCTGTCTACAATGAAGGCAGAGGCCAATATCAACTCCAAGACGAAGACAAGCCACCGCATCGAGGCCACTTTCGCTCGCCAAACTCCACGCTGCTTCCTGAAAGCTCTCTTATATGTACTCTGTTCTCTTAATCTAGCGACAAGCAATGGTTTCGCCTCGGAGCCGGGACACTTACCATCGCAATGGCAATCTCAGCAGCCCTAAATCATATTACTACTATGCGCCAACGCTGAATTGTGTTGAGCCAGACCCACACCGGCACTGCAGCAGCCGGATACACGGCTCGGTCCAACACTAGGACCCTGGCTCAGAAAGCTTCCTAAGAAACAAATATTAATTTCTGGTAGCTTGTAACTGCAATACGATCTGCTGTCAACTAGTAATAAAAACTAAATGAACCCTGATTAGCTTACCACCTACTTTCATTCTTCTTCTCTGCTGGCTCAAAAAGGAAGAAAAAATATGCTGCTGATTCAGAATCAATGAGCTTGGCGCGCTGCTATTCAGAATAGTTGGACATCTGGATCAAGCTGTCATGAGATTTTTTAGCCAATATTAAAATATCGCCACTTCTCCTCAAGCTGCCCGCTCACCAGAGCTTAGTTGATCGACGGCTGCTTGGACGGACCAACGTCGCCCAATATCTCGAGTCCAAGCCACCAAGAACTTAAGTGCAAGAGAAAGAGAACGGGGAAGAGATATCAGGGGCAATTTTACCATGAAAGTCATAGTCGCCGGGGTTACGGGCCATGCCGGCTCAGAGGTCGTTAACCACTGCTTTGCGGACGAGCGCATCACCAAGGTCATTATCCTGACAAGGAAATCGGTCGCAATGGATATTGAAAGCCATCCTAAAGCCGAAGTAGTATTGCATCAGGATTTTTCTCAGTATCCCGAAGAGATGATGCGCACTTTTGAAGGGGCCGAAATATGCTTATGGTAAGATTAGTTCCCAGCATAAATGGCATGACGCGGATGCGAGAAGCAGCATGCATAGCTTTGACACATGCATAGCTTTGACGATGCGTGTTAGAATGGCTGTCTGATTTCACTAATACGAATCCCTAGGGCTATTGGAGGGAGAGTCAACCAGTTCAATAATGACAAAGAATTGTGTCGCAAAGTTGGTGTGGAATATACGCTGGCGGCTGCGAATGCAATGCTGAAACATCTTGCCGACAAAGTTCCAAGCGGCAAGAAATTTCGATTTGTCTTCTGCAGTGGCAAATACTCGGAGTGGAACCAGAAGCGGCCTCTTCTCTTTTTGGCTGATTCTCGCCGTATTAAGGGAGAAGTCGAAAAGGGTCTATGCGACCTTGCAGATGCAAATCCTGACAAATTCGAGACATGGATCTTGAGGCCCTCTGGCTTTATCGAACCCAACGCCTCATTCTCCAAAAAGCTTGTTGGCAGTCTCTATGGCGCTATCACGACTGCCCAGGTGGGCAAAGCGATGGTAAAGGTAGCCTGCGAAGGCTGGAAGGACAGGATCATTGAGAATAATGCACTGCTCAAGATGTAATTTGATGTTCTTGGACCCCTCCCTTTTTTTTAATTCTTTAATACTTGCGGCTACACAGCAACGGCATACACTTTCAGATACCCAGGTTGGCTTGTCACGAGAGCAATGTTTCGAATACCGGACTATCACCACGTCTTTTTTTTCTTCTTTTTTGAAACGAAGAGCGGCGCCGCGCGCGCTCAATAGGGATATGAACGGGAGTCACTCGAAATCTGGAATGGGACCAATGCCAGAATGTATATGGCGACTACTGTTCAATTTCGAGCGACTTCAATGGTCTATTAAAATTTTTGTGTTTTTGTAACGTTAGTAACCTAATCATTAGATCAATTAATAATACATATGATTCACATAAATCCGAGCATAACACCCGCGAAGTGTAAATTACCTAGTGAAGAAATTGTTACTTAAACCAGCATTGGCTCTAAAGCTATTACATCAGGATCCAATGATGGGACATACCATCATAGCGATGTGAATCCAGTAGCTACCCTACGTCGAAAGGCGGACTTTTTATGAGGGTTTGGATATTTGAAGGCTGGTCGCCGGAAGTGGCCAAAGCATTACCTCGCTGTAAAGAGAATAATGGGTTGACCGTTAAGCTGCAATATTGGAATTGAGACTTATTTCATAAATGCGACTCGATCAAGCAGCTAATTGTTCGGGATTGTTCTATAGGTGACTGTTACAGGTAGCATGATGGATATCTATGATTGAGCACAGATTCGAGCCTTGCCCAAGAAGCATTAAGATTAGTTTTCAAACACGTAAAGTGACTCACAAAAAATGCCAGATTCTAACGGTAATTGTGGCTTACAACTCATTCCGGGTAGCGTCGGCATCATATTAGCCGTAACACAATTGACTCTCTCTAGACATATAGATATACAAGAATTTACACTTTGTGTCTATACCAACATCTCGTGTTAAAGGATGCATGGAATACGCAGGATGATATCCATTATCGCCAAGATAAGAGCCTATCAAGCGCTCATCAAGCGGTTTCACTAGCATCTAAATAATCGAAGCATGGACAAAAGTATTCAGTTACCATTATCTTAGGGTCTTTTATAACTGTTTCTGCTATAGCCATTAACTAAGCAGTCGTTACGAAAAGGGAAAGCAACAGAGAAGACAACAGGTAAGTTGCACTCGTTCTGGTTCTATAAATTCAGCAAGATGACTCAGCGTTGAGAACGCCCTCTGACAAAAGTTCCATAGTAAGACTTGGTTGAATCCATATTCTTAAGCTTGCAGAGCCATTAGTGCCCTCCCTAGCCTCATGCATACGCAAATGTCTGTAGTCAAAGAGTTTAAGGATTAGTATATCAGTGAAAGCATCTCCTCAAATGCCTGTTCTCCTGTAACGTTTCCTGTTGTAAATGGTCTGAAGTGGAATTAATAATTACATTGAACCCTAGCGCAACTGAAGATAAGTGCTGAGAATAGCGACTATTCGGGAATTAGTTGTCTTTATGGAGAAATAGTTACGGCTTATATAACATATGGTAATAAAAGAGAGAGAACGGATATTTTTGGCATAGAGGTAGTTATATAGCAATGCTGTTAGACTTAGTTTATAATGTACAGCTTTGTATCTGCACTAAGTCCTTTACTGGCAAGTATGAGGAAAGCCATGATGTAGATAAAAGATTCAAATATTTGTTAAGAATTCGTGATGATGAGATTAATAAACTTTCAGACAGTGCGATTGATTCGGGTAATAGTAGCTTGAATGCAGGGCTAAGGGATATCACGGAGATTCCGCTCTCAATATTTTAGAGGGGAATTGCCGCTGATTCCATCTAGTTGCACACCATGATAATGTATATTTGCAGTAAAGTACATCCTGTACAGACACATCTTTAGCCCCCAAGTATAATTATGAATCAGGGTTATAATATCTTCCTTTTGCCTGCGCAGTCACACGTAGTTGCCCTCTATTGGCCATGTTCTCTCAGAGGCGTTATGCTTTCTCATTTCTTTGCCCTGCGCTCTAGGTTGTGCGCGCCTAAACCGCGCCGAGATTATCCATTTGCGGTAACTTAGTTGTGCAATACATCCCGTGTCAATACTACTAGTATACTAGACCACTATCAAATCCGGCAGCTCGAAGCCTTTCGCCTGCGCATACGGGTACTCTAGTAGTCAGTCAGCTTATGGAGCTAATGAGCTGGGTCTCCTGCCAGTATTCTCGTGCAATTAAATTGCCAGGAGCCAAATCTAGCGGTTTCGCGGTTGCCGACATACCTGTATAATGCTTAATGGTAAAATAGGAAAATATTGCCTACTTTCGGCGGCTCAAAGCATGGGTGGTTAGCAAGTGTCGGTTCAGGATGGCGCTTTCTTTAGGACTCTTTCTTTAGGACGCTTTCTTTTTGTACAGGTAGGATCGTGCAGGATGTTTTGGCCTATGGTCAGCCAACCCTAATCGTCACAGATAATATAATTGATATACGAACACGTGCAGAAAGGAGCTACCAATGGTCCCTGTAGTACATCTACCAAACAGCCGTACGATTCGTGATCTTATTAAGCTGGCCAAATCATCTCATTCAGGACCCAGAAAGAGTCTCCTTGGTGCTGTATACTACTTGCCTACTTCGTATATAGGGGCCAGTTGTAACGTGGACTCGCCCTCGCAAAGATGCCGGTAGGAGACGAAGCAAGCGAGAGAAAAAAGAGTTAAGAATACCCGCCATAGTTTTTTCTTAGTTTCTTTTAACCTTATGTGGCTCCCCTGTCAGCCAAGTAAGTATGTCTGCGTTAGGTTGGGCACCAGAGCGCAACCCGTATGTTCGTACGCTTGTGAGGCCCAAGAAAGACCCATACGGGATTATCTTCCCCCAAAGCTGATGCCGACAATATTTGAGTTATGAAGGATAGCTTGGGGTCGTGAGACGCCATACATTATTCGGGAGCTGTTGTGATCCTATCGTTCTTGAGTCTAGGAGGGTTTGGCCTCCAACGGTAAGTATTAATAGAAATGCTCCTGAAGGCTAAATTAAGCATGCAATTCTAAGATAGACTCACAAAGGGTATCTAAGCAGCTCAAGTTGTAGTCAGCAGTAAGCCCCATAACTCCCATCTAATCGAGTCCACAAAATGGACCACTCTCTACCCCTTCCTCGTATAATGTCCAGGGCCAATTCATCAACTGAAAAAGGCAGCTGAGAAGCCTTTCGCGGGGGTCACATAGCGCTTTAACGCCAACGACGAGGACAGAACTACGATAGTATTTACTCCTGCGTTGATGCTATATACGTGGCAGGGATCGGATGTAACGATAGGATTCGAACAGTTGGTTCATCCCAGAATGGCATTTGCCACTCTGGGCTATTGGTGTAAGAAGATTGATTAGCTAGAAATCATGGTTGGATATTATGAGCCAAGAACGGAGCAAACCGGTATGGCCGAGGCAGGCATTGTGGTAATTACGGTCAAAACATTGACCTTACGTAGCCAAATATGCTCTTCAAGCCATGTATCCATTGCTGTATCAAGTGTGTTCGTCTCAAATCAACGGTAGGAAATGCAGCGCTCGGTGTATGTGCTCCCGAACCACCAATAGTGTCACTCTCTGAACCCATTCAACAAGGCTGTGGATACCTTACAGGTCTAGCTTACCTTCTGTACTCAAATTAGGGTTACATACATGTACTAGGAGTATTTTTCCCTTTGTATTAGCATCTGACTCTGACCATGTCATCCTTATTCGTCAATTGCCAACCTCGCAGGGGTGGTGTGAGAACCTCGCATTGCTAGTGCCTGGCAACCACCATCAGAAAGGAAGCTCAAGATTCACCGTTGAATTGCTGCCGATTATCCGATGGGGCGATTATACTTCATTACAAGTTTTTCTTCTCTTTGCAGAACCTTGCATACATATTCTCATCTACTTTGACGACCCTGGTCAGTTATTAGGTCGCAAACTTATATAAAGCGCCAATTTCGCTTCCTTCAGGATCGGCATTCTTTGTCACAAGCTCAGTACTTGATAATCAATTCGAAAAAGAGGTCTCATCTCATCTCTGACTGTTCATCATGGCTGTCCTCAAGGCCGCTATCCTCGCTTCACTTGCCAGCGCGGCCGCTGCCAAGTCTGTGCCCGCCAACCTTCAGAATCTTTACAACTCCATCATTGACCAGGGATCTTGCAATGACAAGCTTGCTTCTGGATTTTATAGCGAGGACAACGACGGTGGTTGTAAGTCTAACTTCTTGTTAAGATTTAGAGAGACGAATTGCGTTGCCTGACACGAAGTTTTTCCCTTGATATAGCTACCTCTTACTGCGGTGACCATCTCAATGACTACGGCATTGTCTACCTCCAGGGCACTGGCGGTAAACTAACTAACATGGATGTCGACTGTGATGGTATTCAGGGAGGCCCTGCTGATGACGGTCGCTGTGGCGACTCTTCCGATACTCAGGATACCACTGCCTTCGCTGATACTGTCGCCAGCTACGGCACTGGTCAACAAGATCTCGACGCCAATGCCCACCCATATGTCGTCTTCGGTAACGACGGCAGCAAACCTGGCTGGAAGACCTTCGATCCCCAAAGCGTTGGCATAGAGCCCCTCTCCGTTATGGCTGTTGTATGCAACAACCAACTGGTGCGTTTTTATATAACCCTAATTGCTACTATTTTCGCGAATTTCTCAACTAATGCAACTTGTTCAGATTTATGGTGTTTGGGGAGATACCAACGGCGATGATGGTGACTTCCCTGTGGTTGGCGAAGCCTCTATTGCTCTCGCCACTGCCTGCTTTGGCGACAGCATCAACGGTGATAGTGGCCATGATCAAGATGATGTTCTCTACATCGCTTTCACTGGCTCCGGTGCCGTCCCTGGCGCTCGTGGCGCCCAATGGAATGCACAGGACTATACCGACTTCGAGAACAGTATCAGTGCCCTCGGTGATAGCCTTGTCGCGCGTATCGGCAACAGCTCTGGTGGTGGCGGCGGTAGCACTGGCGGAAGTGGTGGCAGCAGCGGCGGTGGCGGCAGCACTTGTTCATGGGAAGGACACTGTGCTGGTGCTTCTTGCGGCAGCAATGATGACTGCTCTGATGATTTGACCTGCAGCAACGGTATCTGCAGCGGTGGCAACGGTAGCAGCAGTGGTGGTAGCGGTGGTAGCAGCTCTTCTTGTTCGTGGGAAGGTCACTGCTTCGGTGCTCCTTGCAGCAGCGATGATGACTGCTCCGATCCCTGGGAGTGTGTTAAGGGCACTTGCGGGAACTGAGTTGCTTGGAAGAAATGCGTCCAAAGTCGAAATTTGAACTTTCATATATATATATATATATATGCATCATCCGAGACATGAGATGACGTTAAAGAAGTCCAAATAAATAGCGATGTTCATGGAAATCTGAGATGTTGATCAGTCATCAAGACAAGCAGCATATTGCCCAAGTGAAGTCCAATACAAGTATGTAATTGTTTTTCTATTGCTTATTCTACCCAAAAGTAATCAAGTAGGTCATGTGTTGCTTATGATCCGACAATCTTGATACGTCCTTCGAGTACTGGCGCTATTACTCGCGTCCAGTCGACAGCACACTCAGACTCCTTTAGGCAGTCGCACACCTTAGACTTGATACCTGCTCTATGAGCCCAACGGCCCCAGAACTTTTTCATCAACAAGATCTCCAGGTCTATCTGGCTGTCCGAATCGCTTCCCGTATGATCACTCTCTGTTCCTGTGTCAAAATGATCGCTATCCTCGTCGTGAGGCTTCTTGCTGAAGCCCAAGCGCGAGCGCAAAAATTTGTGCCAAGAATCTTTGTGTCCGTCGGCTTTATCCTCGTGAAGCTTGAGTCGAGATATATGGCTCTCTCCCTTGAATACTTCAGATGGTAACTCAGTGTGGCCGCATTCATCGGCGACATGGTTCCAATGCGAGGATAAATTGCTCCATTGGCCGACTGTTCGGAGAGCCATAAAATATTGCCGGAGCATAGCAGAGATGAGCATTCCGCTCTCTTCATCGATAATTTCCTCTACTTCTCCTCCTTCGGACTTGACGAGCAAGCTGCTGAAGCCATCTATCACCAGTGTTAACTCAATAGGTTTGACAAATCTCTATATACTCGGATAGGCTTACCTTTTCCACGTCCCATATAACCTCTAGTCGCTAAAACATATTTCTTTTCAGGCTCATAAGTTTTGCCCCCAATCTTCACTGACAGTATTCTCTGACCAGATGGCTTGGATGGATCAAATTCATATTCGATGCCTGATACCTGCGGAAATCTTCCTTCGAGGGCGGGATACAATGAGACGCCATTCTCCAACGCGTCCCAGATTGCTTGTCCCTTGGCTCTCAAAAGGACAACCGGATCTTCAAAAGGGAAGCAGGAAGTGATATCCTTAATTCGGATAGCTCCTGGCGGATAAATCTGGTCACCGCGAATCGTACCACCTGCCATGATAGCACAGTCTGCATTATGATGTATCCGCATGATATCGCATACAAAGTTGCCCATATTCGATTCTTTCAAACGCGCAGTGATGAATCGAGCATCGAGCGGCATGGCCGTCCATCCCACAGGCTTGGATAGTGACTTTTGTAATTTGGACGTCAAGCCATCTACCAGTTTGGCTGTAGGTTCGTCTTCAGGTATATCGGATGTAATATCTCGTCTCCAGATATCAAAATCCCATCGTTTAGGGTCATCCTGCTTCCGCCGGGCCTCGATATAACTAAGCTGCTTGAAGTCAGTTCCTGAGCGCAGGACATGGGTGCCGTTTCTAAAGCTATGAGCGTAGTAATGGTCATGGCCACCGAGAATGATGTCGATGATGCCATCCGTCTGATCAGCCAATTTGTTGTCGTTTGGTTCACGCATGTGACTCAAGCAGATGATAATCTCTGCACCCTCCTCTCGCAGCTTTGGCACGAGCTCTTTGGCGACAGCGCTGGCGGACTTGTAGATAAGATTTGGTGGAAGACTATTAATAGTTGCAAGCCACTCCCTCTCACCCAGGCCAATCAGACCCACTTTGATGCCGTTGGAGGTAGTGAGCATGTGAGTCCTTTTGGCGTTGCCCAAGGGAACATCCTCTCCCAGCGCGGGATCCAAAACATTGGCCAGTAGCCATGGAAATTCACATTTCTCAGCCAAGTGCTCGAATTGTTTTACTCCAAAATCAAGATCGTGGTTCTGAGGTTTGAGGGGTTTGGTCAGCTGCTGTCCTTCATCTCACGAAAGCAATTCAAGGATCAGACAACTCACTCCAACGCAGCTGGCATCCGTTCCAATGGCATTTAATACCGGCACCATATGTCTTCCCTTGGTAACACTGCTCTCCAGGCTGGGATTGAAGACATCGCCTGAGAACAGGGTCAGGAGTCTAGGCTGGCCTTGATACTGCTCCCCGTCCTTGTACTCCTTGCAGAGCGTCATGAATCTTGCCAGGCCGCCAACTGGCTCTGCACTGGCCTGATCGACATGATAGACATCGTTGTAGTGCAGTATGCGCAAATCCGGTGCCTCGGATTTGCTGTTGCTCTCAACTCGGCCCGACGAGAAGGTCACTTGAGGGTCCGCCGTGGGTTTAGATGTCTCTCCCATGCTGATCGCCGCCTGTATCCAAAGATTGATATATCGATTGTTTGTTAACAATCCTATTCTGCCCTTCAATAGCTGTAACGTGTTAGTTCGTACGATATTGTCGTGTCACCGCCTTGTCAGCCCGTGACCTGCAAGTTAAGTCCAGACGCTCCGAGGCCAGAATGATGCTCACGTGATGCACCGTTGGGTCTGTCTCTTGGCATTTGGCATGTTTTATCCAAACCAATTCAATATAAATCGGATCATTGAGCTACTATATACTATAACTAAAACACATATAAGTATACGAATCTATATTTTTTTTTTCTGTTGGTTGGAGCCACTGTGATCTCACAATCTATTCAAATGCCTGGTAGAGAGCTGCCGTAATTATCGAGATCTGCCGACCAGGGGTCCGTTATCAGAGGGCCAATTAGCAGCTCGACATTTGCAAGGTCACGACCCGCTTCAATCATAATGAAAACAACGGTTGTTGTTGGCTGGCATTGCCAAAGTTAATAAGAACAAGAGGTCATTTGTTGGACAAAAAATAAAGCAAAAAGGAATGTATAATCTCCGATACTGGGAATCGAACCCAGGGCTGCTCGGCGCTCATTGATGAGAGCGAGCGATGTTAGCCACTACACCATATCGGATGTTGAATTGGTAGTCGTGCGGCTAGTTTAGGTTATACACATATTGGGAGTGAAGGTCGCAAATGTGCTGTGCGCAAGTGTGTAGACGAGAAAGAAAGAAACGACCAAGAGTCTTAAAACGGGACAAAAGGAACACCGGATTATACATTGTAGGTAAAAAAGGCGGTTCTAATCATAAACAGCTTGGCCAATTGACGCTGCTGAAAAGCGCACGCAAAAATCATTCATCGCATACATCTCAGGTGACACCTATCTGCTTGAAGACGATCGCTAGGAGGATGAACAAAAATAACATGACGCGATATGTTCTATTTGACCTTTTGTAAGCTCTGGCTTAAATCGTCCGCAGGTATTTCGATATTTTGTTTTCTAGATGAGATGTTTCTTGCGCAATACTTCTGTGATAACTCCATCAAGATCCTCATTGCCATTTAGTTGGAGAATTTTCTTCCATTTGCTAACTTCATCATCCTTGAAGAGTGTGAAATGACCGGGGTCATATATCGTTCCTGTTACAAGATCATGATAGCGTGCTTCAACTTCTCCTCTCTCTAGCTGCTCCAGGCCTCGAGCAATTGCCGCAGCAGAAGTGTCACGACTGACTTTGTATGCCTTTCCTTGAATCCTCTCCATCGCAGATAGAGTTTGATTCTGCGTGGAAGTAAAGGGTTTCACAAATACATAGGTATTTTAAGTCTCCTCTATGTTTCGTAAAATTGCAATAGTTGATCTTGCTACTTGGTCAACAGTGCTTGTATCGTATTCCTGGTTACCTGAATCATAGATTGTCACCTCGCCCTTGTCAATATCCCGCCCCAAGGTTCCGCGACCTTCTTCAAGGACCTACGTGAATATGTCAGCAAGCCTAACGACAAGTTTATCGAAGAGAGTCATGCCCATGAAAAGAAAATTCCCACACAAAGCGCCGTCTAGGTAAGACCCTGTGACTCCTTGGTACGAAGATGGTCGACAATAGCCTTTTTCTCAGCAGCAAAGGGGGGATAATTGGTCACGCCAACCAAGGATGTGTTCCCTCCATACTCGCTAGGTAAGAACCTGCGCACTCCTGCTGCGGCTGCGGCGTTGATAGCCGTCAACTGATATTTGGAGGCAAAAGTTCTGGTCGTGGAGACGACTGCATCCTGTCCCCGAAAGATGGAGACAAGTGCGTCGAAGCCATCGTATTCACTACGATGCATAGTAACACTGGGCCCATACAAAATGGAATTCGATGGCCTTGTCATAGCTGACACGGTGAATCCTTCTCGTTGTAGTGCTTCTACAAGAGCACGACCCAGACTACTGCTAGCCTAGTAAGCTTTATTAGAATTTTGATGACAATTTCGATTGTGTTGGATAGATTTCCTACCGCAAATACCACCACATTTCGAATTAGTTGCGACATTACTAATTTTATACAATTAGGTAGAAGGGAGTGTTTGCAGAAGGTGTTTGTTTCAAAACTCGTGTAAGTGTCTATGCCCCAATTGCTCAGTATATGTAAATATCCAAAATCAATCCAGAATAACTTTCTTTCAGATAGCAGCAAGCGCTGTGAAATAGAAATATGAAGCTAGCACAGAAGCATTAACAGGTAACAACTATGGATATGCTCCTGCTAGCGAAAGAAAACGAGGGCTGTGGGAATACGGTACAACAAGGCCCTGCTAAAAAGACAAACAGAGACGACAGGAAAATAGCAGTTTTAGATGCTGACGCATCGCGTTTGGTCGGAGACTAGAGCCAACTTTCCATCTCTATAGTCAACGAAAAGTTCGCACTTGCAGGCCGTTTCGCATTTCACAAGAGTTGCGAAAGGACATCCCAAATGACATAGAAGCGGGTGGTCTCAAAGTCCGTCTCAGACGCCGGGGAACTATCTCTTTTGTAATAAGTGTAGTTTTTTTTTTTGTTTGACTGCTGTTTTTACTAATGGCATAAAATGCTAGTGCTTGGCTTTGTATTGTATTTTCGTGCTGTTGTACCGCGTATACATAGATTGGCGGGTATGCATACATTAATGTAGGTGGCCCGAACCATTCGATTCAATATAAGTATCGCAAGCAATTCTCTCAATGCTCAATTTGTCTTCGCGATATGTGAACTAAACCCTTCAAATTATGTATACCGCGAAAGTAAAATAATCTTCGAGTTACACGTGTGCTTAACGTTTTCTCGAAATTTCACATCTATAAAGCCAGCGCTTGCGCATCTCGAGCTTCAAACTTCGAGTTCCGGTGTCCGTCTCTCTCAATGGCAGCCGATTTGCACTCTGTCTTTTATATGGGCTTAGTCTGAAATTGTAGCTCTAAATCGATGAGAAAGAAAGGAAAGCAAAAGAAACACACACAAAAAAAAAAGAAGGAAAGACTCCGATACTGGGAATCGAACCCAGGGCTGCTCGGTTCAATATGATTGAGAGCGAGCGATGTTAGCCACTACACCATATCGGATAGTGTTTTTTTCTTGATGCCTGGCTTCGAAATAGTTGTTCTTGAACTGGGAACATTATGCAACAATCAGCCACTCCGTCATTTAATGCTGGCTAATTTACTTTTATCTTCGGCAAAGAGCTAAAAGGAAGTCGTATTATATAGTTTTACAATGCTATCCAACAGTCGAATGAGATCATGAGCAAAGATGTTGACTAGTAGAGTCTGAGTCATGTAATGGATGATTCTTGGAGGGGTTCTAGCCGCTCCATTTTCTTTTTGACTTTCAACTATAGGGAAAATCTTCAGACTACATTGGTGTCTCGCTGGGCGGCTAAGGACTCTTTCTGAGCATTCAGCCTTTCAGAAGGGGTCGGCAAATGCCATAAATGATCAGCCGCTGATGCTCCTCGCCATATGCTATTAGAGAGAGGGATCGAGGGAAGGGTTATTATACTTGTATAAGCAGAAAATCATGCCTATGAGGTATAAGAATCCGTCAGACAAGAACAACCCAGGGCACCGCATTACTATTATCTTTTCCCTTACTGGATCGTTCCTAGGTCCAGTATAATCCTCTTTGTTCTCTATGTACAAAACGCGTTACTCAGTCCTCTAGTCATCTAATTCTTAAAATGTCATCCGGTACTTTAAAGAGCAGCCTTTCCTCTTGACTCAAATGGCAAGAAGAGGGTGAGAATGCCGGCAGCAATGAATAAGGCGCCACTCGTATATACTGGCGCGGACGTTTGAAGGTTGGCAAACATGGCAATAATTGGCTACAATTGCAGATTAGTTAGACACACCCATATGGAGCCTTGAACAAACGAATAGCAGCAATAATACGTACAGCCATAATGCCAAAAATTCGGTTGGCAGTAGCAGCAATGGCGTTGCCAGTGCCCCGCTGAGGAGTCGGGAAGATCTCAGGAGTATAACCGTAAAGCACAGCATACATGACGTTACTGCAGAAGTTGTAGGCACAGTTCCAACCAAGAAGCGACTCGCTGCTCTTGGCGGTTGTTGAGCAGTACAGGAAGACGCCAGTCAGAACTGTAGAGAGAGACAGCGTTCCCTTGCGGCCAATTCGAGGCAATTCAACGAGTAAGCCGCCAATCAAAGCTCCCGGAACACCCAGGACAGCAATGATCAAGCTGTTGCGGTAAGTGAGATATGTGCTTCCATCGCCAAAATCAACACCCTTTTCGGCTTGGATGAAAGGCAGAAACGCGTTATAAAGAGGGAAACCTGATATTATCATTAGCATAGGTAAAAACTGATTTCAATAGAGATGAAACTCACCCAGTCCAATCAAGGCCCAAATGGCGGCGATAAGCGTCGTGGACAAGCCAAGTTTGAAGGTCGAGAACAAGGCTTTGACTTGTTTGATGTCTATTTGTTCAACCAAATGTCTCTTAACAGCAGTCGAGACGTCCACCTGGGCGACATAACCCTCGGGCTCGCAGGCCTTGAGATCTTCAATTGTCAGGGAGCTGGTCTTGCCGTTGCGCCTGGCGACTTCGTGAACCACTCGAACAGCGTCTTCATCACGGCCCTTGCCCATAAGATACTTGGGCGACTCGTATAAGGAGAAGAGTAGGAATCTAGCCAAGAACATAAGAAGCGTTATTCCGCCCATGGTTATCAAAAAGTATCGCCAACCCATGTTGTTGTGCTTGAGACAAGGCTTCTCTTCCTGAGAACAGGTGAGGTTACCCAGAAGAGGCCATGCTATTAGGGTCGCAATCACTTGAGCCACAGCCCAGTCGACGGAGAGGATTGTTAGCAAGTATTGGTGAGTCGGGGGGAGAAATTCGAGGAAAATGGCAGAGTCGACGGGCAGATTTCCGCCGACACCAAAAGACCAGAAGCAGTCAAAGATGCCAATCGCCGCAAAGTTGGGCGCGCCGGCAGCGATCATGCCCCAGAGAGCTGTCAAACCAAGGGTAAGATTGAAGGCAATTTTGCGACCAAAGATGTCGCATCCAAAGCCCCAAAAGACGGCACCAGCCAAGAGACCGATGTTTTGTGAGAGAGTCAAGAGCGGTGGGCGGCTGGGAGAGAATTCGTTGGCGATGGGCGTGAAAATGAGAGAGGTTACAATGGGCCACAGGTTATCGCTGGCCCAGCCGAAGCCGACGACAATGAAGAGCTGCCATTGGTACCATCCCATTCCGATTTCTTGAATCTAAGTGAGACATGTTTCATTAGCTACTGTTGCCAGCACAATGTCTACAGCTTCATGATTGTAGATGCCTGCCACAGTGGTCGCAAGCCAATAGATAGAAGAATGACTTACAGCGTGATTCAGCACTTTAGCCTTCGCCTCGTATACAGGGTCGAGGGCGCCCTTGGGAATAACATCTTCATCGCTAGAGACAGAAACGCTGCTGGTCTCGACTGGATCTCGGACTGGCACAGCCTTGCCATCATCTGACGGCGTACCCATTGTGATAGATATGCCAAGAATAAATAGAAATTAATTATATAACGAAGAAGACTCGCTTGCAGCAGAGATTTAATGAGACAAAGGGCGACTTGCGACTCTGCCCAGGTAACGCAAGACCAAAAAAAAAATGAATGAAGAGAGTCGAAGCGCAGGTCGATCCTTCGGCTTGTCGCCTCTACGCTTAATATGTACACGGCAGAGCCATGTGTAGTGCTGGACCGCCGTACCACACAAGCTCAAGGCCAATGCTACCTCATACAGGGCGCTAGGCACATGTAGTTTGCGTCAAGCAGAGTATGGCATCCCGTAGTGCGGCTGTAAGGCCTCATTCATGCCTTGTGCTACTGCTAATAACGGTTACGCGCCGCGGTCCCACGAGCCGAAAGTCCTTTCCTAATCCACCTTTTCTGTCAAGGGCGCAACACCTTGATCATCTGCTTAGCATCCCATTTGACCTTCATGGCTTGTTTATGACTGCTGCTAGTTTGCTAACACTGCTAGCAGCGCTCTTACTAAGTATTGTGCCGGGGATGTTTGGCTGTATGACGATGGCGCAATATCTCGCGGCTTTGGGTGATTGCCATTAGCACGAATCAAGATGGAGATGCCAAACGGAACCACCACAATAGTTGCGCTGTGGGGGAGTCTGTGGGCAGCTCGACAGGGCTGCTAGCAGACATGCAAGGCTCGTGAAGCCTGTCCAACGAGCTTTTGTTGGCCAGATCGGCAGTGTTCACGGAGCTTCTTGGCTGTAGCGGCATCTAGACGCAGGTGGCTTGCGGGAAAGCTAGAGCTGAGGCGTTCGGCCAGGCCGTGCTTAAAACAGGGATACAGGACAAGTAGATACCTACTTGCACGAGTCTGGTTTGAGTAGAGAAGACGTAGAGAAAAGCAGGATCGGAGAGAGAGACTGTTAGTGAGTGAGAGAGTCCTGCGCTTTTCATTCTCAGGACGCTATGCTCCGCGAGCTGAAGACCTTTTACGAAGTTTTACAGGTAGTATTCTTGATACCATGTGAAAGCTCATGGCACGCAGGCGTGTCTCAAAGTACTCGTCAATACTGCGCAGACGACGCCAGTGTACACATTCACAGCTGCTACATGATGCAAACGCAAGGCAGCAGCGTTGCGAAAAGTCCCTCGGCGTCAGTGGTACCAAATTTAAGCCCCAAGAGCTTAACACGAATCCAAATTCCGCCCCAGCGCAGATCGCCAGGGCTCCGAACAGGGGAAAGATCCGGAAATTCTCACGAGTCCAGACTCTTACAGGTGCCTCTTTTTCCCAGTTTTTTATTTGTGATTACATTCACTGCGCTGTCTGCCTTCCTTTATGGATTGTTAATCTATCTCTTTCCCCGTTGCTCTATGTATTCATCTTCATATCCCATCTTACGCGATGCCCCATCGGATGGCTGCCCAGACGAGGATCCAATCGTGTCACCGGAGCTTTGGCCACCGCTCTAAGAGCTTACAGGGGTGGCTTTCTTTTCTAGGCTTCTCTTTTTGATGCTGCTTTTTGTTAAGTGTTCACCACAAACGAGCCTTGGCGAGAAATGGTGGCGTGTAGCTCTTAAGCCAGTGTGCATTCAGTCACTATTTGGTGGCCGGATTGGACGTCGTGCATACCAAGTCGAGGAACTTTGCGCGGCGCTGTGTGGATTCTGGTTTGGCCGAGTTTTGTTCATCCTTGATAGCATTTTGGGAAATGTTACTTGAATGCCAAATATCTTATCCAGCATATTTTGATACCACCTCTAATACCACCGTGATGCTACCAAGTGGTACTTGGCCCCCAAAAGTATCTTACCTAGCGGAAGTGTTACTCTACTTCGTATTATATGTACGAGTAGTTGTAGGTATATTCGCATCCGGATATGTGGATACGCCAGAGCAAAGTTAATGTGCCCCATTCAAGCACCGAATGGCGTGGCAAGCATCCCAGTTACTCCACTGTCAGAGTACTGTTGCCTCAAATTCCTCAGCTGATGCGGTGGTATCTAAAAAAATCTATCATGATCGTGAATCCTTTTTCCTCTTCTAAAATAACAAAAGGTACCGGCATGAAAATAGCGCTCCCATCATACATGCCAGTGGTAGTTCGGAGAGTTCCACTTACTTGTAAGCACTGACGGCCCGCTTTCGCATCCTGTATCGCGCTTCTCCACCGTTGATCCACTGTCGCCTCGACAGCCTAGCGCAGGTCCCATTGCTCTTTGAAATGGCGATGCAAGTCGCAATTGCTGTCACGTTACTCCGTATATTGTGAATATTCAGGGGTTAAGGGCGCCATGGAACTTGCAGATAGAAATATAAACTCTTGTTGACGGACAAACTACGCGTATGAACAATCAGCCGGGATACTTATGGCATAAAATTGAATGATAAGCGATTTTATTCATCAGCTCTGCATTTCATACATACGCGTCCAATTTCTTTTACGTTCTCTTGAATATCTCGCTTTGAACAGCCTTGTTTCTATAGAGGTAGGGAGTGTAGCTAGTAGGTTGATTTTGCAGGTGGAATCTTTTTCATTGACCACTCAAGAATGAGCCAAAGGGAGCAAACTGCCTTAATTTGAGCTAATGCACGCCGGAAGGTTATCATTAATTTTTTAAATTTACTAACATCGAGCAATTACATATCTATTTTAGAAAGCTTTTCTCTCTCTAATTCAACTCCAAAATCACTTCGCCGCTAATTGATGATCCAGCCAAGCCTCCAGCAGGCAGCTTCACACCAAAGCCAATGCTGCCATCACCTCTCTTCTCAAGGCCTTCGCTCTTCTCGTCTACCTCTCTCACTTTATAACGCTGGCCCGAGATCTTGATAGAATAGGATGCGACGGCAAGTTTCTGCGTAGGATCCGCAAGTGTTACTACCAGGCGTACACTCTTCTTGTCCTTCTTCTGTGCGCTGAGTAGATACAAAGCTGGCTGGTCGGAAGTAAATGTCAGAGTTCCAGCTTTGTCCGACCATCCGAGCTCCTTCAAGTCTAGCTTGACAGACTTTGCACCACCAGGCCAGAATGAGAGACTGGCTCTACCCTTGCCGTATACACCAGATACCCCCTTCTTGTTGATGGGTTTCCATGTGGGATTTGCAAGCTCTTTAAGTAGCTTCAGAGATGAGATAGATGGAAAGAAGCCATAGGTAAATGAGTCGCCCTTGATAGTGGTATACGCGGAGAAGATGTCGACAGTTTCCATGCCCTGCGTCGAGGTAGAGATCTCTGACCAGTTGCCGCTTCTCTTGCCTTGGGACAAGGTTAGCTGAAAAGGGCGGTCGTAGGCTAGATAGCCGTTATTTCCATAATAGAGAGTGTCGGTAGCTAGATGCTGCTCTCCCAGCTGTGCAATGAAACCACTTTTAACGAGAGCCCTGGAGGAATCTGCAGCGCGATTATCTAGTACAGTAATGACCGGGACATTTCCAGCAGTAGCATTCTTTTTGATGTCAGTGGTGATGACAATGACACCTTCATCAACATAGAACCAAGATTTGCGATATGAGAGATTTTGAGTGAGAGGATCGATGTAGTCTTCAACCGCAGCGCCAAATATACCATCGCTTACAACGCCGACGAAGTCTTTCAAGCCGTAGTACTTCACTTGAGATGCTTGGAGCTTGGGCTGGTTGAGTAAAGTAGTTGTTCCAGGAACAAGATTCCAATCCCACGCCCCCATAATGTCCTTGTACTCGTTGCCCTTTACGTAGGAGTACAGCGTTCCGTGGCCCATGTGATACGCGTACGGATTAGCTCCATTCACGCTTTCCGAATTAGCTGATCTTGTTGAGATCATCTTGTTTGTGAGCATGAAGTTGGATCGGCGGTGGACCATGTAGTCGCTAGCCCAGAAGCCTCTGTTGCCTGTAAGCTTTTCTGTTCCATTGGACAGCAGCCTGCGAATGGTGTCGTTGACAGCATATGACCCCTTGAAGTCCGCTGTGGCAGCTGCGAGTTTCGAAACATTGAAGTTAATATCAGCGCTGGCCTGTAAGTCAACTGTAGGGAAAGAAACAAAGCGGCCAATGGCATTCTATAAGGTTCTCGTAATTAGCTCTTGTTTCTTTCATTTATAGACCTTTGAGAAAGAAGTACTCACAAAATCCCAGTGCTCGGTTCTAGTCTGAGAATCTGTGTAAATAAGCCACTCGTCGCCCTTCACGTAAGTTGACATAGCCGCTCGCGTATCGTTGTTGGCAGCAAATGACGTGCCAATGGCTTCCCCTTCGAGCTGGATGAAGGCATTTAACTGTAAAGGATATCAGTATCAGTATATGAGACTTGAGATGCGGAAATTATTCATCTTACCAAATCTTTGCCATAGTTGCCGTTGTACAAGATCCCATTATGCTGCAGGAATGTGCCGTCGCGATGAATGCCGTCTTGTCCAGGAGTGTCGACAAACTAATTATTGGTTAATCGGAATCCGGTATTTTAATGCTATGAAACTACTTACAGTCATCACAGACATGGCTCTAGTCATGGAATCGGCCAAAATAGTACTATTATCAGTAAAAAGGGCCAAAGTGACTGAGTTTTGCATGACCAAGACCATCTATAATACAAAAGTCTCAGATTAGAGCTTTAAGAAGAGGGACCAAAAAGAAACTTACGTTGGCTCCAGTCATGCGGCCACCAGTGCCATAAGTACCATCTCGAAGGGCGTATGCTCGATATGGAATGCGCTCGCACCCAGCCCGTTGAGTCTCGGTGAGGTTTGCATCTTTGACGAGCAAACATGCCGTTGAACACAGTTGGGGTATCAATATGGCCTGATCGTACCAGTTCTAGATTTTGCATTAATGAGGTGTTAAGAGCATCCTTCGACTTAGGAACAGGGACATACTGTATTCCATAGACCAGGCGTACCACAGGGACAACCTTTTGTTCTAGAAGGGCGTCAGTACTACAGCGAAAGACCAACGCATCTGACCCTCTCATAAGACTTACGCGTCACCACCGTCTCCCATGCAGTCGGCAGGAGTATAATCATTGCTAAACCAATAGTCCAGGCCTTTTTGCACCGCCGCTAGAAGCTTGGAGTCCTTGGCCCGGCTACTAGAAACTGCAGGGTTCGCACCGCTCCACGCAGCGCCTAAGGTGATCAATCTATTCCAATGCTCTTGGATTGGCCAATTGGCGCGCTCTTTAAACAAACCGTTAGCATAACTGTGTGGTTTGTGGTATTTCATTCTTTTTCAGATCAAGGTTTGTGGTCAATGCAATCATCGCGACGTGGTTGGAACTTACGCGCAGCACATCCCGACAGATAATTCACATCTGACCAAGTTCCGTCATCCTTTTGTGAAGACAGCCATGAGTCGATTTTACTAAACCACGTAGGATCAGGGAACTGGGCAAGATCCGCCGTCCTCCGCTTAGCGAATATCGCAAGTGAATCGTCTGGTGAAGCGGTGGCTTGCGCAACACTAGCTGTTGCAGCCACGAGGCTCGCCACAGAGTTGAGCTTCATGGTGTTGAAGCCAGTGACAGACCGCTTCAGAGGCAAAGGAGTCTACAAGCGATGAAGGATTCGGGTGATGACACGTAAGGATAATTGACGCCGACCAAGTCCCAGCTACGGCCCCCTTTTTCGTGAGAAAGTAGTATACCATGTTATTTATATCTTTAGCAACTCATATTAAGATCGCCTTCCTAACGCGACAAGACGCTGACAGGGAGACGTTTGCTTATTGGCGGACAAATGCTATGGTTATTGGGCGTATGATTGGCGGATATTTCGTCAAAGAGCTAAAATGCAAACTAAAATATGGGGAAGCTTGAAGACTATCAGTATGCTTAAAGGCTGAATAGCAACGTTTCCCCCACACTTTGAACAATTATCCAGCCAAAGAGCTAAATGAATATAATATTGACTGTGACTTAACATGATTTAGCAAGTAGCAAAAAAGCTGTATAACGAAAATGAATATAGCGTTGTACATCTGAGGGGAACGCGGGCACTAAGTTCCTAGTTGTAGGGCCGCGGGTAAGATTCTACACCAATGAGCTATCGCTACGCCTTGGCATTGGGTATATCCAGAAACTACTATGTGTAACTTTTACAATTGCTTTATTGACTTATACCAAGATGCATCTAGAATAAGCCGTAATTGAGTTCATTGCAGTCAACTCTTACTCCGGCAACGCTGCCTCATGTTGCCCCGTTGCCGTTGGCAAATGCAACAAACAGCCCAGACGGCCATCTAGCTCCGCACTGGCCTGCAACTGATTTACACGCTCGAAACTGGACAAGACCCGAGATCTCGCTTCTGCGGTACGGCTTCAATGGAGATGTCAAAGTCAAATATGTCCATAGGAATCCCCAGAGTTGTGCAGACATTCGGTACGTCTACAATACCGGCAATTGAGCCCTTGATCGGGGCGCACGACAAGAGAAGATAAATCTGTTCTCCAGAGTATCCTGTTCCAAGTTAGCTATTTGTTCAATTCACACCATGCTATGACATACCAAACTGCTTGAGATACTCGATTGCGCGGAGGCACGCTTGCCTATAGGCCACAGTTGCATCCAAAAAGTGTTGCTTGCCATTCTCATCGACAGAGAAGCCCTCAAATGTCAAATACCGTCCCGGGCCAAAATTGGGAGCCACATCGCCTGGCCGGAAAACTGGGCTCTTGATAGCTCGCGACTTCACACCGTCCTTGATGAGATCAAACTTGATGGTGATAGTGCCTGCTATTTCAATGGCGCCACAGAAGCTGATTTCGCCGTCGCCTTGGCTGAAATGGAGATCGCCGACTGAAAACTTTGCACCGGCGACGTGTACAGGCAGGTAAGTTGTTGACCCTCTTGAAATATTATTGATATCAACTTTTCAATTTCCTTGTTAGAACGATTCAATATGTTGCCGTTAGTTTTAAAGCAACGTACCGTTTCCCCCGTGCTCTGGTCGTCCAGGGATAGTTCTCGCTCCCTCGCGGGCAATCTTCACCTTCAAATCTCCAGTTGCTTGACCTGTATGCGCATTCACTGCCAATGGAGGCTGTGCGACGACCTTGTTCGGATGACTGTGGACGCAAGCCGAGATAAGATCGGCCTCTCGGCGATTCCACTCGGCCAAAACTTCCTGTGACGGGGCACATCCTAGGATTCCAGGGTGAATCAAGCCAGCAAATCGCACTCCAGGAATGTGTCGGCTAGTGCAATATATGCCATCAAAGTCCCAAATAGCCTTGGCAGCCTTTGGGTAGTGCTCGTCTAGAAAGCCCCCGCCATTTTTGCGGTCAAAGATTCCAGTAAATCCCCATGGTGAGTCTTCAAAGGGCTGAACGTCCGTAATGTTTACAACCAAGAGGTCTCCTGGTTCAGCGCCTTTAATTTCAAAGGGGCCGGTTAGATAGTGGATTTTGGTTAAATCTACAGTGCGTACGTCTTCAGCACTATCGTTATTGCCAATCTGGCCACCGGTCCAGTCAACGCATTCGATCTTTACGGTTTCTCCAGGTTCGATGGTTCCGATTGTCGGAACTATACAGAGCCCAGGCCATATTAGTCTTTGAACGTACATTGGCTTAAACCCTCAAGCTCCAGAGAGGTCTCATCAAACTCACTATCGGGATGCCAACGGTTATGCAAACCAGGCTGGTCCGCGGCTGGGATGTCGAGTGAGACAGACTGTGCAGTTCGAATCTTGCCCGGCATGATGTCTTTAAGAATTGTTATGCTTCCTTAGGATATGCTGTGTGGTACCTCTCAATATTGGATGCCAACCTGCGGCAGATGCATGTGTAGATATACGTCAGATCTGCATTGCAACACTCTGGTTCAAGGTGATAATTGGCCGCTTATAACCGGACAGCTGGATGTGTGCATGCATGATCGTGATCATCACACACACAAGCCAGACCCTCCAAACCCAGAGAGTTGCTGTCTTTATCGTAGTAGGATTCTGGAGCCTGCCCCCCCTCGCCATGATAACCGGTCACCCCGCCTCGCTGATGTTATCACCCCCTCTTACTCTTCATATCAGATAACGAAGCAGCATTTTCCTCGGATGCCCATCGGGATGTTCGTTAGTCCGAGGAGATCTTGATGTCATTCATGGGCCCTAATCGGATGGCTAGAGGCGAGATGGAGGGTATCATAACAGCCTGTTTCCCGCTAAGGGTCCTTAGCCACCGCAAAGAAGAATTGATGGTAGCTGTCAGTGCCAATCACCAGGCCGTCTCCGCACGATGGATCGCGGGGAAGGATGAATGTTGGCGATAAGTGGCTGTTGAGTTTTCTCGATGAGATGGTTGCGGCTATATCGGCACTGTGAGGAGGGGTTTCCGGTAGCAATGCTCAGTTGGTGCAGATGAGATAGATACAGTATTTTTCACAGTGCGTTGTCTCCAACTGCCACATTAGGAAGCCAGGCTATCTCGGTTGCAACGAACGCCGCACACGGCCGCATCCTGCCGCATACGAGGAGATCTTGATAGCAGATAAGAAGAATCGTGTTGGTAAGTAATACCTAGTAACCCTAGTAATAGAATATCAATCATGCCACCATCCCCCCAAAGAACAGCAGCAAGCTCTGCAGCTCTGCAGCTCTGCAGCTTTCCAACCAGCTTCAGAAATCAACCTGCGTCAACGAGAAGCCATCTGAAACAGTCAGCTTGACGACCTACAGTATAACGGCGCTAGACTCCGTATTTGCAGGGCCACCATGGCGTCGGAGATTGGTTTGAGTGCCCCTGGCCTGAGACGCCCTTTATCAATCCGGTGTCTGCCACAGGTGGCATTAATGCCATCTTCCCGTGCCAGAACCATAATTACAATTGCGCGGTATAAATGTTGGTGCTGGAATAAGCCGGCGGTTCTCAGCATTGGAAGAACTGTTCACGGCCCAGCGCATCATGAGGCCAAGGCTACTCACTCCACCAGGCAATGGGCCATGATCTAGCTTCCGAACTATTTGAAATGCTAATACCCAGTAGTAATTGGACGAACGGTGCCGCTATCGTGTTCAGCTTCTCGCCATCTACAGGCGATTTCTGAATGGCGGCGCTTATAGCTGTGAGATGGACGCCTCCGACTGGCCGTCCAGCCCCGATCCCCACCAAGCCGAGGGGCGCCACTGTCTCCAAAACAACCAGTGTAACATCTGCAGCGTTAGCGAGACAGGGCAACCGACTGGTTTCGACAAGTGAAGGGAGACATACAAGTAGCTACACGCTACATACATGCCACCTACAGCATGCTATGACTCCATACTCTGCACAGAGCAAGATGGGAAACATGGTCTTGAAGATCTCCCGCTTCTCTCATCACCACTAGCAGCACTTGTATTTTTTTTCCAAAGACCCCCCCTAGAATGCCCCCTTGACGGCCCCCCCTACCGCTCCTCGGAAACTCATTTGCGACGACCAGGGCCCCCGCTTCTACCAGAATGTGAAGCACTTGTCCTGAGTTGACGTCGCCTCTTGGCGTTGTGGCTCTCTGCTAGCTAAACAGATTCGTCGCAACAATGCCATAATGGGCTGATGTCCCATGGGACATGGGGTTCAGATGCAAATTTGCTTGTGCTGGATCTATGAGGAGGATCTGTCAAGCGCTTGGCTAGGCCTGCTAGTTTCACAGCGCAATTGTGCTTTCGGGTGGCTTGCTTCTTTTTTCCCTTCCCTTCCCTCTCTTTTATACCCTTGGCACTTTGCTTCTTTTGCTCCTGTTATCGCGTGTAGGCGACGGCGTAATACACAATCGTTAAAAAGCTTTAATTCTATATTCACCGCTGGACGGGATCTTTTAATTAATAATTTTGTTAAACCTTGAGTCATTCTTTCATTTCGTCTTTTGGATTTTCGCTCGACATAGGTCGCTCTGGGAGCTGCCAAATCACCTTCGCCAAGACCGCAAATCTCTGTTCGCACGACTATCTAGACAAATACTCTCCTAGCCAGCAGCTGTTCGGGAACACAATTGCGAAAATGCTCACCAAGGCCAGCTTCGCCGCGGCTCTCTTCGCCACCACCGCAATTGCCCAGAATGTGCTGCGTACCGAAGATGTTCTCTCAACGCCATACGCCTCCCTGCTCGGCTTCTCTGACGATACGATGGAAGTAGCTCGCGGACTGAGCTCTAAGGCCACGACAAACTCGAGTATCCCGTCCGACGTGCACCTCTTGCCCGATGGATCGCTGGATTTCACTGCTTGGAACAACATCACCAGTGCTGCGTGCCAAGCGCGTCTCAGCCAACTCACTCGAACATCGAACCCTTCCGGCGATTGCATTTGTTACAATTTGCCGATGCTCAACGTCGATACCGGCATGTTTGAGGCTGATTTGCGCCTGTATCGTGTATCTGCCCCAAGAGACTCTTTTGTAGGTGTCCCGCCTAGTGGAATTCAGGTTGGCGTTTCGTACAAGGGCGCCAGTGTGAGTCCCATGAAGCCAGTGACTTCGGGATCAAGCTCTCCAGCCGTCAATATCACGAAGAGGTCCGATGGCTCTTCTGCCCCGACTCTGCTGCAGTCATACATGCTTGTTGGACAAATCGACAAGGACCAGATGAAGAATAACCTTTCAATGTAAGCTTCATAAATACTCTACCTCTTTATATACCTGTATCATGTCATTTTGCATAGAGGCTAACATATGAAATCCCAGTGCTGCTCTCCAAGCTCTCGTCATGCCCACTCTCACTCTCTCCGCAGTCACTCCCGGAGGCTCTCAGATTAGTTCCAACGTCTCTCTTAACGAAGCATCTTTCCTTGTTGGCGTCTTCTCCAACGACGTCGTCCTGTCCGATTTCGCCGCAGCTCAGCAGGCAGTAGCAGTCCAACAAGCTGCTCTGAAGAACGGCACCGTGGCCTTCATCTTGCCTGGAGTGAATTTATTGATCTTCCCCATTGGACTGATAATTACGTGTCTCTGGCTGTTCATTGGATTGCTTGCGTATGGTTTCGGCACCTATCAACGAATTCAGTATGCGACGGCGTTTAAGCGAAGGGCTATGCATGCTTCAAAGGGTGACAGTGCTTACCGCACTCTTTAAGCGATACACGTCATAGCAAATATGGAGAAGAGGAGGGAAGAAGAAAGATGAGAAGAGTAGGATAAATTGAGTTTGATCAAAAAGATGAGTTATGGGTGGGATGCGTTCTAATGATTCCCCAGAGTATTTTACAGCCTTTTATTTTATTTGTTCTACGCCCACGCTATGCAGCGCATCAGCCCCATAGAAACACCAAAGAAACACCAAATTATATCTGAAAACAGATGGAAAATTCAAGCAAATGCATTAGCATCACTTTCTTTGGACTACTTTGAAATGAATGTGATATCTAAAGTTGAATCTATCTAATACTGAAAATATGAAGCAAGTTCCAAGTCTCAATCTTGGTAGGGTATATCCATCGTGCAGAAATGGGTCATTCATCGCCCAACTAATATAAGAAAAAATAAGTATGACTGAAACAAGAGAAGTAATATGAAGAGAGGGGAAGCCAAATAGAGAGAAAGGAAGAAAGAGAGCGTTCGTAAAGCCATTAAGACATGCATGGTATCTACTCCAAAAGATGAATTCTATACCATTCGATAAAATCATGTATAAAAAGAGAAAGGAAAAGAAGAAGTGAAGGAGGGGGAAAAAAAAGTTGAAAGACAGTATGGTCAATGACCTCCCATCAGATAAACGCCATTAACACCAACTCCATCCCAGTCAATCCTATGTACTTCCCAAGAGCCTAGATCTCATCGAAATATCATCTTGTGTATCAGTCTTCTCATAAGAGACATGTCACTTAGAAAGTGTCTCACTGCGGTCTCCAGCTCTCATCCTGCCCTTGGCCCATAACAGGCCTTCCGTGAATGCCACGTACGCGCCCGTAACGACCCAGAAGCTAAGAATAACACCCAGGCCGCCCATAAGTCGAGCGTCGACGACACTGCGCGTGACAGTTTCCCGAATAGCGTTATTCATCATAAGCCAACCGTAAACTGGGACCAGCTGCTGGGCTGCTGTTGCTGTTGTCGACACCGCTGCATTTTCAGACTGCTGGGGAATTTTTCCTTGCTCTTGCTCGCGCTGAGCAATGGTATCAGCCATGCGCCATGCAACCTTGTTGTTGATCTTTTCCCAGGTAGCTTCACAGGCAGCAGCGCGAGCTTGCTTGGCCATAGTATACCGCAGTTGATGATCTTCAGCAAGCTTGATAGCCTTGGCAACAAATCCATCAAGATCATCGGGCGACACCAAATAGCCCGTATTCCCATGGGACACAATATCTGAAGGGCCACCCTCATCACGAGCCACCACAGGAACACCGCTAGCCATAGACTCTAAGACGACAAGGCCGAAAGTTTCTGTGACAGAGCAGTGCAGAAAAACATCTCCACTGGCATAGGCAGTAGCGAGATCTTCTCCAACCTTGAAGCCAGCAAAGACGACGCTCCCCTTGGTTCTCAGAGGGTCGAACAGCTCTTGAACTTCCTTCTCAACATCAGGATTTCGATTTCCTCCCACAATGAGCATTTTGAACGGAAGTCCTCTGGCGTCTAATTCCTTGGCCACTTTAGCAAGGAAATCGAAGCCCTTTTCCCCAGCAATTCTGGAAACAGTAACAAAAATTATCTCTCCATTTGGTGCAATCTCTTTGCGAAGAGCTTCACTCCTACGGCTTGGATTGAACATTGTCGTATTGACCCCTCTTGTCAACACCTCCAGTTTGTCGCTTTGTATTTTTTGGCTCTCCAAATACCGCCTGACGAATCTAGAAGGGTAGAAGATGGTCTTAATAGATGAATGCCTGAAGAGATAGCTCTGTACGGCGTCAAACGCAAAGACGGCCGCGTGGCTGAGTGGCGCTGGGAAAAGAATAGAACAGTAACCGGCCAAGTCTGTTTGGAAATTGCAAATGATGGGAATTTGCTTCTCTTTTGGCTGCTGCCTCAGTTGTAGCATGACTTGGAAGCCCAGACTTGCGGGAGATGCAAGATAGATGAGATCAGGAGGCGCATCATCGCCAAAGGTACGAGAATAGAGGGTTGAGTTGCGGACGGGATATACGATGGACAGTTCCGGGTTGAAAGGCAAGGGATATCCGGTTACCCTTACTTCTGGCTGTTTGTCTGCAGGAGAGAGCGTGGGAGAGGGAGGTGGTGAAAAGGTGTTGTGGTTGGTGTGATTATGAGGAGCGACAACCGCAACTTGGGCACCATGATCGCGCAAGTGGTTCACCAGCATCAGAGTTGTCCGACTCACTCCATTAACAGGGCCAAAAGATTCGGTGCATAGCAGAATGCGCTTCCCTTTGAGTGAGGCTGGGAACTCGGACAGATCATGCTCTGGATACTGAGCCGGTCCATTAAGCGATGCTGATGCCATGACAGCCGTGAGTAAGAGGCGTAACAGCTCTGCGTTGAGGTCTGTCTAAGAGATGAGAAGAGAAGTTGCTCTGAGGAACAGTAGGTCGTGGTTCATCACCATACAGCGAGCGTGCTTCTTTTTTACCGTTTTGATGCTGGATCTAGATGCCCAACTATATTCCGTATGAAGAAATTCCACGTGGGTCCATCCGATATGTTGCGCATGACGGGAGCGGCTTTGAGACATGGGAAGCTACGTACAATAGGATAACGAGAGAGTGGGCACGAGGGGCATACTCTGCACGCAGTTCGTCGGTTGGAAGCGCAAAAAGAGAGACTAAATAACGTGGGGAGAGAGAGGCATATTGCTGTGTAATACTAGGTAAGATACCTACCAGATTTGCAAATGAGCCATACTGTATGGCTGAGCATCATGTGGCGAGGGAAGTGCCGGATGGACCGATATCGAGCTTCATATACGGGATTCAGTAGCTAGCAGTATATATTTCTATGGCCTTACACCATTCCTACGATGTTATCTATGAAGTTGCCGTGCTGTTAGTTGACTAAAGGTGACGGACAGCCTCACACGGCCAGTCGATATCAGCTGCATCTTTCATCTTACATCTTCTGCTTGAGAAGGTGCAGTTCTTATCAACGTTTTCGTACTGTGACTAGAGCATGTTGCCGCAGAAGGTACTTTGACCAGGAAAGCCTGACCTTCCATTTACTCTGCCCTTGCCTAATTCTGTCTCACGGCAGAAGGCGAGTCAAGTTCAAAAGACTCAAGTCAACCAAGGTACAGGCACTCGAAGCGTTGTTGCGAGTAAAGACGGGCGAATCAGGAGCCGCCGCGCAGCCACATTGCTAGCGCTGGCCAATAGAAGCTCAATTAGCGACTGGTGCGCTGCCACGGCGAAAGCTGCGAATCGGCGCCTGGAGAGCGACCCTCGTGCTGTGTATGGTTGGACACGGGAGGTTTAAGCAGGTGAAGCGTCAAAAGGCTCAAGGACCTGGAGCTTTGATGAGCCCTTTTTGAGAAAAGAAAGCGCGTATACGCCGCAGTCATGTGTGATAGTAGTTGGCTCAAGTGACTGGCATTCCGAGACAGCGAATATGAAGCTAGAGGCTAATAGCCACGAGCAATTTGGGCGCGGATAATGGGGCGCAGCATGTACGGTTCGCGTGCCGCGCCTGGGGCGCATAAAAAATGAGACCCGATCCATTTACTTATTTGAAGACGAGTTTTGATTTTGACAGACAGAATTTTGAATTTGGTGGCAAAGGTTCCCGGCGTGAAGCACGAAGAAGACTGATCGGGCTTGGTAATGACATGTAAGTGGCCGCGACAGGGGTAATCGGTCTTGATTCTGCCAGCCTAGGATGCAAAGAAAATTGGGTTCCCAAGCAGTGCCGCTCACTCTCTTCCTTTTTCTTCTTCTTCTTTTTCTTTTTCTTTGTTATTAGATACTGTAACCATGTATTTAGATAATGTATACATATAGATAGAAGCTATTACACGTTTCCTCAGCGTAGGTTTGCAGCACCCAAGCACTTATAACAACATCAACCAGGCGGCTCTTCTATCCGTCCAAGAGGCTAGCGCTGCTCTTGCACTTAACATGAGACAGGCAGCATGTTCATACAAGTGTTCTGTGCAGCGAACGCAGGCCCAAAACACTGCGCCTAGGTCCTAGCGGGCTAATGGCCGTAATACCCGATATCAGGCGAGACACGGCCCTCGTGCTCTCAGCCGCACCGCGTCATCAGTGCTTGGTCAATTTCGTATCGCAATGAAGGAAGACTCTTCACGCGGCAGATACATACAGTATGTAGGTCGCTTGGCTCTTAACAGCGCCAACGCTCAGCATGACCCCTTGAGAAGTCTCAAGACCCCATGTCCCGATGGCAAGGTTGAAATCCATCTGGTCAAACAGAATGTCGTGTGCGAAATCGCTTCGATACAACTCCTTTTCTTCTTCATACAAACACATGCTCAGGCTTATTATCTTGGGGAAATCAGCTTCAGCCTCACCAAGGGTAAATGGCTGCAATGAGTGCCCGACAAAATCCGTGTCGCGTGAGCATTTCGACTTCGGTACATGCAACTAGCATCTGCCCTACTGCGTATGTATATATTTCCCTTGTCACCCCTTGTCACTAGTGATGATAAAGCTGCTCATCCTCCCGCAAATACCTGTTCCGTATTCGTGCACTTTTCCAGGAGCGCACGGTCGTTCCACTTGATGGCGTAACTGTATGGGGTTTATCAGGGGCCCCGTCACGATAGTGTGGATATCGTCGACGACGGATGGACGGGGGGCGGGTATGTATGTGCTACTCGCACTTCTCGGTAGTTGTGGTTCCGTCTTGTTTGCGTACAGCTGCTCAGCTGCCTGTCTGTTGTACATGCAAAATCAGGGTCTTTTCTTCAGAGCAGCAGCAGCGATCTGTCACCGCATGTGACATGTGCCGTCGTTATCGTCTCCTATTGTCAGGCCTCCGTGAGCTTCGGCGCACCGCAGCTGATGGCTATCACACTTTTCAGCACACCTCTTCTCGCAGGCCTGTCACTTTAGCGTCCTTTGTATTAATGCCCCCCTCCACACCATGTCTTCAATTGAACAGGCGTCCGAAAACGCGCTGGGCCTGAAAGCGGCGACGCAGGAACCACGTGTATATTTGCGGCGTTGGGCCGGATTTGGATTGGCTGGTAGCAGATCATATATACAATTTGAAAAAAGTTGCCATCAGTCGAGTCACTCGGTGCTACTTGGATCAAGAAGAAGAAGAAGAAGAAGAAACCAGAAAAAAAAAACAATGGGTGATATGACACAAATCCAAGACACCAGTCAGGGTTTGGCTCTGATAGGCAATGAGCTGCGTCGATGGAGTCGTTTATCGGCCTTGGCCGAGTCGAAGTTGCAGCAACTCACCGCCTTCAGGTTCTAATCATGCAGCGTGTATGTCTAGGTATCTTACATTGGTGTTTCATTGGCATCTTATCTAAGTTGTTGTTTTCAACGATTCCCACATGCTGGCCGGCACGTACCTGTACTCCGACCCGACACATACTTATACCTAGCACCTACTAGTACACGTATGCGTTTCTACTGGCTCCGAGTCGTACTACAGGCGAGGTAGTGCCAATAATCTGGGTGCTAACTTGGGTTTTTCATCAAACTCAATGCCGTTCTAGCCTATTGCCTTCGTCGAGATTTCCACTGGCCCCTCTGTTTTTTTGCTTAGCGTCTGTGGAATTCTGACGCAACGGGGAAATACGCACGCACCAGCCGATCCACTAGTACCTGGCTCGGTGCCGGCGCCAAGTCACTGCGAAGTTCTCAGTACCCAGCGATATGTGCCGAAGAGTTGCAGCGTTGAAACGAAACAGAGACGGTCTTTATTTTTTTTTATCCCAGTCAATCTTATGGACGTCAACGAAGTTTCCTCTGCTCTCTATAATGTCTATAATACTACTACCAATACTCACATGTAAACACCTGGGTAGCATTTATATAAGCATGATCGGCAGTTTTGTGGTGCCTCAACTTTATACCTTCCATATAAGTACCTAATCGACTTCGAAAGAGGTACGTCGTCGGTACTGTTTCGTCACCACCAGATACGCTAGCGGACTTGGTAAGGCTGCTTCGAGACAGGCAATAAACGGCAGCAGTAGCGCCTGCAGCCAGAAAGGGCCTAGACGCGCGTGCATTTTCTCTCCTGGCTTATTAAATCTACCATCATGCCAAGACTCGATTCCTATCCCCAACTCCTTTCTTTTGCTTTTAGTGGCATTATTTATCTCCTCTCAGGAGTTGCTTCGTTTATATCTCGCAGAACCGGGCTTGATCCTTATACCCTCCTTCGACAGGATCCCCATCCCCTCGCTGAAGCCACTGCTTGCATTTGCGCGTTGCACTTTGCACCGTCCCGGATATCTTCGTCTCTCGCTTCTGCCCCTCCAACCACGTCACCATGGGCTCGCTCACCGAAACAATTCTCGACTCGGTCCAGCAGCTGAGCCTCAATGGCTCTGCTAGCCAGGCCAACGGCGACAAGATCACCATCCGCAACATTTGCTGCGTTGGTGCTGGTTACGTCGGTATGTAGTCCTTGCGCCTGGTGGTGTAGCTCGGCTTAGTTGGCCAGCGAAGCGCCAGAGGACACGTCGATTCGCTTCGACATCCGAATGCTGACTCTTATCGTGGAATAGGTGGCCCTACCGCCGCAGTCATTGCCTTCCAGAACCCGCACATCAAGGTCACCGTTGTGGACCGAGACGTGACCAGGATCCGCAGATGGAACTCACGCCACCCTCCCATCTACGAGCCTGGCCTGCACGACATTGTCCGCATTGCCCGTGATGGTGGCCGCGAGACGACCGTTTCTGGCCAGCCCAGCGACGAGACATCGGTCTCGGAGAAGGGCGAGACCTCAGTTGCTCGACGAGAGCCCAACCTCTTCTTCAGCACCGACGTTGCCGGCCACATTGCCGAGGCCGACATCGTCCTCGTAGCTGTAAATACCCCCACCAAGGAGCGCGGTGTTGGCGCTGGCAGCGCTACTGATATGACTGCCTTTGAAGCCGTCACCGGCTTTGTGGCCCAGTACGCTCGCGAGGGCGCCATCATTGTCGAGAAGAGCACCGTTCCTTGCCGAACTGCCCAGCTGGTGGCAGACACTGTAAGTAGCAACATGCATAGCTCTCCAGCTGCATTGCCCGAGACTGATTCTGACATCCACTCTCCCTGGATAGCTCGCCATGCACCGTCCTGGCGTCCACTTCGAGATCCTGTCGAACCCCGAGTTCTTGGCTGCCGGAACTGCCGTCAACGATCTTCTATACCCCGACAGAATCCTCATCGGCTCCGCCCCCACACCTTCTGGCAAGCGAGCTGCCGAGGCTCTGCTGGAAGTTTACGCCGCTTGGGTTCCTCGCGAGCGCATCTTGACCACCAACGTATGGTCCTCTGAGCTTGCTAAGCTGGTCGCCAACTCCATGCTTGCCCAGCGAATTTCCAGCATCAACTCCATCTCCGCTGTCTGCGAGCAAACCGGTGCTGATGTCGACGAGGTCGCTCGCGCTATCGGTGTCGATCCTCGGATTGGTAACAAGTTTTTGATGGCCGGTATTGGATTCGGTGGCAGCTGCTTCAAGAAGGATGTCCTCAACCTCGTGTATCTCGCCGACACCATGGGCCTGCCCGAGGTGGGCGAATACTGGAGACAGGTCGTCAAGATGAACGAGTATGCTCGTGATCGATTCACCAACCGTGTTATCAAGTGCCTCAACAACACCCTTGTAGGCAAGAAGGTTACCATTCTTGGATACGCCTTCAAGAAGAACACATCAGATACCCGTGAGGCACCTGCTCTGGAAATGATCAAAACCTTGTTGGAAGAGCGCCCTCGCGAAATTGCTGTGTTTGACCCTTGCTGCAACCCATTTGTTGTCAAGAACGAAATCAAGGCCCTTCTCGGACCCCAAATCACAGCAAGTGTCCAGGTCTATGGAAATGCCTATGATGCTTGCAAGGACAGCACTGCGGTTGTCATCGCTACCGAATTTGACGAGTTCCGTAACCAGCCTGTTCCTAAGCCCGCCCCAACCCCTGTGGATCAGCCCGCTCCCAAGATGATCGGCCGCAAGCCCAACCCCAAGTCAGACCCAAGACCGTTCAAGGAGTCAACTCCAACAGAGAACGATCTCTTGGCACTGCACAAGCACTTGGTGCAGCGCGATGGTCAGACTTCTGAAGACCCTCTGGATCGATTCAACGTCGAGCCGGACTGCGACGAAGACTGCCCTGACTGTATCCAAGCCAGGGAGTCTGAGGAGAATGGCTTCGCCACCGGAATGGGCAGCGCCGAGGAGTACAAGCCCAAGGAGCGATTGGACTGGGTGCGCATTGCCGAAACCATGGCCAAGCCTCGATGGGTGTTTGATGGCCGTGGTGTCATCGACTCTCGCGAGATGGTGAAGCTGGGCGTTCGCGTGGAGAGCGTTGGTCGCCAGCACCGATTTTAAGACGCGTGAAATATTCTTGGCGGTTTTTCTTCCGAGTTAAAAGGCGGGATGAGGCTATACGACCTTTTAGCTACTCCTTTTTTTTGTGGCTGTGCATTCATTGGTAATGCAGGTGGGCCTAGAACAAACTACCTACCTTGTATTTGTTTTTAATTAAAGATTAGGGTTACGTTGAGTGACTGCAGATGAGAGGCGCTGCATCAATTGGTAAAGAATTTGTTTTGCTGGCGGGTGGTTGCCTGATGTGAAAGAGAACAAAGGGCGATCACTACGTGTGCCTTTGTGGTATTCCTAGCCTCACCGCCACAACTTCTAGATAAATTGGCTTGAACAATCTAGACTTGAATGCTTGGTATACTTGGATATTTGATGCAGTGAAATGAAGGAATGAAGGCTTTGTATAATAGAAATAGTACTCGAAATATATTGACAAAATGAAGAATACAATAATAAAGAAGGGGGTATCCGAAACAGTGGAACGAAAACTTGCACAGAGCACAATGCGAACGCAGTCCACCATGCTTTACCCATGATTAGCAATTCATTCCCGTAATATTTCCACGAATATATCTCCTTGTAAGCCCATCGCAGTTCTCATTACACCGCCTATTGTTGTAAAACAAATCCGAAAGCCTTTGAAGTTGAAAGCAAAATCACTTAGACATTGCTTTTATCGGCGGACTGCGTAATTGTCTCTACGGCAGCCGGAGCACCTCGGTCAGGAGGAATCGAGAAACCAGTGTAGAGATAAGTGAGTATAACGATGTATTCGGGCAGCAAGGCCATCAACCCAAAGGCTACAGCATTGCCCTCGACAGGGCTGAAGGGTGAGGTAGCACTATCTTGAAGGGCGACTTCAAGAAGACCGAAGACGGTACGGATAATGAGGAATGGGGACGCAAGGAGGCCACCGCGTAAGATCTAAGATGGATATCGTTTGTCAGTAAAAACTTGTGATATAATTGTAACGGCTAGGTAATTACATACAGCTTGGCTGCTGGGAAGAAGAGTGTGCTTCTTTTTATAAAAATACGACATCATGGATATAAGAACGGCGAGAACGACGGCGAAGACGATGTATCCGACGAGAGTGAGCGTACGGCTGGTATTCATGGCGGATGATGTACCCATGGAGCTGACACCTCCGCCGGCAGCAAGGAGGCCGACGGCGCCGACGATGCAGAGACGTAGGATGGTACCGATTTTGTTCGCTTGAGGATTGGAGCTATAATTGTCGAGAAGGCTGTTTGTTTATATCATGCTAAATCAGTATATTTTGTCTCCCTTTTTATAGTTGGAAATCACCTAGCCAAGGGTACATTCAGTTGGACGGATAGGAGTATACTTACACGATACGCACATAGCCTAGAGTAGCAATAATAAGAGGCACAACACCGACGTTGAGGAGGATAATCGCTGCGACGTAGAGTCCAATGCTGGGCTTTTGCTCGAAAGCGACCAGGACAGGACCACCAGCCAGGCGCACTATGCCAAGCCGGACATGTTAGATTCAACCAGTTCCATTCTTATAAGTCATCTCGTGTTATGGGGAGAAAGCGTACTCAGACTAAAAGGGATCAAGGGCCACCAGGCGAGGCGTGGGCGGATTCTGCCATTGCGCTTAAAGAGCCAGATGGCGGCTGGGACGATGGGCACGTAGAAGACGAGTTGGGCGATGCCCAGGGATTCGTGAGAGTTGAGCATGCTGGCCGGTTGGATAAATGGACAAGGTCGATTTGACTTGAGGCTTTTCCACAACTACAACTCTCGAACAAGGCGAAAAAAAATAAGAGAGAGATGAAGGCATAGAAGTCTTTTTAAACTAAGCGCCCAAGCACATATGCATCCATTCCTATAACATCACAAGAACGCCGCTAACATCATAGTCAAGCAGCAAGCATGGTCAACCTAAAAACTGCAGCCGAGCCCAGAGCCAACAATGCCCCGAAAACCAGAAAAGCGTTGCCGGGATCCGGGTCCGACGAATCACAGCCATGCGGCACTGCTCAGTTGGGGAGGATCTTCGCACAGAGAGATGATTCAGCTCGTGCTATGATGCCCTCTTCTAGCGGCTACACCCGCCATCTCTGGAACTTTTAGGTATGGGCCGCAGATGGGTCTGTGTTAGGGCGGTGATGCGCCTCGCAGGCTGCCGCGTCTTTGGTTTACGCGTGTTTTCCTACTGCCCCTGGGGCTAGGTTTGGTGTTCTTGTGATGTGAATTTCGTGGTATAAAGCCTAGATGGGTAAAGCTGCGGTCTAGTTGCTTCTTAGCTGGAATAAGCCTGCAAGCGAGCGGAAAAGCAAAAAAGCGGGGCTCGAATCGCTTCTCGTGCTATAAAGCTGATTTGGGTTAGAGGGGAAGCGGTTGAATGATGCGAAGTGCCTGAGCCACGTTTGAAGGATTTTCCCTGCGGTGGTAGCGAGAGGTGCCACATGGCTTAGACGTGCCGCTAGTTTACCTAAGCCTCCTCGCTCTTCTGTTCTATCGTCCTTTCTGTGCTCCTCCTTAGGCAACCGGGTCATCATGGCGGTTAGTTGGTCCGCCTCGTCGGTGATTACGATGCACATCTCATGGATGAGACGCTGCGCTATATGCGCTATATTGTAAAAGGGAGACCTGAATTGAATTGAATTGCGGCTTTCTTGCTTTGGTTAGTAGCAGCTGTCGGAGCCAATGAGCATCGAGGTGCAGAATTGCGGTCGTCCCAAATAGGAATGATGCCGCGAAGAGTAGGTGCATATGTTTCGCGATTGCTCGCTTGCCCTCGTTTCTATTTTTCTTCTTTCTTTGTTTCTTCTTCATTTATCTATTAACACATGTCATATGAACGACAATATGTCATTTCCTCCTTTGTGCGAGTGCAGCTGTGTTGACCTTTCGCCGCGCACCGGGTAAAAGCTCTTGCGTGATCTTGTTTCGCATTGTGTTTCGTCCTGTCACTGACACGGCTCGTTTCAGAGCCCTGGTCGAGGAGTCTTTGAGGTTTGAGGCTTGCTACAGGCGGAAATGGCACCTGGCGGGCAGTGTTTATTCACTGCGTCGTTTGTTGATGCACTTGTCTGGGGAATTGACAGATTGATCGATCGATCGTGCCAAGTCAAAAAATGTTTAATGAACGAACATTGTCTGCGGAAAGGTATGAGCTTGCGTTAGGTATACCTGCATATATATATATAGCTACTCCACCGTGGAACATATTTCCGGGATAGATAATTGTATCAAGGCATTTTCTAGAAGGCAGGTTGCCACACAGCCCCTTTGGCACGTTTCAGTAGACCACCCTCCTGCGGACCAATAGGCAGCTATACTCTCTTCACGTACCTTATCTTCGAGTACCTGCACAATATTATCTAGATCTGAAACTATAGAAGATGCCTACTCTTGAGAGGCTTTTCAAACCTTTATTAGTTCACCACTCTCCATTTTGTAAATCTCTGTTCTGTGCGGGAGGCACGCTTGGCTGCAAGTCAGCATCGCGCGGTGACTTTTTTGGTCTTTCAGGGCCTTTCGTATACCGAAAACGGTATTCTTCTTGGGGTCGAATAGGCAGTGAGCGGCTCCTCTGACGCGTTATGGCGGCCTACTGCCTCAGCTTGATTGTATTCTTGGCCATTCTGTCATTGGTGGCTGCAGAAGCACTCCCCCTTAACTCTATTCCTGCCATGTGTGCCACCATCTGCGGACCAATTGTCGAGCTGAGTTCGATGTGCAGTCCAAAAAGATCTTTAGGGAGTCTCGAAAGTGATTTGAATGAGGAAGCACATCATCCAAAGCGGGCCGAGTGCCTCGATGGCGAGCGAATCGAACGGATCGAGAAGCATTTTACAGTCATCGTCGCAGCGCCTACGTCGTTCCCCTCTGGATTATTAGGGCTGTTACATAGTCTATTTCCACCAGAACCGCCCGCATCGCCGTTAGCACCAGCTTCATGGCCACAGTCATCATCGCCATCGTCATCGTCACCGATTCGTTCCTCGAAAACTCCAGTATCCATGCCACTACCAAACAGCCATCTTACTATGCGGCCGTCGGTCCAACCTCTTCCAACCCCATCAAGTAATGCTATCTCAACGGACACTACAGCACCACGTCCAGCTCCTACGCCAAGTACAACATCAAATGCTCGGCCAACCATGTCTTCCGCTTCGGTCAAGAAAGGGATGAAAACTCCAGATCTGGCTACCATTTCAACAACCACTGCCGGCCAACACAAGTCAATGATGCCGACTATTCTGGGCTCAGATGGGGATGTGGGAGGTGAAACCGGCGGATGGGGAATAATGGAAAATGCAGAAGAGCAGTGTGTGTGTTCAAATGAGAGTTTTAATGTGGCAGAGATTGCTGGGCTATGCGCTAGCTGTATAAGCATGGTTGCTGATGCGCAAAATGGTGAGTGGTATTCGTTCAAACCTCCGCCACGTCTTAAATGCTAACCTCATGGCCTAGATGTACAGGTTATCATGTCGGTCTGTGGCTTCCCGCCGCAACAATACAGCCCAGCTAAGGACAGCTTGGCGAGCAGCATCCATGTCCAGGCCGCTAGGCCGACGTCAGCAAATGCAAATGCTGGAGGTGCCAAGTTAAATGCAGCGTCTCGATCCATTTGGGGCGTTGGACTGGCTACTGGCGCTGCGGGCTTCGTAATTGGTGTGTTAACGATGCTATGATTTGTTCCATCTTCGTCGGAGTAATTTTTTTCTTCATCATTTTAGTCGATAGAAGAAAGGGTGTATGTGTATGATACTAGGGTAAATTATTGTAAGAATTCCGGTTGAACTGGGATACACCCATGAACGGGTAATGTTTTAATAGAAATGAGCAAATATCTAATTATACGGAGTGTAACGATGCATCATATTTGTGGCCATGAGATCTACTTAGATTCACAGTACATAACTAACAGACATATAAATATGTCAATTCAGTACAGAAGCAGATCAAGTTACGATACATCATCTACTTTCAGCTCACAAACTCGGCGGCTTTCGCGGGGGAAAGGTTCTCTCAAAAGCACTCTGAAGTTGGATTAGAAGGCCCTCCTCTTTGGCAACCGCACAAAGCCCATGAGGTCGTCCGTTATGGTCAAGATAGCCGAGCGGCATAGCAGCCACAGGATAGCCTAACCCCAAGGTGTTAGTATTAACTGTTACTGCTGAATGCGAGAAACGGGGTGTTCGAACCGCAGGCCGCAGCAAAGTAATACAACGGTGATTCGAGTGGCCCCATTATGATGTTAAGACCGTGTTCTTTAAATATCTTGTCGACGCCTTGATCGCGACCGAATTTAGTCAAATGGGAAACATAAGACGCACAGTCTTTTGAAGTCACGTTAGTCTTTTCGCAGAGTTCAAGCACATCCTGGTTATCGTTTCCTAGGATTTTTATTAGCAGACATCAAAACCGGCCGCTGCTCATAGGACTTCACGTTACCCGGAGGAAGCTCTTTATCAGCATGCGCCTTGTTGAAAGCAATCAGCTCGCCCAACGTTTTGATCTGAGGGGTGTCCAGGAGTTTGATATAATTCTCAAGCTCCTCTTTAAAACCCTTCTCTATTTTACCAGTGCTTTAGCGAATGTACCTTCCATAGTGATAAACATTTAACCTACCGAATATCTTGAGTAAAATTTCTTCGCCATCAACAAAAAATGTTTCAGCAAAATTCAAGAAGACATTATCTTTAAACACCGGTGCGTGCTTCTTGATAACTTCATACGCATATCGAACTTGATCGATCTGACTCGCTTAGTAATACAGACGAAACCTCAGTATTAGATTACATCATTTATGAACACTCACTAGCTGCTTCTCCATGCCTTCATCAAGGATCTTTCGAACGTCCGGAGTATACTTCCATATTTCCGGGTCCACTGTCCCAACCTTGAGGCCGTCCCACGAGCCTGTTACCCGTGAGGCGTAGCCGCCCGGCGGAACGTTACCGGGATCGGTGATGATGTCCATCAGCATAGCCAAGTCTTTGGTGGTCTTTGTCATAGGGCCTGGCTGATCAGAAAAGCTAGAAATGGGAACAATACCCGTAAGAGAGATGAGCGAGCGACCAGGTTTAATTGAATATAAGGCAGCTCGGCCAGCAGGCAACATTAGCGATCCAAATGTCTCGGTACCAATGCTAACTGGAGCAAACCCTGCCGCGACTGCAATCGCAGAGCCGGATGAAGACCCGCCCGGGTTCTAGAGAATCACAGAAAGCAATAATACCTAGATTAGTCATTTTCGGATGTGAGAGCCACGATGCCTTCACTTACACTATGGCCAGCAAATGAATCATCTGGACGAATACCTCCCTTTACATAAGGAGACTGAGCCTGTCCGCTAACCGCGTTCCATCCGCAGATTAAATTTTTACCTCTTAGAGAATAACCAACATCAGCAATATGATAGTTAATAGTGTTGGAATAGGGCCACATACTTCCACCAAGATAGCTCCTAAATTTATCGTCTTAGCCGCTGGATCTCGAATTTAACAATTTGGCCTTGGTGAACGCTTACCGACAGGCTAGCTTTGCCTATGACAATGAGTCCTGCTTCCAGCATCTGGGACCCAATTCATTTAGCTGATTATCAATCATTAAAGATTTATTCTAGCCTGGTGGCTTACCCGATCTACAACAGGTGCATTGATCCGCGGGTTCGAGTAGGCTAGTGCTAAACTACCAGCCGTCGTATCAAGGCCAGTTGAACCGTAGTGGGTTGCAATGTTGTCTTTGATGAGGATGGGGATGCCGTGAAGTGGACTCCTAAGCCTGCCATTTTTTCTCTCCTCATCCAGCATGCCAGCTCTCTTTAAGAGGAGCGATTCGGGAGCTATGCTGATTACTGCTTTAAGATAGTCATTGTGGCGCTTGATCTGTGAGAGATATTTTTGGACGAGATGCTTGCTAGTGACCTCGGCAGATGAGCTCAGCAATTGCTGGAGCTCCTCAGCAGTGGCTGTCAGTACGTCAATATCCGTGCCCATATCTAGCTATAAATAGATACTTGTGTAAGATGGACGTCGCAAGAGCTCAGTACTTTGGATGTGCTGAAGTTGGTTTTATGAAGACGATGTTGGGTTGAAGCTGATGGGGTAAATTTCTAACCTGAGTAAAGTAAATGTCGCACTACATGAAGGGGATGTCTGGTAGGCTTGCCGCACAAACCGCACTGGAAGCGTTCAACCTATCATACATAGACCGCTTGGACCAATTATTTTCTACGTGGAAAAGCTTAATCTGCATCATGATATCAAATTCCTCATTAAACGATTTTGCTTCATTATTAAGTCACCCAAATTGGTTTGTATAGGGTACGGTCGGCTTATGTGAGCGAAAAGCTAGCTTAGGGCGTAGCGGCTGTGATGAGCTCATGCATTACCTATTTTCTGGAGTGTTAGAAGTTATCTTAAATATCAATTCCTTTGGACTGGATGCTATTTATTGGAGATGGTTTATCAGATGTGCTTAACTAGTTTTCATTTTAAGAGTACCTTGATACGCTACCCAAGAATACCAATTCGGGCATCAGCTAATACTGTGTACAAATTCATAAATACTTGTATTCACCACGAAACAAACAGCTGTATAGTAGGTATACGTACTCTGTAATCGTCGTTCGAATGCTCCCTCGACGCCAGACTACGATGTCAACACCGATCTCCTTTGCTCTCTCAGGCTCATCCGGAGATACTATCACCTGGTGCTGTATAAACCGGGCGAGTGGAGCGGCCTAGTGGTGGAATAGGCGGAGTTGCACGAGTTCCGCAACCTCCAAGGGGCCACAAAATGCCTAATTAGGGAAATATCCTGTCAGCAGCCGCTTATGTCCGAACCTAGATACGTGTAATGCCTTATTGGGCTGGAGTTAGACCTAGTAGGTAGTAGCTGGAATTTGCAGCGCCTCGCATACACGTATGAATCGTATGAATATATATCTCTGTGAATGCCGGCTTTCTGGCTGTTCTACTAGAACATTACATTTCACTTGACATTTTATACAGCTCATTAGCATATATTATACTCACTCTCTCATTTGTGGCTACGTAATAGGGGGCTACCCACTCTGCTTGGTAGCGCCGGAATCTCGTGGCAGCGTCCCGCCTCATAAGCATCCCCCCCCTCAGCTCTACTACACCACACAACTCATCTTCATCACCATGCATATCATTCTGACTGGCGCCACGGGCCTCGTGGGGTCAGGCGTCTTGGACGCTATGATCAAGGCCAAAGACATCACCAAAATCTCCATCCTCAGTCGCAAGCCTGTGCAGATGGCTACTGATTCCAAAGATCCTCGAATCAATGTCATCATTCATCAGGACTTTGAGAAATACGACTCTGAGGTGTTGGAGCAGCTTCAAGGCGCAAAGGCCTGTGTTTGGGCCTTGGGCATCAGCCAGACCAAGGTTAACGCAGAAGAATACGTCAAGATCACCAAGGATTATACCATCGCTGCTGCAAAATCTTTTGCGACATTGACGACGACGCCATCAGAACCTTTTCGGTTCATTTATGTATCAGGCGAGGGCGCTACGCAGAACCCGGGTCGATTCTCGGCCATCTTTGCTCGTGTCAAGGGAGAGACTGAAAAACAGCTGAGTGATATGACGGCTGAGATGCCGACGAGCTTGCGTGCAGACTCTGTGCGGCCGGGGTTTGTGGATCCGAGACAGCACAAAGCTATTCTGCCATATATCCCGGATCCAGGCGCAATCTATAAGGTTGGAACAGCATTGATGACGCCTTTAATACCGTTGATGAAAGGGATGCACTCACCAACTGATCACCTGGGAACTTTCTTAACAAATATGGCCATGGGAAAAGTGGACTCCCAGTTAGAGGGGCCGGGTGCGTTTAAACTAGGCAACTCATGGATCGTTGGGGCTGCTGGCGTCAGAAGGGTCTCCGGATTTTGAAGAGAAACACCAGGGTTCAAAGAAGAAGAGCGCTCAAGGGAATGGGACTGGTAATTGGAAGCGTATATTCTTATGACCGGGGAATAGTGAACGACTAACCTCTATATCATATATGCCAATGGGAAGCAACAATTGTAATATTAGAAATATTCGGAAACAGGTTCAGCTTTAAGCATATTTTCTTAGTCTACAATCGCTGCTTAAATCTTGTATTTTATTTTTTATGCGGTTCTTTCCATAATCAAAACCCTGGAAGACGTGATCACGTAGTTAGTCTGAGTTTCAAATATGTCTCGATATGGAACACCCTTTGGAAGCCTTGCAAGCCCTGAACCAACAGTTGATGAGGCGCAGTGTACTCTTTCAGACGCGTCTCCGCGCTAAAACTGCATTCGAGACGCGAACCACGTTAGCCAGCGTTGCTGAGACATGGCCAACGCCCCCTAATTAGGGAACCGCCTCAGCGAGCCATTGTCTTCGACAAACTAGTAGTAGTAATAGTAACCCTGACTTAGATCTGGAGAGAGTATTCAGCTGAGATCGATACAGTCCGGGCCGTTCCGTGTCTCAGGGTGTGCAGAGATCGCGTTTCTTCGTGGCATATGGTATGTTGGTGTCGTGAGACGGCATAATGCTCGTATTGAGTATGTTACAGACACTGCACTTCTAGAAGTTAGATTAAATAAGAAGCTAAGAAAATGGAAACAACACTTTTAGCTGAGAAAACGAAAATAGCATTTTTTATATGTACTAGCAATAATAGTTGAGCTCAACTACAAACTGATAGCTCTCCATTTCTAAGATGTGTGGCTGCAAGGGGTACCTCAATCGGTATGGTGCTAATGAAACGAGGAGGTTCGTCTGCTTTTCACCAGCCGTATTCGGCATTCAAGCCCACTCCTTAATACATTGGAAGCTGAAAAGCAATGCAGGCATTGCTGCTCCAACAGCCATGGACAACATAGCCCCTCCCTCCATCGTTGGCTAGGGAGAGCACCATACGTGGGCTGGTCTCACATGACCTTCCTGTCAAAGCATCGATGTCTCAGGCAACCTGGCAACGGTGTATAAGAGCCGGTCTAGAACAAAGTCCGTTGCCTTGGCGTGTTATAGGGACCAGTATTAATACACCTACATTTGATAATGCTGCTGCTCAGCTACCGCCCATAGTTGGGACAAAATTGATTTCAGCTTGGCTCGTGGAAATAAGAGGCTAAGATGCAATTAATTTCTGAAGCCCAAGGCGATGTATGTACCCATATACAAAGGGATACTAATGTTCAATCTGTCGATTCCACTACCCTCAGATATTATGCTCTTCATGCTCGCTGCGCGTAAAGCACCGCACCAGCAGTTCCTAAACATGTATCTATCGTGTGAAGATGCGTTGAAGAGGGGTGACAGCTCGCTACAGATGCGATCTAATCTTGATAAGTGGCAAACTACTTTAACGTGATGCGGTGTAATGGAATGGCTCTGTGCTAGGGAAGCTGAAATATTTTGGCTAGCTTTCCTCACCTTGGAAATAACCGAGGCGCTGGGAGAGCTGATACTGCTCTTTCTTTGAAGAGCGACTTTGGAATGCAGCGCGCCGGTCTCAGTCAGTAGACTACCAAGGATGGGCCTTATAGCTACGAATGCTCTCTCAAAGGGTAGCTGTATTTCCCGATTGTCACGTTTTGAAGGCCATAATGAACATTCCTTGGGATTGTTCCAATGTGACACTGAAATGTGAAGCTCAATTCACCAACCCCTTTCTGTATCTCCAGATTCATATATTATACTACATGATGATCGATCTGTGGATCTGTAGTCCATATGTGAAATGGCCACAGCCTAACGCTCGTTTTTTCTTCTCTTTTGCACTTTTATGCGCTTTTGTCTGCCGTAACTGCTCTACGACTGGTTCCACAATATGGCTAGTCGCCGTGCAGGCGGTATCGTCTCCTGGGCGGCAAAGGCGGCCGTCCTAGGTCCACTCCTTTTCACGCCGGCGGGGGCTCATGAAGATGGCGTTAAGACCGTTGAAGTTGTTGTTACAACGTATCTTGATTTAGGTACTTGCATCAATGCATGTGCTCCAGAGAAACACTTCAAGACTGCCGAGGAGAAGCAGTCTTATGTGCATCTCACTCTGCCAACTTGTCAATCAGAGCACGCTACTTCAACGAAGCCCCCTAAATGTCCCGTCTGCCCGGGAACTGTTTTTCATTACGAACCTACTAGTGATCATTATGTTACACACACATCTACTGCCGATTGGCAGATACCTTCTGTCTCAACCATTCATCCTACTTGCCATGGCTGTGAAGGAACTGTCATTATCTGCGAGCCAAAAGCTACTAAATACCCCAATCCAACGACTTTCATATGCGAAGGGGCTGACCCCAACGGTGATCAAGTCACTATTCCAGGCTGGAGTCCCGGGGATCCCTCAACAGTCGTCATCGGTTCTCATGGTTTCACGGATCATCTCCTAACGGTTACCGTACCAGCATATGACAAAGAAGCTGAAGCTCCAACTCGTACCTATCTTCCAACTGGTCACAATGGAGTGCCTCAGCCCGATTTTCACCCAATTGTGGTTGTTGGCAACCCCGGAAGCGAATCGATAACCATTACCGCTCCTGGTGCAAAGCCTGACGGCCCGCGAGTCACCTTGCCGCCGATTGAGCCTGGTAAACCTCCAATCGTTGTTATAGAACCATCAAAACTGTCAAACGGCCACAGTGAAGAACAAGGCCATGCTCAAGAACATGATCACAGTGAGGATCAAGGCCGCGATCAAGAGCACGGTCATCAAGAAGAACAAGGCCATGTTCAAGAACACGGTCACAATGAGGAACACGGTCACGGCGAGCAGCAAGGCCACGGTGAACAACATAGAAATGGCGAGCAACATGGCAATGGCGTGTATCATGGCCACGGCGATGAATCTGCCGGCCAACAAAGTGGCCTGCCTCATGATCCTCTCCTTGGTGTTGACAAAAACGCAGATGGCAAGCCAGATCTAGTTATTTTGCCTGGTGGTGCCGTAGATCTGAATGGAGATGGCCGGGCTGATACTACCGTTCTCCCTCATGGTGGCATTGATATTGACGAGGATGGGAGACCAGATATATGGCTGTACCCTCATGCAACCAATGGCATTAACACGTCACAACCTATTGGAAATGATACTATCATTACCCAGCCTATTGGAAATGGCACTACTATTACCCTTACTGGAAATGGCACTATCGTCACTCAACCCATTGGAAATATTACTATCATTACCCAGCCTATTGGCAAAGATACTATCATTACCCTTACTGGAAATGGCACTATCATTACAGAAGCCATTGGAAATAGTACTGTTATTACCCTTACTGGAAATAGCACTATCATTACTCAACAGCCCGTTGGAAATGGCACTATCATTACCCAACAACCCGTTGGAAATAGTACTATCATAACCCTTACTGGAAATGGCACTGCCATTACTCAACAACCTGTTGGAAATGGTACTATCATTACCCTTACTGGAAATGGCACTAACGTTACTCAACAACCTGTTGGAAATAGTAGTATCATTACCCTTCCTATTGGAGATGGCACTACTATTACTCAACCCAATGGAAATCACACTACTATTGCCCAGCCTATTGGAAATGGTACTATTATTACTCTTCCTATTGGGAATAGCACTACTATTACCCAACCCATTGGGGGGGATGGTGCTATTATTACTCAACCCATTGGGAATGGCACTGTTGTTACTCAGCCCATTGGAAATGATACTATCATCACCCAGCCTATTGGAAATAGCACTGCTATTACTCAACCCAATGGAAATAACACGACTATTACCCAGCCTATTGGAAATAACACTGCTGTTACTCAAACCATTGCAAATAGTACTATTATTATCCAGCCCATTTGGAATGGCACTATCGTTACTCAACCTATTGGACATGGTAGTATCGTTACCCAGCCCATTGGAAATGGCACTATCATCACTGGAGGCGCTCCCATTACCAGTGGATCTACCATTAGCTTCATTCTTCCAATTGTGGGTCTGAGCGCTGGCACTCCGATAGATACAAATGGCGACGGCGTACCAGATGTTTATATTGGGCTTAATGGTGCTGTCGATCTTAATGGCGATGGCGTTCCAGATCTCTTTATTAACGTTGACGGTACCGTTGATATCAATGGCGATGGTATCCCAGATGCTATGGTTGACCTGGATGGTGGCGTGGATATTAATGGAGACGGCATACCTGATGTCAGAATCGTGTTTGTACTTGGTGTCGGAAATGGCATATCTCTCATTGGTGCACCAGTCGATACTAATGGTGACGGCATACCGGACACTATAGTCGGTGTTGATGGTGGTGTCGATGTTAATGGAGATGGAAAGCTGGATATCCAAATTGGCCTGAATGGGAACGTTGATCTTAACAGAGATGGCAAACCGGACACCAAAATAACCCCTGACGGAGGCATCGATCTGGACGGTGATGGCAGACCAGATGTTTTCATCCTCGCTGTCATACTTCTTGCAACATCAACGCCAATCATCCCACCAGGTACCCCTGTTGATCTCAATGGAGACGGAAAGCCCGACACATATGTTGGCCTGGGTGGCGGTATTGATCTCAATGGCGATGGAATCTATGATATCTTTGTTAACGCTCTGGGAGGCTTAGATCTTAATGGCGATGGCAAGCCCGACTTGGTAGTCAGCCTTGGTAGCACTGTAAACCTCGGTCCTGGCAAACCAACTATCACTATTGGACTCAGCAATCCTCCAAATGTTACTGGTGGCAATAACACATCTGGATCCAATGGAACAGCGGTTACAGTACCGGCGCTTCTTGGTAACGGTTTCTCTATTCCCGGACTTGGTGTCGACCTCAACGGCGACGGACAGCCTGATACCTCCATTGGCATTAATGGCGGTATTGACCTAAACGGAGATGGAAAGCCGGACCTGACTGTGAACTCCAACGGCGGCGTTGACCTAAATGGCGATGGTATCGTTGATACTTTTGTTACTTCGACTGGTGGTATCGACACTAATGGAGATGGCAAACCGGATCTCATTATTCTCCCGCAAATCAACACTTGGGGAGATGGAAACTCTGGCGGCTTTGTGCTTCCCGGGCTTGGAATCGATCTCAATGGCGATGGCCAGCCTGATACAGTTATTGATCCTGGTGGAGGCGTAGACACCAACGGCGATGGAATCCCTGATCTCTTTATCGGAATCAATGGGCAAGTCGATACTAATGGAGACGGCAAGTCCGATACTGTGATTGATGCCAATGGGGGAATCGATGTAAATCACACCGGCAAGCCGAGTCTGTCCATTATTGGAGTTGTTGGCGCCATAGTCCCCAGCAACCAAACAGGCAATGGCACCACAACCGGCACTGGTAACCTGCCCGACGTGAAGATTAACGGAACATCTATTATCGGCGCTGGCGTTGACCTTAACGGTGATGGACTGCCTGATGTTATAATTGCTGTCGGTGGAGGTATCGACATGAATTTAGATGGAAAGCCCGACATTACTATCTTGAATGGTGGCGGAGTCGACACCAATGGTGATGGACAACCTGATACATTTGTCCTTCCTGGCGGGATCATTGACCTCAATGGGGATGGCAAACCTGATTTGACCATTCTGCTCGGTAATTTACTTGGTGGTGTACTGGGTGCTATCGGCAATACACTTGCCCCTGTTCTCGCAAACATAGGCGCTGGCACATTTGTTGATCTTAATGGAGACGGCAAGCCAGATACGACCATTGGTATTGGAGGCGGCATTGACACTGACGGCGATGGCATTCCCGATATCATCATTGCTGCTGATGGCCTCGTGGACCTTAACAGAGATGGAATTCCTGATGTTATCATTGGTCCCAATGGAGGCATTGATACCAACGGCGATGAAAAACCTGATATCTTTGTCATGTTTGGTCTCCTAGGTGAATTAGTTTCAGGTCTAATAGGCAACCTTGGCAATCTTGGAACTCTTGGTATCGCTACTGGATTTCAAATAGGCATTGGCTCCCTCGTCGATCTTAATGGAGATGGAATAGCAGACACTGCGATTGGTTCTGGAGGTCTCATCGACCTTGGGGCTACCGGCCTTCTCACCGTTACTATTTTGCCCGGGGGTGGCGTGGATATCAATGGTGATGGAGCACCCGATAGCATTATCAGCCTCAGTGGAGGCATCGACCTCAACCTAGATGGCTTCCCTGATATCCAAATCTTACCTGGTGTTATTGGACCTGGCGGTCTCCTTGGTGCAAATGGCACTGGTCTGAACCTCAATAGCACTGGTCCTCTAAATGGTACGAATGTGACGGGAACTCCCATTGTAGGAGGCAATGGCACTAGTCCCGTTAACCTTGGGAATCTCGGCATCGGCCTTGGCATTCAGATTGGCTCTCCAGTCGATCTTAACCTCGATGGAATACCCGATACAGTAATTGGACCTGACGGAGGCATCGATACCAACGGCGATGGTATTCCCAACATTTGGGTCCAATTTGGCGGAGGTGTTGATTTACATGGCAATGGAGATATAGATACCTACGTTACTGCCACTGGAGGTATTGACATTAATGGGGATGGAATTCTCGACATTTATCTCGGAGTGGGAATCAGTCTTGAACATCAAATAGGAGAAAGTACGGGGGGCGGCACTCTGCCTGGAGGTCCACTTAACAGTACTTTACCTGGTGGTCTCTTAAACGGCACGTTACCCGGTGGCCTACTTAACGGTACTTTGCCTGGTAACCTTTTAAATGGAACTTTACCTGGCGGTCTCTTGAATACCACATTACCTGGTGGTTTACTCAACGGTACTTCACCTGCTGATCTCTTGAATGGAATTTTACTCGGCGGCCTTTTGAACAGCACTTTACCTGGTCTTTTAAACAGCACTCTTCCAGACCTCTTAAACAGCACTCTGCCAGGACTGCTTAATAATACTTTAACTAGTGATTTACAAAACGGCACTCTACTAGGTCTTTTAAATACCACTCTCCCAGGCCTTTTGAACAGCACTCTACCTGATCTCCTGCCAGGTCTCTTAAACGGGACTTTGTCAGATCTTCTGAATGCCACTTTGCCTGATCTACTGAACAGCACTCTGCCTAGCCTTCTGCCTGGTCTCTTAAATGGGACCTTGCACAATGTCCTGCCAGGCCTTCTAAACGGCACTCTACCGGGTCTCCTTCCAGGTCTCTTAAATGTGACTTTATCAGGTTTCCTGAATGCCACTCTGCCTGGCCTTATAAACAATACTATACCAGATCTCCTTCCAGGTATCTTAAACGGGACTTTGCCAGGTCTTCTAAACACCACTTTGCCTGCTCTCCTGAACAGCACTCTACCTGATCTTCTACCTGGACTCTTAAATGTAACTTTATCAGGTTTCCTAAACGCCACTTTACCTGGTGTTCAAAACGGTACTCTACCAGGTCTCCTAAATGCCACTCTGCCAAGTCTCCTGAATAGTACTCTGCCTGATCTTCTACCAGGTCTCTTAAACGGGACTTTATCAGGTTTCCTAAACGCTACTCTACCTGGTCTCTTAAACGGAACCCTTCCTAATGTCCTCCCGGGTCTTCTAAACGGCACCCTACCAGATCTCCTTCCAGGTATCTTAAACGAAACTTTGCCAGGTCTTCTAAACACCACTTTGCCTGCTCTCCTGAACAGCACTCTGCCTGATCTTCTACCAGGTCTCTTAAACGTAACTTTATCAGGTTTCCTAAACGCCACTCTGCCTAATCTCTTAAACAGCACTCTGCCAGGTCTTTTAAACGGGACTTTACCTAATGTCCTGCCTGGTCTCCTGAACGGCACTTTACCTAGTCTCTTGAACGGTAGTTTGCCTGGTCTGTTGAACGGGACTTTACCTATGGTCCTGCCAGGTCTTTTAAACGGAACTCTGCCAGGCCTCCTGAATAGCACTCTGCCTGATCTCTTGCCAAGTCTCTTAAACGGCACTTTACCAGGTATCCTGCCTGGTCTTGTAAATGGGACTTTGCCTAGTCTCCTAAATGACACCCTTCCAGGTCTCTTAAACGGGACTTTGCCTATTGTACTGCCAGGTCTCCTGAACGAGACTCTGCCTGGTCTTCTGCCAAGTCTCTTAAACGGCACTTTACCTATTATCCTGCCTGGTCTCCTAAATGGAACTTTACCTGGTCTCCTAAACGGCACTTTACCTAGTCTCTTAAACGGGACTTTACCTGGTCTCTTAAACGGGACTTTGCCTATTATTCTGCCAGGTTTATTAAACGGAACTCTATCTGGTCTCTTAAACGGGACTTTACCTATTATTCTACCTGGTCTTTTAAACGGCACTTTGCCTACTATCCTGCCTGGTCTCTTAAATGGAACTCTGCCTACTATCCTGCCAGGTTTATTAAACGGGACGTTGCCTACTATCCTGCCTGGTCTCCTGAACGGGACTTTGCCTGGTCTTTTAAATGGTACTTTACCAAGTCTCCTAAATGGAACTCTACCTGGTCTCTTGAACGGGAGTTTGCCTATTTTCCTGCCAGGTCTATTAAACGAGACTCTACCTGGTCTCCTGAACGTGTCTCTTCCAGGTCTCTTAAATGGAACTCTGCCTATTATCCTGCCAGGTCTTTTAAACGGGACTCTGCCTACTATCCTGCCAGGTTTATTAAATGGAACTCTGCCAGGTCTCCTGAACGGAACCCTGCCTGGTCTCTTAAACGGGACTTTGCCTACTATCCTGCCAGGTTTATTAAACGGGACTCTGCCAGGTCTCTTAAACGGCACTTTACCTGATCTCTTAAATGGAACTTTACCAGATCTTCTGCCAAGTCTTATAAATGGAACTTTACCAAGTATCCTGCCTGGTTTCCTGAACGGAACATTACCTGGTCTCCTGAACAGCACTTTACCTAGTCTTTTAAATGGAACTTTATCTATTGTCCTGCCAGATCTTCTGAATGGGACTTTGCCTGGCCTTTTAAATGGCACCCTTCTAGGTCTCCTAAATGGCACTTTACCTGACCTCTTAAACGGGACTTTGCCTGGTCTTCTAAACGGCACTCTACCTAGTCTCTTGAACGGGACTTTGCCTAGTCTCCTGAATGGGACTTTGCCTGGTCTCCTGAACGGCACTCTGCCAGGTCTCCTAAACGGCACTCTACCAGGTATCCTGCCAGGTATCCTAAACGGAACTTTACCAGGCCTTCTACCTAGTCTCTTGAACGGGACTTTGTCTAGTCTCCTGAATGGGACTTTGCCTAGTTTCCTAAACGGCACTCTGCCTGATCTCCTAAACGGCACCCTTCCAGGTCTTCTAAATGAAACTTTGCCTAGTCTTCTGAACGGGACTTTACCAGACCTCCTACCTAGTCTCCTAAATGGGACTTTGCCTGGTCTCCTGAACGGCACTCTACCTAGTCTCTTGAACGGGACTTTGCCTAGTCTCCTGAATGGGACTTTGCCTAGTTTCCTAAACGGCACTCTACCTGATCTCCTAAACGGAACTTTACCAGACCTCCTACCTAGTCTCCTGAATGGGACTTTGCCAGGTCTTCTGAACGGCACTCTACCAGGCCTTCTACCTAGTCTCCTAAATGGGACTTTGCCTGGTCTCCTGAACGGCACTCTACCAAGTCTCCTAAACGGCACTCTACCTAGTCTCTTGAACGGGACTTTGCCTAGTTTCCTAAACGGCACTCTACCTGATCTCCTAAACGGAACTTTACCAGATATCCTGCCAGGTCTCCTAAATGAAACTTTACCAGGCCTTCTACCTAGTCTCTTGAATGGGACTTTGCCTAGTCTTTTAAACAGCACTCTGCCTAATCTCTTAAACGGGACTTTACCTGGTCTCCTAAATGACACTCTGCCTGATTTGGTAAATGGGACTTTACCAAGTCTCCTAAATAGCACTCTACCTGATTTAGTAAACGGGACTTTACCTAGTCTCCTGAATGGCACTCTGCCTGGTTTAGTAAACGGGACTTTGCCGGGACTCCTAAACAGCACTCTGCCTGGTTTATTAAACGGGACTTTACCGGGTCTCTTAAATAGCACTCTATCTGGTCTCCTTAACGTCACTGGTACTGTCCTTAACGGCACCGGCGAACTGCTCAATGGAACTCTATCCGGTCTTAATAGCACCGGTACTATCCTTAATGGCACTTTATCTGGTCTCCTAGGAAATGGTACAACTGGTACTGGTATTAACCCAAGCTTGCTTGGGGGTCTTTTAGGGAATGATACTGGCATTAGCAATTCGACTGGTGGTCTCCTAGGTGGCCTGCTCGGTAATGGTAGTTCAATGAGCACTGGAGGCACGGAAATTGGTCCTGGCCTGCTTGGTGGTCTGCTAGGAAATGGCACAACAGCTACTAACAACACCACTGGCGGTCTCCTTGGTAGTGGTCTTCTAGGAAACGGCACTGGAACAACTGGCAATTCTACCGGTATCCTAGGTGGTGTACTAGGAAACAGTACTGCAACAATTGGAAACTCTACTGGTGGCTTGCTCGGCGGTCTTCTAGGCAATGGCACTGCAACAACTGGCAACTCTACTGGCAATAGCACTAGTGGCCTACTTGGTGGTGTCCTAGGTGGAAACGGCACAGTAGGCTTGAATTTGACAGGTACGATTGGAACTGTCACAAATGGAACCGAGACCAGCGATCCTACCGGTCTTCTTGGCGGCCTTTTGGGAGGAGGTTCTACTGGAGCAAAGGGAACTGGAAGCACCGGAACAGCTAGCGAAAACTCAGGTCTCCTAGGAGGCCTTCTAGGAGGAGGTTCTACGGGGTCAACAGGCACAGGAAGCACTGGAACAACTGGTGATCTCCTCGGCGGCGTCCTTGGAGGGGGCAATACAACAAGCACAGGAGGCATGACTGGAACAACCGGAAACTCTACTGGTCTCCTAGGTGGTTTACTAGGAAGCGGTACTGCAACAACTGGAAACTCTACTGGTGACTTGCTTGGTGGTCTTTTGGGAGGAACCAATAGTTCAGCTGAGAGTACTGACATATCTGGTAGTCTTGGAATAACAGGAGGTATTAACACAACTAGCAGCGCTACAAGCGGCGGCGGCCTCCTCGGCGGAGGTGCCTCTACAACGACCGGCACCACTGGGTCGACTGGTTTAACTAGCGGCACTGCAGGTGACGGTCTGCTTGGGGGCCTTTTAGGCATTAACTCTACATCAGCAGGGGGCACTGGCGTCCTTGGTGGTCTTTCAGGTGGAGGCACAAGCTTAACGGGCACCACTGACACAACCAACTCCACTGCTTCCACTGGAAGCAGTGGTGGTCTTCTTGGAGGTCTCCTAGGCAACGGTACAACTGGTACAAACAACTCTACTGGGCTTCTTGGCGGTCTTCTAGGTGGAGGAACTGGCTTAACTGATACAACCAATTCAACTGGTTCTACCGGAAGCACTGGTGGTCTTCTTGGAGGTCTCCTAGGAACAGGCACCGGATCTGCAGGAATAACTAACACAACTGCCCCCACCGGTTCTACTGGTTCAACAGAAACTGGTGACATTCTCGGGGATATTCTAGGAACAGGAGCCACAGGCACTACCAACACAACTGGTACTACTACCAACTCAACCGCCGCCACTGGCAGTGGCCTTCTCGGCGGCCTCTTGGGCGGAGGAACTGGCACAACGGGCACAACCAATTCCACTGGCACAGCAACTAACACAACTGGTGTAACCAACTCTACCGACTTGACTGGAACCGGTGGTGTTTTTGGTGACCTCCTAGGCACAGGTTCAACGTCAACAGTAACCAATTTAACAGGCGCTTCTGGAGGCACTGGAACTGGTCTTCTAGGCGGTCTTCTAGGCGGCGGAACCGGTTCGACGGGCGCGACTAATATAAGTGATACAACTACAACCAATACAACTGGTTCTACTGGTACTGCCGGTGGCCTTCTCGGCGGCCTCCTAGGAACAGGGACTGGTACTGCTGGTACTGGCTCTACTGGAGTAGCTAACGCAACCGGCGCAATTAATTCAACTAGTTCAACTGGCACTGGTTTAACTGGTACCACTGGCGGTCTTATTGGCGGCCTTCTAGGCAATACTACGGGAACAACCAATTCTACTAGCACGGCGACCAATTCAACAGGCTCTACTGGGAGCTCTGGAACTGGTGGTCTTCTCGGCGGTCTCTTAGGAACAGGCACCGGATCTACAGGAACAACAAACACAACCACGCCTGGTCTCGGAATATCACTTAATGGGACCTTAAGCCTGGGCAACACCAACGTAACTGGTATTGGCTCTACTGGGGTAACTAACACTTCCGGCACAACCAATTCAACTAGTTCTACCGGAACTGGTGGCATTCTAGGCACGGGCTCAACATCAACAGGAACTACTGGTACTGGCCTTCTTGGTGGCCTCCTAGGCAATACCACTACAGGGGTCAACAGCACTACCGGTACAACTGGTACTACTGGCACTGGTCTCCTTGGCGGTCTTCTAGGCAATACTACTACAGGTATAATTAACTCTACTGGCACAACAACCAACATCACAACTGGCGCAACTAATTCTACTGGTACGACCGGCAGTGGTCTTCTCAGCGATCTTCTAGGCAATACCACTGCAGGAGTAACCAACTCTACCGGCACAACTGGGACAACTGGGACAACTAATTCAACTGGTACGACTGGCACTGGGCTTCTGGGAGGTCTCCTAGGCACAGGCAACCTCACCAATACCATCGGAACCACAGTCACAGTCAACACGACCACGCCTGGTCTCGGAATTTCAATCACTGGATCCTTAGGCACAGGCAACCTTACCAATACCACTGGAACCGCAGTCACAGTCAACACGACCACACCTGGTCTCGGAGTTTCAGTAACCGGATCTTTGGGCCTCGGCAACCTTACCAATACCACTGGAACTGTCCTCAATACAGGAGCAACAGTTTCCACCAACGTTACGGGTACAAGCAGGAACACCACAACTACCGGTACTGCTGGTACCCTCACCAACATCACCGGTATCCTCACAAACATTACCGGCATCCTCACAAACATCACCGGTACTATCACAAACACCACCAAGCCAGCAGGAACAACAACAACTGGCCTTCTGGGCGGTGGTCTCTTGGGCGGCCTCCTAGAAAAAATCGTCATGCTGAAGGCCCTCTTACTGCAGACGCATTGAGTATATTGAGCTTAGATATGGGAGGAAAATGGGAAGGGGTAAGGGGGGATAGGAAAAAGAAAAGGATAAGGGGTTGGATTGGGTTGGATTAATGATTCACGGGAGGGGAAAGTCACCTAGAGATTTCAAAGAAAGGGGACTGATTTTTTCTTTTGTTATTTTATGATTATCATGTTTCTTGTTTCTCTCTTCTCTTTCCTTTGTCCTCTTTTTTTTTTTCAGTTTCTAAAATAGTACAGATCTTTAGATAGGTTCTGTCAATTGATCTAACTATTCAACATTCTCCATTACCATAACGACTTGTGCAATTTGTGATGTAGAACAAGGTGTGACACAAAGTCTCAAGTAGCGAACAACATCTGGTTTTGAAAATGACTGTTTGCCTGGACTTAGATATTATTCAAGAGTGTATCAAACTATAATTTCGCAGCCATACATGGTATATCCAACTCCTTATCCTAAACACCGGGCACACGAGGGTGCCTCCTGACCATTGCAATTCCCTGCATGTTTCTTTTTCAAAAATGTTTTTCTCTAAACCAGCCGGTCACCAATTTCTAGCCCTCTCCATTTGCTAGATCATGCTAGTTAACCAAAAGCACGCCACCTATGGAATAAGTGATCTCATACAACGTAATCAAAAGGCATAAATGGACGAACCAACTAAGCCCTATCTCATCAAAGGCAAAGAAAAAACTACCATCACAGCATCTATGCTCCAAAAGCCTCGCTCACAGTCTCTCCTTCATCTGGCGTCACGGCCATTTCTAACAGCTCGTGGGCCGCCTCAACTACCTCGCCGTCAATTCCAGCCTCCATGACTAGGTCTTCTTCAGCAAAGGTCAATCTTCCAAGCGCAATGAGATATCTTTGGCTACCTCCGTGCGAAAGTGAGAGCTTTCGAGTGATTTCAGCCAAATTGGCTGTACACGGGTCTGTAGCTAGAGTGTGAATAAGTGTCACGCATTGGGAGATGATACGATATAGCTCAGCGGAAGTTGTAGATTCAGAAAATTTCAGCGATGAAGATGTCATGGCATCAGGAAGAGGGGGTAGAATGCTAGGAGGGATGGGTTGATCATAAAGCTCGTCAATCGATGTGCTCAAGCAAGCAACTAAGCGTGGGATGGCGTTATCGTGAGATGCCAGCTGCTTGGCACCAAATTCATACCTTGCAAAGGTTATTAATGTTCGAAGAGCAGCTAGTCGTACGCTTCGTTTCTGAGCAGGGGTAGTTGTAGCGCGAGGATGCTCCATCAACTTAGCAGATACTCGCTCAATGACGGCTCGCGCAACTGATAGCGTGTCTTTTTCATCGGATATGGGGCCGATAGAGTCGGGAAGCGAGGATGTCGCTAGCAGATCAAGCATGCCAATTATATCGGAGGTTTTCTGCTTCGGCATCAAGAGGAGAAGGGTGAAGTCAAGAGAGATGAGTTTCCAAAACGCAGCAGAAGTGTATTTAACTCCCTCTTCAGTCTCAGTGGGGGTTGTTGTACATGCCAAAGATGCAGTGTAAAGCAATGACAGAATTTGGCTCGTATCTATCTGTTGTTCCAAGATGGCATGGTCATCATTGTTGGCGACCGTGCCATCGGAAGCGCGCGACGGCCCTTCCGCAACTGTAAATATTATGGTCTGTGCCACGGGCACAAGTCTGGAGATGATGAGCGGGGCAACAGACGAGGTGTGGAGCTGAAAGGTGAAAGCAATGAGCGAGACAAGGTATTTAATAGGCTCCCAAAACTGCTCTTCAAAACATCTAGTCCAGAGGATGATGATTTGCTCCGCAAAATCCACGAGAAGCTGCATTGGTTGATAGGGGTTTCCCATCAGGGGAAGTCTTTCGAATATGAGGGTTGAGAAGGATGTATTGGGGTCAGAAGGGAAGGAGATGCGTGAGAGTATGTCGAAAGTCGGAGGCTGCCCTTGGGCAAAGCCGTGATCGAGAACAATTTGCAAGAACTAGCAGAGTTGATTATAATTAGCATCTCTAGCGGATGGCAAAGAATAGGGCGTTGGCATTTCCCGTTTTCTTTCTATTTTCAAACTTACATCAAATGGAGCTGTGGGAGCTGCAACCACAATAGGCTGCTGCAAAGCCAGCTGAGAGACTGGGTTCATGCCCTCGCTCACTTCTGCATCGCCGGTGTGTATATCAAGAGGCTTCATGGGGGACTCTGATACGGGGCGCTTTCGCTTCCCTTTGCTCGGCGTTCTTTCCCCAATGTTGGTAGCAACGGAGCCAGCAGTCTTGCTTCTCCCTTGGCCTTTGCTCGGACTTGCAGCAATATCCATCTCGTCAAAGCCATCGGCAAAGCCCCATGTTTTGCTAGCCTTCTTCGGCGTCGTCATGTTGATGGCGGGAGGCTCCTTTCTGCGGGCTCGGTCATTAGCCTCTTTCATATCGCGCTGCATGAACTGGAGCTCGGTGTTGGCGTGCTTCTCCGCCGCTATAGCCGCTTCCATCGCCTTTTCTTGTTTTTGTAACTGCTCAGCATTGAGCTTTCGGAGGCGGGCGATCTGCTCATCGTAGTTTTGCTGCGCCTTTGTGGAGTTTGAACGAAGTATTGAAGTTTCGCCGCGAGCTGCATTGAGCTCTGCTTCCAAAACACGAATTCGCTTTTGCAACGCTGTCACCATAGGTCCAGACTGCGCCTGGGATGACATTGGCATCGCCGCAAGCTGCGCAGTCTGAGGGCGAGCTGCACTTTGCGAAGAGTCAGGGAACCGCTGAGATCCCATGAACGGTTGATTCATGGGCCGGACGCTCGTGATTCGAGGCCGCTCCGCCAGAGGAGCTCCTGGCCTGGCAGCCGCGGCATCAATCGCAGGATTCCATCGAGGATTGGGCACAGGAGGAATGGAGGGCCGTGTAGGCTGTAGCCCTCTCTGTTGTCGCAGCGTCTTGTCGACTATTGGCCTCCCCACAGGGACGCCGGCGTCGTTGATCACCTCAGTAGTATCCAAATCATCGTCCTCCTGCCCCCAGGCATAGTCGAGCTGATCGGCCTGTTGCGTGAAGGCATGCTGGGCCTGGGTGAACTGAATGGCGTTGTTCTCGAGCTCTTGAAGCACATTATCGGTCAGGTCGTCGAACCCGTCGTCGGAAAACTCGTCGAGATCCATCGTTCATGGATCTTCAGCTCAGATGCATCATGGCTCGAGGCGTCTATGCGCAGCGTATTTGCACAGCACTGCGTCATGAATTGCCTGTGCGATGCAGTCATGGAACAAGGCCGTGGTCTCTTGGGAATTCCCCACGATAAGATATCGATATCGACGCGACCCAGCGCGAGGTCACGTTTTTGCCAGTGCAAGTGGCTAGTGCTATTAATTTGATGTGGCTGAGCATCCCCAAAAAAAGTGCCTCAGCAATGCGAGTGCGCACAGTTTGATAACTAATAAGTCTATTAAAATTACGGGAGAGTAGTTACAAGTTGAAGAGCCCAAAAGCAGACAAAGTTGACCAAGTAATGGTTGTGGAGAGAAGGACAAGACAATTGTCAGAAGGCGGGTTAGGCGCGGATGTATACAGGTGCTTACAAGTTACGGCTCATTGTACCTGGCAGGACGAATGCACCCAAGCGATACTTCGTACATACAAGATATTTGGGCCCTTGATCCAATCAATTCATAGTTAGAAAAGGTCTCTGAGACCGGCCAATTACAGCATCTTGGGTCTAGTCCCGAGGCCAGCTGGAAGAGGCGGCGCAAACTCAGCCCGGAATGCATGCCAGCAATCAATCAATACTGCAGGCCATATCGCATGACGTAGACACCAGATATCAGAGGGCCGTTTGCAGACGGTTCAAGGTGCACTGCAGCGCATTTGACAGCAGCTAGCTTTCCACTAAAGTAAAATGAGGATCAAGTAATGAAACCACTGCTGCTTGTCTAAGTGATCCATGCTTGCGCACGAGGGCGCACGCACCCAGTTAGATTTCAGGGGATTATGTAAAATTACCCCCAAGATACCTCCAAGACACCTGGGCGCCACCGCAAATTAAAAGTACTGTCACATGCGGATTTTATTTTGCGGGGAGTTGCAGAAGTCCAGTCCATACTAAACTGAAAGTTCCAGCAAAAATTGCGGCGTGCGAGGCCCGAGAAGCCCAGCTAGAGCCTTGCTCGCTTCCAGCGCTAAGCGTCGGGGCACTACAGCGCGCAGTCCAGCACACGTAGCTTGGCCTGGCAGTACTTCGTCAGTGGCGGGCCGCAGCAGGTTTTCGTCGGTACCTTAAATGGGGAGAGGTCCACGTTGCGTGTTAGCTTTCGATTTAGTAGCTTCGGGTGAAATCCAATGTCTTTTTGACTTCTACCTCAACACCGTCAAATTGCTTGCTTCTGCTCCAGTCGCCAGCGCACCGTCACCACCGCTGTCGCTTGAATGTCTGGTAGAGGATAAGGTGAGAGGGGGGAGAAGGGTCCGGTGAATCGGTCGATTGCCTAGTTTTTTGGACTAACTAGAACATCGCACCGCAGTCCGCAGAAGCTCCTCCATCGACAGCCTTGCTCCGAGCAACCCGCTGAGCAAATCCTGCCGCCGCCAGATCGCAACGCCTCGACCAGCCCAGGCGCATCTCAGTGAGCCGTACGACGCCATGGCCAGATCAAAGAGAGGGGGGAAATCCCCAATGAAGAACGCCAACGGCCAGTTCAGCGGCTCTGAAGGCCGCCGATCGAGCTTCAGCGACAAGAGCGAAGAGGGGTCCCCAACAAGAACCAGGGCACAGGGCCAGGCCAAGCTGGCGCCTGTAGAAGAGGTAAGCTCTTGGGTTCTCTTATTCTTGCTGTATTCCCACGTTTGCCCTGCTCTTCCCCTGGTGTAGCCCGGAAAACTCTGTGTGGAGCTGACACTTGGCGAAACAGAAACCCGCGACAGCCGCAGAGAAACAGGCCGAGTACGAGAAGAAGAAGGCGAATTTCTGGACTCGAACACTATGGACGCTGGTCATGATATCTGGCTTCTTTGGCGCACTGTTCATGGGACACATTTACATGATTGCCATTGTCACCGCAGTCCAGATCATATCCTTTAAGGAGGTCATTGCCATCGCCAACGTTCCCAGCCGAGCTAGATCTCTACGCTCCACAAAGAGCTTAAACTGGTACTTCCTAGCCACCACCATGTACTTCCTTTATGGAGAGAGCGTCATCTACTACTTTAAGCACATTGTCCTTGTTGACAAGGTGCTTCTTCCTCTGGCTACCCACCATCGCTTTATTAGCTTTGTGCTCTATGTCTTTGGTACGTTGCTCTGTTCCTGGTATTCGCCTACAGCCATGTATCTGTCTAACAAGCTCCGTGATAGGATTTGTCTTCTTCGTCGCCTCACTCCAAGCCGGCAACTATAAATTCCAATTCACCAACTTTGCCTGGACTCACATGGCCTTGTACCTTATTGTCGTACAGGCCCATTTCGTCATGAACAACATCTTTGAAGGAATGATTTGGTTCTTCCTGCCAGCGGCGCTAGTCATTACCAACGACATATTTGCATACATCTGCGGTATTATGTTTGGCCGCACGCAACTCATCAAGCTCTCGCCAAAGAAGACTGTTGAGGGATTTGTCGGTGCTTGGATTATGACCGTCCTGTTCTCCTTCTTGCTTGTTAACATTCTGATGCGCTCCAAATACTTCATTTGCCCCGTCAATGTGAGTTCAATCAGATGCACAACATCTTGTCGCTTCCGATACTATACTAAACATTATCCAACCTACAGGATCTCGGCGCCAACGTCTTCAGCGGACTCAAATGCGACGTCAATCCCGTCTTCGTGCCCCACACCTACGAGCTCCCACAATTCTTCTTCCTACCTCCAAACACCAGCTTCTCCCTGACGTTTGCGCCGATGCAGTTGCATGCCCTGGCTCTTGCCACCTTTGCATCTCTCATTGCTCCCTTTGGCGGCTTCTTCGCCTCCGGCCTCAAGCGCACTTTCAAGATTAAGGACTTTGGCGACTCTATCCCTGGACACGGTGGCATGACGGATCGAATGGATTGCCAGTTCATCATGGGCTTTTTTGCTTACATGTACTTCCACACCTTCATTGAGGTTCACAAGGTTTCTCTGGGCAGCGTCCTGGAGACAGCCATTACCAGCTTGGCTCCCGAGGAGCAGGTCGAGCTCGTCAAAAGCATGTGTCGATATCTCAGCAATCAGGGTCTTATGCCCCAAGAGGTACGTCTTACCACTTATTAATCCACAAAACTGGCTAGCTAATTAAAAGCTCCATAAACAGCTGCAAGCTTGCCTCGAGAAAGCTACGTCTTCATGATTATACGTCAAAATGCGTACGAGAATGGAGCCTGATGGTTTTTCATTTCTCTTGTAAATCTAAAAATTCCACCAGCTACACCTTTCATAATGACCGGGAAATCTCTTTATTACTATTACTACTATTACTACTATCTCCTCACTTTGTGGTCCGTCATAGGGAAGGCGAAGAGGGAAATTGTGCGAGTCGATGGGAGAGAAGAGAAAGGAAGTAGCAGGCGTTGGAATAAAAGGGGGGAGAAATAATATGTGCAGATAAGAGGCATGCTGTATCATGGTAAGAGATCGTGATGTAAAAGATCTTTTTGTTTTTCTTCATTTCTTTTATGTAATGTCTTCTTATTCATATGTATTTGATCACTGTAGGTACTGAGCCATCTATTGCAGAACATATATATAATGTGGGAAGGAAAACTGGTAGCGGGTAAAGAACGGCCTTAACGGATAGGTCATTCTTATAACTGTCTAGAGTTACGAATATATTCACCTCTGTCGCACTATATAAGCAATTACTAAACTCTCTCGATGTTCAAAGAATGATTCTCTCTAGTCTATTCTCTCTGTTTTTTAACAAGTGGCATAAATGACCTAGTTTTTAAATATAAACAACATCTCCCTCTTTCTCTCACCATCACATGGCAGGATGGCATGCTGTCTTATACATTTCGCTTCCACCCACCCTCTGCCTCGAAAAGATTGCCCACTTCCTTGGCCACCTTGAGAAGGTGTCTGTCGCGATACCTCGGGGCCACCAGCGACACCCCAATCGGCATGCCGGTATGCCCCTGAAAGCCCGGGATGTTTATCACCGGCGTGTGCAGCGCCGACCAGCTCACACAAAACGCCGAATCGCCAGTAAACTCAATCCCCTCTGGCGCCTCGTCAATAACGCTGGGCGTCAAAATGGCCGTGTATCTGCCTGCAATCTCATCAATCCGGGGCCGCAAGGCCGAGATGCTATCAAGGGCTTTGAGCTGTGCGCGGCGGTCGTAGCCGGCCTTGCGGTCGACATAGCCAACCAGCTGCGGCGAGAGTTTCTCCTTGGCGATGCGGTGCTCGGGGAGGAAGAAGGTCTCGCCTTCGGTCTGCAGGACCATGTTGTGCCAGCGCGGGAGGTCGTCGAACTCGCGCGGCAGATCGACCTCTTCGACCTCTGCGCCGTGCGCACGCAGGATGTCGACGGCGCGAGCAATGGCGTGGCGAGTGCCTTCGCCTGCCATTGGCCAGACGACGGTCTTGCATAGCGCAAAGCGCGCACCCTTGATGCCCTTGAAGCTGCTCGGCTCATCGTCCTGCAGCCCGAACGCGTCGGCCACGAGGTCCAGGTCGTCGACGCCGCGGGCGAAAATGCCAATCGTGTCCAGCATCAGGGACGAAATCTTCAGGCCCTCGCGAGACACGGCGTTCCACGTCGGCTTGATGGAGTAGACGCCGTTGAAGGAGCCCGGGCGGATGGTGGAACCGCCGGTCTGTGTGCCGAGGGCCACCGGCGCCTGGAAATCGCCGACGGCGGCGCCCGAGCCGGACGACGAGCCTCCGGGAGTGCGGGCCGGATTATGCGGGTTGCGCGTCGAGGCTGGGCCGGTGTAGGAGGCTGCGAACTCGGCGGTTGTTGTTTTGCCTGGAATGGAATGAATGAGAGCTTCGTGTAAGCCGATGAGTTTGATCAAAAGGACGCAAGGATGGCTGCGGGTTTGAACTCACCGAGGAAGAGTGCGCCTGCATGGCGGAGGAGGATGATGGAGGCTGCGTCGAGTTTGGGAAAGTCGTCCTTGTAGATTGGCGAATTGTGAGCCGTAGGCATATCTAAACCCACATCAAATCAATATTAGTTTCAAGAAGACATCTTTCCAATGACGGAAGCCAATCTATCCACAGAAAGAGTGGCGAGTGAAGTACACAGGGCAGAGTGCGTGTGCTATCTTGTCAGCCATCTCTTCTCCACACAGAGCCCCTCTTCTCGAGTAACACAGCATGCAAGCATTGTTACACACATCATGTGCTGTTCTATCATTTGACCGTGTTATGGCCACATGACACACACACTCTCTCTCTCTCTCTCTGCTTTTCTCTCGCACCTCTCTGTACCCTCCGTGTCTCCCCTCCTCTACAGCAGCAAGATTCGACTGACCTTTAGTGTAAATAACATCCTTGACGGCAATGGGCATTCCATGCAGCGGGCCTCTTTTATTCATTGGCACCTTGTCGAGAGCTCTCGCCTGCTGGAGGATATAATCCTTGTCTATATAGGCCCATGCGCCGACGTCGACGTCACGCACATCTATACGGCGAAGCAGTGAGCGTACATAGCCCTCAATGGTCATTCCGCCAGCGCGAATCCTGGCGAGGGCTTCGGCAGCCATAAGGAGATATGCGTCATCGCTACCCATATTTGCTTTATGTGTCTTTCCCGTCTCGTATTCGTCAAGAAATGAATGTGGGAAAGAGTTCTGAGGTCAATGAGCGTGTAGGCGCCACGGGACCGGCTCTCTAATAAATAGATCTGGCTTTTTTATCGATTAAAGCTCTGGGGGCGTATTAATTGGCCTTGGTTTTTTATACAAGGATCAGAGATACCTGTCAGCCGTAGCTCAGCCGCACCCTGATTCAGCCTCGGCTGCGGTTGTTATTGGCTGGATCGAATTGTATTTGCCTGATGAGGCAATGTAAACGAACAGTCAAAAGACCGGCAGTAACCCACAACACCGGATCAACGACGGCGTGTCCAGAGGCGAAAAAGAGACTTTGAAAAAGAAAGTATATGCAAGGGCTAGTCTCGTGTAAGTGGTTGAATCGGACGTGGGAAGGGAGGCAGCTGAAGTCTTAGTGTGATTTCTGCGGCTTAGAGCGCAAAAGAAGCAAACAATTGTTACCAGGATGCCAGATGATTATGCAGGGAGGGCTATGGTTTAAGACAGAGCAGGGCAGGTAAGTAGGCCAACCGAATTGCCGGATAAAAGTATGTCACATATCACTCGTTCTTAAGAAAATCCCATCGGGAAAAAAAAAGCCATCCAGATGATATTGGGACATCTACTCTATATAGTGAGAAGAATCCAAGGCTAACGGCATATACGACCGTTAGGCAATCGGGATGTCGTCGATGGGTGTGGCCCAGCAGATGGACCTGGATCCGACCCGCCATGCAGCATCCGCATAAAAAGGGCACTTCACAGGGCCCCTTAGCCTTGCATGTTTTCGATGCGTGCTGGTGCTGGGCCCAGGATGCGGCGGTTGCGGAATGCCAACCAGTTTTGTGTGCCAGGCGCAGGCCGAACCCGGCCCCTCCTTTACTTGACCAGTGATTCCATCTGCAGGCCGCTTATATGTAAGTGCTACTACTGTATCGTTATGCCCACCTTTTCAAGTTGGTAACTATGAGGGCGGAAACCCCGGCTTACTCAATTATTCACGGCTCAAATATGGCATTAGTAGGCATATGAAAGAGCTGGCGATATTCCGTGTTCAGCACCGATGAAGCAAATGGCCTGTAGTGATGAGTAATGTCCGAGCCATTTCGGCGTTTCAAGTACACGTAGTAGTAACTCCATGCTGTGCTACTAGGCTAGTACTGTTAGTATGCAGTCAACTGACAGGGGGGAGGAAAAAAAATATGCACGTCGTCCTCTCGGCGGCCAACCGGTTAGGCTGAAATCCTTAGACGAAGAGTGGGCGCTTCACATAAAGCTTCAGGCTTGGCTGGGTGAGGGAAAATTGGCTTCGGGCCGTGGACTATCCTCGTAATCCCGAAGATCGCCTCAAGCCACCCGTCTCGCTGCCGCCGCCAGTGCAGGAGCGGAAGCCAGGTTGATCGGGAGAAGGCTGATATGATACGCGCAGTAATATGCTACAGGTATATGCCGAGGGCCTTATCCGATCCGGGTGGGTGGTATTAGGTGAGGTGCACAAGAAGGTGTGATAGAAAAGAATTTGGAGGAAAAGGTGGTATAAGTCTGGACCTAGAGGGAGATATATAGATGTACTCCGTATGTATATAGCAATGGAGGAGAGGCAGAGCAGTAGACGGGCATAAATGTTGTATATGAAGAGATTTTTTGTTTCTGGTGGTCCTAAGATTGCCCCTAAATTGGACAGAGCTTTTTGAAACAAAACGCTAAAAGTAGTAGAATGCGTAGGTTCAAGAAAGCCAAATATAAATAGACACATGGCAAACCAAGATGCGCATATTCAGTCTTGGGCAAATGTCAATCAGAAGATGTTAATGGCGGTAGCGGCAAATCAGGTTCAACAGCTCTTCTTTGGCTTCATTTCAGACTGCTCATGTCAGGAAAAGCATCAAGACCCATTAAACCAAACTGTGGCCGTCTTAAAGCCTCATATCAGTGCTTGACAGGCAACATAACAGCGTTTGACCGTCTTCATTGTCCGTCAATTCCTGGGTGTTCATGCCGTTGATGTTAGGTATGAGCATTTTATTTGTACGTGACTCCAGGGATATATCCATGTACCTTTGGTATAAACGGTTTCCGAATAGCGTGAGGTGCATAACTGCCACGTCACGGGGATACCCCATGTAGCAAGGCTGCCATTGTAACAGGCCAATGTAAGTAAGGGAAGCTCGGCAGTTATCGCGAGCGAGGTCACCATATCCACCGAGCTGACAAAATGAGATGAAATGCAATACCGGTTGAATTACAAGTGCAAGGCTTTTCGTGAGTGAGTGAGTTGAAATATAAAACTTGGTGTTTCAGCTTACGCCATACGCAAGCACTGTCGCTATACCCACGACCAGCGACAATGCAACGGCGCATATCGAGCAGGGCTAAGGCACACACGGCCCGCTGTGAGATGACCCAATTAGCGCTCAAGAACTCCAATTTTAGTGCTGACGACGTTTGTTCCCCAGTGCCGTCAGATCGACGAGAGTGGATGAAGCCAAGGAAGCGCCGCACCCCTCAAGCCAATTTATCGCACCATTGGTGACATTACTGTATGCATACAGCCTATCATCGGACCTAGCATGGGTGGAGATTCAGAGACCGCTAATGAGAATTGTCTTGTAACCTGCAGAAGGCGCAGGCAACCAAGCCGTGTAAGGGCCTATAGAAATAACCAAAAGTTTTCATGTTGGGGCGTCGATGAAACTATCTGTTGGACACGAAGTACATACGAACTGTTACTACCTACTTGTGTCTGCCTAACAGAATCTAGAACTTCTTGGAACGTAGAATATGTCTGTTGGCTGACGATTGGTATGCGTAAGAAATCACACATCTTCCTGGGTAGTTCCGATGGCCTTAGCGTAATAACTCACTTGCTTGATTGCCTTCATACCTAACATTTCCCTACTGGTAAAGAAATTACTGTTATGTTCCTGCCCTTGTCATATTTGCTCAATGTTCCTGTTCCGCGGTTATAGTGATGCCTAAGCAGTAAAACACGGTCGATCACCTTCGTTTGGGCTAATTTATAGTATAAAGTATTTAAGATAACTTCCATATCTATAGACAATAAGTAACAAGTCCACAAGTCGATATCAAGGAATTTTTTCTTATGCAAATACGATTTTGCTACTTAGGCTTTGCACCCTCTCAATAGCTGCATCTTGTTGGGACTGGCCCCCATGTGTTTCCCCGTAATAATACAGGACATCACAGTTATCATACAACGGAAGAAATCAGATCCAATCAAGCCACTTGGGGGCCAATATGCAAGGAATGCCTCACCGAAATCGCGATGAAACAAGGCGGCTATTGGCTAGCCACCTCGGGAAGTTTAGGAGGATTTATACTAGGGAACGTCGTAGCTATCGTAACTCTATCTACCCTTGTCAAATAGTGTTGGGATTTACCGCAAGGCCAAGAGCTAGGCTTTCACTGGTCTAGTCCTACTTGCGTTGCTACCTCATTACGTAGGGCCGACTGTGCTCGCTTTCCAAATGTACCATTGGTACGGCTATGTGGAACGAAGATGGATCTTCCTAAATCTACAGTAATACATCAAGATATAGTGTCAATACTACTGTGGCAGTGAGCAGTCATTTCTCATTCCCCCTTATAGGATGCATAACTCTGACCAGGGGAAAGAGATCCTCACAATATCTCGATAAGATTTATTACTTCGTATCTCAAAATAAAGCCACTAAAATGATGTAAGAAAAAGAAAGAAAAGAATAGCACTAGTCACTTTTTTAATGAGGTTGCTAAGCGAAAAAGCAAAGAGCACGATCCGTTGCTCCAGGCTGAGCAGGGAAGCATATAGTGGTTGCTTTTTGCTTTGTTTCAGCAAGGGCATGCAATATATGTACCCATGGTTATGGATCAGTCGCACGGGAGCCGGCTCAGCATCATTCCCACTACCATCTGACACTATTCCCAGTCGCCCATGCTTAACGGGATGCTCCTCTGGATGATTCAACGTCCCAGAAATTACGAATATTATCTTTTACATGCAGTTTAATCAAAACTGCAATTAACATTCTCACACATCTGAGCCGGTCATTAGTTTAGCCAAGACAAGACTACTAACGAGCGAATGCTCGCTTAGACGTTTAAACCACTGGGCACTATTAATTGATTACATGTAGCCTAGTAAATAGCCAGAGCAGCGCTTCCGGCGCCAAACTCGCCTAGCATTAATAGCCTCCAAGTTCTAATAGTGTTGCATCCCTCCCAAGCAAAAGGGCATTCGGGGCCCGGAGTGACTCTCACCAGATGCTTACGCCCACGTGATGACGCGTAGGAGGAGACAGACCTCTCAAGAGATCAGGACGTGTTGCTTGACGCGCGTTTTAGTGTATCCGAAAGGGCGTTAATAAGGCGTTATTGTTATCCAGGCAGTATCAGTTGGACTTTGTGGTGACAGCCAAGTAGTCATAAAATCGCTGAACCCCGCCCGTAGCTAAACCCAAGCCATGTTAGCAACATCTGTGTAAATTCACGGTTGTTCTCACTCACTTTAAAAACTCTTGTTATCTCTCACTCTCTCTTTTCCAACATCCTCTTAGAATTGTTTGTAAATAATTCCACAATGGTGCAAAAGACAACAGAAGAATATGCCAATCACGGCATGCCCCTGAAATGCGACATCTACACGGATGACACCTATCCGAAAGACGCTCCCGTCTTTCTCTACTTTCATCCCGGAGGGCTGGTTGGCGGCAACCGTGATCTCGTTGCGCCATGGTTGGTTCAGGTGAGTCAAAGCGGGAAAACATACAGCAAAACATGAGCAAAACTCTTTCAGACAGGATATGAATAGTGATTCTAATGGAATAAATAAAAATGTTTACAGACGTGCATCCAACGCAAATGGCCTCTAATCTGCCCGACATACCGTCTTCTGCCACAGGCCGGTGGAGAGGGTCTCCTTCAAGATGCCTCAGCGGCCTATGAATTCGCACGAGACTGGAACCCTCTACCTGGTTCCCAAAGACGTGTCATTGTTGGAGGTGCCAGCGGTGGTGAGTTCTTTGCCTTTAAAAAAAAAAGAAGAAGAAGAAGGGATCATTGTACTAACAATCTTAAAACTTAAAAGGCTTCTTCATGGCCGCCATCATCGCCCACCAATGCGAGCCTAAGCCTCTCGCCCTCCTCTCCATCCAAGGCATCAATACCTTCCACCATCGCTTCTTCAACTCATCCGTCTTACTCACCGAAGAAGAGATCCCCCCCTCCACAATGGAGAAGTTCATCACGGGCCCAATGGAAAGCGGCGACGACATGCCTCGTGACGAATCTGCTTTTGTCCTTGACAAACTAACTGCCGACGGTGCAAAGAACCCTGATTATAGCCCTCCTAAGTCCGGACCAAATGATTGTGATAGTCAACGCGGCATGCTCTATGATTTTTACACGTTTAACAACTCCTTTGTCGATCTGGTTGGATCTGTAGACCCTGGATACCAGTGGGCGAAACGTCCTGATGCCAAAGACCGAGTCGCGCAGTGGCCCAAGACGGTCATCTTCCATGGCAACAACGATCCTGACGTGGAGCTCAACGTGAGCGAAGATATGCGCGATTGCTTGGGCGAGGACAAAGTCACGCTGATCATTGCCGACGGGCAGCCTCATTTGTATGAGTTGGAAAAATTCATCGAGGACGATGGTCCCGGAATGGACGCTGTGAGACAGTCTGTAGCACGGCTGGATGAGATTGTGGCATCATCATGAGTAGACCGAGCACATCACGGCAGACATATGAGGTTAATAAGCGTAAGCAAACAAACACCTGGATATCTATTTTTAAATCTGCATAGCCGCTATCGTATCAAATACATCTTGGTCACGTTCCTTCACGCTGTAGGTTTAGGTTTATACATGCTCGCCCCTTTATGCACGACCGCTATGTTAAAGCAAAATGAAACGAGAGAAAAGAAAAGAAAATGAGGAGCAAGAGGGAATCAACGGAGTCATACGCCATTACAAATAGCCTCAATCATAACCTCCATCAAACTTTGTATAACTTACCTTCATGGTGGTGTACGTCCCTCTCACTGTGTCATGACGCTGTCTTCATACTCGGTTAAACGTAGCGCCTCTTCGACATCGTTGACAAAATGCCTCTCGCCGCACAAGTCAACGATTCCACTCTTCTCCATGAGCTTCCACACAGGGTGATCTCGGTGGTGTGGTGCGCGCGAGAAGAAGACTCGCACTCCCCTCTCTCGATAGTCTCGAACAATCTCCTCGAGCACTTGCGTGCCGGAACCATCCATGGAGGTCACGCCATGGATGTCGAAAATGATGTTGCGATTGGAATCAAGGCTTCGGATGCGCGGTAGGGCGGGATGCGCTAGCGCTGTGCCATAGAATTCCAATCGTCGAAGTCGCGCCTTTAGTTCACCAGTGTTGGCAAACGTCAATGGCTCTGGGATCTTGACAATAAGGCATCCCTCAATGAACTCGATTCGTGAGTCTAAGGATTCGGGATTCTCAAAGCGGTTGGTGCCGGGAACGCGGCCAAGGATCTGGATGCGAGGACGAGTGCTGTGCTTGATGACGAGAAGCAGAGAAATTCCTACGCCAAGAGCCATACCCAAGGTAAGGGAATAGAAGATGGTGGAGAGGAAGATAGCTGCCATAAGGCCCAGCTCGGTCCAGCCTCGAATGCGGAGAAAGAATGAAATATCGTGGGGCGCCTCTTCTATCAGCGACCATGCTACGACTGAAATCATTGATGAAAGAACCGGTTTCTGCCGCGTACACTTGATTAGTTTATGCCAATGGCAAGACGGAAAGCAGCCGCTTCCTTACCGGTAAGAAGTAGAAATATGGCAATAAGAACAGCACAGATAGTAACGAGAAGAGACTGAGGAATACTGAACTCATTGGAGTCTTTGCACCAGTCGTTTTGTTCACTTTGCTTCGTCCATAGCCACCGAAAGCAGGCAGAGCCATGAACATGGAGCCAACAAGGTTTGCAGTTCCAAGAGCAATCATCTCTCGGTTGGCACTCAATTCGATGCCAGGGATGGAGCTCCCGCCCAAGCTCTTGGCGGCAACAGATGACTCAAAAAAGCCCAGAAGAGCAATGAGGAAAGATGTCGACATGGCCGAGCGGATGTGCTTCATATGGGCAAGTTGAAAGGGCCATCGAAATTCAAAGATGCCCCCAGACGCAGCCTTTACGGATCCCAAAACTTCAACTCCCTGGTCCTCCCAATCGAGATGCCAGCACAAGACAGCAGAGATAACGACGACGAGGAATCGGTCGGGGAAGTAAGCTACGCCAGGAAATCTCTTTTCCAAACGGCGCTTAAGCTCGCTACACGGATGAATAATATTAGCCATCGCTACTCAGGATACTGGATAAACTTCTCTCTCCCAACTAACCGAAATATCATAATGACGACGAAGCTCACTCCCGCTACAGCAAAGGTTAGTTTATGGGCCTTGCCGATATTGCTGGCGATGAATCCGATTTTGTCGACGCTGCTCCCATGGTTCACGCCGAGCTCCTCCGCAAGGGTTGCAAGGCCAAGCTCTGGAATCAGCTGGTCCACGGCAATGACAAAACCAATGGCAGAGATGAAGCCTCTCAAGAACGGTCTGCTCAGCACGCTGTCCAAGAAACCCAGCCTAGCCAGGCCTGCAATGAGAACTATAGCACCCGCCATGCCGCCTACCACGCCGCAGATTTGAGCCTGTAGAACATCGTTTTCCTCTGAGCCTTCGCCTCCAGAGTCCACGCTAGCTTTCACCACGGTGCCAACGAGCAGAGACCCAGCCGCCTCGGGGCCGATAACCATTTGCGGAGAAGATCCGAGCATTGCATAGATGAAGGGGTTGAAGATGAAGCCATAAAGGCCAAAAATCGGCGGCACATGTGCCAGGTTGGACGCAAGCGAGAGCGCCATCGGGAGGTAAAACGAAGCCATCGTGACAGCGGCGACAAAGTCGCCCTGGAGGTACGATAGCTTGTACTGCTGGATCCAGTTCAGGCACGGAATATAGTATGCCAGGTACCTATCCACACGGTGTTAGTCCAACCGCGCCCAGATTGTCCAGAATCATGGCACAACATCTCGGCAGAAGCTCACATGAAGGGCGTATCTCGGAATCCTGCCTGCTCGGCAAGCTCACTGCTGTGGCCCATCTTAGTGGTCCGCATCCTCCTCTTGAGCCACCTCTTCCAGTCATCGCCGCCCAAAAGAGACCCAAATATTCCAGTGTTTCCCGCAGACCCCAGCGACTCGCTTCCGTCGTCGGTGCTCCCGCTGAAGAGGCCATTGGGCGAGGAGGCTCGCGGACTAAAGGTGCCATTGTTGCGGCCCCGCGATTCGGAGCCCAGTATCAACGGCGTTGATTCACCCATGAACTGGCCGCCGACCGCCGTAGAAGACGGATAGACGTCGCCGTGGTTGCTGTCTTCGCTGCCTGGGCGGCTCGGCGGCGTATGGCTCTGTCGAAGCGTGCTTGGCTGGAGCGGGCGGTGATCTTTGGACGAGTCTGCGCGGCTCAGCGGCGGCGGGGGTCCCGACATTTTCACGCAATCGGGGTCGTGGCGCTCGGTCTCGAGGCGGGCATGTGGGATCCGAATCTAACGGGTATTGCTTCGAGGATGACAAGAAGTCTGCAGGCGGCAATTGATATTTTGAGTTGTGCGAAGCTGAGTCGATTCGAGGCGGGCTGTCTGTCTTCGGGACAAGATAAACACGAGCTACGAAAGTACAGGCCGGCGTCTGGCAACCTGGTAAATTTCACAGTGTCGTCTTTTCCTTTGGCTTCCTTCTCTTCTTCCCAGCCGCCGACAGCCGGTACTTCCAATTAGCAGAAAGTAGCCAGAAGGGCAAAAAAGGCCAGAGGACGGGATGCCATGCAAAAGACCCTGGCGATGGTGGGAAAAAAAAATTCAAAGCTCTACTGTATCTGGCGTGGTCACAAATCCAGCGACATCGACGCAACGGCTTGCCTGCTAACGATGCCGAAGCCGCGGGTGACATCAGCGGGGATAGACCGGCCACAGCAGCGCGACACAGCGCTGAAGAGGCTCCACACAGCGCACCGCTCCACTGGGAGCTGGGGGGCGAATGCGGTGAAGGAGTGCCTCAACGTGCAGTTGAGCAGCCGCCAGACCGCCCTTGAAGCCAAGCGAGCGCCGGCGATTGGCCAAGGCGGTTGCGCACCTGACACGATGCGCAGGTGGACAAAGTGATGGCGGATGCGCTGCATTATTGCGGCGTCTGTGCTGCCGGTCTCGCTGTGTTTGTGCTGTTGACTACATGTACAGTATGCATGTTTTATTGGACAATGCGTCAATAGCCGTTGGGCTTTCGTCTGGATTGAGACAGGCCTGCTGGAATAGGCAGGCCTTGGGTCTCTGTACAGCCGGAAGAGCTTGTTGTCTACATGTATGTGTCTGTAATACTGGCCTGAGCCAACGACTAAATGTTAAAAGATGATTTGAAGTGATAATTTTACTAGTATTGCCAATACTAATAGCTCTAAAGGAAGCTTTTTGATTAGCAAAATTGTCCAAATCATGCTGGCAATCCCCCCTTTTTGGGCCCATTGCAGAGTAACACAAACAGCTGCATTCCATGCGTAACTGGATCACAACATTGCCGAGATCCGCGCTCAAGTCGTACATAAGAACACGCTCAGGCACTTGTACACCTGGAAATTTACTTAGGACAACATCCAGCCATATGTACCACCACGAGATAGGTGGAATATCAACATGTACTAAGGTGCCTACTATACTTGGGTACTAACAAACATAAGCGTACATACTAGGTAGCCATTACATGTCGAATCATCAAAAGCAGTAATGTAAGGGAGAAAAAATAATCGCTTGCATTTTTATCATCCAAAAAAAATTACACAAAAAAAGAAAAGATATTTATCTGTACAAGACACCCTATCAATGACCCAAATATCCCATCTCCCTATTCCTCTACAGCTGTTCGTTGACAAACAGACCAGCCATACCCTGGCCGGTACCAATGCACATGCTCGTCAACAGCAGCTTCTTCTTGGTTCTCCTCAGCTCGCTCAGACCAGTGACGACCTGTCGGGCACCGGTGGCTCCCAGAGGGTGGCCGAGAGCAATGGCGCCTCCCCTGGGGTTCATCTTGGACCAGTCCAGGTTGAGCTTGTCACGGCAGTAGACAGCCATGGAGGCAAAAGCCTCGTTGACCTCAATGACATCAATGTCGTTGAGGCTGATGTTGTAGATGGAGAGCAGCTTGGGGATGGCAATGCTGGGGCCGATGCCCATGATGCGGGGGGCAAGACCGGCGACGGTAGAGCCGACGTACTTGGCCATGATGGGCAGGCCCAGCTTGACAGCGGTTGATCGCTTCATCAGAACGACGGCAGCGGCACCGTCGGTGACCTGAGAGGCGTTGCCGCCAGTGGTGGTGGGACCCCATTGAGGGAATGCAGGGCGGATCTTGGAGAGACCCTCGGCGGTGGTGCCGGGGCGGATTCCCTCATCCTTGGTGAGCGTCACCTCCTTCAGCTCACCATTGGCGTCCTTGACCTTGGTAGTGATGGGGACAATCTCGTCGTCAAAGTGCCCAGCCTTCTGGGCCTTCTCAGCTCGCTGGAAGCTCTCCGCTGAGTAGATGTCCATGGCCTCTCGGGTAATGTTGAAGTCTCTGGAGACGTTCTCGCTGGTCCAGCCCATGGGCTGGATAGCATCGTGCGCCTCCTGAGTCTTCTTGATAACGGCCTCGTCGAATTCACCAGCAGCGCCGCCGCCCTGGGACATGGTCTCAGCACCCAGAGCGATACCCACCGAGATGGAATCGTTGGCGATCTGGTGTGCAACATCGGCGATGGCCTTGAGGCCAGAGGAGCAGAAGCGGTTGACGACGCTGGCGGCGGTGGTGTTGGGGAAGCCAGCAGCCAGGGCTGCAGCTCGGATCTTGTAGGCGGCTTGGGGATCGGAGGTCTGCGAGTGCATACGGATTAGCCGGCCGAAATCAACAAAGCGGGAGGATTGCTGTTTAAACATACGTTGCCGAGGCAGATGTCCTCAACGATGGCAGGGTCGACACCGCTGTTCTCGCGGACCTTCTCAAGCAGGGCCATGATCATGAACTCCAGGCTCGTGTCCTTGAAGCCGCCCTTGCGCGCCTTGGTGAGCGGTGTGCGGGCGGCGTAGGTGATGACGATATCATCGGGGTTCTTGGACTGGCTACATCGCGACACGTCTTGTCAGCATATTGAAGCTTCCCTAGAGACACGCCGTCTGCTTACATGTTGTTCAGCGATGACCCAGGGGCCAGGTGCTTGATGATGGAGCCAATCCGTTCGACAGCCATGATTGTACTAGTATCTAGTAGTCTAGTAGTTTATTGTGCGTGTATCTGCAAGATCTGGGGAGCAAATCGACGAACAGACTGAGCCGCCCTGCAGAATCCGGGGAGCCACGAGATTTATGGATGGCCGTGCCGGCCGGGGTTTGTGGGGTTGAACCGAGGCACACGGCAGCTTACATAATTTGAACCGAGTTCCGGCAGATCAAGTCGGAAGCCTACATGTACCTTTAAGCTCGTGTTTCACTGGGCATGAACCGTCTTCATGGGGTTGTAATCACAGCCGAAAAGAACCAGCTTGGCGGGGAAGCTTCTTACCCCTTCATCCTCGGGATGAACTTTCGGGTGCTGGAAGGCAGCATTTGCCGTATCTGGCGGATAAATTGATGCGAGGTGCCCTGCCATGCCTGCTTAGTCATATCCGTGCTATTGATTTCCAGGTGCATGTATATAAAAAGGGATGGTAGCTATATGAGACGTCAACCTCGGCTTCTGTAGATGCTCGCTTATCTCGTTTGACGACGTCCCTTTCCGTGGACTTTTGGCTAAGCGTTAGATTATTATTTAGTATTCCTTAGTAAAATGATTCTCCTGTGCACTTTTTTTTTCGGAGGTGTTGGTTGCCCTCGATACCACTGCCGTTATGCCACCTGCTCAAGGGTAGGCCAGCCGTACCGGACACGAAGAAGGCACACGCCATACCATATTCCTAATCAGTAGACACTTGCTTCCTAGATATGTGCAAGTTGCCAAATCATCAAATGGACGCAGAAGATATTGTCTTAGCAGGCAGGTGCTCATTCAACTGGCTTGTAGTCCTGAACGCCGTAGATGAAACGACCTATCTAAAAGTCACTTTTCGCATCTCTTAAGACGCACAACTTGTTATCAACTTTAGCTCGTCCTTGAGCAAAGCAGATAATCAACGCTCGCTGCCATATAATTTGCATGCTAATATCTATATAGAAAATTTAGCGAGCATGCTTTCCATCACAATCATTGCTCGGCACGGCGATCGCTTAACCACCTTAGCCCGTGATGTCCGCAGGCAACTATATGGCGTCGAAGGGGCCAGCGCAGTGCTGCGAACACTGCGCATATTCTCACACCCGTCCAATAGAACCGCCCTTGAACAGGAGCTTTCTTTTCTGTCTTCCTTGAAGCCGGGCGATCCAATGGCTAGTGCGTGACGGGTCAAGAAAATCCGCGTGTTGTTGCTTTCATGGACACTGACGTTGTGTACACGTATCTTCTGTAGACCACCTAAATGCTTTGGGTGTTATGTTTGAGAATTGGACGCACCCCTTTTCCTTTCATCAACACATGCCTATATCTAGGAATGAAAAGTTCGTACGGTCCCGCACCCCCAGAGGGCTCTTGAGATACAACCGGCTATCTATTCGATGTGCTAATGGTGGTGATGACGTCTAGATGCTCTTCGTGACTCGCTTGAAACGGAGCGGTCCGGCGCCTTTAATTACTATATCGATACGTCGCCTTCTGTCTATGACATCATCTCGTTCTCCCGTCAACGTCTTGGCTCAAAAGTGGGAGATTGTATCACAGCAATTATTGACATCACAAACCTTGATAGATTGAAATACTGTTTTGCCACAAGCGACCACAAGACCGAGGATGCTCTAACGTATGTTGGCCGATTTTTGGATGTTGAAGCACCAATACGAAAGGCTCTCGAAGGTCAGCATGTAGCTCACGCGATTGCAAAGTTTGAATTCATTGAAAGCATCAGTGTGTTGCCAGGTGTGTGCCATATCCATACCCTGACTTTACTCCTCTTCTTTCTTGTATGACATAGAATGAAGATATAACTTCTTTTGGCTTTTTCTTCTCTTTTCTGCTTTCTTTTCAAACATTCAAACGGAGAGCTGACAACTCTAGGCCCCCTGGCATTCCATAACTTAGCTCTACCAATTGGAAGCTCTGAAGAAGATGTACCGCGCCGACCAGTTGTGAAGTCGTTGGTAGATCTTTGCATTGCTAAATTACCCGACTTGTTTCAATCAACTAAAAACGTCGGTGTCACTGATCATGAAGTTTTAGATTTGTCTCATATCAAAACTTCAATATGGGAGTATTCTGTTGAGAATGCCAGCACGCTTGCAACAGCACCTGACCATGTATCTGCGGGGGTACTTGCCCTGGCGCTCAAGGGACAGTCCTATATAAATCTTGCACCTTTCCGCGACCTGGCACCCACCGCTGCGAGGGCTGTGTTGCAATCGCTTCCAGGAGCTCGGGCTATCAATTTATCAGGGACAGCTGCAATAGCTGACGACGAAATCGAAGGAACGCTGGCTGCAATCGGTCATGATCTCGATGCACTGTATCTACTTACTCCCCCAAGCCGTGTTGGAGAGCTACCAAAAGCGATCATGCTTGCGCTGAAAAAATGGAATCACAAATGCTCCAAAGTGTTGATATCTTCTGTATTAGAAGAGGGCACGAGATGGGGAATACACAAGTGGTTCAACCTAGATCTTGCCATATACCCTTCGGTTTGCAGGAGTACACAATATGCATCATCCAGATCATTTCCCATCACGCAAATAATGTACAAAAGTACCTTTAAAAAAGGTTTTGTGTCCTCGAGTCGCCCTATTTTGGCACACGCTTTCATCGGTGGCGGCCTCGTTGCTCCGTTTCGCTTATGGACAGGTATTCTAAAGACGATTAAGGACATGGATTTGAATCTTGGACTGGAAGAATTACAATTCGTCAAGTTCCTGATCCACAATCTAGCTTTGGGGCCACCGACACCAGATTCTGAGGAGTATTTGGAAGTCCGTTCGATACCAACAACAGCTTCCTTTGTTGTGTATAAACCAGCACCTACTGAGTCAGTATATAGCAATCCAGGCTATCATATGTGGGGTCTGACGCCTGATGCTTGGACTGTCGTTGTCTTGCGGGATGAAATTCCCAAGGATATCCTAACTCAAGATGGCATATTCAGATGATTTAATAATGATCGTTTCAGAACCGTTTTACTTCGACCTATACAGGCGATTCCAGTCGGAGAAAGCCAATCCATTTCAGCTGCCCAGTTCGAAATTAGGGCTCTTAGATGGCCTCAAAATTCGCATTCATCTGCGGCAGATCAAGTGTTGACACACGATAATCTTCCACGTGGGACCATGATACAGTTCCAGGTTGGGCCTCAGGATATAATCGATGCCATCACTGCGATGCAAGAGGTCTTGGATGCACCAGCGGCTTTGAACGATAGCGAGAGAAGTTGAAACTGCTGATGAATTCTTCTTAGTGCTGTTGGAGAACAACTAGGTAATGGGCAAACGGCAGATTCTGTGATAAGATCATGTGTCTATAGCGTGCTATATTTACGAGAACTATTGGATTTTTTGTAGCGCTGATAACGAAACAAGTTTACGCATTCAATTGGTTTGGAAGTCCCTGGCGTAGCAACGTGACAGAAACCTGTAAGCAAGTGGAGCGCAATGCTCATCTATCAGTGGTTGCTTATTGCTACTATTGCTAATTATTAACACATGTTATAAATATTAGTATGTAGTCACGCCTTTTGATCATTTGAGATATGGTAATAAATATCTCATAAAACAAGCAAGGAAAGGTAAGCATGCAGACCAAAAATAAGTCCCCATAAAGTAACGCCAAGGAAGCCACCCCTCCCTTGGATAGCGGCAACCAAAAGGGCCCTGCCTAGATGGGCTCATTGGTGTGCTGAGATTTCAGTCTAAGGAACTGCTTGTGCATACATAGAAGCTCAGTTGGGCGCCGGCGAATTCTGGGTTATCCACACCCCTAGTATTGCGAGTACACTAGTGGCCTATGAATAGGTGGAATGGTTAGCAGTAGTAGTAGGTAGTTGCAGGTATGGAGTATCAGTGTGCAGGAAGCTGCGGACTTTTTGTGATCAAAAAAAGTAGAGTTACTTTTTTGTATGAGTTAAGCTTAGGTACCTAGTTAAAAATTTCTTCCTTCTATAAACTCCGTGCCTATACTACTAGTATATAGTAGGTAGGTATGTAATGCTACTTTTTGGAAATAAGGGGCAAAGAGTTGGCTGGCAACACAGTAACATGTATGAGTCAATAAAATGAACGACATGTGAATGCATGCGCGTGCATATGGTGGTGGAGGGGAGGAAGAGAGAGAGGCTGATGCCAAGCCGGAAGATTTTTCTTTGGAATTATGCTAGCGCTATCAATGGATCGAAAGGGGATTTCAATCAGGCAACATTTTCGACTTATTTTGAGATATGGACTTGACTTGTGATAGGCTTTTTTTGTTTTGATTTCCTTTTTCTTTTTCTTTTTCTTTTTTTTTTTTCTTTGCCAGGTGGACAGTATCGGTAGTAACAACCGTATGGAATGATTTATGGGCTCATGAGGCTTTAAGGTCGGGCTTTGTTGTCCATATCAAATGAGCATATGGAGCAATTTCAATCACATCATCTCAGCTTTGCTAGGATAGCGAGGCAGGTTGCAAAGATTGCGGAACATTTATCATGTGCTTGCTCGGAGGATCGCTGGATGGCTGGCAACGCGGAAGTAGGAATGTATCATTCGGAACCAAAGCCGGAGGCCCGGAGAGCTGATTAATAACACGCAAGTAATTTGGCCGCTGGCTGCCTGGAGCGTATTGCTGATGCTGATGCTCGCTCAATGGCAACCCCTTCTGCTGGGAGCATTCCACGATGGTGGTGGTAGTGCTTGGAAAGGCTAAGACGACGGATCCCTGCTTCTCCTAGTGGTTGGTGACATTTCTCCTACGCTAATACCCACAAACAATGCTACGGCCACATGGCACCCAAGTGTTATCTTACCTGCATGCAGGCCTGCTAGCAAGGATCATGCCAAGAAGGGGTACAGTACCATGACCTACCTGCTCTTTATTTGAAAGACTGGAAAGCCCAGACCTTGTTGGAGATGCTCCCAATAAGACCGTATTCCATAAGATGAATCCCACATGTTTATTGGCAGATACTAGGAGTAGTATAGCCCATACTCAGTCACTGCTAAAAGAGGAGTTACCAATGTATAAGTCGTTGCTACAAAATTAGCATTCTGCTGAATCCAGCTAGGCCTCCGAGTTTGGAGGATTAAGGGTCTTGTGACGGGGGCTTAATGTCCTCGTTATGGGTATTGATTCCTGGAAAGGCAATCGGTATCTCGTTCTAAATTGCTACGAGTTGGGGCGATTTGCCGATACGAGAGCTGGGATGACGCGAGACGATGCATCAAACTTTTGCTCCCTCGCTTCCTCAAGCAGTTCGGCATATCGTGTCTTGAGAAAAAAGCGAAGACGATGATAAGCCAGCGAACAAGACTCGTGTGTCCTGACTCGAGACACAAGCCACAACTTCAAAGCTCATGCGTATTCAACTGGTGGCTGAGGCCTGCGCTGTTTGGGTTGAAGTAGCAGACTTCGCCTCGCGGCAATGTGGCACCGAATTGCTATCAGAACGCCGACTAAGCGGGGAAAGGAAGGTCACCCACCGACCGCCGTCTCTCGTGGACTAGTGGCCCTCGTTAGTCGACCATCACTAGCAATGACACGATGACACTTCGAGCTGGTGTACGGAAGTATAGGAATGTACTCGCCAACATCTTCGGGCGTAGCCTGATTCATTCTTCGGATCCGGCGAGCAGAGGCCCATCCTCACTCTGGGGGAGGCGGTGGCAAAACGAAGCGCGGTACTCGGTCATGGAATTTTTTTGGAGCTTCTTTTTTTAGTGGCTGAAAACGGATGAAACCGCAGCACCCAGGCTAAGGACTGCATGTATAACAGGTAGTACTGTAAGGTAGTTGGGAGTAGAGACCTCGTATAATAGCCTTTTCCTCTCCGTGTATTTGGGCAAGGGGCATGCCGAACGTCAGAAGTCTGTCTTCAAGCTTGATTGTGGTGGCAACACACGATGGCGTTGATAGACTCTGTCGGAATATTATTCAAACCCCAGTGCAGCGCAGCGTTCTAGATATGTGCGAATTCGTCTCTTCGAGACTTCGATACCGCTCAGTGGCATATGTTTCACCTATGTAGGTATGTAGTCCTGCTGGTGTTACGGAGCATCTCGTCTTGGTAGGTGGTACTCAGATATACGAGATGTACGGAGCCGGTACGATCCATACGACCCCATTCTTTCTCTCGACACTGGCGCTGGCTTTGCATTAATGGCTGCACTAAAAGACAGAGGGTGGCCACCCCTGGCCTAGGCCCCGGCCGGTCAGCAACTAAACGACCCTGGTCGCCGTTCTCGTGCGAAGCAGTGGTCAGGACGTGTTTGATAAGACGGCGAAGCGCGGCGCAACGGAGAGCCTCATTGGCGAACTGCTAAGAGCAGGCGGAATTTCCAGCGGCATCGCAATATCCGGGGAAGCTGTGGGGAACTTTTGCCAAGGAGGGCGTAAACTAATCGGCAAAGGCGGGAATTTTCTCTGCCATAAATTAGTCCGTAGGCGCTTTTGGCAAGCCACAGAACAAAAAGTACCGGGAGAAAAAGCGGACTCGGGAGGCTCGCCCTCGCTGCTGCTGTGCTCTCGCAGATAGAGTCACAAGATTAGGGAACGGACAAATCTACTGCTGCAAGGGTTATGGTTATGCTGAATCAAGTAGCCGTGAGATCGGCGCCACCCATTCGTACAAGAAGTAGCACAAGCTCAACTGGCCACTGTTGTTGGGTTTCATCGAGTCTCGGTAGATGGCTGCTGAAGGCATCGACAAGACTCTTGGCAGCGCCATCATCGCAGATTCCCGAGTATGCAGAGATTCGTAGTCCCCCGCTATCTCTTGCCAATGTCAAATGCGTGTTCCTGGATTGGGAATCGGCGCCGCCACAACTCTGCCCATCCTGTTTTGCTAGTCCCTCCAAGAACACTAGCTGCAGTTGTAGCACGCACAAGCCAGAGAGAGCAAGGGGGCCCTAACAATGCACGCCCGCCGGAGGATTTATCAGTGGCAGCAGCGGCCATAACCAAAAGGGCGATATAGACCCGGAGCCAAGACGGGACGGACGCCAAGACGGCTCATACAAGACGATCGAGAGGCGCGATACGGCTTGCAGGAACTTCTGTTTCCATGTTGGACGGGAAGAAAGCAACGAAAAAGGAGGCGGTGACATCACTGGCTGCCTCTCGGAATGTTGCGATTCCTCGCTTTGATGCGGTTTAGCGACGGCTTTGCGACGAAAGTTTGGTCTTTGCAGCCACATCTTCAACAACAGGCTTTCTTTTTGATGGTTTTGAGTTTGTCCAGTTGGCGGCTGTAGCTTGTATCTATCTATCTGTCATTCCAAGGACGATGGCTCCGTCTCGCTGCGTTCATAAATCAAGCAGATATGGGCCCCCAGGGAGATATGGAGAACTTTCGGTGTTTTGCCACGAGAATGGATAGATGCGTCTCACGCTTGACAGGGTACCTTTGCAACTCGCGTGTACCCATCAGAGATAGTACCCTGGGGTATTGCTGGAGACACAATCGAGCCGCCAGCGCGGTACAAGCACACGCTGCTGTTGCAGCACTTTTCCGCATCTTTGACATGTATCAAGAGCTTGCTGTGCAGCTGCACGAGTGCGGTTAATTCTATGTAATTTGGTACATAGTACTCCGTACAACGATCCATCTCTCCACTTGCACCATTGCTGCACAGTAGCATTGCGTCTGAAGGTGTGTCGTGCGTAACAGCATCGTGTACGGTATCCGAGCTGCCTCGCTCTCTTCAACACCTGCAGCAGAAATCGCCTAGTCAGCCATTTAAATCAATTAGGTACTATCATTCTGCTGTCGTATGTTGACGGCCAACTCTAAGAGCTACGAGCTGTCAAGAAAGCAATTCTCCCCGCACGCCCGGCTGCGGTGCGAGTCAGTTCGCCTCTTTGCCTCCTCCACTCGTAGATAGGCATTAATCGCAGCAGGTCTGTTGTGTACGCGCAGGTGGCCTCTTCTGATCGCTGGCAGCCAGATGGCGAGATAGCACGCAATGTTGGACGAGTTCCCGATCTTTTTCTCCGCAATGAGGCCGGGAACAGCAATACAGCACGCCTCTCCTCTGACACGTGACTAGCTCCCATCTCAACTTGTACTCGCAAGTACCCTCTAATGCCATTAACCTTCTAGCCTTCGCTCTCGCCGTCCAATGGTTCACAACCACTTTGATGTTTTTGCCCCGGTCAGAGCCACAGCCGACGCTTGGGAAACGCCCCCCTCCCTTTTAGTATAACGCACAGCCCCCTGCTGCTCGTTTGCTGCTCGTTCTACTAGCTCGAGTTGCTGTAGCTAATAAGATCCGATTATCCGCCCAAATCCCACCATATAGAGTTGTTAGGTCGCCTCTACTGCTGGTTATCTGGTCAGTGAAGAGCAAAAGAACCCGACTTATCCGTCCGCAGGCCCTGGACTAGCCCTTGCGACGCCACATGCTTTGCGCTATTTGGCTTTCTAGGATCGACGTGGGTTTCCAGAATAACGCCTCCACACACGCCCGTCAAATTGGGACAAGGCGAGGCGTATCAAGAACTTTTGGTTTTCGCCTCCACAGCGTGCTCGTATGGTGTAGAACAGGCGGTGCTGGAGCCCAACTCTCGCGATGGCCTCTCCGTTTCTCCTATCGGCTGGGCCCTTTTGTGTGTCGCGCGGGGGTGGATACGACTAGGCATCACCGGATTGCCTCTGTCGCATGGCATCGCGAGATAGCCCAAGCCCTCCTCCGGGGTAAGCGGTCCGACTAAGCTGGCTCGCTCCCGATGGCTGAAGGATGAACAGAAGTTCTCAAACACCTGAGCTGAGGCGCTAGTGGCATTATCTATCATCAGGTTGGCTGTTGCAAATCATTGTGTCGGGGTTATCCTCGAGAGGTGGAGAACCCCAGGCCTTGCTCCGAAGACGTTTATGTAGGAGGGTTACATTTCCATACCAGCTGTCTCCTACCCCAGCCTCATTGATAAAGACCTACTCCTCCCACGTGTAACCATCGTTCTCTTCATTCCTCTCAGCTCATCCCCTTGAGTCCCCCTCACCTCTTATATATCCCCCTCCTCTCCCACAACCTCGACCTTGGTCGTTGTTGTTGTGTCTGTGTTCCCTTGGTCCTTCTCTTCTCTCTCTTTAATAATAGAGCTAGGGCAACCCCCCAACCTTCACCATGTCCGTCATCCAGCCCACTGGGGGCTTACAGCCAATTGCTATCGACAACGACATTATCAACAAGGCCATTGATAACGAGGCAGAGGAGCTCGACAAGCCCCAGATTCGGGAACGAACCTGGGGCTTCGCTGCCCGTGTCGACCCCACAGTCACCTTTGAAGAATACCAGTACTGGGCCAAGATTGAGCGAGAAGAAGAACACCAAGCCAACCTCACCTTCAAGGCGGAGCATGGCCCACGAACCGTGAAGAGTGTTTTCCTTGGCCGTTTCTCAAAGGGTATCCACCATGAGAACAAGAAGAAGGCTGAGGCTGCTGCTGCCAGCGGCACCGACTCTCCTCTTGATGAGAAGAACTCTGGTGTTGTCACTACCCAGGGAACTAGCACCCCCACCGAGGCGGAATGGAAGCAGGCTTCTCGTGCCATGCGAACAGCCAGTTGGGGTACCATGTTCTATCTCATCACTACTGATATCCTGGGTTGGTCATCAACTCCCTTCGTCTTTGCCAGTGTCGGATATGGCCCTGGTGTCGCTCTGTACATCATCTTTGGTGCTGCCGCTGCCTTCTCTGGCTACATTCTTTGGAAGGTCTTCCTTGGTCTCGACTCATCCCGCTTCCCCATGGTTTCTTTTGGTGACACCTACTTCCGAGTTTACGGACCATTTGCTCGCCACTTCATCAACGTCGCTCAGGCTATCCAACAGTTCATGACTGTCGCGGTTTTGATTCTCGGAAGCGGTACCACCATCGCCCAGTTGTCTAGTGGCAAGATTTGCTACATTGCCTGTCTCATCATCTTCATGGTGGTCGGCATGGTTTTTGGCAGTATTCGTTCTCTGCAACGTATCGGCTGGCTGGCTAACTTGTCCGTCTGGATCAACGTCGTCTCCTTCATCATCATTATGGTTGCTTGTGCCAACTATCCCATCGACTACCAGGCCGTTACCCTGTCCACCCGCGTCAAGGATATCGGACCTGTCGTGACATTTGCTGGTCCTCCTCCTGATCAGTACCAGCAGCAAGCTACCGGTTTCGCTGGCCAGTTTAACGGAATCAACCAGATGGTATACAGCTACGGTGGTGCCCTTCTGTTCATTGCTTTCCTCGCTGAGATGCGTCACCCTTGGGATTTCTGGAAGGGCATGCTTTGCGCCCAGACCTTCATCTGCGTTGTCTACATCTTCTTCGGTGCTTTCGTCTACGGCCACTACGGACAGTACTCTGCTTCCACCATCAACACCGTTATTCAGCCTTTCGCCCTGCAGACTGCCAACAACGTTTTGGGTCTGATCACAGGAGCTATTGCTTGTCGTAAGTATTATCTCTATAATCATTAGAGTTGTTATGTGAACAGTGGCTAATTTACATGTCTCTAGTTATGTACATGAACATCGGCATGAAGACTGTCTACGTTGAGGTCTTCCAGGAGATTTTGGGTCTTCCCCCGATCACCACCCGCAGGGGACGCTACTTGTGGTATGCCCTGGGACCCCTTTACTGGGCTCTTGCTTTCATCGTCGGTGCTGCCGTCCCCAACATTAACGGTATCTCCGGTATTGTCGGCGCTCTCCTGATCCTGAACTTCACCTACACCTTCCCTGCCTTCTTGTACATTGGATACCGCATCAAGGCCGACGCTGCTCTGCCTGGTGAGGGTTTCGACCCCGTAACTGGTGTCACTACCCGCCACGATTCCGGCATGAAGCGCTGGGTCCGTGGATTCAAGGTCAACTGGCACATTAACATCATGAACATCATCTACTTCCTTGGTGGTCTGGTATGCTCTGGTATGGGCTCTTGGGCTGCCATTGAGGGTCTTATCCAAATCTTTGGACCTGGAGGTACTGTCGCCACTTCCTTCGGCTGTGCTGTACCTGTGTAAATAATACAATATTTAATATCTTGCTCGTAAATAACTCTTGAGCCTATATACCACTTTTCAATTCTGAATTCAAAAAAGTTTGAGTCAATCAATTTCTGGAGTACCATGTGATTGTGTCTACGCAGCTGTTAAAGTGCTAGTTTTGCGTCATATGATTTGCCGAATATGGTCTTGAGTTGTTCTTCAGCTAATTTCAAAGTAATTTTGTCTATCAATCATATTTTTTTGCAACTTTTGTGATGGTTTCAGAAATTCCAAGTAGTGGAGCAACGCTACTGCTAGATCCTCGCTAGACTTGCGTGAGAACTGCATATACGATGTATACGAGGACCTTATTCTAACCTACTCTTATGAACCAGGTAGTGCCTGAAGCGCGTATCGTAATTCTGCTTACTGTACAAACTAGGCTTCTTATGCTACGCATATACTACCTCGATATATGTCCAGTCACTCAGGCGCGATACGCACTAGGCCGCTTCGCTGCACGCAAGCTCAAGATTTGAAGGGCTGAAGGTAGCGGTCACTACCGAGATGATGCGCCTTCCCCCCCCCCCCCCCCGATATTTAAATAGACCGAGAATTCCGTTTGATATCCTAGCAAGCTGCATTCAGATAGCTGCCAAGCCTGCTTATCTTACAAACCATCTTAACAATGCCAGTGCCACCCGGACGTCTTAGGCGTCAGTGGTAAGCAGCTAAGCCGGTGATAAGACGGAGGTGGTCAAATGGAAGAAAAGAAAAATGAATGATTATTCTATCATGAATTATGTGTCTGCTTACTTTTCGTTATGAAAAACCTACTAGGCGAGGATCGCATTATGGAAAGAGTTGCAGTAACAACCAAATGGAATGTCGAGAACTCCGTACGTAATACTAGGCGACTTTATCACAAACAGCAAATTCGAGCAAATGTTATATGTAAATCATGCATATTTTCTTACTTATTTTTGCCTCTACGACTACTACATTTCTCTTAATGAAGATTGCGAAGTGGTCTATGGGTTGTGTTGTATAGTAACACGCGAAGGCCGGGCTCGTGTTAGCATTGTAACCGCCTCTACGTATTCAAAGTTATCTTCACGATAATTGATGAAGAGTAGATGCGCTGCGACTTCGATTGTATTTACATAAACGATCTCAGTCAACTTTTATTATGAGATATAGTTAAAATATTTCGTAGGCAATATAACTTAGTTGCATATACACTGCTGCAGTCCCAGCAGAAACAAATAAACAAGCAAGCAAGCGACAAAGCACTAATAAACACCCTAAACTCCGTTGTACATCATAAACCTTGTCAGATACGTCATTTCCGCATAATGTTTGAGTAAGCTTCAGCCTACCGGAGTTCCATGTTGTTTGTACCGTTGAATAATTGGTTCCAGTCATACTGCACGTTCGTGTCTACAATCGTACACCAGTCCTGGCTGAGATCCATCTGGAAATCAAAGTCACTGAAAGTCGTATTCAAGAACTCGTTGGAACTAAACTCGATGGTGTTTGAGGGTTGGGGCAAGTAGAACGGTTCGCCCGGAATCTGTTTTGGCGGCAGCGAAGACAATTCCACCGTCGACGCAACACTTGGGCTTGCGAGAGTGGAGTTATTATGGCTACTGACGCTGCTGGTAATGGTATCAGCATTGCCGTTGGTGACTGTCCTTGTTCCTTGGCTGATGCGCAATCTTCCAAAGTAAGGCACCACAAGCGTGAAGTCGTCTTGCGCATTGTACGTGCCGTAGCTGGCGGCTACAAGTGTCTCTAGCACTTGTGCGCTCTGCCGCGCTACCGTACACTCCAGCAAACTATCTGTTCTTCTCAACTCCCCAATGAGGCTATCGATGAGCCGGTATTCTTCCGCGCAGTAAGGAACAGCTACTAGCGATCCCTCTGTGTTGGGCGACCCAGACAAGATTCCTAGAATGAGTGTGATGGCAGAGCTGAACATGGTGAAGTCCATGAGCTCACACTGGACGGATTCTGATTTGGGCGAACGTCGAAGACGAAGATAGGCCTTTATGAGCTCTCGACAAGCTTCCATGGTGGACAACCGGCTGTGCTCGTAGCGTCGATCGGTTTTGGCTTTGAGCATAAACGGCAGGTGGACGTGCTTGAGGGTTGAGTAATAGAATATTTGGGCTGCCTCTTGGGAATAGATGGCGGGCATGGAAAGACTGGGGTCGTATTCCCCAGCCCATTCCGGAGGGAAGTCCCTCTTCAGATCCTCCATATCCTGATCCAACTGCACGGTTGTCGCATAGGGACTTTCGTGTGAGTTTTGATTGCGATCAATGACACGTCCCATTATGACACATGTACGACGGAATACGGTTTGGGCGGGTAGAAGCATCTGGGTCATGGAAGAATCGTCTTTGGTTCCAAGACTGCTGACAGCAGAAGGGAAGCCAAGCATCATACACAACTGGCGTTCCATTTGCCAGGTTTGGGCCCACAGAGACTTCTTCTGGATACTCGCATTAGCATCAAGTCTATCCAGGCCGATGACGGTGGCAGCGCTGATGCCGTGGCGGATGGCCATCCAAGCTCTCTGCGGCCGGCCCATATTGATGAGGATTTTATGGAGGAGCAGGTAGCATTGCACGGCTTGTGGGCTCGCTTCGCCTTCCACAGCGAGGAGGACAAGGGCAAAGCGGATGTACGTGTCTATGATAACCTGCCGGGAGATGTTGGGAGATATGATGACGCGTTTCCATTGTCGGGGGAGCTGCTGAATGCAGAGGGTAAGGAAGAGGATTGCATTGCAGAAATCGACGCCGCGGCTATAGTTGAGGATTTGGCTCAGATACGCTTCAGCAACATCGAGGCTAGCGATGTGCATGACGTTGGAAAATTCGGGGCCGAAGTAGTAGGTCGGCCAGATCGGCCAGAACGATTTCGAGTCTTCGAGGATGAGACGCAGTGTCTCCGGGTCGGGAATAGGTGGCTTGAACGAGCTGATGGATTCTTTCATCAGGTAGGTCATGGACGGATCCTCGGGGTCGTCGTAAAGCTCGCCCTCAGTCTCCCGGATGAGCAGGGCATCTCGGAAGAGGTTAATCAGAGGCGCATCGACAGCAGTGATGGCCTTGTCCGCGTAGTCTGGCGGACTGCTGGACGACTCGTGGTCGAGAGACCCTGGAGAGAGGAGCGAGGAGGGAGGGCCGGAAGTAGGAACCTCCCCGATATTAGGAAGAACAGTATTGGGAACAGGATCAACAAGAGCAGCTCCGAAGTTGTAACTCAGCGCTGCGTCATTCTGTAGAAGCCCATGGTTCTTGAGGTTCGTTATAACTTGTATCGCCCTCGTATTGATATCCGCAGGGGTCGTCGAGGAAGCTAGGGTGGAAGCTGAGGTAGAAGAAGCTGCGCCAGAGGCAGAGGCTGAAGAGGCCTCGTCGTTCGGCTCGAGAGCATCGCAGAGGCTGCCGATGAGATCCTCGAGCTCGGCCACCCGCCGCCGCAGCACCGCGTTGTCGGCGGCCAACTGAGACACTGACTGTGACTGAAGCAGCCCCTGAACCTGCGCATGGCCCGGCCGGCCACCGTCTTTCGGACGCGGCTGCTGGGCCCGACACGGCGTTTGATGGAGCGAGCATCCGTGGCAGATGGAGCTGTTTTGCGGGAAGACGCACCGGACCTTTCGGCGACGGCATTCGGCGCACGACTTGGTCCCCAGCCGCATGCGTCTTGCGGGTCTTTGGTCCGAGAAGTCGTCCATTGTCTCCTGAGGCACCGCACAAGGCTACACGTAGTGTTGATTGTTTCGTCCGGGCCTTTCCCCGAAAGCCTGGGTTGTTATTAGTGCTACAAGTATGTTGGGAGGAGAATCCGCCCACCTGCTTGGCTGCTGGATGGCGCATCCATACTACGTCAAGCATGCGTTCATCTTACTAATGCCCTGAATGCTTGGAGCTCCCGGGTCTAATTGGTTAAGCAGCTATGGTTTTGGGTTTAGCCTCTGCCACAGTATCCGCCGATAGGGGGCGGACGAATTCGCACGAAGCCAATGAAGAGATGGAGCACCTAGTAGTATCGAAGAAGCAGAAAGGAATGCTCTACCAACGGCCCGGAACGCAGTCGGCATCTAAATTCGCTCTGATTCGGCTGTCTCTATAAGCATTAGATACCAGGTTACCACAGATGGAAGTTGCTGATGCATGCGATGGGGCAGCTGCTGGATTAATTTGACTCGTGGCCCTGGGATTGCAACATGTCATTGGATGGAGCAATCTAAGAAATCAGTTACATAGCTTAGTTATTCGGAATTGCTAACCGACTATATGGAATATTCGACTACATCAAATTAATAATGCTTCATAATGTGCTCAAAGTGTTGTTTAAAAGCCAGGTTCTTCGACAAGTTGAATTATCTAGCATCGCAACTCAGTTTACTCTTCGATTAGTGACTTGATTCTAAATTGCATAAATCAGTTTCCCAGCTTTTCAAAACATCAATTCCTCAGCTTCTTCCAAAATGGCTACTTCTCTCGCCGCTGGCCTTCAAGCAATCTCTAGCTCTATGACAAACATGCCCGAGGCTACCGCGAACATCATCTCGGAAGCCAGGGAGAATGTCCAGAAACAGTTCGACGTCAAGTCTACAATTCAGCCTGGCCAAGTCCTCCCGGAATTTGTTCTCCCTGACGCTCGTGGGGTGCCCGTCAGCAGTATTGACCTTCTGGCTAAGGGGCCAGTCCTAATTACTTTTTACCGTGGCGGCTGGTGCCCCTTTTGTAACCTTGCATTGAGGGCTTATCAACAGCGCCTGGACGATTTCAAGGCGCGAGGCGTTACTCTAGTGGCGATTACGCCGGAACAGCCTGATGCATCGCTTTCCACCACGGAAAAGAATGAGCTTAAGTTCCCTGTGTTGACTGACAATGGCCTTCAACTTGCTCGAAAACTGAATATTACCTGGGAGCAGCCAAAAGATTTGGTAGGCGTTTTGAATGGCTTCGGGGCTGATCTGGAGAAGCGACATGGCAATGACTCGAACGAAATGGTAATTCCGACTACATTGCTGGTTGACCAGAAGGGCGTTGTTAGGAATGTTTATGCGGAAGCGGATTGGACCCAGAGACTGGAGCCTCAAGAGGCAGTGAACTGGGTGAATGCGCTATAACTGCAGGAACATTGGAGATGGCATAAGACATGTATCTAGCATCTTTATCAACATCCGGCATCTGATGCTAGATTTATTCGGAGAGAATATTTGATACCACTCCATAGAGCGAAATAACGTTGAGCGACTCTCGATGCTAGCGGATGACTAAGTGAGAATCTGCGTGTAAGTGGGCTCAGGTGCTGGCACCACCGTAATAGTTGCAACAGGCACCGCCCTTCTGTCTAGCTCTATTGGCAAAGACCAAACCACATCTTATCGAATGTCCCGAGCGTACATAATGGATCATTGATTGCTCGTGCATAATACGAAGCTTGGCGTGGCGCGGAGCACAAACCCCCAAAACCCATGCAAGGCACTAACACCCGCAACACCATATACTGACAGGCACAAGCGCCAATTCTAACTTTGTAGCATATCAACTCGTCTGTAGCATCTGTTAGCCGTATCAATGGCTTTCTCTGCATGCCAAGCGCCCTTAGATTAGCCACCGCGGTGCCATTGGGCGAACGTCTCGTCAGACCCCTGACTGTTTGGAGCGGATTGGCTGGCGCCAGGTCATCTTTTTTTAAAATCCTGCTTCCCGCGTCGGCGGATCGAGCGATCCGGCGGCAAAGTTGGGTATAGCTCTGAATAGTGTTCAGCTGCGCCCTGAAGCTGAGAGACGTTGTGTTTACGTCTTGCAGCTCAAGCCGATTTCTGTTTTCTTTTCTTTCTCCCCTCTGCTGTATCTGATTTCTCTCCATCTTTTTCGTTCTGTTGTTTACTCTCTTACTCACTCTTTCTTTTGCGTTCAATCTGGTCTTTTTGCTGCATTGAATTTGAGCTCCGTCCGCTGTTTTGTCCTTAGGTCGCGTATTTTCCTCGATTTAGACAGGATAGAAGAGTTCGCGAATAAAATCGCATTGCGCGTGCATCTTATTACTGCAGAGTGATCTTGCATTTATCGCATGCTTCCGACAATTTACCACGACGAGAGAGCCCTGTAGACGATCTGAATCGGACTCAATTCATTGCGGTTTCATCGTCAATCTCAAATCCCCGGCCCCACGTCGGAACCGATCTTAACAAACCCCTGCTATCTGGCTAGGAAGAAGAGGAAGAAACGCACTCATTGCTGAAATCATGACCAGTTTCGCACTGCTTCAGCTCTTCCTGCTTGCGGGCTTTGCGAGCGCCTCGACTTCCGATAAGCGCGGTCTCGTTTTCACGCCCAACCCAGCTTATCCCGCAGACAACGAGGTTTGGGTGCAGTCTGGCAGCGATTTAACATGGTACTACAATTACCAGGCGCTGCCCTCATCTCCTTATAACACCTCTCTTTCACAGCAACAGTTCGAGTTTGTGCCGATGATGTGGGGTGTGTCAAGCAATCTCAGCGACACAAATTTCTTGAACCAAGTGAAGACGCTCATTAAGCAGGGCACCAACATCTCGCATGTCCTGGGCTTCAACGAGCCAGATGGCTCAACTAGCACCGGCGGAAGCGGCATTAGTCCCGCAAACGCCGCGACGGCCTGGGTCGCCAATTTTGAGCCTTTGGGCAAGATGGGCATCAAGCTGGGCCTGCCGGCGTGTACAGGAGGACCTGATAGCTTGCCATGGCTGAAGCAGTTCCTGTCAAATTGCTCAGCGCTTGTTAGCACGGATAATCAGAAGAAGAACTGCACTTTCGATTTCTTGCCCGTGCACTGGTATGATAACTTTGCAGGCTTGGCATCACTTATTGGGGAGAGGAGAGCGACGTGAGTTTTATTTAGCCCTATTTTTCGAGACATGGACAACAATTACCGTCAATTTATAGGATACTGCTAACACAGTCGACTAATAGATGGCCCGACACCGATATCTGGGTGACCGAATACGCATTTGCGAACCAAGATCTGCAAACGACGCAGGAATATTTCAACCAGACGATCGATTACTTTGACAAGTTGGATTATATTGCCCGGTATACATATTTCGGCGCCTTTCGCTCCAAAGCCTCGAACGTCGGGCCCAACGTGCCGTTTTTGAACAATGCTGGAAAGCTGACGGACATTGGAGCCTGGTACCTTGGTTTCTCCGAGACGAATGTCAAACCCACAAGCTCAGCATCCTTATCGACGGGAATAGTGTCTAATTGGATAATTTTAGGAGTAGGATTAATGACGGCATGCATTGGTGGATTGTTGTGAATATGAATTGGGTGACTGAGCATTGAGCGTGACGATATATAGACGTAGATGGATCTAAGTAACTTATGGAATCAGAGGGGGGAAGTCAGCGCATTATTGTACACACATGTATAGGCATATAAATATAGATAGATTGGTAATTGTTTGCATTTAGAAAATAATACATTTGGCTGCTCCAATTCGCCTCCTGTAATATCTCTACAATTGGCTTTATGCTTGAATAATATTCGACTCATTACGACTTTTGAGGCTTGGACATCTATCCACATCTGCCTAGCGTCAATACAACTCCATCGACATGCAACTTATACCTACTATATGATGCACATCAATGGTCTGCACTACTGAGATTAGGTGGCTTGCGTTGAAATAACTCCATCGTCTAAACTTCCGTTGCCATTCCCCGTGATTCATGTTTCTCCGACCAACTCGGCCCCATCGTCGCCCGACTTCAACACTTCCGAGTGGCGCAGCAATACGACGCCGAGAATCTCCAACCGGTTTTCGCCACTCTCCCGGCCGGAGGGTATTAAATCGCCCTAAGAGAAACACCTCCTAAAGCCACAGGCGCTCCGGTGAACACTTGTCGCCGCCCATCCTCTGGTGGCTTCGGCTCTACTAGCTGCATGTAGTTACTTATCCACCAAGCCATAAAACAACAGCCCATTCAGTGAGTTAGTCAGTGCTATTATTTCATCACCACTCAACATACAGTCTTTAGAGCCTTGGCACGCTCATGTTTGGCCAACCAGAATGTCTTGACTGCTCTCGTTTCCATATCCCTTCCAGAAACAACAGAAATATTCGCCACTATTCATCATATTGCCAAGATTGAACGAAGTGAATACGGAATAGCAAGACAGCTTGGCAAAACTCCCCCACCTCTGGGCAGGGCCCCCATTGGTCGGCTGCGGAATAAGCTTAGGCGACATAACCTTAATAAATCACCTGTACTTGATAACTATATCTTGGCGGAATGACGGCCAAGATCAATGGTGAGACTTCCGTTACTTTGTTCTCTCTTCTGTGTACTTTAATCCTTATACATCGCTACCATATTCTGGGGAACGCGCGTTGCCAAGATGGGAGTGGATATCGAAGCTTCTTGGCTGTTTCTTGGAAGAAGCCTGGAAAGTGCGATTTATCATCTTCGGAAGTGAATGACGAGTGTCCTCGGAAGTAGTTGTATCTCAATGATCTGAGACACTGCGTGCTGCAGTGGTACCAGAATAGACTTCAAAGCTTATTACGGCATGGCAAAGAAGATGAATCCCGTTAGCTATAGTTGGAGACGATTATAACATGAAAATGGTCGTCCAGTAAGCCACAATCCACCATTATGCCGGCGAAAGCATCTCTGTCCAAGCCTCTCCTCTCCATGACCAGCGCCAAGGATACACTAGCCGCCGAAGAGACCCGCCGTCGATAACGGGCGTCCTACGAAGGCGAATGTAGTTCCTCATGATGCCGATACTTTTTGTCCATGGCAAATCTCCAATCAAGACAAGGTATCTTCTTGACATGAGGAGTACTTATATCAGGTAACTTCCCCCGGCACCCCGCAAGTTGGAACGTCAGTTCAAGTCTTTTTTGACATTCATTGTTCACATCAATGTGAAACAGGTGACAGTGCCATCAACGCTCTTTATCTTCTGTATTCATCTATGTTCGACCTTATTACTATCCTTCACTTTATATATAGCAGCCCGAAGCCCTGATGGCTGAGTTCTCCAAGCATCCTTTCTTGCTCACCGTCAAGGAGACAGAAGAAGCTCTCGGAACCAATGTCGATAGGGGACTCGCCTCGGAGCAGGTTCCAAGCCTGCAGTCGAGATATCCCAAAAATGAGCTCGACGTCGGCGAGACTATACCATGGTATAGTATCCTTGCTAAGCAAATACTCAATGCCATGATCATTGTGAGATACTTTTTCCCCCTTTCTCGTCGCTTGTAGTACGTACTTGCTGGTCTGACCAATGTCTCACTAGGTTCTTGTTTTTGCTATGGCTCTCAGTTTTGGTATCCAAGATTACATTGAAGGCGGTGTTCTTGCCTGCGTCATCTTTCTCAATGTTACTATCGGCTTCTGGCAAGAGTACCGCGCTGAGAAGCGCATGGATGCTCTTCGTGCCTTGTCTTCTCCCAGTGCCATGGTTCTCCGTGATGGTAATACTCAAGTTATTCCCAAGTAAGTGTCATCTATTACCGCTATTCAGTATAGGCGATTGATCATTAACCTCATTGGACAGCTCTGAAGTCGTCCCTGGAGACATCGTTCTATTAAAAATGGGAGACACCGTCCCAGCAGACCTCCGCCTCTTTGAAGCCATGAATCTGGCCTGTGAAGAAGGACAACTTACCGGCGAGTCTATCCCCGTCGAGAAGACCACCGAGAACAACATCACTGCCCATGAATCCGATACGGTGGCCACATCCGAAGGCGAGGTTGGAATCGGCGACCGCACCAACATGGCCTACGCCACAACTGTTGTCCAAAAGGGCCGCGGCCGCGGAATCGTTGTCGCCACGGGTATGTCTACTGAAGTGGGCAAAATTGCCGCCTCGACAGCAAAGAAGAGCCGCAAGGCTGGTCGCTCGATGAACTGGCGCAAGTACGGCAAGAAACAGCCCGTTGTCGGCCTCTCGAAGCGCATCTACGATTTTGTAGGAAAATTTCTTGGCCTGACGGTGGGCACACCTTTACAACGGAAGTTGTCAGCGCTGGCATATGTGCTTTTTGGCTGTGCTGTGGTTCTAGCCATTATCGTCTTTGGTGTGAATGGCTTCAATATGCGGCATGAGGTTATCATCTATGCGACTTCACTGGGAATTGCCATTATTCCCGAGTCCCTTGTCGCGTATGTTCTATTCTTCCAATCCTTCCCGCATCTTTTCTTTCCCTTTCGAAACTAACTCTTTTACTAGTGTTTTGACAATCACCATGGTCGTTTCTGTAAGCGTCATGAGCAAATTCAACGTCCTTGTTAGAGATCTCTCTGCCCTCGAAGCTCTCGGAGGCGTCACCAACATCTGCTCCGATAAAACAGGAACGTTAACTGAAGGCGCCATGATCGTCCGCCAAGCCTGGATTCCGTCATCACACGTCTATACCGTCCACGACTCTCAGAGTCCAAATGATCCTACAAAGGGACGCGTGGTCCACTCCGAAAGCCAAGACGAGATTCAACCCCCGCTGGAGCCTATCAATGAGAAGTCGCGCGACTACGACAATGAGCGAAGTGCTGCCGTGCTCAAGTTTGACGTCCCAGACGAAAAGCTCAATACCTCGTCGGCGGCGAAACAGCCACAAGTCCCAGAGCCAGAGGCCAAGATGACGGATCAACTTCGCGCATTTCTACTTTCCTCTGCGCTCTGTAACCTTGCCACTGTTAGATATGACAAGGACGAAGAAAAATGGCAGACCACTGGAGAGCCAACTGAGATTGCGCTACAAGTCTTTGCACATCGCTTCAACCACGGCAAGAAGAATCTCGAAGGCCAGGGTTGGAAGCAAGTCGCCGAGTTTCCATTTGACAGCTCTATCAAGCGCATGTCTGTCATTTACAATGCTCCCGAAGACGAGGAAAACTCCATTGTCGACTCCCAAAACAGCATCGTCTTTACCAAGGGCGCGGTGGAGCGTGTCCTTGATCTATGTGCCTTTGTAGGCATTGGCGAAGGCCAGCAACCCATCAGCGAAGAGTTAAAGGAGTCCGTCCTGCAGCAAATGAACTCTCTCGCGTCACAAGGCCAGCGAGTTCTTGCCGTAGCATATCGTTCATGGGAAGGCAAATTTACATCAAAGCAGTCAAGCTCAAGCTCTGCCGAAGAAGACGAAAAGCTGCGTTCAACAGTTGAACAGAACCTCGTCCTTGTCGGGCTCGCCGGCATCTACGATCCTCCCCGTCGGGAAACCAAGGCTTCCATTTCAGAGTGCTCCAACGCCGGCATCAAAGTGCACATGCTCACTGGCGACCATCCCGAGACGGCAAAGTCTATTGCTAGAGAGACGGGAATCATTCCTAGAAACCTTGGCATTTTGCCCGAAAGTGTCGCTCAGTCCATCGTGGTTAAAGCTACAGATTTTGATAAGATGACAGACGCAGAGATTGATGCGCTGGAAGAACTTCCACTTGTTATTGCTCGCTGCGCTCCAGATACAAAGACACGTATGATCGAGGCGCTGCGCCGCCGTGGAGCCTTCATGGCCATGACCGGCGATGGGGTCAATGATGCACCATCCTTGTCTCGCGCTGATGTCGGCATTGCCATGGGCTCTGGCTCTGACGTTGCTAAATCGGCGGCCAAGATCGTATTAACAGACGACAAGTTCAACTCCATAGTGGCAGCCATTCGCGAGGGACGACGCATGTTCGACAACATTCAGAAGTTCGTCTTGCACCTGCTCGTATCCAACGTCGGCGAAGTACTCCTTCTCGTCGCAGGACTCGGCTTTGTCGACGACATGGAGTTCTCTGTCTTTCCCATTTCCCCTTTACAGATCATCTGGATTAACATGGTCACCTCGTCATTCCCGGCATTCGGCCTTGGTCGGGAAGCTGCTGCTCCGGAGGTTATGCGCAAGCCGCCGCAGGACAAACGCCGAGGCGTCTTCACAAACCAAATCATCGTGGATATGATAGTATACGGCATTCTGATGGGTGCGTGCACCCTCTGCACGTTCTGCATCATAATCTACGGTGCCAACGACGGTAACCTCGGCATTGACTGCAACACCAAATTCTCTGATGCCTGCATTCCGGTGTTCCGAGCTCGAGCTGCCACTTTTGCGGAGCTGACCTGGCTCATCCTTATCTCTGCATGGGAATTCAAGAGCCTGCGCCGATCCATGTTCCGCCTGAACCCCAGCGACGACAGCTTCTTTCCCTTCTTCAAGGACGTTTACAGCAATAGATTCCTCTTCTGGTCCGTCATCATCGGTAGCCTCTCCGTCTTCCCCGTTGTCTACATACCATTCTTGAACACCAGGTTTTTCAAGCACACCGGCATCTCCTGGGAGTGGGCGCTCTCGGTGGGATTCACCTTGGTCTTTGTCACGGGCGTGGAGCTATGGAAGCTGGCCAAGCGGAGGTTCCGGCTTCTGGAAGATCGAGCCGTGCAGAGGGGCCACTGGGGACAAGGGGGTCCGGAAGATGGCGAGCCGAGATTCAAGAGGACGTTTTCGCTCTCAAGTTTCAAGACATGGGCGTCGTTCTCGAAAAGAGAGACAGGGGAGAGCAATACGCGGACGAATACACAAAGTCGCTCAGCAGATGTATAAGGAGGTTGTGGTCCGATTTTTCTGTCAACATTTCCATATAGTATCATAAAATCGAGTCATTTAGGGGGGAGATTATCAGAGCATGAGATATTTTAAAAAAACATATGCTGGGATGCCATAGAGGCATTTATTTTGCGTTAGTGACTATTATTAGGAGCTGAGCTGAGCCTGAGAACAGACGAAATTTGGCAGCAAACGTTCCATATGTACGTCTTATAGCATGATGGCAGCATCGGGTCAGCACCAGACTTATCAATATCCTAGCCCGTAGTCTACATAGTAATCAAGCAAATGATACCACACTCGTGGGCTGGTGCATCACTTACATATTTCTGGAAGGGGGGTCGAAGGTCACAAAGCCAATCACCCCTGTTACCAGTCAACATGAGCAGCGAGACACGTGTGGTGGTCGTCCAGATCCGGCAACCATGGAAGCAGCAAAAAGGCGGTAATATATTTCGAGTGGGACGATACCCTGGTCTACGTGGGAAACGAGCGCGGGGCAGTCCAGGCGATCCAAACACTCACAGTGCGGGCATTAATAGTTTCATGTTGTTAGCCCGAACAGGAAAGTAGACGCCCTGACTAGAGGTATGTGCAGGTGCACAGGGCAAATGACTCTATATTCAAGACATAATTACGCCCAACACCATTCTATTGTAGCGGCATTGCTGTTCAAGAGCAGTATAGTGAGTCAGAGTAATCAGAGTAACAATTAATATCATTCCACCTCGACATCTCTAGGGATGCCCAAGCTATCTAGAGTTATTATTCAAAAGCACGAAACATTGTAAAGAGACGGTTACAAAGAGGGGTAAGGTGACAATACAGGCTGAAACTGTATTAATCGGTCAAGTTGTAAATCTTCTGAATGCCACCCAGCATCTGCTTCATGTCGACCTTCAAGTCCTTGATTGAGCCGTCTTCAAAGTTGAAGACCCAGCCGTGGATGATGGGGAATCGGTTCGTTTCAAATGAGTGCTGCACATCTGCAGTCTTGACGATGTTACGGCACTGCTCGATGACGTTGAGCTCTACCAGGCGGTTGTATCGCTGGTGCTCGTCGGCGATGGAGTCCAGCTCCTTCTCGTAGATTCTGTAGACGTCGCGAATGTTTCGCAGCCAGGGGTTGAGCAGGCCCATGTCTTTGGGTGTCATGGCAGCCTTGACACCACCGCAGCCGTAGTGGCCGCAGACAACAATGTGCTTGACCTTGAGGTGGTTCACAGCATAGTTGATGACGCTCATGACGTTGAGATCGGTGCTGATGACCATGTTGGCGATGTTTCGGTGGACAAAGGCCTCGCCAGCCTCAAGGCCAGTGATTTGCTCAGCTGGAATGCGGGAGTCACTGCATCCGACCCAGAGATACTCGGGCGACTGGCCAGCAGCCAGACGAGTAAAGAACTCTGGGTCTTGCTGCAGCCGGTCAGCGGCCCATTTCTTGTTGTTCTCAAAGAGGCGCTGGTGGTTTTCGCGCAGGTATTTCTCGACATCGTGGTCGTCTTCAGCCATGCCGGGCAAACGAGGAGGAATCTTGACTTTAGCTGTGCCAGAAGGATTGGCGGATGAGGAGGAGGAGGAAGAAACTGAGCGGCTCCCTCCAGTATTTGGGCGACGAGCCGGAGAGAAGGTCAGGGAGGACGGCCGGTGACCAACCCGGGGTCGAGACGCGGCCATGCGCAGGGGCTGGCCTCCAATTCGACTCGGCAGCATCGCGTCTGCTGGAAAGGTGGCGAGACGAGAGATGAGAGAGGGCAGGGGGTCGGATGATTATCCCGCGGGAGTGAATGCCGTGTTCGCGTGAGTCCAGATACGGAAGTGCAAGCTATTGCTGCTGCTATGCGAGCTCCTGGCAACACTGCTAGCTCAGGGGATGAGGTGTTTTCCTGCTGCGTCCGCGGAAATTGAAGCTGAGGCCAGAACGTTGAGGGCGCACAACGAGACCCGGCAATTCTGTCAGAAATGACGGAGCTATATCTGAAGATGAAAAAGTTGGAGGTGAGGGGCTTTGAGCCCAGGAATGCCCGCGGTGCTTTATCTGCTAGCCGATCCACCCTGCCATATCCCTAGAGATGGGGGCCGCAGCGCTCCCGGCGCCCTGGAAGGCACAGCTGGGTAAGCTTTTGCCATCTCCACTGCTGCAATCGGCTATCTGGCTGAGTATCGGCTTGCAATCTCTGTGGTGCAGATTTGGGCTAGCACAGATCCGTGAATAAGCGGCGACATCCACTGATCGCTCTCGGGATGCCATTTAGGCTGATTATGCAGCGAGATGCAGATGAATAAGAAGAGCGAGACGGACAGCTGTTGAAGCCCAAGTGGCGGGTTGACAAAACAACGACTTCAACTGCATTTGCCGCAACGCCCGCTCAGAGCTGGCTGCTTCTGCTTTGGACCAAGAAAACGACTCAATCCCTTCTCTGTAAGTATGAATTAGCCGGTGTCATTCATATTACGTAGGTTAGTAGGTATAGCCCATCACGCTAAGACGAGCCACCTTTATCTCTCAACAACTTGAACTCTTTCATTGCTGCATACTGTATCACCATAGCACAGTATGTGTTATTATTCCCTCGGCTATCGCTCTTAACAATTCTAGCCTGCTACTAACCTAACCTAATTGGTAACTCTTTGTATAAACAGGTTTAAATATAGGGGCTAATCAGACACTCAAGAATCTCTCAATTCAAATGCACCCGGTCGAACCAGACATAATCGTCCAGCTTATCCTCAAACCATACCCCCAGTCTAGCCGCAGTGCCGTTGTCAAATCTGAATTCAGCCCTCAATATCATAGCAAGACCACCCACCACCTCCCTCTGTATTGCAATGTACTTTGTTTGCTCGCATACATGGCGCAGCTCCAGGGTAAACACGTAAGACCGATCCGAGCAATCAATAAACAGCTGCCCGTCTTTGATCTCTACGACCAAGCCGCGCCAGCCAGGGTTCCAGTATTCGCCTGTGTAAGCACTCAGAGGCATCTTCTGGGGCTCTGGCTCCTTGATGCCGGGACAGAGCTTTTGTCGCTCCTCTTCTGCCTCCTTCTCCTCATCTTCGGCGTCTTCGTTGTCGTTCTTGCCGTATTCTTCATACTTCTTATCCGTATACTTTTCGTACAAGACCTTGTCCCAGTTGAGTCTTTGGTCCTGAGGCAAGCCTATCAATTCATCCAGAAGCTCCTGCAGCAAGACATCTCCGATATAGCTCGCATCGTCGGAATTCCCAAAGATGGCGCCTCCAAACTTAAAATCAGGGATGAAGAAATGAATAGTAGACGAACCGGCTATGCATCCATTGTGGGCAACAACCAGGTGTCCGCGGTAATGATGCGTCTCCCATCCAGCCGCATACAGCAACGGCGATGTAAAGGGACTTAGCTTTTCGTAGTCTAAGTCTACAATAATTCGCCCCTTGATGAGTCCCTTGTAAACATCCTCTGTAAACGGCTCCTCCTGGTTCATCAGAGCCCTAACGTACTTGACATAGTCGTTAACGCTTGTAATGACCGAGCCAGCGCCTTGGCCTTCGGGGGCGTCCGGAATGACAAACTCGGAGTACTTCTTGGCCTTTTTATCCCACCAGTGTCCGGGGCTGATACGATCTCCGAGGCCCTTGGCCCGCGCTCGCTCGGGTTGGAGGTTACTCGAGGTCATATTTAGCGGCTTGAAGAAACGATTCTCGAGGAAATCGGCAAAACTGATTCCAGATTTTTTCTCTACCAGATACGAGGCGGCAGAGAACATCACATTGCAGTACATAAACTTGGACCGAATCGGAGCAGCAGTCGATAGATTCCGCAGATTTCGTGTGATGGATTGCGCATCATCTGTGTGTTTAGCCCGAGGCCCCAGATACGAATTATCGTTACTTCAGTTTTTCATTTCAGCATTGCATTAGACAAATCAAACAAAGACCTGGAATGTACTGACGGCGCCATCCCACTTCTGTGACTAAGAATGTCCTCGACAGTTACGCCCTCATAGCCCTGGCCGGGCATGACAAATTCACCGGGCAACAGATTGGCCATCTCAGCCTCATAGCTGACCTCGGGGTATTTGTCATCGGCAACCAACAGAGCAACGGAAGCCGCGGTAAGAGACTTGGAAGCGGATGCAATGTCGAAAAGGGTATCTGTAGTCATTGGCTTGGGCGGATCGAACGAAGCCACACCAAAAGCCTTGGAAGCAGTGACATCTTTGTGTACAAGTGCTATAGCGAGACCAGGGACATGATACTTGTTGATGAGGTCCTCTACATGGGACGAAAAGGCGGGAGAATTGAAGAGATCCATGAGATCTGAGATTGACTTGTTGGCTTCACTTGACTAGTAAATTAGTACTGAAACCACATAAAATTGAAAAGAAAAAAAAAATTGAAATATAGTTGAGGAGAGTGGACAGTCTGGCATATACATATTTGAAGTTTCAAGCTAGAAATCACATTAAAGCTAGTGGTGATGCTCTTGCATTGTCATAACCCGCCTGTTTACTTAGCACTGCCCCATCCCCACGCCGCAAAAAGTCGGGGTATGACTCTAAAGAACGAGAAGGTTACATGATGATTCGCTCCGCCATTTCCATGCAAATCCTAAAAATGGGGCTACTAGAATTAGATTGACTCATCCTGCACTGCCATCGCTGAGATGATAAGCTGCGACAAAAAAAAAAAAAAACACAGTAGCATGATTAGTTAACAATTCACTCGAATTTTTGTGTCATGGCAACAAACACCAATTCCTCCACTCCCAAGTTTCCACAGACAATTCGATAATCTTACGCGGCCAGCTGCCTAATATCATTAGAGCCAAGCGATCTAGTAATCTAAGTTCCTTCTCATCTACATGAAGATAGATTGCTGGAGTAGATGGTACCGTAGCCAACTACCGATCCAGCTCCTTTAAACTTAAACGGATCTAGCTTTAACCTCGATGAGTAGCCGCCGCGCAAATTAGTCAGGGGAGTCAATGGTAGTGAATTAAGCGATTGTGTCTATAAAGAGGGGATCACTATAAACGCTGGATGAGCTTTATGGTTAGCCAAGTTCAGCGGTATCATCCATGTCTCTGGCGAGAGCTAACATTATCGCTTGGTAGCAACGTTTCACTCCTCGATCCTTCGACGGCACAACAGAAAAGAGGAGAATCCGCCGTGGTATGCAATAATGTCGCCGAGCCAGGCTACGGAGACTAAAGTTCAATTTGCCACCTTCTCCACGATCCAGGATATGAAATGTTGCATCGATTTCAGTTTCAGCGGCAACCATGTCAATATACTCTAGGAGTTGGAAGCACAGCACGCTGTTCTTCCCGCGAAATCCGTTTCTCTCATAATATGTGCTTACCCGGGTCCTAGGGACACCCGAGTAAGGGTGGAAGGGGTAATTTTGAAGCAGATTGCCAGTACTGCTGGCAATATAGCGATCACTAGTGAGTGTGGTGCGAAATAGCTGTTGTAATAACTACCATTTATTTATGACTTTAGATACTCCAACATTTCTCCTCAGTGGCCAGAATGATATCAGTAAGGACAAGATCTTTCATGGAGCTCTATACAATGACCAAAGGGACCAATCAACCATAATAGCCTCCTAAATCATCCATACAAAGAGATATTGGACATTGTACCCCCTCTGAGCTACTTTGCTTCTTATCATGGAGCTAGGAAGCGGTAACTTGGATAATCTTAAAAGAAATGGCTCTGTTTCGTGAGCAAAAATTGGAATTAGTGTAAGCTAATGGTGAGCAACAGTACCAAAGACTGACCTGAATTTAGTGATTAAATATCTTCAATATTTAATCCGTGACACCGCTGCAGCCCCAGTCGTGTATGCAGCAGTCTCGGAACTGCTCCCAGAGGGCGCCTTCAACCCAGCAACCATTGTCGTGGTTATGCACCTCGATCTTGTCACAGCACTTCGAGGTCGCTTGGCCCTTGTATGATTCTTTTGGGCAAGTATTGGCGTTTGAAAAACACCAGGTTGCAGTTGAAGGTGCAACGAGGGAAATCAACCAAATGGCAGGTAGGAATTTCATGGTGGGTTAAGAGCAAGAATGGGCTTCTTAGATAAAGCAGCGATTTATAATAGTAGATGAGAAGATAGTGAATTATGCTGCTAGATGCTGTGGGATTTATCTCTCTGTATATGCTTTTATTTTCTTTCCTAGCTTCGTTTCTAGAATGGTATTATCAAGAATATTCAATCACTAAATATGTCATTACTATATAAAATGACGTGAATTATAATCCTGTGTATTTCTTCCGAAACTGTATATCCTGTAGTCCTAAGAATATGTTACATTTGTATCACAAGGAAAGTAAATCCTGGTGGAGTAGTAGGACCAATAGGACAGGTGAGGAAAAGATTTGCTTTTCTCACCGAAACCTGTCTTGAATGTCAGTAATCCTACGTCATAACGGCAGAATGGTTCTTGAATGTCAGTAATCCTACGTCATAACGGCAGAATGGTATTTATTACCAGCCCAAAATCTACTTTCTCATCGTCTTAGCTTGTTTCCATTAACAGTGAGCTTTTTCTAGTAAAACTGTATATACGAGCGGTCATGAATTTAGCACTTTAAAAGCCCTATTAGCTCCTGTATTAAGACTACTTAGTAATCTTGACAAAATGTTTGTAGGCTACTCAGCTGGCCGAAGGAACGGCTGAAGGAATATCTAACTGTTGTTCAATTTTAACACCACTCGCCGAAGGAAGAGCCGAAGGAACAGCCGACTGTTCTTCGATTTCGTAATATGCCGCTGATTTTATCTCAACGCCATATTAAATACATATACATATACATAAAAAAAAAATAAAAAAAAAAAAAAGAGAAAGAGAAAGAGAAAGAAAACAAGAAAGAAAAAAAGAAAACTAACAGAATGATATAAGGTACCAGTGCATTACCTGATTCTATGCCGTAGAAATTTGCCGCTTAGACACCTGTTCAACGCCACCTCCCCCGCCATCCCTTACACTTGAAAGAGTAACCTCCGTCTAGCGCAAAGATGGCACGATCAATAGTGTTTACAAAGATGTTTAGCTAAGCCTGATGAATCATTATATGATTCACTGACTGTGACTCACGTGTCACGTCAAAACACAATTTGGCTATTTTGGTGGCAGAGAACAGGAATAGCAATGTCAAGGCCCAATGGAAACCCAGGGTGGCGGAGATGAGGAGGTCCCAAATAGGCAGTGTGAGTCAAGCAGACAACACCATCAGATTGAATTAGCCCCACCATCCATCCAACAGCACTATCCACAAGCTATCGGCTGCTTCCGTCTGCTCTAGCTCGGAAATAGGGATGGAAATAAACTTATATATACAAAAGATATAAAAGATATATCTTTGAATTTGCTAGATAGATCAACAAATTCAATTCCAAGCAACAACTCACCAGTGTAGGCAAATATCGCCTCACTCTCTCATTTACACCTTCAACAAACCCCCCAAACCGCCAAAATTCTAGACATAGGAGCCACCTGCGACCAACTCCTAACAGCAATGGAGGATAAATCCCCTTCCCTCTGTAGGCTATGCCATGTAAACTTCGACAGCCCAAATGAGTGGCGACAACACGCTAAGAGCGAGTGGCAGTATGCCTCACAATACTACTAAAGGGGAACAAGACATCAGATACTAATCCTTTTTTTTTTTTTTTTTCAGTGTCTACAATCTCCGTATGAAAGTAGCAGAACCTGGAGTTGTGATATCACCACCATCAGAGTCACAGAGTACAAAGAAAACATCATCACCAAAAGCAAAGAAAGCTGTGCAAGTGGAGGATACTGCAGAATTAAACGATGAATCTGACGTTGACATTGACGCTGATATCGACAGCGATGTCAATGTTGATGGCGGCACAGAGCTTTCCGCAAAGCCGGAATTTAATCCTAAACAATGCCTCTTTTGCGACGAGGAGAATGAAAACTTTGGCCAAAGTCTCGACCACATGTCCAAGGCACACAGCTTCACCATCCCCCAGCCAGCCTATCTAATAGTCGAGCCGGAGACGCTTGTCGGATACTTGCACCTCGTCATCCACGGATACGGCGAGTGCATTCTATGCGCCGCACGCCGCGACACTGTCGAAGGAATTCAGCATCATATGAAGGCCAAAGGACACTGCCGGTTCAACGTCGCATCGGATCTCGCGGAATTCTATGACGTTCCTTCACTGGAATACCAAGCCGGCGAGGAATCCTTGCGGCTACCATCGGGCAGACTTCTCAGCCACCGTACAGGCCCAACCAGACCAGCCCTTGCGAGAATCGCTCGCCAATCAGCAGAGCGAAATTTGGAAGGTAGAACGACTTCGGCTTTGGCGACACGACCAAATGAATCGGAGCTTGTTCCGACACAGAACAATGATAATTCTCCTCCAGCAGCACCATCCACGCAGATATCACAACTTAGCCGGGGCGACCAGCAGAGTCTTGCACATCTACCCGATCACGAAGTGCGATCAATTCTCGCAACCACTGCGAGGGCCATCGATCAATCGAGGCGGGAAGAGCAGCAATCACAGCTCGGGCTTGCGCAAGCGGGGAATACAACATTGACTGGGCACTTTAGAATGGATACATCTAAGCGATTCAGAGGTCCTTGGGGTTAGGACGATGCCATACATACAACGATTTTTGGATTCTATAATAAACTTGTTTTTTCTTTTGCATTTAATTTTTCCCCAGTGACTAGAGCGTTGTAAAATCCATATATATGGAATGCAGATTTGCTACAATGCAGATGATACTTTAATATACTACATGATTGAAAATGCCTGGTTGGATCGGCAAAGCCATTGAATATGAAGAGTAGCTGGGATGGCATTGATGCTTGTTGAAGACATTCGCTTTATTTAGCTGCCAAGTGTCTTAAAGGAGGCCCTATATAAGTTATAAGTTGTCTATGTCTCAAGAGAAATGCGCACATATAAACAAGATTTAGTCTGATCTTTATACCAACTTTGCATATTTAGTCTATTTACTTGGCTGTGATTCCTCATAAATTTTCGCATAACAGAGAGCTGATCCGTACATATAAAAAACAAAAGAAAATAAGACAAAGTAAAATAGGTGCTGTCAAGAGTCCGCTTGCATTCCATGCCTTTGGTCACTCCATTTCGGTCGTTAACATTGGTTCTTAGCCAAGACCCAGCAATTTCCACCGTATCCATTACCTTGGACTTCCCTGCCCAAGAAATCCTTCCCGCTCATAGTAGCAACTAACATCACATCCGCTAATACATTCAAAACAGATGATACTTTCTCTCTCACAACAGGGTATAATGCCTATTCAAAAAACAAAAGAAATGAAACGAGGCGTCAAGCGAGACAAAACATTCAAACCTCCTTCCTGAGTATGTAGCTTGGCGTTGAATATGGTACTGTGAGGGCCATAACATCATGACTTACGGCCCTCTGACATATATGGTCTTTCAGCGCTCAAGAGGCTATTCAGATAGCTTGAATGCTCGATAAAGACAGAGGCTAATTATAGAGAAAATTAGCACAAAGAGTAAAAATGCTCTATGCAACAACAGTATTTGTTGTTGCTCGCCACAGCGGCGCATCCCAAACTTGCAGTCATGCTAACTGAAATGCCGCTGCCAAAAAAAAAAAATGAAGCGGCGTTTGAAATGTTCTGATTTGATATTGACGAATAGCACAATACCAGAATTATCAGGATCCTGCATTGCATTGACGCTTTCAGGTGGCCGGATTTCCTAATTAAGTGGGGGAAGATTGTGGTGTAGCGGTCGCGAGGCTTATTGGATTTCGGTTGTCAGCCACATGACTTACACCCGCGACCTCGAGACTTGTTCATGGGATTTAGTGACGCCTCCCATTGCTGAAGCGGATCTGCGGCAAAATAATCTTTGCAAGATATTTAGAACGAGCCCCAAGACCTCTATGTCTGAAGAATAGACAATAGTAAATAATTAGTATTGACAAAAGCCGCTGCATGCAGGAGTATAAGAGGGCAGGAAAGCTTTACGCTCGCTGGGGGCCATCGTTATATGCGGCAGCGGCATATACCGACTGTGCACCCGATGCTTGGTGCGAAGTGAGGGCTGGGTAGCCGCTGTCGGCGTAGGCCGCGGGTGCCGCATCCCATCGAGGAGGCGTTGCCGCATGATGATGGCTGAGAGGTGTGTGTAGGACAGTGCTGGCATATGGACTCGCCACTGCTCTCGCATCATATGCAGAGGCAGCTGGAAGCTGTGCTGTGCTAGTATTGATACGCAAAGAGGACTGTGGAGGGCTATGATGATTGCGAAGGCTAGGACTGAGTCCTCGGCCCGCACCCGTAGAATATGTCGCAGCTGATGCCCAAGATGCTTGTGAGCGAGGCGATGGAATCGCTTCATGATGCCCCGAATTGTAACTTGAGTGCATGGGATACTGGCTGTGAGAATCTGCATGTTGTGAAGAAATGCCGTGCTGCGACGCGAGGCTGTGGTGACTAGGTGGCGGGGGGCCATATGACGACGTCGCGCTCACGGGGGTCATTATGCTGCTGGGGTTGGCACTATATTTGCCAATAATTTTCTTAAGTGCTGGCTCAAGAGTTGCCCATGGGAACACCTTGACGTCTTTCTCAATATTCCGAGGCTTGGGATGAGGGAAAGCCATGATGATCTTGAAGAACTCTTCACTATCCGCTTTGGCCTTTGAGACGGTGACAGGATGAAATCCTTCGAGGTTGCGGCGAATGCGATTCTTCTCTTCAACACTAAATCGGTTGGGAGCAGCTACAAGTTGCTCAAGTAGATGAATAGTATCGACCGAAGTGACATAACAGTCAGATTTCTCGGCCCACCAGATGCATGAAATGCAAATGCTGTTTGGGGGCCTCTCATTCACTGGGACGGCTTTGAAGCTCACATTTAAAACTGCTTGGTGCTGGGTTTTCTTGAACTGGACAATCCGACGACGATTGCCCCATTCTTCTTCCGTCCACTTCGCAGCCATGTCGCTGAGATTACCGTTAATCTTCAAAACCGCCTTATGGGTATACATAGGATGATAGGGGCCGCTTCCACCAGCGGTAATGGTGCTGGTGCGGACCAACTGGGGAGCCCCATTGTTCCCTGATGACGGAATAGATAGATGATGCGATAAGCTAGATCGACTGGATATCGTAGGATGGTCAAACGTTGAAGAACTTCTTCCCGCACTAGCCAAGGCACTGCCATAACCGCTCCAGGGCGGATGGGTGCGCCGCTGGTGGTGGTGGTGGTAGGGCGGGTCGGAATAACTAGTGGTTCGGTATGTGGATAGCATGTCGTTACTGGCCTGCGGGAATGTATTGGCATATTGGCTTTGTTGCGGTGGATATTCATAAGTATTTGTAGCGGCTGAAGAAGGCGCTTCAGCTTTCGGTGAAGGACTCGCCTGATCGATTTCGGGACCAGGTGCTGTGCTGCCATCTTTGGCCATTTTGTCTGCCCGCGTGATATCATCCTCGGACCCTTCCAGATAGTGGAAAGTCCCTGCGGCTGTCCGCGAGATCTCTCCTCCTGTGGGAGCCTCAGTAACAAATGACACAGGCACGCTGGTATTACCTCCTGTGACCAGAGGCTGCGGCGCGTCTATACTGCACGAGAATGCAAAGCCACTACTATCCTGAGAATCTCGGATAAGATCTACAGGGCACTTTGCACCTCCAAAGAGCACAAATGTTTGAGTAGATAGCGTGAAGAGATCGTCTTGCGAATGTATCTTAAAAAAGACCTTGGTGCCAAAGATGCCAGAAGAGGGATGGAAAGAAACCACAGTAGACCCCGTTGCCATGTATTGAGCCACTGCATTGTTATTACTTGCGAATGATGACTGGTTCAACTGGGCAAACTTTTCAGTTTGCTGAGCTGAAAATGCGGTAGCAGAATACGGTTCATAAGTTGCATCTGCATATCTTGCCGAATCGTAGCCTATTAAGACGCCACAATAGTGATCCTGTTAGCTCTATATTCTGAATCTCAAATTCTACATCTTCTACGACCTGGAACCACTGCAAACGTACCATTGACTGAAGGCAACTGAGCCTTGCTGTAGGCAGCCATGTCGAAGTCGCTCGACAGGGAGTCCCGATTTGGATCCCCCCTTTGTGCTGCTTGAACAGCTTCCTCGTATCTAAGAGTTAGGGTTTCTGGCGACCCAAATCCGTCGTCAACGTCGACAATTATGGGTTTGATAGGAAGAAGGCCCGGCTTTGAATCTCGTAGTGTTAGTCCTTACTGGTTCTCTGTCTTGAGGAGGGAGCCTTCGACTTAGTTTGCTGCGTAGACCACAGGCAGGAACAGGGAAAAGGAATTAGATCAAAAGACAATCAACATCTTTTTTTCTCCGTAGTGCTGTTGCAAGAGAAGAGATGTTGGAACAAAGTCTGGGATTCGACTCACCTCAAAGAGTCTGTAGGATGGAGACTGGAACTTGGCAGCAGACATGAAGATGTTGAAAGAGGGGAGCAAATATGGTAGAGGGGGGGATTGATCAAAGAAAAGATAAAGTATGCAGGCCCTCTCTGTCTTAGCTAAGAGGTCGTGGATGTATAGTAATGTTTTAGACTGGGTCTCGACGAGGTCTTATCCCGCGAGGATCAAGGTGCTAGGACGGTGCTCCCTTCCTTCGCCTAGCTTGGCTCGGAGATTTGATACACGGCAACTCCCCAGAAGCTAAAGCCAAGGCCAACACTTATGGCCTCGTCGGGACTTGTGAACTGATGTTGCCTTGTGAGTAGCCTGTTTTTTTCATCAAGGGGTGGGGTACAGGTGAGACACTCACCAGCTCTGAAGGAATCTTACTGGAGAGCCAAGAGGCGGAGAGGTGATTCAATCCTGCACAGACACAGTTGCATTCCAAAAAGAGGAATCAAGTATGCTGCGAGGGAGAAGTTGCTTTCCCTTTTCCGCCGGATGCTTGTCAAAACAAATAGCCAGCCGCTTGAGGCTGTGCGGTTGCGATTCAAGCCGGGAGAAAACAGAACGATTACTCGAAGGGCGGTAAGGGTAGAACTCCGATGAGGAAGAAAAGCAGGTCTTGGTCCTATGGCCAAGAAGGATGATAGGGTGCGTAAGATGTCGGGTTTGAATAATATGACGAAGAGTACCTTCGTCACGAGGCTTCACTGCGGTCTAACCAGGCAAGTTAGCATTCTTCGCATCAGACTGCGGGTCAATTTCTAGCATAGGAGATCAATACGAGTTGGGACATGCATAGCGATGCGCCAACGCAAGGGAGAATGACGCCGAAATTGACCATCGGAACGATCAAACATACAGGCGGTAGCTCGTGAAGTGATGGGAGCTCAGATAGTGGTGTAGTATTACCAGCGGATGTCTAACAACAGTGGGACCGCTATGGCTAGATCCTCCTGGACAGCTGGACTGTTTGCCGTGAGGAAGATAAATGTCAGTAATAGTCAACGGCAAGTCCCGATCACTCGTAAGCCGTTCGGTCGCAGCGACGATAATCTTAGTATTCGTCTCAAAGGGAGAGAGGTGTGTCAATAAAATACGTGCAGCCAGCAAAGCGGAGGCAAATGGGTTAAAAAGGGCAGGCGACATATGCAAATAAGATTCGGTAGAGTCAAAGTCTCAGGCTTCCGGATAGATGCTTTTGTCAAGTGGGAAAGAGAGAGAGAGATGAGACATGAGAAGTGTTTCTTTTTGAAGACTTGGTGGTGTATGCAAGTCCAGATAGCGGTCGATCGGCGCCAGGTAGAACCGGGTCCCAGCATTAATAACAGAATGGGGAAGAAAGGAAGCGGAGATGGCGGGTTTGCGGGACAGATCGGCCAATCAGTCCAAGCCTGTAGAGAACTCAGAGCAGGGTCCAGTTGTTACCACCACAAGGGCAGCCTCCCTTGAACTGCTACAGAGGAGATGTACCGTACTAAGGAGAGGGAGCGTCTCTTCCCTTCTCTTTTCCCTGTGGGCTCTCATTACTATCACCAAGTCCATGCTGTAAACGGCGTGCGCGTAGCAGCAACAGGGGCAGGCAGGGCCATGGCCATGTAAAGCGGATAAAGCTCTGACGCCAACAGATCATGCCCATCTGAAGATATACGGAACAACTGGGATCGGATCTAACATCATCGCATCTGGGCAAGGCGCTATGAACGGCGGCCGACCATGGTCGGTTGTGGGTCTTAAAAAAAAGTAGCACGCGCATCTGGGGATAGCAGGGCTAAAGCAGGATCATGGCCGAAAGAAGACAGTGACCGGGTCCTTCAGTCCTGGGTCTTTGGTATGCCAGATTTGCACGCATACTGTACCTACTTGTAAAGGGTGGACTGGACAAGGATGAAAAAGAGTGCAAAAGGCCAAAACGGCCAAGGACAGGGGGTATAGTGCCAGATGCCAAATGTAACAAAGCGGAGCTCGCCGACGATCTGGAAGGGAGGAAGTCATACAGTTGTAATCATATGCCGGCAGACACCAAGAAGGGTCGGACGGGAAGAGACGGCTAGCTGTGCTTGATACTCTATATGAAGTTGAGAGATGCCCCGTCCTTTTTTGGGGGGTCGGGATGGAATCATTGGCAACAAGTAGCAGCATGATGAGTTAGATGACGAAACTTTTTGTCGTCCTTTTCTCTTCTTCTCATTCTCTCTCTCTATGTGTGTGTGACAGGGTTTGCAATATCCGCTCGCATGTCAAGGTCATGATCGTGGTATAAGAGGCCAGGGGCAAAAGCAAGCAGCACCGGTGAGGCCGCAAAGTAGCCATCCCTTGCTGAAGAGTAATAACCAAAAAGAAAGGGTAGGAAGATACTAGGAAACTTAGTCGCCAGCTCACCTCAAACGTATGAATGCCAAGAGCTCTCTGGCTTAATATGTTACCCTGTGGCGGCGGCCGTGGGAGTGAACTGAGCGCGCGTGTAAGTCCCGGTATGTACTCCGTACAGCGATTAAGCTACGGCCAGTCTGGTAAACACTGCGGGCTCACTCTCGTGTCGTCTTCCTAGGCGTGGCTGTATCCTGTCTATCCTAGTCCTGGTCAGCAACAGCCAATTATTGGTGTCCTAGTGCTACTTCATTGGGGAAACAAGAGCCACTCAGTCGGGCTTTGATGGCGGGTCACCGGCAGCGGTGGGCCCTGGCCGCAGCAGCTCAGCAGCACTGGCGCCCTACCAGAGCGTGCAGAGCAAGGCTCTGAGAAAGGGATCAGCAACCAAAGATCCACTGAGATCAAAGTCGAGGGAGACGCCCCCCGGCTTAGGCTAAGCTTAGCGCCCAAATGCCACCTGAAGACCGACGCAGCGGGCGACCTGCTCAAGGGTCCAAAGAAGTTCAAGCGCCTCAGCCCGGCAGGGGAGACCCTGATGGTCATGCTCATATGTTGCCGTGAGCTCTTACTCATCCTGCGGTACACAGCTGCCTGTGGTATGCTAAGCTAGGTAGCTAGCTCAGGTGGGGTTTTCCCGTCATAAGCCTCTTGCTGTTGATAGCATTGGCTTGATCGAAGGGATGGGTTGGTATATTTCGGCCGCACCATTCGAGAAAGAGAACAGACGCTTAGCTTCATCACCTACCTGTGCCCTGTGCTCTGGCTCTGAATTCCCTTGCAACGTAGTCGACTACGCTAATATCAGATTTGGGCTGCTGGGGCTGGATCCTTCCAAATAAAAATTGGCTTAAGCTAGACCAAGGAGCTCGCCCTGAACATCAATAACAGGCAAGGAGTGAAGTAATTCGGCGTGGCGTGCGATGCTAGCGATCGGAACCCAGATCGGCGGTCTTTGCGGCGATGGAATACACTACTCTGGTATCGCCGTCGCCCGCAAGCAAGCAATGCTTCTCTTCCTGTTCATATCCATTCCAGTTAGCGATAGATCACCCCTTCTACGAGTGCGACCAGGGTCTGTTATGGCGGGATTCATTTTGCCTCTGCAGAGAATAACGAGCTTGTACAGACGGCCACCAGCCCTCTAAATCACGTTTTTTACTGCCTTTAATTGCTTATTTCAAAGACCCAAGGCTAAAGGGAAGGATAAGTAGGAAATTGATAACACCAGATCGTAATCAAAAAATAAAAAAGAAGAAGACAAGCAGACAGAACAATTGGTGAATGCAAATAATATGGTTGGTGGGAGCTAATAGAGATAGAGAAAGCTTGGAAGCCTCTTGGTAGTATCACGCAGACATGGCATGGGTTGACAGTTCATTCCGTCTAAACGCAGCTCACCAATCATCTTACGTTACTCGTCGCGGTATTGTCTCCGGCGCAACATTGATATCTAAATGCGTGCATACACTAGCCCTCTCCAGTGGACAAGGGTAATGACGAGAATGCTCGAAAAAGATGTTTGGTAATGAGGGGCACTGGCCACCTTCGGAGGAAGAAGGGGAAAAAAAAGGGAAAAAGTGCAGGTCATAAAATGGTGGATGATATGGGGTATCATAGCCTTAAAAAAAGTTGTAGCATACATACTGTCAAGCAAAAAATGCGATAGCTCGGTGTTGAAGCGCGCAGCTCTTGTTGGTGTATTCGCCTTGTCTTCAATATTATCGTTAATCATATAAAGCATCATAAATTAGGTTCTCTATCCGATGCATGTGTCTTGCCTTTTCTCTTTATTTCCTCTCACTGCTTTTCTTCTCTCTTGAACTTTGTTTAAGATGCTCTGTTCTCGATATCTTTTTCGTGGCCCTTGGAGTGAGAGTCGGAGAAATTGCTCAGCATATCTCCCTTTTAGATCGCTTTTATTTGCTTTGAGTAGGATCGCCAATTTTCTCGCTTTGCGTTTTTTAGCCAGTTGAAGTTATTCGTAGTGATTGTAAATGTTTATTGGGTTTTTGGCGTTAAAATTCTGGATCTGATTTCGGTTGGATTAGTCAGTATAGCAGAAATACCCTTCAATGCGGAGCGATTGCCTGGTAGCGAACTTCTTATATCCGCAGACTTCTCGACTTTGCGAAACCAAGCTGCTCGCGAACACGGCAAGACGGTATGTATAGTAGAGACCATTCGCTTCCCCATGCATAGTCCTGGATATCTTTGAGGCGAAAAGATAGATTTGTGGCAGTGGGAGGAATACCCGAGCTATACATCGAATCCAAACCTAGGAACAAATCAACTTCGTAGTAGAGGGTAAGGGTGCCGTGCTGCGGCGGCTAAGCTCAGCATGTCCTTGTAAAGTACACTCAATGGTGAATGATACGGGGTAAAGGGCATGAAAGTCGCACTTCGACATCTTATTCCAGCTAGAGCAATACTAACGGACTCTAATCTGACGCTGTGAGAGGTGTGTTGAGCCTAGTCAAATTTGACTACTGCTGCTGCAACCATGGAGGGGTGACAAGCGGATTCGCAGCCAAACGCGAATGCTTTGCAGGGGTCAGATAAGGTTCAGTCCTGCGCGACAGCGAGGCTTCGCTTTCCTGTGGAGGGTAGTCGGTGAACATGATATCGCTGGTCCCACGAAGGCCGCATGCCGCATCGTATTGAACAGCAAAGGCGAAAGAGAGTTGACTAGGCACGGCGCATATATTGCTGGGTACAAATGCGCCACTTCGGCTCTTGAAAATGGGCTGGCGGGTGGCATATGCAGGCAGATCCAAGTCATCCAACTGCTCGATGAGATAGCGGATCTCAATGGCAGGAGGTGCGAGTAAACAAACGACCAGCCACCGCCCCATTCCTAGATTCCTAGACTACCACCGCCATAATCATCAGAGAAATTGGCAACCATCCATCACAGCCAGCGGCTCTCAGACGTCAAGGGCAACTGGTAGCCATGCTGGTGGCTAGGGCTCAGATGCCGCCCATGCAAAGGGCGTGGAGAGGCTGAAGAACAGGCACCTAGAAAGGGGGTAAATGCATCAACTGAGATCGACACAGGGGGTACGGGGACTCGGGCACCTCAGATTGCAGGGGTACTGCTTAGCCCAATGGCGGCGCGCAGCCTGCTCGCCTGAAGCGACGCCGTATTGTCCCAAGCGCGCTGCTGAGGAGGACAGGATATGTACGAGATTGAGAAACAAGAGAGGCGGCAGTTACAGTTGATGAATGGACAAGATGGTCGCAGGGTTTTTCCGTTTCGGAAGATCATAGGCGAGCGAGCAACTCTATCTCAGGGTAGTTGATACCTCGCGTGACCGCAGAGATTCCAGGTTAGCACTACGAGGCACAGGCAAGGCAGTGCGCAGGGAGGTACCGCCGCTAGTACCCTCTACCTGTACAGAGCCGAGCCGCTACGGTACTACATTCGGCTTCTTCCTCCTCTTCAGCTTTGATGCCAACAACGGAAATCATGCATTTCACACTAGCAGGGCAAAGGAGAAATAGTTGTATTTACCGCTGAGCTATTGGGATATGGATGCTATCAGTGGCTGTGCCACTGCTTGTGCGGTACTCAGTTCATCACCCCTGGGCCAGTAGCTCTACAGGGGGCAGCTACCATGCATCAGACGTATCCATCTCTTTGTTGTTGGCCATATCTTCAGTCTAAGAGGCGGCCCAGTGCCTTGCCCTTGGTACTTGTAGCTATGATACTAGTATCTACTCGTAGATAGTTCTATTATGTGGGGTAAAGGCATAGTGTTAGTTGCCTCGCCAGTAACAAGAAGACCAGTGAAGATGTCTTGCCAAGTCTCTCGAAAGCACATCCAACCGTGGCTCGGTATATCTGTGCAACAAGCACGGCGAAGTATGCATCTTGAGAGTTTATCCTAGTACTATGTTCATGCTTTACACAGATGCTTTAGCGCGTCCTGTGCCAAAGTGTACCAGGTAGTAGCATCCAACTGGCACTCAACTTGTCTTGTCTGAGACAAACAAGTGGCGGCTTCGCATCCGCACTTCAGTCATCCTAGGCACCCACCACATTTGGACGAAGGTACAACACCCCTCCTCCCAGGCAGACGGCTTATGACCGCGACGATGAAGCAGATACCCGAAAAGGGGGGTAAGGCCTCGGCCAATGGCGCCAATCCTCATCGTCTGGCTCTCAACTATGCCTCAATCTAGTAAACGAGACGTCGTCTGACACACTCTTTGCCACATTCTCATGTCCTTGTGTATCCCCATAGTTGTTCCCTCTCCACTCTATCCTCCGACTACGTAGCCGAGCTCTCTCACTCATGTGGCACCTGGATGCTTCCGAGTCCTATCCACACGCGGCTTCTCCACCCCTCCCGAAAAATCTCCCGCACGTTGGTCCGTCAGAGAAGACAGATACTTATTACTAACACTAACAAACAGTATAACTGCTGTGGAATTAGCGTTTCCTCAGCATTTACTTGTCTAACCCTCCACGAGGCAGTGCGAGTAGACACCAGTTCTCTTGTGATTATGACACAAAGTCCGGGTGGGCGGCCTCAGCCGGGAACTGCTCACCATGAGGAAATATGAACATCATCCCTGGGGCTGTAGCGCATACTGTGCGGCCAAGTCTGCAATTATTACCAACCCTGGAGCACCAATCATTGTACCTAAAGGTTGGCTCTGTCTGGAGTCAAGCCTGAGAGACTTGAGTGTCTCCACTCATAAGCCTGCCACGACGTATTTCGTATTTGATCTCCGTTATGATTATCTAATATGAATGATATAGAATATCTTTGTAAGCTTATTTCTACAAATGCAATGCTTGTTTAACGCTAGTGGGGTAATTAGGTGACGGCTTACCTTGGCCAACAAACATGGAGAAGCCATTCACATATGCATGTCTTCCGTTCCGCTCGCCTTTCCTTCTTAGGAAAAATCTCCATAAATAAGAGACTCGACATTAAGCACTTGTCCACGATAAATGTCTGTTGTTATTTATTTTGTAGTACTACCCTAGGATTTTGTTTCCATCCTCCACGAGTCACTATGTATGACTTGTCCGTGTAGACGATGGGCAATCCCTTCACAGCCTTCATCGTCCCTTTCGCCCGTTGTGTGCTCATCCTGCTTCTCTCTCCTTTACATTCAGACCAAAATGTTAGTACTAATAGTAATCAAATAATGAATGGAAATTAGACAAATACGTCTTTAGGATATTTCTGACCGCCCAGTGCTGCACAAACTAAAAGGTCCAAGACATTTATTTGTATTACCACCTTTCAACGGCTCTCACACATGGCTACTGAAACAGTTGCTATTCATATCACGGCAGAGACCCGGAATCCTCGAGGCGAAGACACAGATGAGGAAATCGACATGGATGAGGCTCTTTTACTTCTACAGATCATGCACACTGAAGTCGTACGCACATCTCTGTACGCAGATCTCGCGCTTTCCCTAGCGTTCACTTGTCTCATCAACACGCTTGTCGGCGCGCTGGCTGCCTGTTGTGGCACCGAGTCGTAGCTCCTCAGCTCTGCTCTGGGATGGACCGGCTGATGTTGTACCGCTGCGCTGGGTCGGACAGTGCCCGTGTCGTTGGCTGCTGAGACGATCTCCAGGAGCTGAAAAACATAACGATGAGGTCTTACCGAGTTGTGAGAGGAGGGCGAATCCGCACCAGTGCACGGAGTAGATTCAATGTCACACCCAACAGAGTCGCCTGGATCCAGCTCCACCACCAGCGCCATGTCGGTTCGGTGTCGTCATGATCCCAGTTCGCCCATCATGGTCATATTTTGCCAGCATAAAGGGCCGCTTTACTAATTTGTCCTACTAACTTAATCTGCATCCACTACAGTATGCATGTGGTACTGCTACTGGAGGCTGCGGCCTCCGAAGTTAGGGGCGTCGTAATACTGCTGTAATGTCCATCTAGGCCTAGGTTGAATCTAGATTCGCTGTAGCCGTAAGAGATCCTTGCCGCGTCAGTTCCGTTTTCGAGAACCCTTGCATTAATGGGGCCATGTCGCTGGCTGGGTGGCTAGCCAGAGCCAGCCTAGTCCCGCCAGCAGTAGTATGGACGTAGCAGACACTAGTAGTAGTGCGTAGTTTCAGGGGAAGAAGCTTTGATGCCCAAGCTGAAGTAATGGAGCTGAAAGCTTCCAGAGGAGTGTCAACAGCAGCTATTGATGACAGCATGAACCTTGTCCGTCACACCTGATTCGATCCGCTTGTTCTAGTTTCCTAGCTGAAGATGAGATGAGCCCCCAAATAGCGGGATTACGGAGCACTATACGTATTACTCCACTCTATCTCGATGACAAATTCTCGATGCAGCTTTCAGCTAGCCCTGTTCTTGCTGTTTACCTGGTGTAACCAACAAAAGGATGGCAAGCTTCTCCCGTTTTTTTAAGCCCTTAGGACTTCTTGGAAGCTTCAGGCCTCCATTCGCGACATAACTGCGTGCTGGAATTCTTTCCCTCTTTGGGAATTCTTTGGCGGGTGTAGTTGTAGTATCCAAAACCCTCCGTGTTTGAAACCACAAACGAGACGACAGGCCAGCTGATTCAAACTGTCGCAACCCAACCAAACAACCGGGAATATGGACTTTGAGCTAGGGGGCACGGATATACCAGTAGCCCACACATTGGACGCAACCAACATCCACTCAATACTGTCGTGAGGGAGCTGGGGTAGTAACACACAGGTACGAGTAACAGTGACGGATTACAACATGAGCTCGCCTTAATCAACAGCTGGGGGTGGAGACCTCGATATTAACTGGCTCTCTAGCCGGCGACCCGCTCGGCGACCAGACGCAGGTAGATGGAGCACACATGCTAGCTAGTTGTGCCTGTGAAGTTATACTCGACCACGTGCTAGGGCAAAAAGATGTGCTTAGATCAAGACTAGTCAACATCCTGGAAACATACCGATGGACACCTTGCTCTCTCTCCCGTCATCTATACAATTTGGCCGAGAGCATCGAGGTCTACGTCCATGCATGAAGCACTGCCTGTCAATGATTACTTGGACGAGTGTCCTACTCCATGCGGTGTAGTTCCTGCAACCTCACATTTGCCCAACCGCCAGCTGCATCATCTCCTGCATCGTGACATTGTCTCGATCCTGCAGCATCGCTCCCGGAGCCAAAGAAATTGAATCTCGTACCGTAGGCCGTTTTATTACATGTCCCCTCTTTTTCTCACATTCATAGTGAGCCTCGATTGAGGTGAACTCTATCTTTACTCTGTATGTCGCATACTACAGAACCTGGGCGTGCGTCGTGGCTGGAGCCGGCGTGACGCCAACCCTGCAGTGAAAGATTTAATAAGCAAGCTATGTACTACTCCAGCTCTCCTGTTGGCTTGAATCAATTGGGCAGTAACATCAGCACATTTATATGTTAAATACAACGAGCAAGGCAGTCCAGTACCGTAGTAGATATATTCTTAGATATAGCCAGAGCATAGTGTTGCCCAATGGCAAACCCAAGGTGTGTATGAGGCCAGCTCATAGGAGCTTAAACAACAATAAAAATAACAACAACAACATGTCGTGGATATCTATAAAATCCTGTTTGCCATTCTACTATTGGCCCCCAAACTCGGTCTTCACTGTGGAGAGTGACAAGACCGCAGGATGGCGAAGTGAAGGATGGTTCACACCACTTTCATCATTTTCTTCTTATTCTTCTATATGGTGAGGTGCGAAACTTTGATACTGTGTGCCATTTGTACCTTGAAAAAGGCGGAGACAATTGATTCTTGCTCAATACGACGTTCCTATTGGTAATGACTCTGCTTGCTAACGTAGTTGTGCAGCTAGCCTGGCCATTGGAGTCCTAAATGACGAATTCGTGCGCAACCATACGCTCGGGAGAGCTCATAGCCGGCATCACTGATGGGGCCATGCATGCAAAATAGGGCTAGTATGGCCCAATCGCATGGGATTATAGAGCTTATTGAAGTCGTCGATCAGCGTGCATGTGAAAGAACCCCATCCACTTTATGTGGGAGAATCACTGGATTATCAGTGGAGCATCACTGAGAAATTGGACAGGTCCCGAAATCTACGATATTTACATGTTATAAGCTGACTTTGAGTAGTTGAAGGATATACAAGAACGCATATATATCTGCGCTCAAGCATGCCCAAAGGAGTAGAGATAGTCTCGTTACCTAAAGCACTTTTCTCCAGCGCTAGTACTGTCGGCATGAGATGGTCAAGGCAACTAATGCCCTATGTTTATATATAGGAAGACTGCCGTTAAAACGGACCCGGTGTTGGCATCGCTTAATACTACATAACGTGACATGACTTTTGGAAAAGTGGCTTGGGATTTAAATCCAGGAATAAAGGAATAAAGGATGTCACTGACGAATGTAACTGCAAGTGCTTATGATATCACAAGAAAAATAATACCTAATAAAACCTCTAGAAAATACCTTCTATAATATTAGAGCCCACGTAGGAGCTGGTGTGGGCGAGGACGGTGCGCTAACCACATAGTCATGGGGATGTTCGTCGAATCATCGATTTCAGAGTGCATCTGTCATATATCACATGGGCGGAAGGGAAAAGATGATACATTGAAAGAGATTGGGAGAAGTACGCGTGACTTTTGCATACAATTTGTCTGGGCTAGGAGAGTCAATCTCCCTAGTCGATCAGATCGCCGAAGGAAGTGAATGTAGCAATGGCAGCTCAATGTCTACTGTTTATGGTCGATCGCCACGTAAGCAGAAGTCATGTATAATTATTTAGGCAGGGGCAGAAGCCGTAATAATATCATTGCATGTATCTACTATAAGGGCCATCACACATATCGGAGTCGGCTCCGCGGCGTCTGAGTTCAAATCCCTATTCCTAGAGCAAAACAGGACGGTCATCTAAAGTACAGAGTATTACGAGCTCGTCAAAAATAAGGCAATTAATATGCGATAACCCTAAACAAGCCACACCTAAAAAGCAAAGAGAGAGAAAGCGAGAAGAGAGTGTGGCATGCAAGGAGGCAAATTCTAATCGGTCATCATTCCGTATGCCCGCAGCGTCTATGCTATTACCATTGCTATGTAGATACTTTAGGTAGCCTGGACGCACACCGGCTCTCGTGACGCCTTTTGACACTTCCTTGTAGTCGCATCTCCTCGCTATATACTCTACCGAGCTTCGGGCTCCATTCCGATAGCACATGATTGGACACCGTCGAAGGGAGCGGGGAGGCGAGATTAGTTAGTTCAAATTTGTCACCTCTCGCCAAGCGTTTGCCTGACGAACTAGTAGTATAAGCATACTATACATGCAAATCGGGGGGTTTAAGAGACATAGACAGCGGTAGTTACTATGCAGGAGAGGCGCGAGAATTTCAGCGTGTTATCGGTACGTAGTTACAAGCTCCGGGCACAGGGTGACTATGTGAAGATGCAGCTATTCCCGAGCCGCCAAGCATCTAAGCCGCGGTCAGATATAAGTGTGGTGGGCATACCGCCCCCATCGGCGGTAACCAAAGAAGGGGGCCAAACTATCGGCCGCAAGTCATCGGTCATAAGGAAGCTACGCTTTCAATGATGGGACTGAGAGGCATTGGCTACTTTGCTTGTGCGGATCTGGTGAGTTAACGCCGATTTCAAGCTTTCTTCCATGCCAGAACTTGGCATTGTCGGCTTTCCGCAATTCGGGCAGCGTGGAGCATGGGAGGGGATGTGGAGTATTGGTTGGGATAGAGTATTACTCGCTCTATACTAATTTGTAAGGAGCCCTTCTGCTTGAACGCCATGCATGCCGGTATATACAAGTACTCCGTAGGTGTAGCAGCCGGCTGGGGGCTTTCCGGTGAGGCGTGGAGCGCGTGCGATCTTTTCATCCTGATCTTGGAAGATGCACATAGTATGGAGCCAGTGAGATCCCTGTCGCGCTACTTGACTGCGGATGACGGCAAGGGATCCCTAATCGCTGCTAGCGCAGGTTGCTGTTGATGTGATTGGGACCAGGCCATTGGTAACTCGGCTGGACATGATCACTTCCGCAATCTTTGGTGACCCGCTGGTCACCTTGCGGTTGGGGCGTGTGATTTGGGGATCTGAGCTGGGGGGTGTGATCCGTTATTGGCACGGGGTATCCTGAAGAATCAACCCTCTGTGTTTATGTTATTTATTTTTTTTTTTCTTTTTTCTTTTTTACCTCGGCGCTTGTGGATACTACTCTCTTTTCTATCCAAGGGAGAAAGAAACAAGGGAGCCAAAATGACATACGCAAGGGCTAAAGGGAATAAAAAAAAAAGCGGCTGAGGCCGCGCCTGAGTGAGACACGGGACTGTCAAACAGGCACGGCGTACAGCCGAACATGACCGACGGCGCAGAACTGTCTCAGTATTGGAGCGTTTCCTTGGTTCGTAGTTCGGACGGCGTCTAGAGGCAAAGCCATGTAGGGGAAAGCGTAACGTGAATGGTGAGACTGGCGGATCCAACTCGAGTCGAGGGCATCCCAATCTGGCATCCCATCAACCAACTCTGGCAAATCCAGCCAGCCACCAGGCGGCCCGAGGCACGTTGTGGGCACTTTTGCTGCAGCTCTTTGGCTCTGGCTCCTCCGGGCCCAAGTCTCTTTGGTCTCCTACGGTCCAAGTGCAGCTGTGCCGCGGCTTGAAGAGGATCTAGCGGTGAATGAGAGACACAGCGTACGGCATACCTGCGTCTACAAGCCTTTCGGAGAGAAGGCAGTGCCGAGCCTTTCGGGAGATACGATACGGAAGATTGTCGACAGCAGGCAGCCATCTTGCACACATGATTGGCATCCTTATCCTTGTACTGTACGTGAGAGTCCAGGTACCAGCAATACCTGGCCCTTCAGCAGCGGGCTAGCACGCGGCGGTATCGCGAGTACTGCTACGGAGTAGTATTACTAGTAATATGAAGGAACTATGAACAAGTTACTTATATAATACTGCATATAGATGAACCCGGTCAGTTCACGTACTGTACAAGCCTCGGCCGCTGCTAAGAGGGGGCAGCTTTGTCCCGGTTAAGATGAAATTAACGACTTAATGATCGCCAGCATTAGCCTATGGAGCTCTCATGTCCATCTTTTTAGGGCAGTCATTTTCATCTTTGTTGCCTTGATGCTCTTGGGCGATGGATTCTGGGATAAGCGAAAAGCGGCTCGCATATTGCGCTACCGGCATTCCTCCGCGATGACCATCGGCGATGCTAAAACGGGACGCCTAGCTTAGATCTTTTTCATACGCGACCAAGGGGAAAAAGGAAAGAAACTCCTCAGAGATAAACGATGGAGCAACGCAGTGTCGTATCCGATTCTGAGCGGGCAAGGATCCTTGGGGTGATCCCCTAGCTTTCGCGAGTGCGAGGAGAAAATTTGCAGTTTGGGTGACGTCTTCCCTGCACGGCTGAATGGGCCCAGAGCAGCGGCGAGTAGCAACGTCTCCCATCCGCAAGCAAGGAACCCCCTTGTACCGTGATCCAGGGTCCTACGCGGGATGCACACAAGCCCCAGCCGCGGCCGGGTAAAGTCCGATCTGAGAGAGCTAGGGAGCGTAGCTCAGCGTCCAAGAACGGACCTGTGCAGGACAGTAAGAAGAACAGCCCTGAGCTACGCCACGTCAGGCAGAAGCAGGGCGACGGATGTAGGGGGCCTTGGCCGGCGGCGACGGTGAGTTCGCGGATGCTGGTAGTTATTTGTTGGTAGGCGGTGGTGGCGGATGAAGATAATGTCACGAGCGCCGAAGGGACAGCGAATTTGACGAGGTGCCTGACTTTATCACCGTTTGCGGGTATTGATCAGGGCGCAGGCTGAGCTGGGAGTTGAGGCTCGGTCGCAAATGCTTGTGGTACTGGCCGTGATATTCGTTGTCCTACGAGTATGTGGCATGGCACTGGCATTCGATGGCTGCATATCGCCTGAAAGAGCCAAGACTTTGAAGTTCCAAGCTACGTGTACGCGCTAGAAGCTTGAAAGTGCCCCCGAAGTGGTGAACGTTCTAGGCCGCCATGTGAGTTGACAGTAGTAAATGGCGCTCTGGATCTCAATCGCTGTTATTGGTAGTCAATGTGTGCAGGAAGTATAGGAGAATGGCAAATATTAGTTGGTGGTAGTGAAGAGTAGTTAAGATAGTATGGCAGTGAACAACAGTTTTAGAGGAGAGGACAATGACTGTAATTCATTTGTGTGGAAGTGATGTGCTATCAATTATTGATATCCTGCTAGCTAGTTTGTGTGTTACAGCAAAACCTAAACGCGTTTGGAAACTTGCACGAAATTGTACCGTCGGTTCGAATCGCTTCAGCCAAGTTTGTAAGAGGAATACAGTTTTATGTCAATAGCAACATACTAATGCTGGATAGGAAGTTTCAACTGTGGCTCATGTATGTAACTATGTTTTCGTATTTAATATATACTAATATATACATCTTGCCAAGCATTTGGCGCCCATTCATTACGCATCGTTCTATCTATGTTGCTCCAATTGCTCCAACCAATCCACCTTGCAAGCCTCGAATGGCTACCATAGCCCCCCAAGCACCAGGATCAGGAGGCAGCTCCTGGTTCTCGCTTGAAACCCCAACATATGTTGCTCTGCCTAGCCTAGGCTTCATCGTCTTTGTTGCATCTGCCCCATCCTCTGCGGCCTTGACGCCGTTATTGAAGTCTGACTTGGCCATAGCAGCGGCAAAGGGGATCAGGGTATCCATAACGGTACGATCTCCAACCTTGGCAGGAGTGTAACGTCTAAGATTTTCCAAGGCAGTTCCAAGAGCAGTGCCCCAAAGGAGGATTGGATTCTGAGCCAACTCAATGTTTTTCTCCACGGCGGCTCGTAAGGAGACGAAAAAGATGCCAAGGATGCCGCCCAAAGTTCCGCCCATCTTGCTCTCGACAATATCTTCGAGTTCCAGGAGAACCTTGACGACTGATCCTGACTTGGCTAGCCCAGAGTCAAGCGCCGTTAGCAGAGATGTTGCACCAGTCTTGAGAGTCTCTCCACAGTCGCCGTCACCCATGACTGTATCCCATTTGGTAAGATCAGGCTCGGCCTTGATGAGAGCCTCACAAGCGTTTCGAAGCATGTTTTCCAAGAGGACTGGATTAACTGCCAAGTCCCTTCGTTCGTCAACAGATTTGATCTCTTCCCTAGGTGAAGCAACAAGCTGCTGTTGCCTTGTACGTCGTTGAGCCTGCGATCCGGCCATCGACTCCCAAAATGTTGTGGTCCTGACGTCAAAGAACGACTTGATATCCTCCACTGAGTAACTGCAGTTCTTTGCTGCTGCTGTGGCGTTGACAACAGACACTGAAAAGGCAGGGGCATTAAGGGATGTTTCGAGAAAGCCAGCACATATCCGTACTGGTTCAATACTCCAGTTGCTTTGGAGCTGCTCTAAGATTTCATCTACCAGAGCGCCCATCTCCAGATGTGACATGCCGCCGAAGTTGCTGACGAGTAACATAATTTCATCACCAGCAGAGAAATTCACGTAGCCTCGTAAAGGATCCTTTTCATCCAGACAGTGTTGTAAAATTTGCTCAACAAGCTCGGACGCAGACGGCGCAGGAGATAACTTCTTGTAGCCGGGTTCATTGTGAGGACCCGTGCCTAGCTCAACCTCATTCTCCTGTAGTACGCCATGCTCAGCGCGACCAGGAACGTGACAGTGATCAAGAGTGGCTGCAATTGATACAATCTGTTCTGAGAATGCCACGCCGAGGTTGTATACTTCATCAAGTGAGCCTCCAGCACCAGCAGCGCCGCCCATGACCTTGAGGACGCCGATCTGACCCGCCAAACCCCTACGACCAACCATGCTTCCGTTCTTGCCTACGGATACATCGTCGCCGCAGATAATTGTCCGACAGTTGTGGCCGTTGGCATTGGCCTTTTCGTTGGCTAATCCAAAGTGTAGGCAGTCGCCTGTGTAGTTTGTGATGACCAGAATAGTGCCTTTGTCGCTGGGGACTGTGTCTACCGCGGCAAGGATTTGCTTTGTGCTAGGGCTAGCAAAGATATCTCCCTGAACAGAAGCAGTAAGCATGTTCTTGCCTACATAGCCAGTCCATGCTGGCTCATGTCCAGAGCCACCTCCACTGATGAGAGCAACTTTGGATCTATCGTATGTTGTGTCATATACCACTCTGTTGGTTTCGTCGAGACTGAGAGAAGGATTGTAGGTAATGATGCCTCGTATAGCCTTGTTAACAAGACCATCAGGAGAATGGAAAAGATGTCTGTTAGACATTGTTTCGATTTGTGAAAATGTCCAGCAATAAAACGGAGTTACTGTCCGATAGAAAGAGTGTCATTGCTCGGGTCGAGGGCAGAGAATATAAGCAGAAAGCAAACTAATAAGGCCAACAAACTCCTACATCGGAGCTCCTGAGCCACGGAAGGACGAAAAAAGTCTTCCATCTCATCGTGATATCATTTGGAGGCCTGTACTACCATCTTCATCCAACACGCCATTGCGAGCGTGGTCGAGACCTCTCGTTAATGCTACCCCATATTACACGTCCCCCACACCAAATAACTTTAGGTTACCGATATAAATATATATGTCCCCGCAATTTTACGTTTTCCTCCACTGAAGAAGACCCTGAAATCATGATCCAACGGGATTGACCTGCGTGTTGAAGCCTCCCGTTTATGCCCCAGCCAGCCCCAGTCGGATTTCCTAATCGGGCAATACCGAGCATGTTTGGCAACGCAAACATCACTGTTGTTCAACTCCTGGAGGCAAAGAACCCCGCAAATATCGGTTTCAATGAAGCAAAAATGATCCCGTGAGACAAGAAACGAGATTTGATGCGGGTAAGCCGGCGTGGAGTTGCTTTGGCGCGGGGTGAAAGGAGGAGGAGGACGAAGCTTGTTACCGAAATTCGGATCGCGCTCGAAGCCATAAAGAGGCGAATGAAGCATTTCCCCTGTGGATGATAAAATATATTGACCGAAAGCGCAAGCTGCTGTTTTTGGAATTTTAGTTTCTGTATTACTTTTGAAGTGTATTCTTTTTCTACTTCCTCTTTTTCTTTGAATCAACTGTCGGTAAACAATATGGCAACCAAATGGAGGATTGCCATGGGATGTGATGTAAGTATGCACGAAATTTAAGTTCCATTGTCTGATCCAATAATGCTATCTTCTACAAAGGCTCTTTTATGATCAAATCCATTACCTTTACACAACGTATATAATCAGGATTGAGAACCTAACACAGATTCAACTCACATAGGACGCCGGTGTCAGCTACAAAAACACAATCAAGAAGGACTTCGAAGGCGATGACCGCGTAGGCGAAGTCATCGATGTAGGATCAGACAAGGCTTCAGACAAAACTCCTTACCCTCAAAGAGCTGCCGCCGCTGCTCGCCTCGTTGCCGAGGGCAAAGCCGATCGCGCACTGCTTATCTGCGGGACTGGTCTAGGCGTTGCCATCTCGGCCAACAAGGTCAAGGGCATTCGAGCAGTCACAGCCCACGATAGTTTTAGCGTCGAGCGGAGTGTTAAAAGCAATAATGCCCAGGTCCTATGCATGGGAGAGCGGGTTGTCGGACTAGAAGTTGCGAGGAGGCTGGCAACCGAGTGGCTAGCTTATGAGTTCGATCCATCCAGCGCGAGCGCTAAGAAAGTGGAGGAGATTGGATATCTAGAAGCATAAAGAATGTTGGGGGAGCGATAGAGAAACAACTACGAAGCATTATAACAGTTTCTTCCCATGTGGTGTTTGCTGATCATACAAGGGGTAGATGCGTGTAAAAGGTTGGGCGAAAGGCAACATGGTGGAATGCTGCATTGGGGACACGCAGGGACATGCAAACTTGAGATGGTTTCTCCTTATTCTGTATTAGTATAGAAGACTAAAACGGCTTGTGGCGCGCTGGGCTTCATACGAAAATATGGAGTCCATGACTTGTTTTAGCAACATAAAGAATGGAAATTGGCAGCACGCACTACGGACATGGCTCTTTTGGGCGTTGCCGACAAATGTTCACGAGACCAGAATGGATACACAGCTCAGGAGAGTACGAGTCCGCAGGAGATTATGCATGTCATATCATTTACCATATTGTATGATTGACAGCCTGAAAACCAAGCATGGCTTTACTGGTGTAAGCGCACAGGGCCGGAACTGTGGCCGGATGATTGATTATACGAAATAACCACTGCTTTGCCGGCATCCCAAAAGTGGAATGGACGGCTCGGAACCGGTGCGCGGGGAGCTCCTTGACAGGACCCGCTCAGCGAGACGCGCTGGAAATAGATAGATAGTCTTGATGGTATCGGATCCCAGGGGATTGCTTGTTTAACTTATTGTTATTCATAGACTATTGTTTGGATGATCGGGCATTGCTATTGCTTATTTCAGAAATTATCAGTGTTCAATTAGCAAACCCATTCAGTCGTTGCCTCGCTTCCGGAAATGGCGAACTCAGTACCGCGGCGCCGTCTCGTCGGCCTCTCTACCAAAATGTACTTTTCTCTTCAGCGAACAAGAGACTTTGCAGATAGCTTCATATCGAAACTCTCAGATATACCTCAAGAGCTCTTATCCAGCATTGACATATTTATTATCCCCGACTTCATTTCTCTCACAAACACAATCGCTCAGCTGGAATCAAGTCCTGTCCCCGTTTGGATTGGTGCTCAAGATTGCCATTGGGAGGACCAGGGAGCTTTTACTGGAGAAGTCAGCCCCTCTGTGCTAAGTAGCGCAGGCGTTAAGCTCGTGGAAATCGGGCATGCTGAACGAAGGAGGATTTTTGGTGAGGATGATACCATCGTGGCAAAGAAGGCAGCTGCGGCGAGTCGCAATGGCATGATACCATTAGCGTGCATTGGAGAAAGGACGCAAGGTGATGTGCATGTTGCCGTGGATGAGTGCCGTGTGCAAGTTGAGGCCATCATGAGTTCTGTACCCGATGAAGCAGAAGTTATTTTGGCCTATGAGCCTGTCTGGGCGATTGGAGCAAGCCAGCCAGCTGGAGAGACGCACATTCTCAATGTCGTTTCTGGAATTCGAGGCCTAGATTCTGTTCAAAAGAGAACGGGGGCAATGAGGGTGCTGTATGGAGGTAGTGCTGGGCCAGGACTATATGAAAAATTGAAGGGCGGGCTGGACGGGTTGTTTCTGGGAAGATTTGGACACGACCCGCAGCAGTTTGTCAGGACGATCCGGGAGGTTGCTGAGGCATGATTTGGGACAAAATACTATCTTGTTTAAACAACGCTGGCTAGGAGAGTTGACAAATTCAGGTGAGTCTACTTAGCTGCTCAACCAACTCCAAAGCTTCACAATAGCTGACGATCGTCGACAGATCAAACAAGGCCGCCTACAGAATATAGCGTAACGACCTGAGTGGCATTGGCCAGGCGCTACAGCTACCCCATCGACCTTATCCAGAGTTGCATCACTAGGGCATGGCACATGTAGCTATCGGGCTGGACATGATAGCTACATGTATTAAGAAACCAGGCAAGGCAATTGCCGTCAACAGACTTGACGCCTGGCCGCGGCTAATAGGGCTAGGACTAGTTGATTGTCCGCTAGACATTTATTAAATTAAGTTTTCCCGAGTTGGAACATAACACTGGTTGAAGCTAAGCCTTAACCATCGTGGAAGCGATATTGGTACTGTATGAGTCTTGAGGTCAATATTGTAGTCAAGGCATCCAGTGAGAATTTATCGTGCTCTTCATCGTCACGCAAATCATCAATTGCAAAAATTACTATAGAGCCTATTTTCTGTTGAAGAGTCTTGGGCGATCATCGGAATACAAAAAAGATTTGAAACTGTGGCCCTTGAAAATCCCAATATCGCACAAACAATAATCCCACAATAACTTAAAAATATCTCATGCTAAACCGAGTTCAATGTTGTCAAAGCGGCCAAGCACGGATACCCCCGGACAATTGCCGCACAGTTGACGTCTCTGCAGTGCCGACATCGCCGTCACTATGATTCCATCGAGAGCCGATCGTTCTTATCTTACCCCTCCCTCTGGACAAAATTTTAGGAGTATAAATTGAGATTGAAAATAACGCAAGTCTTCAATTCTTCTCTTTCCCTTACCACAAACGTACCCAATTGACAATCCAAAGTCCAATATTTCCCAATTGAAAAAGGAACAACAGTGATATAATTCACAGTTTGTCATAGGCATCACTCCAATTGAGTGTCCAGATGCATCTAACAGGTTCAGGTCATATCTTTAATATACCATTTGGTACAACTTTCCCCCCGAAATAGCACGTCGCCATGGCGTCCTTCGGTGGTAATGCATCCAGACGGGATCATGTCTCTTCAGGTAATGTGTATCGCATGAGCCGGTGCCCGCTCTCTTCTCCTCTTCAAAATCTCTCATTGGGTCTCTCAAGTCTCTTTCCTTGCCTTTATGCAAGATAAAGAGACTGAGAAGGCTTATGGGTGATGAGGAGGAGGGAGCGTGGCTGAGAATATACGGCCCTGGAACTTGATCTGGATAATACCAGCGAAAGGATCATGCTCTTCTTCCTTCTTACTGTTTACAGAATCCTAACTGTCGCAGGCCCATCATGACTCCTCCCGCTGCCATCTCCCCTACCCAGCGCACTGCTGAACTTGTGACCCCCAAGTCCAAGCTGGCTGTTGCCCCTTATGATGGCGCTCAAACCAAGACCGTCGCCGAGATGCATGGCGAATGGGAGTCTTTCGCCTTCTCCCCTATCCGCGAGTCCCAAGTCTCGCGTGCCATGACCAAGCGCTACTTCGAGGACCTCGACCGCTACGCCGAGTCCGACATCGTCATCGTGGGCGCAGGATCATGCGGCCTCAGTACCGCCTATGTTCTCGGCACCAAGCGCCCAGACCTCAAGATTGCCATCATTGAGGCTTCTGTCTCGCCTGGAGGAGGTGCCTGGCTGGGAGGCCAGCTCTTCTCTGCCATGGTGATGCGTAAGCCCGCTGATGCTTTCCTCCGCGAGATTGGCGTCCCTTACGAGGACGAGGGCAACTACGTCGTTGTCAAGCACGCCGCGCTCTTCACTTCCACCATCATGAGCAAGGTGCTGCAGCTGCCCAACGTGAAGCTCTTCAACGCTACCTGTGTTGAGGATCTTATCACTCGTCCCTCTGCAGACGGAGTGCGCATTGCTGGTGTTGTGACCAACTGGACTCTTGTGTCCATGCATCACGATGATCAGTCGTGCATGGACCCCAACACCATTAATGCTCCTCTTGTTATTTCAACCACTGGCCACGACGGCCCCATGGGTGCCTTCTGTGTGAAGCGTCTCGTCAGCATGGGCCGCATCGAGAAATTGGGCGGCATGCGCGGCCTCGACATGAGCAAGGCCGAAGATGCCATTGTTAAGAACACCCGTGAGGTGGTGCCCGGCCTCATTGTCGGAGGCATGGAGCTTTCCGAAATTGACGGTGCCAACCGTATGGGTAAGTTGAACGAAACTTTGCATTGAGGTGATGAGATGTGCTTGCTGACATAGAGAGATGCAGGCCCTACCTTCGGCGCTATGGTTCTTAGTGGTGTCAAGGCTGCGGAAGAAGCCCTGAACGTCTTTGAGACTCGCCGCCAGGAGAATGCCTTTTAAAGGAAATGAACAGATTGATTGAATGGTGGACAGAACAGACTGATAACTACTCTTGTCATTCATTTACGTGCTATTTGTTCTGGTATGGTCGGTCACTCATTGGCAAAAATAGTAAAATTAGTAAAAGATCAAAAAAAGAAAAGCTGCTAAACAGATTGCTATACAAAGCAGCAGTGTTTAATTAATACGTCTTCGCGCCAGACTAAATCTAGAAGTGATGTACAAATACAAAAATGCTAATATGATGTAAACGCTGTGGTATCTATCTATCAATGCCTTTGCACTCGCTTATAGTATAATACAGGTAAACGATAACTCCCATCGTGGATACATTTCTATCCCTTTGCCCCTTTCTATGTTGAAAATTCATCAATCACGCTCCTTGATTCCGTAAACTTCTTATCCACTTCGACAACGGGCATCTTGAATCCGAATCCCTCCGGACCGCCCACCTTGATGCCCTTTTCGCTCTTCCACAGAGGATGTGCAGGAAGTGCAATAACACTAACGCGCAAGCCGTATCTGAGATCCTGCGAGCCAATTGCTTCGCCGTCTTGTCCCAGGATCGAAATGAGATCTGGCACTGTGCATACAATCTCTTGAGATTCTTCTGATCCTTGAGCATCGGTAAGAGCAGCATAGAGGTACTCGTTTTGAAATGGTATTGTCATGTGTCGACTGGTTGGGGCGGCCTGTTGTTTGCTGGCAGTTGCAGCATCGCGTTCTTCGCTATTCAGAGGGGCGATAATGACCGATCCCATGGTGTAGCCTCCTCCAAGATAGCGTTTAACATCGACGATTTTGCCGCTAAAGAGGACTTTTCCAGCACACTCAGCAAACTGCGAGTCAATGTTAGCTTATTCATATAAAAGAGACTAAGAAGAATCTTTAGAAATCCAAAGTTCTAGCGTGGCTTACAATCGCATCGATGTAACTTGTCTTCTGCCTTCTCGCCTGATGAATCGCGCGGCCCAAATACCAAGTCAGTGATAAAGAATTAGGAATTCCGTACTGCTTGACGATGGAACCGGAGAGAGGTGCAGCACATGCTGCGCAGCTCAGACCAAGCTCGATGGCCGATGAACGCAGTATCGTCTCTAGCCGCTCAGGTGTGTCCGTACTCTATGTAACTTATATTAGCACTGCGCTCCTTGACGAAGACATGCATAGATGGAATGCTTCATAACATACCATGACAACATTAACATTGTTGCGAGCGTCTGTGAGAACACAAGGCACTAATGACTGGCCGTATACACTGAAAGTGACTATATTCGATCAATCAGCAACTTGTATATCAAAGGAACTAAAGACCATGCCAAAAACCTACCATGATACATTGTTGGGTATGCTCGGCCCATTGCATCTCCGTCCACGATGGGAATGTCAAAATGAACACTTGTAGGAAAAGATGAAAGCCCGTTACCGCCGCCACTATCTCTCATTAGCAACTGTGACTCGTTTTATATCCCCCTTCTTCCCCTTTTTTTTTTCAATTATGAAAGAGAGGAGAAAGAAATGATTAATGAGCTTCAAACTTACATCTCATCTGGAAGAACGGCATCGATAGATTTTCCCGCCAGCCTGGATGAAGCCTCAATGCCACTCGGGATCTCGTTGCCTGAGGACAGCCGCTCATTGATTACGCTTGGACTTCCATACCATGAGCCGAAAAACACCTGAGCTGTATCATCCAACGACTTGGGAGAAATGATCCTCATTTTACCCTGGCCACCTGTCCGCAGTGCGTGCAAGCTTTTGAGAAACTCGTAATGAGTAGAGCCTCCACCTCCAGTGCCAAGTACACCACATCCAGTAGAAATAAGCTCCAAGTCGACTTCTGAGACATACCAGACCCCACCCCGTACATCTGGACGATATGTTTCTAAATCTACGTGTAGGGACGGCTTAGTAGTCGGCTCAAGGGCATTTGGCACGCTGACTTTTTCTCCTTCATCTTCCTCCTCATGCTCTTCTTCCTCCTTGTAATCTGGATTTTCACCTGCCGGAGGGGTAGGTGGCGGAGTAGGTTCGTCTGGAATAGCCAGCCTGCCCACCGCGCGAACCTGGATTCTGACGGTGACTTGAGACATGTACTGCAGAGGCATTTTGTTTATCTCGACAATACGCACGTCGTCAGGAGATGCTCCTTTCTCAATGGCTTGATCGATGGCTCTCGCGCAAGCCGCGTCGAGAATGTCCTTTTCACTCTTCCCTTCGAGAATTTCCACAGTATCGACCTCTCCAGAAACTTTGGCAATAGCGGCGCCAACGGCGTTAGCAGCACCCTGATGAATAGGGTGGATGCATTTATCAACTCCTTCCAACCCGTCTTTGACTAGGAGAGCTCCGCCGCCGACGAGGAGTACGTGAACCGGCGCAGATGACACCTTCATCTGATCAATTACTCTTTCGAGTTTTCTCTTGATTTCCTGTCGAGCAAGACTAATGGTTTGATCCGGAACATCCTTGACCAGAGAGGCATCTCCAAGCTCGGCCTCGCCAAGAGCAACAACAACATCAGTTGCCGTTAATGTTGAGCCGCCAAAGATCTTGGCTTGCTTCTTAAGAAAGTGTCCAACAGAGCCAGGACCAACACGGACTGTGCCATCGGCTGCAGTTTCGACCTTGCTACCCCCTCCTAGACCCATAGAAACAACCTCTGGCATTGAAAAGGCTGTCCGAACGCCTCCAATTTCAACGAATCCGGGAGCCTGGCGCGGAAAGCCGGATGGCAGCAGTGCGCATACATCGGTTGTAGTACCACCAATATCAACCACCAGTACTTGGGGCTCGACTATACCATCAGTATCGGCACCGCTGTCGTTCAAAGCAGACGGAGATTTGTTGTCGAGTCCAGCGAGGAATGCAGCTCCTGTCATACTGTTCGTGGGACCGCTGGCGAAAGTTTTGATGGGATACTTGGCGGCAGTTTCGACATCGATAAGGGTTCCATCGTTTTGAGAAAGGAAAAGAGGACATGTTAGCCTTAGGCTTGCCATAGCACGCTTAAAGCTATGCTTCACTTTCTCCCCCGTCCTAAGAATAGCAGCATTAAGAATTGTTGCATTTTCTCTTTCGAGAAGACCCGTAGGTCCTATATCATGGGAGCAGACCACCCGCAACCCAGGAGCAGCCTCGAGTATAATTCGCTTGCACTCTTCTTCATGGATGCCATGATGATCTAGCGGCGAAAATACCCCAACCAGTGCAATAGCAGTGATGCCAGAAGCCACAACAGATTTTGCCGCCTCCTGGATTTGCCGTGGATTTAAGGGAGCTATCTCTCTCCCATCCATCTCCAGTCCTCCATCTAAGTAGTGGACGCCTCCATCAAGGATGCCGCGAAGTCCGAGGGGGAAATCCGAAAAGGGGGGGATTTGCTTTGTGAACGGGCCACACAACCGGAACACAGCGACTCGGTCCAGTCTCCTGGCATCAGCTTCGATGAGAGAATTGATAAAATGTGTTGTACCAATGGTCACGCTGAGGATGCGAGACTTTTCGACTTTGGATTGATCGAGGACTTCTCTGATGGCGGCTTCTACACCGCTGGTGATGTCAGGGGTGGTTGTTGCCTTCCATGATGCTAGGACTCCCCGTCCGGGCTCATCGAGGGCCTTGAGGTCCAAAATAGCCGCGTCCGTGTTGGTTCCTCCAACGTCGACACCTATTCTATATGGCATGCTGCTTGCTAACCGGAAATGACAAGAGGAAGAGGAAAAGGAAAGCAAGAAGAAGAAAAATATCAAGAGGAAAAGGCTTGGATTTTTCTTTTTCTTTTTTATTCTTTCTTTTTTTCCTATAAAATTTCAAACTCCATCAAACCAAAAACAACATTGAAATATTTCCAAGGCTTAGAGAATGTCTGCGAGTTATGAAGTAATGGCCAGAAAAAAAATGGCGTGAGGGGCTCATAGTTGGAAGCTATAGGGGGCGCGCCGGCTGCAATCTAGTGCGGCCATGATTATTTTCGTTATTACAATTTTAGATGGAGCAGAAAATCTCAGCGGCGAAGTTTCGCTCAACGGCGAGAGATGGAGTCGCATACGGAGTACCCCGACTGCATCGTCGCCTACGAGGTGGAGATGCTGCTTGTGGGGGAGAGAGCCAAGACTTTCATTTCCAGCAGAGAAGGGCATATGATTTGATCGTATCTGGCAGATTGGCGATCGAGACGGCGGCCAACTGGCCTTGCCCCTCAAACGGGTAAACAAGGCTAAAGCGTCCCGGCCAATGGCCCTGCACGCAGAGGCGTGGACAACAGATTACATGTATGTAGTACTGCGTACTAATTATACAGCGGGTTGGCCGGCTCTTGTCCCACGCACGCAAACGACTCATTCAGCCAGTATCAGGCGCACATCAAGCCCATCACACCACCCGAGGCAGAAGAGTAGCATCGGGGAAGACTCAGCTCGGCCAACTGAGAGCACAAAAGTTCGCCGAGCGTGCCGCTAGCAGTTTGCCGATCACGCAGGCATGAGAGAAGTCAACGTCAATCAACTCTCGATGCCATTCGAGAAGGAAGAAGCTATTTCGGAGACTAACAGCAAGCAGCAGAAGAGAGCTCGTTCTAGAGACGTCCTAAAACCGAAATAGTCGCACCTGGGAGACGAGAGGAAAGAGGGGGCAGTTGAGCAGGCATGGGCAGCCAATCAACCACAGGCGTCCATAGTCCGCACGAGTACGGAATTGTCGTAGTAGCAGCAGTGCTGCGAGCTTTTGGTGGCCTGATCTTGTACAGCCTCCAAAGTCCGCGGCATCTCGAAAGCTTCTAGCGGGCCCGTCCCTGCGGCGCGCATGACCAGGGCAAAGCAAGCTGCGGGGTGGAGATGCTGCCATCTTCGACTGTTGCTCCCCTCCCCAGCCCAGCAGCAGCAGCAGCAGCTTGAGCAGTACTTTGCGACGGCCGCTGCGGTCAGCCCGCGCTGACTAACATTGAGAGGGCGGCCATACTGCCTATTCGATCTATCTACTTGTATGCACAATACAAATGAGTGCCCGGGTTGAATAGCAGCCACAATTGCCTAATGACCACTAGTCGACGCCTTAGCCCAGCGAGCTGGCTTGACTCGAGAAGAAAAGCTAAAACACTGCTTGGCCGCTCCAAGTCCCCTTTTTCTCCATCTCAACCTCCACAAAGGGCAGTTTCGTTTCTCGCGGCCTTGCACCAGTCAAGACGCTCCGCTAGGCCCGGCCGCTGCTAGAGCTCAGAGTTTGAATTTGGGCATTGATTCGGCTCTTCCCGCGTCGCTAAATCGGCCGATCCTTTGGTTTTGCAATTGGGACGAATACCGCTTGCTCTGGTCGAGTCGGCCCCACAGGGGTTGCCGTAGGAGTGAGAGCTCACCATCGATCACGGCGCCGTCGATGCACATTGCTGCTGGCTGTTGATTCGAGAGACGAGAGCGTCTCGTTGAGCGCTTCGCACGGGACTCTGGGAGCCGGAAACCGGGGCTCATCGACAAACCGCGCACAAGCCCAGACCTCGATTTGGTCTTTGTTCTGATCGTTACGAGCGAGGCACGCGTCCACTTCTAACGCGACAATGGGATTGGCCGGCCTCGTTGAGCGTGCAAGGCTCCCCTATGTCTCGCAATGGATTGTAAGCCTCTTCCACCGTTGGCGCGCTGCTATCACGGTTCCTGCCTGCTATATCCCCCCATTCAATGCTCGTGCTCCTCCTTCGCACCGTCCATCTGCTCATGTCTTTTGAGAAATAACCATGAATCTTGACAATTGCTAATTGATGATCCTTGTTCGCGCGTCTTAGAATGATGATATTCGTCCCGTAGAGGCTGCCAGGCGAACATGGGGCTTCTGGACCTTTCATAATTACTGTAAGTGGTCACTCGTTGAAATGGGAGGACCGTAATACTCCGTGTAGGGCGGATTGGGATCCTTGGTGCTGTTGGCACTAACAAAAATATCTTTCTCCCTTACCAGGGTTGCTGATCAACTGCAACATTGCAACCTTCCTTACGGGAAGCGCACTGATCCCCCTGGGCCTCAATTGGTGGCAGGCTATTATTGGTACGTCTATTATCCCGAAGCGAGAGTTGCTCTGGAATCGGTTGGCTGACAGGCGGTCGTAGCCATCGTTATCGGGAATATTATCGCCACCACGGCAATTGTCATCAGCTCGCTATCAGGAGCCTACTATCACAGTAAGCATCCCTACTCGCATGCCTCGCCAAAATAATTTTGGTGTGCTAACCAGCTTCTCTCCAGTTGGTTTTTCTGTCTACAGCCGTGCCGTCTGGGGCATGTGGGGTTCGCAATTTGCTATTTGGAACCGTATATTCTTGTGTTTAGGTATGTTGCATCTCTGCCGGTCTCGCAAATATGTGTAGTATGCTAATGATCGGTATATCAGTCTGGTTAGTGGATTGATATTAACAAGGTCGTCATCCGTCAAATGAGCAGCTTTGCTAACCGTTGCCGTGCATATACAGGTACGGATTCCAGTCATGGGTTGGTGGCCAATGTTTCGAGCTGATTCTGCTTTCGTGGGATCCCAATTATGAGTCTCGCATCCCCAACCACATGCCTGCCTCTACGGGCATGACCACAGCCCAGTTTGTGTCGTACATAATCTTTTTCGTCATCAGCCTTCCCTTCGTATGGATCAAGCCGCACCGTCTACAGAAATTCTTCTATATTGCCAGCGCGGTTACCATGGTATTCTTCATAGTACTTCTGATCTGGGCTTTGGCAACCATGGGTCACGGAGGCTTTGGTGACACTATAGACTCGGCAACCACCATTCCCAAGACCGGCGGGCCGGGCAGTCTTGCCTGGCTCATGGTATACGGGATAATGTCCACCGTCGGCTCCATTGCCGCCGGTATCCTGAACCAGAACGACTTTGCACGTCTGGCGAGGAAGCCGATGGATGCTGTCTGGGGCCAGCTAATACCGTACGGCGTATATAGCATCTTAACGTCGGTCATTGGCATTTTGGTTGTTGGAGCGACGCAGAAAAGATTTGATGGCGAGGCCGTCTGGAACCCACCGACCATCTTTGTTCGCCTATTGGAAAAGGACAACAGCCCCGGGACCCGCGCTGCGCTCTTCTTTGCGGGGGTTGCCTTGTGCATTTCACAAATCGGCAGCAACGTGCCTGGAAATGCGTTGGCCGGCGGCATCGATCTGTCGTCGGTGTTCCCGCGGTACATCAACATTCGCAGAGGCGCCTACATCACGGCTATACTGAGTCCGATTGTCAACCCTTGGCAGCTGGTCAACACGGCGACCACGTTCCTCTCGGTCTTGTCCAGCTACGGCGTCTTCCTGGCGCCCATGACGGGCATGATGTTTGCTAATTATGTGTTTGTAAACAAGCGCAAGGTCAAAGTCGACGATCTTTACCACGGCCACAGCGGCAGCATTTATTGGTACAATTACGGCATTAATTTCCGCGCCCCTGTTGCAGTGAGTTCAGTCCTTTGTCCTTTTTTGTGAATCACATGTCTTTCTTTGCTAACTCTGCCGATGATAGTGGGCCGTCGGGGTTGCACCAACCCTGCCCGGCTTTATTGCGGCTATCAACACATCCGTGTCGCTGCCTGATGGCATGACGGAGCTTTATTTCCTCAACTACCTGTACGGATTTACCTCCAGCGCCGTCGTTTATTCGCTGCTTCACTGGATCTTCCCTGCCAAGCCTGTCGATGACTTTGTCAAGAATGCACCAAGCGCGAAGGAAGTCCAGCGGCATTTCACAGATCGCTGGGAAGTGGACCTGTCCCAGGCAGGCCAAATCCTGTCAGACGACGACGGCTCAGGAATTACGCATCTAGACGTAAACACAAAGCATGAGCCCACTGCCATATTTTGATTTGATTAGCAAAGCGGATGACTTTCTTTTGGGGGGGAATCTACTTCCTATACCTTTACAGAAAGATTTGTGATTTGTGATTTGTTTTCTTTTTAAATACAACTTCTGGCCAGGCGAGCTGCTGGCGTGCGAGATGAGATGCGATGCTGGATAGACCGCTTTGATGACCAGCGTCATTTCGTCAAGGCATTGATTGGGCCGGATTATTGATTGTGTATATCGGCACCATGTGATTTTACCTTAGTTTGATTTATTATAAAAGGTGTGCCGTTTATCTAATAGAATACAGAGTGGACTATCTAAGTCTACATACTATCTACTCCGCACTATCATGAACAATGGCGAACTAATACTTGCGCGAATTCAATGCGAGGGTATCTACCCCGATCCTACACGTGTCTTACCTCAGTAGGTAGCACATGCAATAAAGTTGCCCGATCCTAACACGCATCTTCTTGATCCTTAACGCTCTAGATAGGTATGTATCTACCCAACTTAACCTTTATTTTAGGCATCGTCGTAGGGCAGATATCGACGTACGGGCTTCATCCTGTCTTGAAAATTGGCCGACAGTAAGACATTGGCCGCAGCCATTTCCTGCATGGCTGCTGCCCTTTGATAAACCCGGGCAGCCATTCGTCTTACACCATTTCATCTCCAAGACCCGCCAGCACTCTTCCCGTCATCTTAGCTCTTATGCACACATGTATGCCGAATCGCGAATCGCAAAGTTACTGTCGCACAGCGAATGGAGCTGCAGTACACGTACTCCATACAGGTAAGCGATGCGCGCTACGGATTAGCGGCCTTGTGCACTGTGCTCCGTAAGGCGGCCACTAAGCTAGCCCCCGTGCGCCAAAACCCGCGCAAACAGCCCGTCGTAGTACTAGGCAGTAGTAGTCACTGGCGGAATAGGCGAAGTGCGCCAGGGCCAGTCACGTTACTCGCGGCACCAGCTGGCCTCGAGACGCGGCCCAGAAAGCGATCCCCGCTACGTGTCGGCCAACTCGGACGAGTGCGCCATGGAACCGTGACGAAGCGTCAGCCCAGGAGAAGCTGCTTCGCCGCTGCGTTCGCCGAGCTACACGAGTCTGCTTTGTTTGTCTTTCTCACCATCTCCACCCGCGGTGCGGCGAAGAACACGAGCCCCAGCCAGTCCAGCGCGAGCCGGACGCCGCACGACTCGCTCGCCGTGAAACGCTCGAGTGACGCACGACATGCTCAGCGGCGCCGACCCGTTGGCCCAAGGCCAGCAGGCCCGTCCCCGCAAGTTCACCATCCAGAGCCAGTTCGGCCGGGCGAGACAGCCTCGGAGCCGCAAGAACCGGCCCTGCGACGCCTGCCGGAGGCGAAAGACGGCCTGCGTGATCCCCTCGGAGCCTCCTTGTAAGTGACTTGGCGTGTGCCATGCTGCTCTTGGCCGTCGTCTCCCTTGCTTTGTTCCCCAGATGCTCTTGTTGCCAGACGTCTCGAGCCTCACCACGCGTCGACGAGGGGGGTGGGGGTTGTCTGATGTGTTGCTGCGTGTGGATGGATGATGCTGCTGCGGCGTGCTTGGGATGGAAGACGCCCAGGCGGACACAGGAGATGCTGTGCATTAGCCCGCATGTTGCGTTGGCATTGGACAGCTATGGATCTGCATAACGGGTACAGCTCAGCTGTGTTGAGCGGTACTCTATGTACTCTATGCATGACACGCACCCTCCTCATTTTGGCCGTGTGTATGTATGTGTATATGAGGCATGGCCGTTGGCCGATACTACGCATGTGCATGCTGCATCATCTCTCCACAGCATCTTGTTTCGTCTCGTCCCGCTTCCCCATATACCACATTTCACGGCGCCGCCGAGTGCTAACATCAACATCGCAGGTCTTTTCTGTAAGAGCAGGGGATTGGTATGCAAGTCTTCGCCAACCCCTGATGAGCTTTCATCTCAACAGGACAGCGCCACCGAGAGTACCACTGAAAATGGAGTCTCTGAAGCCGAGTTCGTCTCGCCTCCAGGCATAGACTCTTCGCCGGCACCACCACGCCGCAGCGTCTCGCATTCCAGCCCGGCAGACACTATCCAGTCGTCGGCAGGTCTCAGTGCCGCTGGAGACCTGAGTCTAGAGCCGCAGCCGTCAGTACCTGCGACCGTCGTACATCAGGGCTTGGTTCGCCAGACAGGCTCTTCCGGAGACACCTTGGAACAAACCTCATATGGCCTCTCGCCCCCAGTCCCTTTGGCATCCAACTTCCCTGTTCATACACTCGAAGATAATTTCAACAGGACAGCACACTCCATGGGGCCATCAGGTGAACAAGACATATATCTCCTGGATGCCTTCAGATGCCTCATCATAAGCGAGAACGATGAGATCGATGCCAATATCATCCAGGTATACCCCGGAGGCCCTTCGGCAGATGATCGTCCGGTTCACTTTCTGCTATTGGAAAATGAGAACCCCGACTTCACCAATGAGGCAAAGCAACTCGCATCGGACGAAACGGAGACGCTTGTGTGGCCCTACGGCGAGCACTTGGTGCGCTTGTATTTCAAGCACGTCCATCCCATATATCCTGTTGTCACCAAGACTCGTTTCCTGAGTCAGTACAAAGCCAACAAGATGAAAATCCCTGCGTCGTTGCGCGGTGCAATCTATGGAATGGCATGCGTATTCTGGGACATAAAAGAACCTTGTCCCTTTGAGCAGCACCAATGCATTGATCACGCCCACGAGGCCCTTAGGCGCGAACATGAGAACCCTAATCTGTTCAGCCTGCAAGCAGGCCTTTTGCTCCACCACATCACACCTCCCGACGTCGACAGTGTTGAAACGCCGAGCATGTGGACCATGACGGCGCAGACCACGGCGTGTGCTCAGACAATAGGTCTTCATCAAGATCCTACTCGATGGAGCATCGAACCGTGGGAGAAAAGAGTTAGAAAGAAGCTTTGGTGGGCAGTATACGCTTCGGACTGCTGGTCCGCAATATGCCATGGGAACCCTCCACACATAAGCCCGTCGTCATTCAGTACAGCTCCACCTGATATGGACGATATTCGAGCTGACGAGACTGTTCCTGAAGATTTACGACACATGGTCGAACCTGAGGACGCTGTCTTCCAGGCTTCGGTTGGCGCCCGGTTTTTACAGTTTATTAATCTTACGATTGTCCTGAGAGATGTGCTGGACTGCAGCTTGTGAGTTAACCTCTCTCCACAAAGACTCAATTCAAATCAGTAATTGCTAACGTAGCATCATCTGCGCAGTCAAATTCGACCCAACCCATCAACCTTGGGCGAGAGGGCAGCACATTTAAACATCTTGCGAGACAAATTCAAAGATTGGCACGTCCTGCTTCCACAGTGCCTCGCTCTTGGCCCTGAAAGAGGGCAAGATGTAGCTAGTAATTGTAAGTGAGCAAGTCTTTTATTAGAAAAGGAGAGGCTAAACTGTTTTTGTTCAGGCCCCTTGCATCTCACATATTATGCTGCTCAGGCACTCTTATACCGAGGTTTGATGTATCCTGCTACTAGAGCAGCCAAAGCCAACCCCGAGTCAAATCTTCGGAAGTGGTTTGTTCCCGCTCTTAGCGAATTTCAGAACTTTGTCTGCTTTTTCGATTCCATCACTGAAGAAGATTTACGTGGTTTTTGGTGCCGCCGTAAGTACTGACAGCTTTGGCGTCATTATGAAATGAACCCCCCCTCTCCCCATAATGTAACTGCGCTGACCAAAGAGAAAACAGATGCTCGATCTCAGCTGATCTTGTGTGGAAACTTTCTCATTTACCTCTTTCTGCTAGCCTCTGACCAGGGGCACATTGAGGCTGCATACCAGCTACTGCAAGAATTTCATCACGCTCTGAAGCGCCTTGGAGAGACCACCCACAAGCCTGGGCGGCTGCTTCTACGACCTGCTAGACTCAGACTGGATTCTTTCTTCCGTCAGGCGGCTACAATTTTGCGTGGAAATGATGCACCTATTATACCACCCATTAATATCGTCAGCTAATATAGGGCCTATGAATTCATCTATGAAGCATGTAAAAGAGAGAAGAAGTTGGTTGATTTTGTACGGAAGTTCGCATTGCTACAGCATTTGGAATGGAGTGTTGGATGTTAGCCCTTGTTTGCGTTGGTTGCAAGTTGAAAGAAGAAGAACAAAATGACCTTATCTTGCAGCCGCTAAACTCTATATCAATTTGACTATACTCCATATCACTATAAGCATCTTATCAGTATATATGCTGACGTGGCATACCTTGGCATACATGCGATGCACAGGGGAATCCAGCAGTCCGTTTTTCCTGTGGGAAGTATGCCCTCGCTGGTTATGCGCGCAATATCAAGGACAGCTCTGTCGACATACCCCGCTCATACGGCTTTGTCATTATTTCTAAGGCGGCAATGGCACGTTTGGTTATACGTTTTATATGTTTTTGCCATTATCCATCAATAACGTATATCTAGCGCCTATCATTTACATGGTGAGTTTATATAACTCAATTATGTACATTCCGGATTCTTTGCTCCCTTGTGAATTGTACAATGCTCTACTATGAAATAGCAACTCCCTTATCCCAGCTTCACGAGGTTCCTACTAATACTAAACAGATCGCTGAAGTCCAAGCTGATGCCACAGCTTCTGCGCAAATGCGTTTCCAATCTCCCATTTCCTCGCTCCTTCCGATAGTATCGCAGCAAACGGCGAAAGCCAAACTTCTACATTGCACTTACATAACTGAATTCCATGCAGCCAGATGTTGCCGCCATTTCGTATCCAGTTTTCTACTTCGGGGCTCTTTCCCGTCTCTAGGCACACAAAGCCAAAATCCAGCCCGTCAACGAGCGGCACATTCATGCAATCGCAAGTGCACGTCATGCCGTTGTTCTGTATCCATGTCCATAAAATGCCAGCCCCCACCGCGATAGTCATGTGGGCAATAGGATCGACGACTTCTTCTTTTAGCTCAGAAGGAGAAATGTGGCCGCCATAGATGCGGTATGCGAAGATGGCATGCGAGACTGCAATTCTGCTGTCCATGGACGTCGCCCACTCCTTGATCTCAGCAGTATTTGGAGGATACATGAGAGTGATGCCGCAAGGGGCCAAGCTTGATGTGATGCCTGGGAGATTTTGCATATAGCTTTGGGCATCGGCGTAGATGTGCATGCTAAGGAGGTGGTACATCATGGTGGCGCTGAAGACGTAGGAAAAGAATCGGCCCCGTGAGTACTTTTCCCAATCCTCGTGGAAGGGCTCTTCCGAGCCCATATAAGCCCTGAGGAGAAATTCAATATGCATCTTGTGTTGCTCTGGATCCATCCACAAGGCAGTCATGCCGTCCAGTTGTAGCTTGCAGCGCTTTAGACGGGCGGATATTAGTTCTTTCTGGTCGGCAGATGCGCACAGTGCCGGATTCGGGTTCCCTCGCATCTTGCTAAGGATCCAAACGTAGTTGGTCACACCCATCATGCGTATTTGTATGTCTTCAACTAGCATGACGGGTGAGATTGGCTGGTGCGATCCCAACGCGAGATCGCATATCTTGTACGAGGATCGTTCTAAGGGCTCGGAAGGCCATCTCCTAAAGAAGACATCGAGACCATGGGCGTTCCATAAGGCGAATGTGGAAGTTAATCCGAGACTCATTTCTTCGCGTTGGACTGATGGTGGTTGTTGCGTTAATAGCGAGATGTATGTATCGAGTTTGAAGAGAGTGGTGGTAAGCCTAATAAAGACACGCTCAGGGGTTAGCATAGCCACTTCAATTCCCAATGAAAGACTTGAAGCTTCAATTTTACCTTTTCCACTTCTCTTTCATGGCAAACGCCCATGGGGGGAAGTCGCCGCTGAAGTGGATCCTGATCTGATGCTCTACGGCTTCGGCGTTGAAGACCTTGAGCTGGCGAAATACGGTGACAAGGAGGCTGTACAGGAGGCGAGCTTTCTTCATGAGTTTCTCGTTCTACGATGATCAATTTAGTATCTCTGCATCGTATCTCTTCTGGAAAAAAGATGGCACAAAACTTACTCCGCTTTCAAATGCAAAGATGACATTCAACAAGGCTGATTGAAGGGTCCTGATGGGCCAGACGCCGGCAGGATCGACAGTAGTCTCCGTCTGCAGAGAGTTAGGCCATGTAAGTAAATTGCCTCTCCATAATTGAGAGAGCAACTTACAAGATCAGCGAGGAGGGTTTTAACAAGGTTGCTGTGGATTTCAAATACGATGCTGTTGCCTGCAGTCTCGTTCTGCACCCAGGAGCCTATCATGATGACAGTACTTCGCAGCCCGATGGAAATTACTTCCCGCTCAAAAGTCGGGATGTGCAATATGGGCCACCGGTCATGGAAATGTCTCATGTATGCTTTTATACATTCCGAGGACCATTTTTCTACCTCCGGGGGCAGCTGTAGTTGATTTCTTGACAACGCTTCTGAAGAGAGAGGATTGGAAAGAACATTGAGGATTAGTTTCAATCCCGCTGTGGCGATGGATGGATCTGGATGCTGTGTTCCCTGAGTGATGGGGGCCACTATATTCGTGTAGATGACTTGGCTTATATCAGGTTTGGGAGTGTCTTTGGGGTCTGAGGTCTGTATGCTGGGCGTGGGAGGATCGGGCGAATTCGATTTAGAAGCTAATGGCAAGGAAGAGACGCTCCTTCGTCGCAAATTAGATGCGCCATTGGGTCCAGGCCCTCTTGTGAAAGCACAGTCTATGCCTCGCTTGGTACATAGAGAGCATCGAGTGCCTCCGTCACATCGGATCTTGCTGGCGTGGCAAGCATCACAAGCCCGTACCCGTTTAGAATCTGAGTGAGCAGGGCCATCGTGTAATGTTAGGTGGCGGCGAAGAAGATCACTGTAACGACCGAGTTTTCTAACCTTTAGCCTGCGTCTCTTTGGTCGAGTCATAAGGGGGGAGCTCGTTTTCCTTTTCATTTACTCCGGGCAGAGAAGGGGACGGGGGAGCAGTACTCTCTCTACTCACCTGCGACTAAACGATCGAGAGCACACATGACACGTAAAAGAGGGACTGCTATGTATAGCCTGGTGGCGGCGAAGGTGTTCTTTGCGTAGAAAGCCTCTGCCGCAGTGGCAGAGATGACGCTGTCCCGATGGGGGGGGCATCTCCTGAGGCTATTGGTGTCTCCCACTTCCCATCCGAAGGTGGACTCTTCGCGACGTCGTTACGGAGCACCTTAGAATGCGATGGGATTACCGGGGATCTCGTTAGCCAGGCCTGCTGTCTAACAGATCCGCTTATGCGGCTGAACGAATGAACGAGTCCCGATTTGGGTAGTGGCCTATTAAACTCCCTTTGTCTCTCTGTCTGCCTAGAGAAATCTCGATATCTTGACCTTGAGAGAGAGATCTCGACGCTTGGACGGCAACCCACTCAACTCCACGACTTCTCCCACTGGACCCGAGACCTTTGGGGGATGCGAGCCCGCGACTTTAGTCAACGGGATTACACGGAAACGAAAAAAGAGATTGAGATGCAGTCGTCAAAAGGCCCCAGAGAGGACTTATGAAATTACCAAGCAACGCACCAACGGTTCGGGCGCGATACACTTTTTGGTGGTTGAGATAGATCGGATCGGAGCGGTGGTGGGATAAAGATGTGTAGTTGATTAAAAACCAAGATCCACGAAAAAAATAAAAATAAAAATAAAAAATAGCGGCCACCAGATGGAATAAACAGCAAATCAGCGTTGGTATCAAAGATCTAGAACTACTCAGAAATAGCCTGCATGAAGAAGACAAAAAAAGAACAAAATACTTGGGCGCCGGCAGAGTGGCTGTAAGGCTCCGGGGTAGAGAGGATGATAAATCTGCTTTACTTGGAGGTTTTGAGTTCGGCCATCCCACTTTGAAATACAGGCTGTTCAACTCTAGTGGCCTCGTCGGCATCTCCCACTCCGAAACAAGCCTAGCTGCGATGCTAGATATGTCATCCGCCGGGCTGTCCTCTTTCCAGCCTAGGCTGGCCTTTGACTAAACCGTCGGAGGCTGTCCCGGAGTGGTCCATGGAAGATTGAGAGATTGCTGCCGGGATGAACAACAAGCGGAATTAGCAGGGAATTGATGTTCAACGCCCCGGTTTCATTATCTAGCACACCAGCCATACAAGGCCAAAGTCGCGGATTTACAACTAAATGTATCTTTTTTTTTTCTTTCTCTCTCTATACTGCTTGTACTTCCCCTACTACTTCTAATATTTCTACTACTTGTAATTTTCTAAGTGTTATATATTTCTGAAACATTCATATGTGTAGACTAACTACCTTATTACACTAACAGCTGACATGCTGGATAACAAAACTACGTATAGCTTGAATAGCGATTCCGGATTTAGAAGCAGGGTGGGAGGAGGAATTAGTAATCTGGGTCGCCGTTACAGATGCTACCCATCATCCCACGAGAAAGCTACGAGAATTATGGGGGCGGACGAGTCTTTGCGGGAGGCTAGAAGATTGCATAATCGCGGAGACAGTTGAGCACTTGCCAGTCATGGACCCTCTTGAAGCTGAGTAAATAAGGCATTTGCTATGTGGGATGAAATGGCGCAAGTAGAACGGAATATGCATGGCCTCATGTTGTCTCAGGTTTAAAAGAGACAGAGTTGTCAACCGTCTTGTCCAATTTACACAGCAGACTTTCAACAAATTCGGAACCAGATTCTTACTCTACTCTGCTGAACAATAAAAATCATCATGGCTGCTCTTCTCAAAAACGTTGCCCTTATTGGCGCCAGTGGTAGTGTAGGCAAAGTACTCCTAAAGGTCTTTCTCGACGATGGAAGATTCAATGTTACAATCCTTCGTCGGGGCAGTTCTAGCGCTACTTTCCCCAGCACCGTCAAGGTCGTCGACGTTGATTACGACTCTCTCGAGTCTCTGACTGCTGCTCTCGCCGGCCAGGATGCAGTTGTATCTACCATCAACCCAGCTATTCCCATCGACACACAAAAGAGATTCGTCGATGCTGCCATCGCCGCCGGCGTCAAGCGCTTTCTTCCTTCGGAGTTTGGTTGTGACTTGAACAACGAACTTGCCAGGACGCTACCAGTCTTCGCACCAAAGATCGAAGTCCAAAATTATCTAAAGGAAAAGGCTCAGACAACCCCACTCACATACACCTTTGCATACAGCGGCCCGTTTTTGGACTGGGGCCTCGAGCATCAGTTCATCCTCAAGACGGTCGACAGCAAGCCCAGTCTCTTTGATGGTGGCAACACCGTCTTCAGCACCACGAACCTGAGCACCGTGGCCGAAGCTGTGCTTGCCATTCTATCCAAGCCTGAGGAGACCAAAAACCGCGAAGTCCGGTTTCAGAGCGCGGCTATTTCTCAGAACGGGCTCCTCGCGCTGGCCAAGGAGGTTGCGCCTCAACGAGATTGGCAGCCCGAGGTGGTCAAGGTAGACGACCTGGTTCGTGTTGCGGACGAGAGGCTGGCAAAGGGGCTGTTTGACCATCAGACTTTCGCACCCTACCTTTTCCGTGCCATTCATGATCCGCGGTACGGCCCGAAGTTTGAGACTCTGGACAACGAATTGCTGGGATTGAAGCAACTGACGGAGGCGGAAATTAAGGGCATTCTCAAGCAATATTTGAAGGAGTAGATATATTAATCGTGCTGAATAGGCGAGGTTTGTATTGTAATGGACTTTATAGAATAGACAAGGATACAACATTCACATTCTCAATTGGTTTTCCAAGCTCCAATATGCCATAGGTGACCGCTCATCGTGATGCATGTTTTTTCTTCGTATCAATGACGCATGACTAATTGTGTGACAAATGGCTACTTCGCCATGAATGTGGATCAAAGCAACGGTATTTCCCCTATTGGTTACGATCACCTGGTAGGAGACGTGCGTAATCTCGTAATCTCACCCGCCTTGGCGGAGTAAACAGCGCAGGGGGCTATCAATTGAAATGTTGTGCATAGCTAAAATAGTGCTGATTTCTCTACTATTAATGCCAGATTAAATCATGATATCTTGTTTATTTAACTAGCGACTTCGAATATTATTCACGTAGTTGGGATGTAAGATGCATCCGGGGTGTTACATCACATCCCGTGTGGCTTTTGTTATGTGTCGTGCCGTGAACACTGCTACTAGTTGGCAAAAGAGTTGTTACAATGGCGGTGATGGAGGCATCGTTACACAGCGGTCTACTACGCTGCCTGGATGTTAAAACATTGTTATGCGTTCTTGAATAACAGATATCAAGTGAATAAGCTCTCTACGCAGTCTTTTGTTTATATTGCTGTACTTTTAAGATGGCGACCATAAGGGCAACGTTGCTGTCAACCTTCATATCATGACCCTACATACAAACTCAAGCTTTCGTTGCAATCCATTGAAGGCTTTTAGTTGTTCATCTTAGCCTGATCTATATAGGGTATAACGATGGGAAATTATTCTTTATACGGCTTTAGATTCGAGTCTGAGTCTCTTCTATTAGTTTCTGACCAAGAAGAGCTCGGCAATACTGAAGCAGAATACGAGCAATGGCAGAACCTGCTTGAGTTAGACGCACAAGTAAGGTCTTGCATTACTATATCAATTGAGTCCATACATGGGTTTAACGTTCCAACAGGCGTCCATCTCTCTGCAGTCTCCAAATAACCGCTACGAGGCAAATCAGATACCAGCTGCAGAACACATTAGCGTTCAGAATTACCACACTCAAGGTTCTGACAATCAACAAACCAGACGAATAAATGTCGCCCATAGGCATTCGCATCTACCACAGCTCATCGATTGGGGTTCCGATTCCGGCTCAGGGATTGAGGATATAGTGGGTATCTACGGCAATGATCCCCAGGGCCTGCTAGATTCGCCCGACGAACCTATTTGGCAGATACTATACTCGTTTTCTTACCAGAATAGGCTCGATCCAGGGCGAGATGCATACGAACATACTGTTTCTGCAGAGAACGAGGCGGGGGCTCCACACGCGACTATCAAAAATGAATCTGAAGACGAAAATTACCCATTCGAGATAATGGTGGAGTCAGGAGAGGAACATTCTCATGATGAAGATAGTATTTTTGATGTCGTGTCAGAAGAAGAGAGCACAGATGATGAGTGTGGATTTGAAAGCGACGATGAGGACGCTGATGAAGACAGCGACAGCGACATGGATTTAAGCGAAGATGACGGTCACCTCGAGTTGGCCGAAGAAGCCGGCGAAACCACATACATGCTAGGAGGAGATCTCTTGGTCCGGATTCCAACGCACTCTGTGTTCGATCGATACTCCCCAGAGGAGTATTTGGGCGAAACCATTCTGGATATTGAATGGCCCAACAGTGGATGGCAGAATGCATTTAACCAGACAGAACAGAACTAGACATAAAACGAAATTGAATTTCTTCTGTAATTAAAAAAAAAATGAAGTCTTTGCTGGTTCTCTCTCTCTCTCTCTTCTCTAGCCTCCAGCTCTTCGCATCTAGACAAATAAACACTCAGCGCACACGGGGAATAAAAAGTAAACAAGCCATGCCTATAAATCGGCTCAATCCAATCCAAACTCTCAATAATACACCCGCTTCAATCCTCCTCTTCTGAGTCTTCGACATTCTTCACAGGCTTTGGCTGCGGCGGGAACTTCATCTTCCTAGTACCCTCAACTCCCCAGCCTCCCAGGCCTCCAGCAGCTCCTTCGCCCGCGAAACCTGATGCCGCTCCAATGGCGAGCTTGCCGGCAGGTTGATTCCCTGCCACGCCGGGCGCGGTCTCGGCCCAGGTATTGAGCTGGTCGCGCGTCTTGCCGGTGTATTTGAGGATGTCTTCGTCAGTCACGCCAGGCCCGCGCTTCTTGTCTTCGTAGCGTTGGTAGAGGCTTTTCTTGCCCGCGGCGTTGTCCGTTGAGTCGGGGCTTGAGCTGGAGTTGCCCATTGTTGCTTTGTCGGTGAGCGAGTTGCTTTGGGCTAGTATATGTGATTGCAGGTTGTTTGTAGTTTGTAGTTGAGTAAATGATCAAACATTGACTTGTGATACTCGCTGCTTTGAAATTGTGGAAGAAGCAGACGTCGAGGTATATAAATCATGTACAGGCTATTCTTCTCAGCCATATGTGGACTATCAAGTATTAGATCACGCGTCTTCTCTAGGCCAGCCAGTCACCGTCATGATCGACTAGTCCAGGCCCCGAAAATAAGCATACTCGGATTTTGTCACCGATTTGATCAAGAATCTCGTGCCGCTCGCCTCATTCGCCTCGCAAAGCTAAGCAGAATGCGAGAATGCGGGGTCAAAAAGGGCCGATGGAACGCATCATTCCCTTCGTAGCTCAGCTCAGCCTCACACTGCGCCTTGATTCCGCGCACATTGTACACCATTTTGTCGGGATCGTCGAGTGCTCCGCTACCCCATAGGCTATCGACCGATATGAACAAGCAAAAATCGATGGCTCCGTCTGCCAAGATGCTGTCAAAGTCGCTGTTATCGGCTCAAGCCGAAGGCGAGGCCGCCTCGGAGACTTTGACAGATCCAGAACCGTTAGTTGGCGTATCTTTGGATACTGTTTTAGACGTGTCTTTGGATATTGAATCAGACGTGTCTGTAGGTGTGTCTTCGGGTGTGTCTTTGGGTGTCTCTTTCTGTGTCTCTTTCGTGGCATCGCCGTCCTTTGTCTTCTTCGCAGCCACCAGTGGCTTCCTCCGGCCGCCTGCAGGCCGTTTATAGCCCAGCTTCCGCAGCGTGTGGCGGATACAGTACTCGCCCACGTCCCATCCGAGCGCCTGCGGAATCTTGCCAAAGGGCATCAGCTCGTTCTCCTTGGAAGCCTCCATAAACGCCTTGAGCTCCTGGACCTGCGCCTCCGTGAGCTTGCTGGGCCGCCCGGGCCGCGTGATGGGCGTCTCCGTGTGCGAAAGGGCGTACTGGACCTGGCTGAGAGACAGGTTGAGCTCCGCGCTGATGGCGGCGTGTGTGTAGCCCAGCCGGCGCATCAGCTGAGCATCGCGTCGTTGGTCGCGGGTGGTGTCGGGCCGCCTTGACTGCTGGTCTGGCTGATCTTCCATCTTGTAAAATAGTAAAATAGTCTGTCAATCGCTTCCACTCCTGTTGATATCAAACAAGATGCTTTGACGGGCGGACTAGCGGCGGCAGGCAACCAACAGTGTTTATTATAGATATGAGAGATATGAGCTATTTGGCGCGTGGGGAGTGATCGTCGTTTGTCTACAGGGCATTCTCTCCAACGCGTCCTCTTCCTAATCTGCTATAAAACCGGGGTGCCAAGTCGGCCTGAATGACACCATTGGCTGCCATATACATGTAGGTATATCACATATACACCCAAGGGGGGAAGACACAAGGGACGCAAAAGAGACCAAGAGATAGGAAATAACAAAAAGTTTTAATTACCCGTCGGCTATGTATAGCCCACGCGCAACAGCCAGGATATGGACATAAGTATATACGATTTTCTTTTGTACACGGAATGCCGCATTGAGGGTGTTATATGTCCTGGCACTGAGACACAACCGGGAGATTTCAATGTGGGACCTGGAATTTTGCCTCCAATCACAGAATGAACTTCACGTGTAAAATATTACAAAGATTCGAGCACGGTTATTGCAAAGTCTTAATATTTCCCATTTCTTCTATATGATTAAACTGCTCTCTTTTGTTTTTCTTCCTCTCGCTTATTTCGCTTAGTTGTGAGGAGCCAATCCCAGGGTGTTGTTGCCAATGTTGAAAGCCACAAACTGCGACTTGAAGAAGATGTCACCGTAGACACCCAGTCCACCTTGCGTAGTAGCCTGGAGACCGCCGAAGCAAGCTGCGTAACCACCCATGTCAGTCATCAACCATTCGGAACACAAGCGCTGTTTAAAGGGGGAGACGTTGTAAACTTACTGTTTCCAGAAACAGGCGAGAAGTTGAGATCGGCACCGCTAATGCGGGCGACGTAGTTGCCACCAACGTCAAGGTCAAGATCGGGAAGCTGAGCATCGCAGGGGACAGTGAAACCACCAGCCTGAGCGTTGTTCTGGGCACCCTGAACCTGGGAGTAGTAGCCGTTGACGATGATGGGGTCGGCAAGGAGGAGAGTGGTACCGGTATCAGCGATGGCCTGACCACCCTTGGTAGCCTGCTGGGTAGTGCCACCGTTGACGGCGAAGGACTCGCTGCTGAACTGCCAGAAGCCCTGGCTGTTGTCGACATTGACGAATGTGAGATCACCCTTGAAAGCAGTGGAGTCGATGGCACCGAAAGTGTAGGTTCCGGGAGCACCCTTCTTGAGATCGGCTGTGAACACGGGCTCAGCGAGAGAGCTGGCGACGTTGTCGAGGAAAGTCTTCTGCTGCTGGGGCTGGACGGTGTTGAGCTTAGAGAAGGCAAGGCCCATCAGACCATCGTTGGCCTGGTCGTTGACGAATTGCTGAGTAACAGCGGTAGCAATCTCAACAGCCTGGGCATTGAAGGAGGCACCGCCAACGTTGACAACATCAGTACCAACGTTACCCTCAGCACCGGAGCCGTCACCGTATGAGACCTGGAAAGTAGCACCCTGGATAGCCTTGAAGGTCTTGCTCTTGGTGGGGTCGAAGAGAGTGTGGCCGGCGGTGAATTGAGAGGACATTTGAGTGTTGAACACCCAGAGATCAGAAGAGCCAGTGTCGAAGTCGAGGTTCAGGGTCTGGCCACCAATGTTGACAGGGGACAGGAACTCAACATCATTGCCTTCAGGGGTGTTGGTGACGCTTCCAGTTTGACCAGAGGGGTTCGCAGCGGGCTGAGCAGCACCAGTTCCGTTTCCAGCAGCTTGACCCTGACCTTGACCAGCTTGGCCCTGACCAGCTTGACCGTTGCCCTTGCCCTTGCCCTTGCCCTTGTGGTGCCTTCCACCACCGTTTCCGTTTCCATTTCCGTTTGCGTTTCCATTTGCGTTATCATTTCCGTTTCCATTTCCATTTCCAGCGTTGTTGTTGTTGTTGCCACCAAGAAGGCCAAGCTCACCGAGGATATCGGCAAGGCTCTGGCGCTTCGCCTTAGGGGTTTCCTGAACAGGGGCGGCGGCGGCAGCAACAGCTCGGCGGGCGGCGTCGGTAGCCTTTCGAACCTCAAGAGCATCCTTCAAGTTCTGGGGCATCTCCATACCGAACTTGCGGTAGGCCTTTCCCAGAGCCTTCAATCCATCGTTTCCAGTGAAATTGGGGTTGGCTCTTCGCTCCACCTTGAACGAACGCTTCTGCATAGGGACGGCCGAAACCAGGGCAATGAAGCCCAGGAAAAGGGCCGCCAAAAGTAATCGTGAATGCATAGTAAACGAGTTTCTAACAAGTCGGGGGAAAAAAATAAGGGAAAAAAATAATAAAGAGGGTAGTTTTGGTTTTTTGGTGGTTGTGTATATACAAGAAAAAGCAAATTAAACCCACACCAGGTGGTTAAAAGAGAACTGAACAAGAAGAAAATGAAAGGGAAAAAAAAAATGACTTTGCTTTCGTCCCTCACAGAGGTGGCTGGCTAAGAAAGAAGAAAAAGAAGAGGAAACAAAAAAGGCGAACAGAAGAGCAGGATATATATGCACTTTTCCATCTTGATGGACATCGGGAACAGGGGCCCAGGAGACGCGGACAAGTCTCAGGATCTACTACCTTGCAGACAGGAGACGGCCAGCCCCATGTCTGCCTTTAGCCTGGCCTATACAGCGATTCCCCATAGTTGCCGGTAGCGCGAGATTTCCTTTTTGCCTCCTCATTTCCAAGCATTGTGGTGAGCCGCATCGTCCTCTGCAGCCGGTTCGTGGAGATGGCTGACCGGGGGGCTAAGCTTCAGACACAGGGTGCCTCACAATAGGTGGGCCCTCGACGGCTTTGGGCCGACAACTGGATGGAATCAACGCCATCCCGGCCGGTCTTGCTACGCACTCCGTACTAGCTGTTGATATTCCGCTCTGGTCAGCCGAGGATTTGCAGAGGCCGTGGCCCGTCCACGCCGTTAATCCGGGAATGGTAGGTGTTGTGGTTTTGAATCTTGATGATCAAAGCAAGTGCGTTTACACTAGAGCGACCAATACCACCAGTAAGCACAGCGTGAGGAGCAAGACGTGCGTGTTAATTTCCAGCAGTCAATGCTCAATTTCGGCTGGAGGCATGAAGGGATCGAAGCTGCAGAAATACGATCATCCAATCGGTCCCGTGTGCGAAGGGCTGCTGGAGCTGTGTAAGTCGGCTATCTAATTTCATAAATTACGAGCGGACCCTCTCGCATTGAGGTCCTCATTTCAAGCGCATTGAAGCCTGTTCTGCACGAGTTCGGCATCATTGCCTGCCGCGCTCCATCCATCCAATGTCATGACGCGGACTCCATTCGCAAATAGTAATTGCGATACGAAGGGGCCTTATTTGTACCAAAGCGCCTCGCCTTGACGCAAGAGTAAGTGTTCAACAAGAGCTTTTCTCCTTCTGTTCTTGCCTGGTCTCCTTCAAACACGCCGTTTCAAAGACAAAAAGGACCCATAGCCAACCAAAGCCTCAAAACACCGCTGCGGAGAATCGCTGGTGTTTCACAGGGGCTGAGACGCCCTGTTCATGGCGCTGAAACAGCGAGATCCCGGCGCGTGGTGGCTGAGACCCCATCTTCTGAAACAGGCAACGTAGCGCCCACTTGGGCCAATCGTGAATATCCCCTCCAATGGGAGGTGCGGGAGGCGGGTAATCTCGCCGGTTTACTACATTTCGCGGCAATGTTTCTTAATTTTGCTCCCGGTTTCCGTGTTTAGATGGCACTTTTTATCCAGTGTTTGAGATTCGACAGCATTCTAACAAAAGAACATGTGCCCGTTCATGTGAAGCTGAGTTCCTTCAGCCGTTGATGATCGTCGGTCAATGCTTTACGGCGTAGACTACTGCATTGGGACCGGAACATTAGGCTTCATTGTGTGACAACAAGCTTTTTCGGATGGATTGATGGTGCCGAAGATATACTACAATATCATGGTAACTGCCGAGGAGATACAGGTGGCATTTATTGCGGAGCAATTCTAATTGTAGAGTCAATTCGATACTAGGATCGCAGTTGAGTGTAGGGTAGAGCATGAAGTGGTCATGAGCATCAAGCGTGATGAGAATGCAAAGCATTTACACAAGAAATAGATGCGTGCATGTTTCGATCAAGATAGATGTGCGCTTGGCATATAAACAGCTTGGCATATAAACAGCTTGGCATATAAACAGCTTGGCATCTATACACCTTGGCCTCTCTATAGCTTGGCAACTAATCTGCTTGGCATATAAATAGCTTGGCATATGAACGGCTTGAAAGGATTCATTACTGGTCATCCTAAAATGAAGTGTTCCTTGCGTGTCTTTGCCTTCTGCTATATTCTCTCTCCACTTTATGAAGTGTTAATCTATAACCAATGTCTCTACGCCGCTCAATTAACATTATGTTGTGGCTTCGGATATGTTGCTAGGCATGTGTATACGCTATATTGCCACCATCTAGCTCATAGGACGTTTCAATGCAAAATCTCATCTGATTCATTCTTGGCGTTTGAAGACAGCACACTGATTGCAGGCTACGTACTATCTCTCTTCCCTGCCATTCACGACGAATTAGAGAGTTGGCTCCACAAAGGCCAGCGTGGGCGTCATTGTCAGCAGCTGCAACTACAACCAATGCTGCACTGCGGTATGGATTGTCCAGGTATGGAGTTGCTCCAACTTGTCGTAATCATCGTCCTGTACAATGCAAAGAGAACAACCCAAAGATATTGTTCACTAGGATCTTTTACAAGTTACATACAATGCGTAGATGAGTTCGTATTTGTTGTGAGTATGAGTCACATGTCGCAGTATCAATTCTCGGTGCATGTAGTCATCTTTCGTAATGAATTTATTTGCAGGTCTGAAATATGACTGACCTCCAGGCCTGTAACTGCTATCATCACCAATCGGGTTTCCAGCCCTTATACTCTCCCTTGCCAACCCTCTCACACATGGCCTTCAACGATTCCGCGAGGTACTCGTAATCCTCCATGTCCAAGTATATCTGCGCGCTCGTTCTGAACCATAACCTATTTCCCAGCAAGAACATGGGCACAATCGTTTTATAATCGTCCGCAAGAGTTCTCATCAACCACGCCACAGCCAAGCTCATATCTTCTGCTGGTACAACAATCTCTGTCTCCTTGGCTTCTGGCCCCTTCTCTCCCTTCCACAAAGGCAGCGCAATATTGGCCATCGCGCAGTTAGTCAATGTGCCCTTGCTGTTATCAAGAACCTCTGTGCCCAGCACCCCCGCAACATGCTTGCTGCCCTTCTTGTTCAGATCCCAAAGGTAATTCAAGATCCTCTCCTCCCCACCAAGGATTTCTTTGCGATAGGCCACGGCATCCTTGACACAATAGTTTGGCGAGTAATCCTTAGTGCCTGCCCACTGAAAGTTGTTGATAAAGAAGCTTTTGGAGCTATAAATATCCGGCGGCGTGGTCCGCGTACCGGTCTTGGGTATATACCCATGGCTCGTCGACAGCGTCGACGGCAGCAAATGCTGATTCCGCACCGGGACGTAAAAGACGGCGCACCCACGCGGCACAAACAGCCATTTATGGCAATTCGACACGAAGAAGTCGGGATCCGCCTCGGCGAGGTTCAGCCGCACCATGCCGATGCCCTGCGCGCCGTCCACCAAGCTCAGCACGCCGAGCTCGCGGCAGGCCTTGGTCATGGCCTCCCAGGGGAAGACGAGGCCTGGATTAGAGGAGACGGTGTCGAAGATGCAGATCTTGGCACGTTTGCCCTCAGCCTCGACCTGCTTGACCGCATCGCGGAACCGCTGTAGGATCTCCTCGTCTTCAGTGGGATACGAAATCTGGATCTCACGGCTGGTAAACTTGCCTTCACCATGGAAATCGTACAGGAAGTCAATTATTTTCCCGCACGCCTCATAGACGGTTGTAAAGTAAAGGGCAACATCCTTGCCGTCCTTGTCCCATTTCACATTCTTGAACACGGTGTTGACGCCCTCCGTTGCGTTGCTCACGAATGTGATCGTCTCGACTGGCGCATTGACAATACTTGCAACAGCTTCACGAGACTCATCATTGAGCTTGCCATGATCGTAGCGGACGAAAAAGTCGGGTCGTGCCTCGATGTCATCCTGGTAGTGACGCAACTTGTCCTGAATGACTCGGGGGATGGAGCCAAAAGAGCCTGGTCAACGCATATATATATGCGTTACATGGTTATTTCTGGTTATCAAATATGAATAACGTGATTCTATGACACACTCACCTTGGTTGAGGTTCCTCCACCCAGGAGCAAATAGGAAATCCTTTTTTAACTGTCCCCCAAACACCTTGAAACCGTCCGCTCCAATATTCCCTTCCTCCAAGCCATTTTGTTGCTGGACCGTAACGGAACCCATTATTGCTGAGACGCTAAGAGCAAGAGTTCAGCTATAGTAATCTCTTGAAGCTGAAAGTCCTTTTCTTCGGCCTATCCCAGCCTATATCTATTTCCCCATATCTGTCTCCCCACTCTCCTTAAACTATGCTCTTTACAACTCTCTCTTCCGCAACCGGTCCACGGAATCATCCTAGTTGAGTCACTTAGTTCAACCATAATCAACCGCTAGAATAAAATCCCGATTTCTTAACGCATTATCGTAACCGATATGACTCTTGGCCCTCGTACTATCGCCTTTCGCCCCACCCACTGCTTGAGCAGCTTGGGCTTAGGTTTGCCTCCACCAAGCTGAAAAGTCCAAGTGCAACTCCGCAACACCAGCTCCAGGGCAGCGGAATTCTGCCGTTCACGCATCAATGACCTTTTGGCTCGATACTATGTGAATACGCATTCACTATTTTGTGCTTATATCTTGAGTCTAGTCCAAGTTTGTAATCAATACCCGTAAATCCTTGAGCTACCGGCGTATTGAGCCGAGCTAAATCATCAACGGCGCCCTTTGGTGAGGGGAATGAACGTTTGGCGATAGGCGATAGCATGCGCCGGTAGCGGCCCGTTTATAAGCGTGACAGAGATTAATCATGCGAAATCATTTCATTGTAGCCGATATAGATTTATCTACCTTATCCCTAATTATACTCTTTAAGAGGAAAGGAAAAAAGAAAACGCATGAATCACGCCGAGCGTTGCCAGAATCCCTAAACAAGCTGTGACTTAATGTGTGCCTTGTGAGGAAAAAACAAAGAAAAAAAAGGCACAGCGCTGTCGTATTAAACCATCATAACCGCCAACACCCGTGTAAATGCTCATCATATATGCCGACTCTCTATAATACCCTTCACTAGTTCAAGGCGTCTATCAAGGCATAGTTCTCCAAAGAAATAAGTGATATGAAAAAAAAAGAAAGGAAAAGAAAGAAGGGGAAAAGAAAAATCACTCCTTGAAGGAAGCACATATCCACATCGCCTCTTTTCCATCTTTCTATTTCCTGCAATTCCAGTTCGCCGCCCAGTTCGCCAACTCAGAAAGCCCATTGGCAGGAACAGCATGGGCAACCTGCGTCACCATTGGGCTATTTGTCTTGAGGCCCGCCAACGCCAGTGCCGCGTTTGCTTCTGCTTGCGCCTTTGTTTCGATCTGTGCCGGGCGAAACCTTTTAGACGTACGACGCTTGGTGTGTTTATCTTCGCCAGTGCTCACCTCCAGAGCTTTCCACTGGGGTGGGTTTTCCAACAACGTGACTAGCGGGTCTTGAATATAGAATGCCTCCGGCATTGCAAATGTCGCTGCCGTTCGTAAGTTTACCGAAATTGAAGCTAGAGCGTCATCTACAGATCCTTCAGATACAACCAGCGATGGCGTAAATGTGGCAGCTGGCTCAGACTTCGGGCGTAGAGGGGGCAGCGTCTTCTTGTCTTCCTCTGGGCCTTTATACAGGCTATCCAATGCGGCACGCTTCTTCCCAACCGCAGGAAACACAAATTCCTCTCCATCAATAATCTTCCTTTTCCTAATACGGGGATTGGATTTGACAGAGTGTAGAATAGAGCTAAACTCTTCCACTGTGTTGACAGACGGGGCTTGGGCAGGTGTCTCGGGCACCTCTTGTTCGGCTTCTTCCGCGGGTTTCTTTGTCCGGCCATGATTTGGATTTAATGTTGATGGTGTCCTCTTTGGCCTTTCCATAACTCCTGGTGCTGACCTACGCGATCGTCTTGGCTTTGCTTTTGGCGTGCTGATAGGTGGAGGATCGACAACGGCAGCTTCAGAGACGACTTCGACGGGAGCCGGAAGGTCAGGGTTGGTGGTAATGGCTGCCGTAGCAATGTGTAATGGCGGCAGAGGTAGTGGTAGAGGAAGCGCTAAAGAAGAAGGTGGTGGTGGTGAACTACCCGTGATTCTTCGCAGCTCTTTTAAGATTTTTAATGTGCAGTACGCGCCATTCACTTTGGTGTCCCGCAAGGCGACGGGATTCTGAGCGGGCAGCTTCTTCTTCTCCTCTTTATTCTCTTCGCCGGCTCCTCCTACTTCACGCTTCTTCCTGACCTTTGGCGGCTCTGGATCTTGCCAAAGCTTTGGGATGCGAACTTGGAGATCGGCCACCCAAGCATCACAATCCCATTGAATCCAGTAGTCGATGATGTCTCCCCAGGAGCTCTCTGACGGTTTGGTGAAATTGACAAACACCACTTTGCCGCCCTTGCTGTGCACTGTCTTTGCAAACTCTCTGACCATGACCTTGAGGCCGTGGACCCGCAGGCTCGTCCCAAGGATCAGGAGCATGTCCGGATATAAAGCAAGATCATGCGTCACGATGGGGCTGATAAGGTGGGCATTTGGATGTTCCTCGCCATAGAGCACAATGTCGGGACGTAGCTTGCCCACGCCCAACGCACGTTTGCCCCTTTCTTGGCGAGCTTCCGTGGCGCCAACGCAGTGAGGACATTCAGGCTGTTGGCCAGAAAGCGTCTCCACTTCGCGGTCATCGTCGTCCCAAGAGCAAACTTGTCCGCAAAGGAAGCATCGTAGAAGGTGAAGAGAGCCATGCAGGAAGACGCACTCCACACCAGACCGTAGCGCTGGCGCCTCCTTTCTTGGGACTGGCTTGGGTTGATCTGGCGGTGTAGTAGTTTCGTCTTCCGTCTTACCACTGGGCTGGGATGATGTGGTGCTGGTCTGTGATTGCTGCTCTGGTGCATTTGTTGGCGTCTCGCTTGGTGATTGGCTGCTAGAGGTAGCAACATCGCCGCTATTCTCACCGCTGGATACTTCTTCAACCATCTTATTGAGCTGTGCGGTGTTTGCTGTTGACTTGCGTGAGAAACGACCTCTGCTGCCCGGCCCAGCCAGAAGAGACGTCGACAGGCCAACCTTTTCCTCAATTTGGTCAATGTTTTGCGTGTAGCATCGTACGAGCTTGCCACGATCCCTAAGGTGACTGATAAATTTATGTGAGCTTGTAGGCTCGGCCTCCCGGACTTTTTGCCTCAGTGATGTCGCGAACTGGTAAAACACCGAGGTTCTCGTAGGATCTGACCATATCGATGCGTCAAAGAGATCCTTGCCCTTCATGTTAGGCAGAGTTGTCCTTCCCATATTGGACGTTTGGGAAGCGGAAACAGGATTTGGCAAATCCTGGGACTCATCTACTTCGGACGGCGTGGTGCTGCTGCGGCGGCTCATATTTTCATCTGAAGGAGAGGAGGGATGGAAGGGGTCGAAGAGAACTGGTGGGGGCGAAGAGAGAGGGGACGAAACAAGTTTATGAGAGACGTCGGCAATATGTTTGCTATCTTGGGCTCGCAGTGATGATGATGGACTAAGTATAAAAGCTTCCCTCGGAGGGGAGGATGGAGGAGATGTCGTCAGTTGTGGCGCGGGCAGAAGCGCGGGCTTTGGATGTGAAGTGATTGAATGGCTTTCGTTTAACGCGTCGGGACCTGAAGCGGGCTCTGTTTGTTGTATATCGGTGTCCCTGCTGGAGGCTAGAGCTTCGGATTCTGCGCGCGCTTTGATGTCTTCTCTTAGCTGTTGAGCAACTTCATCCATATCTGGAGAAGGCTCCCGCGATATACTGCTTCTACGTTTCGCCGAGTCATCCTCTTCAACGCCGCCGGCGGCGGCGGCGGCAGTACCATCAGTCCGGGAGCGCTCGACCGATCGTGTATGTTGGTTCGCAGCATCGAATTGAGCTTGAATAAGAGAGTATAGTCCATTCTCGGAGCGAAAGTCCTGGGTTAGCAGTCAGTATCCGCCAGATATGAAGCACACCTGCCGAGTCGATTGACGAACCGGAATGCCAGAATTGGTACTGATTCCAGCGCCAGTCACAACCACCACCTTTCGCGACTTGAGCAGCGCGTTGGCGACATCTTGAAGAAGATCGTGAGACTCCGGTTCGACGTGTTGCGTAGGCATCTTGAGAGAATGAGCGAGGCCAGCTGCTGGTACGGAAGATGCCGAAGTGGAAGATAGAGATGCGACGTTTGATGTTTACGGCGGCCGGGCAAAACGAGAGAACGGAAAATAAACAATAGAACCAGGAAAAGAAGGTTTAAGAGTATGCACGCCCGCTGGTTTCAAGGCGGTCGAGCAATCAAGCTCGGCGCCGCGTTCTGGTGGCTGAAAGTAACTTGCTTTCTCGATAAACTCAGGATTCTATCAAGTTGATCCAGCAAACAGCCTGAATCGGCATCGTGACAAAAGGAAGATGCAAAAGTGCGGAGTGGAAAACGGTAGTGCGATATCCCTGCCGCTGGGCCGAGCCGGAGCGTAAGCGTGCTGCCGTTGCGAGAAATGGCTCCAGCTTCTCCTTTGGGAGGCTGCCAATAATCTGATGTGGACGTAAAGTCGTATTGACCGAGGAGGATTCGTATGGCGCGCGCGATAGCTTTGCGTGGATGTGCCGCTGAGGCAAACAAGCTTGGGAGAGACGGGCGACGGTGCGGGATGCGATCAATCAGTGGCCGTAAAAAACCGGGGAGAAGAGAAGAAGAACCCGAAGCAGAACAGTTCGCTGGCGAGAAAAACAAAAGCGCTGGCCGGCCCATGCAAGAGAAGAAACGCGCGAATCTGAGGTTAAGCTGAGCCCCGGTCGATGTCGGTGAGAAGCATCTGACGCGCGAGCGATGGTGTCGCGGGTTTGGCCCACTGCGCTGTTGCCAGTCGCCAATGGCGGCGTAGCGGCGCGGCCTTAGTGGCCTGCCACAGGCCCATCGGCGGCCCTGGAGCGCGTGGCCAGCGGACTGGGCCAGCGACCCTTGGCGGGTCAGCTGGTCCAGATTTAGCGCTTTAGCGCTGGGCGCTGCGCATCATTGCCGCTGATGGAGCAGCCCGGCTGGTCCCTGGCGCTCTGGAGCTCTACTGCGGCTAGGACAGGCACGCATCCAACTCGGAGTGCACACCATCTTCATTCTTTATCTTGACAGCCACTGATGCTAAATATGGCTCTCTTGCTTATTATGTCGGCCAAACAAAAACTACACAGCTAGCTATCTTATTATACATCGAAAAGAACATTCAGCAGCTTATCAAACTCTTTCGGCACCCCAAGCCCGGTAATGGCGTCCCAACCTATGGCCGCCGGCCATCCTCCAGGTCTCGTTCCGTTGACGATGCAAGAGGCGCTCTGCCCCGACGTGATATCCTGCAGAACAGACTTGACACTGTCTGAGTACAGAATGCCGTTGAGGTACCCCAGAGGCTTCTTGCCGGCACGCAGCCTGGCGTCGTTGATCAAGGCAATGAGGGATGCGAATAAGGGAGTGCTGGCGCTGGTGCCTTGCAGATAAGTCGTCGCTCCTCCAGCGACAGCCATGAAATCAGTGCCAACTGCGGCGACATCGGGGATGGCGCGCATCGACGCGTTGTAAAGTCCATCCAGGTGTCCATTTAGGGCCTTGACGTAGCTCGTCACTGCGCTATCTTGCCACGCCGGCCGAGAGAAATATTGAGAGAATCCGCCGGTACTGAAGCTGGCGCCTCTGGGCGGCTCCATCGTGTTTTCCACAGCGCCGACCGAAGTCACCCAGGGGCAGGTGGGAGGAAACGTCGCCATGGTGACTGGCCGGTGTGTACCGTCGTTGGTGACACACTTGGAGTTTCGACCTCCTCGAGCGCCGCCGTCGCCGGATGCGAAGATGATGGAGGTCCCACGGGCCGTGAGCATGCCAAACAAGTTGCAGACACGTTCTGCATATTCACGAGGTACCGTCAATTCGTCATCAGAGTATGAGAGCGACAGGACGTGAGGAACTTGGTCGTCGGGCTTGCCGAGAAGGTAATTAAAAAACTCCAAATAAGGCTCGTTATCGTCATCCTCTCCTACGATTGGAGTCCCGTTATCATCCAGCTTGACTCCTCGTCCTCCGGTGATATAGTATGTAACATTTGTAGGGTAGCCTATTGATACAGCATAATCGACATCCAGGGCAGCTTCTGAGCCGGATTCGGATCGGTTTTGCGAATTCACACCTCCATTGATCAACTCGACGTTAATGGAGCGGCCAGTTTTGGCGATTTCAGGCGCAGCTGTATTGAGAAACTGCTGCAGGTCCTGCAGATTGGCATTTTCCTCTAGGAAACCAGCCACGCCAAAAATGACCGGCGAGATGTCGTTTGGAGGCGAATGTGTGATGTTGTAGAGCTTGGTAAGGCACGCGGGATCGACACCACCGGCGCAAAACGCCTCGTCCTGTGAGTCTCGTACGGCCTTGGGCGCAGACACTGCTGGTGCAGACATGACCTGTGCCCTATGGCGAGCCGACATGAAGTTGGCCAAAGGATGGATAAAGCTTATGGCATCGGCAATAGAATCGGGAACCGTATATTTGGTGGTACGAAGCACAGGCTTCCTCCCCTCGAAGGAGAAACGGCTCAGCTTCATATTCAGCAAGGGCTCGGCTTTGGCGACTGTCGTTCTGACGTGAATGAAGTCATTCCTGACAGTGCCAGAGAGGCCGTTCTGAGAGAGCCAATGCAGCACGTCGTCAATGTCCTTTTGCGCCGGAGCCTGCAGTTCACGGATCTCATCCAAAGACAGACGATTGCCATTGGCTGCCATCTTGGACTCCAAGTTGTCGATATTGGGCTGCCGCAGAGCGATTGACATTCGAATGTGGCGCGAAGGGTTCACGACCTCGTTCAACTTTGTCCATCCCGTCGGAACAGTGAGGACTTGCTCGAGATGCTTCCCGCAAGCCCCAAGGCTCGCGAAGAGTGAGAGCTGTGCTGCCCATAGCAATGCCGACGACTTCATGGCGAGCTGAAACCTGTACTGGATGAAGGGGTAAAGAGAGAGGGGGAGAGTCTTCTCGAGAGCCTGAAGGTGGCACTGCTTGGACTTTATGGAACCGACATAACGGCCCTTCCTCTCGCCTTTTTTAGGGGGAGATGCGGGAGGACAGCTTGTGATGCATGCCCGTCAACCACGGCGCGTGCGCCGATATGTGAGACAACCACAAGGGCAGGTCGGGATCAGAACCATGCTCGCCAAGAGGGTAGCTTTGTGATAATACAGTTAGCACTGCCGAACTGCGCCATCATAGTCCAATCCGCTCCGTCCTTCGCAAACAATCCGAGGGACCCTTTGGCATTACATATAGCCGTAAACAGTATTACGAGATGCGGATAGATACGAGTAGCGTGCACAAGGCACGGTCGAGTAGCACTCGGTGCTCCATCTTGGCGGGATAAATGGTATCGTTGGCCGGCAGCAAATAGGCGATGTAACCCCAAGCGTTTGAGCCGTTAAACTATGATAATATGCTTCTTTTCAAAAGTACTCTAAATGGAACGCTGCATGTCGAAAGTTCCTCAGCCATTGGGGGGAACAAGCGATGATCTAATTCCGAGCTGCCAAGCTGGGTTACGCGCGCCTTTGCCGCGTTAATTCAAGTAAAAACCAACGAAGCTAGCAGTTGGAAATTCACGGACATGCAATTCCTGCCCCCCCCTCCTCGGGGGGGAGAAAGATCGGCAGGTCCCGATATCAAGAGTTGGCGCATCTACCAGTGGAATTCCCGTATTCGGCGTTGATGATTCATGAGCCGAGATGAAATGAAATGTGGATTTGCGCGGGGGGTTCGCTGTGAAGGAGAACAAGAGTGCATGAAGGAGCATAAAAGATCAGGCGTCATTATCAATCTGATTGAATCTTGAGTTATTGACGTCTCCTTTTATTGAACAGGCTAGCGTAACTTCATTCCAAAAGGCCGTATCATACAAGTATGTAGCCCTCTTCATACCAGGTAGTAATTACCTAGTGCTAATCGAAAATAGCCACTTTCGGCTATGTGAGCTACGAATAAGACAATATAGGTAGTTGGCCAAGCCAATGTTAGAATCCTATAAAGATGTCTTTGGTCCCTGGCTTCTAAGACAAGACAAGCAGGCTGTGTCAGGCCGCGGCGTGGCCGGAAGTACAATTCACGAAAAAAAAAAAAAAAAGGAGACTGTCAAGGTTGTCTGGGGTGTTTCGACGTCAGTCCCATCAAACGTTCTTCCCACTCATTTGCCAAGTTTTAATTGCGGCATGAAGTGGCGATCGGCGCATTGAGCCAGGTACAATCCGTCAATTGAACCGGGATTTTCAAAAAATAGCGCCGCCGACTGGCTGCCGCTCAATATTTCCAATCGATTAAGAAATTGCGTGTATGCTAAATCCATTTTCATAGTGTCCAAAACGCCCTCTGTGTTTGCATTCCAGCAGTGCACCGTATCTGAATGTTTGGTGTTGGCAATAGCCAAGTTTGCCTTCTTTCAAGAGCTGCAACTGAGGCAGAAACGTCAAACTATATAATGACCCCCCTCTCAGCCCTCAGTCGCATCATTAATTTCTTGGGTCTCATTAAGCACAATGTTATAGCCCCAAGTGTTTCTATAAAATGCAGTGCATTAGGGTTTTCGTTGGCCAATTAGAACTTCTTCCTCCTCACCGGCGCATGGGTGGTAACGAGTCGTCTCGTGGAGGCTTGATATAATCTGCAATGCGCTGGCCAAACGTCCTCATGGAAGGCTGTGATTTCAGCTTTTTCAAACCAGCTACCGATGCCGATGATGGGACAGATGGCGAGTAGCGTCCGTCGGTACGGCCGCCGTTGGACGAGGAATAGTAACCGCTGTCGCGATACTGGCTTCGTGCATGCACGGCATTGGCAGCCTGGCGGAGGCGCTCTTCGTTTTGAGCGGTGGTCATGAAATCGGCAAAGTCCGTGGCGCTGGCCTCGGAGGGAGTATGGACGTATAAGTGGCCTGCGGCTAGCACACTCAGAGGTGAGCTAGCGTAGACATCGATTACCGAGTCTTTGCTTGGTCGTCTCTCCACCTTTCGTCTGAGCTGTTCATGCGGCGCGGTTGCGGTTCTCGAGAAGCCGGAGGCTGCATTCCGGGGGACGTAGGGACTTTTCTTTGTGAGATTGTTTTGAGGCTCTGGGATGGCATCGTCCTCTCCGTCGTAATTTGCGCTGGTTCTGGACCAGAAACGATCCCGAAAAGAGGGCTGAGGCCGTAGTCGTGGTGCAGGCGAGGCTGTAGCAGGTCGTGCCGCCGGGAAATTTCCTGTAAACTGCCGCAGAGGAGGTCGAGGCTGATCCATAATGGTAATGTTTCAGGTGTAAAAATAACGATGTGCTATGTATGTTATGCCACTATACTAAAGCTTAATGCTGGATGAGACGGGGCAATCGGTTGCTGATATATAAGTATGTTGTAAGAGCGTCGTCGTAACGTTGAAACAAACGAGTATCAAAGAGGGCACTGATGTTGAAGACACTAATGCTGCTAATATAGTTAAAAATGGCAATAATGACAAAACAATGATAATGAGAGAAGATTGAGAATAATAACGATGATGATAAAATGGAAGAGAAAAAGAAGAAGAAGAAGAAGAAGAAGAAGAAGAAGAAGAAGAAGAAGAAGAAGAAATGAGGGAAGGGAGGCGAAGATGCTGCGCAAGCGGGCGTCTTCAATTCGTGTCGCTGGATAACGCCTAGCCAATAAAAAGATATTCGCCGTCCTGCTCTGCCCAGGCTACGTAAGATCAGAAAACCAGCTGTGGGAAAAGCGGGTGATCACAGCCTTCTTGTATAATAGAATACTTTCTGCGGTGGGTTCTTCATTGCCCCTTGTCGGTCGATCGTCAGAAGCTACCGCTAGCTAGCGAAAACCTTTGAGGCTGCTGTCATGATGATAGGCGGCCAGAGCAAGCGAGAGAGCGGTGTCTAAAAGGCAATAATCGGAGGCGCTAAGACTTACACCTCACACCATACATGCGTCCAAAGACACCTGTCTCTGGTGCTGGGCAGAGAGCTGTGGAAGAGAGAAGCGATATTACATGCGTGTCTTGGACAAGTCTGTCTGTCTGTCTGTCTGTCTGTCTAACGTGCTGTCCTGTCCATCCATCCACTTTCCAGTTTTGGCGGCCGGGGACATATTGAACTGAGTCAAGCCACGTCCGAAAGGGCTCCCCTACCAGCGGCCGAAACTAACTGGACATCGACGAGTGATGATAGCAGCAGTAATAGGCAGTAGTATTAATGGGCTGTCTCGGAACGGATCACGGACGCTGGTTTGATGAGTGGCTGTAACTCAGGATCCATTCAAAGAGCCGCTAATAAATCAATGTCTTATTAGGGCTGGCACATGCGCGTCATCCTCCAGCGTTCATAGGCCTCTCAGCCTGCGCACGCGGCGACGTTGAAAAATGATAGATGATAAGGTGGCAACGTTGATTTCCCAGCTTCTCATGCCGCATATGGCGGCGTTCACGGCTAGACCGCGTCAATAGTTGCACGCAACCCAGCTGTGCTGAAGATAAAAATGATGCTTTCAGCAATCGAGTGGACTGGAGACAGGCCATATTTCAGTAGTCTGGAAGAAGCTGACGTCTAGTGCGGCCCTAGGTCCAAGAAGCGCCATCAGAGGTGAAACTATGGCTCACGATCGCCAAATACTCATTTTGTTGGCGCCCGGCTAGTCCCTTGTCTATTTCAGCTGGGTGAGCTACTGCCGGCTTAATACCAGACTTGTTCTAGCAAGCGGGGAGAAGCAGCTATTCTTCTGTTTTGGTGCCCCTCGGGGTATTTTCTGGACCATAGTAGCATGGATGCCAACAGACATAGCGAGTGTGTATGCCCAGAACTAGGCAATCAAGCCATCTGCTAAACCAGAAAGGCGTCGTCTTGCCAAATGCTTGGCTATAGAAACCCGATCCGGCGGCCTGATCTTGACAGCTCTTGTGCCCAATGTGGAGCTACTCTTTATCAGCAATAGGGTGCTAATAAGTCGGCTGTACTTCTCATGCCCCAAGAGGTGAGCTGTAGACAGATCAAGGCGCCAAAGAGATTGGATCAATCGAAATCTGGTTCGTCAAGCGAGTGTAAGTTGGAACACGAGGGGTTTCATTTGAGTATTTTACTTTGCATATACCTTACCTGCCTTGCATATACTTTGCAGAGATGAAAAGGTAAAAAATGGGGTTCTGATGAAGTGACGTTGAGAGCCGAGTTCATGTTATCAATGGAAAGGCTTATCGAGCGCGTGACCTCCGTCTTCCACAGGATTAGGCACTGCACCTAATACTAATACAATAATATACACGGATGAATACTATAGTACTAAGGTATTTATAAATTGTATTAAAACTTTTCTTACGTATTCTTCTACCTTTATATATGCCAAGTGGAAGCTTTCCACCAATGGACGAAGAGAAAGCCTCTTCGAGACGCTACCATTGGCATTTCTAGAGATTCTACATCACACAGTTCAGTTGTTTACAAACCACCATCTAAAATATTGAAGCCACATTCGGCAGCTCGGAATAGGTAGGTACTTAATCGTAGCCTTCAGGACTGTTCCCAGTCCTCCGGTAGTACCAAATTCATCACTTCTCAACTACATTCTGGACATACATTGAAGATGATTCTCTTCGGCTGCCCAATAAGAATTACTCCACAAGACTCCGACATATTCTATTGAAAAAAATGTCCTCAACACCACAGATAATGCACGTAATTCATGCTTGTAAATAGCCTGCTCGTATCCGAAGGGGAAAAAAAAAAAGTTCTCCAGCGGGCGGATATCCCAACAATTTTATTTACGACAAGGTGCTCCAACCTCAGGGCAAATGCCCAGGGACGCATCGTAATACGAATAATCCGGGTGCTGGAGCGGTGCCACTATCGGAGCCGCCGGATTCACCGAGCGCTGCCAAACTCTCACGCTGGCCTCGTATTCATAATAAGGTTCAAAGAACGGTCTCGCAGCGTTAGCCGTAAACGGTGCAGTAGAGAGATGTTGGATCGTAACCAACTGAGGTTGATAAAGACCGTAGAGATACCGGAGCAAACATACTGTCGCTGAGCCGCAGCCTGCCATTGTACTACTGGTGTAGTGTGTTGGCCGTATCTTTGGCTACCGCACCATATGTCAGTCGACGAGAATCCGGCATGGGCCCTGTTTCGCATAAAGCGTCTCGCTCTCGCCCGGCTATTCAACATCAATGTCGCTACTGCTATTTTCCTTGAGTGCATAAAACGGCACAGTGTAGAAGAAAAAGATATAAAGAGGGTTAGTAACCTGGTTCAACTGGTTCAACCACGGACTCCCATCATGCCAGCCACCTCGTTCCTCAACCGAGGAATTTGGATTTCTTCATCATCAGAAGAGTCAGCAGCTTCGGCACTGGCTCGGTCAAGCATTCTTTCAATATCTTCATCTCGTAGGACTCTCCTAGCAGTAGCATGGCCAGCACCAAGCCCAGTAGGTAGTGAAAGGGCCCCCCTCAAATGGCTGTTGGTCCCCTTGACACGTCTTTTTGGCGTAGCACCATTGGGACTATAGTATGCGTGCTGCGGCGAATCCACGTCCATGGGAGATCCAGGAGGATGGACCAGCCCTGGAGACCTATCAAATCCGGCTCTTCGATTGAGATTCGACGGTCTATGCGCAGGAAGACCCTTTCTAGGTGCACTGGGTAACGCGTGTCTTGCAACGCTACTCCTGGAGGCACCAACTTGAGGATTTGGAGACGCGGACGGAGAAAAGGTATGCTTCAGATTGGCCGAGTTATTAGGACTGCTCATAAAAAGCAATGCTTCCATGGCATCTTGCTCCCTAACATTCTGATGAGACGGGAATAGAATTGGATCGGTCATGCGCGCGGGCTGAGACAGGGACTGGTGGGAATCAACAACCATTGGCTGAGCAGGAGTATGAGGAGACGCCGAATGAGAGTGGGAGAGCATGGTGGGGGTATATCGAGGGCTTGAATTACGACGCGGGTTAGAGCGCGCAGCATTGATAGAAGGTTGAATAGTCGCCGGAGGGGCGAGAGAGGGCTTGTTGGACATCATGTTGGACATCAAGTTGGGGGAATCAGACTTGCGGCGAATGGCAGATTGCTGGGCGCGGTGCACTTGAGCAGACGCCGCGGTAACATCCAAACGTGGGCTCGTAGAGGAGCTGTGTCGTCGGATAGTGGAGGAGCCAGAAGTAGGCGAGGCGGCTTGCGAGGCGGCCATTGATTCGACTTCTTCGATAGAGTGGCCTTGCCAGCCAAAATTGACCTTGACCATGGCGTAAGAAAGACGAGTCTTGAGCTCGGCAGACAGCTAGAACCGCGGTTAGTTTACCACCCGTGTGCGCTGATGCGTTGGGAATTATCCCACGTACCTCTCCTATTGTGCTGCCGGTAGATGTGACGCTGACGGCGCTCAGATTCCTGGCATGGCCGTGGCTGCGATCTTTGATCTGGCTCACGTTGGCCATGCCGGCCTTGACTTCGCCATCAGCCATGCGTTTCCTGGACACGCTAGCAGCCGTGCCAATGGATATTCTGTCTCGGGCGGCTGCAAGGGTGGAGAGCTGCAGCAGGTGGTCGGTCTCGTCCGTAGCAGGGGCGGAATGCTGTCCAAGATATCCTGCAATGCCATTGTCCGTCACGCTGCTAATGTCGCTCGCGGGAGGCGTCACAGCATGAGCGGAAGAGCTGGTGACGTGGGATTCCTGGGAGTTGGTGACGGTCAGAGGAATGCTGACAGCGGAGCCGGGGCCGCTGGCGCCAAGGGCGTCTGATTGTTGCGATTGTTTCGGGGACGAGGAGCCGCGGGGTGATTCTTCCACGACCTCGGTCTGGGACGACGAGGACGCAGCATCGCCCGCCAGTTCGGTCGCGGCGGACATGGACGAGGCGGCGATGGGCGACTGCCGGCCAAGCGGCGAACGGGAGTCGACGCCGTCCATGGTCGGAGGCATGTCGCGCGGATTGCTGAGCGAGCGCGACAACCCACAGCGTGCGTTACGTGAGAGGTCTGGGCTGGCGTTTAATGGGGTCTGATCCAGACGACCGGCGGCAGCGACAAAAGGGCGCGTCGGCGCGTCTCGACGTGGGCGTGGGCTCTGGCAAACAAGGCTCGCGGCCAAAAAGCAGCGGCGTTTGTATCCAATGCGTCGAGCCGATGGCGTGTGTTGAAGCAAGAGAGCGAGTGCCTGGTGGGCTATCGGGACAGAAGAAGTTCTGGTTTGTGTGTGTGGGTTACGCGCGGTCCAGTCGCGACGGATGCGGGAGGGACGGGCAAGGACGGGATCCCCCCCAAAAAGTCTCCAAAGAGGCCCCCCCAATAGGTGCCACAGAGCGCTAAACTCCAGCGCTTTCACTGTCCCATGGGCGCTCCAGGGATTTAATTCCAACGGATGGATCAATATTGACTTTTTTTCGCCTTTCTTCAAAATGGCAGCAGTATTTAGCATTAACATTAAGCGCTGCACTCTTCAAACTTACGCAGGAGAGGCTGCAACTTAGCCATCAAAGGCCTCGTAGCCTCTGAAATCTACCCTCCAATGTCCATCCAGTGGCATTCGCCATCACATCGCTCAGCGGACCTACCTCACTGAGGCTAGGCGCGAAGCCATCACCACAGTTGCCAGAGTGCCAGAGCATCACGCGCACTAAAGCAGCAGCGCTAAGCAGGTGGGTTTGAGTGGATCCCACGCCTTGTAGAAGAGATGCATATTCGTTAGATTTTGACACCTTTGGGAAAAAAAAAATGTTTGGCCAAAAGTTGTCCAACCCTGATGGACTGTCATGTCGTGTAAGAGAAGGAGAGGGTGCAGAAGAGAAAGGCTTATAACAAAGAGCGCTTGCTTGGTTTACATACCCCTGATGTCGGGCTTTTTTGACCTTCGTTTCTTTTTCTTTTGGCAGAATCTTCATCGCTCGCTAAGATGCAGCAGCGCCTGTAGCTGCCGCTCACATCAACACAGCGCATAGCACCTGGAAAAGAGGAGAGGCACCGTTTGTTTTCTCTCTCTTGTACCATTCATTTGCCCACCAGATGCGATGCCGCCCTCTAGTGGGCCGCGCATTTTTTTCCCGCAGAGCTCAGAAAAGCCTCAAACGGCATGCATTGTCGCTCCATCTGTGCAGGGTTCGCCGTTAGCCACCACCATTTGGCCGTTGCGTTGTGGGACAAGCTGCACGAACAAGGACTTTTTGGCTGTCCTCGCGCGCTCCCCGCCCCAAAAAAAAACCCGCGACCAAGTGAGACCGGGGGGGTTTCTCCCCTCGAGATGCAACGCCTATCCAGAATTCAGCTGGGAGGCAAAAGTGGCTCCAGTCGATTAGTTGCTAATTTTTTTTTCTCTCGTCCTGGCGACTCCTTGTTCTTTGAAACTTTACTGCCGGCGTTGGCGAATTAAGAGGCGAAGGCGCTCCGCAATGGCGTCGGCTGCGCCAACCGGAAGCCTTTTTTTCATGAACTGGCGAAATTCTTCAATGACACGAAACCACGTGAATGACGCGACTGGTCTTAGTGTCTTAGTCAGCAGCTTAAGACTCCAATGACTCGGCCTGAGGCACTCACGGTTATTATTAGCATCGCATAGTGGGTGATGGGTAAGGGTTCTTGGTGCGTGATCTGTCAAGCAATCTTTAGATGCTCCTTGCTGCGTGATGTATTACATGCTGCCGGGGCCAAACAAGCGAGTGTAGGCTCCAGCTCAGGCATCTTCTGTCGAGAACTACCCAACTGATACGTGCTGATTACTTCCTAAATCAAGCTCTTATTATTGTTCCTCTATCAGTACCGCATCAATCATCCACATGCAGGCTCATCTCCGCCAACACCATGTGATCCATATGCCCCGCCATCTAGAATGACGCCCTCGTTATCGTCCAGATCATCCTGAACCCTCCTCCACCCCTTACTGCGGCTGCCTCGTCCTTCTGCCTCACTCGCTTTCCCCTTGGCGTCGTAAACAGGCCGCATGGCTGCTCCGAGGAGTGGATTTGTGCTGAATGCTCCGCCAGCATTCTTGTTTCCAGATGTCTCTTGAAGAGCTCTCGTGTCAATGTCTTCAGGCTCCTCGTCTTCTTCTGGGGTTACTGGCCGTTCGATTGGCGCAACTGTCTTCACAACTCTACGACCAGCGAGGTCAATGCTGATTACCTGCTGTCGCTTCTCGTATTCGGGCCGTGCGTTCCATTCCATCTCACGCATGATTTTCTGCTGTCTTTTCAGTTCCTTTGCGCGCTCTTCGGGCGTCGCCCACATGCTACCCGTTCCACTCATTGCACCTGATACGTCAAAGTCCGATGCCTCATCTCTCACAGTCGTCCGCTTTGCATTTTGTGCCTGGAAATTGAGCAGCTTATCTCTATGCTCCCGTGCCTTGGCCGCTGCGTCAGATAATGAGGGAGCGTCGCCGTCCAAACCCCGAGGAGGCGTGAATGGCGCAGGTGTCTTGGCCACATCTGCTCTGCGATGAGCTGCCGCATTGGCCGCCATCTTCTCTCTACCACGTTCGTCTTTAAGTTCTCTGACCATGGCCTGAATCTCATCGGAACTTAGTAACGGCGTCCCGCAAAAGGTACAAGGGCCCAACCCTTCCTTTAGGCAGATAACTTTTCCACAGGAGAGACAGTTTGGTGCGGCAGCTTGAATAGGGTGCCTCGTTGCTACGCAGTTGCATCTTCTCGATTTCGCATCCTTCTCCAGCGTTGGATTAGTCGTAATCTCCAGAGACCGAATCGCAGCATCTAGATCGGCCAGCGCTGTAGATTGACCTGCCATTGGTACGCCTCCTGATATTGAAACTTTTGTAACATTTCCGCTGCTTGCTGGCTTTGGTGTAGATGTGCGGGACACAGGTGTAGATTTGGGTTTTGATTTCTTAGGCGGGCCATCGGATATGAGGTAACCACTTGCTGCAGAAGTACTCTGCTTCGGTGCCGGCGCTTCGACCTTGGCAGGCTGCGTCTTCGCTGGGGTAGGCTCTTTGATAGAAGGTCTTGGCGGTGAATTTCCTCTTGATGGTTGGTTGCTATTGGGAGCACTGGATCGCTGGGATATGTATTCCAGATCGGAGTCCCTTTTGTTATATGCCTTTCCAGCCGGGCCGGCATAATCGTCAAGCTTTCGAGCTTCAAGTGCATGCAGCGGTGCTTTCTTCTTCTTAGCCTGCCTTGTAGGTCTCGGCACCGCCTCTATTCTTTCGGCAGCGGCTGGTTTTTGCGCTTTGGACTGAGTTTTAGAAGAAGATGAAGCTGAAGGGGCCGGGGCAGCGGCAGGCTGAGGGAGTGTAGGGTCTTTTCGGCGAGCGTTGAATGTAGATATAAAGTCGATTACGGGAGGCGAGTCGCCCAGCAGATTGCTAAAGTGCGTTACGGCTTCGGGCTTGGAGAGGGTTGCGGCATAGTCGAGAACCTGCTGCAGCTCATCGTCTGGCAGTGGGAGCAGGCGAGAGAGTTGGTGGATAGACATTGCGGCAGCAGTGGCAGCAGATGTTGAATTGGTGAAGCTCTGTGGGATTATTTCTGGCGCTGGAAGTAGCGTCACTGAAAAGCAGTGGAGGGGCTAGGAGCTCTAAGCTGGCTTATCAGCGCCTACTTATCTGGAACGGTAGATGAGTCATGCCGACGGTCGAAATTGCGCTGCTCAGCTTTTTGGAGAAATAAAATCCATTGTGCACGATGAAGTAATGTAAAATTCTATAGCATTCAATTTGAGACAAGATAATATAACGAACGTCACTCATCGGCTTCAACGCTGCGCCGGCACTTACGGTGCATTACATTGCATTGAACTACAAGATTGGCCAGTAAGAGAAGGCGTCTTAGCGGCACATACAGCACAACTCTGTAAAGCAGAGCCAACAATGAGATGGCCGCATTCGATTAAAACGAACCATCAAAAGTGACAGAACGACCTTTACATTTTCTGAAAATATATTGTTCTGTTTCCTTCTCTTCCCAGTCATCACGTATTTGCCAATAAGCCTTGTAACATTAAAAGAGAAAACTCTATTGTATTCGGTATTTAACATTGTCTAGGCTGCCCGGTATCAATTATGAGCATCTAAGAACATTGTTTAGCTTTCAACTCTATAATTATACCTCTTCATCTTGCTAAATGATTTTCGCCGCCGTCGCCGTCCTAATGGAATCCAAGAAGAAAGGAAATCATGACCCTGACGCCGGCTGCTGACGGCCAGCAGCCCATGCCTCAATCTTCCTCTTGCGCTCCTCGACTCTCCTCTCGAATTCGGCCACCTTTTCCAATCGCTCCTTCTCTTCTTCCTCGGCCTTCTTCTTCTCAATCTCCTTCTTACGCGCAGCCTCGCGCTTGAGCTGTTCGGGTCGGCGTTCGGCAATGTCGCGCGGGCGGTAGTCGCTGAAACCCTTCTTCAAAACAATTTCAATGACCCAGCATAGAGCATAGTCGAGAACCATAACTGTGGTCATCTTGGTCTTGAATTCTTCGGTAAACGGCACAAGCTTCATCTGCTCATTGATTTCAGGCATAAGCTCCAAGGCACAGACAAAGGCGAGACCAGAAACGCCAACAATTCCGTAAAACATGGCCCTGTTCTCACGAATACCCTCGCGGAATGGTCGGCCCTGGTAGTTGATGGCAAAGGTAGAAATCTGCTGGATCAGTTGGAGCAAGTAAACCGCAGAGTTGAGCAGCGATGGGGCAAATTCTGCTTCCAGATCAATGTCTCCTGAGCGTCTATAGCAAAGTTAGTACATTACGAGGCACCTAAGCGGGATAGAGTGAGAGATGCTTGGCACTTACGGCTCAATCTTATCGCACAAACGAGCGATATAGATAAGAGTGACAATATGAACGGCGAACTGGCCGAGAATGGATCCGATGATGTAGACGTTAAAGATGTTTGGCTGAGGTCGCTCTTTGCTAAGTCCTTCCACGACTCGGGCTCTCGAGATGCTCAAGAAGCAAACAGACATGAGCATTCCACTGATGGTATATTGAGTGTCACCAAATTTGATGCCCTCAAGATACAGGACAGACAGGGAGTAAGCGCTAATGAGGCAGTTCAATGCCAGAATCTTGTACATCTGGATTGTGGCAACAAGCGTGCAACGGCCCTGGCGAATAATATTAGGAATAGCAATGACGTCGCGAAGCTTCGAGGTGAATGGCGCGGCAACGGAAGCATCGCCCAGTTTCAAAGTCGGAGGTTCATCATCACCCATCTCAGCCTCCATCATGCTAGTTGTCAGCCTATCAGCCAAGGTGGCTGCCTTCTTGTTCACGTCTTGTTGGCGATTGTTCAAGATGCTCTGGGCACCAGGAGAGGTAATAGTCTCCACGGGATGGCCATGCTGTTTAATGTATTCCTCGGGCGTAATCTTCTTTCTGGAAGCCTCACGCTCGATCGCCTTTTGGTAGTTAGGGTTGGTAGGTCCAGGAGGGTAGAGGTGAGCAATGAGGACGGGAACAGGAGGCGAAGGTTGATTGAATCGGTTCATGAGTTCGCACTGCTTCTGGTACATTTCCTTAAGCTTAGTGTTGCGAGCATGTTCCGCAATGCGGGTCAAATCTTCCTTGGTACCATTGAGGAGCGCAACACCAATATGAGCCTGTTTCAGAGCACCGACATCGTTGGTACCGTCACCAGCCATCAAAGTATAGTAGCCCATATCCTTGAGGCCGAGAAGAATATCCTCCTTCTGCTTTGGCGATACACGGGCGTAGACCCAAGTATGGCGGAGAAGGTCGCCCCATCCATCCTGGTCCTTGAACTTGGCAAGAGCGTATCCAGTTACACAGATATCTTTGTTCTTCAGAATCTCGGGATCGATGGGCTTAGAAGGATCGACATGAATGCTTATTTTGTCGTCAACACTCTTCCAAATAAGCTTCTCGCCGCCAGCATTATCCTCAGGGGCATCCAGAATAAGAACATCACGGTCAACAATTTCGACTTCTCGAGCGACATGGACAGCGGTCAGAGGGTTGTCACCAGTGATCATAACAACACGGTGGCTACTCTCGTTAAGCATCTGTACAGCCTCTTTAGCATCTTCTTTGAGAGGGCAGTGAAGGACCAAAAAGCCAGCGAATGTGAGATCAGCTTCGACTTTCTCTCGCTTCAAGTCATTGATTTTGCTTGCGCCCAACTCAGAATCAACGGAAAGCTGTTTGTATGCTAGTGCGAGAACTCGAGATCCCTTGCGTGTAAAGAACTTATAAGTTTCCTCGTAATCGGCGGGCACCTCGACTAGCATCTTCTGAATCGTCTCCGGAGCACCCTTGACGCCGGCAAATGTACCTTTGATCTTTTGACCGGTTCTTGTGTGAATACCATTGACAAACGCGATAGAACTCTGACGCTTGAGGGCTGAGGAGAATTGGAAGCGGCGCTTGATGTGAACGTTACCCTGAGTGGTACCAGCCTTGGGAGTGCTTGAAAGAACATCGTTGCGGCCAAGGCCCCAGCCAAGAGAAGTAAGAGTGGCCTTCTCCATGGGGTCTCCCACAACATCGCCTTCATCCAGTCGTACCAAAGCATGGGCAGTAGCAAGAACCAGCTGGGTCTCCAGGCTAGCGTGTTTCACATCAATAATGGTAGAGTGAGCGCCGTCACCTTCCCGCTTATCCTCAACATCGGTATGATTCAGGCCCAACCCGGCAATACCTTCAACGACCAAGTCTTCGCCAGTAAGAGTTCCTGTTTTATCGAAGCAAGCAATGTCAATGCGTCCAGCGTAGGGAATTCTGAATGGCTCAGTGCAGAAGATGGCTAGTTTTGAAAGGGCTGCCAAGCTAGTGTTGACCGCGAGACTAAGTTCCATGGGCAACTCTGGAGGCACAACACTGGTAACGATCAAAACGCAGTCTAGCAAAAGCTTCGAACGTTTGCGGTCCCTTCGCACGCCTTCATCCCAGACGTACCACGAGGCCGCAATCGCAAAGACAAGAAGGAACAGAATGAACAATAGGGCCTCGAGGTTGTTCGCGGACACGCGCTCAGTCGAGTAAATCATAGTTCGGACCAAGCTACCTTGTGAAGTTTCGAAACCGGTCTTGATAACAACAGCCAAGGCTCCATTGTCAGGGGCAGGAGGGACACCAGAAGCCAACTTGGGCTTCTCTTGGTCAGGGTTGCCGTGAGTAATTTGGAGGATTTTGGTGCCACCCCAAAGGAAAGCGTTCTTGTCAAGTGCTTCAGGTTCAAGTAGAGCATCAGCCGGCCGCAGCTGGATTGAATCCTTGAGCAAAGGGGTACTTTCTCCGGAAAGCATAGCCTCGTTAACAATCGCAGTGCCCTCAACCAAGATCATATCACATGCGACGCCGCTATCTTCTTTTGTTCGACCAACAGACACGAGGTCCCCAGGTAACAGTGCATCGCTCTGAATCTCGGTCCACTTGCCGAGGCGGTAGACCCAGACATCGTAAGGCTTGATGCTCATTCCACGGAACTCGTTCAGGGTACGCTGGCGCTGCCAGACAACAGTACTCTCAAATGCGACAAGCATGAAAAGAGTGAACAGCGAGTAGTACCAGTATTCATCAAGCATCCACAGGCCAACACAGAAGATTTGGAACACAAAGAAAGGCGCGACAGCATGCTCCTTGAAGAGCTCTGTAAATGTCGGGACAGGAATGTCGAAAGTGTTTGTACCATAGTGTTGCTCGATGCGGGTCAGCTCGGACTGCTTGTCGATGCCTCGGCAGGTTTGAAACTCGCCAATGGTGGGCTTGGGCTCGGCGTCGATGGCATATTGGAGGCAGCTGAAGGACTTGGTATCCGGATTGTAGAGGAAACGGCGTTTCTGGAACAGGAATGAGATGTTGGTCTTGCCACCAACCTATGGAGAACATGTGCGTTAGCTCCCGGAAACGATACAAATACTTGAAACTGCCAATGGGACGTACCTTATCTCGCACCAACTTGCAGATTTCGCCAGAGCCAGCGTTAGCGACAGGAATAACTTTGATCAACTGGGCATCTTGGACATCCTGAGCCTTGCTTGCAGTGAATCGCGCATCGAGAGCCACGCTCCAGTGCGTGCTCAGCCAAACAAGGGACTGGGCCGTGATGATGGCTCCGCACCACACAAACGTCCATTCCGAGCCGCCAATGTGCTTCTCGTAGAGATCCTCGGAGAGATAGTATCGAAGGAAAATGGGCCAGACGATGGCAAAGGGCCAGACATAGGCATGAAAGTGAAATGGCAGCGGACGAAGCAACTCCGCATGCTTAATCTGCGGATTGTCCACGAGGGCTGCCATGGCAGGCAGGCTTGGAGGTGGGCGGTGCCTCCTGGAGGAAGATGAAGAGGCGAGACAAGCGAATGATTAGAAATACGAACGTAATCTTTCTTCAATCATCCGAGAAGAAAGAAAAACAGCAGACGAAAGGGTCTGCCAGACGGAGCTCGTCGGCGGAGTTGGAGAAATCCAAGCGATCTGTACTTTTCATAGCGGGCATTTGGTGGCGAGACATTGGCCGCCGATGTCTTAGTCAGCTATCGCGATAAGGACCAGTCCCGCACGTCATTCCCTTCCCGCCTAGACATGACTACTAATGAGTGCGAATGGCTTCTAAGGCGGTTCTGGAGGGGAAAAAACGAGATCTGCATTGAACAAGGATTTGATAATGAAGGGCAGCTACTAACCGTTTAAAAATATTGATATATGTCATTTTCTTGATATATCCAGGCGTTAATCTACATTGAAGTTCTCTTACCGTCAACTTGCACATCTCTATTACCACCATTGACGATTATGCTAAAGCGAGAATCATAACAGGAGATGCAATGCAATTTCTGGACATAAACACTCAGGCTGTCTTTAACTATCATTAAAACGCCTTTATAACAAATCTTTTTACCTGGGATTAAAACATTATCTGCTGGAAAGATTATAAGCTTATGAGCCCCTTGTAGGGTATCGCTACAACATAAGCAGTTCCTCTATATCATCATTCAGTGCACCTAACCCCAAGCCAAGGTCTTCTAATTCAGCATTGCGAGTATCTGCTTCAGCTGCAAATTCAAGAAGTTGCTCCAAAACTGTATCGCTGTCCTCTTCTTGATCTGCATCTACTTCTGTGTCTTTTGATACTCCGTCAACGCTCCTTGGAACAATCCTGCTCGACGCTTGTAATAATGCATCTGCCGCCTTTAATCGTATCATGTCGTATAATCGCTTATCATATGTTAAGAATGGTGAAATCATCTGGTACAAAGCATGCAGGAAGTCAACTGGGCCGCATTTCCAGCTCTCTCGATGAATAGTGATGAATGATTTGCAGCGAGAGTTGTGAGTGTCAGGCAGAGACGTATGGTTGGAGGTGCTTGTAATGCACAGTATTACATCTGCCAACGTGTTTGTAATTTCAAAGGACTTAATTAGCTATATCTGCATTAGTTTGGTGTTGATAAAACGATATGCTGTATGGGTTCCTGTAGATACGATGTCACTTACCTGATCTCTTCCCAATGAAATCAAATGTTCCTTGTAATTAACTGTGATTGAGGCAAGGAATTCTTGAGCTATTTGAGATGGAAAGAAGAAAGTCATTGAATCATGATCAGCATAGGAAGATAAGAGACTCCGAGACATGGCTTGCTGCCAAATCAGAATTCGCATCCAATGCCTTGTAATAGTATAATCCGCCCTTTGCACCAAATCATGCCCAGAAAGCTTTGGAGCAATCATTCTTAAAGATTGTTGAACTGCTATCAGGCGATACTTTTCAGAATGAGGCTGAGAGGTTTCATGCATGTAGCTAGTGGTACGGTAGAAGAAGGCGTCAAAGGCCACAAACAGCGTGGCAAGTTCAATTAGCCCCTTTCCATATCTATCAAAATCATCCAGATTGGCAGACGGTATCTGAACTGTATCGAGTATGGAGATGGGAAGATCATGTTGAATAGCGTAGCCCCTTTATTTGTTTTCAGAGCATTAGCTACTGTGTTTCTTCGAATAGATATGGAAATTATCACGTTAAAGTTATTTACCTTTCGCTCACCCACAAAAGAATATATACTAGACGCTTCTGAGCAGTTACGGTGGCTTGGTAATCAGTCCAACCGTTTGAAAGCTGATTGGTTTCAGATTCTATGCGATCTAGGCGGAGAAGTCGAGCGATGGAGATGCTCTCTTGCAGAAAGATCATGGAAGCATTTCTGTTATCAGCTCTTGCGTGGTAGACATGGAGAAAGAAGGACGTGAGAGCCCCCTCCACGGATGGATTCTCCCGATAATTCGTCAGGGCGCGAAGGCGGTTACACTCCTTCTCCAAGTATTCACTAGTGATATGGGGAGGCATGTCCTCCATCTCACTAAGGTTCAGCTGAGCCATAGTGGCTGAACACAGAGCCAATGCCATGATGTACACATCATCAATGTACGCCAAACTCGGTATACTCGCCGAATTGTTTATTTCAACTTCCTCAAGTCTAGCCAGAAGACTTGAGACATGGAGGACTGGCCAGACCGGATACATCCGAGAACTGTAGCATTCGATGATCGGCTTGAGTATTGACAGAGCTAGCCTTTCTATGCTCACACAAGCCGAGACCTCTGCCGCAATCCCTACTGAATCCAAATTGGGGCAACTACTTGCTATACGGGGCAATTTCTGCCCCTCAACCCTCCATTTCCAATTGCATCGCTGCGTGAGCTTTGAAGTCTTTGGGCCGCGCTTCAGCACCGGCCGTGAGTAAGTACAATCAAGCGGAGGTTGTGCGTCAAGGCATTTGCGGCATGGGCGGCCATTATCGCACCGCGTTTTGCGCTGAACACAGAAATCGCATGACCTCTTGGCCATGAGCAGTTGAGCGAAGATGGATGGAAAGTTCCGAAAGGATCACTGGCTCCGGAGTAATGACGGGAAGTACCGCACTCGCCCGGCAAACGCACGATGGACAGAGAGAGGTTGTCAACTTTCCGCCTTCAACCGAGGTGTCAGACTTAACTCCTCATACAGACTTATGTATGCATGAGGAGATGGCTCTGAGGTTTGCGTCGCTACCCCACGCTCCTCCGCTATCGAGCGGGGGACGGTTAGCGGAATAAGCGGGAGGGCAACGGGAGGTGACGCGGGAAGATGGGGCTGGAGATAAAGCGGGAGGAATTTGAGACGATCAGCAAAAGGCAAGCTCTTCTGGCTGTGATGCTCTGGTGCCGAAATAACTTATTGCAACCACCGGGCGGTAACTGGGTTATTGCTGGAGCCTTGATTCCAAAGCTTACAACCGCTTTTGACAATGCAGTTATGCAGCCTGAATCGAATCTCGGTAGATTAACGTTGATACTACATAAATTAACTACACGCTTGATTTGATAAACTATGCTCCATAGCTGCTAGTGTAGCATTTCACCGGAGTACATGGCACTCTACACTCTGCATACCGTGCTTGAAGCGATAACACTAGTGGGAGAACTGGAACCCTGCCATACGCCCTGGCTTCCGAAACCATCAAGTAATGTGTATTCACGGAAATGCGACACTGTAGCCGAATGTAATTGATACTGCCGATCAGGACTTGCCTCCTCCGGACTAATGCTGGACAATTGCATCAACTTGGCGGGGAAAGTTGGGGAAACCTGCTCCCGCATGACGAGGCATGCGTTATTCCGAAGAGGCTTTTGGACTTTGCAGACAAAGATGATTTCAACATTTTTAATCTTAAAACCTATAAATGATCAGTAATCGCCGTTGCAAAATCAAGTAGCAATCCAACAAGAACACCAACCAAGTAGCTGTTTGTGACTGCTGCAACTGCCATATACATGCGCACTCTTTTATATATGATCAATTCATCTATTTATTATACCCGTTAAATACTCAAAACAATGGTCGCCATTCCCAAGACCCAAACCGCAGCTACGGTTCCAAAGCTGGGTGGCGGCGTCGTCTTTAAGCACGACTATCCGGTTCCCCAACCTGGATATAATGAAGTCTTGGCCAAAATTCTCTATTCGGGCGTTTGTCAGAGCGGTAAGATTGAGCTCGCTAGAACCTTTGCCAAATCTCAATAGCACACATTCGTTGAACAGCATTTCTAACATTCTGAGCAGATCTCCATACGCAAGCGGGCACAGCGTTGGCAACAGATGGATCGTACTTCCACAATATTAAACTGCCCCATGTAGGAGGGCACGAGGGTATTGGCCGTATTGTGGCTCTGGGCCCTGGGGTAACTGATGACATTAAAATTGGCAGCTATATCGGTGTCCCGTTTATAGCCCGTGTTTGCCATCGATGCAAATTTTGTTTAGCTGGAAAAGAGCAATATTGCGCCAAGCAGTTGAATCACCTGCATCACACTGATGGAAGCTTCCAGGAATATATTGTCATGAGCGCTGGATATCTAGCTGTGCTGCCTGATGATATTGATCCGGTTCTCATGGGACCCATTCTCTGCGCGGGAGTGACTACTTATAAGGTAAGTTGTAGATTATAGTTATCGCCAAGATAGCGATTGGACATCTGCTAACAATGAGGTTGAATAGGCAGTCAGAAATGCAAATGTCAAGGCCGGCGATTCCGTAGTGATTGTTGGTGCTGGCGGTGGACTCGGCCATCTTGCAGGTAAACTCTGAACCAGGAAAAATCATCCCTCTTTCCATAATTAATCATGAGTGTTAGTTCAATATGCGTTGGCACAAGGAGCTATTGTCTATGGTGTCGACGGCGGTGCCGAGAAGGGAGAGTTCTTGAAGTCGTATGGTATCCACGGCTATATCGACTTTACGACTACGCCTGATGTTGTTGAAAAGGTCAAAGAGCTTACCAATGGCGGAGCAGATGCAGCCATAGTGGTAGCAAACAACCAAAAGGCTTATGCTCAGGCCGCAGAGATGCTTACTATCGGCGGAACGCTCAATTGTGTGGGCCTCCCACCGGACAAGGTCTATCTTCAGACTACCATCACCTCTATCGCACTCAAGGCCCTTAACATTACAGGTAATCTGGTTGGATCGCTTAAAGAGTGTCTAGAGGCGGTTGAATTTGTAAGAAGAGGCGTTGTGAAGCCCAAGGTTGTCGTTCGACCATTTGAGGACTTGCCGAAGATTTATGAAGAGCTCCTAAGAGGCGAAGTTTTGGGACGCATTGTGCTTAAAATTGCAAAGGACGAGTAGATTAGGCTCGCAATTACATGTTTAATACAAGAAGAAGAAAAAATTCAGTTAGTTGCTAAGACTTGCCGCACCATTTTAAAATAGGAAAGCTGTCTATGTGCTGGATGGGGAAAAAAAAAGTTTCGGATACGTTGCGAAGCATCTTTCCGACTTAATTGGGTCTACTAACGGAACACCATTTTCTTCGAAAGCGGGCTCTAAACGCATGCACTTAGTTCGTTGTAATGAATACAATTTTCGTAGGGCTTGTGGTGAGCATCACTTTGTCTGTTAGAATTGTTCTGAGACATACAACATATATAACAACTGAATATTGGGGAATATAGATTAAATCATGAAATATATATATATATATATATATATATATGCACACTTATATATTACAACATAAATCCCTAGGCGGATTGCTTGTGAACTTATCAAGGAAGTTGGTGATGCTGCCTTTCGCAACGCCAAAGAAATAACATATATATACGAACTAGAACAGCCCCCTCGAATGTTCCATATATAAAGGAAAGAAGTAGCATATATCTCTTTGTTCTAGTTGTGCGAATATTGAGTCACTGTTTGCCGATATGTCGCACGCACGAGGGGTAATTGCTAATCCACATCCACATTACCGTCGTTCGCGTACAATACATAGCAGTAGTTCTAACCCAAGTAAGCACCCAATGCCGCTATCAAACTACCCGAGTCAGAACGCCAGACTGCATTCCAGCCAATTGTGCTCGGAATAACGGGTCGCCAATGAACAAATGTGGACCAAAAGGCGCGCCATTAGAGGACATTGTAGTGCAGAAACCTCAGCAATTCTTAATCACCAGTGGCCGTTTTTTGTAAGCAATGTTGAAGGAAGGCATTTGTGCTCTGGGGAAATCTAAGCCATTGAATTATTTAAACCAAGTCTGTGACACTTATTCCAGTCCCTTATCATACCTATCAACTCAACACCCAAGAAGACAAAAACAATTACAAAATAATATTGCTTACCGTGTTGTTACTACGAGCGTATCATAAGCTTAAATATGTGTCAAGCAGCCGGCGATTCCTCATCCACTGAGCGAGCCACATTGACGGCCGCCGCCAGAACTCTGGTGCCTGACCATCCGGCTGCGCAAGAGGCCCTTGATGTTGCTCTTAAATCTCTGGCCCCTTCGCTATTCTATCACAGTTTTCGATTATTTATTTACGCTCAGGCGCTACTGAAGACACCAGCTGCGGGACTGCCCGGCTCTTTCGAGGCCTTCAAGGGAATTCCAGTTGAGACCCATGTGCTCTTCGTTGCGTGCATCTACCACGACCTGAGCACGCTTGAAAAATATGATAGTAACCCCAAGCGCTTCGAGATTGTTGCTGCCGATGAAGCAGTCGCAGTGCTTCTCAAGCACGGCGTAAGCGAATCTGCTGCCCGAGAGGCTTGGCTCGCGATGTCGCTTCACACAACACCTCATATTCCAGAGAACCTCGGAGGCACTGTGCAGGCCGTCCGCCTGGGCATCAGGACCGAGTTTCGCGGATATCAGTTGTCAAAGGACGCGCTGACGGAGGAGCAGTGGAGGATTGTCAAGGAAGACCTGCCCCGTCTTGAGATCGAGAAAGATCTGGGAAATGCACTTGCGCAACAGGGAGTTCGCAATGAAGAAAAGGTACCCAGATTGACATGGGCAGGCGAGCTCACGAAATGGGCAAAGGCAAACCCAGGCTACGAAGGCGTCAACCAAGCGTTTTAAGGCGAGGCCAAGGATAATATCCCGAGAACATAATGAACATGGCAGGACGCAGTGTCAAGGGGCTGATTCTTGGCCATGTTCAACTCCGAAGCTGTATATAACCCAGATCTCACCGATATAATAAGAATACTCCGTGAGTGACTTAATGCCCGATTGGGGAATACACGTGTGCATGTTGCATTCAGCTGCGAACCCCTCTCATCCAAATAGTATTACATCGCATCCGATTACGTGAGCACAATGCTACAGTAAGTGAGCGAACAAGCGTTTCATTATACCCATCATCGGCACATGTAGTTTATGGGCTCAGGCATTAAAGATTAATGATCCATTTTACTCAGAGGTGCAGAAATCCAGTGTGCCGTAGATCCCGCAAGCTGGACAAGGCTGGAAACAGTGCAAACAACGGCAAAGAGCAAAATTACCGAGGCTAGCCGGACTCGCCAAACACGCAAGAAATAAGCCGAGAAAACTCTCCCTTCAATACAAACTCGCCATATAAGAAGCTTCATTGTGTCATTTTCTCGGCAATAAAAAGCACAACAAGACAAGATGAAGAACGCAGTTATGATATTTAGTAGGCATGGCGCTGCTAGGGCTACGCGACCGTTGTCAACTCGCAACTTCATGACAACCGCTAGATTATCCGCAGCGACGCCGCCACCGCGAGCATCGGAGAATGGAGCAATCAACCCAAGGTGGCTATCAGACTTACAGGGCCGATTAAGGAAATCTCTTTCGCTAAAGATTGCTCCTGAGAAGGCTGAAACAGTGAAAGATCGACTGGCGTATCTAGACAAGAACTGGCTTATGCTCTCAGCAGGTCGAGAAGGGTTCTTAGCCGAGCCTGAGAGAAGAGGAGTTGATGGGCACGCAATCCAGTGGGGAGATATGGTGAGCATGCCATATTAGTGTGATTAACTGTTAAGTAGAGAGCAGTACTGACTTTCTTTGCGATGTTGGTGAATGAAGGATTTGATGGTAAGTCTTTGATCCATGAGACGAAATCATTTATTGCCATGATCTAATTATTAATTGTCTGGAAAACAGGGTAAATAGCAGCCACAATTAGTCCTGTAGTTGTTTCAAATTACTAATGTCGTAAAGGACATGTCAACAATGTCATTTATAACCGATTCGCCGAGTCGGGTCGTGTCAACTGGGCCCGAAAGCTTGCTCAGTTTACAGATCCCAAGTACGAGCAGGAATGGTATGATCTTATGACACCAAAAGGCACCGGCCTCATACTCGCAAGTATTAGAACAGACTTCAAATTTGTAAGCCACATACATTCATCCATGAAAGAATAGTGTTGCTGCTTTGCGCGCCATAATTCTGACGTCAAAACAGCCCATGACTTTCCCGGATCGCATCACAGTTTTGCATAAACTCGTCACAAAGCCAGATTATAGCTCCGACCGCTTTTACCTAGACGTTGTTGTGTATTCGGAGCAGCAAAGGCGACCGGCAGCGAAGTGCTTTGAGGATATCGTTGTGTACGATTACAAGGCTGCTAAAAAGGCCCCTTTGAAACCGTTCATGGTTGACGAGCTGCGAGCGACGTTTGACCTGCAAGAACAGCGGAAATTGGATACAGAAAAGAAGATAGCTGAGCTACACGCATTTGTTGAGGAAGTGGAGAGTAGCGCTAATACGGCATAGTAATTTATGAAACGTTATACATAGAGTGAGGTAGAATAGACTTAATTGAAGCAGAAAAAAGGGCCATTAAGCGGTTGGATAGAGTGTATGTTGCTACAGAAGCCGGTTTTTTTGAAAAGAGAATACAACAAACTTCACTTAGAGATGGGAAAATAGGGATCATTTGTGCGTATAAACATGAGTATCATCAATTCATAGGTATTGACTCATCCCCGCAACGAAAGCTTCAATATATACATGAAGAAAAAGCTATATACATCATAAAAGGGCTTGTATGTGCGTTGCAACGAGCGGTTATCATTCCAACATCGTCACTGAGCCCAAGAAAACTCAGGCATATATACTATAATATCGCATCTCTCAAAGTTGTGCTATAAGATAGGAATTCTTTAGGTGGAGTACTGGGCGACGTAGCCAACCTCCATCATGCTGCCGTAGCCACCCAGGGTGTTGCCGTTGGTGTTTCCGGGCTGTTTTCGTGTTAGTAACTTGTATAGTGGAAGTTGTACGGAGAAAAAGGGGAATACATACGAAAGTGCCGCCAACAGCGACGTTGAGGATGATAAACAGAGGGCTGTGGGCAAGGCTGTTCCACACATTCTGGTTGTTAATTCTGGAACCAGAGACTTGGAAGTACTGAGCACCATCGAGGAACCAGGTGATGGTCTCGGATTGCCAGCTGCTGGGCGTACGGTCGATCTGGACACGCCAAGTGTGGAAGTTGTTGTTGCCGCCGTTGATGGCAGTGTTGCCTCCAATACCATTACCCTCGTTGCAGATACCGCCGGGAGACACATCGCAGTGGATGGTTCCGTAGCCTCTAGGCAGGTCATTGACCACCTCCATGATATCGATCTCACCACAAGCGGGCCAGCTGCCACCGGTACGGATCGAGTTACCCAGCATCCAGAAAGCGGGCCACATGCCCTGCTGGTTGCCCTGAGCGTTGTTACCGAAGCGAATGGAAGCCTCGACAGCGGTCACTCTGCCAGCACCGGGAGTGAAAGTGTAGGTAGACTCAAGACGACCAGAGGTCCAGCTGCCGCCGTTGTTCCAGGGGACAAGCTGAAGAGTGTTTCCACCACTGAGCTGAACATTCTGGGTGCTGGAAGAATAGGTCTCCTGCTCGTTGTTGACGCCCAAGTAACCAGTGATGATGTTCCAGTTGCCCGTGTTGGGAGAAGTACCGCCATTTCCGGCGAAGGAGTCGGACCAAATAAGGTTGTAACCGGAGTATGAGGGAGGAGCCCAAGCGTTGGAAGCTCCAACGAAGGCGAGAACAGCGGCAGCAATCTTAGGGGACCACATTTTTGCGTATGTAAATGGTGCTGTATATACAACTTGGGAAATGGGAATATGTACAGAAATTTGAAGCTTTTGGGAGAAAGGAGAGACAATACTAGGCTCCTGAGCCAAGAACAAGCTGTGATATCCTCGAGATATTGATGCTGATGCCAAAAAAGAAGACCCGGTAGATGAGAAGGCTTCTGGTCCTTTAAATATACAGCAGTATATGCATCGATATTGAATGAATGACAAAGCTCAGTCTGATCTAAGTTACGCCGAATGACCCCAAGTCATACCCAATGCCATTTTGGAAGGTGAGAAGCCTCCAAGGAACTATGCAAACAAGCCATCAAGGAAAGCATCCACACGCCATCGTCACCCGCGATAACAGTACAAGAGGCCGGGCCGATGATTGGAGTGCAACAGGGTTTGTAGATGGGCTCGAGCCAGGGCCATCTGAGCCCTAGTGTGCCTGGCCTCAGCACAAAACAAGCTTCGCAGTGGCCATGCTCCAGAAAGGGGGCCCATGTTCGGGAGGCGGGCTCATTGGTGGAGAAGCGCTATGGGACTCGATTGGGGGATAGAGGGATAATTGTCCAAGGGCTGGTGAGTAGAAATGCTATCTCGAAGAGGAATCTGCATACGTCTTCTGACGGAAGGGCCGATAGGCTGGATGGAACACGTGGGATGAAATTTTGTTACAACTCAATGAGGCCGTCGTTGAATCTCTTCGTGCGACCAGGATATAGGGCTATAGAGTTTTGTGGCTTCAAGATTGAGGATAGTTGATCGGGTCAATCTCCCGCTCGATGGCTCCGTAACTTACTTGCAGTTAGAGTAGCGATCTTCGTCGTGAGCCTGGTGATGTGCACGAGATAAGAAGTTGAGGTCGGGATGTTATCAGCAGTTCAACGAGAAACGGAGGAGATCTTCCTCACGTTCACAACTCTTGGCCAATCCCATCTGAGGAGGCTCGGTAGAGATGATAGGCAAACAGCGGCAAAGGTCAAGATTCCTCCTAAAGGAAGCTTGGCCCGGTTGGCGCTGTGCTCCATCTAGACAAGGGGCTTCCGTTTTCTGCCCATAATTTACTGAACAGGGCGACTGTTCAAAGAAGGGAATAGTACAACTGGTAGTGCAAAAAAGGCTGGTGCCTGACTATAGCCTTGTTGACCGGGGGGGTCGTCTGGGGTACAGAAGCTACGACATGTATACCACGCGCGAACGACTGCTAGGGGGCCAAGAGACCGGCGTTTGAGGCGGCATTAACATGATTCGATCGCGCATTGAGCTTGTGATGAAGGGAACATATCACAATGCACCGCCGACTGCTGCAAATGTCCGAGCCAGATGATGGTCGGTCACAGTCATCATCTCCTTCTTCACATCTCTCTCGTGAGTGCTGGGCAGTCATCGTGGAAATGTCACGCTCCTCCAGCTAGTTGAAAATCCGGGGTTTCCTCATCAGCGTGACAGCGAGATAATGCTGCAGAACACTGCTAGTTGACAAGTAGGACTGTGGGACTCCACACCATCTTTTCATCTCACGCCACTCACACGCGGCGCCACTCCATTGCCGCCGGAGCCATGGGTCGGGCGCCTCCCGCATTAAGGTTAGTGGAGGAGTATCTAGCAATATCCAGCAAGAGAGTGGAAAATTCTCCTGCTGTTCTGATATTACGGAGATACTGTTATGTGAGAGTTTCCTGGTTAGCTCGGCACGAGTCATATTGCTGCATACAGGTATGTACTTCAGACTGCATGAGGAACTGACCAGATGAGCACGCTATGCACCAGTCTGGATGCGAACCACACAGGTAACTTCCATGATCGGAAATGGCTCACATAGCCGCAAAGCTGGAGATAATAGCCGGCACTTCAGCCTTAGCCATCGTTGTCTCCGACGTATGGCCGTCAAGGCTAGGCGGCATATGTGATAGTATTGATATTCCCAGCCTTCAAAGGAAGGATCGCGATGCTTGATTGATGCTAGAGAGATTACGTCTCTAGGACTGCCGCTAGACCAGGCTCCATCCAGATTTCTATTGTACAGTACTGCTTTGCTGGAATTTGTATACCCCCGGATATTTGGATTGCAATTACCTTGCTTATTTGAGGATATTGCCCCTTCTCCAGACTTGCTCGGCACTTTGAGCCCTCGCTCTCGGTTAAAACATCCCCGAATCTAGCCCCAATCCCGGGAGAAAACCAACCGTGAATGCAAAAGACCATCACAACTGTCCATAACGTACCAGATTCTACTCGTGAACTACACGTATGTACTTAAGCTGCCTGGGACCTGCAGATTGCCATCATGCGCTAAGTTGAAAAGGAGAACGGCTAGAAAGAACCAAGCGCTGCAAATCCCGGATTGTGGCGTCTTTGAATCGGCGGCCCATCGAAGAAGCTACATACCAGAACAAGCCTCGCATATCGCCTACCTAGGTGAGCTGACTGTACGCTCTTTTGTACATTTACTGACCTTCCGCACTGCCTCATCTGGATCTCCCTGCGTATTGGACACATGCGGGAACCCGACGTTGTACTTACTTGTATGGACCCGGCGTATTGCTACTAGTGCAGTATCAGGTCTCCGCTTTTGGCCTCTGTAATGGGATATTGCTTGCAGGCAGCGGCGGTTAGTCAGCTTAGACAGATGCTTGTTATCAGAGGTCTCAGTGCATAGCGCCGAAGGCAAAGCCCTCGGGAGAGTCTCGCTCTTTACAGAGGTTCCCAGCCGCTTGGCAGCTTATGAGCGCCTGTACCTTTTTCTTTTTTAAGCAGCTCATCGCATAAGTCGGATCGCAGCTTGGGTCCCTGGCCCCTGGAGCAACATTGGTGCTTACCACATGGTGAATCGAGTTGGGATCCTTTAGGTGATGTTTAGTTATTCGCAGAATGCAGATCATTCAGCTGTGGCTTCGATCCTCATCGAGGCTGGATGCTGTTTACTTTAAAGCTTGAAAGAAGGCTCCTCGAGCTGTTTTAATATGCTCTTGAGTTGTCGTAGTTAGGTTTCTAAAGTTCTAAGCGGCGTCTTATCGCCGAAGACGTATCGGCGTTTGTTCTCCATGAACCCCGCGTTTTCTGCTTGATCTCACCTTAAACGCAGCCATTATTCGCGGAATGAAGTCATACGTTAATTAGTTTTGCTTTGCTGCGGGCGTCGGATTTTGTATATGGCTACTTGGTGCCTCGTAGATGTCAGAATTCTTATGGTTATAATCGAGTCACAATTTCCTCAACTTTCAAACCGCTGCAATTCTAGTCTGGTATAATAGTCCAAGGGATTTCATCGTCGGCCCTTGCACCAACTATCCTGGTCTAACAACTATTACACCTTTGCTATCTTCAGCCTTTCCGACCCATTCTTAGCAACGTAAAATGTCCGCCGCAGCTGCCGTCTTCGCTCCGGGGTCAACCGCGCTGATTACCGGCGGCGCTTCCGGCGTTGGCCTTGCCATTGCTAAGCTCTGCCGCAGCAAGGGCATGAAGCTGCTGCTTGTAGATCGCAACGCCGAGGCTTTGGAAAAGGCCAAGGCTGAAGTTGGCTCATCATCATCAGATGTAGCCACCTCGGTTCTTGATGTGAGCAAGCTTGAAGGATGGGCATCACTCCGCGACGAAGCCGCCAAGACGTTTGGCTCAATCGAGCTTCTTGTTTTGAACGCGGGCATGGGCGCCAAAGGAACATGGGGAGATAGCGATTACTTTAGAACTGTAAGTGCCCGCAACTACTACATACTTGGGGGTTCTATATGAGCATAAAGCATCGGAGTGGTGCTCTCAGCGCTAATATTTCCACCACTGACAATGGCGTGTGCCTGCACACTACATAGGTCCTCGAGACGAACCTATTTGGCGTAATTCATGGTATCAACACCTTCCTCCCGGTAGTTCAAGAGGCTGCCAAAAGTCGGCCCACCTCCATTGTCATCACGGGCAGCAAACAGGGCATCACCAACCCTCCAGGAAATGCTGCATACAATGCGTCTAAATCTGCTGTAAAGACTCTTGCGGAGCATCTCAGCTGGGACCTGCGAGAGACCAAAACGAGTGTACACCTTCTTGTCCCAGGCTGGACATTCACAGGCATGGTGAGTAATTCTACCCGAACTAACTTCCCTTTTCATCTCTAGCAAGCCGATACATATACTACTATTCTATATCACCGTATATGAAGCTTACTTTTTACTTCTCTTTGCAGACTGGGGGCGGCCAGATCAAAGAAAAGCCGGCGGGTGCATGGGCACCGGAGCAAGTCGCCGACTTCTTGTATAAGAAGATGGAACAAGACAAATTTTATGTCATCTGCCCAGATAACGAAACTACCGAGGCGACGGACAAGAAGCGCATGCTGTGGAGCACTGGAGACATTATCAAAGAGCGACCACCGCTTACGCGCTGGCGACCAGAGTGGAAGGAGGAAGCAACAGAAACAATTGCGAAGACTGAAGTCTAAATGGCGTTTGGTCTAAATAGATGCTTTGTGATTTTGAGATGGTCTTGAGTTGGCCAAAACGATAGATCATTTAGCTGCTCGCCTAGTCCATTAGTATATCTCCCAAATGGCTGTTATTGATATGCAGCTGACACCGAAGCCAGTTAGCCGCCTACACAGAGAGCTATCAACGAAAACAAGCGTATACTTCATCAACCAGTTTAGCACGAATACACAATAGTCATCGTAGCATCTTAACACCAATTCAGTGTAACGTATTACCAGCATTCATCTAATTAAATTAATTAAGTCAGTGATATATGCCAAAAGGTGTGGCCTCATGAGCTCAGTGCCGGCGTCAATTCGGCGGAAGTGTAGGTTCCTACATGTAGACTAACCCCAGTCAGTTAACTGCTGGGAGATCAGAGCCCCTGGTGTGGCAGTCACCAATCATACACACATCCTTGGCAAAGCTGGATGCACTTTGGGCACTTTCTCAGGGGTGGACGAAAAAGGCCATTGCAAGGTACATTACTCCGCTGCAATATAATTAGTGTAAAGGGAGGAATATAGAAGAAACAGAAACTACCGGATCTCCCCACTAACTATCTGAAATAAACCGAGCCCCTTGGCCGTTAGCCTGGGACAACAAGGAGTAGTGCCTTGCGACGGGTCGATGGGCTTTAATTCTGCTTCTAAGACCCATATCTGGGCAAAGGACGGAGAAGTTCCGATTAAACACAGCTTACCTAAGAATACGTCTCATTCGGGCGACGTCTTACTCGCACGCATCACTCATCATTTCTTCTCTATGGAGTTGATGATTTCTTTAATAATTCACTCAATTAAAGCACTCTGTCGCTTGGTTGTCAAAATAGCTCCATCAATAACTCTTGAGTACAGTTCTAATATTCGTGGCCAAACAGCTTACTTGTATGCAGGAATCAACAAAGGAATGCCTGGTGTGTATGAAAGCCTATCTCATGTTTGGCATGAAATATTTTATGAAGACTTTTATTGCAGGGTAATACTATACCGATAAACGTGTGCTTTGAACAATTAGATATAATGATGTGTGTTATGCCACGAGCTTCGCCTTGGGGGTATAAACGGTTCTTGAGAAGTGCTTAACCTGTGTAGTCTCAGTTACTAGTCATCGAAATGAAGAAGTACAGGCTTGAACATTCTTCCAAAAAAGAATAAGGGGGTTTATGAACAATTACTAACTCCCATGACCTCGCAAATCTGGATTTAGCTTCAAATCTGAAGTAGGTATGCTTCTACCGCAATGCTGCTTCAGACATAGGCCGATTACTTCCATGTTATAATTTAAGTAGTTGTGTCTTTAAACTTCTCTAATGCAGTGGAAAAAAACTGGCAATAGGTGAAATAAAGCTGTTTTCCAGAATTTTTCAAATTGTCTTTTAACTAGGTATAAATGATGCGTTGTATAAAAGAGTGAGACATTTAGATATACAAGGTGCACCCACTTGTTTGATCAATGTGAAGATACAAATGAAGTGACAGTAGCTGTAGCTAATATTAATTACGTATGAGATAATGCCAATTTAACTATATATGTTTAATCTCAAATAGATGATTGGGGTCTGCTCAAACGAAAACACTCTTGGTATGTCGTCGGTGGGTTGGATCACACCAATAGGACAGATGGCTTGAATGACAAAGATTGAACCGAAAATGGAAATTAATACGAGTTCTAGAATGATGAAAGGGTTCTAGCTCTCGAGAAACTCGATTAGATCTTGGTGCGGTCTGATCGCTACGTGGGGGCAGTACGGATGGGGGTGTCGAAGTTACCGGAAAGCGGAGATTTTATACGAGAACAACGATGTAACACATGCATAAAAACTAAACAAGATAGTCTAAAGGATTTTTATAGCTAAAAATACTATTATTGATCTCATATAACCCTTTGTACACGCCACTCAGGCATATGTTCACCGATGCCCTTGGACGAAATTACCCGTTCACTATTCTGCGCCAAACTATGAGATTGCTCTTTGACGCGATTATAACTAAAATGCCTCGAGAGGCATATAATAACAGTTCTTATTCATGCCCATTGGTCGCTCGATGCTCATATGATTCATTAGATCCAATCTGTGTGTCGAAATTGCTCCAGTTCCACAGCCCTAATTCTGAGGGATTGCCGAGATTCGTGCCAGACAAAGTGCCAACTGGGTTTTGTTCATCTTCCCTAACCACACTGTGGCCAATTAAGTCATGGGGCTTGGAAGCTGGTGCTATGGCATCAGTTGGCTTTACTGTAAGGGTATTACCATGTAACTCCTGTATCTCGTCGCGAGGGGGGTCGGTAGCTAGTTCAGGTAAAATCGCGATAACAGTATTATCGAGCTCAGGCTTTTGATAGACGACACCCTTTGATCCAGATATGGCGGCAGCGATACTGCCTGGCAATTCCGCTTTCAGACCTAGATCTGACCTGTCTCCTTCGGATAAAACTTCTTGATCTGACGTCTGTTTTTGTAGTCGCTTCCTGCGTCTTAGGAAATATAAGGCCGCTGCGCCTATGAGGAGCGCAACCACAGGAATAACTATTCCAATTGCGATTTTTGCTCCGTTCCCAAAAGATTTCTTTGACGACAGGTCGTTGGTTGATGTACCGTCGGACGCCGCAGTTGGATCACTTGACTTGACTAAGAGTATTCTTATGGCTTCGGCGCTCAAGGCAGTGGGACTCGCAGATGCCGCTGTGCCACTAGAACATGATATTCCGTCTGTTACTGCAATAATATCGCCGGGGGGTGGTGTCGAGATGCAGAGATGTGGAGAGTTCGGATCGCAGGCATAATTACTAACGAAGAGCTGGTCAGCTATGTCTTTCACGTTAACTGATTCAGAAAGGGACAAACGGGTTAAGAGAGTAAAGCAGCCGCGGTTGAATATGATTGAATCAACTGAGTATAGGTATAGAGATGTTGAGGAAGAGGAGAGGAACAGGAATTTCGTACGATGGACAGCACCCTATTGCAATTTCGCCTTCATGCAACATGCTCCAAATAACGTTGTTGGCATTTGTCGCCGCCGCCGCCGCCGAGTTCGTAGACCCTTTGATGCGCTCTACGGTACACGTAGGCAAATATCCAGAAGGGCAAGCAAGCCCAGGAGAGTATATCGGGGGGTGTGAAGGCCACTTTCCAGTGTCATAGCTCGTTGGCTTAAAAGAGGAAGCGAACTTTGGAGGGTAGCATGACTGGGTAAGAGAAAAATCGCGATAACTGCTACTAATCTCAACGTTGCAAGATGAGCATAACCAATCTGTCGTTACCATACCACTATATATTCCATCTGTAGCTGTTCGGGCAACGGGACATGTAAATGCGCCATTAGTAGGTACGCCGCCACTACCGGTGGTGCACGGCACACTTGACCATTGAACCCCGTGGCAGCCGTAGCCAATGGCTGCTCCCATGAACACAACATCTTCTGTAATAAATCGTAGCGATGTACAGTCGCCTGGCGGACTGAAGGTGGTTGTTAGTGGACCTAGATTAACACGTGTTGCTGTTGCTGTCGAGATGGCCTGCATCGCTGCCCACCTCGTCGTCTCGACTTTGTGAATTTGAGAATTTCTGTGGAAATAAGGTTGCTATACTTGTAGCAAAAGGTACCGAAATAACAATTTAGATGCTTGTAGGGCGTATGTAACAGCCTATTCTTGTCCATAAGGGATAAATACGGAACAGACAGCTGCTGAGATGCAAAGCCCGTTATCAAAAGGATGGGCATTAATATGGATAGAATGGCTCATATCCAATTATATATGAGTATAATTACCTCAAATATTAGAAAAACCTAAATACAAACTGCTACTAATCATCTGAGCCGATAAGTCGAAATGCTGGGCCAATATTTGACAGTGCGGACGCTCTCGATCGCATTCTCTCAATTCGAGTGTCGACATCTTCAAGCTCTTCAAGGTCCTCCTCATCCTCAGTGGCGTCATTGCTTTGATCCAAAGTACCTGCATCTTCTGTTGTATGGGATGATTCTCCTGTATGAGTTCTTCGAGCGCGCTTTTCGTGACTTTCTTGTCCCGCTAGACTGCTGCGCCTGCGCTCTGCCTTGAGCGCTGCCTCTACTTGTAACCGCATCGCCTCTTTAGTAGTCTCATCCACTATCACAGCATTATGACAACGTTTGTATGCGCCTATACTAGTCAAGATGAGTCCAACCACTTCATAAGCGAACAAGACCGGGAGTGCGTAAGACAGATGCGGATTGCAGCCGCCTGACCAGATGTCTGTTAGGATTTCATAGGCTGCGTGTGTAGGCAGGGCGTATCCCCAGCGATAGAAAGGCGACATCACACTGAACGGAAATACGATTGAGGTGATATTCACCACAATCCATGTGACGAGGGCCATCGAGACGAACTGCAGAGGTATCCAGATGGTGAAAGTGTCGAATATGAGAAAGTTGGCGTGGGCGTACAGCCATAAAGTCAGCCAGGTCAGAGCCCATTGACCTCCTGTTACATTCCAGTTCGCCTTGAACGCCCAGATTGCAGCAGAATTCACCAAAGCGCTAACCATGGTGAATGTAAGAGAAATAAAATCGCGAACAATTATGATTCGTCCAGGTGATATTTTCAAGAAGATTTTGAACTGGACATACAGTCCATTTAATGTAGCGAGGAAGAAGAAGTCTTCAATGAGAACCAACACAAAGGATATAGTGTTGTAAACCGCACGGGTGCCTTGAATTGTGGGCTTGATGTTGATTGCCGTCAGAGTCCAGGGATTGGTGAAGACAGATATAGCAGCAGAGTTGTTGGGCGGAATTGTGAGGAACGCAGAGGTGCCGTTGAGAGCGATGTAGGAAATGCGTGCAGCATCAGATAGTGTGTGAAGGTTCGTTGAGATGATACCATCCATGGAAGTAGGATACTTGGCTTCATTCCAGATAAATGTGAGCACGTCTGACGTGTTGTATACAGAGGTATTAGATCCAGCAATGGCTTGAGCTAAATTGACAGAAGCTCCAGGAGATGTATATAGCGCGGCCCAATAGTGCGATCTGCAAATAGCTTCTCTCAGGTCGCCTGGAGTTGGGAATTGTGAAACTGCTTTCTCGATTAAAGCAGGAAATTGGTTAGACTGCAAAGAGCTGTAGGCTGTTCGCACAGCATCGCCGATGATTCCGCCGTCATAATCGATCCATAAGATGTGAACGTTGTGTGTTCGAGGAATTTGTTGAAAGAGAGATCCATATAAATAGCAGAAGAGACAGAAGAACAACAGAATATACAACACAAAGTTCAACAACGCTGCGGCAAAAAACTTGGGCCTAACTGCCGCGATCTCTGGATGAGAGATAGAAAGCTTATTCTCGCCAGCGCGAGGATAGAACTTGTTCATTATCGGCAGTGGTATGATGCACACAGCATTCGAAGAACGAGAGCAACAGAGGTTGGCCCCACAATCAAATAATTGCTTCTACATGTGCGTTTATACACGAGTTTCCGGAGAGTCCGGCAACAACCCGGTGGCCAATTGCCGCTAAAATGGAGGGCTATAATTCGGCGACTGCGTAAATCCTTTTTTATTTTTTATTTTTTTACTCGAGGATTATAGTTAACTTGTTTAGTAACTTGGTTTAGGCTAATTGAGACACTATGGTTGCATCGCAGAAGGCTATATCTATGCATATACGACAATGCGTAGCAGTTAGCTCGGCCCATCGCCCGACTAATTTGCAAAGCTATTTCCTGCTTAAACGAGTTTACGTATTTTAAAGACTTAGAATAATCAAAAAGATATGGGCAGTTGTTTCGTTTCGGAAGGTATGCCAGCTACAGTGTAAATTACATGTGATATATAACAGCGACAAGTGCGGTGTAAGAGGCTGTAAAGTTGTAAACTCGGACTCTGCTAGAGCCAATTCGGTTGTAAGCGCGAATCGTGACGAGCCACATCAAAAGCGTAAAAATGTACAAAGACAGAGAGATGGATCACGAAGACTCTGAGATGTGCGTCGTCCGTAAATAGTTAATAGACTGCGGAAAAATGGAAGAGTTTCACAAAAAAGAGACAAGAAAATAATCCAAAAAGAAATTGACAAAAATGTAACCCTTCTCCGAAGAGAATTACTCTCCGGGGACGGAATCGAACCGCCGACTTTTCGGTGAGATGTTATCCATTACAGCCGAACGCCATGAACCAACTAGACCACCCAGAGGAAGAAGAGTTGCAAAGAATTTCTTAAGTTGTGCTTATGAACTCTAGCAGCAAGAAAGTTCCCGATACTTTCGCATTACTGGTCGATATGTATGTATTTTATTCAACTGAGATAACCCGCGATGACATACTTTCGTTATCTATCTCGAATTTTGAACACGCAGGTTCAGCGACCATTGCTTGGCCTACTTTGGCCGTCATTTTCCCCCCACTTCCTTTCATTCTGAGTTAGAGGAACTAATTCGTCCACTATCCAACACAAAAACAACTTATAGGCTAAACTGCCCATATATAGATGTGTACAGTCTAGATGATCAAACCGTCGAAACTACAAAGAGTTCCAATTAATTGAACAAAGTCTCTGTGGCGCTAAACAAGATCAACCTTGAGACCCATATTTCTTTAATTCCATACTTATATGAGTCAGGCTTTATTGTGCCTCGTCTATTGAAGGTCTTTTTTTATGAGCCTTCGAATGCCGACTTATAAATAGGAGCACTGTTTGAATCAGGTTTTTGTACGGGTCGTCGAATGTTTCATCAGACTAATATTGACGACCAGGCCTTGTAAGCCTTGCTTGCTTGCATTTGAGAGGAATAACAACTTCTTCCTTGGATGAAAACAGATTGGATGCTTCCATTGTTATGTTTTGGAAGTTAAATGGGCTATTCAATTGTGTTAGCCCAATATCTCTTTCAATTACCCTCTCTAATGCCAAATAATACAAATAATAGGGACGATGTAAATGACCATAATATTGCTTTGAAAGGCTTCAAATCTTATCAAATATCACTACTTGTTGTATTTTTACACTTCCTTCCCCCTCAATTAATATAGTATATCCCAGCTCCATCACACTTAGAAACTTCCGAACTTTTAGAGCTACCCCATGCTCAGCTATTATCTTTGCCATCTACCCAAATACAGCAACATGAACAGAATGCTTCCAAGTAAACAAAGATGGGCGGTAGTTGTATTTGATTCTGCTCAGATCAAATGACATTACCACGGGTTTGCTTGAGACCACGAAGCTTAATGTCGCGCCACATCCAGGTACATCCCCAGCCAAGCACGATGAAGCACACACTGGTAATAAGCATGAGGCGCTGAGACTCTCCATATGCAATGGCAATACCATGCCGGATTTGCGTACCAACGGGGTATCCAAGCTGGGTATAGATATCGCCATAGATTGCGTCCACGGGAGCATCAGCTGGAAGATTCTTAATCAAGTTCTTCTTAAATGTGCCAGTCCAGATGGCGGCGGCAATCGTTGATCCAATGGCGCTACCAATACTAGAAAAGAGGTCAAGGATAGCCATAATAACGGCGACATGCTGATGATCCGAAGGGGCCATCATAGCCATCTCTCCAGCGACTACCATAGGGCCACCAGCAAAAGCGACAAAGATTTGAGTCATAACAATATAGCCGATATTCTGATCAGGCTGTCGGAACTGTATCATGAGCCCAACACCAAGCAGCGTCAGAGGGAGCGCATACAGAGTCGCGGTCCACTTGAACCTTCCAGTGAGGCGAGTAAAGTAGGCTAGGACGAGGGCCGCGAAGCAAGAACCGACGCGGTAAATGTTACCGATGTAAGTGGCTTTGGTAATACCGGTGTTCCAGACAACAAGTAGCATAGAGCTGAAATAACTACCCCAGATTGATGAGTTGGCAAACACAAAGAAGAACATCATACCCGCGAAGAACACCGTTCGATCCATCAGCAAATTTACTGGGATGAATTTGACAGGCGCCAGATATGCCTCATATAACACAAAGGTAATGATGAGAATGCCGCCGACGATAATGAAAGCGATGATGATTGGCGCACGCCACTGTTCCTCTTGGTACGAGTAGATGGAAAAAGAAAGCAAAAATAGAGCCATTCCAGTAGCAAGGATGAGAATACCGATTATATCCACATCGATGCAGTATTTCTTGACAGCGGAAAGAGTGAGTGTGCCAGATTTTGATTCAATCAACCCTTGCTTGCGAGCTTTGATGTGGTTCCAGATGAACAGTGCACCCAGAGGACCGACAACAACCGGAGTCACAATGGACCAGATTCCAAAGCCCCATCGCCAACCAATATGGGCAATGACACTGTCTGCGATTGGACCACCAGCGAAAGTGGTGGCGATATAGGGAGATGTTGCAAAAGCAAGCATCAGAGGTCGGTTTATAAGGGAGGTGGTATCGGCGATGAAGATGGTAATGCAGTAGCTGACGCCTTGGGCTCTAAAGAGGGTGCAAACATTGTTAGTCAACTCAGAAAGCTCAGCAGTACAATGAAAGAAAAAGACTCGACGTACCCAATAGACGAAAACACCTGGGCTGCAGCATAGGTCTCAACGTTGTTACAGGCAGCCATCATGATAAACCCGATAACCCAGATAAACAACATGAGGAGCAACCCCTGAGGCCTACCCCAAGTATCAAGAATCTTAGCCAACGGGAGTTTGGTAAGTCCGCCGAAAAGACTAGCCATAATACCAGTTGCTGCTGTCAATGAATGCCGCTGAAAAGAACTAGTGACGAAAGGAGTCAGAGCACCGGTGACAACCTCCTCGATTGATGTGATGAAGTAGATGAGCCAAATACTGTAATAGTCGTACCAACATTAGCACAGTATCACGTTTGATTGATTGATTTTGTGATATTGTCTCACATAGCGTAGGCGCCAACCATGCTCCGCGTCGACCAGACCTGTGCCGCCGCTTCAATCTTTTGAACACCATCTTGAACATGTTCATCCCCGCCACTGCTCAAGTCAGGCTCCTCTGAAATTTCAGCAGGATCCTTGTGCGTTCTGCCTTTTTCATCGGCAATGTCTGATACGGCCGTGGCTATTTCCCCCTCAGGGGCAGCCTTTGAAAACAAACCCATTATGAGTAAAGAGAAGAGCTTTGTCACGTTCGACCAACGCTTATAGCGAAGTAAAGCTCACAAGCAGAGCCGAGGAGAAGGGGGCGGCAGATGGCGAGCTAGGGCATTTTCGGGCTGAGAATCCGGCTCCGACGGGTTTTTATATCTTTACATATTTTTTTGTGCGTGGCGGCACGTCTTGGCAAGCGTGGCAGAGTGGTAGAGCTAACAGAAACAAACAGTAATGCGTGTGGCCAAGGCGATCTAAAGCGGCAGGGTTTCCCAAGAAAATGCCTCTCGGAAAGCGATCGGGTTACGAAAAAGCGGCATACAAGCGTTGACATGAACAGAAAGAATGCCGTGCTGCGTAGGAATGCCAGGGATCAAGGCCGCAGCCCCTCTCCTCGCGCATCCTCCGCGGGTGTAGGACCGGGATGGCATCCAATAACTTGATCTTATCTGATCATCAGATAAATTTTTTTATCAGATCATATCCACCAACATCACCAAGCCCGCCAGTCACAGCTCGCCGCCCAGCCTCAGCTTCGTATAGCGCCAACACTTTTCCAGCACTTAACCATTTTAGCTTGCGGCCGGTGACTGCCAAGGCATGGCTCGGCCAATATGCAGTATTGAACCAAGCCGCATGTGAAATTAGAGTAATAAGCACCCGAGCGATTTCGGCTGGAAAGACGCTTGTTGCTCTTTAGCACTTGTCAAACGGGTAAGGTTAATTGGCATAATTGGAAAAGTTCTAGACAAGAGGCCGGATATCGATGGCAAAAGTCCCATGGCCTGGGCGCCTTGACGCGCGATTTAGAAAATTCTTTGGGCTACATGTACATATGTTGCGTATCCCCCTGTTCGGTCTGTTGGGTTGAATCATTTAAAATCCCCTTCTAGGCATCAAGCCATCTTTTGTTTCCTTTCGTTTTCTTTTGGGCACTTCATTTGGTCACCTACTAAAAGCTCTTCGCCTTGGCAACTTGCTCTTCAACTCACCGTCATGAAGACTAACACACTCCTCTTTGCGGCCTCTATGGCTGTGACTGTGGCCGCACAGAGTCTATCAGACTACTTTCCTCAGTGTTCCATTGACTGCCTTGAAGATGCGACTAAGAAGGCAACCGACTGCTCCGTAACTGACGCAGTCTGCTTCTGTGTTCAGAGCAACTACGAGGCTATCTACAACCAGGGGCTGACGTGTGTGCTCAAAGACTGTGGCAAGGATGTTGCCGTCGGTAAGATTCAATTTTTTCCACGCCAATGGAAGTATAAACAAACTGACACGCATAATATAGACAAGGTCCTCCCCGCTGCTATCCAGTTTTGCTCCGCTGCCTCTTCTTCCGCGACTGCAGCGGCCACAGCCAATTCTGCATCTACGACCGCTGCCACAACTCCAAAGACTACGCAAGCGACTCAAACCACGGAAGCAGCAGAGACGACATCGTCTGCTCAGTCATCCGCAAAGCCCACAACTACAGCAGCTGTAACCTCAAATACCGTGGCATCTGGTCGACCTGCGTCGACTACAGGCACCACGACTTCGCTGAGCACTGCGGCTGCGGCTGCTGCGAAGCCATTGGTCACCGCCGCAATGCTTGTTGCCGGCGCAGCAGTGGCAATGATTTAAGAGTTATACGTATAAGCGAGATTGATCTTTTACCATCTACCAGATGCTCTTTTCGATTTAGATCGGAAGCGTGGTGGGAACTTGAAACCAGAATCTTGTGATAGCCCAGTTCGATCTGAAGATGCATGTATGACATGTATGGACAGGATCATTCCTAATTGATTAAACAAGGACTAGCTTTCCATGCAGGTACCGATGATAGGTTGGGACAGAGATAATTTTTAATAGAATTATATATGTTGTGATACTCACCCTTTTGCGACGTGTAGTTGCAGGCATGTCGAGAAACGACGGTCAAAAGTGGCATATGTTCTCATATACGTGTACCTCATATCAATGATGGCAGATCGACGGCCCAGCATAAATGCATGTTTCGTACCCGGTACATGGTAGACAGGTACATGTACATGGGCTGTCTGTCAAAACAACGCCCTGCCGCCGGACTGGCGGTGTCCCAGGACGCAAATCATGTGGTCGCAGTCCATGATGTCAGCGGACTGCCAGCGTCTTAGCGCTCGTCAAAAAGCCGCAGCAGCGCACATGCAGCTGGCGCGGACCCTTATAGGCGCCAAGGTACCGGGTACATGCAGCGCCGAAAAAATAATCGCCCCCCGTCCAGCGCATCAGACGACGACCAGCATCAATCAATCTGCGGTTTCAGAAGGCCGCCGTCTCCCGTGCAACTTCTGTGCATGCCAACCACGTCTTGGATCGGTTTACGTGGCGGCCACGGCGCGATGGAGACTGGCGAGCACGCCGGCGAAAAAGGGACGTCCACGTGACCCCTTTGCGCAGAGCTTGTGGACGCCAAGGGACCCAAACCCGACCACCCCACCGGCCCGTATGCGGCAGGTCACGATTCTGGCTGGCGCTGACCCAGCAGGCGCCTCGACCCGACTCTCTGCTGTGCCGTGCCGGACTGTGCTCGAAAACCCACGAGACTTATATCCCCAGGGCCGCCGTGCTGCTGCTTCACACGGGCCTGCCGATAAGGGGGTCTCGCCGTGTTTGCCTGCGAGCCTCGAAATCCCGGTACTGTGATCCTGATCCTGATCCTGCCCCCGCGACGGATGACCGCCGCCCGGCTCTAGGGACCGATCTGATCTGATCCCGCCATGTCTGAAGACGACATCGACCTCGTCGGCCAGGATGCTCAAGGGCCCGGCCGTGTCGATCGCGACCGCCGGGCGCCGAGGTTCAGCTGGACGCCCGCCTACGAGACCACCTTCTTCCGCAGCCTGTGCGAGAGCGTGCAGCTGGGCATGCGAGAGAACAGCAGCTTCAAGGCCGAGGCGTGGGAACGCGCCGCCCAGGCCCTCCAGGAGCATCACGGCGCTTATCCGGCTAAAAGCCACCTGATCAACAAGAGCGACAATGCCCGCAAGCGATTTCGACTGTGGCGAGGCCTGCGAGAAGACCCGGAATTCCTGTACAACGCCCAGACGAGGACTGTGACGGCGACCGAGGAAGCATGGAAAGCGCACATCGAGGTTAGTTGGGCCGCAGCTCGCCCACACGCCTGTCGCCGACGCCGGTTTGCTGATTTGACATAGCGCGAGCCTTTGTCGCGGGCCCTCAGGGGGAGGCCCTTTGACCACGAAGAATACATGGAGGTGCTGTATCCGGACGTTGTTGGGTCCGGAGGTGCGCCGAAGAGGATCATGAAGCCTCGGCGGAAGACCGACGGCCAGCCTTGCGACGATACAGAGATGCCGGGCACAGGCGTTTTAAATCTGCAGGCCGACTCGATACCTCTTGTAGTACAAGACAGCACTGATGGGCAGGGCCAACCCCCATCGCCGCAAAAGAGCTCCCAGAATCAGGCTCCGGTAGCTGTTTCGTCCGGACCAGGCGCTCAGCAACGTCCTACCACCGCGCCTTCTGTACCACGCAACCTGACTGCTGGGCAGGCAACGGTTCTCACACCTCCTGAAGACTCGCAGCCTCAGAGCCGGAAGCGACCCTCGCCCATGGCTTCGTTGCAGCCTGCCGACTTTTCTCAGCAAGCGCCTGGACCGACCATGTCACAATCTGCTTTACCAACCTCGCCAGAAAAGCGCCGTCGACTGTCCCATCGAGATGAGAGTAGCGCAGGTACAAGTGCACCTACGCCTCTATTACCTACGCCTCTATTGGGCTCTTCTCTCCCAGCCGCGGGAACAAAATCGACCCCTGACAGCCGATCTCGTCCGGAGACCCAGGCTGCCCATCTTCAGACGATTATAGACGCGCTTGACTACTTTTCCAAGGCAAGTAGATCGCGTATGTGGAGGGAAGAGGCAGTCGATCTGTTATTCAAAGATTTCGCCGACGAGGATGCCGATCTGAAGATTAGCATATCAGAGAACGTCTTGAGTGATGAACACAAGGCCATGGTGTTCTGCAAGATGCCCTTGCATTTGCGGCAGCACTGGGTTAAAAAGCTTCGTGGCGCCAAGACATGAAGAGAGCGACTTTTGAGATACCCCCCCTCTTGGACCTTGCATAGCAGGGCAGGACCATGAAACTGATTTTTTGTACGAAAGACCAGACGGAGCAGTATTACTGTTGGAGTTTTTAAACTTTTAGCGGCGTGATGGTGTCGAGACTCATTTGGAGAGGCGTGTTGAGAGATACCATGATACCCCGATTCGCGGCGTTGGAATCACATTTGCATTTCAGCGAAGATTGTTGTCGTTATCATATAATGCGGACGGCCGAATGGCGTTGTGTTATTGCATTCATATTTTGACTGTTCTCATGAGCAACTTCTTGCCTATACCTTTTTTTTTCTCTTCCTTTTTGACACAACCATTTTTTTTCTCTCATTTGTTTCAACTTATATATACCTACCTTTCAAAGCCTACAAGCTCTTTTTGTATTCGAAGATGAGTGGAAGTTAGAGGAGGCTATCGGTCATTTTTGGATGAATAGCTCTTTTGTATGAAACCATTTCCAATTGAAAACGAAAAACATAAAACCCCACGAAAAAAAAAAAAACACGAGAAAAAAAATAGATAGCCTATCTGCTTCCGTTTGAAGGGGGCGCATTTGGCATGTGCTAGAGAGAACACGCTGTGCGATGGTGATGTAAGTAGTATTAATCAAACCACATACTACTACCATTTTGTATCCACCACTCGTGAGCCAATCGATATGCGAACCATCGCGGGGGGCTCATCTCATTACGCGTGAATCACTTTGCGATATTTTCGATGTGTTGGCGAGTAATGCGACAGCATGGCAATGTGGATTGCCTCAGGAGGAGACTCTCGTAGTTGTCACCAGCAAGTCCATGGGTTGCTTGCAGCTGGGCCCTGGCTCTGTTTTAGTTACGTGACCAGCACGCCTTGTGGCTTGTTTTCCATCTAAAACATGCATAATAACCCCTGTCCTAGAACCCCGTAGAACAGCATCTTCCGGGATTGATGTAATCGAGGCCGGTTTTTTCCCTGCCAAGGCACGGTACGAGCACAGGCTTTAGATGGCCTCGAAGCCGCGGCCGGGGTCGAGCCGCATACGTCATCGTCACAGCTCCGAGACGTGCTAGTTGGACTTTTGGCGTGACTCTGCGTTTGCGTCACATGAATCTGCTGCTCTGTCTGCTGTTTGGGCTCGATTTAGTCCGATACTTAAAAGTCGAGGCAATCCTCTTTCCAATCAGAGGAAGCTAAAAATCAACATCCCGTCACTCGATCAATCAATCTCATTGCCACATTCACCACTTCCACCTCCATTGCTGCGACTTCGCCTTTCCCCTCCCTCATTCAATTGATCAACCAGCCATCAACCAGTGAGTGAGCATGCAACCCTCTGAACCAGAGTGAGATTCGCGGTGACCTCTAACAATATGGAACAGTGTCTTACGCCGACGCTGCTGCAAAGGGTGCCAGACAGAGCCCTGAAGAGGTAAGCAACATATGGATTTTTCAATTCCCGCTCCAATTACCATTCTCAATCATGGATTGTCAATTCTTCCAAGGGGGGGAACCAAACATCCGAGGCTCTGTGTGCGTCTCTCTGCGTGTGTCCCGATAACTGATGATGTCATAGGCTGCTGCCCCTCAACCCCCCGAAATCATCCCCAATGAATCCGCCTCCACAGCCTCTCTCATCGACGTCGATCTCCCCAGCGTGCACACCGTCAGATCAGACTTCCTCGAGCAGGAAATCAAGACCGAGACGCAGGCCGAGCGCATCAGGCGCGAGGAGGAAGCCGCGCGGGCCAACGAGGCCGCCAAGCGAAAGGCCGCCAGCAAGGCCAAGAGGGCCGACTCCTGGATCACGCGCAAGTTCTCGCAGCTCTCCGACGGGAGCGTCACGGCCATTGCCATTGCCAACGTTGCTGGCATCGTGGGAGTTAGCGGCTTCTTGGGCTATCGCGCGTGGGGGCTGTATGAGAAGAGTCGACTGGACTTGAAGCATGTTGGCGTTGGCGTTGGCGTGCTAGCTGCCGTCGGTGCCGTGGAAGCGCTGCTGGGCCGCTATCTTTACAGGGGCAGGAAAGACTGATTCTTCTGCACGAAGAGATGAAGAAATGGGCGGGCGAATTGGTTCTTTTTTTTTTTTTCTTCTGTTTGTTTAATTGCGGTTGATGTCCTTCTTGGACTAGGCGTCTGGGTTAAGGGAGAGCTTGGCAGTTGATTCTATCTCGACTCTGAATAAGGCCGTTATTATCCATGCGGCCGTCAAATATACAAAATAATGAACATACATACATATTATGATTAACCTTTTGTCTTACGCCAGGAACAAGTTTTGCATCTGTGAAGCCAGCTAGTGAAGATTTCTCACGCACAACTAGACTACCTTATACTATTATAAATATTCATTCAGTAGCAGTATATATTCTCATCAGAAACCAATCAGTATTTCTTTATAGCTACACATTCTCAGACTACGTGCAGAAACAGCGAAGAGTTACCCTAAAGCTTAATTTGTGAAGCTTGTTTTTGACACCCAATTGGGCTGCTTAAACAGTCTGAGTCGATGGCCGTTTTACACTCACATAAAAGCTAACTATCGTCTTGCATTTGATCTTCAGTTCCATGACCTTAGCAAGATAGTTATAGATCACTGAAAAAGAAAGAACTCAAATCTGCTCGCAATATCAGAGTGAAGCTAGTAACATTTTTTTTTTTTTTTGCATGTGGGCATTTATTTCGGACGTACTAACCATGTATCCACCAGGGCAACACAGAACTTCCGTGAGCTTGGTAAATGAATCCTTGACCGTTGCAAAAACAGACTACTAGTTAGAAGACCCAAACTCAAAAATTATCTAGCATATCTGCTTTCCTGATATCTGTCAAGTACAAATAGATACACACATGTACAGTAGCCATGTTAAAAAACATCATAAATCAACTCAAAAAAAGAAAGTCTTGCTCATAGCAGGGCTTGAACCTGCGACCTCCGCATCACCAACACTGGAGTCGTTTGACTCGAAGTATTAGTACGAAGCTCTAACCAACTGAGCTATACGAGCGCTCTATTTGTGATGGCGAACCCGTCGCTAATGAAGATATGAAGGCTAGTTTTGAGGAAAACATCCACTCGCACATTCGTGCTAGGACATTTTCTTCAGACTAATAATGGGCCCTCTTCCTTATCAGGCATGGTGACGTCATCGTCAGCATCCCACGCGGCAGCTGTCTCATCTCATCTCATCCTCCCTCTTACAATGCAGTTAACCATGGATAGATCCTTTTGCCATACAGTATTTCATTCCATCGACTGAGAATAGCAAGCAAGAGGAGGAAAGAATAGGTCTAAAAACTCGAAGAGCAGTCCGTAGCCAACCAGCGTGTGCCGAAGATACCGAGCAAGCCTTATTTAAAGCTAGGACTTTCTCTCCCCCCCCCTCCAATATCTCCCATCTGCCTCATTCCTTCGCCCAAAAGCCCGAATAATTTCCGTCTCTCATCATCTCCCATGCTGCCTCTCAAATCCAAATCCCGCCTCGACACAGTCATGCGCTCCCTCCGGCTGCGCCGGGCCCGCGACGAAGATGTTCCCGCCATGGCAGCGCTCGACGTCGCCGCCTTCCTCGACAGTCCCATGCACAAGGCCATGTTCCCCAAGCGCCTGCGTATAAAGCCCGGCATCCAGGACCAGCTCGAGTGGAACATCTCGCGGATGCGCAAGGGGCTGGCCGACCCGAACCTGCACTATCTCGTCGTGCTGGCCGATGCGGCCGAGGAAGGGGAGATTATCGTAGGATGCGCCGAGTGGTCGGCGCCGGCGGCGGACGGTTGCGGTGCTGGAGAGTTTGAGGATGACAAGGGGAAGACGGCGGAAGAGAAGGCCAAGGATATGGAGCTGAGGCTGGCGAGGCTGCCTCCGTTTTTGGATAAGGGGGCGCTGCTGGATGCCAATGATGAAGTGATGGAGTTGATTGAAAAGTCCAAGGATGCATTCAAGGGGGAGAATAGGCATGATATGTGGAGTGAGTACATGCTCTTTGCGTTGATGATGTGGAGTTTGCGTACGCTATTCTGACTGCGAGTTATATATAGCCCTCAACTCCATCTCCGTGGACGGCGACTATCGAGGTATCGGCATCGGCAAGATGATGACACGATGGGGAATGGACAGGGCAGACGAAGACAAGAAGGGCATATGGATCATCTCATCTTCACTGGGCCAGCAGCTGTACAAGTCGCTGGGGTTCAAGCAAGTTGCCCAGGGCTCGAGACTGGGCGAGCCGCAGTACCTCATGCTGAAATTTTACGAACCCAAGCCAGAGCCCGCGCAAGAGACCGCGCAAGAGACTGCGCAAGAACCTGTGCAAGAGCCTGTACCAGAGTCTGAGAGAGTTCCCGAGCTTGAGCCCATGGCTATGCCTCAGCCTATGTCTGTTCTTGAGCCTGTGGCTGTGGCCGTGGCCGTGCCCGAGCCTATGCCCGAGCCTGGGCTAAATGGGGTGAGCACTACGGCGTAACATGTATCAGCAGAGGAATATGGACTTTTGGATTTTATTGAAACTAGGATGGGATGAAGGCGTTGGATTTGATGGTTGGTTTTCTTTGAATTTATAACACTTTTACATACCGTAGATTGGATTCTGGCACATGCTAGGTAGTTTGGGCGTATAATCTCAGCGTCAGCGTATCATAACAGCACTTGGAAGTTTGCGTAGTCTGAAAAGTTGAATATCATAAATTGACTTGTGTGTTTATACAATATAGATGCAAGCCTTCTAACCCCCCATGGCATTTTTTGCGCACCATTTATGCAGTTTGGAACACATCGGGCCCCGTATCATACAGACCACGTAATATACATCAAAGGCAACCCCCCATTGAACCCGTCGATTGCCTTCATTTTATTGCTCCTTCTATGTCTCCAAACACCGTGATTTTGTTTTGTTTTTGTCTCTTTGCTTCTTCTTCTTCTTCTTCTTCCTCTATTACTGCATTTATTTCTGCTCCTTCTCTTCGCCCTCTACTCTTGGGACTGAGCTCTCCACCAACTTGACTCCAGGTAGGTTGTCGGTCTCAGCAGCATCAGAGTGGCGGCCCTGAGCAAGTCTATCTTCTCGGAGCTGTTGTCGGTCTTCTTCGGCCACGGGTACGGCAGGGGCCTCGGCGGGTGCAGCCTTCGCGGCGGGAGCAGCAGCTGCCGCTTCACCAGCCTCGGCCTCAGCTTCTTCGTCTTCAAGCTCAGAGCCGTAGATTTCGGGGTACTTTCGGAAACACTCTTGCATGCCCCTATTATGATGTTAGCTACTGTCTCCGTTATCATTGTGTATCATCTGGGCTGCTCGTACTGGAACTTGTCGATGCAATCCATGCCCTTGGGCTCCTCGGTAGAGTAGACAAAGCAGCTAAAGGCAGTCTTGAACTCCTCTCCGCAAGGGCCATGCGCCATACCACCCAAGCAGGGGCAGTCCCAGTTGATCTCTCCAGTTTCGGGGTTGAAGGCACTCTCTTGGCTGGCCTCCTCTTCCAGGGCCTCGGGGGATTCGCCAAAGGCAGCAGCGCTCTGGGCGGGAGTTTCTGACTTGTCGTCGGTCTTGGCGGTCTCAGTCTTCGTGACAGCCGGCTCGGCAGCCTTGGGGCTAGCATCCTTTCGCTTCTGCTCGATCAATGCATCGACGGTGGGCAGCTCGTTATCGGTATAAGGCGCGGGGATAGGCAGGGCGTGAGCTACTTCAGGAATCAGCAAAAAGTCCAGACTTACACATGGATGGCGCTAAGGAAAAAAAAGGTCATACCCTCGGCCTCATCCGCAAAGACGGAGCTTGTATTATAGTAGTAAACACCGGCAACCGCCAAACCCCATCGAAGCGCAGAGCTCTTCCATGATCGAGACCTATCCGCGGGAGCAGTTGAGGCAAATCGCCGAGGGGCCGTCCGGACAGCGGCAGTGCGCAAGCTGCTGGCAGCAGGCCGTGAGGCGTTTCTTAGTGCTGCACGATACATTGTGGCCAGATTATTATATAAAGAGACAGGCAGAAGAATCAATGGGCGAGAAGGGGAGGAGGGTGGGCGAGGGGAGGAACAGCAATGGCTGCGGCTGGATATGTAATCGAAGAAAAAAAGATGGCCTGCATGACAAAATGGCCAAGATTGGTCAGCGCGAGCCCATCTCCAATTCCGTAGAGCGTTTGCGCCAAGCTCAAAAAATTGGGCTCATTTAGCCGACAATTATCCGTCATGTAGGCCGCCTTGGGATGGAGAGTCTCTGTACGCTTTCAGCAGCAAGGAGCATGGGCATGCCTCATATGCGCCTGTAATTGTAATTGTAGCGATATTCTATGATGGCAAAATTATCCGAAATTTCGAAAATATCGAAAAATAGACTGTCTATGGTGGCTAAAACGCTCAACACGTGCTCTGCACCATTACACGCGGGCCAAGGATCAAATAGTAATGCTGATTACTCAAAGCCGTAGTGAGAGCAGGCTGGCTCAGCTCAACAGCACAGTGCCCAAATGACAGTCATTATCAGAATTCAATGCACGTTTAATTACCAAACCAAACGATCAACAGGCGAGCAATGCATCCAGATCTCCCCAGCATCTGGCTCCGCCCCGAGGTTTATCCACGCTGCTGCAGCCGAACCTAAAGTGGCCGCAGCATAGGGCGCTGGTACCTGCAGCCCTTGCTTTTGGTGCAGTGGTACAAGGGGGGCCTGGTCGCAAAGGATGTGAATTGTGAGCTTGGACTGAGGTCACAGGCCATCCGTCATATCACAAGCTCCTTTACGAGCTGAAAGTCCAGGTCGCTCGAGCGAGCTCTGCGCTTCTTTTACCATAAAACCGACGAGAAAGAGAGCAGTGGCCGTCTGTGCCTTTCTTGTCTCACTCTTGCATCAATAGCGCCCTTCGTCAAAGAAGTGATGCGACTTTGTTGAGAGACTGCCGTCTTTGTTCTTCTCTTCTCCCTCGCCAAATCCTCCCTCATAGCTTACTCGCGCATCACAGCCGGCCGGCAGCATTTCACGATGGACTCGGTGTTCGAGTGGCAGCCTAACAAGTTCCTGCAGGACCACCGCAGCCAGACTTTTGCCCTCCTGGTGCTCAATCAGCCTCTGAAGAATGGCAGCAACCTGCGCAAGCTCTGGAGAAATTGTATGCCCGCCAAATGGGATTCGCTGCCCCTCCAAGCTACCAACAGCTGACCCTGGATACAGCTTCTCTCCGCATAGCGGCCGATGGAGGCGCTAATCGTCTTCACGAGCTCTCATCATTCCAAGGCAAATTTGTGAGTACCATGCATCATCATGTCACGTCATGAAGCCATCATCTCTGTTCTGTCATTTTCTCTTTCCTTTTCATCCCCACTTGAAGCTATTGAGAAACTATCGTGATACATAGGTGCAGCATCTAACAAATCTGTAGTCGAACCTGCAAGTCATCATCGGTGATCTGGATTCACTGAGACCATCGGTTCACGACTTCTACACCTCGCAGCACACCCCTGCTCAAATCATCCGGGATCCCGACCAATATTCCACCGACTTTGGCAAGGCCATCACTTGGATCCGCAAAACGCAGCCTGCCGGGACTGATATTGTCGCCCTGGGCGGCATCGGCGGGCGAATCGACCAAGGTCTCAGTCAACTCCACCACCTTTACCTCTTCCAGTCGGATCCTGCGTATGCAGATGGTCGCATTTACCTTCTCTCAGGATCCAGCCTGACGTTCCTCCTCAAGACCGGCACGCATCGCATCCAAGTCAGAGAGGATGGCGAGGAAGAGGTGTTTGGCAAGCACGTCGGAATCATCCCGCTCAAGGAGCCAAGCCACATCACAACCAAAGGGCTGGAGTGGGATGTGACTGATTGGGAAACCCAGATGGGCGGCAAGCTCAGCACTAGCAACCACGTTCTCCCAGAAACAAAGATTGTCGAGGTTCAAACGACCAAAGACGTCCTCTTCACGATAGCGCTTAGCAATCTCGACGGCGAGGAAGACGGCTAGAGTATCGTGTGAATTGGAACGAAGAGGAAACTTTACATCATCTCTTGATAGCTCTGAAAGAAATTATGAATGGCCATTTTTTTTGATATCCATACCCAAACGCCATGGCGCCTCTCCCACAAATGCTACGTCCCCATCTATCGTAAATAGTGAAGAACTAGCCAGCAAAATAAGAAAAATACAATCACTCCTGCGATAAAAATCCATTTGTCCTCTCGGGCACGGCGCTCGACCATGCGAATGGTGTCACCGCTGACACCTAGGGTATTGGCCACGCTGTACAGCCGCTTCTGCGTGTTCTTTAGTGTTTCTCGCTGCTGGCCCAAGTCCCCTAGCACAGCCTGTCCTCTGGCGATGAAATCGTCCAAGGCGTGATTCGTGTTGCTGAAGAAGTTTTGTTCTCGGAAAGCATGCGCTTCGCGGAATTCGTCGCCAGCGCCAGTCGTCATCGACGTGCTGTTTGAGCTGTGATGCCGAGGCTGGAAAGAGGAATGCGTCGCCGTTGCGGGAGCATTGGCATACGGGTTTTCTGGTGTTGCATTGTACGGTCTTCTTCCCAGCAGCTCCGATCGGTTGTGGTTGTGCTGTGCTTCTTCTCTCGCCTTCTTCAGGCCATCGAGGTCCCCGCGGAACTGGGAGAGCTCCTCGCGGAATTTCTTAACACGATCAAACGCCTCCTCCTGTTTCTTCGGCACGATTTCCTGGCGCGCAAGGTTGTGGTATTCGTCGAGCGACTTTGCGAATGATGTCAGGGACACAGACACGCTCCCAATCTCGGCGGGCGTGGGTGGATTCTTGGACTGGATGTTGGAGAGGTCACTGCGGATGGCCTTGCTCTGCCGCAGCACTGTGTTGTATGCGACATTCTAGCGCACTTGTTTAGCTAAAGGGAAAATGCACATGGCATCAGATATTCAAATTCCCTACTCACCATCTTGACGGCGACAAAGGTTTGTGAAGCTGGAGCTCAATTCTTATCACCCCCCTATGCAGGAGAGAGCTGGCAAACCGGAGCTACTCATTCATCGAGGCATGCTCTGAGTGGCCACATCGCTGCTCTGCCACGGAGTGTGGGGTTTTTCCACGCCGTGGCGCAACAGGTACCGGAGCAAAGTACCGCGACGCCCAGAAATCGAGATCGCAGCGGTGGAGTCGATGGAGTCGATACGGGAGAAAGAAAAATACGGGCTTTGGCTTGACAAAAGTACGAGAATAAAGAAAGAATGAAGGAAATATTGTGCAAAGCACCTTCAATGCTACGGATTATGATACCTGTTCCAGCATAGAGCAGATCATGGAGCTAAGAAGCTAGGTAGCGAGCACGGTTAAAATAGGACGTTAAAGCCCAAAACACCAAATGTAATTGGTCCATTGCGCAGCTTGCATCCTACTAGATCAGCATCGCAGGTGTATAATCGTCGTACAAGAAAGCCTCTCCAGAATTCGAAAACCCCCTTTCACGATGTTGACCGCAAAATGCTAAGAAAAGCGTTACATGGTGATATATCACCACCTGTTTCGGTCGCCGAATCAGATTTGCCGATTTCGGCACCGAACCCCGGCGAGATCTTCACGGCTCATTGTTGCCGACCACTGACCGATAATGTTGGCCTGCGTGGAGTAGGAGCTTGAATTTTTTATCCTCCTGCTTATTCCCGGTCCGAGAATAATCTTTATAAATGCTGAGCTTTCATCTTCCTCTTCTCAAAACTTCACAAAGGATGAGATTGTCGGCATCCTCCTCATCATCATCATGAGTTCTTCGCCAGAAGACACAAAAAGCGGTTCAGATTCGGAGAAGAATCGGCTCTCACTTGACCTGACCGATGTGGAGAAACAACCCGTAACGGTTGAAGAGCCAGTGCCGCCTCCGTACTCGATATTCACAACATGGCAGAAACGAATGTTGGCTCTTGGAGCCGCTTCCACAGCATTTTTCTCCCCTATATCAGCTCAGATCTACTTGCCAGCATTAACACAATTATCGGATGAACTTCATGTTTCGAGCACCAAAATCAATCTTACCATTACGACTTACATGATCTTTCAGGGCATTACTCCTATGTTCATCGGATCTCTAGCGGACAGTGGTGGAAGACGGCCGGCATATATTATCTGCTTCGTAATATACATTGGCGCCAACATTGGTCTTGCTCTTGCTCCCAGCTACGGGGCTATTCTTGGCCTTAGATGTCTCCAGTCTGCTGGTTCAAGCACCACCGTGGCACTGTGCATGGCTGTCGTAGCAGATGTCATCACGTCCGCCGAACGAGGCCAATACGTCGGTTTCACTGTTGTGCCTGTAGTTCTTGCCCCAGCGCTCGGTCCCATCATTGGAGGCGCCCTCTCTCAGACCCTCGGATGGAGAGCTATCTTCTGGTTCCTAACTATATTCGCGGGAGTGACTCTTTTCCTTATTGCCATGTTTCTGCCCGAGACTTGCCGTCACATCGTCGGAGATGGTTCAATTTATCCACCACCACTTTACAGATCAGGCTGGCAGATCTTAACTTCACGTTGGAACAAGGATCGCAGGGTCCCTGCGGCCAAAAATGCGTTCAAGTTTAAGCCACCCAATGTCCTGGGATCTCTGCTCATGCTGCTGGAGAAGGAGACTGGGCTCCTTCTTGGCACCAGTAGCCTCATTTTTGCCGGGTTTTACTGCATTGCCACTGCGATGCCCACTCTATTTGCAAACTCGTATGGGTATGATGAAATCAAGGTGGGATTGATGTACTTGCCACTGGCATTTGGCTCAGTTCTTGCCGCCATGGTTGTTGGTCCTGGAATCAACTGGAACTATAAACGACACTGCGAGAAGCTCGGCATCCCTCTCGACCGCAGCCGCCAACAAGATCTTTCCAACTTTCCCATTGAGCGTGTGCGACTGGAGATTGGGCTTCCGCTGCTTGGCCTCAGTGGTCTTTCTCTAATCGGCTGGGGCTGGGCCATGGACCGTGTAGTTCATGTTTCGGTCCCTTGTATCGTCAGCTGTCTGATGGGCATGGGCATGATTGGCTTCAACAACACGTCCAACACATTGCTCGTCGACATCCACCCTGGAAAAGCTGGTACCGCAACTGCTGCGAACAACTTCACTCGATGCTTGATTGGAGCCGGGGCTACTGCGGCAATCGTTCCTCTGATGAACGCTATTGGTGTAGGCTGGTCCTTCACGATGATTGGTCTCATCTACATAATCTGTGCCCTACCATTGTTTCTTATTATGGCAAGAGGCATCAAATGGCGGGCTGAAAAGAAGGCAAAAGAGGAACGCAAACAGAAGAAGAAGGAGGAAACTGCTCCATGAAGATGAAATGAGATGGAATGATGATAGACCATTTAGACCACAAGTGCTGAGATACCTATGTCTCATACTATAAAAGCATACCGCAAGATTGATACAGCATACCACATAGCGATTATATTAGACATTTATTAATACCTTTTGAATATACATGTACGGAGCATGAAGTTTGGTTAGACTCAGATTCTGCAGCTTAGGGATCTTGAATAAGTTCGCCGCCCTATACAAGTCTCCTCTAAATTTAGAACATGCCACTAGAGGGTTGAATGATTCGGGAACTATTTACACTGCTTAAATTTACGCGTACTTGTGATAATTACTGCTTGTCTATATATACATGTAGCCGGCATCTCTTCTTTCACGTTTAGCGCCATCTACCCCGTCAGTCCTTGCTCAAACTGTTTTCCTTCTGTTGAAGCTATCCTACATATTTAGGGAACAGAATTAGACCGAAAAGTTGCCATTTAATGTGGAATCATCGTTTCTGTATCTAACAACAAATTTCCTGGCACGCGACACTTGGAAGTTTACGGCTACGTGAATTATCTGTGTGCTTAGAAATACTTACCCTGAAGTAGTCGAGTAGAATTCGATTAGCAAATAACCCTCGTTACAACGATTGGACTATCCACAATTTTACTTTTATTATACAGCTGCTCAAAAATATTACGCTGGATGCTGTGACCCAAGAAAGATGAAGCCATGAATAGCTTCGATTAAGATTGCCTTGTCTTTGGGTTCTACTAGCGGCCAGCTAGATGTTTTGCGAATGGAAATGGGATCCGGGTTAATATGGAATGCCGCTTGCGTTCTAGGCTCTGGCATTTGTTTGCTGCTGCTAAGCATCGTATCAATTGCCTTGTATAGGCTCTTCTTCCATCCACTTGCACGAGTTCCAGGCCCAAAGCTCGCTGCTATTTCTAATATATGGCATGCATATCACGCTCGAAATGGTGGCATGTTCGAATTGGCATGCACACTGCACCAAAAGTATGGAGAAGTAGTGCGGGTTGGCCCCGATGAACTTTGGTTCAACAGCATGGAGGCCTTTGACAAGATCTACAGTACGTTTAGGTCTTTAACAATAGAACACTTTGGCATATGGATACTTACTGCTCTCAAAGGTAGCACCAAAGGATTTGAAAAGAGTGATTTCTACTGTATGTTGGTGTGTTGAGCATAATGATAGGCTATAGCTGCTTACTGACACACCATTTGTAGTGGCAACCAGCCTAATCCTGCCAAAAATAGATTGCTTCTTGCGTCCTCATTTTGTCGATAGCTTAGATCTACTCTCCGAAAGGGACATGAAGCGCTATCGACTCCAGAGACGGTTGATTGGGAGAGTCTACCAAACATCCAATGTGATCAAGTTTGAAGCGGCAGTCGACGGTGTTATTAACCAAGTGATTACGCGACTGAAAGCCTTGGACGGCGCCGAGTTAGACCTGAAAGAATGGATGCACATCATCGCGGTTGAGTGTCTTGGAGCTTCCGTTTTGTCTTGGGCTCCGGGATTGCTTAAAACCGGAACTGACTGGGGATCAAGCGGCCACAGTTATCTTGCTTGGAGAAGGAAGAGTGTTATGGGCCTATTCCCGACCTTGACTAAATTGACGATGGGTACAAATTTGTTCGAATGGGTATTCAGAGATGTCTGGAACTTGAAGTTCCCTGCTCCACCAAACTTCAGATCATTCTTTCCTGTCAGTATAACAGTAAATATTTCCTTTTCTTGAAACAAGTCTTGACTCACTAGGAATTTAGGACGTGGGAAAGCGTATATCGCGGAGAATCAAATCTGCTTTAAACCCAAATGCCGGTAAAGATCGCCGGATAGATCTAATGGCAGACCTCATTCAACTCCACAAAGATAAACCTGAATTCACGGAAGTTTACCTTAGGAAAATGGGAATGACCAATTTTGGCGCGGGACATGACACAATGGCTTCAACTTTGACAGCCATTTTCACAATGATTGGAACACACGACGACGTCCAAAAAAAAGTAACGGAAGAAATTCGAAGCGCCAAGAATCCTTTATCATATGCGGGCGCTGTTCAGCTGCAGTATACGCGCGCAGCTTCAAGAGAGGCCATGCGACTTCATCCCGCCTTGACCATGTCGCTTTCTCGCCGAGTTCCTGATAACGGTTTGCATATGCATGGGCACTTCATCCCGGGAGGCACGACAGTCGGGTGTAACCCAGCGGCGCTGCATCGGAATGCAGACATTGTGACGGGCTCAAACCCAGAGGCCTACGACCCGGATCGATGGCTCGGTGGCGACCCTCTTGACGTGCGCCCTATGGAACGATACAGCCTTAATTGGGGTGGCGGCCCAAGGACTTGTCCAGGCAAGAACTTGGCCGAGATGGTGGTGTACAAAGTTGTATCAGCCCTATTCGAACAATTCGATGTCGAGGTGGTAGCACCATTGCAGATTGGGCAGCCATCGTACTACATGTCGATGATCACAGGCGCAAAGGCCCGATTCTTGCCTGTGCCCCCACCGATGGCCGGGGAAATCTCTAAAAGAACTGGTTAATTGGTGAGGGGGTTATCATACTGTAGTAGCTGGGATTTGCAAAGATTATCAGCACCAAATCAAATACCGGATTCCTTTGAAGAATTGGACTGTGAGTCTTTCTGTATTAAATATTTCATCGGCTATTCTAGGTAATCTCTTGACTGAATGTAGTAAATGGTGGATGGATTTTCATTAGAATCCACAGTCCAATACATATTTCGACTTAATACGGCAATACCTACATAAATCAAAGTCTATTGTGTTTCGGGATAAATGATGAGGAGCAGAAGCAGAGGTTTCGGCTCTTCGTGTTAAACCCCGCCGAAGAAAATCAACGGAAAAGGTGTGTGGAAGTATGCAGCTTTTCCGCATTGGGAGCCAAACTCCCAAGTGCCTTTCCCCCACTGCTCAGTGACCTACAGGGGTTGCAACTCAAGCGGGACCACTTGGTAGGCTCAATCGCAAATCCGCTATGAAGTCCCTGTAACAATCAGCGCTGAGGAGCAGAAAACATTGTTTCAATGGTGACAGTTACTTGCTGGACTGAGTTTATACGCTTTATATGATGAAGCCTACAAGTTGATCACGCACACTACACAATCAACTGTTTTCCAGCCCAGGAGTTTCAGTAGCCAACTAGAAAGCTGGCATAATAAATTGGAGTAGATGTTGATAACGCGATCATGCTTGAACGGGAGAGTTAGTATCGAATAATTCAAATTAGATTTGAGTGTGAGGAGAAAGCAGTGGATATGATTGCTGTGTATGAATGACATGGAACCGAGCAACCAGGGGCTTCTATTCCATTTAATACTCTTCTGCTGATAACTTAGCACTAGCATTTTGTATGTAGCTTATTGCTGCCCATATTCCCAAGGTATCACGACGTTGCCCTCGTTATCTTTCAGAGGGTACACGCCGGGATATCTTCAATGTTTGCGTTGTGTGCTTCAATTAGCCTTGCACTACGCTGCAGTCATACCTACCAAGTATGTAAGCAAATAAGGCCTCCTACCTAAGGAAAATGTAAGAGCTTTAGCACCACACCAACGAAAGCCAATATGGTAAAATTTTCTTTATAATTTTATATTTATATTCAAAAACCTTGTAAATTTCATTACCTTCTACATAAACCCAGTGGCATTATTCATGGGAGAGAACCCTTTAAATTATTGTTCTTACACCGATTAGATCCCAATACTATCGTTACTACTGGTAAAATAACTGCGCACTTATGCTAGTAGCAAGTTACATGTATTTTTGAAGTGTTTTCTGCGTATTTTTATCAGCATATACATGTATTAGTAGTTTCCAAAACATTACGTACGTACGTACGCACGTACGTGAATGTTATGCGGCCTATGAAGCCACTACGTGGAATACCAAGACAGAGAGAGTGGAAAATAAATCTGGTTGTCTCGAGCAGTACGATTCGGCATGTTATGTGTATCAGAATCTATTTGGGGGGTCGAGATATGTTCGCTCTCGGTAGAATAATTATTGAGTCATGCTAGTTACGAAAAAGAGACGCTGGATCAGAGTCATCTCGAGACTATTCTATCGCATTTAAGTATGAAGTTGCAGCAATGCAGCTAGTTCCTAATACCATGCCGGTACCTCGCACCATGTTCAGTGGAAGGTAAGCTCATTTCGAAAGCCAGCAATATATAAAGGGACGTGTTATTAAAGGAAAGGATGTCATTATTCAGCAAAGGATTCCCAGAGTCGGAGTGAATATAGCATGGCCGTATCTCTCCCTCACGCAGAAATCTTCTTTCAAGGAGCAAACACGAAAGATAATACACGAGCTAACCACTGTGCAACCTCCTCCAACAGTAGTGGGGCCAACTTATATCTCGTATCGGATCCGAATCCAAGAGCGAACCGAAATATCTCGTCTTCCGAAAGTGAGATTCTTTTTGGGAATCGCCTAGACAGAGGAGCAGAACAGCTAAACTTCATGCATAACGATTTACAACCCTCAAACATTATTGATCAGAACGATGTAAGTGCCGTTCACTCTCAGTTTCTCACTCCAAGAAGAGAAGACTTTGCCGGTGTACAGCTCTCTGAAGAAAAAATGGACGACTTGGAACATTGGGTGGGGGGGGGGGGTCGGTCTTTACGCCTTTGAACCCAGATAGCAGCATCTGCTCGGAGTAGCTTCCAGCAGAGAGACTAGCTATTATGTGATTTGGCTTATTTGACAGTTTTGCATGAAATTGAGATAGCAACCAAGTGAAATAAATGATTGCTGAGTTAGAGTCGAACAAGACGATACGCAAGATGGTGCTGCTGCACTAGTCTTACTGCCTGACTCAGGGCATCATCTATCTTACCCCGACGGATCATCTATCTCACCCCGACGGAAAAGAAGCCAAACGAAGTTTGAAGACCACCGCCAATTGGTGCTTCTGTTAGCGACAAACTAATGACATACACGGCTGTGTAAGCGTGCCAGCTACTCCATACTCATTATACACGTTGTCTCAGCATCGTTGCATCGCGGCATAGCAATTTACTTTCTGTATCAAATTTAACGGAGTAAGCATGTCGCATGCTAAGTTACCGACTAGGCGCTAATGCTAACAAAGTGTGGTGCCGTGCATTTTATCACATTCGACCAACACTCACCTCCAATTGCCAAGAGCTCGGTTGTGGGTACGACTGTGTTGCTAACGGAGATGGCAACAAAGTGGGAAAAGCGCAGTTGTTTGCGATGCAAGATTTCAGAGGCTTATGCTGGCCGCTTGGTAGGCAGAATAAATGCCGAGCAGAATTTTCTTCTAGGAATTGATTTTCTTTAGCTTTCAACTCTAAAACAAAGTGGTGTTGACCAAAATGTTCCCCGGCCATGGGTCGATTTGGAGAAGTGGCTATTCATAAGCCACCCAAAGCAAAGTTCAAAAGTTCGGCAAACCACCACCTGAAATGCTAAACTGCTTTTTGCTATTCTCGGCAATCCAATGGCACAAACTGAACACAACGTCGCCTTTGACCATCCAGTGCTAGCCGCCCCATTACTAGCGGCCATCCCCACCCTTTGGCGCAGCCCGGATATGCCTAGAAGTGTTGTCGAAGGCTTCTAACTCGTGGCGCTCTTGCAGGATGAGAAATGGCCGAGCGACTTGGCCCAAAGCAGCCGTGCTAGGGAGGCTTGGCACGCGCGTGTGTTTCCCTTTGGCTTCGTTTGGAAAGGCGTCGCCAGGCTGCTGATATTACTCCTATATGCAAAGTACTACTACTTGTAGTATTAAGAAACGAAGCACTCCGCATGCGTATGCTGCAGTAAATTAAGTGTTGGGTGACTCCGAGAAGCAAGACATGTCCTGCCATGTCCGAATTTCCGCATTGACGACAAGATATTGGCATGATGTGCCCACTGGGCTGAAGCAGCTGAGGGCATCAGGCTATAACAAAGGGAGATGGGCTCTTCAGGTCGAGATGGTGTGGTAGAAAGGGTCCAAAACGGCATCTATCTCCTCGATCTTATCCCGCGGAAAATCCTTCGAACCCCAAGTCGCCCAACAGCCATGGCTAGCCGTCTCTGGCCGTCTTGTTTACGAATTGCTGGCCAACTGCGGAATAAGTGTTTGGTCAAAGGCAGACTGAACTTGTGGTGGCGGCAATAGCATCGCCTTAATTATCAGCTGAAGCTTGTTGGGTTTATCGATCACAAAGGGACCCTTAGCAATGCTTTCGTCTACCCCGTATGGGGTAATCAAGATGTCGTGGTTCATGCCGCCGTCAAAGTCCAGGAAACTGGTGTTCTCCCCAGATATTCCCCAATATCTTGACTAACAGATTGCTTTTCATCTCCATCGCAACGCTCAGCGCAGTGATACTATTACGAGAGTTTTGAGCAACTGAGCAACGCCAGTGGCAAGCGACCCACAAACCCCGTATTACGGCGAAGATAAACATGTGCAACCGAAGGCTGCCATCCATGACTATGGCTGGGTGCTGTGGGCCTCGGGGAGCCCCCAGGGCTGCGTCCATCTGATGGCAGAGGTGGAAGAGGCAACCGCCCATCATTCCATCATCTTGGAAACTGTGAATACTACTGCCAGCACATGATATGCTGTACATGGCTCGATCGCGATGAGTAGCGTTCTTTCGGGGACCGTAGACGTTTCTTGGCAGAGGACTTTTGCACAAGCCACATGGCCATGGCTTGCCATCTTGCAGCCTTAGACCGACCACCATGCGGCTGGGAGCGCGCCGGCTGTCCAAGAGCGCTGCAGGATTCGAGGATTAGCAGCATGGTTCCCTCATCGGGCTGGACGCCGCCGTCACGCCACCCGCTCTTGGGCTGGTCCAGCGGCAAATGGAGGCGCTCAGGAACAATGAGGGCAGCTAAACAGTAAACAGCGCTCCCACCCACTGCCGCGATAAACTCTGTGAGATCCCCAGCGTCTCCCCCTTGAGGCTGCGGGTTGAGTCGAATGACTCTTGGCCGTCGTCACCGATTGCGTGCTTCGGCGGCTCTCGGCGTCCAGGGCGACGTCGCTCAGCGCTAATCGCATCTGGACGGTCTGGAATGTCGATTCTCAGGACGAAGGATACAAGTATGGAGTCTGTAGCAATAACAGCCAGCTCCATGCGGACTGCGCTACGGGATGGGGCAGCGTCTACTGTAAAGTAACCTTGATATTTGAGCTTTACTTTAGGCTTGAAATTAGCAGCGCAACGGAGGGTCCCATCCGTATATGTGGAGCTCGCTCGCATGTCGACCCTGCTAAGCCGCGAGCTTAAACAGCAGATGGGCGCGATGCCATTGGCCGAGGCGGCGTCCAAGGGACTTTTGTGCTGTGGCGCCTCGCTCGAGGTCTGCGTGTGAGTCGAGAGCCGTTCGCTCACCATGCCCGGACCAGCCTAGGGCGGCTGATTGCTGAGTGACGGCGAGTTTTGGGTGGGATTTTGCGTGTTCGACGGGCTCGGCCGAAAAAAAGCATAACAAGCTTAAGGTTGAGGTTACAGGAGAATTTCTGTCTCTAAAAAAAAGGGCCTCGGACGCAGCCACAATCGCGGAACGCCGCATGCAGGTGCCTGTGAGACGTCTATTTTAGGGGAAAAACCCTAGACGCGAGACAACGCCGCCGGAGAGAGACGACTAGTAATGCCTAGATAGCGAATTATTCGTGTTTGTGTCATCGCTAACAATGCCAAGCAGAGCTATCTGGTCGCCGCCCCGCCGCCATCACATGGCTTTGTCGTGTGCTGGAGAGCAGCAGGCAGCCAGACTGGCGTGCCAAGTCGCCGGATCGGTTAGGGTAGGGGCTTGGAGATGGAGAGCCTCGCTGTGAGACACAGGTGCGGGAGGCTGAAGAAGACTGCGTGTTTGATGCTCTGATCCGGGTTCCTGGCGAGAGATGATGGAGATGATGTACATGTAGCTGCGACTGCCGAGGATGCGCGTGAGTCTAGACAGACAGACAGATGAAGGGACCAACACATCAAATGCAAAATGACCGAAGACGAGGCCCGGCCGTGACCACAACGTTGCAACGAAGCACATACAAGCATGCGCGATGCCAAGCACGCACTCCAGTAATCACAGCGAGGTGCTTCGAGCACACAGCACAAGGGGCCCTGGACGCAAGCGGTCAGTGTTTCCTCGCATCCAGCAAGCCAGCCCGATTAGCGGCTGGGCCCTGCCAGTAGCTCGCGGGTTGGTGGTGGTGCAAGCATCAATCCGGGCAATTCGCCATGCATCCTCCCCGCTTCGCTCTAGCTCGCGCACCTCCAACTCCCTCTCATGCCCTCCACCTGGGCCATTTCGTGCTTGGATGGCCCCGGCACTGGTCCGGGATCTTTTGTTTAGTTGCCACAGACCTTGCTGGAACGAGTATCGCCCTCCGGCTGCTGTTGGTCTTGGCCCGAGTTTGATATCTGGATGTCGACTCGTTTCGCCTCCACACGCCAGATACGCAGAGAGGGCGAGGAGAAACAAGACCGGGTCAGCACATGGTAACGGATACATGGGTCGAGTTGGGGGGTACAGCACTGCAGCCGTCTGTCTTATCGAGAAATCGACTTGCACGGCATTGTCTCGGATTGTCTATATAAGTCGACGGCGGCGGCCTGACAAGCAACCCTTCTCCCCTTCCTCCTCCTCGTGCTGTGAAGCCCGTCTGTTCTGCCCACTCCATCTTCCTGGGTTGACAACTTGCGCCATTCAGAAGCTCGCCAGGCCTTCTCTCAACCTACATTCACCATGAGCAACACTGCCGGCCTCGAGGTCGACGTCATTGCCGAGGCCGATCGTCACGCGGCTGGCCTTGACGACAAGGAGTTTCACGAAAAGGCGGCTGCCAACATCGACGTCGACGTCGCTAGCAACGATGAGGAAGTCTTCGACGATACCCCTACCGAGGAGGAGATGCGCACCCTGCGCCGTGTCTCGGGAAAGATCAAGTGGGCCATGTACACCATTGCCTTTGTTGAGCTTTGCGAGCGTTTCTCCTACTATGGATCTTCTATCCTCTACACCAACTTCGTGAACCGACCTCTTCCTCCCGGTTCCACCACCGGTGCTGCCCCCTCTGCCGATGGTCTTCCCGGTGCCCTGGGAATGGGCCCCAAGGCTGCCATGGGTATCAGCTTGTTCAACCAGTTCTGGGCCTATATCATGCCTCTCCTGGGGTAAGTCATCGCTTTGTGTGCAATTCGTTCCAAATAGCTTCGATGCTAACGATTTGAAAACAGTGCCTGGGTTGCTGATGCCCGCATGGGACGCTTTTGGACTCTTCACGTTGCCATTGCCATCTCTACTGTCGCTCACGTTATCCTCGTCGCCGCCGCCGCCCCTTCTGTCATTGTCAAGAAGGACAGTGCCTTTGCTGCTTTCATCATCGGTCTCATCACTCTCTGCACTGGCACTGGTTTTTTCAAGGCAAACGTCTCTCCCTTACTTGCCGACCAGAATGAGGACACACGCATGCGCGTCAAGGTGCTCCCCTCTGGCGAGCGCGTCATCGTTGATCCCGCTGTGACCAACACCCGTATCTTCCTCTACTTCTACCTGGCTATCAACATCGGATCTCTTGCTGGTCAGATCAGCATGGTCTACGTTGAGAAGTATGTCGGCTTCTGGCTTGCTTTCCTCATCCCTACCGGCATGTTCCTGCTTGCCCCCTTCGTTCTGTGGAGCCAGAAGAAGCAGTACAAGCTCACTCCTCCTACCGGTTCTCTGCTTCAGAAGTTCCTGCAGATGTTCTGGTATGCTCGCAAGCAGTCCAAGGGTTTCAAGATCAACTGGGATGCTGCTCGCCCCTCGCGCATTTCTCTTAGCGAGCGCCCCAAGTGGATGACTTACGATGACGCCTGGGTTGATGAGGTCCGCCGTGGTCTGATGGCCTGCAAGGTCTTCCTCTTCCTGCCCATCTTCTTCCTGTCCTACAACCAGATGACCGGTAACCTCACCATCCAAGCCGGTACTCTGGAGCGACATGGCGTCCCCAACGACATTATCCAGAACCTCAACCCCATCTCCATCGTCATCATGATTCCTCTCATCGATCACCTCCTCTACCCTGGTCTTCGCAAGATTGGCATTGCCTTTACTCCTATCAAGCGTATGGCCACTGGTTTCCTGATTGCTGCCCTTTCCATGGTTGCCTCTGCCGTCATGCAATACTACATCTACCAGAAGAGCCCTTGCGGTAACCGCGCCAACGGAACCACCATCATCGATGGTGAGAAAGTTGCCTGCCCTCCCGCGCCCATCAACGTCTGGGCCCAGTGCTTGCCCTACATCCTGATCGGTATTGCCGAGATTTTCGCCAACGTCACCTCCTACGAGTATGCCTACTCCAAGGCCCCTGAGAACATGAAGTCTCTGGTCATGAGTGTCAACCTGTTCATGAGTGCTGTCTCCGCTGCCATTGGCGAGGCTTTCACTCCTCTGTCTGATGACCCCCTGTTGGTCTGGAACTACACCACCGTCGCCATCATTGCCTTCATTGGTGGTGTTGCCTTCTGGTTCTGCTTCCGCCACCTCGACTCCGAGGAAGACAAGTGGAACATGCTCAAGAAGTCCGAGTATATCGGCCAGAACCAACCCGGTGTTGGCAAGGCTGCCGATGTGGATGCCTAAACCTTTCTTTTTCTCTGTTGACGCAAGGACGGATATGATACCAAAATAACGTATAGCAATTTATATATATATATACATACTTAATATAATGAATATCCTCTACCTCTCACCATTTTCCGTTATAACCTGAATACAAGCAAGATTTGTCCAATTTGTCTTTGAGTCATCTTGATTACAAAACCTTCGCGGCTAAAACCAATTGTTGACGGACCAGTTAGTAGTCCGGGGCAATTTTAGGGCGCCGAATCCGGATGCGGGCACAGAACGATAATTACGCCGGCATTTCGGTAGTTGAACCCGATGAATTATCGACGTCAGACGAAGAACCCTGCTCGCATTGTTAATTGACAACGCGAGAAGGCGCAGATCTCACAGTTTTTGATTTTAGTTTAAAAGGCGCACATTTTCCTTTCTGAAAGCTTTTACTGCTTTTCGCTTCCCTCACCGACGATGACGTGGAGTTTTGAGCAAATCCTACTATAAGATTAGTGCGCGAAAAGCCTGCTACAGCTTGTTTGAAGGAAAATTGTGCTTTTTCAAACAAGTTTGGATGTGGAACACGAGGCTGTTATGAAGATGTACATGACAAGTTTCCAGATGCTCACTGTGGATTAATAGCTGGATTACAGAGTGTACGGGACAACATGGGCCATTCGACGTTGCCGCCAGAGTCTCCACAAAGTGAGATGGCGGCATCTAGATTTACTATTGATACTGCACCGGTAGCAGTAGATCAATATCATCAAAATGAGAAGCAGGGCCATGATCAAGAACAGAGCCGGTATGAAGAGCCTAACATCGCCCTCCCTCCGACTATCAATGCTGCCTACGATTGGACCGGTGCAGAGGATCCAGACAACCCTCGCAACTTCTCTGCCTCTTTGCGGATATTCAGTACCATTGCCATAACCATGCTTGCCATGATTGGCACCATAGCCGGATCAATGTATGCGCCCGCGCAGGATGTCGTCGCCTCCTACTTTCACTGCAGCCGGACTGTCGCTGTTCTACCCCTATCACTCTACAACCTTGGTCTTGCCTTTGGGCCTATGGTCGGCGCACCACTCTCGGAGACGTACGGCCGAAAATCCGTGTTTCTGCTGTCAACTCCAGTATTCGTACTATTTTTGCTTGGCTCTGGCTTCAGCAAGTCGATAGGCGGACTCACAACTTGCCGGTTCTTCGCTGGTGTGTTTGCCTCGCCCCTGATCAACAATGCGCCGGCAACGCTGCTCGACTTCACGCCACCGCGGTATCGAGGTGTCAGTCTGGGAGGATACTATGCCGTGCCCTCCTTTGGAGCGGCTCTGGGCCCGTTGATAGGAGGGTTTGTTCTCCTCGCCAAACCCTGGCAGTGGACGCAATGGATATCTATATTTATCACTGTGGCGTTTTATATCCCTGTATGCTTCACTCGCGAGACGTACAAGAAGGTTATTCTTAAGCGGCGGGCTACGCGTTTGGGACTACGAGACTCGGCGTCGCAGCGAACTTCGCCTGGACGAGCGTTTAGATATTTCTTCACGACCCTGATTCAGAGGCCCTTGCACATGCTGTTTACCGAGCCGATTGTCACTCTGGTCAGTGTGTATAACGGATTCCTATTCGGTCTGCTGTATACATTTGTCGTGTCTGTCCCGTGGATATTTCGGACCTACTATGGATGGTCGGTGGATAGTGAGCCGCTGTCGTATTTGGGGCTCATGTGCGGCACGGCGCTTGCAGCGGTGCCCCTAGTTCTGATTGATCTTCAGTCTTATCAGAAGCGTCTGTCTGAGTGGCAGCTTGGCCATGATGACGATGAGCCGCTGCCGTCGGAGAATAGGCTCATGTCTGCTCTGATTGGGAGCCTCCTGTTGCCGATTTGTCTTTTTATTGTTGGCTGGACGGTGCATTTCCACGTCCACTGGATTGTGCCTATTATTTTCCAAGGCCTCGTTATGCTATCCTCTCTGCTTGTTTATGCAGGCGCCAATCTCTTCATGCTGGACGCCTATGGCCCGTTGTATGGAGCATCGGCGTCTGGAGCCATGATGTTCAGCCGGTATCTGCTCTCTGCCGCGTTTCCATTGTTTGCGCTGCAAATGTATGAGCGCCTTGGCGCAGGGTGGGCTACAAGCATTCTGGGATTTGTGACGTTGGCCATGGCACCGATTCCGTGGATTTTCAGGGCATATGGGGAGAAGTTGAGGGCGAGAAGTAAATATGAAATGAGCACTTGAAACGTTTTAGTTGTCGATCACCAGTCTTGGCTGAAGGGGGCACTAAAGAATCCTTGACTAGCTCAACTGTACGATGAAGAATACTTTTCTATTTATAGCTATTACTATCGCCAAGGAGTGGAAGCCGAATGTGCATGGAACTGAATCTATGGTTTTATAGTTGTTTGCTTTGTCGTATATGAGAGCCCAGAGCAGCGATGTGATATTTGCCACATTCAAAATTTCCCCTTTTCAGTGTTGCGCAACTCTCGAGAGGCTGAGCATATCGCTTATGGATAAGAAATTTATAGAAAGAAAATTAGCAGACCCAACCTATGCAGATCTGTATACCGAAATTACAGTTTCCAAGTGAAGCGGTATTAGTCGCCCTTACAGGAAGGGATCCTTGGGCATTCTACGAACCTGAATACGCCTTGTGAATTGATGATAATCGTCATTAATTGATCTTGGCACGTGGCGAGCGCCAGATCGAACGTGCGATATAGTACTCTATTTAACAGGGGGCTGCCAACATAGCGGCCCAATGCGTGGACAATATAGAGGCGGTGCATGTCAGTCTCAGTTGTCTCATTATAGTTGTCGCGCTAAAGCTTGCTGCAGCAAATATCCTTGACTCAGAATCCTTGCACGTCTTGAGAGCTTGCTATCGCAGCTTTTGCTTGGCACTGAATGGCAACGCGTAAGCTGTCTCATTTACAACTCTGCGGCTCCATACTTGGGCTCATTGTATGTATCTTAAGGCGATCATAGGTAATGCCAAGAGATGAAATTTAAAATGTTTTTTATCTTCCTACTTGTTGGTTTGCGTAGGCTTCCTTTTTGTTATCGGACTGCCACGGTACCGGCTCACCGATGCCCAAGGCCAAGCTGCCGATCACTTGCACCCAAGTACCTACATGCATGTACTTACAGTATAATCCATCTCAACGCAGTTCTTGAACAGAGTGAAGTCTTGGGCTGTGGCTCTTTTTTCTGTTGCAGACATGCGGCATTCTGCCGTATATACTATGGAAAAATGAATCTGCGGACTCTCCGTCTACAGCGCTAGGATTAACCTTGAAAGCAAACTTCATGCCGCCCCTGCATGCCCCATAGTTGCAATACCGCGCTTCAGGACAGTTTCTGAGGTGCATACGACCATGCTAAATTTCTTATCTCTGTAGTTGCCAAGCTTATTGTGTGGGTATCAAGTGTACTTAAAAGATACTTATACTAACGAATATAAAAGTATTACAAACTACCTTAGCAAAGTAGGGGTATGGAGCTATCTTCTACATTGTGTACTTTCATAAAGATTTTCAGTTTTTTTTTTTAAATAGAAGCGATTAGACTAGGTATTGGACTTTATATAGGTATCTAGGTCAAGGATGACGCAAATATATGCGTGCTATCAAACAGATATTGTTATTTGAGCGGTCACAGGATCCGCCCTTTTATCAAGCTCGCATGAGTTTGCTCAAGCAGTTTTTCCTTTTTCCATAGCAACTGCACAATTGATCATCAAGTTCATCATAGTCATTAGAATACCTACTATTCTATACTTTATCTTTGAAGGCTCCACCATGATTGTGGCAAAGTGATAGGAGACTTGGCGAATTCTTACCTCGCTCCGAGGCATGATACGGACATTATTTTAGTCCTTGAAGATCGTATCAACCCCTGAGAGTTTACCGGCAGATTGACTCGATAGCCAAATTGACTGCTCCCTTTCCACACTCGATTAGTGCGATCGGCTTTTAAGAGCGGCGCAAGTGCCGGTGCTATGGTCGGGGACTTCTGCCATACATCATCTTGGCTGGCATATCCAAGATGTTTGATACATGACAAGGCCACAGAGAGGTAGCCAATGTAACTCACTGTAGCTAACCGATCTACCGAAATGAGGCATGCTGCCTATTGATACCTAATTATGGCACCTGGGCTTTGCATTTGTTGCGTCAGCTCCCTGTACCGCCACCCGTCTAAGAGATACATGTCGGGAAGTCGCTGGGGCCCTGGCTTCACCTGCGCTCAGAAAGCAAACAAGGTTAGGAAGGATGTTCTAGAATATTTAGATGTGAAATCTCCTAACGTGTTCAAAGCTCATCAATCCAACATTTCGACTCTACGGAGTTTTCCAGCATACTATATACTAGTATACTTTTTTTTTTTTCTTTTCTCCAAACCGTCGCTTGCTCGACACCACACGACATCATCTATTATGGCCCATAAAGCACAGTCTCTAACATGGGACAGCCTACCTGCTCCTGGAAGATCCGAGCCTGAGGGTCAAGAACTTCAAGAGTTCTTTGTTCCCATTAGCGACGACACTACTGAGAGAGCAAGGCCTAGAACTAGCGCCACCAACCACACGCGAGTGCCTTCTGACGACGTGACTCGCACTAATACACCAACACACGAGAAGCAGCACGCAGACGACGAGGAAACTACCAAGGAACCAGTCGATATCTACGATCCAAATAGGCCGAAGCTATCTATACGACAGAGACTCCAACACTTCACGTGGGCTTGGTATACTCTACCGATGAGCGCAGGAGGGCTATCCTTGCTCATATTTGCACAACCTAATCAATTCAATGGTTTGAAAACTATTGGCTTGGTGGTTTATATCGTAAACATTATCATATTTTCGCTGGTTACATTGACCATGGCAGCTCGATTTGCCTTCCACACAGGCGAAATGATCCGCTCCCTTAGTCACCCACGAGAAGGCTTCTTTTTCCCGACCTTCTTTCTCTCCGTCGCTACAATCATTACAAGTACCCAAAGATATGCCATACCAGACAATCATGAAGGACTGAAATGGGCTATACAAGCAGCTTTCTGGATATACGTCGCTTTAACAGCCGTGCTAGCTATTGGTCAATACAGCTACGTCTTTGCTGTTCATAGCCTCAATCTCCAGAGCTTTATGCCAACTTTAATTTTGCCAATCTTTCCAATTATGCTTTCCGGGACGATTGCGTCTGTCATAGCATCAACACAGCCTGATATCGCCGCTATGCCAATTCTCGTCGCTGGGCTAACATGCCAAGGCCTTGGGATGTCGGTTGCCATACTGATGTACTCGCACATGATTGGACGCTTGATTCAGTCTGGTCTTCCGAACCGAGAACATCGCCCTGGTCTTTTCATGTGCGTTGGTCCACCAGCATTCACAGCGTTGGCTTTGATTGGCATGGCGAATGGAGTGCCTGGCAGTATCCAAGAGCTAGCGTTCGAGAAGAGCGTCATAAGGGTCATTGCAGTTTCAGTGGCTGTATCTCTCTGGGCCCTCAGCTTTTGGTGGTTCGGTATTGCCGTCGTTGCTGTTGTTTCATCGCCGCCAAAGTATTTCCATCTGGGTTGGTGGTCTATGGTGTTTCCCAATACAGGCTTTACATTAGCAACAATCTCTATCGGGAAAGAGCTGGCCAGTACCAGTATGCAGTGGGTGACTACAGGAATGAGCATCTGCATGGTCATTATCTTTGTTTTTGTCTTTGTTAACCTTGTACGAGCTGTATGGGTTCAAGATATCATGTACCCAGGAAGAGATGAAAATGTAGAAGACCATTGAGCTGAGACTGTTGAGGATGAGTCCTATGTCTAGAATCATTATACAGTGTTAACGATATTTTTTCTCTCTCTTCTCTTTTCCAATATTATCTATCCCGTACTTATTCGTCTTGCCATTTACCTCAAAGGGCAGGTCAAATTTAAAGGTCACATACCTAATTTTCTTATACTGACATCAAATGATTGCCCATCTTTCTTGCCGAAATAGGCAATCAGCATCGGCATTAGCTCCGGGCACAACTTTACCACCTACAACGAGGCACTGTATGATATCCGCATTGCCCACTTGCCACGCAGATAAATCCCGACGCTTAGTTCCCACAGCCTACATTCGCAAAATCTCCGCGGATTATATATCGTGATTTCCCTAGAATCTTAACCAGTAGATTGCGTATAGATTTATGAATATCAAGAATGCGCATTCAAAACAACAAGATCAATCGGCCGCGTGGCCTAATGGCTAAGGCGCTAGATTTCGGTTGAGAATCACCTCCTCTAGAGATTCCAGGTTCGACTCCTGGCGTGGTCGCTTCGATATATTTTTGTCTTTTTGTGGGTAGGTTTCGTGCAGTTAGTTTTTAAATACATAAAGGGTCTGAATATTTTGCTAGAACTGGAAAAAGATGGACAATGAAAATCAATATATGCAATACATGTAAATGTAACACCTCTATCCCTACTTAAATTATATATATATACTGCCAACGCATTTATTGAAACTCTTTCGCTGGGTGGTATCCCGGATCTCCAATTATCCATCCATCCGTCTCATTTGGCGTAAATTTAAAATAGTGACGGATGTTCCCAATATTTGTTTCCCAATTCTCATCCTTGTTGTTTTTGTCCAAACATTCGAGAATGGACTCGCACATCACTTTTGTTCGAGTTCTGGCCCACCACACGCTCTCGGAAAGAAGCCACCATGCGGTGGCGTAAAAAGTAAGCATCACAACACATGCTTCAGTTTGGTTTACGGCAAATTCTTCTTCAAAAGCTTTTGATGCCTTGGAGGGCCAGAAGAGGGTATATATCCGTATCTGAAGTATCAAGTGATGGATGGCATGACCGTTCCTTACAGCGTCCATAGTTTTTAAGAGAGGAGCTAGCCGATCAAAAGCATTGTAAGATCCATGGTGCATGCAGCATCCGAAAGAACCATCCGAAGTGGTTGGCTGAGCACCAAAGAAATATTCTCGAAAGTCGAATATAGTAACTAGAGCTGATTCCCAATCTTGGAATCCTTGGATGGTAGCGCCGGACAAGGGAGACTTGAAAATGCCATCAGGATAGCTTTCATCTTGTTTCGTGCTCATGATAACTGCTTTGAGACCTGCAGCAAATTTGAGCAGCCTGTCTGGCTCGCTTCTCATATCGATTTTGTCGTCTGCATATGCAAAGAAGGGCATGGACCAAGCATAGTGGACTAGCAAGAGAGAGCAAGCGATGACTACATCGTGATTGCAATTCTCTGTGCCTTGTGCCAAGAGACCCCTGAAACCAGAGAGAGTAAGGTCTAGATGATAGGCCATGGCTTTGATGTATGCAGCATTATCGGGCGAGATGCTATGCTGGTGAGAGGCGGATATCATTAGGATTGCATGCATAACAACCTCATCCTGGCTAGCATTAGCACTTATCGAATTATAAAAGAGTGCCCTTGACCAACGAACATTGAGTGCCAGAGGAATCACCCCATCTCTCCATACACAGGCGCCAAAGGCAAGTGTCGAGGCGGTGTGGTGATCAAAATGGTACAGGAGCTGTAGGACACTCATATCAAGGCCCAGTCCAAGAGATCTCGGGACGGAGCTATTGCCATATCTCTGACAGTGGATTTGATGCCGTGGATAGTTTGGTAACATGGACATGATGCTAAAGTCATACTGACAAGGTATACTTTTGGCTGAACATCTCGCGCAAACAGGCTGGAACTCATCGCACTGTAAGACTGTCAGTCAATTCTTGTCCTTCTCTCCTTGGAACATTTTAATGAATATTGAGACGTTGAATTTGATTGCCATTTTACCTTGACTCTGGATGATTTACATGCCAAACATCCAGCCCGAGACTTGACGTGTCGTCTCCGTTGGCGTATTTCACGTCCATGATCGTCTACTCGTGGAGTCGTAAGTATTGGGCTCTCTCCCGCTTTTGAGATGGCAAATACCCCAAAGTTTCCGGTGGGAGCCGCTGCCATTGCTTCGATGCACAGTAAAAGAAGAGGAAATTGCAATTATCGGATTGACTTCTGTATGGAAAGAAGCGTGAATAGTTCTTTAAATAAGTCTCGCTGGTTGAAGCTCGCTAGCGGCAGGGCGGCATGATGAAGTGCGGCCAAGATGCTGACACAGTGCTTTGGCTTTGTTCGGTTAATTACATACGTGTAACTCAAAGTCGGCGCTAGTTGTAGGGCTGCATTAGCGAAGAAATGTTAGAGTGATAGTTGGGACTCAATGACACGAATATGGATGATTGGTTAGCTGGTGATAGCTTAGCTTCAAGTATAAGAATGATAATGTAATCTTATATTCTGAATTCTCCAAGCGTCGTCTAGATAATAGTGCAGCTAGCCTATTCTCAAAATGGCAGATCGCTAATGAGCTACAAACATTCAATTGCCTTTAAGGTCGCGCTACCTTTTACAAAGGATGAGGCTTAGGTGCCTGCAATTTGTTAATATAGGTAGGATAGCATGTGTCAAGTTCCATGTCAACGTACCTGCGGCGGTGATACCCAGTCAAAGTGTCCCAATCTTTTCGTTGTCCAAGCATCTTTCGCATATTGAGTGCCTTTTGGTCCACCCAAAAATGTCTGAGGATATCCAAAGTCGAAGGGTACAGCATCCTCAATTGCATTCTTTTCTTCATCAGTCAGATCTATGCCCAGTGCTTCAATATTGGCCTTGAGGTGTTCGATTTTGCGACCACCCACAATCGGGAAGACATATGGGGCCTTGGTTCTAGCCCAGGCCAAGGCTATGCTGGTGATAGACGTGCCGCGAGCCAAAGCTAGCTTCTCCAGAGTATCAGCCATAACAGTCTTCTGGGGCTTGTCGACGAAAGGGACATTGCGACCCTCTCTAGCTCCTTGTTCCTTCTCAGCTTCTCGCTGGGCTGAAGTGCGGAAGTAACCCATTCCTAGGACACCAAATGGCGCCATAGCAATGCCGTCGTCAATACACATAGGAACAATCTCGCGCTCGATTTCTCGCTCGGCAGCATTCCACTGTCCTTGAAAGACAGAAAATTGAGTCAGTCCCTTTTGGCGAGCGTACTCGTTGGCCTTAGCGACAACCCAAGCTGGGGTATTAGAAATTCCTAGATAGAGGATTTTTCCGGCCGCGACGAGATTGTGCAGAGAGTGCATAAGTTCTGGGATGCTAGTTGTGAAGTCCCAGGTGTGAACATAGTACTAATAAAGGTTCGAAATTAGTTCATTCAGCAGACCAAGACACGTATCAAAAAGAGAAAAGAGGACAAAAACTAACCAAATCAATGTAGGATGTTTGTAGTGCTTTGAGACTAGCTTCGATAGATATCACTAGAGACTTCTTGTTGTTTCCACCATAGTTAGACTGAATCTTTGTGTCTTGGTTGTGCAACTGCCAAGCAGACGTATACTTGGTGGCCAAGATAATTTCCTCTCGGTTATTTCGTGCTTTCATCCATTCGCCGATGATTTCCTCTGACTCTCCGCATTGGTAGTTTCCGGCTCTAGGAACATTAGAAGTTAGCATATTTTTTTTTTCGTTGATGGATTGAAATGACTTTGGCAACGCACGTATCAATGAAGTTGCCCCCTTGAGTATAAAAGTAGTCCATCAGCGCAAAAGAAGCTTCTTTATCGCAGCTACCCATAATGTCTTCCCATGCCGTCCCAAATCCCATGCCTCCGAGGCAGAGAGGACTGACTTTAACTGCGGCCGTGGGTGACAACTGGCGATGATAGCCAAGCAAACTTTTGGCTGGAGGTGCAGGCGCAGGGAGGTTGTTGACCTTCTTCTTAGGAGCGGCGGACATGATGTATGATGGAGTGTATAGTAGTGTATAAATCAATGCAATTCTATGTTTTTTGGCTGAAGAAATCGTCTGGGATTCTTGATGGCAACGTCTCACTTTATATCTAATTCTTCAACCATGGGCTCCAGTTTCTTCAAGCACCATATCTCATTCGGTGTGATACTCTCTCGTATACCTAATTCGGCAAGCATCCCTACACTTGCGATATATCTCCGATATGCAATACTACAGTCAAAGAAAGTGCGAGATACAGTATATTTTCATCAAATGTTAGCGGTCATCGTCGTATACCAAATCGGGTATACGAGGCAGAAGCGTACTAGTGTGCTGACTGCCTCCACTGGAGAGATCGATCCATCCAGCATTCGCCTAGCTAAAAATTTATGATGTGCTGGCCAGGGGAGTCATAAGAGGTATCTCTGCAGAAAAAGAGGAAACACCCTATTTCATAATTAAGTATATCATACGGAGCTCCTTTTATTTATGAGTCACTAGTCATATGAGCTAGTCGACCAAATACCGTTCTTAGGTTAGTAGCTACTATGCGGATAGCAAAGACATTACCCCTAATAGCGATGCTCATAATCAAGGGGCTTCTGCTTGTGCTCCATGTCATTACGCGAGATACGAGGGGCGAAGGTACACCGTAGCGCCCATCAAGATTTTTAAGGCTCAACCAATTGTACTGTCAGCGGATTTTTCCCTTTTCAGCAACAGATTTAATCCATATATGCTCTAAGCATATTAAATACACATATCAAATACCCCGCCCACACATGAGGTCAGGCTATCAAGTCCTCATGCTGCGGATATAGGCCAAAGATATACTCCGTAAGGGACTCTAAAATTTATCGGATTTAGTGAAAATTCCGTTTCATGAGACTGTCGTCTATATCGTCTATATCTCCAATTAATTGATTACCGAAAGCCATCCAGTAAATGCGCAGATGAACTGTCAACTCCTGCAGTTGTGGTTCTCTAAGTAGAACAACAAAGAGACTCGCCATCACTACAGGAGCTACGGCAAGTGAAAATAAGTGAGCACATTATATTTCTAGTATTTTGGTCATTTGACATATAATGGGGGCAATCAGGAGGCATCAAAAGCTTCAGAGTCGGGAAACATGCAATGTACACGTAGTTTTATCACAATTTGTGTTTCTTCACATCTGAACGGATTCACACTAGATTCGGGATTATTTTTGAGATGTAGATTATATTAAGAAATGAATACATTTCTATTGTTGCAATTCAAGCAGCTGAGAGAGCGTTGGGCCAGAATTTATATTCTAGAACTCGTCTTGTTCGATAGATGTTGGGTTTGCTTTGCGTTCGACAAATCCATCAATAGTGTGGCGAAACAATCCCCTATTTAGTCATCATTGAAAGAAGGAATAGACTTATTAGATAGAGAGACCTACGATCTAACTCTTCATGTCTACAAGCATTTGGCGTTGGCATAACGCAATTGTGGACGAATAGGCTGTAGAGCCTCTCGAGCATTTTTTTGGATGTAGAGCAATAAGCAACTGCGATTTCATTTAAAAAATAATCCTATAGAGTTGATTCATCTGCTAAAATTAATTGCTAATTATTATGTCCCCCACTGAATCACTTATCCAGTGGTACACTCGAATTTGGTCCGTTCATCACAACATGAATATTGCTTGCTATTACTTTGTTTCTTGACTCTTTAGTTCTTGATGAAATCATCAGACCCGGCCTTATGGATTCGCCCATTGATCATGATGACATTCAACTTATCATGATTTTGAAGGATTTCAATATCCTGAATAGGATCTCCGTCGACCAGGATCAAATCAGCGTAGTATCCGGGCCTAATCTTGCCGAGCTCATGTGGGCGACCCATTAAAGCTCCCACTCCCGCAGTAGCCGCTATGATGCTTTCGTGTATAGTCATGTCCAGCAACTTGTGGAAATGAACGAGGTCCCGCGCATATGTACCATGCGGACACCAGGCGAAGCCATAGTCACTGCATTCACGTTGTTAGCACAGAGTTGGCTATTACTCAATTGTCTCGAACGAATAGCAGTGTAATGGGGCAACTCACCCTCCTGGCAGAACGATAATTCCACGGCGATGCATCTCCCTTAATGCCGCAATAGCGATTTCAGTCTCCCTCTTATAGCCCATGGTCTCTGCAGCGTTGAAGCTATATCCAAAGGGCTCAGCATCATAGAGAGTCGCCCAGAGCCAGTTAATTGCAGGAGCGACGACAATATGGTCCTTCTTCTCCTCGAGGAGCTTCATGCCTATCTCTGACATTTAGCATTAACAGACACCAATCCAAAACTAAATTTTAAATCGTACCTTCGTCACAAGTATATGAGGCGTGGAAAATAACGTCGACGTCGTATTTTGCGGACTGGATGACAGACTCCCGGGCTCTGGCATGGGTGCAGACTCGTTTACCTAACTTGTGCGCCTCCTCGGTAGCTATCTTGGTTTCCTCCTCTGTGTAATAGCAGTCTTCGGCCGAACGAATCTCAGTGATAGCCTCCCCGGACATACTAAGCTTTATATTATCAGCGCCAAGATCTGCGATAGACTTGACAATGCGGCGGAAGTCTAATTCTTGGTTAGCCAAATATCGTGCTACTGGGCTGTTGAACTAACCATCAACCTTGTCTGCCATGAAACTGATATCGGGACTCAGTTCGCCATCTGTTTTGGCAATCTCACGCGCGTTTGCAAGGGAACGAGGCCCGGGGATAGATCCGGCGTTGATAGCATCCCGAACAGCTATGTCGAGGTGATCTTTTGCAGCCGCAGCACCAAAGCACCTAGCGGCACGTAATTAATTACTGGCTCGATTTCTACAAAGATGGGATACTTACATAGTATAACCAGAGTCTAGGTAGCACTTCGCATTTTGCTCTGTCAGCAGTAAATGCTCCTCGGCATTCATTTTCCCAAGCTGATTAATATCACCACCGTTCCAAGTCATGTGTGTATGGGCATCCCCGAGACCAGACATGATAGTGCGACCTTTTCCATCGCATACAGTAACACTCGGGTCTCTCTTCAGTTCAATTTCGTTGGGAATGTTTCCAACGCGTACGATACGCTCACCTATTTGTATTAGTTGCTCTTTGCTTTAATAGTCTGAGCACTTAGGCACGAACCTTGGATGTATACGGAACCTATGTAAGGTTCGCGACCGCTTGACTCGATAATATTTACATTTACAAAGAGAATTTTGGAGGCCGGGTCCGTACCCTGAATTTCGTAGTTTGGTGGCAGAAGCTCGGGCTTGACTTTGTACGCTTGGATGGGGTCTACATTTCGTGGTGGTCCCTGGTAAGCCTGCTCAGAAGTGGTCTTGAGATTATCCAGTGAAAACGCTGGCCACGAAACCATGTTTAAAAAATTTTCTTTGGTTATTTGAAAAATAAAGTCAATTGTATAAGGGCAAATACAGAGAAGAAGCTTGTACGCTGATTGTAAATACAGATCATACAATTTTATCTGTGAACCTATATGCTTCAACCCAAAACAGCGAATGAATTCCTACAGGATCTAGGTAGGATGCACTTTTGTCCGGACATAAAATCCATTGATTCCCGGCAAGCGGGTATTTGTAAAAGAGGGACCGTAAGAGAAATATTCACGTACAATAGTGAAACAAAAGCATATTTTCTCATAGCCGATGACACCCCTTCCTCATGTGTATGCTAGTTCGACAATGAGTTGGCAGAGCCATTTATATCCTCTTGTTGAATACTTTTCTCACTGACTATAACAAATAGCTGCTCTGAGATATCTGATGAGAAAACCGAGAAGTAAATGAAATGCTATACTGCAAGTTCGTTGTAGTGCGCGTAATAGTTGTAGCTTATGTATGCTGATTATTTGCAGATTGTTTGCACTTCCTTGCTTTTATTACCCATTTGTCAGGTCATATAAAACGCGGGGTAGAGAAACGTAGATGGGTAGCATCGCTTAGGTTACCGTTGCAGCTCAATGTATATAAGAGCTGCAGGAGGCAACGATTAGCGAAAGTACCATTTACGGAGTAGAAAATATAGTATAAGGTAGCTATTATTGAGGATCAGAAAAAGCACCATAGTGAAAAGTATGGAATCAAATTAATGATCGGTTGCATAGCTTATCATAGCGAGAAACGTGCTCTTACCTCAAGATTATAATATAATGAGAGTTACTTTAGGCGTTTGCAGAGTACCGACTTGATAGCATGTTTGTAACTCTTGATACTTCTAGGTAAGCATACCAGCTGGTGAATCGAATTCTTTTTACAGGAGGCAATGGTTTGATTTAACTCCTAAGATACATATATAGTGTAGAGATTGTGTCAAACATCTGTATCGACTCTCGTCTGGAGCGAGCCGAGTATTAATTCAGCTAGAGACGCTTGAGGGTTATCAAATCGTACAGTTAATGTAAGCAATAGAGGCGGCAACTGGCAGTTGGAATTGCACATGCTTTATTATTTCGCCTTCCCCTTGTCCACTTGGCTTGCCATTTGTACCTCCCAAAACTTTCTATACCTCTCCACACTCTCTTGACCATCGCCTTTGTCTTCTAGCACACATCGAAGCCACTCTTCATCAGGCTCTGATAATATGTGGCAGTCAGGCACTGCACCAGCATCGAGCAGGATCTGAACAATGTCCCAATTGCCCGCAATAACGGCCGCGTTTAGGGCACTGCAATATTTCCCGCTTCGGGCGTTGACATGGGCTCCTTTGCTTAACAGCAAGCTGACGGAGGCCGTTTTGCCTGAGTATGCTGCTGCCTGTAAAGCCGAGCCGTATTTTCCACCTTGTGCATTGACGTTGATGTTGGAGCAAGTCTCGAAAAGAAGCTCCGCCCCGGGGGCACTAAAATACACAATTTTGCTCTCGTATAGTATGTCTGAATGTACGGTAAACGCCATCTGGAGGGGCGTGCCGTATTCACCGATTACAAGATTGGGGTCAGCACCATGCCGAAGCAAGAGTCGAATCCTGCTGGCCCAATCGACCGAGCGATGCATACCCCCTGCATCGTTCCAATCACTGCTATCTTCGTCTGTTGCATCGAACAAGTCTGTAATACTACTTGTATCTTCATCCCAATAAAATTCACTGCTGTTCCAAAAAAGCCGCAGTGAAGCGTGGAGGGCCGAGCCATAGGAGCCATGCGGGTCGTTCACATCAACGCCCAGCTCAAGCAATAGTCTCACCAGGCCATCACCCGCACTCTCTGACTGCGTAGCTGCGTGCCAAGCTCCATTGTTTCGCGCATGGATATCAGCACCATGTTTGAGGAGCAAACGTACTACTTGAGTATGACCTCCTGCGCAGGCAGCCTGGAATGCAGTGCCGTGGTAACCGCCTTCAAGATTCACATCAGCACCGTTATCAAGCAGTAGTTGCGCTATCCATGAATCTCCGACTGCGCAAGCTGCTTGAAGCGCCGTGCCATATCGTCCACCCTGCGCGTTCACAGCAACGCCATGGTTGATCAAGAAGCGCACTATGTCTCTGTATTGTATAGCGCAGGCTGCCTGGAGCACCGTCCCATAATAGCCACCTGTGGCATGCACGTCAGCGCCATGGTTCAGAAGCATCTGCAGTACTTCTAGATTGCGCGCCTGGTCAAATGTAGCTATGCACGCTGCTTGCAAGGCGTTGCCGTACTCTCCTCCTTGAGCATTCACATCAGCGCCTTTCTCTAGCAGCATCTGTACAATATAATTCGGGACGTGGCAGTTCCCGCAGGCCGCCTGTAATGCCGTGCCGTATTCGCCCCCTTGAATAGAGACATCAGCGCCCTGATCAATTAAAAGCTTTATGACTTCGGCAAACTCTTTCTTATTGATTAAAGATGCACTATTGCACGCAGCTTGTAGAGCCGTGCCAAATCTACGCCCCTGAGCGTTAGGATCTGCGCCGAGGTTAAGTAAGTACTTGATTAGCTCAACATTAGGATCGCGCTGTGCTATTGCCGCTTGGAGTGGGTAGTCGTCCTGCCCAGCCAGTTCATTCACGTTTGCACCTCGGTCGAGCAGCAGTTGGGATACCTTCCTGTATCCAAATCGTATTGCCACATAGAGTGCCGCTGTTAGAGAACTGTTAGCATCCATACCGACACCGGCGCCGTTGTCGAACAGAAAACGCAGACAGTCTGCAATATGTGACTGTCCTCTCCATGGAAACCATGATTCGGGATTGTATTGTATCTTTCTGAATGGACTGTTGACATCTGCTCCATGACTCAAAAGAAGCTTGAGCACATCAAGATGGCCACCCCATAGCGCAGCTCGCAGCGCTGATTCCAATTTACCAGCAAGTGTATTAGTTTCAGCGCCGTAATCCAGTAAAAGACCTACAATGGCCGCATCTCCTTGCTCTGCTACCCTTGCTAAACAGTCGTGCATTTGGGCGCCATTATCCAAAAAGAGTTTCGTGACGCTCTTTCGACGACTAATCGTCGCATGACGGAGCCCCTCATCTAAATCCACTTGCGTGAGATATTTGCTAACACCGACACCACCTGAAATCAAGATTTCAGTGAGTTGGCGGAAGCCCCGTAAGGCAGTATAACAATGAGGTCGCCAAATCAAAACTTTGTTTGGATAATAATTGCCAGCAATAGTGACAAGGCTCTGGCTGCGGATTGACAGCGAGAGAACAGCATTTCGTGAAACTTCAGGTGGCCAGGATGCCTGAGGAATCATTTCGAGATGCTCCGCCCAGTTACGGGATGCGTATTCCATCAATTTCTTCTTGTAATAATTGTTATGCTGATTGAAGTTCGATATCCTTGTCATTGAGCTTCTATGTAAGTGATAGGCGAGACACAGGCGTCCGATATGCATGTGAGCATCAGACTCCGTAAATGCAAAGCTAGATGCAGGGCCCTGAAAGATTCGGTCAGATGTCAAGTACTCTTTGATTGAAAAGTGAGCCAGTCAAACATGGAGATCCTTTCTGCGTTCTCCGCGGGTTTCCCAAGCATTGCCTCCTTGGACAACTATAAGTCCAGGAAAGTACTTTAGCACGTCTACTGGAGAAAATAGGGGAGAAATCTCCTCAAATCCATCATTAGGCGTAGATGGCAGTACAAAGATCTCGGCAAGCAGACCAATCTTTAGGGGCTCAATTGAACAGGCAAGCCATTTCAGCGATGCTATAACTGGTGGTTTGAAAGCTTCATCTATATTTTGGAGCATTCTGTTATAGGTCAAATCAAGTCCACTGGGTAGATCTTGGAGAGCTTTGCGGACGGCATCCGCAGAGGATAATTTCTGCAAGTTTTCGAATTGACAGCGGATATACTGAAACCTTAATTGGGAGTGAGCGAGACTATTGCTGGTAAATTAAGGCGTGACTTACATGCCATCCGCTTTCTCCATCAGCACACTTTTTGTTTCTTCTTTAATACTCTTTGGCCATGTATCGTAATCAGCATCGGCCAAAATGGAATCGATATACTGCGCAATATCATTGTTAAGGACCCCGATTTGGTAAGATAAATCGATCTCTTCTGCCCAGGGCATGGATAGAAAAGGTCTAATGGCCTTGTCTATATCTACCTCCTTGCGGCTTGTACAAAACATGTGAAGGCTATCGGGCGCTGCTTTCAGGATATGGTGTAAGCTATTAAGGAGCTTCTTCCTTTCGTCGTTAATCATTGGACACTCATCCAAAGCATCGATAATAATATACACAGCTGAAAATCCCTGCATAGAGGCGATTAGCGCTTCTATTAACGTTTCTGTATCCGGACGGCCACCCCCATGTTTATACTCGCCAAGGCTTTGGATAGCCTGTGGTATATGTGGCCGACGAGCACTAATCTGTTTTATGAGAGATGAGAGCATTCCATCGACTTTCTGCTTCTGGGAGTCGCTAAAGCTAAAATAAAAATAAGCGAGCACACTTGCAGCATTCCTCTTGTGTTGGTCCTGCAGATGCTTGATCACAGAAGAGCTTAATATAGACTTCCCAGAGCCAGCTACAAAGCTGTTAGATAGTCCGAACGGATAAATAAAATAACAGGCAGCTGTTCTCTAGACATACCTTTCCCATGGAGCCATAAAAAAGACTTGAGCGCGATACTCTTCTCCCACTCCTTGAATATCTTTCTCCGATTTATGAGCCACTCGCTCGTCCCATCTATGTGCTTATGGCGAGCACTATTATAAAGCTCGGTGTGGTCAATATTGCACAGCCATTTGAGCAGATCGATACGGCCTTTCTGATCTTGTGCCTCTCGAACAGCTCGCTCTAATTTAGAGACGTCTGTCCCTATGGTAAACCAGAGGCTCATTGCTTCCTTGTGCCGGTTATGGGACGCCAAACATTCATTGTCGTACTGAATATCGCGCCATATCACACATAATGTAGCAAACGTAGTCTCTTGTGCACGAATTTCATCAATCAGCTGGTCCCAATCATTTCGCTTCATAATATCTAGGCAAAAGCGAGATGCAGAGCTGTCAGTAAAGTAGCAGTAAGCCCTGGCTTGAAATTTCAAAATCTGTCGATAGAGCCGTTCTAAACCGTTCTTATACTCGCGGTGAGAGTGTTGAAAAGGCTGATCCTCGTGAGTCTTCGACCCATAGCGACGAATGTAGAGCTCTTCTCTCATTCGGCTCTGAGCGATAAGGGTTGAGATGAATTCTAGCCCTTTTGCCAAGGATGCCATTTGCGTTGATGGATTAATAAAGAGCTAGAGTTATTATTAATAAGTTGTCTCTAGCTACACGTATCTCGCAACTTGACTTACCGGCAGCAACATACTAATACCAGCCCAAGCTAAAAGATGTAGAAGAGTGTAGACTCATGGCGTCAGCAACATATTCGTTGGTCAAACTCACAATCCCTAGAATAGGCTGCACGAGATCTCTGACTTCGACCTCAGAGCTTCTAAACTTCAATTTCCATGTATTGGCATTGACCTCATCCATTTTGTACTTCAAGATCGTCTGTATTCGATCTCTTATGCTGGCGTTTGACATTGAGCCTAACCCGGCGACCATATTCCCTTGGAGCTTTCTCTCATACTCTTTGATGAGCGCGCCATCTTCTTCTCGCAGCTTCTCATATGCTACATTCCAAAGTTCTTTGATTGGCGCCTCATCGGATTGGACCTTGACCAATTTCTGCTTCTGGGACGCAGCAGAATTGGAGTCCGGTGTGCTATGCTGGTCCTCGGATCTTAGCCATCCTGGTAGCTTCCCTTGGAGATTCTTTAAACTTCGTTTCAAGCCCCGCCGCGCCATCTAGTATTGGTTGCAATGATATGATCCGAGGGCTGTCTAAACTCCGAAAGTCGCATGCATTAAAGTGTGAGGGCGGTCGGTTGGCAGGGCCCCGCCCGAAGATACGCTGGGCATCAATGAGCCGCCTTCTCAGCCGATCTCGTACATGTAGATACTAACTGCAATTGGACCGCAGCTGAGGCCTCATACAGGACAGAGGCAAGTAGAGAGCAAAACATGAGGAATTATTTAAGCTTTTGCAATTGATGAATGGCTTCTATTGCTTACTATATAACAATGTTTAATAATGCGTAGGAAGCTCTTGTATGATGCTAGGATTTCAGCGTCATATGATGTAAGCACACGTATTTTGACTTGGGGGTACTTTTGGTTCTTTTTTTTTCTTTCTTGCTCCGTCGTGATAGGCGACGACTGGCGACATGCATCAATGCCGCCAGTGCTAACCTCAGGGCAAAGGATTGGGCCAATAGTCGCAATTGTACAATTACTCTAACGGAACCAGCTGCTTACAAGGGATGTAACTGTTACAAGGGACCAGGTTGTAACACCTTCCCTGATGCCATTGCGGATACTTCTTTGCCTGTTGATACGTATCTGTCAGTACGTATCACAACGCATCTCCCAACTGTTTGGAGTTTTATGAGCAGCTGTGTAACTGGTCACCGCACACAGTAGAAACTGGTACACTCAGTTACGTGCACAATCTGTGTTTAAAGACGAAGACGTCATACTTAATTGTAATGTCTCTAATCTCATTTATTACATTATATTAAGCTATTTAATATCTAAAGTATAAGTAATATTATTCATCTTTCGTCAATTTAATAAGAAGCTTATTCTTACTATTTATTTTTTTTATTTCTTTTATATAATAGTTGTAGTGCTTAATTATTAGATATTTATACAAACTTCTGTCTACACCAAGGCTGGTGCGCAAGTCACGTGTCTCCATTTACACAGGCTGGGGGTGATGACTCAGCCCCCAGACCCGATCTCGGCCGCTGATAGCCACTAAACGAGACACCTCCAAAAATAATCCTCGCACCCACGTCAAGGATTGTTTTGGGTAACCCAGCTGGACAACATCGTACAGCACGTCCTTCAAGCCTCTTTGTTTGACATCCCTAGCTGCCAATTGGGCTCAATAGTTATTAGAATTATGCTATCTGCTACTGCTTCGGCCATGCGCTTCGGCGCTCGCCGCATTAGCCCCCGAGTCGTCTCGACTCTTATCGCGCCCAAGCCCAAGGTCTCCCTCGGCCAAAGCATCAACTTCGCGCAAGCTCGTTGTCTTTCCTCTACCAACCAGCTGTCTTACGCTGTCAACACAAACCCAAACCCTCCCCTAGGCATCAAGAATGCCTCTAATACCACCCCCTCTCGAATTGGCCTCATTGGAGCCCGCGGCTACACAGGCCAAGCCTTGATCGATCTTCTTAACGAACACCCCATGATGGACCTTCGATATGTATCTTCTCGTGAACTCAAGGGTCAAGAGCTCAAGGGCTATACCAAGCGCAAGATCATCTATGAGAGCTTATCCCCCGAGGAGGTCGCTCAGCTGGATAAGGATGGCAAGGTCGACTGCTGGGTTATGGCTCTTCCCAATGGTGTCTGCCAGCCCTTCGTGGATGCTCTCGGCCAGTCTTCCAGCTTGATTATCGACCTCTCCGCCGACTACAGGTTTGAAGAGAATGGACCTTGGAGTTACGGACTTTGCGAATTAAAGCCAAGAAGCAAACTTGCTCAGTCAAATCGTATCAGCTGCCCTGGGTGTTACTCTACTGGCTCACAGCTTGCCTTGGCGCCCATCTTGGAGCATCTTGGAGGAAGCCCTCAGGTTTTCGGCGGTGCGACTCCATATTGACAATGACGAAGCTAGGAAGCTAACTGGAAACAGTTTCTGGATACAGCGGCGCAGGCACAAAGCCTTCTCCTAAGAACGACGTCAACAATCTCAAGGACAACCTTCTTCCCTGTAAGAGCCTAGCAAGAACTCTGCTTCCAGGAAGGAGGAAGCTAACATGGACCAGACTCGTTGACAGGACATATTCACGAAAGAGAAATCAGCCACCATCTTGGTGCACCCACAGCATTTATGCCCCATGTGTACGTGCCATATCTCCCCCACCCTGCGTATTGTAAGACTAACAATGGTCTAGCGCCTCCTGGTTCCGCGGTATTCACCTGACCGTCAGCATCCCACTGAACAAGGAGATGACTTCTCGGGAGATCCGTCAGATCTACCAGGAGCGATATGCTGGCGAGAAGCTGGTTAAGGTCGTTGGCGAAGCCCCGTATGTGTTTCCTATTAGAGTGACAGATTGTTTCCTGTACTAATGGCTATGAAGGGTTGTCAAGGCAATCCAGGATAAGCACCATGTTGAGATTGGCGGATTTGCTGTTGACAGCACAGGCAAGCGTGTGGTTGTCTGCGCCACGATTGACAACCTTAACAAGGGCGCTGCAACACAATGCTTGCGTAAGTCTTGAACAGCGACGACGAACAACTGCAGATTTGTTTTGGCTAACTGTTGTAATCAGAAAACATGAACCTCGCCCTCGGATATGACGAATACCAGGGAATCCCCATCTAATAACTAACACGAATAAAGTGTATTAGTCCCTGGGCAACACTCGACCTCCATCGTCTTAAAGAAGGGCGGACACCTGTTTTATATTAGAAATCAGGGACGCGCGAATTTTCTTTTCTTGGTTGACACGTCGGGGACGCGCCTTTGAATTGGCTTACACGCAACACACACATCCACGGAAACCACTATTGACACCACGGAGCAAGAGCATGTCACGGAATCATTTAATCCAGCCGGCACGACCCTGTCTTCTCTAGAACAAGGGCTCTGCCGCAGCTAGGGGCCATTTTGCGTAGCGAACGCGTGTTGTCTTTTCTATCTTGTAAAGAGAATGGGATTCTCTTTATATCCTATGCAACCGAGCCCAGCCCAATACAACTATTTATCCTAGCTTCCTTCCTGAATCGGAAGGTAGACTGCGAAGCCTTGTTATATATATATAAGCTAATAGTAGCTACCTTTATATAATTTATAATGGGTGTTAAGTAATTGTAACAGATAGAAAGGGCGCCATCTCCCTTTACAGCAGCTTATAAGGGATTCTCCCTTGCCTATTACAGTGATAAAGCATGTTAAGCTAAGCTAAATTGTGCTTGGGATGTCTTTGAGTGTTTGTTTCTGGGTTGACTTTACAGGTGAGTTCTCTTGATCATGACAAATTAACTTAATTCAAGTCCTGATCTCATACAAAACGAAGCTTACGCATATCCATTTGAAGTCTCTTCATATGGGTACTCTGTAGCATCTCATATAGTAATTGACCTCTACGCTAGAGTGAATTGAGAAGAAAGTTTTTTGTATATTATTGTTACATATTATAACAGTTTAATATTTAATGTTATCTGTTCATCATTTTGCATTTTGTTAATCAAGGAGCTCATTTTTCTGTATCGAATATCTAGACGCCCTATATACACTCACCTTTGGCAAAATCGGTGCGCTTAACAATCTCTTCTATACTATCTAATTTCACTTCCATCTTTCTAAACCTTTGTTTTGCGGTGAAACATCAGATCCAGGTATAACTCGTAAAACTTCTCCTTTTCCTTTCTTTGTCAATCTCTCTCCTGCTTCATTAGTCGCCACATTTATTACCCCCCCACTCCCCTTTTTAAGATCAAACGCCTCTCTTTACTATGGAAATTTATAATGTGTTCAAATGCAATCATCTCTTTAGCCTTTCATTTCGACAGTAAAAATTAATTTAGTTGTCTGTAACGAGTATTACTTACTACATGAATTGGCGAAGAGCCACTATTCCAGTACTCCCAAAGCTTTATATACAGCCGTCACGTACTCTCCATCTCTCCCATGTGCCATTATTTTATGTGACATCTGATTCATAGCATATGTAATTGTGAGTTTCCTGTCGACGTCAAAGACGAATATCGATCCACCCCAGCCTCCCCAAAAGCCAACTCTCCCAGTTGGCATAAAGCTTGCAGCACCTCGACCTCCGAGCCCATACCCAATGCCAAAGCTCACAGGTTGTCCCATTACTAAATCTATGCCGTCCGATTGCTTTTGGAAGATGAGGTCAATCGTCTTTTGAGACAGTAGCTGCACCCCGTCAACTCCACCACCGAGCGCTAGGACAGAGTAGATCCGATTCAATGCGCGAGCATTTGCAAATCCATTGAAAGAACCGAGGTCTGCCTTTCGGATTTTTTCAGTATTGATGAAATTTGGACTGAAGACAGGATTGGTGAGCGTCTTAAATAAAATTGACCCTGGTTCGGGCATAGCCTGAGTTGTCGGTTTGTCTTTATGCGCAATGGCGTTGCTCGTGCGAGGAATATCTTTGTCCGAGAGGCCAATCTGGAAATCAGCGTTCAACGGACCTGCAATCTCCTCGGCGACGAACTGTTTTAACGTCTTGCCTGTAACGCGTCGCAAGACTTCGGCTATCAACACTGCAAAAGTGACTGCGTGATATCCTGAAGCTGTGCCGGGTTCCCACAGAGGACCCTGCGCTGCAAGCTTAGCTGCAAGAGCATCTTGGTTAGGCAAGTCGTCAAAGCTTATCCTGTCCTCCCATGCTGAAAGGCCTGAAGTATGAGACAGGAGATGTCGGATCTCAATATCTTGCTTCCCATTGGCCGCGAATTCAGGCCAGTATTGAGCAACTTTTGCATTGGCATCCACTAAGCCGCGATCGATGAGCATCAAAAGAGCAAGGCTCGTGACTCCCTTCGTGCATGACCAGACTCCGGCAATAGTATCAGACTCCCATGGACGGGTGCATTCTTCGTCAACGTATCCGCCCCAAATATCAACAACATTTTTGCCGTCTATATTCACAGTGATGGAGGCTCCAACGTCAGCTTTGGAATCCAGATTTTTTTGGAAAAGCCTCCGCAACTCTTCGAATTTGGGATCGTAGTTTCCATGGACTTGTGCCATCGTAATTAGAGTGGTGCTACCTAAGTAGAAGACGATTATAGAGGGAATGAGGCCCCAAAGTAAAATTTCAGGTTGTATTAAGATAGCTACTCAAGCTCAGCCGAACAGGAGATGCTGTCCTAGTCCATTCAATATATATTCCAAGAACCCCGCGAAATCCTACTCTGATTTCCAATAACATTGTATTTACAAACCATAGCCCACAGTATTGTATTCGTGGAGGGTAGATTACCCCCGCATATGCTAGTTCTATTGCTGCCCAGGCGGAGAGAGTATTTTCAACGCACCGTAGGGCTACTAGTCACGTACTATACAGAATCGGGTCATATACAACTACCCAAATCTGGGATTTCTAAGCTTATTAAGTTAAATCCGGGGTAGTTCACCTACCATAGACTTGAGATGACAGAGGCGGAGCAAAATAACACAATAGGCAATTTTCCATAGAGAGTATAGTACCTATTATATGAGGCACGAGACTATGCTATTTATTGAATAGCTCAGATTGAATAACCCACCAGCGTGCCGAGGTCCTCGGCCGGTTAACTAGTCAGCAGGGTGCTTACTAGGCCCCCGCCTGTCTTTTAAACAGGCGGGAATATAATTTATATTTTATAATAATATATGTTTGTTTATTATAACTTTCTTCCTATATTATAATATACAATTAATATTACACCCTAACCACTCATCCATATATTAATTAATAGGCAGTATATACTCTAGGAATAACTATAGACTAATTAACCAATTAAAAGAAGATTATAGTTTCTGGCTAACTCTATTCAATTATAAAATAAGCCATTATAAGACTATTGTAAAGGGCTGACCCAAAGGGGGGCTAAGCGATAGCTAGCGCAAGGGCCTTTAGCGCCTTCTAGGGCGCTATCCAGTTGCGTTATGCAAAAGGATATGTATTAAATATATCGCTTATCAATCTATCTACTTAGCTATATAAGGCCGATGTTCGTTCTCAGATCGGGGAAAGCCCGAATCCATAACACCTATATATTATAATATAACTATAATGTTACGACCCGACTCTTATGGTCGCAACAATGGGCCTACAGGAGTGGCCAAATCGGATTAATGTAGGACTGACCTACCAATCACGCCAGGATCATCAGAATTATGAGTTGATCCACGATGGATCATTAGATTTTACAAATGATCCAGTCCAGGCAACTGGATATATAAGTTCCACGCTCATTAGATAACTTAGATAGCCAGTTGTTAACGCACTATGGCTCTGGAGTTGGACCCTGCTCCTCCGTAATTCAGCCGAAGAGGCCGACTCTGCCGGGACGTTGGATGTCAAGTCTCTGGCCGTATCTGGAAGGTTTTCCCTTTGGGGAGACTATTTACAATACGATTGAAGTGCGATTCACTAACTCTATTGACCTCAGTGGTGACTAATTGCTACTTGCCATTACCATTGCCCATAGACCCCCTAGCCTATCCGCCAACATAAACCATAGGACCAGGTTTGTCCCTTGGGAATCCTCTGAGCCACTAACTCGTCTCAGGAGCCTAGATGACCAGGTCGTCACATATAATTTAATTAAAATAATTTACTAATTAAATTTTAGGCCAAGGTCCCAATTTGAGTAAGTTGGAATAAACAAGCTGATATACTTTCATTCTATTCTTTTGTATGCGTATAGAGATGAAGCTGTATGGCCATTACTTAGACGTTCAACCACGTACATAGCATCGCGCTATTGATACATGCATTTACCAACAGCGAGTGGTTGCGCTCACTACAATGCGCTTTCTTCCATATTCTCAATATTTCCCGTATTGTTTACAAAGTAGGGTAAGTGTTTACAGGAGAGAGTTGCAATGTCTCCCGTACCTCAAAGGTACTCTTTTAGTTCAGTTTAACCAAGTCAAGTCTTAGTTCTCAATAGCAGCTGTCACTAAAACGCCCCGCTAATTCTTTTTGGGTTGATGCACTCTTACAATCAGGAACCAAGACTTTAGAATAATGCTTAGACGGGAACTAGATTACGACGCGCCGGTGCGGAACAAGATTATTACAGGGATTGTAAACACTGATCGGACCCCGACTCGGCAAAAAATAGCTTCGTCAAGATATAAATTCAATGTCTGGTATAGCTTCGGTTTCCGATTCGGCAACTAAAAATAGTTTCAAGGGGTTCATTCACCATCTGATATAGCTTCGGTCCCCGGTTCGGCAGCTATTGACCCCAGCTTGGTCAAGGTATAAATCCATGATCAGGCTGCAACTTTAGGCGCACCTCCGACATTGACACCCTCGACCCTTGCCTTCAGCTTGTTATAGAGCCGTAACTATGGAAACTACAGAAGACATCTTTCGTGCGTATACTGCGGCACAGGGCCAGAATTACTCAATAGTACGCCCTGGCTATTCTCCAGAGCTCTTTAAAATCATCATCAATCATCACACTTCTACCGGTGGCCAACTCCATACCGTCGTTGACGTCGGCTGCGGCCCTGGCCAAGCCACCAAAGACTTGGCTCCCTTCTTCAAAAATACCATCGGCCTGGACCCATCGGAGGGCATGATTGACACCGCGCGCGCTTCCGCCAAGTCAGCGAATTTGCCTATACGTTTTGAGGTATCATCTGCCGAAGCCCTTGGTATCGACTTGGAGCCGCCGATCTCCGATTGCAGCGTCGACCTGGTCACCGTTGCCACAGCGGCCCACTGGTTCGACATGGCAGGCTTCTGGAAAGCGGCGTCGCGCATCCTAAAGCCTGGCGGTACCGTTGCGATTTGGACAAGGTCTGGGGCGGAGATAAACACCACAAAGACGCCGAACGGGGTTGCAATTCAAGCCGCTGTTGAAGAATTCTATAATGGCCTACGGCCATGGGCGAGGGCAGGTAACAGATTGACTCACGATCTTTATATTGACCTACCACTACCTTGGACACTTGAAACCCCAGTAGTAGAGTTCGATAAAGATAGCTTCGTTCGGAAAGAGTGGAATAAGGACAAAAAGGGCGTGGAGAACGATATTATTCGTACAGGAGGTCCGGTTACACCCGCCCAGTTTGAGAAAATAATGGGTACATCCAGCCCGGTAACTCGATGGAGGGAAGCTCACCCAGAAAAGGTCGGGACAGAGGAAGATGTAGTAAGGCAGCTGAGAAGGCGAATCGAGAGCCTTTTACACGAAGCTGGCATCAAACCTGGCGAAGAGGTGCTAAATGGAGAAGTAGCAATGGTCTTGTTGCTAGTGAAGAAAATTTAGGAAAGGCTATCTCTCAAAAAGGTCTTAATGTCGCCACCAAAACATGACACTGGACCGACTATGCACCATGGTTACTGAGAAAATAGATACATCGCCATTTTTGAACAAAATAGAGTATGTTTTAGCACAGACACAGCCAAGATGGAATTTCAAACTGACAGGCAGGAGTATTATACTACCACTGTCACCTCTCTCACATCGTATCCGCTGGGTTGTATATACGAACATTCCCATCTATAGCAGTTCGGCTTCAACTAAGCTCTCATACCCACGGCCATCTGGCCAGATATTAACAATCCTCATACCGGCTTCGCTAATCACTCTATTCCAAACCGCCTCTGTTCTTTCCTTGCCAGATATTTGCAGCATGAAACAATCCAACGCAGTTTGGTAGCTGCTAGCTCCCACAGTTGGGAGAACTATATCATTTATTAACACCTTTGAATAGCCAGGCTTCATGGCAGCTGCGACCTGTTTCAAAATATCGACCACTGTCTTGTCTGGCCAGTCATGAAGAACAGCGTGAAAGTAGTATACTCGACTGCCTTTATCCATTGTCAGCATCAAACCAAAATAAATAAATAAATAAAATAAAATAAAATAAAATAAAATAAAAACGACAAATATTTGCAGATTATATAGAACCTAGATACTAACCTTTAACTGGCTGTGGCTCGAAAAAGTTATGTCCTATAGCTTTGATCTTGTCTGTAGTAATGTTGGCAGAAGCAATAACCTTTGGCAAATCTTCTAGCACGAGTGATCCTGCAGGGATATCAGGATGTTTCTGAAGGACGTGAAAAAGATCTGCGCCATGATGCCCTCCAATATCCACAACTAGTGCACTACCATCGCTCAAATCAGAACCCTCAAGAAGTGCCTGAGTATCGTAAAACTGAGGCCATGGTCTCCTGTGCTTGCCCCATAGAGTCAGAAGGCTAGAGAAGCTCTCTTGATACGAAGGATTCTCCTTGCATCGGCCAAAATAATCCTTTTTCTCGGGGTAAGTATCAATATAACAACTATTAGTGTCATCTGATGGCATGCGGTAGCCAGTCTTGGCCAAAAATTCGGGAAAGTGAATAGAAGAATGCATAATATGGTCAGTTCTGGGATTAAGTAGTTTCCTAATCAGCTTCTGGAAGACAAGTTTTATGATGTGCTCAACATATATACCTTACTCGGAGCGCTGGCGCAATAAGAGTACTCTTGTCGCCAAGAGAGAGCGAAAAGACCGTCGGCTTGAAAAGACCCTCTCCGACTTCCTCGATAATGTGACTTGAAGCAAGTAGTTGTAAAAGATGTTCTATGCATATATTAGCAGCTCATATATGAGTGCTTACGATGTTTAATATACTTACGCAGCAGCTCTGGGTCAATATCTTTACCAGCCATTGCCCTCAACTCGCCAACGTCTTTCTCTCCTCCGCCGCTAGAGGTCCAAGCATCCCATAGCCCTGTATCAATGAAAACCTGGATAGCGGGGTACACCACAGGTTCTTCGTTCACGAATCGTAAGACCTTTTCTGTGTTTGTTTCCAACTTATGAAAGAGCTTACGGGCCGCCATAGCCAATTCTAGCCGTGCAGCGTCATCGTTGTCAAAATCGATTGCAGTAGCTGCATTTAACTTTTGGATCAGATCTCTTGTGCTATCAACCATGGTGGTATTGACTGGAATATCCTATATATATATGATCGTCTCGAACCAAGAAGTGAGTAGCCTATATAAAAGGGTCGGTGAAATGAGATCTTCGTGCAATATGAGAGCTTAAATAAATAAAGGGAAGTGGCATGATTTTGAATTATCTCTTACGCCATTCTTCATGTAACCAATTGCTACATTGGGAAGTTCTGCAGTTATATGGGATACCGTCACTAAAATGTGACCCTTCAAGGAGACTTGCCTATAGATCTCACTTGCCATTTGCTAGTCAAGTAATGCAACATAAATACTTGTCCATTTATCCGCATAAATAAAATACATCTGCAATTTTATCCAATCAAGTTTTAAGTAATAATCACTTGACTTAAGAAAGAGATAAATGGGCACTGAATTCATCCGGGTTGGGTAGTATTGCATTGATCAAGCGACCACCATACCGAACCTTCAAGTATTCTGAGATAATACAAGTACCGATAGCTAATAAAAGTAGTCTAACATGCGACCCAAGTAGTTTTAGAAAACTATATCGGCCAGAAGAAGTAGTATCCTTCACATTAGACAATGATCGTGGCGAGTTATATTTCCAGCGAGAGATCGGTTAGGTGGGTTGCAAAATTAGCCGGCTCTTTATACCATGCTGGGTACAAACCAGTCTTTACCAGACGATAACGTCTTTCTACCACATTCCGAGAGTGGGTCGAGTAGATCTATGCTATCTATCTACTTGGCTATCGGGAGACAAACCTGATATTCCCAATCTGGGATCCTTAGCTTTCAGATTTGGTAAAGTTATTCTTGTCTAGATCGAGCTGGGCGGCGTCCGCCGGCTCCACATAATGACGAAGATCACTTATACGAGACGCATCGAGGCATCGTCAGAATTTAAGCGCAGGTGCTAAAATTCTAGCACAGTCTCCACTTCTAACCGCAAACCTGTTTTCGTTACAGATGGATCTCGAATGCCTCTCAATTATTATCAACTTAATTTGGGCAAGTTGTCGTTTAAAACGTGGCGTGCCTGTGGCATCTCAACAGTTATGGCCTCAGGTCGCCGGCTGCAAGCTACTAAGAGACGACATTGAATATGGCGATATATTGGAAGATGGATAAAATATGGTTTAACGGTTTTAATATTGGAATATCGATAAAGTACGTCTTATCCAATGGCTATGGTATAAAAAAACAAAAAAGAAATTAAGACGTAAATAATGATACAAGATATTACCACAAATCTCGAAAGCCAAATTCGCAGCGAATATGCAGACCAGCTCGCTCTGCGATAAACAAAACAAAAAATGGACCTGATTTTCTATATTCTATCCCACACATATATATACCTCGTCACGCACACCGCTCTATTTTCTCGCCACATTGGCAAGAGACTGGCGACGACTAGCAGCAGGGGTGCCTCTAGGAGTGCCACGGGGAGTGACTCTGCTCTCTCCAAAGAAGCGGTTCTGTTGGCTGTATCTCCTGTCAGGCTGAGGTCGAGCAGCACCGGTACCAGATGAGGTGGAGGCTGTTTTTGAATTAGTATTGGATATTAGAAATGCATGGATTGGTATGAACTTACTTCGGCGCATGGGATCATATGAAACACTGCCGCGGCGGCCTTCGTTGGTGTTCTCAGCACGAGCGTCGGCAAGTCGCTGGGCAAAGGGCGATCGCTTACGAAGGGCCGGGCCCTTCCAGTAGATAACGTACACAGCGAGTACCAGGACGAAAGCGATACAGAAGAGGATAGTGCTGGCGTATTCCAAGTTCTTTCCACTTGACGCTCCGATGTTGGTGAAGAAGGGAGTTGCAGGAATGGTAAGAACACCAGCCAGGAAGTCTCGAGACCAGCCGTTGCCACCAGTGGCGGAAGCAGAGTAAGGGCCATAAGCACAGATCATGTAATCGATGGTGGCCATGTAGATGGCGTAGTTTGCAATACCGACAATAGCAACGAAGATCATAGAGCCGATCCAGTGAATAGGAGGGCCTTGAATAGTCCAAGCGAAGCCAATGAGACCAATCGGCAAGCAGGGGGCAGTGTACAGAAGGAACCAAAGACGAGATTCATACTGTGCGCGCTCATCATTGGGCTTAGCCTTTCGTTCTTTGATGTTGCGCTTAATGGCAGGGATAAAAAGGAGCCAGGCAATGGCGTAGCCAATACCGATTGGGATGAAGCTCAGTCCGATCTCAACGGTGCCGAATCCCCACTGCTTATACACCAAGGCAAAAGACTGGATGAACATGAAGATAAGGGCATCGGAGAAACCAGAGAGCAGGGAAAGCACCAAGACAATGGGCTCAGTGAGGAACATCTTGAAGGGACGGACCCAAGTGGTGAGAACCTCCTTGACAGAAAAGCGGTCGCGGAACGGGACAAGCTCATCGGGTCCCCAAATGTTCTCGTTCTTTTCCTCACGGCGCTTCTTGGCGATGCGGTTCATGATGATGGTAGTACGGGTCTCAGGAACAGTGAAGAAGTGCAGCAGCTGAACGAATCCACCCAAAATAAGCTGAACCCAGATAGACCATCTAAAAATTCATGTCAGCAAGGGTGAAGAAATGTATGCATCCAATTGATTACTCACCTCCAATCAAGATACTTCTCGGTGAAACCACCGACGATGGGACCCAAGACGGATCCACCGACGGACGAGAAAACAACATATGCAACGGCATACTGCTGGTTATCGGCCTCCCACATATCGGCAATCATACCCAGCGTGACGGAGCCACCAGCCGAAGAAAGACCACCAAGAGCACGACCGACCATGATGCTGGCGAAGTTGGGAGCCAGCGCGACAGGAAGTTGCCAGACGTTGACAAGGAACAAAGAGAGCTGTAAGACGGGCCAGCGACCGAATTCCTCGGACCAGGGCGCCCAAAGCTCACAACCAAAAGCGTAGAGTACCAAGAAGATCATGGCACCACATCGTGCCGCCTGCGCACTGACACCGAACTCCTCTGAGATGCCGGGAATGGCATTGGAATACAGTGAAGTGTTGAAGTTCATTGATACCTGGACCCAGAAGATGACGGTCAGGATGTACCACTTTTTCCATTTGGGAAAGCAGTAGCCCAGTTCCTCGTAGCAGTCATCTTCCGTAATCTCATACTTGTCATATGTACCTAGCTTCTCCAGCTTGTTGTCGGTGCCAGTAGGCAGGTTGATGTCTTCCTGCTTTTCGATGTTGTCCGTGCTGGACCCCTCACCACCCTGTGAGCCATTGGCATTGAGCCTCTCATTGGCAAGGTCCAGATCCCTTTGATTCAGGACCTGAGGAGGGTCCTCAGAGAAATGTGTGTGGTGCGGCGCCGCCATATTGATATGCTCCGCAGCAAGAGTTCTTCTTCAGCTTACTCAGAAATTGGAACCACTAACATGAGATTGGATGACAAGATCTGGGGAAGAAGGAGCATAAGAAGAAATAGAAGAAGGCAGAGTGCGGAGGATGAGTGTGGGAAAAGGAGGGGAGCAAAAGTTTGCTGTGGAGGGCGAGCCTGGGTATTTAACTTCAGCTGCATTCAGAATCTTGGAGTAGTTCAGGGTTCATGTAGGTCGGACTAGTAGTATAAAACAAAATCGCATATCGACCGAGAACAAGAACGCTTGGTCCCTATCCTGCGGCGAAAAGAAAATAATGGGGATCCCGGGTCTCACCATGTCGCTGCAAAAGTAAGAATACCCACACCCACCGAGACTAGTCAACATGACGTCCATGCCCCATCCAGCTGCTGTGCCATGGAGATTTATACATACCTAGTAGTATTACTGACTGGAGACCCAACGTATTCGGCCAAACCGACACAAGCTCAGATCGCAGAGTGTAAATGCAGATGCGAAGATTACGCACGCGGATGCGACCCCAGGCCGAGAATGTCGAAAATCGTCCTCTTCTCAGCGCCTCTGCGGCCGTTCGCGGATTATACTGCCCACGCAGAAAAAGTACGTACTCGATACCCCAGCTTTGTCAGTTTCCGAAAAGGAGCGACGATTGGGGAATGCTGGAGGTCGCTTGCGGCTGCATGGGGCGGTATCCCAAGCAACAAGGGCACGCTGAGACACGACTCAATCAGTGAGAACGGATGGTCCAGCAATTTGGAGTCCTCGCACGTTCTCGGCCATGCTCAAAGCAGAGACACACAGCCAGAGTATAACCTAAGAATAGTCCTCCTTCTTCCATCTCTATCCCTTGTGTCTGTCCTTACCATGTTCTAGACCACACAGCTCAGCTGCAAACATTGTTTTGATGCTATCGTTGCAATAATATCACCATGGGCTATGGCCTCGAACATGCCACTTTTTTTCACAGTGCTTTCCAAACTTCCCTGTTTTGCCAGCGCAAAGGACTAGTCCCAGGTCCCGTTCGCTAGGCCAGGCTAGCCTGGACAGACGTCAAAGGCGCACTCGAGTTTGCCAAGCAGGTCCAATGTCCAGTCCGGTAGTGGCGCCAGGCCGTCGCTGTGAGTGGTGGCGGCAGGGGGTCGGAGTACGGCATTTGACAAGTAACTAGCAGGGTGCAAGATTCGATCGGGGGCCGGGAAGCGTGTGCCAATAGCAGGCCGAAAGCAAAGCCTGCATAAGCCCGTATCGATCGATGCCCTCCGTAGATTAGACTCGCGTGTTTAGAGCCAGCGCCGTCCGAGGTGCGTGCGCTTCATATCGACAGCTTCCTCGAGCGGCCAATACCCACAGCCATCCAGAGATCCAGAGACAGCAAGACACAGTAGCCTTTGCCTCCGACATCCTGCCCGCAGCTCTCCTGACTTGCATCCGCTGCCGCCCTTGCATTGGCGAGGCATTTACTTGCCACGCCGCACCTGGTCAGACGAAGCATGTTCACATAGATTCGACGCCATCGCGAAATTTTCTTCCTCATGGGTCTTCGAAAAGCTTCTGCCTGATGCTGATCCCTCGTCTATGACGTCTGCGTGATGGAGGCTGATGGGACCAGCCGGAGCGTTTACGCGCCACGGCCAATTAAGTGCCGGCGGAAAAGTGGACAAGGCGCCGAAGATGGAGTCATCGTGGGGCCCGAGTCAGTGCTTGGAGTCGTCGCGATACTTGAACTTGCATTTTGCTGTGCGATATGGGCCACCTGGAGCCTCAAGGAGCTTTGGCGGGTTGGAATTCTAGAAGTTGGATTGTTAAGTTGTCGCGCAGCGGAACAGAGTCTGGTAAATGAAACAGCGTGGATCAGTTCTTTCTAGAAGGGGTCTTGAAAAAAAAAAAAAAGTTTTGGTCCAGGTTTGCCTCGCCTCGGCCTCAGGCAACTTCGCCCGCAGATGATGGCGACGATAGGTACCTGACACCGTACCTACATATGCCAGTGGCACCAAACTTCTACCCATCGCATAATCTTCGGCTCTATCAGCAATCTTCAAACCACATCTACACCCACAGCATACTTGTAATACCTAGTTCCGATGCTACTCTCGCCCCTTGACAAGAATCGCCCCTTGACGACTTCATGATCTTAGTTGAGAATGAATCGTTTGGCCACCCACACCCGATCAAGCTGTTGCCAACGGCGCCCGTCTGTGGTGACTTTCTCGTCCCGTCTGCTTGGCTGGCTTCTTTCTCACTTGATGCTTTCGACCCAGTGTTTTCTTCCCTTGCGAATGTATGTCGATCAATCATGAGTCTCAGCTATTCTCGTCGAAACCAGCTGTCTCTCATAGAGAATCTGCAGGAGCTAAGGCTACACGAGCCATCTGCACCACCATCCTGTCCATCCTTTTCTCCATCCGACGCTTACGCTATTTCCCTTGTTCTAGGCTGCAGTTTACGAGGAAGTATTTTCAGCTCGGCCGCATGGCGATAATTTTCCTACCCCTTTTTTTCTCCGCCATGCTGCGAATTTCCCCAGTGCTCTCCATTCCCCGTGGAGTCTCCTCAGAATTGTCCCAACGTGTGTTGTCGTTTGTACAGCATATGGGGCTGATGCTCCAGATGCCCGCAATTTTTATTCTGGTGCCTAATGTGCCTCTGTGCTAACCGACCATTCCGACCCATCAACCCATATGGCTCACCACGAAACAAGAGCCGCTGGATGGTCGGTACAGGATCCGAGAGACGCCAAGCATCCGGCGGTGTGCCATATATGGAGATGTCTCTCTTAGCACGCTACGCGAAACGACGAAACGAACGAGATCGCCTCGGTCAAAGTGCGCATCGTTTTAGCAGGCAACTGCCGATAGCCCACTTTGCCCACTCCTTCGAAATTCGGCTTCTAGCACGGTGGTCAATGGCACCGGAGCCATATCTTAGCAAGCTGGCCTCTCGTGAGTTGCATTCCAAACGAGAATGATCGACGTAGTCACGTTCCGAACTCCCCGATTTGTGTGCATGTGCGTGTTGCGTGTTGGTGCTTACCGATCACCCTCTTCTCATTTCGTGCTGTTCTCCAGATTACATGGTTGTCCGGGAACGCCACTTAAATTGATTAGCACGTGGCTTACTGGAAACTACCGCCTTTCTATGAATGTGACCTGCGTCGAGTCAGTCCGAGTGCATACATGCAGAACTCAGTCTCGTGCCTCAAGGACCCTATTTGTGTGATCTGCGGCGTACCTGTCTTTTGAAGTAAGTGAGGAACAGGGAGCTGCATTGAAACACGGTATATTTGGAGCTGACATCTCTGTTTTCGACCAAGAGATCGACGTGTCGCATATGAGGCCGTTTATAAAGACAGAAAAATGCAGCCAGGGTCCATGGCCAAGCACTTAGCCGACTTTCCACAATGGGGCGGTTTGTGAACCACATTTCACAGCTGCTCAGACCGACAGGCAAACTGGATCGTCAGTTTGAGACTTGCCTTTCAAATTTGCAAACTCTCAGCCAAATGTCGTAAAGCACCCTGCTGAGACATGATAGTCGAGGCTACCGCAATTACCATACAGGTTCACATAGTAGCATTCATTAATTTCCTCTGTAAAACGATTATAGACGATGTATTAGTGCCGGTAGACCATCTTTTTCTTACAATTCGCGAACAAAATATCTTTATTCTCACAAAAATGGTGAAGCGATGGTGTCTCATGTCTACTCCCTTACAGCGCAAGGCAAATAATGCTCGATAATTTCATGCTGTTTCTTCGCTACTTAGAGGTTTTAGAGTAATTCACGCAAGTAAAAAGAATTCTTAATCAATTTGTGTGCCGATCACTTAGGCGCTTAATCAAACCCCCGATTTGATGATGAAAAGTGGTCTAATTTTCATTATCAAACGTCTCAACCGTCAGAATTAGACTAGAATTCTCATTGTCTAAGATGATTCCACTGTTTTGAATATAATTATAATATTCCAAATAAAATCTGATCCATCTGGTAATTCAATCAAAATGGTTTACTTCTCAACGTCCATACGCGTTCGACTTAGAGTAGCCTCTTACTCTTATTAGAGTCACTAAATGCACCTCATTTTCGTCCTATTATAGTTTACAGTTTCTTTTTGGTTTCCAAAAGATCCTTGAATTTTTGAAACAAAAGTACGCTGGTATTTTAGCACATCTCGACAGTCATGTCATCTCCAAAGGATCGCAGTCCATACAAACGTTGCCTCACGTATACTCCTTTCGTCTCCTTCTAAAAACTCTTAGTAAGCCATGAGTATGATTACAGAACTTGGAAGACAGGCTCATAAAATTACTAGAGTTAGGACGCCATTAGGCGCGGATAGCTCCATTTGACTTCATTTGCTATTGTGTGATCAGCATCCACTCCCTGGAGTTAGTATGTCTGGGCTCAAGATAAGAGTCAACACGTATATGGCTCCTTGTTACAAAGACTTGCAGCTACAATCAGAAGCATTAAGGCTAAGATCGCTAGCGATTTCAGTTAGGTTCTAAATCGCTATTTTTTCACATACAATACTACGCGATGTTGGAACCGAAGTGTTATGTATATTAAGTGCTTACTATCTATCAATATCCTGATACTCGTATTGATTGTAGATATACCGGTAATCCGTATATCTGTCTATTGGTGATGTGTCTAAGCGATTCATTTACGGTGTCGCCAGTTAGCGAAATAAGGTTAGTCATAGCTTAACATGTAACTCTAATCACCCGAGCTTCGAGTTAATCACTCATGTTCTAAATGCTAAACAGCGATTCATATCACGGACCCTTTGTTTTAACCAAATCATCCTAGTTCAACTGCTTCTTTCATTTCTTTCCTCGCAATTGTTTATGGCGAGATCCCTTTAAATAGAGATATACGAGCCCACTAAGCTGTCATGACTATCTAGTGGCTGCCCCAAATTCGTACAACTGGATTGCTGAGAATCAAGTGTAAATCAAAGAGAAGAGGTTTCTAAATTCCGGCAAAGAAATACGCCACGCAAAGCACATCTCTAATATGCTGTAAGAACCACGTGGTTAGGGGAAAGTTAAACGCAGGCTTAGATTCAAACACGCCGCTTAGGCTTGAATAGGAAATGGAGTAAGACGACCTGCATATATTCCAAAGGTACGTGTATCTATGCTTATGCTTAAGAGGGCATGCATGTGCCTTTATTATGTGAGCACCATATAGAGACGTCCATCATGGGACCGAACCGAATCTCTCAGCCCACATCATCTACTAAACTCAAGGTTAGTTCGGCACTCTAATTTTGAATCCCAATCTTCAAATTATTAACCAAAACTCTATTGTAATTCGCAAAAAGGAGCACCAGAATCTCATCTCTGTTTCATCACATCGTGCACCGCTGATAATGGCGCTCCTCTCAGGGCAAGTTTTTGCTATCCCGCCCGCTAAGCCCCAGCCAGGCCTAGCCCCAAAGGCTGTAGGCGCAAAAACCTGCTACTCAACTAGACTGCGGAGTCGGCGTCAAGCTCACCTCATTGGCTACTGTATTCTTGCCTTTACATAACATGGTATGGAAATGGGTTTCGGGACCGCGAAGAAGGCCTTGGAGGCATACCTGGTGAAAAAATCTTCTTTATTTGCTCTATACGATATTTACGGGCTTGATTACGCAAGTACTAGGCGGAAATATGAACAGAGCTGACAAATTCCACGCTTGGGGAGGTGTCTTTCGAGGCTTGTTTCACAGCATTCATATTTAAAAGGGGATATATAACTTTAGTTGTTATCATGTTGGATTCATAGTTTGTGCAATTTCTATATATTTTTAATGTGTATTTGATACCTACTCTTCACACGCTCCTTTTCATCAACATTTGCTTAATACCATCAACGCTTGATAAGGCTTTCAAAACCATACACATCGAAGTAAAGATTCTTAAGATAAGCAAGTCATCATGGACCTCGATACTCCAAATATTGAAAAAGAAACCCTCCCCGTATCCCCTAATAATTCCCCCTCCTCTGCTTCTACCGACACTCCAAACGAAACTCGCTCTATCCACAGTTTCCGCTGGATCCTCATCAACCTCGCTCTTTACGTCTCCATCTTCATCTACGGCCTCGATACAACCATCGCAGCCGACGTTCAAAGTTCCGTTGTCGAAGCTTTCGGACACGTCGAACAACTTGCCTGGATCGGCGCGGGATTTCCCCTCGGCTCTGTCTCCGTCATCCTTCTCTACGGCGTCCTGTACACGAATTACAACATAAAATGGGTCTTCGTTGCGTCCACAGTTCTCTTTGAAGGTGGTTCAGCACTCTGCGGTGCAGCACCGAGCATGTCTGCCTTAATTGTTGGACGAGTCATTGCTGGAGCTGGCGGCAGTGGCGTTTTCATGGGATGCTTGAACTACTTTACCGTCTTGACGACACCCAAGGAGAGGGGTGTGTACATCACCGGAACGGGCTTCTGCTGGGGTATAGGCGCTGTCCTTGGCCCCGTCATTGGAGGCTCCTTTGTTCAATCCAGCGCTACTTGGCGCTGGGCCTTTTACATCAACCTCATTATTGCTGCTGCTTTCGCTCCTGTTTATCTCTTTGGACTTCCAGCCATTCATCCTGCTGATGGCGCCTCTGTCTCTGTTTTTGAGCGTACAAAACGGATCGACTTCCTTGGATTGTTCCTTGGTGCTGGTACTTGGGTCTCTTTTACCATGGCATTTACCATGGCTGGCGGTCAATGGGCGTGGAGCGATGGTCGGACTATTGCCACTATTGTGGTATTCGTGGCTGTATCAATTATTTTTGGCATACAGCAAACCTTTGCTATTCTTACAACTCCTGAAAATCGTTCGTTCCCAGTTCACATCTTGCGATCTCGATCTCAGGTCCTGTTGTACATTGGAACCGCATCAAACATCACCTCACTTTTTGTCATTGTCTATTTCATCCCAATCTACTTCCAGTTCGTTTATGGAGACTCCGCCATTGAGGCCGCCATCCGACTGCTTCCATTCGTTATCCTTACTGTCAGTTTCAACCTCGCTGCCGGCCACCTCCTCTCCAAAGTCCGATATTACATGCCGATTTATATCATCGCCGGCTTCTTCATCACTCTTGGCAGCGCACTGCTCACCGCTTACCTCGACCCCAAGACTCCCGCGAATTATATATATGGTTTTACCGTCATTGCGGCTGTGGGATCCGGCTTGACTCTCCAGATTGGTTATGCTGTCGCTACACTTAAAGTGAATCCCAAGCATATGGGCGACGCACTTTCTCTGCAAAATGTAGCTCAAATTGGCGGAAGTGTCATCGCACTTGTCATCGCTGGTCAAGTCTTTCAATCCACTGCCACGAGGAACCTGACCAAAGTGCTGGCCGGTAGTACCTTTAACTTCACGGCTTCTGATATTCAGAATGCCATTGCCGGAGCCCAGAGCACCATCTTTGAAGAAATTACTGGCGATCTAAAAGATCAAGCCATATTAGCTATTACGAAAGCTATGCAAAAGGCATTTATTATTGTTTGCGTAGGAGGTGGCGTCCACATGATAAGCGGGCTTCTCATGAAGCGAGAGAAGCTCTTTGGCGACATTGTCCCTGTTGGCGGCGGCTAAGAAAACAGCTGCCTAAAGATGGATCGTGATTTTTTAATCGGCAACATTTGAGGCTTCTTCAGTAGCGAGAGAGGGATATAAGTCATTTTTTCCCGTTTTCACACGTCGGGGTTCGCGTTTCGCACTTATTCTCCGTCGTTATGATTTCCCCATTTCACCTTTTGCTCGGTATAGACGTTTGATAGCAAAGAAAACAGGGCAGAGAAGAGATGTATGAAGACTTAAAATAATATAAATAGACTAATAGACCTCTACAAAAGCATGCTGTTGTATGTAATCTAATTACCCGCAAAGCGTAGTGGTAATAGCAACAAGTTAGAAGTCACGCCTACCAACCAATGATGAACAGCTATCATTGACAAAATATACAAGGTCAAATACCATTACCGCCAGAAAGGTATCAGGCCAGTAGTAAACCATACAATAGCAACTAATTTTGTACACATCTCATCACTGAATATGTTCCATAGAATAATATCCCCAAAATCCAACTCATCAATTCGCAACGCCCTAAACCACGCGTACATAACATAACATTTCTGTTGTTTTTGGTATCGCTGCTCATAACAAAATTCATTCGCGCTAAAAATTCCAAAAAAAAATCCTGGTAAAGTTGTCTGTTTCCCTCCTCTAAATGTTACTGATATTGTGAAGTGTACCCCAGCCAGTCCGACTCCGGATCTGGCATCCTCATGGATTCTCCCGTCAGCCCGTTAACGCCCTGTGTCTGCCATGCTTGGCCATTCCCTGTCCTTGGTTCTAATAATTTAGGGTAGTTGAAGAAGTCGAAGATGTCAATGTTGTCGAGTTCGCTCAGCGACGTCACCTGTGTTGACGTCGGTTCTGCGCCGGATTGTCTCGTTGACGACGTCAAAGTTGCTAAATCATGTGCGCTCCTGGAGCAAATTGTAAGCATGGGAGATGTAACGAAACGGGATTATAGGAGTAATCTGTATTAGCAGCACTCACCTGCGCATAGCCGTAAAGTTCATATCTCCTTGCCGCCCCCTCTGCACGGCTCTAGATAATATTTTGGCATAGTTGTTGGCAACCTCCCAATATTGCCCAATGTGGCTCAATATTTCGATGAAGAATTCAATCTTGGGATCGACGGGGCAGCCTATTGATGCTGCGTGGACCAGTAACAGCCGGGCAGCGACCCAAAGACCGAACACAAAAGGAGGGCCAAGATTATCTAGACCACTTGCTTCAAAAACGTCCCGCGCAATATCCGCCAGGCTCTGGACCGCAGATAGACAACGCTGCATTGCGTAATACGAAGGAACGAAGAGGTGCGATCTGACCGTAGGATATGCAGCCGAGGAATGTAACCTTACCACAGACGTGACATATGCACCGTGCAACATGAACCAGTTTGCTACTCGGCTCCCAGGATCAGAGTGACATAGCGCTGATATTTTACTATAGTCGCTTGGCAGACTCCTCAGCCAGCCATCTAGCGCGCCATCTAGTGATCGGTAGGTATTCCGCCAGCTGGCTACGTCGGCTGATGATGTGATGTCGACCGGTGTCTTCAGGAAATTATGAACTTTGCTGAGTATCCTCAATATCTCGCAGTGGTAAGAGAAGCTCCCCAGATTCTCCGGCTTATTAACCGCATACCCAGTGGTGCCGTACTGCTGAGATGGCGAAACCCAAGAACGTGTTTCGACCGGGACATCTCTAGAAAACAGGTCATAAGAGCACGGGAGCACTCGATGCATCTTCCTATCCTCTAGCATAAAGTCGAAAGTCGTTGTCGCTATTGTTGCGTATCGGTCGAGTAGATATACCATCCAACAAATCCTTCGGCGTCCTTCGTCTTCAATCCACGATTCCGGCCGCCCAGTAACAACTCGTCGTATTGATCCCGTATGTGGCACGTTGTCAGCCTGAACGGATAAATAGACGCTGCTTTCTTCGCACAGTCCGAGCTGTTTGACATTCTGAGCCAGAAGCGATAGCATATTCCATCCCTTGGGCCCATTTGAGGTGCCCAACTCGTCCAGACTAAGGATAACCAAGGCTCTAAGAGCTGCAATGGTTACATTCTCCATGGCGTAACTCTGAACGATCTGCCTCGATACCGCATGGTAGTGGGCCCGCATTTCCGGAGACAGCCGAGGGTCTTTTAAAAATCTCAAAGTCGTTGCGACGATTGCATGTAAAAGGACGCGATCGGGCTCGTTTAAAGACGTTGATCCGAAAAAGATGCCGAATATGGTTTTGCGGTCCAGGATAGGGCACCAGGGGTTGCAATGTTTGAAATAGAGATCGACAATGTTGTAGACAATATCGTGAGGGGGAAAGTCGTTAGCGGCACTAATGGATGAGGGGCCTCTCCGAGATGTTGAAAATCCTGAGGGCGGATATGTTTGAGCGTAGGAGTTGTTTACGGATGAGTTTGATGGCACTCGGCCGTCTGGATACTCGTCGGTGCCATTTGCATCCCAGACGGGGGCAGCAAGACTTGGTCTCGCCGTCGGAGTGCTCCTCGCCGCTCCCACAGGGCCAAGCCTCGAGCCATCCTGATGATAGCCGTCACTGGGAGAGGGAAGGTGGTTGGTAAGAGCTGGCGATAGGCTCTGGGACTGCGCAACGGCCAAGTGATCGTTGGCGATGTGCTCTTCGACGCGCCGTCCCAGGCTCTGCAGCAGAGCGTCAATGCGGTTGACCTTGGCCTCGAGCTCCAGGCTGAAGCCGATGCGGCTGCCCGGTTTCTGCCTCTCGAGATAGACGCAGGTCCGGTTATGCCGCGCGCACCACGAGCAGGCGGGCTCGGCGCGGTCACACTTGACTTTGCGCGCCTTGCAGAGCTCACATCTGATGATTCACGAGTCAGATTAGTCAGATTGAGATGTGAAGGGGATGGCATATTGATTCATCCACTGCATATTCCCCCATAAGAGCCAGTGATGATGATGACGATAGTGATGATGATAAGATAACGGATAGACAATCAGGAGCGGTGATGATAACGATGATGATGATGATGATGATGATAGGAACTCAATAACATACGACGTCTTCTGGTACTTGGTCCTCTTGCGCTTCTTGGTCGCGACCGAGCCGTTTTGCGACGACGAGGCTACAGCCGGTGTCGTCTCATCCGCGCTGGAGCCATCATCGTGACTCGACGCCGAGTTTGCATCGTCCTCGGCCACGGATAGCGAGAGGCCAGCAGGAGGTGGAGGCTCTGCATGATTCCACAGCTGCTGCTGGCCCTCAACCGCCACCGACCCTGTCTGGGGCGCTGCCGGGCCTGGAGCCTCCGTGTCGCGCATCCGGAGACTTTGATAACAAACGCCCCTTCTTGCGAACGTGATCTGGGCAGAGAAGAGGGAGTTATCTCGTCATTCCTCAAAGGGGGGCGATTTGATTGCCTGCGGCCCAGCGTTTTTTTGGTGGTTTGATGCTCCAGACTGACAGGCCTGCTCTGCCGCGGTTTCGGAGGTGGGGAACTTTGCCCTTTAGGCGTGCGTGCTTACGCCAAAACCGCTGCTTGGAGATTGTATTAGTGGTCTTCCAGGCCTCTTCGCGCGCTGTTCTTAGCGCAGTTCCAGGGCTTCATGGCGGCCACCTCTAAGCTCGATGAGGGCAGGGGTTGTGCTGTGGTGTTGGCCCTACACGTTATTTCTTCCGTTTAGGAGCATAACATCCATTGCGCTATGACTAAGTGCCTCGCTGCAAGTACCGAAGCAACTCGGGCAAGCAGAGAGAGGAAGAGAGAGAGAGGAGACTGATTGACGGACTAACGGACGGCATGCGGCGCCGTATCGAGTTGAAGGATAAGACAAGATGAGATCAGGCAGGAGCAGGACAGGGCTCCGAAACAGGGCGCAATGGGTTGGAAATCCAAGTTCTTGGTTGTCGGTGATTCGGGCCTTTCTCCCGCTCTCAGTTCTTGTTTTGGGGTCAAGTTGAGAACCAATGTGCCACCAGCTTGACTCCCTCCGCAGATCTCACAAGCCAGGAAGAGAAACACAAACCGTCATCTAAACCAAGTATGCAGCTGCTATAAGTCATGCAATTCATCATTGATCTGCCCATCGCCACTCTCACCAGGCTGTTAACTGCATCCAGCAATTGCACCATTCCTGCTTGCAGCACCACCGCGGCATCAATTCATCTAATCAATCGGACTTGTCCAAAATCAAACCGCGCAAGCACTCGGGGGGGTGCATCGCCAAATCTCAAAATCTTGCCTCATCCTGCTGATATGACAAATTTGCCGAGGATACGCTCCGGCAGGGTATCACGAGCCAACCTCCACGACACCCAATTCGCCTCCCAAACGCATCATTCTCACACCCTCTTCTTCCTTCTACTCCTCTCTTCTTCTTCCTTCCCCTCGTCCCTCCATCGAAACACCCATGCCTCTCTCTCTCCCTCCGCATGTTCCCCCCCAGAAGCCATTAAGCTGCAGCACTCGCTTCCAGGGTTTCCCTCAGTTCCTAGATCTCATTTTTGTCTAGCGCACAGCGGCGGCTATACACCCCCTTGTCGGCGGGACGTAGTGGTGAGAAGGGCCACTCACGATGAGGGCCTAGCTAGCCGTTCTCGTATAATTCCTCCGCGAGCCCGAAAAAACGCACTACTTGAAAAATTATTGAAAAACCGGGTTACTGAGGCTTCTTCGGCGTACAGTATAGAACTTGCTGCCAATTCGGGGAACATCTCTCTGCACCGCTGCACCGTTTTCTCTCTCCGTCTCGAAGAGGCAAATAATCGCCGCCCTCTTCCAAAGAATATGGAGCTCCCCCAGAGCTTCCTTCTACGCGACCCCGGATCGTCATGCTCGCTAGCGGCCGAGAAGATGCCAAACGCCCATAAGCAACACGCTCTACGCCGTACAAGGAAAGCGATCAGCCGATATTTTCTGGTGAGGCAGCAGAAAAAACTCCTCTTCCAGCATGACCACAATGGGTACGCAACGTTAGCGCCCACTGTTTCCGTTATACGCAGAAACGAGAAACGGAGCCGTCTCCATAGCTAGTGAATCCCTTCGTCGACGGTCCGCCTTGGATCTCCACACTCGTCGGCCTTTTCAAAACCGAGCCACGCCCCATGCTGTTGGAGAAATCCGGTAAAAGGACACCGAAGCTCTTAGTGAGATGTGCAATGTTTCTTTTTTGGGTGCAGAAACCCACAAGGGTCCAGGCACGCTTCGGTGATCCTCCGGGAATGTATCCACGAAGCCATATAGTCGGTATTCACGAGTCAAGGCTCTTACACGTGCAAGAAAAAAAAAAGAGAAAAAAAAACAAACAAATCTCGTATCATCTGGTGACATCCCGAGCCGCGGTGCCTGCGTTTTGAGATAACAGATTGAAAGCTGTGTGGCAGACTACTCAACGTATCATCAAGGCACAATGCATGCATGATGCACGATGCAAATCATGATACAGGCCATGCATGCGTCGTACGTACAATACGTACAAGTAGGACAATCTCACGACATGTGATTTATACTTCAAAGTCTCGGCCGAGATGGCCCATGTAGTCCAATAGTTTTAGAAAGAACGCGAACCGCTTGTAGTATATTAACTAATTCGTAGATTTAACAGTATTTGGTATTCATTACATGCTTTCCGCCTCGTAAACTATTCATTATGCTTATTATGCTTCATTCAGCCATCCCCTGCTCATCTCAACTGCCTTCTCCCATCGAGCAAATTTCTTGGTGGCCTCCTGCTCTGAAATCTGAGGCTTGAAAATGGTCCGTCCCTCGGTGTTGACGTTATTTAGATCATCGAAGCTATTCCAAACACCAACCGCCAGTCCTGCGGCGATGGCAGCACCAAGTGCTGTAGTTTCACGCATTCCCGGTCTGTTGACGGCAATACCGGTGAAATCGGATTGAGTCTATTTAAAAACGGTTAGTTCAATATGCTCAGCGTTTCCTTTGTTACGAAAGTGTTTTAGTTCGACGTACCTGCATGATCAAGTCCGAATTGCACATGCCACCGTCCACGGCGAGCTCAGTCAGCGGCTTTCCGCTGTCCTTCTCCATGGCTCGAAGAATGGCTTGTGTCTGGAAACATGTGGCCTCGAGCGTAGCGCGGGCAATGTGGCCACGCTTGGTGTAAGATGTGATACCGAAGATGGTACCTCGAGCATCATCGATCCAGTAAGGGGCAAAGAGACCGCTGAAAGCAGTGACAAAAGTGCAGCCTCCGTTGTCCTCTACTTCCTCAGCGAGGGCGCTGAGATCTGATGATGACTCAATAAAGCCAAAGTTGTCGACCAAGAACTTGACGCTAGATCCGGCAACGGCGATACTGCCTTCCAGAGCATACATTCTCTTGCCCTCGCCAAAGTCAAAAGCGACTGTGGTCAAAAGGCCGTGTGTTGAGATGACAGGCTTAGGGCCGACATTGTACAGCAAGAAGCAACCGGTGCCATATGTGTTCTTGGCGAGACCGGCTGTGAATCCTTTCTGACCAACCAATGCAGCGGACTGATCGCCCAAGCATCCCGTGATTTTAGTGCCCTTTAGTAAGGTGGTGGTCAGAGAGCCGTATGCCTCGGTATCTGAAGAGCGCACAATCTTTGGCAGATTGAGCTTGTTTCGGTCCAGACGGAACCAATCAATGAGCTCTGCGTCGTAATCCAGCGTCTCAAGGTTCATAAACATTGTCCGTGAAGCGTTGGAAGGGTCTGTGACATGGATGTTGCGGGCTGTGCCACCATTCAGCTTGTAGGCCAGCCAGGAGTCGACTGTGCCAAAGGCAAGATGACCGCGCTCATAAGCTTCTTTGACCTCCTTTACATTTCCAAGGAGCCACAGCAGCTTGCTAACTGACGGGTATGTAGAAAGAGGGAGACCGCACCGGCTGGTCAGCTCACCAGCTCCAATGCGGGCTTTCAGCTTGCGAACCAGCTCCTGAGATCGAGCATCGGTCCAGACAATGGCATTGTGCAGCGCCTTGCCGGTGGTCTTGTCCCAAACAACAGTAGTCTCACGCTGATTAGTGATGCCGACAGCAACAATCTGCTCGCGCGTGTGGCCCTGCTTCTCAAACTCCTCAACGGCGCCATCCACACAGGCCTCTACAGAGGAGATGAGCTCCTCGGGATCATGCTCATGCCAGCTAAACAAAAATGATGAGCTGATTTTTTCTTAACCCATCAAAGTGGTATGTGCAAAACTCTACTTACCCAGGATGAGGATAGTGCTGCGTAAACTCTAGCTGATGAGTCGCAACCACGTCGCCCTTTTGGTTGAAGATGAGAAACCGAGAGCTTGTGGTGCCCTGGTCTATAGCTCCAACAAAGGTAGGTCGAATCATAGTTTTTGATTTCCGCAATCTCCTTTCTTTGAGTCTTTTAGGAAGAAGGGAAGAGAGCATTCACGAGTGACGCAGTTTGCGTTTATAGGAGAAGGGGGTGCGGAGGGGCAGAGAGAAGACTGCGAGATACGGAGTGTGTGGCTTGCGTGGCGAAAAAAAAGGAAGAGAAAAAAGGGGCAGAAATGAGTCGTATTATACAGGCAAAACAGGCCGAGAGATAGAAAGAGCTGAGCTTGCGAATATGATTGAGATTGAGAGAAAAGAAGAGAGGAGGAGAGCGGAAATTACGAGGTATAATATAAGAACAGCTGAGTGTGTGTCGAGGTGCGGTTACGCTTAAGCGACCAGGAACCTTTTTCGTCTCCGAGGATAGGTGCATTCAATTTCGCTCGCAGGCACGGCAAACTTAGTGCCAGTTGATAGCCCTGGGGGCTCTAAAGCTTGTGCTGCTTAGCCCGTGGTAGCGCCTCCGGACAAACTTCTTCCAGCAGGATGGAGGCTCCTAGGAAGGGAAGCCGAGTGGCCTGGAGGCTCTAGGCCTTAGCATTCAGCACTAAAGCTGCCACATGGGAGCTACCCCTCATTCCCCAGATTGTGGAGGCGAACCGGTCACGAGGAGGAACAGAGCCGAGCGTCGGGCGCTAAAGCGAGCAATGAGAGACTGGTTACGTTAACGGGCCTGAGACGAACCGGTGGAGGAGATTGGCAGAGGCTTAGTTATACGGGATTACGTGGAGGACTGGAAATTACGTCGACGACTTGAAGAGGCTGAGAATTAAACTGGGCTTCGTTCTGGCCGCTCCACGGGCACGGCCATGAGGCAGATACCGTCATCCATCAGGAACTGACTCGGCCGACGTCGTAGATGTCATGGAACTTGCTCGCCATTCAGCTGGACATGTGCCAGTCGCTAGTCAGGAGTAGCAGCCAGCCAGCCAGCCATGCGCACACAGATTTACTCTTCCAGGCCGAAGCAATTTCAATAGTCTACGTTGTTGGTAGCAAATTATAGGGAAAAAACACACGAGGAAAAAAAAAATAGCACCACTACGGCAAGGATCCCCGCATCTCGCGAGGCTGCGGCCTGCCAGGGCCTCTGTTTCGGGCCTCTGCAACCCGAGCCCTGGTTTCAGGGTCCCGATCAGATACCGCAGATAAAGCTGCCACTATCACATACATGCATCGTCCCAATCCCCGTCTCGGGCTCTCCCGCCCGACCTTATTGGTGACCATGGTGAGGCGCCTCACCAGCCCAAATAAAGCCCTATGCTAGCTTCGCTGTCTCGCTCGCCTAGGCTCTGGAACGCAGCTAGAAACGCCGCTACGTTCGGGGAAAAAACAGCCAGCGCCTGGATCTTGATCGGAAAGAATAGCGAGGGTGGGGGCTGCAGCTTGGGATTGCAATACCGAAAGTGGCTGGAGGTTGGAGGCATCCTGACCCTGGCCGTATTGGCAGCACACCCATCTGGTTAGAAAACGGATAAGCGCCCGTCGTCAAGCAGCAAGCGCTTTACTAATGAAATAGTAATAGAAAACGGTTAAGAAGCGGCCTCCCCGGTGAACGACCATGAGCCAGGCGGCATGGCCCTAACCCCAATCCTGGCATTTGTGCACACACACGATGTTGCCGCCGTGTCTGAACGGGGATATGCGCGCCGCTGCATCCATGCACCAAGCACTAGGCTGCTTCATGTGTGCAAGCCCCAGAAGCTTAATGCCGAGTTGATCTGTCCACAACTTTTGCTGTTGTTTCTGAGATTGGTTCCATGCTTGTGCGTCGTCGTGCTCTGCAGGTCTGCAGCGCTCAATGTGTCTTTGTTCGTTCTCGTCTTCTTTTATATCCTCGCGGGGGCACATCTTCCCCTTTTTCTTCCCCGATACCGCCAGATTCCCCTTTCTTTGACAAAGAGCCATTGTCCTGTCTCACTCCGCTTCTCTGCGCTAACACCATTCTTGCGTCCGGCCAGGTCCGACGCCGCGCGGATTCAGACCAGACTGGCGTTTTGTTTCCCCCGCGAGGGTCTCACAAAGCCCTAGTCATCCTTTTGTCTAATTTAGACAGGGAGGGGGTATGGATTTCACGTCGAACCACCCATCTCACAAAAAAGACTGCGCAAAGACTCGGCCACGCCCGCTGCCCACCAGCCAGCCATCTCGTTCGCTAGCCATGAAAATAGTCTGTGTGACCTGATTCGGTGTAAGCCGCCGAGGGTGCGCGGGTAGGCCAAAAAAAAAGCGACGAAGACGGCCCCGTCATTATGCATTCGAATCCCCAGCTTTAGGTTGCCATTTAACACCCATCATGCGATTCCCAGTTCCCCTCACCCGTCCGAGCAATATTAGCACTTGTAACCTTGACATCACCTGAGCCCAAGTTATTACTCGTAGGCCTCTAGCGCTTTCACTGGCTTCTCGTATATCCTGGCTTTTCAAGCTCGCATTGCCTCCCCATAGTAAAGGCGGGGAAGAACGTGTTCTCGATTCTCCAGATCCACAGACAATGAAGCTGTAGTTGGGACCAGATCTGTACCAATCTCTGACTGTCAGCTGTGGGAATCTTGCCATCTTCGTACACCCCCTCATCTCGTCTGCGTCTGCGTCTGCAGGACCGACACACCCGATCTTTCTTCTTTAATCCCAGCCAGCCTCAACCGCGGTACGAGCAGGGCGTGCTAGCCGTGTTAGCCCCACGAGAAACGTAAAATATCCTGTCCCTCCCTTTACCGCGTAGTATTCCATATCGCTAGCCCGGCCATCGTCGGTGGGAGAAAAAGAAGTATAATTTAACATCACCTCCCTCCCTTCTCTTACAAGTAAACACTTGTCTGTCCCTCTGCCAAGTATCGTCTCATTCTTCATGTCCATCACCAACTCTCCAGAGACCTCAGACATCTCCATCGATAAACCAGCTGCTCTTCATCTTCCCCTTCACAACTCCAACATGGGTAATCCAAGACTTGAGGATACACCAGAGTTGGAGCTAATGTCTCCTTCTCTGGAAGAAGAGCAGTTGGCTTGGAGCAAGATTCGTGAATACTGCTTGGACGCCTTCTCCGAATTCTTCGGAACAATGGTACTCATTCTCTTCGGTGATGGTGTCGTTGCACAGGTTGTCTTGAGTGGTGGAACCAAGGGTGACTACCAGAGTATCTCCTGGGGATGGGGGTAAGTGGCCTAGCAGTTACCTCTTTGTGAAGATTTTTTGTTGCTAACGAGGGTTGGCGAAATAGAATTGCCGTCATGTTTGGTGTCTTTGTTGGTGGTAAATCTGGTGGCCACCTCAACCCAGCCGTGACTTTTGCCAACTGTCTCTACCGCGGCCACCCGTGGCGCAAATTGCCCGTCTACGCCCTTGCCCAGCTTCTTGGAGCCATGGCTGGTGCCGCTATCGTGTATGGCAACTATAAGTCAGCTTTCGATGCCTTTGAGGGCGGCGCTGGTATCCGGACGGTGACTGGCTCTACTGCCACAGCCGGCATCTTTTGCACATATCCTGCCCCTTTTATGACTCGGACGGGCATGTTTTTCTCTGAATTCATCGCAAGCAGCATCCTCATGTTCTGCATCTTTGCCCTGGTCGACCCTAACAATATCAATGCTGCACACATGATGCCTCTTGCCCTATTCTTCCTCATCTTCGGTATCGGCGCCTGCTTTGGTTGGGAGACGGGTTATGCTATGAACCTTGCTCGTGACTTTGGTCCTCGACTGGTTTCATACATGATCGGATATGGCCACGAGGTCTGGTCTGCCGGTGGCTACTATTTCTGGGTATGTCGGATTTCTTTTACCCCTGTGTAAATAACTCGCTGTTGCTGACCATGCATTGCAGATTCCCATGGTGGCCCCATTCTTCGGCACCGCCTTTGGCGGGTTCTTGTACGATGTTTTCCTCTATACGGGGAACAGCCCTATCAACACTCCGATGCTGGGTGTCACACGCCTATTCCGGCCCCGCAAGAATGTTTGGTCCAACACTCGCCCCTCGGCCATTGACACGAAAGTCTAGTGGCTGCTACCAAATACTGAACGCTTTATGAAAACAGAACGAGATGGTCTCGGGAAGATTACAGGGAAAAATACCGTGAACCGGGGTGGTAAAAGATATTATCCAATGTATAGAAGAAAGGAGAAGGGGTAAGAAAATATGGCAATGTGGCTGATGAAGTGTTTCTTGATTTTGGGTATGCGTTTAATGGAATTCGGAGTATGGTCAGTTGTACAAGTATAACAAAGGGTACTTTAGCGAGCGACAGCAGCATACACCTTGTAGTAATAATGATTTATAACCCAAGAACATCGGGAGCGCCGTTGGGTATCAATGAGACTGTAAGGTTTGTAATATGATATCTGCCGAGTGTCCTGAAATGGGGAAACGGCGGAGCAAGGGTACGTGTTCAAATGGGGAGCTTCAAGGCTGGGGTGATTGTGCAGCTGGACCGGACCGGTTTGCTGGAAATGCAAATGCAAGACGGTACAGGTAGTGAAATGAAATGTGATGAAAGCTGGGTTTGTGATATGCTCGGAGAATTCAGCTATAAGGGTCCAATTGCAGCCGTTACCCTACATGTCATGAGGCAGAGCTACTGCATCTCGAGTGGCTTACATGAAAAGGGGCTGAATATTCAAACCCAGGCTTATCTGGGAGAAGCAGAAACTTTTCCTAGTCTCCCTAGAGCCAATGATGTGGCTCACCGATACTTGCTTCGTACTGGAGCACTACTAAAGCATTGGTGTAATAGATTCAAACACCACAGAAAGCACGTCGATGAGGCTGATGCCGCTATCGCGAGATTCTGACAACGCAGCCTGGCACTACCAGGCCCAAGCGTTGCTAAGCGATATCTTCCAGCCATTTTGCCAAGACTCTTTCCTCTTTTCTCAGTCAACCCTTGCGGTGTGAGATCCGCGACTGGTCAGAAAAGCTGCGCGGGCTTCTCCGAATATGGGTTGAGAGGCAAGGGAAGAGAAAGACAAAGCAGACCGAGGACATGGTCACCTGGCCTCGTGCTTCAGTCTGTGGAGCTGCACGGGAGGACGGGTAGGATGCTACCTCGCTTTAGAGGTGGCCTCTGCGCAACACCTGGTATCGCGTATGCACACGCCCTGCGTCTGTGCTCTGGTGGGAAATAGAGACGGGATTGAGATGAAGAAAACGGAAGACGCTGAGGAAAACGGTTTGACACTCCCGCGTGAATCCCGGTGCGGAGCCATGGGATTGGACGAGAGAGTTTAGTAATACTCGTAGCCAGCCTGAACGGAGCTGAGCTTGTCAACCTCTTGAAGATGACACGAGATGATGCGTGGTAACGCAGATTTTCAGCTGAAAGAAACGAGAGGCTATACACGCCTGTACTCGCCATCGCGGACAGCTGAATGCCATGGGTAGGACAGCGTTGGTCTCGGTCTCGGTCTCGTCGGTAGGTGGCGGTTTGTCACAAGCTGAGCGCACCAAAATTCCCGTTATTGGCCATTGGCGTCCATATTTGGTGGATAGAGGAGCAAGACCCTTGGAGGTCTAGATGCATCTGGCTAGAGGGATCGTGGCTGGCTGACTAACTGTGGCTGAAGACGGCGGAATGTGGCTTGCATTTTTCGGCCTGCATTTTTGGCTGACATGTGACCAGCACTTTGGAGAGAGCATTTTCTCTCGGCCGAGACAACACAGGCAACGTTAACTTGGTTGACGTGACGATGTGATGATGGAGGAGATCGTCTGGCTTTTAGCTTATCGCAAAGCAATTGATCGAGAATCGAGGATGCGCCTCTTCAGTTGGTGGGATAACCCCTCCTACCAAGACAACAGCCCGGAGCGTTGGCGTTCCGCCAATGGTGGAAGCTGGCGAAAGCGTGGCACATCGTGACTCTTCTATTTCTTTTGGCCTCTTGCTAAAAGCCTTGAGCAGAGTCTATCTCGGGGATTTTATACCGAATGGATACCGATATCTCCACCTGCTAGACCGTCTCGCAAGCCACAGCCGAATAAGTCATCAACTCTATCCACTCAGGTGCTCTGCTGCGACGCGTGGCTGATCGTCCTCGGCTCTCCAAGCCCGAATCGCCCCCAGCCAGGCCTTAAGCTCCACTCCGACGCCGCCATATTTGGAGCATCGACCCGCGCAAGTCCGTATCCCGGAGGACGGCCTGCGGCGTGATTGGCCTGAAGGCACAACCTGAACCCTTTCAGGGAATCCGACGCAGACCACTTCCCGAACCGGGTGCACCGGGATCGCAGCCAAGAAAGTCGAGGATTCTCTGCGATGCCAGTGGTTTTCCGAGGCCGTGACATCACACTGATTGAGGCTGTGGTTCTGAGGCTCCAACGGATAAAGAGAAAGGAAAAGCTGCCCTGAGCATGTGGCCCTGGGTCAGGACGCAAGCCACCACGCGAAAAGTTCCAAGGCCAGATGGCACGGTACTAGAAAAGCAACGAGTTCATTAAAGCTTATGCAGCCTTAACAACTTCTCTTCTCCGCCGTCCTTGCCCAGCTTGCCCCTTTCGTTCCACGAATCAGTGTGGCCAAGGGACCCCCAATTTGATCGTCGTATCAAGCGAAATCTCGTTTGACCCACGTCGGCACCATCCACCGAGCTCAGTTGACGTTGATTCTCAAAGTCACCTCATCTGACGCAAAACCTATTTGACTTTTCTTTCTTCGCGCTTATAATCCATTTTTGGCTTCCCGTGGAAATCCACGAAACCTACTTCTTTTTACCTCCTTGTCGCCGATCCCGCTTGGCCCTTGCTTCCTACATCCTTTAAAACAAACCCTCTGCCCCCACGACTTCTCTCTGCCTAAAGCCTCATTCATCACTCTACCTCACGGAACACGCTACTGTTCGAGGAATATAGATTACCTGCAGAATAGTGCATCTTTCTGCTAATCTTCTACGAACCTCGTCACCATGGTTCGAGGCTTCTCGCGCCTTCGACGGCCTCTCCTGGGCCTGACAGCCGCCGCCACTGTTGGAGGCGCTGCTCTTTATGCTCGTAGCAGAATATCGCATACCACTCACAAGCCGATCGCAGAGGTAAAGCGTGATAGCAACGGTCGCATTATTCCGCCATCTTTTCCCGCCGTCCCATCGCGGCTCGAACAGCTCGCCGATCTGCGGCGGCACAGCAAAACAAACGACAACCTCGACGAGTACGACCTGCTCATTATCGGCGCCGGTGCGACGGGCGCTGGAATTGCGCTTGACGCCGTGACTCGCGGCCTTAAAGTGGCTATTGTGGATCGCGATGACTTCTCCGCAGGCACCAGCTCCAAGAGCACCAAGCTGGTCCACGGCGGCGTGCGGTATCTCGAAAAAGCCGTCATGAACCTGGATTACTCCCAGCTGCAGTTGGTTATGGAGGCGCTGCATGAGCGCAAGACATTCCTCACCATCTCTCCCCATCTTTCTAACTCGCTCCCTATTCTGCTCCCTCTTCAAAACTGGTGGCAGGCTCCTTATATGTGGATCGGCACAAAAGCCTACGACCTGCTCGCAGGTTCACAGGGGCTTGAGAGTTCGTACTTCATGAGCAAGAGTAAGGCCGCAGCCAACTTCCCATTGTTGCGCAAGGAGAACGTGGTTGGCGCCCTGGTTTATTACGACGGTCAGCACAACGATTCACGAATGAACGTCTCTCTCGCTCTTACCGCTCAACAATACGGCGCGACTGTATTGAATCATGTTGAAGTAACGGGCTTGGACAAGGATCAAAACGGCAGAATCCGCGGCGCAACCCTCAAAGATACCCTGGGCAATGGCGATGGCAAAGAATTCACTGTGCGCGCCAAAGGTGTCATCAACGCTACCGGGCCTTTTACCGATGCTATCGAGCAGATGGACGACCCTTCCCGCAAGGCTCTCGTAGCTCCCGCCTCTGGTGCTCACGTCATGCTTCCTGGCAGTCTATGCCCGAATGGAATGGGTATGCTTGATGCAGCCACTTCCGATGGAAGAGTGATTTTTGTGCTGCCTTGGCAGGGATATACAGTTGCTGGCACGACAGATAACTCTTGCAAGATTGAGAAAGAGCCGGTTGCACAAGAAGAAGACGTCAAGTTTATTCTAAAGGAGGTCAACAAGCTTCTGCGGCCTGACTCGCACTTGAGCCAATCTGATATTTTGGCAACTTGGTCTGGTACGTATCAAATTGGAAACCGACCTCTATAGATCTGATAAAGCTAACTTGAAATAGGTATTCGCCCTCTTGTCCGGGACCCTAAGGCTAAGAACACCGAGTCTCTCGTACGAAGCCATCTTGTGACTGTTTCGCCATCTGGTCTTCTCACTTGTGCCGGTGGTAAATGGACCACTTATCGCCAGATGGCTGAGGATGCTGTCGACGAAGCTATCAAGACATTCGATCTTGCACCTTCAGCTGTGTCATTCCCCGATATCAGTGGCGCCGGACTCCCTGGCCTTAAAGCCACCGGCAGCTGTTTGACCAAGAATGTGCCCCTCGTCGGAGCTCACGGCTACTCGACGTCTCTTGCCTCACAGCTCATGGAAGTTCATCACATCGATGCCGACATTGCCGAGCACTTATCCCGCAACTATGGTGACCGCGCCTGGGCAGTTCTATCAGCCTCCAACTCCGGTACCACCCGCCTGCTCCCATCGCTTCCTTTTGTCGAGGCGGAAATTCGACATGGCGTCCGCGCCGAAGCTGCCTGCACAGCCGCTGATGTGATCTCTCGACGCACTCGTCTCGCCTTCCTTGATATTGAGAATGCTCTACGCGCACTCCCTCGCGTTATTGATGTCATGGCTGAGGAACTTGAGTGGTCTGGAGATCGAAAGCAGCATGAGTGGAAAGAGGCTATTTCATTCTTCAAGTCAATGGGGTTGTCGCCAGATAAGCTGAGTATTACTCGCAAAGAGGTCGAAGCTCTGCCTGCCCTCCCAAGCAAGAAGCCTGAGGTGGCTGCTGCAGTAAAAGACATGGAGCTGGGCAAGCTTGAGGCTAACGGCGTTTTGGCATAAACGTGCATCCATACGCAAATCAGAGCGTAAGTTCATTGTTTGTCGCTACCACGAATGCAGAGCTCGGGTTTCTTGTATATAGCGTTTCTGCATAGGAAAATTGGCTTGCTTTTGGAGTTTTATACCAGGGATATAATCAAGAAAGGACGATAGGGGGGGAGATGTTTGACTAGATCGCGAAAGGAGCATTACACTGGATAGAAAGCAGTGGCTGGGAATTTACGCATTTGGGAATCATAGATATGGCGTGTTTTTTGGCTTAGAGCTAGTTTTTACATGCATATACAAATCAAATCATTTACAATATCTTTCTTGGAGAATTCGTTGATGCCTATTAGGTACCTAACTATCCAAGTATCTAGTGGTTATATCCTTCCCTTTACCTGGGCCGATTAAGCGCAGCACTTCCCTGAAGCCAAGCGGCGAACTGTCTGTACCTTCTGAAGAGGGGGCGCTTTCGAGTAGTTCTCTCATACCTAAATAAAGACAGAAGGAGATTTCGTTTATCGAAGAAACAAGTTGGAGAAGGAACCACAAAGCAAAGGGTAAGCACGTGGAGCTTCAAACAGTACGAGGAAGTGGCCGCGCAGCCGTAAACAAGCTATAAATCTCAGCTATGTGAAGCTTGGATCTCTTCAAGCCATCTGCCAGCATCAGCCTGTTGACTAGGCAGTTTCGTAACAGTATTTTTGATATATTTTCTTCTTTTTATGAAACTTACGTCACAGATACTGTGACACAACAACAAGGATGGCCTGGTTCAAACAGCTGGCACTCTTCTTGATCACGGCTCTGCCGCGCATCGCCGCTCTTCCTGTCAGCGATGCTAATGATAATTCAATCAGCGCCGAGGGAAGATACATTGTCACTCTCCAAAATAACATCCCGCCCTCTGAATTCAGATCTCACATGTCAAGGGTTGCGGCTATCCAGTACCGCAACTCTGGTAACCACAAGTTTCCTCATGTTGGTATTGAAAGGACATATGCCATTGGCGAGTTTCAAGCATACTCTGGAGCTTTTGACGGCGACACACTCAAGATGATCCGAAACGATACACGGGTGAGCAGAGTTGCACTTTGTGATGAGAGATATTTCTAACAAAAAAATGCAATTCCTAGGTTGCGGAAATCGAGCCTGACGCTGTCTTCACTCTCCACGACAAAGCTTCATCTCAGTACAACGCACCTTGGGGCCTTGCGACATTGTCTAGCAAGAGACGCAACACTGCAACTTACCACTACGATAAGAGCGCCGGCAACGGAACCTTTGCCTATGTTGTAGACAGCGGCATCAATATCAAGCACCTTGAGTTTGAGGGTCGGGCCTCAAACGGTTACAACGCAATCGATGACGACTTCACGGACCTCAATGGACACGGCACGCATTGTGCCGGAATTATCGGCAGCAAGTCTTTTGGCGTGGCTAAACAGACAGAGCTCATCGCCGTCAAAGTATTCCTCAATCGCGAGACGCTAATATCCAACGTCTTGGACGGATTTCAATGGGCAGTCAACGACATTCGTACAAAAGGCCGCCAAAGTCGCGCTGTGATCAATATGTCTTTTGGTAAGTGGAAATTTGAGCAAGCCTGGCTCTGGCCTCCGAGAGTGGCAAGGTTGGCTGATGCTGAAGCAGGGGGAGGCTTTTCTCGTGCCATGAATCATGCCGTTGAATCCGCGTTTGAAATGGGGGTCTTTACTGTTGTTGCGGCTGGAAATGATCAAAAGCCGGCTCGAGACGTTTCGCCGGCGTCGGCGCCAAATGCCTTCACTGTGGGTGCCATCGACGCCGATTGGCACGAGTGGGAGCATTCCAATTTCGGCCGAGAGATCAACATCTTTGCTCCCGGTGTCGAGATCGAATCCACATTCATTAGCACAGAGATGGCAACCCGCAAGCTGTCTGGCACCTCGATGGCGGCCCCTCATGTGACTGGTCTTGGGCTGTATTTGCTCGCGCTGGAGAATCTCAAGACTCCAACGATGCTGAGAGAGAGGATCCTGGGCCTTGGAACAAGGAATCGGATTCATAATCTCAAAGATGAAAGCCCTAACTTGATTGCGCATAATGGTCTTCACTGATTAACCTGTTTGCTCCCCTCTTTCTCTTGTCTTGTTTGCGTCTAGAATAATATAGATATAGAAGTATCATCAAGGTATTAATACACTGAAATGGAAGGGGGGCTTTTTTTTTCTAATAAGTGCTGTGAATGTACATGTAGTGTCGAGGTCGGGTGCCTACCTACCTACCTAGATATGCAAGTGATCTACATTGAGCACGGGTGCCAGCAGCTGGCCTTGGAATCACTTGAGAGTTCACATTGCGTTTACCTTTCTTTCAGTTTTCCAACATGTGGGACCGCAGCGAAATAGCCCCTGCGGCTTCTCCATCCTCAACTCCTTCATTTCTTTGCTATTTCAAATTTTGCTATTTGTTGCTCGCCGTTTAATTTTTACCGGCTTTTGCTTTCTGCAATTCGATCATGATATAGCTCTGAAAGGTGACGCAGACCTATGATCTTGCTTGCTGCTAGTTCTGTGCCCCATGATTTCGCTATTCCAATTGCTAACTGGGGCACAGTGGCCATTTTTAATATCTGATACAAGCCGCGTGAGTATGAATGAAGAAAGGAGAGTAATGCAGATGCAACAGTACCGTCGGTGGCAAAATCAGCGTAATCGAAACACATCAAAGGAGCATGCAGCAGTCCCAGTCCCAGCCTCAGTCGCATCACGCGTTGCGGACGAGATAGGAAGTACAATGAATATGAGAAGAAGTATGTCAATGCCTTCTTATAGAGGATACAACATTATTGACTGGCACATTTATACTCGGCTAAGAAGTTTGTGGGAAAATGAGTCGGAGTGGTGGTCGCGGGAAGAGCGACGAGACTTTGTCAGATGGATTCCCAGGGCGCGTATTACAGAACGGGAAAACAGCATTTTCAATCATGGGCTGGCAAACTACATGCGGAAGAATAGACGGAGTTGGGGGCATTTCGTCATATTGAGAGCAATGTTTGGCGCGTCTCAATGTGCTAGGCAGGGCTGGTGGGAGGTTTTCAAGCGCAAATACGAGAGAGCCACAGAAGATGCGCCACCGGGCGTCGTTCCGAGAGACGTTGAAGAAGTTTTACAGACAAACCAGATGGATTGCCCTCCCATAATGAATATCCCAACGATGGAAGTTGAAGATGGCCATGTGGATGAGGATTGTCGGTGCTCGTGGTGCTTGGAACATCCAGCGATAGCGAGGCGAAAGAATGAACTTGTGGGCCAAGGGGAAAGAGGTGTGAAAAGTGAGCCACAGCTGGAATATTCTCGGGGACAGAGTCTATATACAGGAGAGGGAGAGTCGTACGAAGATCGTGCCCGGAGATTGGAACGCGAGCAGAGTGTCGAGCCGGAAGAGAGGCCGGATGAAGAAGAAATCGACGAGACAGTGTCTGAGCTCATGAGTCAAGAGTGTTCTCTGCGAGAGAGGATGAATCTTGCCTCTACTCATTTATCGAATACCAGCTTGAGGGAGGTGGTGATTGAACAAGGGGCGATGGTTGGGATGCTGGTGCAATTGTTGGAGAAGCAGCATAAGAGGGCGGAGAGGTTGGCGGCGAAGGTGGAGAAGGTGAAGAAGAGGATGAAGAAGAAGAAGAAGAAGAAGAAGAACAAGAGGTATCAGCGGGATATCAGTCGAAAAGTGAAGAGAGTGTGAGAGACAGAGTAACGTCGTTGTGGAAAGTTGATGGTTGTGTGTGTGATTAAGGGGGGGGTTAGTTGTGTACAGGGCTAACAACTCTGATTTAGAACATTTCTGATAGGATACCTGGTCTGGCTAGATTTTCAACTTGGATCTCATGGGGTGTCTTGATTCATACTGGGACCCCAGGTCTCTTTTGTCTTCAAGGGCAGAGTACTTGCTACTACTGGATAACGTTGCCTGGCCTGTAGGGTAATGTACATGAAGATTAGCACGGCCCTGGTGAGATGAGTCCCAAGCCGTCTCTATACGTGTGTCTTTATTCTTCTTTTCTTACCTACCTGTTGATCTGGTATCTCAACACATGGCATTATGTATATGTACCAAAGATTACCTTTGCTGGGCGCGTGGCGGATGGATACAGCTGTACCTGACATTACTACTGCATCAAAGCACTTTGCATGAAGCTAGCATCTTGGATGTGGATAGGCTCCCGCTTTCTTCTACGACGATGGCTCTAAGAGAAAGTTTACGTCTTTGTAGCAGTGTGTGTAAGGTATGTAATAGATTATTCTACGTCTACTTACCTACTTATTAGTGTAACCTGTCTAGGTAGGTAGTTGTGCATAGTACAGTAGAGTGGTAAAGACCATCAAGGTGATGCAGTCGTCGCCATCCATGGCACGCATCATTTACTCTGGACCAACAGATGGCCAGATGCAACACACACGGCAGCAAACAAGCACGCGATCCGATTGAATTGTGTGAATTATGCAGACCAAATGTGCCACCGTCATACAAATTGTCATGCCTGATACACACAAAAGTGGCGCGATCGTCACCTCAGCCTGATCTGCCCAATGAAAAGCACCAGAGGCGGGGAAATTGCATGTGAAGTGCGTTGTCCACAGTGGCCCAAAGAAGGTACACAGAGGTACTGCGACATGAAAGGTGGGGAAAACGGCGAGGTACCTCGGCAGCGCTTGTTGATGTTAGTGACGATGTATTCGTGCAACTACTGATATACTTTTGCAAGAACTGCTTTTGCGTAGGTAGATGCTGTACATGTACCTACCAATGCAAGCCAGTGCGTTGTCTACAAGTTTTCAACCCCCGTGTTAGATTTTAGAAGCGTTTAAAAGCCAGGAGTTCAGCTCATACCATGTCACCACAACCGCCGGTCATCTTGCTGACAGCCAGGCCGTTGAGAGCTTCAGTCTGAATCAATCCATCCGACTATCACTGCGCCGAGTGGGCGCGGGGTAGCGGGGTTACCGAGTTTAACTTTTGAACAATGGGAACCGGGGCTGTTTTAGCGCTCGATTTAGCGGGTGCGTCGCCACGGTGCACTAACCGTTTGGCGGCCGCATCCCCTGTGGCAGCTGCCTTTCCATCACTGGAGCTTGCGCGCCGCTGTTGCTGCCAAGCTCGCATACGCCTATACGGTACGCGGCAGTACGGCAACCACATCACCCGATAACAATCGATTAAAAGTATATGTACCTCGATGGCCGCATGATAAAGCTGGCAGAATATTCCCGCATGCGAGAGATGTACTCGTCAACAGCTTAGCTGGCAGAGACAGACTGCGTGCTGTTTCCGCCTCGCATCTTCATCTCTCTCTCTCCTCCTGCAGAGCAACAGACTCTTCGCCAGCACAGCCATGGGTTCGGAAGAGAAGAAGCCCGTCATCATCGTCGGCGGCGGCCTGGCCGGCCTTGTGGCCGCCTTCGAGCTGTCGGTGCGCAAGGTCCCCACCGTCATCATCGACCAGGAGAACGAAAACAGCCTGGGGGGGCAGGCCTTCTGGTCGCTGGGGGGCCTGTTCATGGTCAATTCCTTCTACCAGCGCCGCATGGGCATCACCGACTCGCGCGAGCTGGCCATGCGCGACTGGCTGGGGTCGGCGCAGTTTGACCGCGACGAGGACTACTGGCCGCGCCAGTGGGCAAAGGCCTTTGTGGACTTTGCCACGGACGAGTTTGAGGACTACATGCGCGCGCGCGGCCTGGGATTCCTCTTCAACGTGGGCTGGGCTGAGCGTGGCAGCGGCCGCTCCGACGGCCATGGAAACTCAGTGCCGCGCTTCCACATCGCCTGGGGCGCGGGGCCCGAGGTCGTCAAGGTCTTTGCGGACCCGGTGAAGAAGGCGGCCGAGGAGGGGCTGATTGAGTTCAAGTTTCGGCACCAGGTTGACGAGCTGATTGTGGACGGGACCGGGCGGGCCGTTGGCGTCAAGGGAAGCGTCTTGGAGGAGGACAATTCGCCCAGAGGCGAGCAGACAAACCGAAATGTCGTCGACAGCTTTGAGCTGCACGGCGCCGCAGTCATTGTCACCTCGGGTGGCATTGGGGGCAATATCGAGGCTGTGAAGAAGAATTGGCCTGTTGACAGACTCGGACCAAAGGTGCCCGAGCACTTTGTGATTGGTGTTCCGGCCCACGTCGACGGCCGTATGCTCCAAATCACCGAAAACGTGGGAGCCAACCTCGTCAACCGAGACAGGATGTGGCATTATACCGAGGGCTTGCACAACTGGAATAGCATTTGGCCAGAGCACGGCATCCGCATCCTGCCAGGACCTTCATCACTCTGGCTTGATGCCACCGGCAAGCGTTTGCCGCCCTACCTGTTCCCGGGATCTGATACGCTCAGCACGTTAAAGGCCATTTGCGAAACGGGCTACGACTACAGCTGGTTCATTCTGGACCAGTCCATCATTGCACGTGAATTTGTCCTTTCCGGCTCAGAGCAGAATCCAGACCTCACAGCCAAGAGTATCTGGGAGGTGTTCAAGAACAGACTCTGGAGTAAAAAGGGGACCGTCAATGTGCAACTGTTCCAGGAACACGGCAAAGATTTCGTCGTGCGTGACAACCTCAAGGACCTGGTAGATGGCATGAACGAGCTGGCCAGGGCGCGAAATGGCCCCATCCTCGACTTTGAAAAGGTCAAGGAAGTTGTCGACGCTCGTGACGATCAATTCAACAACTCCTACTCAAAAGATGCGCAGGCCATGCTCATCCAGAACGCGAGATCGTACTGGCCGGACAGGCGCAGCCGTGTTGCGGCACCGCACCGCCTTACTGACCCTGCTCATGGCCCATTGATTGCTGTCCAGCTCAACTTGCTGAGCCGCAAGACTCTTGGTGGTCTCGAGACCAACCTGAACAGCAACGTGATGAGAAAGGACATGACGCCATTCCCCGGTCTGTACGCCGCGGGCGAGGTGGCAGGATTTGGCGGTGGAGGTGTTCACGGCTACAACTCGCTTGAGGGAACGTTTTTGGGAGGCTGTATCTTTTCAGGCCGCGCAGCCGGGCGCGCCGTAGCAGATGAGTTGTCGGAAGTCGAGAAGGAGTAACGGAAAAAGCCCTATTAGCAGCAAACCTAATGCGGGAGACGAGACAAACACGCGGCGAACCTGTTAGCGGAGGAGTTGGCATTCAATTTTTTTAGTGTACAAAGTTATGGTTTATCCTTATTGACTCAATGAGACCAATGACATCCCCTTGCCCTAAGCGATGGACGGCGAAAGTCGCATTTGACGGTGACCTTTTATGAAGTGCTTTTAGCGGCATCGTACTTGTAAGTGATCTTGAACTGCTGTTGGACAGGGGTAACCCACGATACGTTGTAGATCAAGAGCGTTGATTGGTGGAACATTTTGCATGTCCTCTTCGGAAGAATTGCTTGAGCTCATTAATATGGCATACGAGATGCAACTTTACTTCGTCTTCATTGACAGTCTGTTGCAGCCATTACGGACAAGTATCCGTCAATGATCCAATGGGTCTGGGGTAAAAACCTGGGGAAATCTGCGGGGGGATCTTGCGAGTACAAAATGGAGAAGTGACCGCGGCTGTTGATCTCATCAGCGAGGCTTGATTTGGGGTCAGGTCTTTCCCATTGCCTTGGCTTCCATACAGACTGAAGGGACTGCCACAATGCATTTCCACTCTCTGTCCTTTGCCGTGCTCTCGGTGGCGGGCATATCCAACGCCCTGCCTGCTGCTCTGGGCGACGGCTGGCTCTGGCCCACGATATTCCCCAACACCGTCGTCATCGATGGCCACCGCCTTGTCGAAGCGAAGCTGCGTCTCGACCTGGGCGACCACAGCCTCAAGACGGCGTTGAAGCATCTCACTGCCCAGGCAGACAGCTGGCTCGACCAGGGCCCTTGGACCGTCACCGCAAAGGCAACGCCTCCCCCCAACGGCACGCTCCACGACTACACTTCGCAGGCGCCGTACTTCTGGCCCAACCCAGACACGCCCGACGGCTGCCCGTACATCAACAGGGACGGCGTGCGCAACCCCGAGGTGGACAAGTACCAGGACCGCGTGTCCGTCGGCAAGATGTTCAACTCGTCGTACGTCCTGTCGCTGGCGTGGTACTACACCGGCAATCCCGCGTACTCGCGGCACGCCTCGGACATCCTCCGCACCTGGTTCCTCGACCCGGCCACGGCGATGAATCCCAACCTCGACCACGCCCAGCTCATCCCGTGCGCCAACTCGGGCCGCTCCATCGGCATCATCGACTTTAGCCAGGAATACACAAACGTCATTGACGCCGTCGCCATCCTCAACACGGGCGCCCCTGGCTGGACCTCCGGCGATGCCACGGCCTTTGTGGGCTGGAACAAGCGCTTCCTCGCCTGGCTCGCAGACTCGCCCTTTGGCATCCAGGAGGCCTCTGCGCAGAACAACCACGGCACCTTTGCAAACATGCAGATTGCGGCGCTGGCCCTCTTCACGGGCAACCGCTCGCTGGCCGTCTCGCAGAGCCAGCTCGCCAAGAGCTTCATCAACAGCCAGATCACGGCAAACGGCTCGCAGCCGCAGGAGCTCGCCCGCACGCGCAGCTTCCACTACTCCAACTTTGATCTCTGCGCGCACCTCCGCTTCGCGCTGATCGCCCGCAAAGTAGGCGTCGACTTGTTCCAGTACAGGGGACCCCAGGGACAGTCGCTGTTCAAGGCCGTGGACTTTGTGATCCCCGCGGCGGCGGGAGGGGCCGAGGAGTGGACGTACCCGGAGCTGCTGTTTACGCAGTATGCGGCGACGGACAACGTGAGGGCGGCGGCGCAGGAGGGGGATCGGTTGGCGGTGCGGGCGGTGGGGAAGCTGGTGGCGCCTCCGGGGGGGGATATCTTTGCGTTGAGGCCGGCGCCTGAGCAGTTGGATAGTATTGCGACGGTTGGATGAGCAGGGATTGATTATATGTGGTAAAGAAAGGGGAGGGTTGAGATGGGGAATGTGGTTTTGTGGGGTGAATCATGACTTCTATTATTTATTAAAGACGGGTGGATGGATGGTCTGGTACTTACAATAAGACAAAATGTTTATCATGTGTTTACGAACGATTATTTGATTTAGAATAGGAGACAAGAGTCAATACTATTGTTTAACTGTTTCATTTCAAGCCGTCTAACCGTTACTGTATATTGTCTCAAATGCATTGCATACCTCCCAAATCCTCATAAATACTAAGATATGTATATGTACCCCCCCGATAACCCCGAGACATATCATTGAAGTCTCTTTCAGTAACTAACACTATATATCTGCCAGTAATCACGCCCGCCCATCAACGTAGCATAACTCGACGTCCCCCGCCCCCCAATAGACAAGTAACTCTGTGTGCCCTTCACCTTGATGATGTACCCCCTGCCTGCTGTATAAGTCACGGTAAAGACCACAGCCTTACTAGGGTCACTGCAAAGAAGCTGGCTCTCGCAAATGTAAAACTTGCCGCTGTCGTCAGAAAACGTGAAATCAGTGCCGCCGATTACCACGGCGTGGGCAATCCATCGCTGAGCTGGATTGTCATGCCGCGGTGTAGTACGGCCCAGCACAAGGGCACGTTGAAAGGTCGTCTTCTGAGCGAGGGCGAATCCGTTCAACTCGAGAACGAGGTGGCGTCCTTCGGTGAGCGTTCCACGGATAGGCTTAAACCCTTGTTGGACCTGGGTAGTCATGTCGTCAATCACACCTGGGCCAGTGTAAGGCACCGGCGGCTGTGTGTTGCCGTAGAGTGACTGGCAGTACGAAGACCCGTCATAGTTGCCGCTGGAATCGGTGTGAGGCGTCTGCGGCGTGGGAATAGAAGGGATGGTATAGTCCGGGTTGTCAAAGTCAAACGCGTCCGTCAGGTCAGACATGTGGCCCCGGCGCCACGGCACCATCTGGTCGGTCGTGACGTTGCGCCCCTTGGCGGCCTGCCACTTCTCGACAAACATGATTTGCGAGTTGTGGTCGCTGTGGGCCGTGAAGACGCCGCCGTTGCGAGTCCAGGGGGAGACGATGTAAAAGGGCAGCCGGAAGCCGGGCCCGATGAAGGTGTATCCGACTTGGCCGTAGGGGTCCTGGATCCATTCCCCAGCGGTGCCGTTGGGCGATCGATATGGGTCAACGTGGTCGAACCAGCCACCAGTCTCGTCATAGGAAACAATGAGAGCCGTCTTATTGTACTTGGGCGAGTTGAGCACGGCTTGGGCAACCTGGTATTGGAGCCACGCGCCATCGTGGGGAGAATACGGCGGATGCTCTGATAGCTCCATGGGCGCAACAATGTAAGACACCTCCGGCAAGGTTCCATTGGCAGCCTGCGCGTAAAACGTGTCAAGAGTCAAGCCCTTCATTCCTCTGTTGTAAAGGCTGGAGCCTGGAGCCGCGTTCTGGAATTGCTCAAATCGGGCGTAGGAATTATCGTCAAAGTTGTCAGCATCTTGGAAGACTTGCCAAGTGGTTCCGGCATCCTCGTAGAATTCGCCAACCGTCTTCCACTTCAGCGGATAGCAGTTGAAGCCGCCGGTTTCGCAGCCCGGAGTGATGTTGTTGTCAATGTATGGGTTGCCTCCCTCACTGGGCGTCTGAGGACCTCCAGGCGCGTTGATGCTGCCGGACAGCCAAGTGACTCTGTTGGGATTTGTGGCGGCAACAACACCCTCCTGCGTTTCTTATCAGCCCACTTTTGTTCGAAACGCAGAGGGTCATGGTTGTATAACGTACCTGGTACATATCCCCAACCACAAAATTATCTGCCAAAGCCCACTGGATGGGAATGTCCTGTTGCTTGTAGAAACCAATACTGTAGGGGCTGTTGTCTACCGCCCAGTGGTCATTGGTACCGTCATTCCAGGCAGCATGGTTCTCGTACCAGCTATTGGTACCACTAAGCATGCATTGGGTGGCCCCGGTCCAGTTACCACCGAGATAGTTGATGTACCAAGGATTGACATAGTTGGCAGCTGTGGTTAATGAAGAGTCAGTTATCTGTTTCCAGACTGGCACGCCGTCATTCATCTGTAGATTCGCATCGCCGAATCCTCGAACTCCTGCCATGGTACCAAAGTAGTGATCAAAGGCACGATTCTCTATATATCATTCACGTGTTAGTAGGCCTCGATACAGGCGTGAAAAGAGTCAACATACCTTGCATGAAGAGCACCACATGGTCGATATCTTTCAGACTTCCAGCCTTGACAAGATTGATGATGGAAAATAGGGTGGCCGAAGCAGACCCCAGGCCTCGAAGGAGAGCCATTTTTGGTGACTGCAGCAATACACTGATTGAGGCTGAGAAAGCAGGCTATCCTATCCACTCTGTTTCATTCAAGAAGAGGAAACGGTTCAAGCATATTTTAAGATTAAACCTGTCGTACAAAGTATATAGCACTATATATATATACATACGATCAGAGTGACCCCTCTCATGCAAATGTCTCTCTCTGGTTTTCTGTATTCCAAGCACCGTGATTTGCCGATCACAATGTAGCATCGAGGTCTCAAGCGCGGCCGTCCCTGCCGAGCCGCTGTATTCCATCGTGCGGTTAAACAATAGGATATACATCCAGTGTCGCATCTACTACTATCCTTCTGAGGGTCGCGGAACCGAAACCGGAAGGTCAGTCATTGACAGCGGCGGGCAGATGATCGCCGTGGGGTCAGAAGCTTGTGCCCGCCTGTGTAGCATTGAATGAGAAAAGGCCCTCCCCCCAGCCGCGAGAGAAAATTCTCCCACTTTTTAAAAAAATGGAAAAGATGAAAAGACCTGAAGATCGCTGGTGATGCTTCATGCAAGGGATGCCATTGGCTATTTGTGTTGAGGCAGATGCTGGGCGGTGGCCAGGCTGTCGAGACATGTGCCAAGAAGAGGCCAATAGCAGCGTTACCGCAGCCCTCGTGATTGCAGCTGTGGTTGGCTGAAGCTGGCAAGGCTCTGCAGGGATTGGGAGACTTAGCGCAAGGGACTTTGTCTTCTGCCAAGGATTTGAAGGGAACGGTTCCACAGGCCGCAGGATAAGTGAAGGCCCGGAGACTAAGACGACGGCTAATATAAGCGACGTGGCGGAAAAGCCTCATAGATCCATGAAGCCAGGGCGTCTATGATGAAGAAGATGAAAAAGAACAGCCATCGGAGACAGAGGGATAGGCAGAACAAGCCAGTAAATGTTAATCTGAGCTGAGCTCGTACGCGTACAAGCTAAAGCGGATCTGTGGAATTCAAAGCCACAACGAGGCGTCTGCACTAGCCGGAACACCTGAACCTTGGCCAAACCTCGCTTCTCTGTGGGGCCTCTGCTAGAACGGCTGTGATCCCAGCCATCGACAGATAGATCAAAGACGGATTGGCCTGTCTCCACGTGCTGGCCAATGCACGGCAGTCAGTGCCGACGGACATACACTTACGTATATTCCGCGCGTCCCTTATATAGTATCGCTAGCAAACGGCGGCGTTGTGGTCCGACCAGCGCCGCCCTTGAAACTCTTCCCTACTATGATGTATTGCTCTGTTCTCCTACCTTGACTTTTCCCTCCTCCGGATGGTCTTATGACATCTTACGGAAGATTTGGCTTCCAGCAAACAAAACATGAGGGACCACTCCGAGGACCGACGTCTGCTTGACGAGGTAGACGGAGACAGCGACGATGTGGCTTCTCAGCTGAGCGTCAACGAAGAGGCAGGCCTCGTTCCTGAACCTCTAACACGCCCAAAATCCAAATTCACGGCCATGCGGATCGTCGGGCTCCTTATTGCTCTCAGTCTCGCCTCAGTGGTCGTCCTCATCTTTGCTATTGATCGCCATACCCGCAACTTAATCGACGAGAGCCAGCTCGCTATCCCTCTACATCCGGTCGAGCACTCCACAAGAGATCCTACCACTTTGACTTTTGAATGGCATGTCACCCAGGGCACCAGAACCCCAGATGGAGTGGAGAAGCAAGTCTATCTCGTTAATGGTGTGTATGAACCTATGCAGAGTCCTGCAGCCACCGAGAGGTTGTCTGGACTAGTTTATTGACGCTCATTATAATCGTAGGACACTTCCCTGGACCAACCATCGAAGGTCGATCCGGAGACCGTATAATCGTCCGTGTCTACAATGACCTCAAGGATGAGGGCGTTTCCTTGCACTGGCATGGCCTGCGTATGCAAGGCTTCAATGCTATGGATGGTGCAGTAGGCTTTACCCAGTGTCCAATCTCTCCTGGAACTTCATTTGTCTATGACTTCCGCATCCGCGACGACGAACACGGAACCTTTTGGTGGCATAGCCACAATCAGCTGCAGAGGGCAGACGGGCTCTTTGGAGGACTAGTAATCCACGAGCCCCGCCGTCGTGATGCCAACGCAGCTTTGCAAGACGAAGCATTGCTGTTAGTCGGTGACTGGTTTCATCGTAAGCAGAGCGATGTCCTTGCCTGGTACTCCAGCCCAGCAAGCGCAGGCAAGGAGCCCGTTCCTGATTCCGTGGTTATCAACGGCCGTGGTCGATATGATTGCTCAATGGCTGTGCCCGCTAGGCCGGTCAAATGCGAGGCAACGGCCTTGAGTGACTTTCCACCTCTGATCAAGAAGTCTACCGGAGAAACGCGCCTTAGGGTGGTGAATACAGGTACAGTCGCAGGCTTGACCGTAGGAGTTGATGGTGCATCACTCCAGCCGTTGGAAATAGACGGAGGCTGCAAGGTTGATCCGAAGGCCGCTGATTCTGTCGGAACCCTATATCCTGGCGAGAGAGTTGATCTGCTTCTCAAATGGAAGAGCGATCGGGCCGCAGAGCCGTGGTTCAACGTCTATCTAGACCATGAGTGAGTATTCCAGCCAGTCCCTTTCTGCTTACCATGTTACTATGACCTGGTTGAAATACATGACTGACGCATGATTAGAAACCTCGGCTTTGGAAATCCGGCATTAAACCCTAACCATACCTTTCCTGCTCTTCCTAAAACCGTAACCGGTCACGATAGGGAACATGCGTCCCTCTTGAAATTTCGAGACCACCATGTGGACCTTGCCACACTGTCTTCTACAGAAGAACAGACTCATATTGTCACTGCGGAGGAAGAACAGACAATTCTGTTTTACGCTTCGACCCAGACGCTCGCAGTGAATGGAAACATACCTCTTGGGTTTATGAACCATACATCATGGCATCCCCAGTCGTTGCCACTGCTATCACAGAATCGTTCATCGTGGGATGATAAGCAGCTCATTCCCTTCATCCCCAGTGGATCAAAGCCAACAAAGGTCAAGCTTGTGATTAACAATCTTGACGATGGCTCTCACCCGTTTCACCTTCACGGATACTCGTTCTATGTGTTGTCCTCGTTTCGTGCTGAAAGCGGTAGCCTGGGCAGCTATAACCCTTACGCGACCCCGGAGAGCGATTCTCCAGGCAAGTGGAATCGAGAGCGGCCTCTTCGAAAAGACACCGTCAGTGTACCGAGGAAGGGGCATGTGATACTCAGCTTTGTAGCTGATAATCCTGGAATGTGGATGTTGCATTGCCATATGTTGGTACATATGGGAACGGGCATGGCTACCGGTTTTCAAGTAGGAGTTCCAGGGGATGAGGAGCATATATACGGATTAGACGAGTCAGCAGCGAGATTGTGCAAGGCATGAGGAGGAAATAATCAAGATACCCCAAACATAGTGCAAGTACAGCGTTAAATGAAATGAATGAACGAATGAATGAATAAAATTTGATGAACTCGTCGTGAATTCATAAAGTGGTATTAAGATATACAGGAGAATATGAACAATGGGTGGGGGTATATTTTCCAAGAAATAAACATCATATCCAAGACATAAACTTTCCCTCAACGGGGAATTTTGCTTTTTTTGTTCGTAACAATTACCACAGCATCCAAGAATATATAATAGCAATTAATGAAAGGACTGGTATCCAGACGAGAGAATCTGGATGCCTTAGACTCCGTGCAACGTTCTTCTCATCGCTCTCGTTGTCAGAAGGCGCGGGTACTGGAACAGGTACTCCAGTTGGTACGGTTGGTGGTGCTCCGGCAAGGACCTTGACGCCGGAGGGATACTCGATGTTGTAGACGGGATCGCCTTTGAGTTTGTCGGGGATGCCTAGGGTGCCTGGACAGGTTGGCTGGTTGGCAGTGGGCCAGTCTAAAGAACAGACCTGGTCTTGTCCAAAGGTGCAAATCGAATCCAAGATGTTGTATAAAACGTAGTTGCCTCCAACCCAAGAATTCTCCTGCTCCAGACAGCTGGCCAGGAAGTTCATGCTGTTCGCCGCACTCAGTGGAAGCTTGCCGCCCGCTGTGTAAATCAGATCGGCACATTTGGACGCATCGACGTTTTCCGTCGTCATTTCCATGGGCCCTCCCGCAACGGGCTTTTCCGTGGCTGAATAGCCGGTAACGAGGTAATTCCAGGCATCGTAACTGATGTCGTGCGCGCCCTGCGATTGGTCGACGCGAAGGAGGTAGACCTGTCGGTCCTGGTACGAAAGAGACACGCAGATGTTGGTGCAGTCGACGGAATTGGGCCAGTAAGCGATTCGATTGGTGTCGACCTTGCAGCCCAGGACGCCGACGGAGGATGAGTAGCTATCGTGGGGAGTCGCCCAGACGGTGGTAGTTGAAGACGATGAGCTGCTGCTGCTACTGCTGCGAGGGATTGAAGCAGCGAGCGCAGGGCTCGCCAGCGTAAGCGCTGAAAAGAGAGAGTGGAGGTGCATTGCCATCACCGGAAAAAAGTGGTTCGTCAAAAGTGGTTCGTGGTCGTCATAAGGAACGGATGAGACCGCGAAGCATTGCCGAACGGGTCAGGAAACAAAAGAATGAATGGCGGCGATGGCGCCGAAGCAGTTGAAGCTCGGGATGGTGTCAATCAACGCGTGGCTGCGACAATGAAAAGAGAGTGTGCAGAGGAAGAAAAACCTCGCTTGACAATCGCGATGCACCAAATCTGGGGGAAATTTGGTGGTCAGGGGATTGTCAGGCGGGCTAGGCGGGTTTGGGACTAGCTGCTGCAGCCGTTGCCGATGGAGCCGTCGCGGGAAAAACGTGGGCAGCTCCACCGGTGCTCCAGAGGACACGAGAGAGGCAAGGCAAGGCATCGTTTACGGCAAAGGCCATGTGGAGTTTTTGTGGCCGTCGGAAGATCTGGAGAAGGGAAAATTCGATCAAGAACAACTCCATTTTGTTGCGGAAATCACACCACGGGGCTGGCAGACAATCAGGTTATCAAGTCGTGTGGAGAAGTCAGTCATATTACGGTACTAGAACTAATGAACAAGTAAGACATAGCCGGTGCCCTTTTTTGTGTCGTTTTGTTTCCCACTTTCCGGCTTTGGGCAGAATCAAGTCAATCCTCAATTTTTTTCCTCCTTTCTCTCTTTAAATTTTACTTTATTTTCATTTCTTTATTTCTTAAAATGCAGCGCCTCCTTAACCTTGTCCATCGTTGAATGGCGACCCTGTTTCTGTTGTCCAGTCTCGGTTTGTTTTGTTGCCTCGAGAGGCTCCTCGCCCATATCGGGCTGGGTCAATGCATGGTCGCCATGAGACTACACAGCAATAATGATTAATGACATTTCTATCGATGGAAATAATAAAAGTCGATACTACGTACGCGTTGCTCCTCAAGCTCGGCATCGTGAATGAGGTCGTGCGTCTCAATCGCCGCCTCGTCTGTATATCCGCCCGTGGTATTCATGGTGGAGTATAATAGAGTCTCAGTTGTGTAATATATTCAACTGCAAGTAGGAGAAATTTTTAGAAATTAAGCTCACAAAGAAGTGGCGAGGAGGAAACTAGCTTTCTTATAGCTGTCTAGAGAGCTACCAAAGAGAGTTTCGTCATATGTGTACAGCTGTGATCGTCCGATGCCATCAACGTCATGATGAGAGCTATCAACCCTAAAAGCTCGATTTTGAACGGCAATACCCCGCGTTGAAGGCGCAGCCATCACCAGCTGTCAGGCGATACAGTCTCAATGAATGGCGAGGACTGTATGCCAAACCGGGTTTCGGCTGGCGCCGATCCGTGGCATTCCTACTGTGCTCCATTGTTGTCGCAATGAATGACATTCGTTTGGCGGGGTCTCATCGAGAGACACGAAGCTCATTGAAGCTTTCGGCTAGGGGAATTTGATCGAATTAGAATAAAACCTAATCGTTTTTCTTTTGCCGTATTCGGTATGAGTTGTTCAAATGCCGTAATTCCTATTATTAACAACCTCGTGACCTCTTTGACTTCATACGAGAAAGCTGTGAGAAAGGGACTTCATCAAACATCGCGTCTACACGCCGTGGTGACAATGATGATGAATAGAATGTATTTTAATGATATACATTTCTATACTTCTCACTTACATTAAGCAAGAGACTTGCGCGGTGGGCCAAAAAGGGGTATGGGGCATTATCACAGTGCTGTTATTTATAGCAAATGGTATGTGAATGAGACACTACCTGATAGTATAAGCATGAAAGAATAAATATACATCCACAAGTACCCCCAGCAAAGCTTTAACTTTGCGGCGTATCTAGAAATTGCAGTCCGTTGTTGTTGCTAGGACATATACAGAACGCATGCAAATAGGGATCTCACTTAGGCAGTCCACCGTGTAAATATTCAAGACACGAAGGTATGTCAGCACCTTGTAAAAAGTATTTACAACGGCGACTTAATAAACGTGTAAAAATTGATCCATGGTATTTGGCCGATATTATCCGTTGTTGAATACATTCATCGCAGTTTTACTAGAGTATCGTGATGTAGAGTTTCATTAGTAATTTTAGCATACTCTATGGTTCTACCTGGTAGAATTTTAGCTCCTCCAGAGACAAAAGAGAGAGAACTGAATAGAATACCATCATATGGAAGATACAGCGCTGCTAGAGTGACTCAGACTTGATATTGTGCCAGATTAGCGTACTCTTGCCTTTTTCGTAAGATCTATCCCCTTTAGTCACCTTATGATCCAAAGAATATATGCAAGTTTTCAGAACATTTGCAACAGGGTTTTTGAGAATATTGTTGAAGACTGAACTCATCAATCCTACATGCAGTCATCAAAGATAACCCTCCGTGTGTCGACAGTCACTCGGCCATAGCCTCGTGCCAAATACATCACTGGTTCATACTTTGACATCTTTGAGCATCATGAAGCATCATGAATATACAAACTCATAATAACGGCAGCCTGGTGACGGAATCAGCTGCATGTCCTTTGAGGTTACATCGCGATGCCTCCAGCCGAGTTAGCGACTCGGGCAGAGCAGCGACATATTTATCAGGTACATGCAGAATGGTGAGCTTGCGAGGAGGTCTTGGGACCGTGAAGTTGCGTCCTCAAGAGCCTACAAATATGTTATCAGATGTTATTACTATTGCGCATCTGGCGCCAATACATCCTCTACTGGCTGTCGACGACTAAACACCTTGTCTTGAAGCGGTCAGCTTCAAAGACCTCCACTCTTGACTGACATGAAACGCCACCTCAAGAAAAAAGACTAGACTTCAAAAAAATAAAAATAAAAATAAAGTTGTTTGCTCTAAGCCTTTAAAAAAGAAAAAGGCAATCGAAGCAAAATGGAACAAATGCGAGACACACACATAATCAACATCAAAGACCATCACGCGAACCCAGAGGCCGAATCATGAGGCACTCTCCCAGCGACCGCCAGAGGAACTCGTGCCACAACGACCGGCTCAACTTTCACTGTTTAGCGCCAGCAAGGGCCACGTCTTCCACTACGTAGTGCTAGTACGTGTATCACCCCACGTCCCGCGAAGAATTCCCCTCCCAACCGCTATATCTCCGCCGTGGCCCCGCATCGTTGTAGGGCGCTCTAGCACCGATAGCGCGCAATCTGGGAGGCATCTCGGGCCCCTAACGTGCGCTAACATGGATGCGCAGGGAGCGCCTGGCCTTGTCCGGATGCCACTAACGACGAGACACTCGTGATGCGGGCTTGACGCTAAAATGGACGGAGACGAGGAGGGCCATGACGATGAAGTAACGACGCCATCACGCTGCGTTTCATGATGTGGCTGCTGGGCCGTGCCCGGCGGCTCCGTATAAAGAGATCGCCGCAGACTTCTTCCCACTAACATCGGCTTCATCGCGTGCGAGACTTCTCTCTCTCCCTCTCTCTCTCCCTGACAGGTTCCGCAGTTGATCTGCCTGATCTGCGGCCCAGTGAGAGAATTAAATGCTCGATATTCTCCATATTGCGCTCCCTGCATAAATCCAAAAACCATGAGGTTCCCTTCATTGTTTCCGGCGGCGACCGCTGCCATTTCGCTCTTTTTCACCGCATCGCCATCGTCGGCTGCTGCCATCATGTCACCACGCGATGCCGTTTCCCCTCCCGGGACACTCTCCCTCGACGTCGGCCAGTCGCTCTTCACATTCAAGTACTCGACGCCGAACCCGGACCCCACGAATTGGATCGCAGTGTATCATTCATACTATGGCGGTCCTGTCGAACAGGAATTCGTTGCTGGTTCGCTGGACTGGTCGTATGCGCCTGATGCGACGGGCGAGGTGGTGGTCGATGTCTCAAATCTCTCTCCAGGCTTCTACAGGGCTTATTTCCTGGCAAAGAGCGGCTACCAATGGCTTTCGAAGCCACTCGACGTCATTATCCCTGGCTCCGGCCCCATTGAATTCGTCACCGATCGGATCATCACCCAGAATGCCCGACAAGGGAGCGCCTTCAAAGCAAAGCTCGGCCGCCTGATTGCTAATCCCAAGGACAACGACACAAAGTTCACCAAGATCACCAGTTATGGCACCGACTGGGTGAATGTCTCCAAGGACGGAACCATCTCTGGCACCCCCGGAAAGAAGGACAAAGACACAAACTTTGTTGTTAAGGCGACTGCCAGCGATGGATCTTCTGCGACGATCAAAGTCCAAATCCCAGTGCGGAAAGCCGGCGAGCCGCTCGTTGAGGAAATAAAGGTCATGTCGTACAACATGTGGTTTGGCGGCACAAATGTGAAGGACTATCACAACAAGCAGATCCGCTTTCTCATCAACACAAACGTCGACATTGTCGGTGTGCAAGAGAGCTGGAATGGCCAGGCAACTCGTCTTGCTCAAGCGCTCGGGTGGTATTACTGGCAGAGCCCCAACGAAGTCGGCATCATCAGTCGTTACCCCATTGTGGAGACGTTCCCAGAACAATCTGCCGGCGGATCCATTCGCATCGAGCTGGACGGTCGTGAGAGTGAGCTTATAATGTGGAATGTTCATCTGGGGTTTGATCCTTATGGTCCGTACGACTTTTGCTACGAACACATGCCTCTGGCCCAAGTCCTCAACCGGGAGTACGAATCTCGACGCACTCCGCAAATCATGGAAATTGTCAGTGCCATGCAAGATGCTCTATCGGAGGCTGACGATATCCCCGTCATCTTGACTGGCGACTTCAATGCGCCATCTCACTTGGACTGGACGGAAGCAACCAAGAAGGCGCACTGTGGCTATGGCTTTGTTCCCTGGCCAAGCTCTGAGTTCCCCATCCAGTCGGGCCTGATTGACTCGTTCCGTGAGGCTCACCCCGACCCCAACGCTGAGCCCGGCATCACTTGGTCACCCATTTACCTCGATAACAATGGTCGACCCGAGCCGTTAGATCGCATTGATTTCGTTTACCACAAGGGCCAGGGCCTCAAGGTACTTCAGTCAGAAACGCTCGTCGCCGGCGAGCCCGCCGCAGAGCCAAATCATCAGAACAACGAATGGACGTCAGATCACGCGGTTGTCATGACGACTTATAAACTTGAACGATCTGATGGACGGGCAGAGTTGTAGGTTGACAAGGGGGTAGATTCCGAAATCGTCTTGCATCGGAGAAGAGTTTCAGCGTGCGTATATAGTGGTTCTTGTCCCGGAGTTCGGCTGTTTATCCTAGAGGATAGATGGATGCTGCGGAGTACCATTCATTGGGTTGCATTTTGTTCTTGGGCGTTTGGCTTTCGCGTGCACATATTTGCGGGGTAGGCGCTTGTTATCATCAATATATATCTGGAGTATTTCGTACGTGCGATATATATCACGCAAGATTTGCGGGATTTAAACACAAAGAAAGCATTTCATCTCTTTGCACATCTTTTTTATTCAAGTAGGGATGGATGTTGCGCATCTCTCCTATATTTGTAGGCAATTACTAGTAGTGCCAGCTAAATGCAATCAATGCTAGGAAATTGGCGAATGGACAAACCAGAGAAAAAGGAAAGGAAAAGGAAGGACATACATATTAACGAAGGAACCAACCGAACGAAATACGACAACACCGACTGCTCCCTGTTCTGATCAAAAAAAAAAAAGAAGAAGAAGTAGAAAAATAGATGCCATTTTTAGTGAAAAAAATGGCAAAAAAACTGCGGCCTGTGTGGATCGAACACACGACCTTCAGATATCAAGTGACTTGAAGTTGAGGCTTCAGTCTGACGCTCTCCCAGCTGAGCTAAGGCCGCTAGTTGGAAAAAAGCCGCAATAGTCTAATTATGAAAGCTACACGCATGCGGGGGGCGGAGACCTCAAAGCAGACCGCGATGCCTTCGTTCAGCATAGCGAAGAATTCCATGTGTGCGATTAAGAAAAGGGTGATTGGAGAAAGCAAACTCTTCGATGAGATGTTGGATAGTCTTGCAAGCTGGACGACATCTGATGAACTTGGATATGGCTTCCAAAGACTGCATCAGCTCTCATCTCCGAAGAGCGCCAGGTCGCTGAAACTTCCGTGGTTCTTGTACTCCGTGAAGCTTCTTATTTTGGCTCATCATGCATGAAGGAGGAGAATCATATAGATAGTGGTTACCTCCCTGCGCAACCACCAGCCATGTTATATTCTCTCGCTAAGTGCAAGACTTGTAGCTTTTCTGCTCAACGTCAAAGTTTGTCCAATACATGTAACAAACACACTCGAATACTTCCAACTAGCACCCGTCTTAAAAGGAAACCATGAGACTTGATATGGCTCAACGAAGCTCAAATGCGGCGGCCGAAGACACAAACAAAGAATCGCAGTCCGAGAACATTACATTCCGAGTTCGCGGGGTGCCGGCGAACTGGGGCCGCGAACAACTGCAACACTGCTTAATGAATCAAGTAAATGGTCTGCATATGTCCATCAGGTCACTCGCTACTGAAGCTGGTGAACAATACCAATCAGCCACAATCGCATTCCAAAATTTGCCCCCACAGCTTCAAAATCATCTCAATTGGGACATCATTGTACCAGACACGTCCAATGCCGAGTTTGCTGGTGAACGATGCCTGAACATCGACAAAGACTTCTACGGCTTAACAACACTTTTTGCCCCGCCTCCACGCGAGCACAAGATAGAGTAGGTTTATACCGTGTTCTCTAAATCATACACTAACTTTAATACGTACATGTAGTATCATCGCATTATCTGGTCTCGGAAGTCACGCGTTCGGATCGTTCAGACAAAGAAAAGGGCCCAACATGTGGCTGCGTGACTCCCTTCCATATGATCTTACCTCAGAGACTACAAATAAACCAATGGCGAGGATAATGATATACGGTTATGAATCAGATGTTGTGAACAGCAACAACACGCAAAATTTAGAAGACTTGGCCACTGCATTCCATAATAGCTTACTCGCAATAGCAACTGGTTCAACGCTCAAGCCAATCATCTTCATCGGGCATAGTCTCGGAGGACTGAACATCAAGCAGGTAAGTTACGTGCGCAGTATATTCAAGAAGCTCTATTTTAATATCGTGTGTTATAGCTGTTAATATGTCTGTCGAGATCGGAATTCCAACAAGACAAAGAATTTCTCGGTGCCGTATATGGCGTTGTCTTCTTTGGCACTCCACACGATGGTATGGATATAAGGGCACTCATTTCCATGGCTGGCGACGGACCAAATCGATTTCTATTAGAATCTATCAGCCGCAATTCTCAGGTACTAAGTACTCAACAACGGGACTTTTGCAGCGCTTTAGAGGGGCAGAAGCAATCAGAGGTTTTCTGTTTTTATGAAACTTTAGAATCTCCAACAGCAGTTCAAGTATGTTTTTTTTTTCCTCAAGATATCATGACATATCTATCAGTCAACTAATCATAAGACGTAGGACGAGTTTGGGCGCTGGACAAACACTGGACATGCCGCAATTCTAGTTACCAAATCCTCAGCGACACATTGCCGCCCATGGGAAGACGGCCCAGAACACATTTGCGCCATTGCTCGCACACATTCAGGGATCGTGAAATTTGGACGTTACGATACTGCATATAAGAACGTCAGAGAGAGAATGAGAAGTCTATCCAAGAGGGCTCTCGCGGCGGGAGATCAACCGCAAGAAGAAACAGCAAAGTGTATGTAATCAATAGTACAGCTGCGATCTTTGCTTATAATAGGTCTAGTTCTCGTCCCGTATACACCAAATCCAGATTTTATCAATGGGCCTAAAATTCAAAGTGAGATTGAGTATCATTTCGGCCTGGGCGGTTATGGGGGGCTTTCTCAGCCGCGTACAAGGGTTTCACTCTGTGGCCTTGGCGGCACAGGGTAAGTTTTGCTCATATTAATTAATAACTTATCATTCCTAATAGATTATAGAAAAACACAAATAGCAATAGCTTTCGCATATTGGCTCCAAGTAACGAGCCCAGATGTTTCGATATTCTGGGTTCCTGCCAGCAATGCCCATCACTTCCGAGAGGCCTATGCTTCGATTGCTGAAAAATGCAATGTGCCTGAAATTGATGACCCCGAATCAAACGTTTTATTGCTAGTTAAAAATTGGCTAGAAGCGCAGAGCAATTCGCAGTGGCTCATGATAGTTGACAGTGCCGATGATAAGGGGCTATTTTTCCCTTCTCAGAGAGAGAAGGATATTTCAGCCATGGAGACACAATTAGCCGGCGAAACCAACGGCTTAGCTCAATATCTACCAGTTTCCAACAATGGCTGGCTTTTATTTACCACGAGAAATAAGCAAACGGCAGTCGACCTATGCCAGGGAGGAGTCCCCATTGAAGTCCCCAACATGACTGCCAGAGAGGCCCACCAACTTGTGAAAGCCATTTTACCCGGCGCATTCTCCTCAACAGAAATAGCTGCTCTCTCCTCCAAACTTGAACATTTGCCGCTTGCGCAAGCGCAAGCGGCATCATTTATTCAAAAGAGCTGCACAACTATACGCGACTATATTGACCGCTTAGATAAGGGAGACTCTGCATTCATTGATCAGTTAAGCGAAGCATTTGAAACTGTGGGAAGAGACTCTAGGACGCCACATGCAGTCGCGGCAAACTGGGTCATTTCGCTAGAGAAAATCGAGAGAGACGATATGTTAGCAAGCGACATTTTGTCTTTCCTCAGTGTCTTGCATTATCAGGCCATTCCAAAGCACCTCATTGAACACTACTATCTCTCGCTATGCTTAGATGAGAATGGAAGTAGTAATTCATTTGCTCTTTCAAATGCACTAGGCTATCTTAGAGCCTATTATGTTATATCTGAGGGAACAGATCATCAAGATATAAACATGCATCGTCTCGTGCAGTTAGTGATACAGAAGTGGCTCGTAGCCAAAAATCGAATGGCTGAATACGTTCGACGTGCTATGATGGTCTTATTAGCCAATTTTCCAACCGAAAGTTATAGAACATTCCTAAAATATCTTCCTCATGCGAATTGTGTTCTGGGGAAAGGGGAAAGTAACTCAGAAGCTGGTTATGCAGCCCGAGCATCGCTTCTGCGTCAAATGATATTATACCTCTCCAGCAACGGCCACTATAATGAAATTTTACAAGAGTTAGAGGAACAGCTATTGCATATGACTCAAATACGGTTTGGGAGAGAGCACCCAAACACACTCGAACGAATTATGCACCTTGCCATCGTACACTTCAGACGTGGCCGACTAACAGAGGCAGAAATTTTAAACAAACACGCATTTGAGTTAAAACAGATGGTGCTAGGGAATGAGCACCCTTCAACACTCGACAGTATACACAGCCTTGGAGTATTATATCTAAATCAATATCGGTTAAAAGAGGCAGAAGACTTCCTTTCGTATGCATTCGAGCTAAGACAAGCGGTATTGGGAGGGGGCAATATTCACACGCTTGATAGCATGGGGACCCTTGCAAAAGTATATCGCTCCCAAAGGCGGATTGAAGAAGCAGAAAATTTAGAGAAGCGAACACTTGAGCTAAGGAGCATTTTTCTGGGAGTCAATCACCCGCGTACTCTGATGAGCATGCAAGATCGTGCAAGACGATACTGCGCTCGAGGCCACTTCAAAATGGCGGAAGACTTGATGATACAATTAATTGAATTGCAAAGAGGGATATTAAGGGTCGACCACCCAGATACCATTTCAAGCATGATATTACTTGCTAATATTTGCAGAGATTTGGGAAAACTGGACGTTGCAATACGTCTCATGGAGAGCTGTCTGTCAGTGCATAAGGCAGAGTTGGGACAAAACCATAGGCATACGGTAGGACTCGTAATAGTTTTGGAGAAATGGCGAAGAGAAGCTGATATTTGCGCTGTCAACTCGCCACGGAGGGCTTGGCGGAGGAGATATCAATCAGCAGATGTGTATGAGGAGGAGGAGGAAGGAGAGGAGGAGGAAGAGGGAGAGGAGGAAGAGGTGTGAGAAAAAGAAGGAGTTATGTAAACAATGCGCCGCTGGAGAGCCACCACGTTGAGCTAATTTGATACAGAATGTGAATTTCTATAGGTTCTTTTGGAAGTTTTCTTTTACACATATGTACTCGGTCACTCTATATAGCATCTTTCTTGTGCCCTTTAGTGCTTTTATTCTCTAGGTATAATATAGATTGTTTTGTTCTTCAACACCAAATCTTAACTATACATAGATAGTATACACCCTAGCTAAGAACTACCCCTTCTACTACTACTACTACTACCACTACTACTTTTTCTAATAGTGTTCTTTCTTTATATACGAGACACTACGTTCTGCTCTGGATAATAACCTCTGCTCAGTATTGCTGAATGCTGCTAACAAAAAAAACGGATGAAATCGGACAAGGTTAGAATCTTACTTTTAGCAAAGACATACGAGCTGTGGCATTGACATAGGGTCTTCAATAGATTAGAGCCTCCAGGCGAAGATGTTGTCTGACCAATTCATTTTCCGCGGAAATTGTGGTTTGTCATCTGAAGCATTTTTATCAATGTGGAGAGCCTACGGAGTTACAGGCCTAGGAACTCGGAGAACTAATACCGGGCTTGTGGCTTTAAGCAGTTTTCAAGCCATATAATTGGCCTCTTGTTTACTGATGCAAATACTCTATTCAGATTTAGTGCCGATAAAAATACCATATCAGATCTAGTGCCATCTCGCCATCAACATCGCACTAAATACTATCAGTCTCCATGCGGCGCGCCGTTGAAACATGATGTAAGCAATAGAGACGCCTCCTGAATATATAATAAATGGATTCCTTAAGCTAAAATTACACTTCTCTTCAGATCATCTTATTCTTTAATACCAGCGCTCTTCTAACCATGGCTGATAAAATCATCCGCATTGCATTGGTCGGCCTTTCGCCAAATGCAGTTACATCGTGGGCAGCGGTAGCTCATCTTCCATACCTTCAGTCCGCTCGAGGCAAGACTCAATATAAGATTGTGGCACTACTCAACTCCAGCAAGGAGGCAGCCGAAAAGGCTCGAGCTCACTTCAATCTCCCTTCCACGGTCAAGGCATACGGCGACCCTGCTCTGCTCGCCGCAGACGATGAAGTCGACCTCGTTTCAGTAGTCACCAGGGTCGACTATCACTATTCCGCCGCAGAGCCTTCGATTAGGGCAGGAAAGGCTGTGTATGTCGAATGGCCGCTGGCTGAGAGCTTGGAGCGTGGCGTCGCTCTTCTGGGTGACAGCAAGGAACACGAAACCAGCATCATTGGCTTTCAAGCACGGCTCTCGCCAGTGGCTACCACGGTCAAAAAACTATTAGCATCTGGTAGAATCGGAAAAGTCCTTGCCAGTCAAGTACGTGGTTTCGCCGCTACCGCATGGGGTAAACGGCCCGGCACAATTCTTGCTGGCGGCATGGAAGACATGTTTACTCAGAGAGCAATCGGAGGCAACTTTGTTACTATTCTGTACGCTCACATGATTGACCTCGTACACTTTGTCTTGGGGGAATTCAAAGACTCCCACACCACGCCACAACTTCGATGGCCAGAGGTTGAAGTTGTCGATGAGGCGGGAGCGCAGCTGCGGACTGTGCGAAGCGACATACCAGATCTCATCACAGTTAATGGAGAGCTTGCTCCGGGTGCTGCAGATATTCAGGAGGGAGCGACCTTGTCAGTCCTTTTCAGAAGTGGTTCTCCATTCAAGGGCGAGTTGCCCTTTGTGTGGTATATCCAGGGCCAAACCGGAGAATTGAAGATAACAAATCCTATCGGGCCTGTCTTGCAGGCGGCTACCATACCTGGTATCAAGATTGAGCTCTATGACTTTACCACGGATGAGGTAACCGAAATCCCATGGGAAACAGAGTGGAAAGAATGGCAACATGAGCTGCCAACACCGGGAGGGAAGTTGGTAGGAGACATGTATAACCGATATGCTCAATGGTTCCAACAAGCAGATCGTACAGCTGTTCCTGAGGGAGGAGATTGGCCAAGACTAAAGGATGCTATTCGCAGGCATGAAGAGATTGATGGGGTTTTGAAAGACTTTGATAGATCTACTTGGAATAAGCTAGCGAACTGAGGGTGGGATTTTGTCACGATATCGGACTTTGATAGGGTAGGCTTGATGTAGCAGTATGGTAAGCCTTTTCTCGATTAGCAAAATAGGCAAGCAGCTAGACTTAGTACCTAGTTCAGTAGAACGATGTGTTTAGTCAATGAATCAATGGATTTGACTGGAAATTGAATGGGAGACATCATATTATCAATTATAACGACAGTCTTTTACTTTTTATGCCAAGTTTGCAGCGTCAGATGGAGCCAAATATTGTATTACTGGGCATTGGATTACTTTTTGTACATTGATCAAGCCACATTCCTACTAGGTGCATAGTAGCCAGCTACGGGCCCACGAGGCGCTATTCTACAGAAGGATTTAGCGCTATCAATAGCTACAGCTTGCCGAAAACCCTGACGTAACAAGGACCCAGCCATCTTCTCTTCTTCAGAGCTTGCCAGATCCACCTCGACCAAGACAAGCTCTCCCACAGCGTCATGGACAGCCTAGAAGATTTCGAGCAGCAGCTCGCCGCTGAAAAACTCGAGCGTGAAAAATCAGAACAAGAACGTGAGCGGCACCACCATCACAAGCATAGACATCACCACCGGCGAGATCGAGACGACGATAGAGACCGCGAAGAGAGACACAGGCATCGGCATCGCGACAGCGAAAGAGACCGAGATAGAGACAGGGACGGTAATCGGAAGCGCGATAGGGATAGGGAGAGGGATAGAGGCAGAGACAGAGACGACAATCGCCGTCGCCGACATCACAATGAATACGACGAGGACGATGATGAACGTCGACACAAGAGAAGCCGCCGATCACGCGACGAGGACGATGGCGACGAGGAGCGCCGCAGACGGCGTCATCGAGAGGATCGACATCACAAATCATCAGACGAAAAGGCTCGCGCGCCTCCTTCAGACCAGGAGAAGTCTTCAAACGAAGATGCGACCGGCACGTCAAAACCGCTGGAACGAGATGCTTGGATGACCGCGCCATCGGCCTTTGAAGTCGAACATGTCCACCGCCCAGGGCAAAACAAACCTCGATCGCCGACCCCAGAGCCACCAAAGCGAGTAATATCCAGTCGTGAGATTAATAGCGGCTATCTTGAAGACTTGAATAGCGGCAAGCTGCCTTCTGCTGCGGAGCAACAGCCATCTGAGCGAACGGTTGACTATACATTCGGCGACTCTGGCTCATCGTGGCGAATGACTAAATTGAAAGCTGTCTACACTACGGCAGAAGACTCGGGCCAGTCTGTTGAAGAAGTTGCTCTAAAGCAGTTCGGCAGCTTAGAGTTCTTCGATGATGCGCGCGAAGAGAAGGAAGAGCTGGAGAGGAGGAGATTATATGGTGATGATGTCAAGACAAAAGACAAGCCTACGGGCGAATTCTACCGAGAACGGAGGAAGAGCCAAAGGCGCGAAGAACCAGCCAGGCAAGAAATCCGCCAAGGCGAAGTCGTGCAAGAGGACCACCCGCAGCCAGTCCCCGTTCCAATGGACCAGACAGCTCTGAACAGACTCCGTGCTCAAATGATGAAGGCAAAGTTGCGCAAGGCACCCAATGCGGCTCAACTGGAAGAAGAGTACAACCTTGCGGCGGCAGGAGCGGCGCCTCGTCTCAATGCCCCTGAAGCAGTGGTCCTTGGCGTCATGGAGAGTCGCCAACTCGCCGGCACACGTGGAGAGGTCAAAACAGTGGATACCAAGCGCGGACGAGAGCGCGGCCTCGTCGAGGAGAACACAGACATGACCATCGAGCAGATGCTCCAAGAGGAACGTCGAACCAAGGGCCAAGCAGGAGGTGAAGGCCTGCGCCTCGCCGAGAGAATCGCCAAAGACGCGAAATTCGACGACGACCTCGAGTACATGGACGAAAACGCCGAAAAGCTAGCAAAGCGCGTCCACAAGAGCGAGGTCAACCTGAAAAACATGGCCGTCAGCGAGTTCCAGAAGATGAACCGCGTCCTCGAAAACTGCCCCCTCTGCCATAAGGAGGATAAAGGGCTGCCGCCCATCGCGCCCGTCATCTCTCTCGCCACGCGCGTCTTCATGACTCTGGCCACCGAGCCGGAGATCAGCGAAGGCGGCGCCGTCATCGTCCCCACAGCGCATCGAAACAACCTCCTCGAGTGCGACGACGACGAGTGGGAGGAGATTCGCAACTTCATGAAGAGCCTCACGAGGATGTACCACGACCAGGGCCGAGAAGTCATCTTTTACGAAAACGCCGCCGCGCCGCATAAGCACATGCACGCCGCCATGATGGCCATCCCTATCCCCTACGACCAAGGCGCCATGGCACCCGCATTTTTCAAGGAGGCGTTTCTCTCTTCTGACGAGGAATGGTCCCAGCATCGCAAAATCATTGACACCGGCGCCAAAGCCAGGGAGGGCATGGGCCGCTCAGCTTTCCGCCGGTGCATCGCCAAGGAGATGCCCTACTTCCACGTCTGGTTCACGCTGGACGGGGGGCTGGGCCACGTTGTTGAGAATTCGGATCGCTGGCCGAGGGGAGACCTCTTTGCGAGGGAGATTATCGGTGGTATTGTGGATGCTGATGCACACATCATTAAGAAGCAAGGGCGGTGGGCGAAGATTGATAGCAGGGTCGATGGATTCAAGAAGGGGTGGAGAAAGTTTGACTGGACGAGAGTGTTGACTGATGGGTAAGACAACGAACATATAATCAAGTGTGCGTATATTACAATGCTGGGCGTAATATAAAAAAACGGCTGAAAGGGTTGTGTTTTATAGTAGCCATTTTTTATGGATGAAAACAAAAGAATTTAGCACCAAAGCAAACTCAGTCAAGCCGCTCATTAATTGATTGAATTGATATCTGTGATTATCCCAAGGAATTAAATCGCAATGTACGCTGATGCACCATCAGACCTGACATAAGTAGCGAATAGTAAATAGTTAAAACAAGTCAAAAGGTTCAAATCATCGCAGATTCATCGGCACCTCGTCTCTCCTCCATCCTTCGGGGTATCTTCCTCCTTCTTTGTAAAGACATATGCCACCAGAACACATCTAGCGTCTGTCATCTATAGCTGCTAACTCTACTGTCATAAGAACGCCCATGTTCCGCCTCCCAATTAATTATTAGCTTGAAGAAAAATGCCCACATAAATGGCATGACTAGATTATTAAAAAGTTTCTAATAATGAGGAGCCCGCTTGAGCTGTGAAGCTCATTTTCCGGGGGCTCCTCGTCGTCCTCTTTCGCGTTCTTTGCTTCCCGCACTCCTCGTTGCTCTCTCCCAGTCTTCCCATTCTTTGCTTATCTCCATCAAGACGGAACCCATCACTGTGGCGCTGGCCATCAATCCGTGGCCCTCTCCTTCGAGTACCCGGACTTCACATCGCTTCATGATCTTGCCCAACCATTTGACGTTCTCAACAGGCACCCGAGTATCTCCGCTACCGTGACGAATAATCACAGGTCGAGTGATGTCGACATACCGGAAGCCAATAGTATGCCGTCTTTCGAGACAAACAAGCAGGTCCACAGCTGGATTCGCGTTCGTCGTGGCAAGATCCCAGATCGCATGTGTTAGCCGTATGTCATAAGATTGTTGCCGTTCTTTATCGGCGAGAGGATCAAAAGCTGGAGGCGAATGGGACAGGCCGTTGCTAGTTGTAGGCCGAGGTACTGTCGTGTCCACGCCTTCTTTGGTATTGGGGGATGCCTGGTCTTCTTGATTGACCAGAGTGCCATCTGAGTCCTTGCCGCCCGCTGCATGATTGTTGATGTTTTCCTTGTCTGCAGACGGTGTAGCATTTCTGCTACTACCATCTTTGTGGCCCGTTTTGCGTTTAGATTTGCGGGGATTCTTTGGTAAAGAGCTTGTAATTGACGAGCTGGTTGCCGACATGAAACTGCTGTTAGCCGCCTTTAGGAAAGACGTTGGCAAGACTCGTAGGATTCTTTGAGCTGTTGGAAGAGTGTGTGATGGTGGCATTAGCGATGATGACCCGAAAACATTCATTTGAGAAGGCGGGATCCACGGCGCAAGCAGATGGATTTTTCCTCGGATATGCTGAGGCATGCGAAGAGCCGTGGCCAGAGCATAGATGGCTCCAGCCGAATGAGCCATTAGAGAGAATTTGCTGATTCTCAAAGTTTGGCAGATTGCGTACACGTCATCTGCAGGTCATCTGTCAGCGGACGTTTCCCATGGTAAAACCATATAAAATCAAAACAATAACTTACCAGGCCAGCTGAGAGGTGTACTCGTTCCGTCAGCATAAGGCTCACTGTCTCCCACACCTGGTCGATCAGGGGTAATAAGACGGAGCTTCAGCGTCAACGCCAACTCATCATAAAACGCAGTGATATATCTCGTCAAGCCCATCCCTACACAACAAAAGACTACGCTGCCTTCAGGGTCTCCAACTTCAGCAAACGAGATAACTCGGCCAGTTTCGGGATGGCGAATCTTTTGAGACAGGCGCGGCGAGCATAGGTAAGATTCGACAGCATCATCAACAGAATCAGCAGATTGGGGTCTCTCATAGCCCGTGGGCCTATTATTCGGGGTGGACTCATCATTCAGGCGTTTGTTCTCCTGAGGAATGAGAGGTACTGAGAGGCGCTTTAATCTAGAGCTGCTGCGCTTCAGTCGAAGGGCATCGTTAGGGCCAGGGGTTGTCTGGCTAGAAAGACGTTGGTCTTTGCGATCAAGCTCATCTCGTCGACGCCCCTGCGAAACTGAAGGGAAGGGAGCGCCGTCGTCTTCGAGCTCATCTGTTCTCTCTTCCGCGATGTAATTCGCGCTCAGATAGCTGCTAGACGCTCTCTGCTTCGGTTTTCGAGTGGAATTCTCTTCGACGTCGTATAAAGACGACTTATTGGTATCCGAGTCAGAGCGGCGATGCTTCATTTTCGCAAAGTCACGACCGTAGCCGGACTCGGCAGTTTCAAGAACCTTGTCCCCAGCAAATCCTTCAACGTCCTTTATTGGCCGTCGAACACTGGATCTCCTTCTACTTGAGCTCGAATTGCGCAGACTTGAATCGCGAGCTGGAATATGATGCAGGCCGTCTCCAAGCAGATTATCGTCGGTAGTAACCGCTGTTGGTTCCTCGCTGATAGAGCTCTCTCCAAAGAAATGCTCTACCTTGCTTCCGCTGTGAATGCTACCTCCTCCTGTCGCGGTACCGCCAACTATTGGGGTAGAAGAGGCACGTCTCCTGTCAATCTGGGGCTCGCGAAGGTGTTCTCTAGAGCCCATATAGCTAAGCACTCTGCTGCTGCGATTCGACTTTTTCCCCCAGCTATCGAGAGACCGGCGTGGGCGTAGCTCCGGGTGAGGCGCAGAGCCACGTTCTACAGAAAGATTTCCGATGCTGCGAGCATCATCATTCTTGGACGCAAACGAGCCCGTAGACGAGGGGCGAGAGCTTGCGGCGCTACGTATAAAGGATCTGAATCCGCTTTCTCGACTTGTACTTCGGTGGCTTCGAGGGCTTTGCGGCGCGGTCAGAGGTGAAAAGCCGCTCGGGGGCTTGGATGTGCGGATAACAGGTGGGCTGGCCGCAAGCTCGTCGAGACAAATAGGGCCGCCGTGCTCCTCGTGAAAGGAAGGCTGTTTGTATGCCCCGTAGTCAACGCCAAAACTACCAGAGCCGCGCCTAGAGCGAGAGCTGTGGCGGCTTGGGCCAGAGTTTGGGCTCGTTGGCAGGGAAAGAGTTGCTGAGGTCAGGCCGGTGTCGAAGTGGTGGTTGGCAGGCTCAGCGATGGCGCTAAGGCTGGTGATGAGGCTGGAAATAATCTCAGGGCTCCCGGGAGGGATGGCGTATCGTTTGCGGGCGGCAGAAGTGGGCGTCGACGACATGCGGTTGCGCTGGGACGAGTGAACGCGGTGGGTGCGTGTTGGGATAGGGGGCATCGAATCTATGGAAGTGCGTTCCATGGCGAGCGGCAGCGGCGAGCGGCAGGGCGACTTGTCCAACGCTGTTACTTGATAGCTTGAGACGGTGAGCGTCTAATCTTGACTGTCTCGCCTGGCTGCAGCGTGAAATTGGCGCACGCAGCCACGTTTCTCTGGCCCCAGCGGCAGCAAACAGCGTCTGTGAGCGCCTTTGCTTTTGCATGAAACCCTCCCCACGCTCTCACGCAGCCGCAGTTTCGGCAGGTTGCGGTCCGACAAATGCGAGCGACGGCCTTCAAAGGACCGCCACCACCAACTAGAACAAGAAGAAGAAAAAAAAAAAAGAAGGCTTCTCAGCGCTGAAGCGTGCAATAGTATGAGCTCGGATGCAGCCAAAGACACCAGAGGCGTACACGGACGCTTCGTTGGACCGCTCTCTAAAGAGTATCCGAGACAGAAGAGGCAGGGAAATTAGTTGCAGGCTAGCACAGGGTCAAGCGTTAGCTGTGTCGCTTGTCCCGTCAGATGCAATCCGGGCTTGGGCCGCACGCACTGCTGCAGTATTTGCTCTGGTCTGAGACACGCAGCATAAAGCAAAGCTGGGCCTGCAGCAGCAGCAGCGACAACAACGACGGTAACGACAGCTGCAGCGATCACGACGACAGCAAAAACGCCAAACGGCAGACAATTCTCGTGGGCCGGCAGCTCATGGTGCTAGTGAGCTCCTGGGAGATTTGACCCCTTTCGAGAGCTCTGCTGCCGGTCCACTCCAATCACCAGTTTCAGCCAGCCGCCATTTTGGCTACGGCACGGGCAATCAACGAGACCCCTGCCGCTAGAGAAGACCATCGATCGAGCATGATTCGGCCACGAGAGTGAAGCGCGGACTGGAGTCAGTGGGGAGAGCTCTGATTCGATGGCTACAATCGATGGCAGGGATGTTCAAATTTGGTCGTCGGTACGGCAGGCTATTACTAGTGGAGAGGAGCAGAAAAAGGGCGGGTCTGTCCTTTCGGCAGCACGTTGATCCTATTCCGAGACTCGTATGGACGGCTTTGTATTACAAGGAGTCGAGTAGGAAGATGGGAGAGCCAAACCACATGCTTAAGTAGCACTGGGTGAGCCATTTGCTGCTGGCGTGCATAATCCAGTCCGAGACAGGGCGCTGACGGCACGGTTGTGGAAAACCGAAGGAGGACGGCGGAGCCACATCCAACAGCGTTGCATCAATGGCACCCTGCCAGAGGGAACCCTTGTAAGCGAGTTGTGCAGCATCGCAGAATAGGACCAGCTGGAGCGCGAAACACTGAGGCGTGCGCGCATTAGAGCAGTATATCAAAGATGCTGCTGTATAAGCAGAGTTGCAAAGGATTTGGGGATTTGGCTGCCGCTCGCGCGGGAGCGTCTTCACCCGTTTCCCCGTGGCGATCCTTTCTGAATTGTGCTCGCTTCGGGCTGGACCAGCGCTGTGTGCAACCGTGGTTTGCGTGGGATGGCGTGGCGATGGTAGCAGTGCTGGGCAGAAAGAGGAAACGTGGGATAACACGCGTGGGTGCTTACATGCGCACCGTGATATTTGTACGTCAGCAAAGCCCGCATGGCGATAGGAGCTGAACATCCGTGCTCGGTGCCGATCTGGCTATTGTGAGCTGATCGCTGGTCAGACGCGAGTCGTGCTCTGCGGTCACTACCTGTCGCACTGGCGATATACTACGTAGGTATAAGCTTCAATGTATGTATATTGTCTTCTAGTGCGCACCGGCTGTCAGATTAGCCACAATCCTTGCAGCCATTCCTGGGAGGCGGGGAACTGAGAAGAAGCGCGAAGAAGAGATAATGGACCTGGAACAGCGGGAGAAGCGAATGACAGGCCGCCTGAGATGAGATGATCTGGTCAGTCGCGTGGCCAGCGCATCCTAGAGGATTCCCCTCGGGAGAATTCAGAAGTCAGAAATGAGACAGGGCTGCACTATCGACGCTCCCATCTCCAGCAGAACAACACTAGCATCTCTTACCAAAGCAACGCTAGTAGTCGTACATATATAGGGGATCAGAGAAAGTCCGTGTAAGACCTGCAATACTCCGTATACTATATGCCTCCAGGAACTTCTACTTCCTACAAGTCCAGTAGTAAGTAAGTATACCTACAGCATACCTACCTACCTAGGTGCTCCTTGGCAAGTCGGTTGAGAGTCCTTCCAAGCTGTCAGGCTCACCAGAAACCGGGTTCCCATCCGAAGTACACACTATACGCAGATAGGGCTGATGGGTGGGCAATCTGGCTACATCTAGATGCTACCATGTCAACGCTGCATCGTATGCTTGCCTCGCAGACTGGCACAATATCGGCTACGATGGCGAGCGATGACTGTACTATCCTGGATCCTGTCGAAATGTCGGCTGCTCGTTATATAAGCCATCCGCCTAGAGCCCGAGTGGCTGCCGCTAACGGCATGCCTGCAGCCATGGAGGCATCCTTAGCTCTGATGCAACGCTGACAGGGCATCTACTGCCCCGAACAAGGATAGCGCCGTGGTTGCGAGATGCAGGGCTGGATTTGATATATGAGGCGACCTGCTGGACTCTGCCTGAACTTTCTGTCGTGTCGTACGAATTTGGGTCGTAGATAAAAGTTCTGCTCGCGCCACCTCAGCAAGACGGGCGCCCGAAACGGAACCGTGCCATCATCACAAGTGACCCTTACATACTGCCAACTCTTTAATCCCAGAACCAACTGCAACTGCAGGTAACATCGATCGAGTCACCATGGCCGCCGCGGCCACTAAGACGATCTTCTCCTTTGTAAGCTATGACAACCATAGGGTGCCCCAGGATCCCAAGTCTCGTACCTTAATCCGCCGGCACGCCATGCGAGATGTGGCCACCACGAGAAAGCAGAAGCGAAACTATCGCGGCAACGCGGTCCAGTACCCAGAGGCGGTGCTGTATGGAGAGGACACGCATGAAGCGTGTGCCGGTAAAGGAACTGTAGCTAAAAGGCGATCAACTAAGCGTAAGCTGTTGAAGAAGGCGACAGACAGCAATCCGCAGCCGACTAAGCAGCAGCTCATCCGAATCCACACAATCGTTGTTGATGACTACAGCCAAAAGTTTAGCACGCGCTTCCCCATCTTGGAGCTCATTGCACCACTCACAAGCCTGCACCTGGGGGTGGCCTCCATCTCCTGCTTTACCTTGGAGCCCGGCAGGACGGGGGACGTGCTCTTCTCATTGCCGCTGTCCAACTTGCAGAGCAGACGGCTGTTAGACTACCTGCCTAGCCTATACGGGAAGGCCTCCGCCTTGACTTACACCGTTGATTGTCTTGTAGCAAGGCTGAACCAGATCACTCGCGGCTTGACTACCAACACATCGTCGGAAGAGGAGGATGGCGAGGTCCTCCATCATTATGCCAAGGCGCTCAAGGAAATCCAGCGGGCCATCGATGATGAACAACTTCGAATGGCGCAGGAAACACTGTATGCGGCAGAACTGCTTGGCATTTTTGAGGTATGTTGTGAACAAAGACCTAGCACAACATGCATTAGGGGCGAAGCTCCGTTTATGCCTTCAAGTACCTGCTTTTGACTGACCTTTTACCTCTTTTTTTTTTCTGATTCGTCCAGCTTCTGAGCCCCAATCCGGAAATGACGTCCTGGAAGTGCCATGCAGCAGGAGCTGCCAGGCTGATCCAGCTTCGTGGCCCCGAGAGGTTCAAGACAGACTTTGAACTGGCCCTTTTCATGGCCCACATCGGTCCAATAGTACGTATAAGCGAGACACAGTCCCGCACTGAGAGCTCATAGTTGACACTTTTTCCTCCAAGGTCACCGAATCCTTCCTCAACAACAAGACCTGCTTCCTGACCGAGGAGCCATGGAAGAAGGTCTTGCGCACCGCCATCTGCCATGACCCGACCATACCGCCGGAGCAGAGTAAGCTCATCTATCGGCTTTGGTCTAGTCTCATCTTTGGGCCCAACATATTCAAAATGGTCACGAGCTTGGTGCTGTCGCCCACTGAACCTTCGGAAAGCGATATCGAGGCGGCAATTGAGAAGATCCAGAAAGACCTGACATATTTGAGGATGTGGGAAGACTTGCTACGCCAACAGCAGCAAGCGCAGTCCCCCATCGACAGAGACGAATCGGGCGATAACGTAAAGTTCGTCTTCGCAGCTCCAGCCTGGAGCAAGGGAAAGAATTTCATGCCGTGGCCGGTCCTGCGCGGCACTTTCATGATGTGCGGCATGCTGAAGAGGCGGCTTCTGGTCTCGCTTGCGCCCTCTCGCTTCCCTCACGTCGAGGCAGAGGCTCAGGCGCTGGCCGAAACAACGCTGGAGCTCAACTCCAACCCGGCTACACGCAAGGAAGATGGCCTTCTGGGAGGCCTTTTCCTAGCGCAAACGGTCTGGGTGGCGAAGGCCGTCCTCACCACAAAGGACATATGGAATGAAACTGTAGCAGATGCAAGCAGGATGACTTCAGAGGAAAATGAAAGAGGGCCGATAATTGAACAGTGGAAGTTTAGAATATGGTGCAAAGAGCTCGGAAGAAAGGTTTCGTAAGCGCCATTGCAATGCGTAGATCTGGCGATGCCGGCCGATGTCGACAAATCTTACGGTGTGATGGATACATGGATTCACACCACTCATGTGCCTTTTGATTTTATTAGAACAAGAGGCGTTGGGGTTCATGGAGTTGTAGTGTCTTCTGTCCAATGTAAACATAGAAAATCGTATCACCCAACTTATTTCACTAAGGCCCTAGGTAGTTGTGAGCATATGTATGTAGATATTACTACATACCCAAGTATAGTACTAAGGCATTATGCTATGGTAGCTACATGCATCTAGGAAGGCAGCTTGGGATTAGCAGGGAAGCCAACCATTTTCTTTTTTCATTTCTTCTCTTATTTTTTTTCCCTTCCCCTTTATCTCTTTATACCTTTTAGATTATTTCGACAGCCCTTGTTCAAGGCATTGTTGCAAGGATGGATCGACACGTCCAAAGTACTCTGCACGACCATCAGCTTTCAGTCTTTGATGCACCGTACTGTTTCCGCACTGGGTATGACTTACTAAGAACTTCCTTCTTTAGATTGACAGGGATGTCCTCCAACGTCGGAATGATGTTATGAAGGAAATGCTCCTTGCCATTAGGCTCCTTGCAGATGATCTGCCAAAGTTGGCGAGCCTGTACAAAATCTTTGTCGCTAAGTTGGGTAGCGAAGGCCGTCACTGGTCCTGTCCAGTGCTCTTGGAGTGGTATCTGGACCCGTTTGCTCTGTCTAACCGGGCGAAGCTCCGAGAAGACGTAGTCTGGGTCACTGCCATAATTGCCATTAATAGTTCCGGGACCATCCCGCACATATGGGGCGTAGACGGTATTGGTTGGCCGGTTTGGCGGGAGCTGGAAGTAATTTGGCCCAACACGATAGCGGTGAGCGTCGGGATAGCTGAACATTCTCGCTTGCAGAACTGCATGTCGTGTCTATTAGCCACAGCATTCTTTGTTGAAAATAGCACAAAAGGGTGTACCAACCAGGATCTGCTGAGGGTCCAATGCCTGGAACCATGTTAGAAGGCGAGAAGCAAGCTTGCTCGATATCTTGGAAGTAGTTGTTTGGCTAAAATCAAAAATTTAGCATACACTACATCTCTGAAGCATGGGAGGCATGGGAGGCATGGGAGACACGGGAAATGAACCCACGTTCTTATTAAGAGTCAAGCGACCAATGCGGCGCAGAGGATATTTGTCATATGGCCAAGTAAACGTGCAGTCGAAAATGTCAATAGGTGCCGATTTGACCTCTTCAGGCTTCATGACTTGGACGCACACAGACCAGGTTGGGTACTTTCCGTTCTCGATAGAATGGAAAAGATCCTTCACATGGTAGTCTGGGTCTGACCCGGCGAGACGGACCGCCGTTTTTGAGTCCATGGTTTTGACGCCATCGTCTGGCTTGAAATGCCACTTGACGTAGACATAGCTCCCATCCTAATGATTGTTAGCGCTGGCTGCGATGCAGTAGCTTGGAGGAATTATCTCACCGCTTTGCTCAAGGTATAACTGTGAACACTATAGCCATTGATATTCTTGAGAGAGGCAGGAATACCACGCGATCCAAACAGGTGCATCAGAGCGTGAATACCCTCCGGGTTGTTCTTATGGAAATCCCAGAACATGGCATTGTCTGGCACATTGGTCTGAGGGTGCCTCTTGTGGCTTCGGTTCATGGACGGAAATTTAATGGGGTCCCGAATAAAGAAGACAGGAAGATCATTGAAGACGAAGTCCTGGATGCCCTCCTCTGTGTAGAACTTGATTGCCCAGCCTCGGACATCACGAACTGTGTCGGCAGATCCCTTTTCTCCACCGACGGTTGAGATACGAGTCAAGACCTTGGTCTTCTTTCCAATGCCAGTGAGGAAATCCGCATCAGTTATATCAGAGACGTCCTCAAGAACTTCAAACTCTCCAAAGGCACCGGCTGCTTTTGCATGCACGCTCCTGCAATGCAAAGATATGAGCTTTGAGTGTCCAACATTCATTTCTCACAAGAGCATGGGTATTTTCCCTTACCGTTCAGGAATACGTTCACGTGCAAAGTGGGCGAGAACTTCGATGGTTTGGGTATCGCTCAAGACGACTAAGCCACCATTGCTGTTGCCATAGCGAACTTGCTGCACAGAGCCTGGGTCGGCACTTGGCTGGCCTAGAGAACATCAGTCACTTCATGCGCTTGAAATAGGTTGGGCATGAACACAAAATCAATGGTGGTTTCACAGATACGATAAGAATTCGACGGGCAACTTACCATTGGCAAGGGTGCTGATGGGGTGATCTGAAGAAAAAGACTTGAAATTGTAAGCCCCGAGTCTTTACAGGAAGAGACAAAGGGTTGTTCACCATGGTTATTGCTGAGACAGTGGTGGTATTTCGTTCATATAACTTAAGTTGTGATAGCTATTTCCGCCAATTCCTGGGCTTTCTTCTTCTTTTCATTCCCTCCCCCTCTCATTTCCTTCCAACGCCCGCCAGATGGCCGGGTTTTTGTAATATGTGCGCCTATCGTGCAAACCGTCATGCACTGCATAAGATTTCATCATTGCGTGTTGAAATGTACGCCAATGGCTGATAACCCCGCTGTTATCCCCTTTGAATCTCCGAGGGATTGGCGATGAGCGGCTAAGGCAGAGTTTCACTAGTCTATGAGCTTAGATACAAGCGAGGAGCTTCTTGCATGGCGTTTACACCAATCCGGCTGAGCGGTGATATGAAGTTCGCCACGCCACATCATGCGGGGAGAAAGTATATCTCTAATCTCGGCAGTTGTGATTGGATCGATAGCTTCACGACATTAATAATGACGCAACTGTCGTTTAGCGGTTAAATGCACTGCATGCCTTTGGAGCCCAATGGGGAGACCAAATAATGAAGGTTCGTATCTGGCCGCGGACTTTGCTGCGGGGAGGTCGGGTAGCTATAAGATTGTGTGCGCTGCTATCTCCCAGATCAAGCTCAACGTAAACCTCTGGATATTCAAAGTAAACTTCTTGATCATCAAGCACCAAAACTAGTGTAAGCAAGATGCCGCCATTCAAGACTATGATACCGACAAATAGTCGGCCAAATGAATGGAAAATTGAACAAGGACTTGCTGGAGCCGAGCTCCCGGTCATTGATATGACCGAGCCCGAGACCAAGTCTCTCATTTTCCAGACTTTTCCGAAGGAACTCACCAAGGATGAGGAAGCTATCAAGAGCGTGGGTGATCCTAACAAGCTTTTCGTTAGGGAGCGAGAGGGATGGGTTGGGTAAGCCATTCATTCATGACATGACGCATTGATACCAGTGTCATGACCTCCTCTTCTGCTGCTGTGCTGACACTCTGTGCGCAAGCTTCGTTGAATGGGAGAATCATCCCGACAAGAAGGCAGCGGCGCACAAGATCCTGACTTCGCAAAAGTTCCCGCCCAACCCAGAATTTCAGCTTGGTCCCATCCCACCGACCAACCCGGTCCTTCCGGGCACCCGTTGGAAGATGTGGCACCACGCTGTCGGCGGTGAACTCACCCGGGTTCCTGATGATTCTTGGGCAATTGTCCTCAAGGAGAAGCATAAGGATATGCTTCATCTCTTGCAGTTTCCGTACAACGGGGAGCCCCCAAAGCGTCTGGTTACTGACAAGGAGATTACTCCCAATAACCTTCATTTTGTGAGAAATCATGGAGGAATCCCGATCATCGATAAGGACAAGTTCAGTTTCATGATGGACGGTCTTGTCGCAAAGCCTCGTGAATACACTTTGGATGATCTCATGGATGAGTCCAGGTTCCCACGCATCAAAAAGACTGTCACTATTCAATGCTCTGGAACCCGCCGCATTGAGCAGATTCTCAAGTATCCCGGTCAAGGTGATGAGATCCCTCAAGCACCCTGGGCCGAGGGTGCGATTGGTACGGCTGAATATACGGGTATCAGTCTTAAGAAGGTAATCAAGGAGTGTGGAGGCTTGATTGATGGTGCCAAGCACCTGGAATTCTATGGCGCCGAGACTTACTTCAAGGATGACAAGTGCATGAACTATCTCGTCAGTGTGCCTTGGTCCAAGGTAAAGGCGAATGAAGTGTTGCTCGCATGGGAAATGAACGGCGAACCTCTGCCCGCCATTCACGGATTCCCTCTCCGCATTGTTGTCCTTGGATACATCGGAGCTCGAAGCGTCAAGTGGCTCTATCGTGTCAAAGCCATCAAGGACCCGTCTCGAGCACCGGTCCAGAGCGCGGAATATCTGTACTTCCCGCAGCAGGTCGGAAAGCACAATTTGAAAATGACTGACGGCATTCAAATCCAAGAAATGCCAGTCAGCTCTGGAATCATGTTCCCGTGGACAAAGCAAGTTGTCATTCACAACGGCAAGATTCGCTGCAAGGGCTGGGCCTATTCTGGAGGAGGCCGATGGCCAGAGCGCGTGGAATTGTCTGCCGATGGCGGCTTTAACTGGTACACGATTCCTCTGGAGAATCTATCCAAGAAACGGAAATGGACTTGGCGAACATGGCATTATGACCTGCCCTGCGATGTTGAGGGCTGGGTTGAGATTGTTGTCCGCTGTTGGGATAATGCAATGAACACCCAGCCTCCTGAGATTCGTACAGCTTGGAACTGGGGCTTGCATGTTACGCACTCTTGCCACCGCATTTCGGTGTATAGTGTCAACAGGACCCGACCAAAGACTGACGCTCGTCTTAAAGAGTTCGAAGACAGGGGCATCCCATTTGGCCCTATCACGGTGCCACTTGAATTCCCCTCGCAGACTTGGGAAGATTATGAGAAGTTTTGGAGGGAGCATGATCCTCGTGATGCTGAAGATGACTGATCTTTCTGGGAAATTGGTAAATGTGTTACCAGATAAGTTTTTGAAGTTTTTTTTTCTTCTCTCTTTGAAGTGATGGAACAGAAAGGGGGGGAGGAAAAGAAGAAAAAAAAAAAAAAAAAAAAAAAAGAAAGGAAAAGCCTCAAAGAAAACATCTCTTCAGTAAACACGTTCGCTACATGAAAAGAGCATCTTTATGCTCAGATATTCTAGTCATAAGTTATGAATGAAGTCAATCAAACAGAAAGAGCCATAAAACCTACCTACAGTGATGTAACATCAGGTACAGAACACTTTGTGTCTTAAAAAGGTCCAGTATTTTGTCGTTACTGGGATCGGTGTTTAGCTGTTCGAGGCCAGCTGTGGCGTTTCTTCTTTAGCTATATTAGGATAGCTAGAAAATCTAGGATCTTGATCTGACGATATGAAGGAATCTAGTAGGAATTCTCTCCCGCCTATTTTAATGGGGCTTATTAATCACGCGCGTCCTGGCTGACTTTAGCCTGATGCATCTCCCATGTGTTCTTGGACCACCCACTTGGATGGCATAACAATGTTTGTTGAATAAAGCTCGAAAGGCTTTTATTATTTATATAGTATTTTCGGCGTATCATTTTATAAACATAAAAGATAGCCAATATCATTCCGGCAGCCCAGTTATAAACGCTATGCATGACGAAGAGCGGCAACATGCAGCGACGCCCACCGAGCGTCGGTTTTCTCTCGATGAATTTTCGACCCCATCGACAAGCTGGCAGCTCGATGACTTTGTTTTCGAGCCGGGATATGTTGAATCTCGAGAGGCACTGCGCTATTTGATGCTGAGCACCGCACAGACTGCTCCGCCATCTCCAGCTCACGAAAGCAGCCTCATGCCGGGATTGGATTCGCATGAAAGCGAGGATCAGTCATCAGCACGTCATCAGAGTTCACATCTCCTATCGCAGGGACGGAGAATCGAGTACCTAAAGAATTATATAAGTGAGGTTGCTCCATGGGTAAGTCCTCCTGTGACTTCTTCAGGTTTAAATGTACTAATCGGTGGGTATGTAGCTTGATATGTTTGACAGCTCTCATGCTTTTGGGCTACAAGTACCTCTCCTGGCACAGACATCCCCAGCTCTCTTATGTGCAATTCTGGCCATATCCGCGCGGCAAATAGAGCGCAAAGAAGCGTCCGAAGGAAACCCAACTCCGCAGAACAACTTTGACAGTTTAGAGCTCTATCAAGAAGCGATTCGACTTCTGACGCCACTTCTACAAGCTCATGATCAAGCGGTAATTCCAATATGCGTGATATTATGCTGCCTTGAAATGATGTCTGCCAGTGCACGGGATTGGCGCCGTCATCTAGAAGGATGTGCTGCGCTCTTCGATGCCTTCGAAGTCCACGGATTCTGCGGCGGACTACTACAAGCCGTCTTCTGGTGTCACGCTAGGATGGGTGCGTGTTCAATGATTATACTCTCTATTTTAATATTTAAACTGAATGATTGGACTGACCAAGGCGAGAAACTACTAGACTTGTGCGGTGCCCTGATTTCTGATGGAACGCAAAGTACCATAATTCCACCTGCCGCTTGGCTGCCTCCTGGTACCGACAACTTGAGTGCCCGCCAATTGTTTAACACCGTGAAAAGTCCCGACATGCACGCCAATTATGCCGTTTATCTCTGTGCCAAAGCCTGTGAGCTGGTTTCAGATCGTACACAGCATGATGAACTCGGTGTCCCCAATGGCTGTACAGCAGAATCGTTTTTATCTCGCTGGAATGACTTGTGGGGTGATCTACAAGCTTGGATAGATCATCGTCCCAGTGAGCTGTTACCCATGCATACTATAGAATCCCGTCCATTTCCACAGATACTCTATCTTCACTGGGCCGCAATTTCCTCCAACCAATTATACCATACTGCTTGCATTTTGATGCTATCTTCGATGCCGAGACAACGAGACGCTATACCCGGTGTTACAGGATCATGTGTTTGGCATGCAAAACGAATCTGCGGAATTTCGTTAACCAATCCTCATCAAGGATGCCTCAACAACGCTATCCAGCCGCTTTGGCTAGCAGGGAGGCTGCTTAGCCACGAATCAGAGCACGCAATAGTGGTGAATTTGATCCGTGATATTGAGTCAACAACTGGATGGGGAACGTCTTGGAGAATTCCCGATCTTGAAGCAGCCTGGGGTTATTCTATTCGGAAGCGTTCTAGCTTCAAGCATACTGATCTCGACCCACCACAAAGTGCTCAATCTGGGTGATAGGACTCAAGAAGCAACCGAAAGAATGCCTCGCTCAACATATTGCGGGAGGTTCTGAAGTGTTCCACTCTTGCTTTAGCTGATCCAAGAATCTATCAACAGGCCAGCCAAGGGCGCCAATATGCTCAAATCCATGCAGTATTTCTCTATGCTGAGACTCGTGAGTCATCTGCCGAGCGGCCGCATAGAACGAAGCTAAGAGGCATGGGTCCCAGCATTCGCATCGATTGTTATTAATGGCAATACTGCATATCCTGTGGGCATGCCATAGCTGTGACAAAGGTGGTGTCCTCCGTTGCTCAAGCTGCACTGTCTTTGGCTTGTGTGCCAGTATCAACATCATGGCAGTATGATATAGCTGATTGGCGAAGACTGCCGAGCCGTTGGTGAAATATATGATTGGAAATGGATTTTTTCTGTCATTAAGCTCAATAACTGAATTGAAATCCGGTGGCCTATTTGAATACCAATCATTGAGCTTGTTAACGATGGAATTCCAGCGAACTGCTCGAGGCTTGGGAGGTTCGGCGTCGAAATTACTGGCCGCATCCTGGCCTCCAAAAGAGAACTCGAGCACCTCAGCGCATAGAGCAAGAGTTTCATGCGCATAACATTCGATGTGTCCCATATTAGATCTTCTTTGAGAGGAACTTTGCAGTAAGGAGCTGAGAATGTTACTATGGAGAAACGGGCTGGATTCTTTTAGTAAAGCAGCGGCAGTACCTAGCATACATAGTCAATACACATTCTTCAGCTCATGGCTAAAATTGAATACCCTTACCTAATCTGGCAAGCAGCCATAGCATATGCACGCTCAAGTCATTTGACGGACTGCTTTCATGAATATGAACATAGATCTTTGGTAGAATGTCATCTTTTCTCAGTGCATCTTCCCATTCTTCAGGGGGGTAAGTAAGAAATTTCTCCGTAGCCGCCAAAATTGACCAAAGTTTAACCTCCCACGGCTTAGATTGCTCGAAGCAACTTTCCATTGAATATGTGAGATGGTTTGTATTCGTTGCCATCGGACTTCCCGTAGAACCCATATGATAATGATGGATATTATATGAAGCGCGGCAAAGTTCCAAGAGTGCATCAAATGACAAGTCCGATCTCATAGCAAGAAGTGGAACGACGAGACCAAAGGTCTGCTTTGGGTCACATATATCTAGCTTTAATGAACATGTTAGTTTGATTTGTATAGAATTTAAATGAGAGAAAGACGTTTGGCTCACCCATGGTGCAATCTTATATCTGTAGTGCCTCAGAAGCTCAATTGACCGGCCCGTGGAGAGCTGACTTGTCACGCGGTGGCTCAATGGGCCGGTGCCGCCCAGGGTGTCCAGTGTTGATATTGGTAATAATACATTATCTTCTTCCAAATTTCCTGTGTTAGGGGTAACATGAGCAGGTGTATCCACCCTTTGGTCTCCGACACCAAGAGTCATCAGAACATCTAGCGCAACCTCGAAACTATCGCCTTGCCTCACCATATTTCGAGCCCGAGTATCTTCATGATGATGAAGCGACAGATCATCGGGAATCTGTGAATCCCGAGTTTTCGCGACAGTCGTATCATCTCCGCGATATGTGTTGTCAGAACCTGAACCAAAACTTGACAGTTCATTAATATGAGTACTAGTAATAATCGGTTCTAGATCACTTCTTAGAGATAGACTATCACATATAAAAGTATTTTCTCCTTCGGGAGAAAGAGGAGAAGGAATTAAATATTGAGACTTTTTGCTGGTACTGGCATCTTTCTGTCGGACATGATCGCCGTCCATAAACTTTTTACCGTTTAGTAACGTTAGTATCGGTTTCTTCAAGAAAAGACGTGATATTGACCTGAATTTTAGAATAGTTCCTAGCATCATTGTATTTTCCATCTAGAGGAGGATTCCTGATATCAGGAGCAGTAATAGCATTCTTCTGTAAGAATGAAAGCCTTGGGCCATAGACGCACTCTGCGTTTGCGTCGAGACAACGTTGACAGCGAGGCTTATGTTCGTCACCTATGTTTTAGTCAGATTTATAGGTTAATCGATAAAGTGCGTATAGTCATTAAAAATGAAAGCCGCGAGAATAGTAGTTGTAATCGCAGCCGCTAAAAGAGATGTATCCTGAGATACTCCAAATGCGGGACACTTTCAACTTACATTTGCGTCGCCGGGTTCGGCATCTCAGGCAGCCCGTTCTCGCACGCTTCTTTCGAGCACTTTGAGGGCAAGACATATCTTGATTCGCCATGGCAATTATCAGAATATGCTTATCAAGGTATTCCAGATAATGGATTTAGCAAAGAGTGGCAAATATTACTCAATAGATCGTAAAGTTGTGATGGCTGACAGTCCAATTGCTGTAATGCGGCCGCCCTCCGCATTTGCCCATTTTATCCGATTTAGTATATTTAGGCACAGCTTCGGCTAATTGGCATTCTCACTCTCGTATCGATTTGTATGGGGCATTTTCTGTGTAGCTTCAGTACTATTGAGAACTGTTTCCATGCTAAGTTGGGGGTCACTCACATGCGGGGCATCTATCTGCGGGTGCATTTTACAACTTTGATCGAGTGGCAGCAGAGCATGCGGTCTCGACCTAAATTGTACAAAGAGGAGATGGAAGCTTTAGGAATGCGATTCCTTTTCAGGAACAAATCACTGACGCTTGAGGTATGCAGAAATGTATGTGGAATATATGATTTACAGCCGTGGAAAGCTAGCGATGAAACGAAAGCAGCTTGATGGAATAATATGTTTTATAGTGGAAATGTATAATGCGATGTTTATAAAATAAAAAAAATAAAGAGAAAGTAAATGACAGCCTTGTACAAACTGCGCTGATACAAAGAGCTGTTAATGGATGTTTGCAATCACTTCATATGAATATATTAAAAATCTTGAATCCTACAAATCAACAAACTCTCCCTTTAGAGCCTCATCCTCACGAATCCTCATCAAGTAATCTTGAACCTTAGACACAATACTATTGACATCTAACCCAAAATACTTGTACGCCTCCGGGCCTGGGAGACTGTGTCCAAAGCGCTTTACGTTTATGCCCGCATTTGCATACCTCTCCCACCCATTTGGAGCGTATGGCTCAATTATAATCGCGGGAATCCCGATATGTCTTCGTAAGGTATCCCTTTTATACTCCGAGGATTGCCCTTCAAACAGCCGTTGACATGGGAAGCTGACTACTCTGCAGAGGATGTCTTTCGATTCACGCAATACGGTGGCGGCATCAAGAGCATGCGATAACTCTGCGCCAACGCCGATGAGCGTCAGCTGCGCATCGTCATCTTCTTGAACAACATAAGCGCCTTTTGCTACGCCATCTCTCCGTGTATGCTTCAATTGCGGCACTTTGTGTCGTGAAGTCGAGATAATAGAAGATACATCTTTCGCTTCAATAGCCGCGATCCAGGCGCCGGCTGTCTCTTCACTGTCTGCGGGACGGATATACAGCAAGTTTGGCATCGAACGGTATAATGCTGCTAACTCAATCGGTTGATGGGTTGGCCCATCTTCGCCCATTCCAATGGAGTCGTGGGTTGCTGCGTGAATCACTTGCAGTTGCTGCAGGGCACCCATTCGTACCGCCGGCGCGGCATATAGGTAGAACATGAAGAACGAGCTCGTAACCGGAATGAAGGTGCCAGGGGCAAAGGCTGCTAATCCATTGGATATAGCGCACATTGCGTGTTCTCGTACGCCGTAGTGAATATACCGTCCTGCATAAGAGCCATTGATGCCGCAGGTTGTCCGCAGATCAGGCTGGATATACTGTCATCAGATGATATAACAAAGATATGTAGCAGAAGTCCACACTTACATGCTGAAAATCTTCTTTTCCATCCCATGCCATGTTTACAGACGGCGAGAGATCCGCAGTTCCTACAACAAAAGAATTAATCGCTTTAGCGAGAGGATTGACCATCAGCCCGGACGACGCTCGTGTCGCCATTGGCTTATCAGAAAGACTCTCTGGGCTAGGTACTAATGTCTTCCAATGTGAAGGCAGCTTTCCATCTAAGCGCTGTTGAAAGTTTTGGGCGATGTCTGGATACGCCCTCGCATATCGATCCACAAGCTCGTTCCACCGTGAAACGACCTGCTCTCCACGGCTGGGCAGCTCAGAAAAGAATTGACGGACCTCGTCACCAACAACAAATTGTTCCTCTGGGTTGAAACCATAAGCTTGCTTCATCCGTTTCACATCGTCAACGCCGAAAGCGGCTCCGTGTGCCTCTGCCTGTCCAGCAACTGCACTGTCCAGGCCGATTATCGTTTTCACGTTGATAAACGTGGGTTTGTCTGTAGAGGCTCGGGCTCTTTCTAATGCGGCCACAATGCCACCCACATCATAACAACCGTCCTCAACGTTGATCACATTCCAACCACACGCACTCATTTTCGTGTTGACATCTTCAGTGTTTGTTAAATCCACTGAGCCATCACAAGTAATCTGATTGTTATCGTATATGACAGTCAAATTATTTAGTTTGAGATGGCCCGCGAAAGAGATGGCTTCGAGAGCCACACCTTCCTGAAGACATGCGTCTCCAATCATACACCACGTATGATTCGATATAACATCATATCCAGGTCGGTTATATGTCGCCGCTAGGTTCTTGGTAGCTATAGCTAAGCCAACCGCATTAGCGACACCCTGCCCTAAAGGCCCTGTTGTTACCTCGATGCCTTCAATCTCAATCTCTGGATGGCCAGGGCATATGGAGTCCCATCTCTTTGAGTGGTATGACTTTAGCTGATCCATTGTCATGTCGCGGTATCCCGCCAAGTGCAAGAAGGCGTATTGAAATAGGCAAGTATGGCCATTTGAGAGTACAAATCGGTCTCGATTGAAGAAGTCTGGGGTATGTGGTGCATAGCGCATCACATACTTCCATAGAGCGATTCCAATCGCAGCCATGCCGATAGCGCCACCAGGATGGCCGCCATTGAATTGTTGGCAGAGATCACTGATAAGCAACCGAAAGGTTTTAAGGATAATGTCGTGTTCCTTGGAGGGTTTATTGAGCGTAGTTTTGTTGTTAATTCCATCTGTTACGCCATTTTTTGCGACAACTGGCTCGACAGACAGAATTCCAGGGGCCATTTGCGTATTGGCTAATTAGATGGTTATTGCAACTCTGAAATAAACGAGTGTGAAGTCTGTGAGGCGCTCGGAAGACGCAGTATGAGAGGTAAATAATATGAATAAGAACTAGAAAGATCTTGAAAGTATTACCTTTGAACTTCTAGGTTCATATCTATTATAAGCCGACATCTGAATGTCTATCTACTTCTAGTAATGCGGGCGATTATCCTGACGCGAAAGGATTACCGAAATAGGAAAGTTTAGCCACCTCGTCTTAGAGCTTGCAACCGAACCAATGGGGCCTCTAAAAGATTCACCCAGTCCCACGATCCGGATCTTTTATTTTAATTCCAATTTTCTTTTTGAATAATTTCCGCTCTTCCCCTCTCCTTTAGCGTTAAACAGTCTTACTCCTGTGTGTTCGGGTATATCGCAACCCAGCCGCAGAGTGTCTTAGGACTGGAAGTTCAAGCAGCTTACCTACCTATATAAGTTGTAGTACACAGGCCCCCAAAAGTCAACTAATCAAAGATATTTTCTACTTGATACATCTTCTTGTTCAATTTATACCCAAAACGCCATGGCTCCTGCGACGACAATGAATGGGGATTCGTTCAAAGTATCAGAAAAGATAAAGCTAGAAGCCGGGGCAGCCGCATCTGTAAATGGTCGAAAAGTTGTCAAAACCACACGGCCTAATCCTTCTTTGCAAGCAACAGCCGACCACCGCCTGAAATTGGTCGAAGCTCCGGTTCCAGAACCTGGCCGAGGAGAAGTCTTACTCCATGTGAAGGCTACTGGAATCTGCGGGTGAGTAACCCTAACCACAAAGCATACTGCGCCTAGAAGAAGCTGATGGGTTTTTTCAAAGATCGGATGTCCACTTCTGGAAATCCGGGCGCATAGGCTCGTTAGTTTTTGAGGGAGACTGTATCTTAGGCCACGAAGCTGCCGGAGTTGTGCTCAAATGTGGAGAAGGCGTTACGAATGTTAAGCCTGGTGAGTTTGCAGCTCTATAGAATTGTGCAGCTGACACTGATGTTTAAAACAAGGTGACAGGGTAGCCATTGAGCCAGGTGTGCCATGCGGTGACTGCTTCCTTTGTTTAGAGGGGAGATACAATCTCTGCGAAGATGTCAAGTTCTCCGGCGTCTATCCTCATGCTGGGACAATTCAGAGATACAAGGTCCACGATGCGAAATGGCTTCACAAGTACGCTTCCAATTTATATCTCCGTGAAAATGCATATAATTTTAACATGAAATTCTAGACTCCCTTCCAATTTATCCTTTGCTGAAGGTGCCCTTCTTGAGCCTCTAAGCGTTGTCCTCCACGGCATCCGCACTGCAGGTCTAAACCTTGGCTGTGGTACAGTAATATGTGGCGCAGGACCCATTGGGCTGATTGCTTTGGCCGCAGCGAGAGCCTCTGGTGCACACCCGATCGTAATAACAGACATTGAGCCAAAAAGGTTACAATTTGCTCAAGAATTCGTTCCATCGTGCCGAACTTACCGGGTGGATCCCTCTTTAGACGCCGCGGAGAACGGACGTCGAATCCGACGGCTCTTTCGCAATGTTGATAACGATACAACACAAAATCTCGGACAAGATCTTGATCAGGAGTACTATGCACCGAGGACTGTTCTGGAGTGCACAGGAGTAGAAAGCAGCGTTTGCACCGCAGCGTATACCGTTCGACGGGGAGGAACCGTTTGCATCATCGGGGTGGGCAAATCGATCATGAATAACTTACCGTTCATGCACATTTCTCTGGCTGAGGTACGTAATACGGCTACAAGGTGTCGATGTCGATGTCGTGTGCGTTTGCTAACAATCGATTTGCACAGATCAAACTCAAGTTTATTAATAGATATCGCGACACATGGCCGGCAGGTATTGCATGCCTTGGTGGGGGGATTCTTGATCTGAAGCCTCTAGTAACCCATGTTTATCCCCTTGAAGGTGCTATTGACGCTTTGCATTTCGCAGCCGACCCTAAAAATGGAAGCATTAAGATTCAGATTGTTGATGAAGTAGAAGAATATGCATTGCGGTAGGCCAAACATATTAAAACCATGTATAGATATTTTCTACAGATAGAGTAGCCCTTATTTGTTGCTACTGAACATTATGAATTAGATTTGCTATTTGGGTTTCAGAGATATATGAAGATACTCCTGGGCTTGAGGCGTCTAAATCACAGTGCATTTTACATCACATCTGACTCTAAGAGATGTTCAATTCTTTGATATTATACAGTTGTAGCTTCATTATAATGCAACAAGGGGTATAATACCGTATTTTACGGCAGCTGGAATATTCCTTTCACGTGTAACACTGGAGAAAATGCAGATACGCCCTTCCATAGCTGCAGGTTAAAAAACGGGTCTCGCCCTTACTGAACGAAGTTACCCATTATATACGCCTTAGCTTACTTTTTATTCTGGTAGCAACCACTTTCAACTCTGTGAGAAAGCGGCGCCATTGTTCATTTAGGCGCGGCCCAAGAACACAAGGGGCTCATTTCTGGAAATGCCGAGCGAGAAGGCACAGCTCCTCACCGCTGGTATGTGCCAGCATTATGTGCTGTAAGCTCAAATGCATGTGCCATTAGTCGTACTAAATCAGACCAGGCTTTCATGTTATCTTGATTGTTTCTATTGGCTATTGGAAGTTGCCACTTTATAACACGTCCAAGTCAATCTTTCGCTGTAGGCGCCCCTTAGCGTTCCTCCGATTGGGCAGCGACTGTCCCTCCCACGTAAGGGATTTTGGATATTTGTGCCTATTTGCGGAAAGTTAAAAAAAAAAGACATTCATATCCAGGTAGCGACGTGATGTAACATTTCGTGAACTTGACAAAGTCCTCTCGGCGGCAGTCACATCTCCATCTCTTGTGTAAATAGCACTGCCGTGAAATTTGCGATCCACACCGGAGGACTCTCCGGCTGACCAAAGCCAATCACGTCTCAGACTCATCCCTGCTGCGAGTGTGCGCATTTACGGAGGATAGCGGAATGCAATATGCGCTGGCCACGTCTATGCTAATGAGGGGTCGCAGAATGTTCGAGCATCCCAGAGCAGCCTTGGGCTATGGATTGCTGAGTACGGGACATGTTCAGAATCATCCCTGTCCGTGGATATCACTTGGATCAGCCGCGTAGCCTTGGAGCCCCTGCGCTTACGAACTGGCACCGGACAGCCCTTTTCAATACTCCAACCTTTACTCATCTACGACAGCCTCGACGCCAGAGTGCACGTCCTTTCAAGGGCAATTCATCATGCCTGAGCAGACGAACATTTCCAGAGCCCGGCCTTTGCGCCAGGTGCTGCCGGCACCAGCGAGGCGGCCAGAATTGGCAGGGCCGGCTGCGTCGACGGCATCGTCTCCTAGGAAAAACATGGTACTAGCAGCCTGTACCGCATGTCGCAAGCACAAGGCCAAGGTATATCTCAGTGATCAATACTCGGGTTACGCAACGCTAATACTGGTTATCATGATAGTGCTCCGGCGAAAGACCGTCGTGCCGTCGTTGTATTCAAAGGCAAATTGAATGCCACTGGACAACAAAGCCTGGAGAGACCAGCGCACAAGCCCTCAAACGAGGTTATCAAGACATACGAAACAAAAAGTCACCTCATCAGGAGCTATTCGAGCTTATAAGGCATTTATCCGACCAAGAGGCTGAACATGTCTTTCAAAGAATTAGATCCGGGGCCGACGTGATGACAATTCTGAACCATATCAGAGTTGGCAATGTTATGTTGCAAATGGCTGTTTCCCCCGAGACTCGATTACGATATGTATTCCCATACCGATCAGAAATGCCCGAAGATATCTTTATAAATAATCCCTATATGGAGTCGAAGATATATGAAGCCGCGTCGCTTTACTCGAACTCGTCAGGGTACACCGCCTCCAACTTCGATGGCAGTATGGGCTCCGACGAGTATCAGAATCTCTATATAAAACCATTCCATTCAGCAGAGGTTATTGATCCTCTGTTGGCCAATGCAAAGCCATCTTCGTGGACGGCGGTTTGCGATGATGATGTACTCATGCGAGACCTTCTCTCAGTATTTTTCAGATGCGAATACCATTTCACTTCGGCATTTCAGAAAGACTACTTCTTAGAAGACATGGCCACCAAACGAAAAGACTTTTGCTCGCCTTTGCTCGTCAATATCGTTCTGGCTTATTCGTGTGTATGATATTTCCTACCTATGTTTTGACTTCATCTCTAAAAGAGTGGTCATCTCTAATATTCATCCCCAGGTTTGTTATCCGAAATTTTCGGACCGTTCAGAGTACTGGAATCCTAAAACAATCGGATATGCTTTCGCTGCTGAAGCAAAGCGTCTGTGGGAGTTAGAATCTGAAATTCCACGAATTACCACGATACAAGCTGGGATAATCTTTAACGTTTTTTATAACCTCTGCGGCTTGGACGAGGTTGGGCAATCCTATAGAATACAGGCGATAGCTCTGGCTCATCAGATTCGACTATTTGACAGCCCTATGGACGAACAAACTATGCACCCGCGGACAGTAAGATTACAAAAGGGCAGGGCGTTTGCCGCATGGTCTTTATTTAACTGGGAAACGTAAGTACATTGATTCCAAAAATTGATCATGTCTGATTATTTTAGGCTCGTTAGCTTCTCCTTCTTGATCCCTCCGCTACTCACCAAACCTCCGATTTATCCCTTACCAAATCCCTCAGAAAATGCACTCTGGTATGGAGAAGTGTGGTTGAATTACCCATTAAGCCATAGTCTAGTGCCATCGAACTTTGGTCAAATGTACAAGGCGAAATCCCAATTTCGCATCATCATGAACGACTTTTGCCATACGGCCTATTCAGAAGACTCTGAGGTCACCATCGAAAAAGCTAATGAGCTGCTCTTTAAGCTTAGAAGCTGGTTCAATAACCTACCAGAACCGCTTTCACCCAAGAAGATTGCACTCCCAGGACAATTGCAACTTCAGTAAGCCGGCCCCCTTTTTTGTGGAATACCGAATATTGTCATCTACCGAATGGACACTGTTAACGTTACATTGCTACAGTATATACTACCACCATCTGATACGTACCATCTTTGAACCATTGCTGCAAAAGGAAACAGACCAAGCATTGCACATACGCCAGGTCGTTGCCGATTCCAAAAGATATCTCCAAACTCTGGTTCGACTTTACTATATCCGCCACGGTTACGATGCCATGGATCTATTCATTGTTATACCACTGATGCTCAGTGCCTCGGATTGTGTCGAAGCTATAAATGATCAAATACCTGAGGCTCAGCTTGAACTATTGCGATCCACGCTGATTTTAGCTGTAACAGGGTTGTATAGCCAACGCCGGAATCACTACTTAGCCGAAGCGCTATTCCGTGTTATTCTAGGGCGAATGCGACCCTGTGAGGTTGCTCTATTAAAAGGCGCTATGCCAACAGATGAGAGTGAGTGGGAGGAGAAACAGGAGATGGTACAAGCTGTAAGAAGTCAGTGGCCGGTTAGCATCGTCAAAAAGAAAGAAGACTTGGATTCTCACATTTTGACGAATCTTGTGGAAAACTATGCTCGCTTGAATGTGGAACAAGGTGCCCAATCAGCGCAAAATCGGGACTCGACTCAAGGGAACTAAAGGTGAATCAATCATATACATACGCTATACTTGAAATATCATCTTGCGATCAAGATTGTCAAGTGGATGGTCAGTATCTTTTCTGGGGTAAAGGAAGAGTAAGAGGTCTTCCTAATCATTCGGCAAATTATTTAGTATTTTATCTATACTGAAAGAACACGCACTTTATCAGTCTATTCCCCCAATTACACCCTATATCATTTGCTTCTCCTTTACTGCACGTGTTCCTTCTCCTCTGCTTTTGGAATTCGAACCATGGTAATGGTAATTAACGCTCCAACCATGGCCGAAGCAAAGCCAAACCACCAGATAGCGCGCATACCTTGAAGTCCTACCTCTCCAGAAGGAAGTTGATCGACCTTGATCCCGATAGAGTCTGACACAGAGGTAATCATCGCCAGAGTCAAGTTCTGCACAGTAACTAAAAGACTACCAGCGGCACCCTGGTACGACCTGGGCACACTTGAAGTAATGAAGATTGAAGCCGCTGCAAAACTGAGATCAGGCCCAAATGTTGCCAAGGCTACGCCAGGCATCGACATGGCCCAGTATGAGGTATTGGGTGTTTGTGGAAGGAAGAATACCGGCCCCAAGCCAAAGCAAACCATGCTAGTAGCAAATATCCAGTGGCCAGGAACCACGTGAAGAGTCTTGGAGACAATCCAGGCTGCAAGAATGCCTACGATACCATTAGGTAGAATATACAACGCTGCTGTGAGTGGAGTGGCCCCTTGATAGCGTATCCAAAACTGAATGGCATAAAACTGCCATGCACCGGCTTAATAAGAGATACCTTGTTAGCTAAGAGTTCAACAAAAGCCATGCATATTATTGTGAGACTCACTATAAGCCCCGAATCCGAAAATGTAGGATACCAAAACTGCAACAAATCCAGGCGTCTTCCAAATGCCGTTCGGGATCAGAGGACGAGCAACACGGCGCTCTACGAAGTGAAACGCGACGAGCAAAAGGAACCCAACAATAATCAAGGTATAGGTATACGGATTCCACTGTGCCGCCGAACCCTGCGTAAGCCCAAAAAGAATCAGCCCGCTGCCCAGAGACGCAAGTAAGGCGCCCATGTAATCAAACTGCCGGATCGAAGGCACATCTGCAGCGTTACTATCCGCAGCCGGCCGCAGATCGGGGATCGTGAAATAAGCAGCAAGCGCACAAACTGCCAGGAAAATGGCTGTGCTGCGGAATATCCAGTTGAGATGAGCAGTGAGGAGACCGCCTTGGACACAGCCAATCCAGAAACCAAACGGCGCCCCCGCTGCCATTAGTGAAAACACGCGTGTTTTGCGAATGCCTGGATTGTACACTCGGCCAAGAATACTCATCGAGGTTGACACGAGCACTCCGACAGCCAGGCCCTGCATAGCCCGAGCTACAAAGAAGAGGATCTTGAGTTTTGGAGAAATAGCCGTGCCGGCCACTGCGTTCCATACCGCCTCCCATACAAAAGCTCCGACCATGAGTGGTTTCGGAGGGGCCAAATCAGCCAACGGGCCAAAAACAATGACTGACAAGCCGCTTGCCAATGCTGAAGAGCCCACGAGCCAAGGAGTCTGCGCGGGGACAATACCCAATGCTTCTCGAAACACAAACTGATTAACCACAACCTGGCCGAAAGTCAGCGAAAACATGACCTGGCCGGCCGTGCAAACTAGGACGAAGATGATCTCCGCCAAGAGATTGCGAAGCTCAGGCGGAACGCCCTGAGAAACAGGATGCGTCGGGCTGCCTCGTTCTTCAGAGAGGCCAGCAGGTGGCGAGTCGTTGACCGTGGCATTTTCGGCTTGTCTGATCCTCAGGCTGCTCAATTCAATGACGGTGGCTGGCACAGGCCCTTGGACACTGGCGGTGTCTAGAGGTCGGATGGGTGTCTGTGGAAACAACTGCTCTTCGCTAAGAGAGTGGTCGCCTGGGCTGGGAAGAGACTCCAGAGGTGTCGCAACAGATAGTGAGTGCGAGGACCAGAAGTCTTCACTATGTGCCTCTGGCGGCAAGACAATTGTGGATTGCGTTGTAGACATTTTTTTTTTTTTTTTTTGCTGTTGGAGATTACATGTACTGTAATTGCGGTGAGGCCGCTGCCTGCATGTTTAACCAGCCTGGGTGGCTCAGCCGTTTTAACTACATGTTATGCAAAGAAATGAGAGAATGAGCATTGGCTATTCCATACGCAGTACAAATGGTTGACCATTAATAATGTTGCTTCATTGACAACTTCTCCACGCCCGATGCTTGCTTCCTCCACAAACTCCGGCGCCGGGGACTAAGCTCATACAGTGTGCACTGTGCTTTGCTAAGTTGGGGTGAATCACCCCGAAGCAGACGGTCACCAAAAGTCTGCCACAAGTGCTTCTAGTAAGAGCTATCAAATACAGTGAATAGATCTATCAAAACTCTTCATTGAGACTTATAAATCTATCGACAAATGTACCAAATCTCGACATTCATAATGCCTCTATGACAATGAGGTCATTTCGGAGATTCACCAATCTTGCTCTTAAATCTTGACAGGTTAGTATGTGATTATAGGCTAGTACCTCTTACTTGAAGCCGGTACATTTCTTCGTATACGGTCCACTTCATCATACATTTCGAGGATGTCTTACAATTCAATGTTGTTGAAAATGGCAACGGCCCGTGTATTGTTGATAACCCACAACGTTGAAAATGGCAACGGCCCATGTATTGTTGACAACCCACAACACTTCGGAGTGAATCATCCGGTGCGTTTGGCGCCAAGCTTCCTCCGGTCTTCAATTAGCTCTCACTCGCACATTGGTTTGCCCCGCTCCGGCTAAAATACAGGCGGCCAGTGCTTAGAGTTGCTGAATCAGGAAGTGCTCTGCATCTAGCAAGGAGCACGGAAGACTTCCGTGGGGCATACACTTACTCTTGTACCCGTTTTACCGTTGTATCTAAGCCATAGTACTGGATCAACGATGCCATCGAACTACGGAACTCTTCTATCGGGTAGCTAGCCTTCACTAATGAGCTTGGCACTGAAAGAGCCAAATTTTTGTGCCCCATATTTATCCAAGAAAACGAGTACATAAAACATATGTTTGCCTCAATGCTCAAGGCTAGATGGTTATATCTCTTAGACTCAACAAACGTAGCAGGGCAGCGCACATAAGCACCGTTGATTAGATCCTATGCCAGTTTCAACAACTAGTCGCAAGTTATGGTTACGGAGTAAAACAATTTCTAATATAAACATGACGAGAGCTTGTCTCTGAGTAGAATCTAAGATAAGAAAGCAATAATACAAGAATGAAAAGAACACAAGGTTTCCCTAATAAACGCCAGGCTTTCAGCTCTACCATCCAGTTATAGGACCAGCGTATCAATATATACAAATGAACTGAACGAAAACACCAGAAGCAGGCAATCTTGCAACTAATCAGAAGGGATAATTAGCGTAAACGTCTAGAATTTTGATCTAGAGCTCTCACATTGGGGCAACCCCCTGTTGTGTCCCCGTCATCTCCCATCCAATAAAGAGGACGAAGTTGGTCTTCGCCCCGTACCTGTTAAATGTCTAACCACGAAGTCGCCAAAGTCCCTGTTATAATGCTGGATAGCCGGTTTGGGCTAACCTGATATTGCCGAGCCGAGTGAACGGCTTACGCCTTGGAAAACATCGCTTGTATCGGTGCTTTTCCTTCAACTCCATTTGGTGGATGTAAATCATAACACAACAGCAGTCTAAAGTATTTTTTGAGAATAACGTTGTTAAGAGATTCCGGACTGTCAGAGGCAAGGTTCCTGGCAAAATGGACTCCCATGTTGCGGGCAGAGTGCGCTGCTAAGTTGGGTCACTGGTTCCATTTTTAGACCATTCAGGCGAGTCCAGCCAGACAAGGAGCTTTTGTAGTAGTTTGTTGATGTTGACCGGTTTCGAAATGTAATCATCCATGCCCTTTTCTAAACAAGTTTCATTGTCTCCCCTGAGGGCATAAGCCGTCATGGCTATGATTGGAATTGGGATGCCATAAGTCCGGATTTTTCCAGTGGCCTCGAAGCCATCCATGACCGGCATGCTGATGTCCATAAGGACTAGGTCGTAAGCCTTTGGCGCAGCACTCAATAGGGAAACAGCCTCAGCTCCGTTAGAGGCAATGGTAAAATTTTGAAAGCCAAGTGAGTTTAGAACACGACCCAGCACCTTTTGGTTGACAAGGTTGTCCTCTGCAGCGAGAATCCGCTTGTGCGGTGCCATCTCCCTGATCCGACGTAGCATCCTCTCTTTCTCGAATTCCTGTTGAGACTTTGCGGCTTCTTGATCAAGATCAGGGGTGTCGAGTTGGTCAACGTTTGCGATTTTCTTCAGCTTGACTGTAAACCAAAATACGCTGCCGTTACGCTCGAGGTTTGGCCGATAGCCCATCTGGCCACCTAATAATTCGGCCAGAGACTTGGCTATGGACAAGCCTAATCCGGTTCCCTGAAATCGTTTTTTAGTGGGTTTCTCGAGTTGTGTGAACGGCTTAAACAGGTTTTGAACGGCATCCTCAGGCACGCCGATTCCGCTATCAGTGACCTCGGTGAGAATCGTGTACGATGTTTCGTCTTCAGCAGCTATGGAGGCGTCAACCTGCACGGATCCTTTTTCGGTAAATTTGACAGCGTTGTCGATGATATTCTGGAAGATCTGCCGGAAGCGAAGCGGGTCTCCTTGAGCAGACTTGGGCAAATCCGGCGCCAAGATGAGTTTGATGTAGACTCCTGGAACCAGTGTCACCTGTACATTCTTTACCACGGACGAGATGATATTCGCGACGCCAACCAAATCTGTGTTGACGGAAAAGTTGCCCGATGCTAGCTTGGAATAGTCGAGAATGCCGTTGATGACTTGCAGTAAAACCTGGCCCGATTCCGAAATGATGTTGGCCGTCTCGCGCTGGTCCTCGGTTAAGCCGGTGTCGAGGAGGAGAGTGCAGGCGGATAGCATGCCGTGCATGGGAGTTCGAATCTCGTGGCTCATGTTGGCGAGGAAGTCGTTTTTGAGCTTTGCGCTCTCCTCGTACGCGGCGATGAGTCTCAGCTCGCCCTCTCTGCGCTCCGTCAGATCTCTAGTGACCTTGCCAAAGCCGACATGGACCCCGTTTCTATAGATGGCCGTGATAATGACATTGGCCCAGAAGCGGCTGCCGTCTTTGCGATAGCGCCAGCCTTCATCCTGCACCCTGCCCTCGCGCAGACAGGTTAGAAGCTCGCTCTCAGGCTTGCCGGCGGATAGATCGTCCTCGCCATAGAATGTAGAGAAGTGCTTTCCAACAATCTCCTCCCTCTTGTAGCCTTTGAGCAGCTCAGCTCCCGTATTCCAGGTCGCCACGTAGCCACGGGTATCAAGCAGAAAGATGGCATAATCCTTGACCGTCTGGATGAGAAGGCGGTAGACCTCGTCGACGGACAGTGCGTTCTGGATGACCTCGCCGCCAACCTCGGCCGTCTTGGACTCGACTTGGTCCCAATCGAGGACTAGCGACAGCATTTCGTCTCCTCTGAATATCGGGATGATTCGCGCCGACCAGGCCACTCCGCGCGCGGTGTATACGGCGTAGCAGTATCGAAAGTTGCGGGCGGCAACCGCCTCTTCGATGGCGCGGGCAAGGGGGATTCGGTCGAAGCGCTCCAGCGGCGAGCCTCCGTACAGAGCGGTGAAGAGATCCTTGCCCAGGAACTCGTCCCGGCCGCGATTCCACGCGTTGACAACGCCCTTGGACACCCGCTGGATGCGGAATGTTGGCGAGACGACCAGCATGGGCACGGGCGAGAGATCGCAGATGTCCACTGGGCCGGCGTCCATGGCGCCGCTGCTGGCGGCCGCTGCAGCCCCCTGAGAGATCATGTTGTGCGGCGATGGCTGACGGGCATCACGCTCACACGCCTCGCGCAGAATGTGGTGGTGGTGGTGGTGGTGGTGGTGCCGCTGGTCGGAGATGCATGAAGAGGTGCATGGAAGACAGGCCCGGCATGTCGGTTCCCACCCGCTAGATATCAAATATCACAATAGCCGTGCTTGCAGCTGCTATTATTACTCCTATCCGGCCCGCCATGACGTAAGGGACACCGCAGCGCCTTCTCCGCACAGGATCTGCCTGTGCCAGCGCTCCATTGGCTGCTGCTGCAGCGAGAGGCCTTGCCTGGATGGCGGCCAGGCTTCTGCGGCGCAAGGCTTAATCTTAGGCAGGCGACAAGCCCGTCAATAGTGCGTCGAGCGAGGTTGCGCTCGCTGGGCCTTTACCGAGCGCTGATGGGGCTTCCGGAACGCACGCCCTGCTTACACGGGAGATCACCATTCGTGGTACCGGCGCCTGCCCCACTCTTCCGACAGCCCGGCTTCAGGCGGTGCCATGCAAGCGTGGCTTAGCGGGCATGGATTTATATTGGCCGCTGTGGTCCAGCGATCGCTTCAAGGGGTGGGTGCGCGCAGCATTGATCGCGTTTGATGAGCCTGCAGCGTAGCACGGGCACAATGCACAATGCAGAGTGCAGACTGGAGCAGCGTTTGGATGGTTCGTATTTCAACGTTGCCCGTTGCCGTAATGCTTGGCCAGCTTTTATTGCGTCCATCTTTGATCATGCAGCAGGTATTAGTAGTGCAATCACATGCATCCATGTACTACTAGGTAGGTATAACATTTCTGCGAATTGTTTATCCATTTTTTTGTCTTCGGAAATGACCGTGTCGTGTTCTGCAAGCTCGCTGTAATAGAAGACGGTACCTATAATAACCAAGGCAGGTAGTTGAGAATGCTGTGCCGATATCTGCGCTGTGCAACTACTGAGCTTGAGGATGACCCTCTACTGAGGAATTGAAAATCGCTAGGCCGTTTCAGATTTGACGCTCCAAAGACGAGTTCACAGGATATGATATCTTGTATATTCCGTAGTACTGCTAAGTGGCAGGCGACCCGCTTTTATAAACCGGTTTTGCAGGCGATTCATGCTAGGCGTGAAAGAGAGAGAGCCGTAGTATAAATTTTTCTCATTTTGGTGGTCTGATGCCTCTATTGTGTTGTTTTGCTCCACAGGTGACATCTCTAGCAGCCCATTTGTCACTTACAAAAGGAAGATTTACTCCCTACCACAATTAATATGCAAAATATCCGTATCATACGTGCCGGGCAATCATTTGAGATGAATTTAGCCCTGTCCTGCTTTCTTTTATGCCCGCTGGATAGACCATCTGCAACCGCTCAAGCGCTAGTATGGGAAAGAGGGGTATACTCTGAATTTTCAATACCGGTTTATTGTATCGATTGAGTCTTTGGTAACGTGCTGCGTAGCATAGTAAGTCGGCTTGATTCATGTAACAATACTAGAATGATGGGCTGCTCTGTGAGTTTGTGGTACTTCCTACCTTCTTCCCTTGCCACCATATTTGTGACCCATCACTGGAAATCATTGAAGTGAAGACTGGACAATGGCTCGCGTCGGCGCAAGCATGGCCCGATGTTACTTCACAACCAGCACGGATTCCCTGCCGCCTGCCCCTCTCGAAGTGCTTCTTTTCTCGGAACTTTGTCTAAGACATTGGAGAGATGAGTGATCGGATATTACCCTTGTTTATGAAGGATTTAAGTCTGCGATGTGAAGTCTTTATTATGGGCGAGTTTTCCCGCACGCTCCGCACCACTTCCGTTCTTCCCATCTGCAATATCCAAATTCCGAATCAAGCTACAATAACAACACCATGAATGGCAGCAGCAATCGCCCGCCTTTGAACATAGCCGTTATAGGCGCTGGAATTGTTGGTGCCCACATTGCAATTGGTCTTCTGCATAGAAATATCCAGGTTACCATCTACGAACAATCGACCCAAGTCAAGGAGATTGGCGCCGGAATTGCATTTCCCACGCCGATAGTTGAGTGCATGACTGCTTTGGATCCCGTCGTAACAGAACAGTTACAAAAAGTCTCTGGAGTTTTTAAAAACCTCAACGGCATCAACGGCTGTAGCGACGAGGATCTGAAACTTCGCCCGGCAGACCGGCTGTTTGACGTGGTAGTTGAACCATTTACATACCATAGCACTCACCGAGGCCAGTTGCTAGATGGTCTACTTGGGCTTATACCACAAGAATACATAAAACTAGGAAAGCGTTTGGAGTCGATTACACACAACGAAAACAATCAAGGGCCTCTTCTTCTCCAGTTTTTTGATGGCACCACGGCCGAAGCCGACGCAGGTAAGAAAATTCTATACAGTGATCGGCGTAAACCTCGTCGCAAGAAGCCTGTTCAAAAGATACTGACATGTATACACTTCGATTATATCAGTCATAGGATGTGATGGTATCAAATCACAGGTTCGGCGCATTGTCTTGGGCAAGGATGATCCAGCAGCTTTCCCTCACTACTCTTACACAAGTGCGTATCGCGGACTGGTACCCATGGAAAAAGCAGCAGCAGCTCTAGGAAAGCTCTCGAAAGAAGCTGTCTCATATTTAGGCCAAGGAGCGTCTTTGTTTACCTATCCTATCATCAGCAAGAACGCTTTGAACGTGGTCGCTTTTGTACACGATGAAGGTGAATGGCCTGATTCAAAAAATTTGACCATTCGAGGGAAGAAAGTCGATGTTGTGGCAGCCTTCTCTCACTTCGGTCCTTCGGTAAGAGATCTTGTAGCAGCTATGCCTGAAGAACTCAATCGCTGGGCCATGTTCGACACCTTTGACCATCCTCTCTCAACGTTCGCCTATGGACGCATCGTTCTCGCAGGAGATGCTGCTCATGCGTCAACACCCCATCATGGCGCCGGGGCCGGGATGGGCATCGAAGACGCATTGGTGATGGCGACGCTTCTGGAGAAAGTTGTGGGAACTCCAGGTCTGGATGAAAGCTCTGATGCCAGAAACAGAGCACTCGAGGCGGCTTTCAAGGCATACGACTCTGTCCGGCGAGAGAGGGGACAATGGGTCGTTTCCAGCAGCCGCTTTGCAGGCATTTCGGCGCAGTGGCGCAGTCCTGGCATTGGAAGCGACTCTACTTTATACGCGAAAGATCTTACAGAAAGAATGAACAAGGTCTTTTCTTACGATTGGAAAGGCTCGCTTATTCAGGCTATAGATGAGTATGAGCGTCAATTAGGAGTTTGGGCTAGATAGAGCACGCGACATAGGACTTGATAGAGCTTTCATATGACAGTTTGAGACTATGCGATTGCCTCAAATACCATTTAAAATAACAGAAATTCTATTGTGAATATGGCCAAAAGCAGCGGCATCTTATTGCCTAGGACGTGTAAACGATACGCTGTTGAAGCTACATACACTCGGCTCCATGTCTAGCCGGCTCGGCCCTTCGGCGATTCTAGCCCGCCGATCACCGACCATGTCTTGCAGCAAAGAGCTGTCGAGAAGTATACCTGCCATGTCTATTCAGACAAATAAGGCACTTTAAGTATTATTAATTAAAGCCTCCTCAGTTCTCACAAATCATTTCATGTAAGATGCCCAAGTAGGTGTATCCGGAACCAATAGCGATCGGGGCTCTTTACGGCTTACCTGCTTCACTAACACAGGCTTGGCGGTATACTACACAATACAAGAATAGAGTACATGCACACAGAGCGTGCAGTGTGCATCATCACCTTATTGCTATTCATACATAAACAGTTGCTCGCCCTCGCGTCGGCGCTCGATATGTGTGGGACGGCCATTACCAAGTGCCTTTTGCGACCGATGAGGGCGGCAATTGTCCCGATGCCGAGAACCGTTATAGATTGCCGATATATAGTACCGAAATTCCAATAAATTAAGGGTGGGATACGCGTATCTAATTACAAACCAACTCCAACAAGTGCGTGCTGCAGTTACGGTGAATATTGATGGATCAGCTGTTTAGAAGTTAATGGGTATTACTTGAATCTTAGCTAAACAACACAGAGTGGTCAATATAAATGTATTTAAATATATAGAGAGTATATACTCTGAAGAAAGAAAAAATGAACCCGTTTGATTTACAACACAGTCTCTCTGGTTTATATAGTTACTTTGTGAAATCGCATCTGCAATCAACATGACTTCAAATACTCTTGGCGCTGGAAACACCAAAGCAGATATCTTGATCCGGGCACGCAAGATTTATACTCTTCAGCCTGGAGTACCTGCACAACAATCACTAGCCATTGTCGGGCAGCACATCTTTGCCATTTCAGACCGCCAAAATGACCTAGATCATTTAATTGGGCCCGACACTCGTGTCATTGATGAGACAGACTCTGCCGTGCTTCCAGCTTTCGACGATACTCACACACATCTTATGCTTGCTGCGCAGATGCATGTCGATGTCCCAGTCCATACTGCAAAGAATCTTGATCAACTATTGGATTTAATTCGCCAGCGTGTCTCAAAGACCGAGCCCGGAGAATGGATTTTTACAACTACGAACTGGCAAGAATTCAATCTTCCGGAGAAGCGACTTCCAACAATTCAAGAGCTCGACGAAATAAGCACCGTGCATCCAATCGTTTTACGAAGAGGCGGTCATAACATGGTGGCGAATTCTTGTGCATTGGCAGCTGCCAACATTACTAAGGATACCGTCCCTCCTCCAGGCGGTAAAATCGCAAAGGATGCAAATGGTGAGATGACGGGGCTCATCCAGGACTCCGCAACGGCCCTCATCTATAAAATGCAGGCTCCGGTTGATACTGAGACGCGGATTCATGGCTTGGACGTTGCCAGCACCTCCTACGCGTCAACCGGGATTGGCTGCGTTCGGGATTGCTGGGTCCCTATTGAAGACGTAACAATACTCAAAGCCGCATACGATGCTGGGAGGCTACAAACTCGGTTCAAGGGCCTGGTCTCTGCAATAGGGCTGTCCAGCGTGGAAGAAATCAGTAAGCTGCTCGATCAGATGGAGCAATATCGCCATCTGCAGCATCAATCATATTTCTCCATCTGGGGCCTCAAATTTATGCTAGACGGCGGAATCGAATCAAGCGCCATGGAAGAGCCATACAGGCAAGAGGAAGATTGCGGCTGCGGCTCTCTAAACGAGTATCGAGGGCGTTTGCTGTGGGATGCAGAAACAATGATCGCTGCTGTAGATCTGGTTGTTCGTCGAGGATGGCGGGTTGGCACGCATGCATTTGGAGACCGAGCCGTACGCATCATACTGGACGTGTATGAAGAGGTGGTAAAACGACATCCCAACATGCCACAGGGGACTCTAGTTATAGAGCATGGAGGACTCGCTTCGGCCGAACAGCGAGCGCGAGCCGCGGCCCTCAACATTCCTGTCACTATCCAATTCCCGCTGCTTCATGATATCGCCGGTATTTCTGAGGTATTCTACGGCCGAGACAGAGTGTCACGCTTCTTCCCAGCACGTCAATGGTTGGACTCTGGCGTTCTGGCCACTGCTGGCTCGGATTTTCCCGTTGGCAGCTATGGCGCCATGCACTCGTTGGAGGGCTTGACTACCCGCAAAACAGTCATTGGAGTGCTACGGGAAGAGCATGCTATAACATTACCAGAGGCTATCAGTCTCCATACGACAGAGGCGGCCAAGTTTCTGGGTGAATCGCATTTGAGAGGTATGCTGACGCCAGGTCGATTTGCCGACATCACAATTTGGCGTAGAGACCCATTTGACATGGAATCGGTCTCGGCTGAGCAAGGTATCCATACGCTTTATACTATTATTGGTGGCCAGGTAAAATACTGCAGTTTGTGAATATGTATTTTATACTTGAGCACGCCGTGATTGTAGTTATAAGAGTAATAGCACATGACCTTTTTTTTATGACAATGGAGATGTTGTAAATATAGTTCTTGCTGGTTTATTGTTAGCTATCTTTTTCCTATATATAATCTACAATGAATCTCCTCTGAATAAATCAACCGCTATGTATGGCTTTCACAGTCCTTGAAAATAATTCAAAGGGGTCAGCATTCATTGAACAGCTCCTTGCGCAGTTAAAAAGTCAAAGTCCACTCCCTTATCAGCCTGCGTCACGCTCTTTTCATATAACCCTCTATAACCACGAGTCAGCTGTCTCTTGAATTCTGCAGGGCCTCTAGCTTCCAGTTTCCCCTCAAGTCTATGAATCCTATCCTTGACTCTTGAATCAATCTCAGAAGGACTAAGCTCTACTTCGAGCTTTTGTCTCTCAACATCACAGTGTATTATATCTCCGTCTCTCACAACAGCCAACACACTGTCTGGCAAAGCAGCTTCCGGCGAAATATGCAAAATGATACTCCCTCCCGCCGTGCCAGACATGCGGCCATCCGAAAGACGCAACATGTCTTTGACCCCGCGAGCTGCGAGCTTACGTGGAATGGGAATCAGCCCAGCCTCCGGCATTCCTGGGCTTGAAAAGCCAATAGGCCCTATTCCCTGCAAAACCAAAACGCAGTTTTCGTCAACGTCCAAGTTGGGATCGTCAATACGCTTCGCAAGATCCTCAAGACCGGCAAACACCACGGCTCGGCCCCGGTGCTTAAGCAAATGTCGATACTTGCTGGCACTGGCTTTGATGACAGCCCCTTTCGGCGCAATGTTGCCATACAATACAGCGAGACTCGAGCATGGGTACAACGGTTCATCCAATGGCCTTATAATTTGAGCTGAAAAAGCAAAGGGGCGAAAATTCTCAGCGTCCAGAGCTTCTCCAAGTGTTTCACCCGTTATTGTTAGAGCATCGAGCTTCAGGAGAGGCCGCAATGTACGTAAAAGAGCTGGAATGCCGCCCGCATTATGAAAGTCAGTCATGTAGTTATCGCCGCTAGGTTTGAGATCAACCAGGAGAGGCGTCTTCTCTCCTATTTTATGCACCGTCTGCAGCGTGATTTTATCGTACATCTCCGGGTGACGATTTGCAATAGCAAGCAGGTGAACGATACCGTTTGTCGACCCGCCGATTGCTTGCAAAACAGTAATGGCGTTGTGGAAAGATGCTTCCGAAAGGATCGACTGGAGTGTGAGTTTGTGCTGGGCTGCTTTCACGGCATTTGCACCTGTTTGCTCTGCTATCCTAAGTCTGGCACTGGAGACAGCAGAAGCGGTTGCGCCGCCTCGTAGAGGCACAAGTCCAAGAGCAGCTGTCAAGCAGGCCATGGTACTCGCTGTGCCCATGACGCCGCAGGTCCCAACCTGTCCATCATGTGGTAGTTAGAACTCATCTTGGCTAAATACACTAGTAGAGGTGGAAGCCCACTCACAGTCGGCGCAAGTTCCTCATTCAGAGCAGAAATGTCTTCAATATCTATCTCATTGGCTCGGAAAGCGGCCCAATTGTTGCGACAATCAGTACAGGCTCCGATGCGACCGCCTCTGAAGCTTCCTGGCATCATGGGACCCGTTATCAGGGGCAATACGGGCTTTTTGGCTGATATCCCACCCATTAACTGAGCCGGAACCGTCTTGTCGCATCCTGATTCACGAGGTGTTGTTGATCAATATATAGACAGATATAACGAGTAAAAGACCAGAACCCACCACCAATAACAATGCATGCGTCCACTGGTTGCGCCTTAATCATCTCTTCGGTATCCATGCTCATGAGGTTCCGTAGTAACATGCTGGTAGGAGTAGAAAACGATTCATGGACGCTGATAGTTGGGAAGTCAATGGCCAATCCGCCGTTTAGCTGGACACCCCTCTTTGCGGCTTCGATGAGCTGCGGGACATTGCCGTGACAAGGATTGAAGCCCGAATAAGTGTTGACTATGCCAATAATGGGTCTTGAAAGCGCCTCTTCGCTATAACCTAGTGCCTTGATGAAGACTTTGCGAAGGAAGAGAGAAAAGTGAGGGTCGCCGTAGTTTGGCAAGCCTTGTCTCATGCCGACTGCGGGCTGGATTTGACGGGAGAGGTCATAATCGGCCATAGGATCTGGTGCACCACCAGTAATTGGGTACTCATTCTCCAAATACTCCTGTTTCGACATGTTAAATCACTGCTCTCTTATAATCTCCAAATATTGAATACCAGTAATGTTTGAGCAGTGAGTTTCACTATATTTGTACGTTGAAATTGCGTGATCACTCAGCAAACCGCTCTTGGCAGGGATCTATTGCCAAAAGTGGTAATCATGGAGGGGTTGCCGTTGGCGCGCAGCATCTAAAGATGATTGATCATATGGTCAAGGGAATAGATAGATGTTACTTCAGATAAGTATTTTCTAGCATGCGCATCCAAAAAGATAAATTTGTTTATACAGGCACCATTCTATTGCTGACGGGGTATAATACTTAAGTTATGCATGATTGAAATTTCGGCATCTCTCAACGGATAATCCGAGCCGTCATATCCACCAATACATCATTCATTGCATATGCGATTTTTTGTCAACAAAATATAAAAGTGCATTCATAAAACTATTCTTACTGCTATAAATTCAATCCTGTGTTGACATCATGCAGAGTATATGGAGTGAGATGCTATTATCTTACAGCAGTATTATAAGCCAAGAACTAGATTCAAGAACTAACACCCAACGTAGGATGAATAAAGATATAATTGAGATTATCAAAATCGTCTCAGAACGGTTACAGAAAGTATCAAGTTATCGGAGGGAGTTCGCCTGGGGCTGTCTTAAGATCACAAAAAACTCCACATCAGCTTGATCAATTGCACTGCACCAACCGGTGCCATGTCACATAACCAAACTTCAATCTCATGCAGGGGTGCTCTCCAACCAACAAATGCGGACACTTATCTCGACCCCCCACCGTAATGAATACCGCTTTGAGAGATGCCGCCAAAGGCACGGAAAGCATCTCTCCGGATCGCGCAACACTTTTGCCGTGGTCCTCAGCACGTTTCTGTTAGTCATAGGTTCTGAAACCGGCGCTTTCCGCGATGGGTCTAACAGACGGCGAAGAAAAAAAAAAATTGCATATCCTGGTGGCCTAGGCTAGCTCGACTCCTTAGTAGTTGATAGCTTACAGGCACAAACAGTTTTTTCCATGTCAAATATGGACATTGTATTCTTGAAATTGCGGAGTCACCTATAAGATTATAATATGAGTTACTGGGGAAACAGCAGAAACGACCAAGACCTAGCGAGTGAGCGAACGATTCGGCCACCATCTCAAAATGCGTATTCGTACCTCGTAGGGCGCGTAAACTCACCGAAATCCACTTCTTACCGCGGCGGCATCGCAAAAGCTCTTGGCGCGCCGATAGTCTAATCCATAATTATCACTCTAGTCTAAAAGTTATCAATCAATAAAAGTCCCCCCAATGTCCGTTTCCCAGATTTTGGGAACATTCTGTTTGTGATTCTTCTGGCAGTGTCCAATAGTCCCTTTTTTTTTTCATCCTTTGTGCATTGTAGACCTGCAGAGAGAACGCTAGTTGTTGGTTCCCATATTTAGATATATAGGTACCTATAATATCCCAAAAATGACAGCTGGTGCGTCTCCCTCTCTCCCCTATTGTGCATGAACCCCTTGTATTACCCCGGGTTTTAATCCAACGCCGTTTATACTCTATCTTATACTAATTTTTCTTGTATATCTAGCAACTCTCACTACTGGAGACCTGTCAATAACGACATACCCCGATGGCGGTCTCCAAGCATGGCTCGTCGTCCTGGGCTCCTGGGCTTGCATGATCCCCTCCATGGGACTTCTCAACACAATGGCTGTATTGCAGGCCAGATTATCAGAGAATGAGCTGCGAAACCTACCCGAGTCGACGATTGGCTGGATTCTTAGCAGTTACGCCTTTTTCTTATACTTCTGCGGCGCCCAAGTTGGTATGGAAAAGCTTTCATTTTTATCTTGATCGATATCCCTGGAGTGAGGTTGTGGCACAGGGGAAGGTAGATGTAGATGTACGCTGAGAAACGAGATGGAATGAGTCGATTTCTAACTTATACTCTTGTTAGGACCCATCTTCGACGCATACGATGTGAGAGTCCTCGTCATACCGGGAAACATTGGCATTGTCGTTTCCATGATGCTGATCGGCCTATGTAAAGGTCAGTATATCCGTTCTGTTCAAATCCTTCCTCTTCTGATGCTCACGTCTATTTACAGAATTCTACCAATTCTTCCTCTGCTTCGGTCTCCTAGGAGGTGCCTCTGCCTCCCTCCTATTCAATCCCGCCATCGCCATCATCGGCCACTACTTTGATAAACGCCGCGCCCTCGCCACAGGCATTGCTTGCACAGCCGGTGGCCTCGGCGGCATCATATTCCCTCTCATGATCCTGTACATCACCCCTGAGATTGGATTTCCCTGGGCCACCCGCATCATCGGCTTCATCTGCCTCGCCATGGGAGGCATCTCCATCACCCTCATGAAGAAGCGGCTGCCTCACAACAAGAGCAGCACTCGCATCGGCAGCGCTATTGACCTAAAGGCTCTCCGCGATCCCAAGTACGCGCTCACAACCCTTGCAGTCTTCTTGGTTGAGTTTGCCGTCTTTATTCCCTACACTTACATCTCCTCCTATGCAATCCACGCCGGAATGCCCACTCAGCGAGCCTATCTCCTCAACGCTCTTGTCAATGTAGGCGCAATCCCTGGTCGTGCTCTGCCCGGCTTTGCAGCCGACCGCTTTGGTGCTTTCAACGTCCTGGCTCTCACATCCACTACTTGCGCAGCCCTCATTTTTGCGCTGTGGTACTCTGCCGGTACAAACGAGTCTGCCATCTACTCGTTTACTGTGCTGTATGGCTTCTGGTCCGGCGCCGCGATTAGTATTACACCTGTGTGTATTAGCAGGGTATGCAACATTGAAGATATTGGCAAGCGAACCGGCACAGCCTTTTTCATTGCAAGCTTCGGCGTGCTCATTGGCCTTCCCATTGCGGGAGCTATTTTACGAGCAGACAACGGCTCCTATGACGGCGTTATCATATTTGCGGGAGTCTTTTACGCAGCAACCGTTTTCACACTTTACCTTGCTCGGGGTGTAGCAGCTGGTTGGGGGCTCAAGGTTCTCTTTTGAAGTGACACGAGTCGTTTGATCTTGAATTGGAGTTTGATGAAAGCTAACATGAGCAATTCTTTTTTTTTTTTTTTGTCTAGTACATACAAAAGCTTTAACCTGTGAAGGTCAGCGTATCTATTGGGGGAAATATTATAGAGAAAAGGTGCTTAGACTTCTATACACAAAGCGTCTGCGCAGACATTGGCATAAAAGGATGAAAGGAAAAGATAGAATAGAAAGAAAAGCGAGATAGATTTAGAAAACATAGCAAAATAATCAGATGGTAATGAAAGAAATGGAGGCGCATCAAGATTCAAGGAATATTCTTGAGCGATACCGGAGTCCACTTCTTCTTGCGTCCACCTTTCTTGCTCGCGGTTTTCTTGGCCTCCGTCTCCACAACCACATCCATTGATTGAGTGGTGTTTTGAGGGTCACATGCTGAGCCCCCATTCGGAGTAGGCTTGGCGTTTTTATTCCTTCCTTGAGGAGCTTTCAGCGAAGGTTTCAGCTCGGGAAACGTCTCTTTTTGGACCCAAACGGGGGCCTTGGCTGCCGCCTTGGTTGCTACCTTGGTTCTGCGAGCAGATGAAGGCAACTCAGGATCTTGTTCATCCTCGTTCCTCGACTGAGACTGAATCCTACACTCTTCCAGCAGCGTATCAAGCTTGTTATAACTAAGAAGCTCTGTCAGCCAAGATTCAGATACATAGCCAGCCTCGGGATCTTAATTACTCACATTTCAGGCTTTTCAGGTTGTCGCGATTCTGTAAGTCGTTGCCACTCATACCTAGCCATGGTAGCGTACTCAAACAGTGCTCGGACCCCCGAGAAAATATGTTTCTCTCCCAGGTCTCTCGCCTTCTTACCACTACAGTCCACAACATCCGGAGACGCGTCATTCTCTGAAAGAAGGTAAAGTGTCTCCACGAGACGATCCTCCATATCAGGGGCGCATTGCCCAAGAGCCTCATGTATCGGTCTTCGGCCAAGAGAATCGACCACCTCCACGTCAGCACCGTCCTTTATGAGGGCGTCGACCACATCATAGTATCCAAACCGACAAGCGATATGGAGCATTGTACTCTGTGTAGACTTGCATACGATTGCATTCGTTGGTCTCTTCTTGCGCCGTTTTACATGCTGCATTTGTTGTAAGAGGAAAGCAACAATCTCATCATGGCCTTGAACCATGGCGTGAAATATGGGCAGATTTCCTTCGCCATCGGCTTGGAAAAAGTTTGCCTTCTCTTTAACTAGCATTGACACGACCAACTTGGATCCCCCGGCTGCTGCAACATGCAGAACCCGCTGTTCCATGGGGCAGCAGGCCAACGATTTCCAACATTTTGGTCCGCACTGATGGCAACGATAACCTTGTATGGGAAGATTATAGTCAGCACCAAAGCGAAGTAAGACTTTCGCAGTCAGAGCGACTTGAGCGCCCCATAGAGCACTTTCAGAGTCCTTCTCTCCTTCGAACCAGGCCAGCATTTTGAAATGCGCCCAAGGCACTCTTCGTCTCACAGCGATGTGAATTGCTGCAAATCCGAAATCGCTATACGTGTTCGGATCGGCACCTCGTATAAGGAGAAACTCTACCATCCTTGGGAGAGCATAGCTACACGCGATACGAAGAGCTCCGTCTAGTGCTCCAAGCCTGATGCTATAGGGTCTGGCCACAGACAGATACAGTGTTTTCAGATCAGGATAAAGAACGGTATCTTCATCTAGATCGGATCCGTGCTTGAGAAGCTGTATCGATACCTTGGGGGCATCTTGAAGCAGTGCGTAGTGTAGAAAAGTGAAACTTTCCATCAAGGGAAAAGATCTATGGTCATTAGCCAAACAGCTCTGAATGAACGAAGCCTCCCCATATTCACTTACCCTCTTAATCTTGAGCCATGTTCGCGAAAGATCAGCCATTGGATCAGCTGTTGCGAGTCATGCTTGACGGCATGCATAAACACACACGAGACTGCGTGATCGACCCCGTTTGACTCGGCATGCTTCTCGAATGCTCTGGTAAAGAGGACATCTGAAACTGCCCAGTAAATTCCGCGGCTGCAGCGGCTGAGAGAACTAAGATCTTGGAGATTTGTCACATTGCTGACGATTTGATCAAGTATTTCGGTTGGTAAGTCATCAAATCCGCACATCGTAGCGAGTGCGGCTGGAGAGTGCTATCAAGTATTTGTTGGCAGTCTCAACAAGAGACAAGACAATTGAAGATGTCGAAGAGCTGGCCTGATGATATGGCGAAATAGAAAGAAGGAATACTTTGTGGGGATGTAGTGAGTGATATAGCTGCGTTTTTTTTTTTAATTGATGGATAACTTAGAGTTGCAAAAGTATAGTGAAAGGTGGCTCAAACTTCGACGGCTGCAATAGACGCAGACTCGAGAAAACTTCGGGGCCAAATAAGGAAATGTGAAAAACAGCAAACAAAATCTCGTTAGCAGCTTGAATTCCAGTGTTCTTCGTTTGTCACACGTGTACTCGATCGTTCTTTTTGTTTCAGAGTTGATCTGATGTGATGAGCAGCTGAACGCAGGTGGAGAGCAGGAGAGGAGCAGGAGAGGAGCAAGCAATGCGCGGTGCAGACGCCCTATGCAGCCTATAGTTCAGAATACCGCCAAGCCCTGCATTTCGTTTGCAAGGGAATCATAGTCTATGAAAAATGCTGCGTTTGCGGGTAGTATTTGCTACAGCAGTGTATGCGAGCTCCAAGTTGGCCTGTGGTAGCAGCAGCCATCACCGCCTTACGTCACATTCATATCGCCAGATCTCGGAATTCTATCTGTTCAAGCTTAGCCACAAGCTCTCTAGTCCGGTATTAACTTCTACATTGGATGCTACGAATAGTCTTTATACAATAATTAAGCCTTGAGCTACCAGCTCTGTTTGCCACGCTAGACACGAAGTCGCTCCAAAGGCTAACCTACCTTGCTTCATCCAGGTTGTCTACAACCTGGTTGCCTTGTTTCATGATCGGATATGTAACACGATATGTATAGGAAATTCATTATCTTGATCATCAATTCCTTGGACCTTTTTAATCCATGTGCTCTTTGCATCCTATCCACTGACGCTTGCAAAGTAGAAAAAAAAAAAAGAGTCTCTATATCATAGATTTTATTGCAACTTTTCTTCGTGTATCATCCGCAGAGCGATAAAGGATATCATGCAGTAAAAAAAAAAATCTAAATCATAAGGGTATCTACATTGTGTAAGGTGTGTCTTTCCTGACAATATATACCTCGCCCACAAGGACTACACATCCGACAATCATGGCAATGGAAATGATGGGAAGATTGACGCGCGCAAAGTCAAGACTTCTTACGCGAATATGCTTTCTAGCGAGGATATCGCGCCAAAGTAGGCCGGCCAGCGAGGCGCTGAACGCAACACTGAATGCACCGTAGTTAACGCCGAGGGCCATGCTGTATACAGTAGCCCAAAAGGTTCTGTCGCTAATGGGAACACCATTCACTACATGGATCTCTTGCCACTTTTGGATGATCCGGCATAGCAGTATCGTAGTCCCAATGTTTGTCCCTGCAAACTATAATATGGTGTTAGCTTGGCTTGCAACTGCAAATGACTTCGGGGTTATACATACGTTGGATAGAATAACAGAAAGGAAGGCCATTCCCCCAATGGCGCCGATTGTCCCAGTTTTATTCACCCAGTGATCCCACCCATAAGCAAAGACCGGCACCCAGCCTTTTGTTACCAGCCCTTGTACAAGGATAAACATGCAGAAGGCGAATGGGACTAGTGCAAATGGTAAATGAAGAACAACGGCAGCAGCCGTGGGAAATGTCTCTTGGCACCATCTGAGTGTATCTTGGCCAAGGGACATGAGGGTGGCTGGCCCACGGGGCCATTGCATAGATGCCAGCGAGCTTCGACGTCTCCTTTCTAAATCTTCATCTGATTGAGGCACAAAAAGAGCTTGTGGGGGAGAACCAGAGCCAGTTCGATTTAGAATGCTCTTTTCTTCAAGCGAGTTAACCTCACTTGTCGTATTGCCTTTCTCCTGTTTCTCCGTATAACCATTAGGCGCTGGCATTGAGCACTCCATAGCGGTCGATGACATTGCAGCAAGGGCACGATCGTCAGTGCCTTCAACCAGGAGAATCGCGGGAGTCGGAGCGTGTCCCTCAGCGTGGACAGGTGGGTTTAGTATCGTTTTCCCGTCGGCTGCGTGTGAACTTGGCGGACTGGTATTATTTAATTCGTAAACACCATCTGAATCTTGGAGCTGTGCGTCTTTTGCTTCAAATTTTGGAGATGACGAGTCAGCCTCTAGTCGTAGTCCGCCATTGGCAGCGGAAGACTGCCTCGCCTCTTCTGCTTGTTGGAAGATTCTCTCGGCGCGCGCAATTTCGAATTCTTCCCTACCCTTTCTCGCAATGTCTCTAGTTTCTTTCCGGTGGTACCATCCAAAACCAATATCCCAGCAGAACATGACAAAGGCTGCCGGCAGAGTGACCCAAAACACAGGATGGGCGCCGCTTTTGGCGCTTGCAGCGTTGATTGCCAAGACGGTGACCAAAGTTGCAGCCATAATAACAGCGCCGAACGCGGCTCCACCTTTATCCAAAAAGGGGTTCATGATTTCTTCAAGTGACAGCAGTTTCCCTTCTTCGTTATTGGCGAGATCGGACTCATCTCCATCAACATGGCCTCTTGCGTGAGGGATATTGGGGTTCACGGGTTTCTTGGCTTTGACTTCTTCTGGAAGCTCGTGCATCTTGATGGAATACGGAATGAGATCCTCATTTGCAAAGACGATGTATAGCAGAAACGGGAATAACACAATGGCGGTAGCGACGACGGGGACAATCATGTTGGCGGTATAGTGGATGAATTTGATGTTGAAAGCTCCTGCAAGGACGAGATTCGTTGGGTTAGAAGAAACCAAAATGGCAGATGCGATATTGGCAATGGCAAATTGAGTATGAATCCATGCTCTTGGATGGACAATGTTGCTCGAGACTCGAGTCATGTAAGCCAAAAACGCAGTTCCCGACAAAATGATGGGGTCATTGCCAATGAAACTGCCCAAAAGGAAAAAGAATGCATAGAGGTAGAAGAACAGTCGATGTCCAACTTCGCCTCCCCATTGAAGTACTTTGAATGCCAGGTATCGGATGAGGCCAGATGCGTCGATTGATATGGCGATGTAGGCCAAGGTGATGAAGAAGGCCATGATGTCGATTGGCGAAATGTTATCTGCGCCGACTATGCCATCGTGTACTTCTTGTCTGCCGATAGCTAGGATAGCCAGTAGGAATAAATCTGCGATGAGAGGTGCTGTAACAAAGTTCATGGGAAAGTTGAGCCGCACCCATGGCTTGATTTTGCCGTTGTCGTCGTCTTCAACCAGCGGAGGGCGATACTGCCGTTTAGGAATAATTCTCAGGGCTCCAAGAGCATCTAGGAAGAGATCTGACAGCTTCCGGGGTATATAGATGGGAATGTGAAACGGACACAGAACATTGATGTCTAGTTCAATGAAGAAGGTAAATCAGCAAATATTCTCTATTTGTTCTCCTCGTTTCACAGTTGCTGCAACAGTCCGGGTGCAACGTTGTCAAAACTCACTTGTGAGAACAAAGACGATCAGCGTGATGATGGACCGCCAGTCCTTGATCTGGCTCGTCGAAAGAGAGTCGCTCCCGCTCTGAGCCATGTCGACGACGGCAACCTCGTCGACCAGGACAGTGATGATGTCACGATCACTTGCTGGCTCAAATTTGACTGGCGAGCACGAGAAGAAATTTGAGTAGGTCGCTGCCCGCCAATTAAGCTCACCGCCTGCCTAGGCACGGCCACAGGCCTCTTCAGGCCACTAAGTCGCCACGCCGATCAGCAGCTCCAGACTGGGCTGCCTGTATCGAACAAGCAGCGCTGAAGGGTTGGAAGATTGTCTGCCTTCTCCGACCGTCAGCACAATGAGCAGGAGCAAAAATAATACGAAATAAAAATTCCGGCCGCCAGTCTTTGGCATCTCGACTATGTGCTTTTTACCCTACCTTGTTCCTTATCCTCCTATCCCCAAAGCGTCCCTCTCGTCACGGCAGGGCCGATACTTGGCAAATGCGACAAAGCTTCACGTGTCCCTCGACGAGCAATGGATTGGCAGCAACACAAACTTGGCGGCCACAAACAAAGGAATCCGCTGAAATCCTCGTACTGTGCGACACCGGCCTCGACGTCGAACGGACTTGGCACTTTGTCGATCGAATCCTGGTTGAAATGCGCACAGCTGCTGCAGCCACCCAGCCTTCTTGCGTCCAAAAGGCGTCCTCCATCGGGTCACCGAACTGTTCATATAATGGCTGTTTCATGTGCAGCGGCTCCCAGCTCCATACTTAGCCCCAGATTGTTCCCTGTCCACAGCATCACTAGAGCGTCACAGCCACGATTTAAACCCGCGCTGGCCAAGCTTCTAGAAGGAAAAGACATCCGAGAATAACAAGCTTTGGACTGCGGTTCTGGTGGCAACCCGGCGCTGGTGGCCGACGATCGAGTATCTGACTGTGGGGGTAGCCCGAGGGCAAGCATCAGCTGCGGGCGATCAGCCCTTTTGCTGGCCTATCAGCGGCGGCCAGCCTCAACTTGGCCGTGCAACCCCAGCTTCAGCAATCATGGCTATGCTGTGTGCTATGCCTTATTGAGAGGATGAAGCAGCAGGGCGAGTTGGATAATTCTGTTGCCTGCAACGCTCTAGCAGCAACTAGACCACATTGGATCCTTCTAAGCTGCAAGATGATACTCGTATCTACCAGGGACATCACATCAGAAGCAACAGTGTGTGCCGAGGGAGACAATCCTTTGGAACCACGTACAGATGGGATTGCGTCTGTGCTACATGGGCAGGCGGGTTATGAGGAGCGAATTTAGTCTCTCAGCTGGCTCGAGATGGAGGGCGTGAGGGACCCATGGAAGAGCCTCACAGCAGCTTGAGACAGTTTCTCCCGTGTCTTGCCGGGTCGCCTTATAATACGCCCACTCACCACCATAATCATCATCTCCCTTGCATGAGCCTCCCTGATCTTGCGCCAGTTGTTGGGGGAGTTTTGAGAGTAGCTTACATTCCAAGAAAAAGCGCCGTTTGCTCAGCCGCTGCATAGCGACCAATACCCGCTTGCTTGCAAAGCAGCAGTTGGGCCGCCGAGTCCTTCGGCACACGCAAAGGGCTGATGCCGGCGCTTTCTTGGGCTGAGTCGCTTGGTGATGCTGCTGTCTCTCATCACAGCATTTTATCGGCTTCTCTCGCGTCCGCAGGCAACGCCACGAATCCTACCGACGATGTCTTGAAAGTAGTCTGCGCATGGCCCGTTTCTGGCCAATATGGTCCGGGATCGAGAGTCTTGTAGGTCATGCCGCTTGAGCTACTTCCCTCAACAACACTTCCTTCTAGCATTTCCATGTTTCTAACTTGTTCAAACCCCCCTCACAGGTACTACGTGCTTATAGCAGCGTGCGTGTTTGCTCGAAGAGCCGTGTGGATAAAAAATGCTTGCTTGGCTGCAGCGCTGCTCCTCCCGGCCGTAGCCGCAGTTCATGGCATTGTCCTTGCAGCTCTGCATCGAGACGGTAAGAGAAAAGACCCAATCTGCTGTTCAATTTGATTCGATTTTGCTTACTTACTTGTTATTGATTAGAAGCTGTAGACATGGACGTGTACGGCGCCTTTCAGCTGTGCTCGATTGCCATTCTGGTCGCTCCAATGACAGTCAGACTGTCTAAGACTTACTTCAACGCCCGTGGCCGCAACACAATCTTTTTCTGGGCAGGTCTGATTCTTGCAGGTGAGCATTGTTATCTATTCTGATTCAGTGGTTCAGATGCCTGCCCTGCAAGCATTGACCTATCACTAAAAAGCCAACGCAACGAGTCCAGCGGCTAACTTACGCCTGGCTGCATGCAGGACTCCTTAGCCTGACCATCGAATTCTACCGAATCCAGACCTATCCCTGTCCTCAGGATGACCAAGGAATACCAATCTCTAAAAATCCATCAAAATTCCCTTACGGCGATAACACAACATGCGGGCTGCATTGCGCCGTAGGAGATGGACCATCTTCTCCTATGAGACAAGGATCGGCAAACAACATTTACGTGATACCTGTGCCTAGAGTTCTCACATTTGGCACTGCCACACTACTAGCGGCCGGTTGCTGCGTCCATACCATCGTCTGGATGGCGTCTATGACAGACAAGGTATTCGAAAACCATCGGGGCCTCGCAGCTCGCCTTCGCCTTGGCAGCGGGATTGACGATACTCCAGCTGATGAGCCCATCTCGGGCACCAATGGCGCAACAAAGGGGACTATGAAGGGCGTGAACAACAAAATTCGCTACTTCCTCTCCGTCGTGGCCATTCCCGTTTTTGGGGGCGCAGGGCTTGCTATTATTATCGTAGGAGAGATTAATTTTTTCAGCGGTCCAGTCTCTTATCAGGTCGAGCCTCTCGCAAGCATTGGTGAGTGCACAAAATTGTCCTGTACTGCGATTATTGCCTTCCCTATAGTTCATATAGCTAACACATGTATTGCATCTTTTCAATGCAAAAGGCCAGTGGGCACCCATTGTTGGAACAGGATTTGCTGCCATAGGATCCCTTTATCTTGTCCTTGCAGCCGATGTAGAGGCCGTCATAGGAGAATCCCATCCCCATGCCGTTCATGAGTGCAAATGTTCCCATCAGCACCTTGAATATCAAAGTCGACACGGGTCTCCTGCTACAGATTCTTCTTCAACTGATCGAGATGGCCAGTCTCAGAGCCATGGAGAAAGTAGTCCCCCAGAAACACCCGAGTCAGTCCATTTTCCAGCAGTGAGGCATGCCGATACAGGATTCTCTACTGTCTCATCATACCGCGCTCTCGACAGGATGTCGACCATGCAAACTGGCATCTCCAATGATGCACCAACCATCGACCGACACATATCTTCAGGCAGCACAGCGCACCGAGCTTCCACAGTAGACTCGGGCAGCAGACGCAAGGTTGCCAGGATGCTTGTTTCTGTAGGCAGCGCACTCGGCAATAAGGCGCACAACTGGGTCGATGATTATGATAAATCTGGCAAAGCTCTTGATTTCCCAGAGGTTCCTGGAGAGTTTTGGAGAAATGAACGACTACCAGACATTCGAAATATTTATAACCTCCCTCGAGATGCAGATGGCAACGCTACTCCCTTACCACGCTCTCGTTCCCGGGCGGGCAGTTATAGAGGAGCATCGCCTCAGCCGGGACTATCGCTCTCCCGTTCTCATTCCCTTGCGCGACCTGCACGCTCTCTATCACGGCAAAACCGGGCAAGCACTTTGCCAGGAGCCAATTCATCCGGGCTTCAGAATGATAGCCCACCTCCATCACCTACCCAGACCAGAGGGAGGCAGAGGATGAGGAGTGACACCCTTAAAGTTCCTACATTGGGCCATCACAACACCTTGAACATTCACTACCCCGAAATAGCTACACCTGCGGTAGCTATGAGCGGAGGTCGAAGCCTTCCGCCAAGCCCAAGCGACAATGGTGATGATGGAGGTGATCATGAAGAGCCTCCTCATGCTATGCCAGCTGCTACCTCACCCGCCATTTGTCCATCGCAAGAGCATACGCACACTTCACACTCACCTTCAGCATAGCTCTTATCTTTGTGATCTCATATCCTCAGACAACATCCCTATTTACCTTGTTTCTTTTTTTTTTTTTTTTTCCTTTTTTTCTACGCAAGGCTTAGTCGGCTTAGTCCCAGTCAGCCACTCAAGCAGTGCATTATGTGTTCCCCAGACCATCTGCTTTTCATCATTTCCTTTTTTTTTTTTTTTCCTTTTTTTTTCAACGTGTTGCTAGCATATCTTGGCCAGGCATTCAACGATATGATGAACATGTAATAGAGTATATTTTGTTTGGAATCAGTATATAGAGTGTCGCGAACCGCTTAGACGGGAATTCGTTTTATACATAGAGCAAATACATCTTGTCTTCAAAGCCTCTTGCATGTCATCGCAACCTCCACCGCCAATACTTTCAACAGCCTGGTCGAGCCATCGTCGTCATTAGCTAGCCTCTTTCGTCGATCGCGCTCATGTACGTCATTCCAACAGCATCCACACCATTGACAGCTTTGTGAGGCCAGCATTCCGCACACCGAAAAAAAATCAAGATTTTCCTTATCTAGAGAGCTAAACCGAGAATATTTCGTAATCGTCATCTCTCTACTACATACAGCTTCTTCATTGATTCTTTTTCTTCTTTTTAAGCTCCGCGGTACCTGCATATCCTGCACATTATCAACCCGTTTTTTTGCCACCAGTCCAATCCAGATCATACATACATACATGGAGCTTGCAACTTCTCACCGCCAACACAAACACCAGAAGCTGCTGCAGCTGCATTGATATCATCCATCACCACCATATATATATCCATCCACTTTATAAAAAAAAAAAAAAGAAAAAAAAATGGACGTCCTCTTCTCCCTCCCCATATTCACATACTTCCTCGGCCCAGCCCTCACCTCCTGGTCCACCTCCCTCAACCTCCTCTTCTTCTACATGACCTGGTCCACCCTCGTGCTCTCCCAGCCGCCCATCGTCGTCCACATCTTCGGCATCCTCGCCATCCGAATAGTCTTCTTCCTCGTGCCCTCGCTCGCCACCCTCCTCTTCGACGTCTCGCTGCCCAGCCTCGCCGAGACCATCAAGCACGGCGGCCGCTCCGCCCTGCCGCCCCGCGACGCAGCATCCCTCGCCAAGCTCCTCGGCCTGGTGCTCCTCAACCTCGCCATCGTCACCGCCATCGAAGGCGGGCTCAGCTTCGCCTTCATCCTCGTCTTCCACGAGCCCGTCTTCAAAACAACCACCACGCTGCCCCTCCCGTGGGGCATCTTCAAGCACGTCCTCGTCCTGCTCTCGGCGCGCGAGACGCTCCTCTACTACATCCACCGCTTCGTCCTGCACAACGGCAAATCCTACCGCTGGCTGTCCAGGCGCCACCAGAGCTACGCCCACGCAAAGGCCGGCGCGCCCTTCAGCCTCCGCCTCATGGCCGACCATCCGCTGCCGCTGCTCTGCTACCGCTTCCTGCCGCTCTATCTCTCGGCGGTCCTGCTGCGGCCGCACATCCTCACGTACTTCCTCGTCCTGACCATCTGCACCGTCGAGGAGACCCTCGCCATGTCGGGCTACACCATCGTCCCGGGCATCATCATGGGCGGGGTTGTTCAGCGCTCGGCCATCCACTACGCAGGGAAAGGAACGTCCAATTACGGCTCGTGGGGCATGCTGGACTGGGTCAGCGGGACGAGCAAGGGAAGGGACGTGCTTGACGATGTGAAGAAGGAGGCGGAGAAGCATCGCGTAAAAGAACGGTCTTCTAAGAGGATTGACCAGGGCGTGAATGCGGTGAGGGAGGGGGTCAAGACGCGGAGAAGCAGCAGGAAAAAGTCATCGCAGTGAGGCTAATTGGAACTCTAATTCCTCGGTTCTGGGTAGTTTTGTATTCCTTTTTTTTTCCTTTTTGGTTTTGGGAATAAAGCAGTATTGATACCATCATGATAGTGATGAATTATGATATTAGTGCAGTCATCCTTTTCGTTTGTATTTATACTAGGTCGTCCATGCAATGAAGTTCAAAAGAAATGGTTGATACATATATATATATATATATATATATATACATATATATATAATCCTTCCAATCTATGCCCCAACATGCATATATGCGAATGTCAATGCAGCCTTTATCCTTGTCCCCCCTGGAGGGTCTCTCCCCGTTCTGTATAAATCTATACGCCTACCCCCCTGACACAAACGCCATGATAGCCGTCCGTTTATATATATAATCCCCAAGATCAATGCCAGATAATCTTGGCGAAGCAGTCTCGCCTCGTCTAGTAGTCCCTTTATGCCGGTTTGTGTAAATCCATCCACATAGTCCTGTCCAAATATTTTACTTTTAAATCCATTCACCACCCATTCTTCTTCTTGAACCAAACCAGAGTTTCCAATCCGCTCTGCGCCCTCAGGCCAATTCTCGTATCCAAGACGTACGCCTCCCAAACCTTGACTTTGTTGAGCTGCTCCTCGCATTCCAGCATCTTCTTGCGTCTGTACTCCAGAATTTCCTTCGCTTCGCCCTCTGGAGGATTACAGCACTCAGCCCATGCTATGGCGCCCAGTTCGTAAGTCGCCGATGGCAAGACATAGTCGTCTCTGGATGCGCCCTTGAAGACAGATCTGCAATTTCATTCTTGTCAGCAACTTCCCCCGTCTAATCACCTCGGAAAAAGTTCACTTACCGGTCATGGGCGATAACCTTCTCCTGAAGCAACTTTCTCGCCTCATCCAGCTTACCCGCGCCTCTCAGCAGCGATGCCATGCTCACTGCCCAGACAGCCATTTCATCCTTCTCTTCCTGAATCTTGGCTACGACTTCTTTGCTCGTCGTGCATCTCTCCCACTTGAGGTAGTCAAGACCCTTCTCCAGCTGCACCGTGCCCATGCGCTTCTGTCCATTCCACACGTAGCACATCTCCAGTGCAGGGCTCGATCCAACAACATCCGCCAAATCAGCCCCTAGAGCTTTGGCCCGGTCTTCCCACTTCTGAACCTTTCGCTGTAAGAATGTCTCCAGAGGCAGCTGGCGCGCCATCAGTCGCTTCTTGCCCGTCACCGTGGGAGCTTTGCGGAAGAACTCTTCTGCTTTGGCCTTTTGCCGTCTGGCCTCGTCCTTGTCGCTACTGTGAAAGGCGTCTCGGTAAAGCTCCAAAGACGCGCAGCCAGCCAGGTAGTAGTAGAGTGACGGACTCCAGTCATTGACTTCCAAGCACTTCAAAAATGAATCGCGCATCAGCACCCATTCGTAAGACATCATCGAGTCCAGTGATAGCTCGAAGTTGCTAAGAGCAGCAACCTGCTTCATTCTCGACTCCTTGCCCGATTTGAGCAATTCCAACGCCTCGGTAATCTTTCGTTCGTTTGCCAGCATTCTCGATTCCTCTATCCGCCACAGCTGTGAATCGGGATACCGTCGTCGCATATCAGCCAAGAGCTGCTCGCATTTTTCGATCGGTGGCCCAACAGCCTCGGCATCGTCATCATAATCCTTGCGATCCGGTAGAATGTCCGCGGCTCCAAGCAGCCCGTTGTAATACACTAACAGCATCATACCCGCCACGGCGCCGTTGATATTAGAGTGCGCAGCGGACTTCCAGAGCATTTTAACAGCTCGCCGGCGGTCTCCGTGAAATCCAACAATGGAGAGAATGCGTGAGAACGCGGGAGGGATAAGACTAAGGATAAGCAACAAAACTCCAAAACACATGTTGGCCCCAGAGTGAATGAACTTGTCGACGGGATTATCCAGTTCGATATCTGAGCTCAAGTCAGAATCTCTGGATCGTAGGCTCAGCTTCGATGTATCGTCCAACTTGCTGATGGTTAGCTTCTCCAGCTTTGAGGCCGCCGATGTCGACGATGCATCAGTCTGGTCGCTTGGGGTCTGCTGTCCAGACAGAGTTTCCCTGGCATCTACGAAAGCATCAGAGTCGCTTCCACTGGGCGTAGGCGTAGTTCCACTGGATTCCGTCCCGGAATCATCGCTCGTCAGGCTAAGCGACGTGCGAGATGAGCCTGGGGTAGGCTTCTTAAAAATCTTTTCCTCAGACGCCACAATAGCGTCAAGCGTCAAGAAAGCCTTTCGCAGCTTGTAGAAACTCTTCATGGCCTCTACCAGACTCTCGTGCAGAACGCCAACAACCGCGCCCATCAGCTGCGTCTCGGCGATGATCAGTTCGTACTCGGTTCCCGGCGGGTACAGCTTACTGCTGTTATAAGCAGCACCATGCTTCTGCGCCCGTTTGAGATCTGACCAAGCCCTGGTCTCGCAGTCATTCAATCTTGCCGTGGCTTCGGTCATGATCTGTTTCTCAAAGCCCAGGACAGATCGCATGAAAAACGCCACCGCGGAGCCCATTTCATGAAACGAAGAGTCGCCCGTCTGTAGTTTGTCCCAGGCGCCGTCAATGTCATCGTTCATGATGAGCTCGATCCAATTCATCGCCTCCACCAAATTTTCCTTCTCCTTTGCGATGCTATCAGTGGCCGCGAGGCTTGTGTTTGAACCATTTTCGGTTTTTCCGCTGGAGCGGAACCATCCGGCTAAACGACTCATGGTAGACAAATGACTTTTCGGCAGTGGTGAAAAGCGATGACAATGCCGTCAGTAGAAGAAAAGAGCCGTCTCAGAGAACAGGGTCGTTAAATAAGACAGCCACTGCGATTGAGGCTGAGTGCCAAGATTGAGGCTTCGTAGATGATCCTCCCAGTGCAACACGCCGCTTCTAGTATCAGATTTGCGAGATATCGGGTACCTTTCCAATTGAGAGGGTGGCTCAGCTAAATAGTCGGCGACAGAGACCACGAAGGAGTGTCTGACAGGTGATAGGGCACTGCTGCGTCGACTAATAAACCCGCATGAAGGAAAAATTGCCGCCAAAAAAAAAAAAAAAAAAGGATAGGTGCTAGTAAGAATAAGAGAAATAGACGACGCTTATGCTATGCATGCACCCCTCGTGGCTACTCGGTTTGCTGGCAGTCGCTCCATGCAATAGCAGTGTGGACAATGCTCGACAGCTACAAGTAAAAGGAAAGAGAAAAGAAAAGAAAAGAAAAATCTACAATAATGCAAAAGGGAAGCAAATATGAAGAAGCCACCCGTTCTAGATATGGTAAAAGACAAAGAAGGCAAAGAGGAGAAAAGAGAAGAATAGAAGCAAAAAGCTGCAGTTGTAGTTGTAGAAAGTCGACTTTTCGCCGTGGGGGCGTCTCCCCGAAGTTCAGGGCCCGCCGGGGGCTTGATTTGGCTTTATACTAACGCCCAGTGACAGCGAAACGAAACGAAACGAAACAGCTCGGTAATAACCATTGCGCTCAGCCCGAGATCTCAGCGGAATTCCGGAGCGACGAGTCCGTTAAGCCCAGAAGATGACATCTACATATTGCGCGGCCTCATTTTACTCGACTTCATTTTAACCATTTTGGAACATCCGGCCAGGGAGTCGTCCGTCAGTTACGCATCAAGACGTTCATACTGCACATTCCCGTTTTTGCCGCCGCATCCGTGGGAGAATTCAACAAGGAAAAGAAAAAGGCACGAGGGAGGGAAAAAAACATCGCCACACGATCTCCTAGCACGCGCAACTTTTTTCTTTCCCAGGCGCCTCTCTCAGTGCCTGGGGCTCGATCAAGCCCCTAAAACGCCGCCATGATTGGCGCTGGCAGGTCCGCCCGCAGATGGCAGTCCCCTAAAACAGGCAAAACCGGTAAGCCGCTCAGGCACCTCCGGCACTAAAAGCTCGCAGAATGGTGCCCGTGGCCGCAGGGCTTGCCTTGCCTGGGCCCGGCATGCTCAGCTCAGCGCAGCGGCCAGCAGCTCCCCCGGACCCAGCGTTCTTCCGGCACCGGTCGGCTGGCCGCACCGCTGCCGCTCTGCTGGCCTGGGGCTCTCCTAGGAAACCACAGCTAGTCGTCACGGCCAGTCAGCTCGAGCCAGCATCACCAGCTAGTCCCTGACCAATCCTTGCAACAACAATAACAACAGCCACCAGCGGTACCACGACAGGCCCTCAGCCATCCCTCCCTCCCATCTCATCTCTGCCATCCTAGCAGCCATCCACGACATTGCTGCCATCGCCATTCTCAAGTCTCTTCCGATACGCCTCTCTAGCGCAATTCCAACCAGCAGCGCTAGGCTGAAAGCTCGCCGCATCATCACTCTCCAAAATGGCATCAACCACAGAGCCCAAGGTCGCCGAGACTGAACAGTCCACCCCAAGCGAACAGCAGAAGCCCGAGCAGAAGCACCTGGCCCTGGGTGAAGACGACGAATTCGAAGACTTCCCCGTCGATGGTACATACTCACCTCTACTACCTCCCTTCCTCCCTCCTATCTCTACCGTCACCATCCAAACCCTCTCTGTTCTCATCCCTTACTTTCTTTTCTCCCCCGCTCTTCTACAGCGAATACTTTCGACGAGAAGAGACCAAAAGACGACACAAAAGACGTATATATGCTAACCAAAGTCATCTTTTAACCACCAAACAGACTGGCCCGCCGACCAAACCGAAGCCGCCCAGCGCAACGGCGAAACCAAGCACCTGTGGGAGGAGAGCTGGGACGACGACGACACAAGCGATGACTTCTCGAATCAGCTGAAGTGGGTGGTTGGCTCTCTCTTAGTTTCTACCCTTCTCCTCACAGCGCTGTCTCTCGATTTCCGTCCCCGTCGTCGCTTCCGATGAAATACTGATTTGATTTGATACTTGTTCTGTTGTTGCTGTATATTTGCTACTACTGCTGCTTCAGCCGTTGCTATTGCTCAAGTTTTTTGTTCTTATACTTTCACACGGTTTAAACACCTCCCTAATATCGCGTTGGCACGGGGAGACACACACATATACATGGGCTCATAATGTTTATTTTCTTCTTGATTTATCTTTCCTTTTCATTATTCACATTTTCTTTTACTACATACACTCTTGCTACTTCCCTGCTTTATGTTTTATTCCTTATGAGTACACGGATCCTGACGTGTTTTTCTATTCATAGGGAAGAGCTTAAAAAGGTTGAGGCGGCCAAGCGGAGATAGACTCGAGGAGGAGGAAAGAATAAACAACTATGGGGACATCGATCGAGCGAGCCAACATCACGGCACAGGCTTGTTAGGAACGTTAAACATATAGATTGGGTCTTCTAATTCAAGGAACAAAAAAAAAAGTATTCCATGTGACATATTCCAAGCAAAAGCAAGTGATGTGTATACTCTACATCAGGCTACGATGACCACACGAAACAGAATCGTCTTGATAATGACGCTAACCATTTTTATTTTGCATGAATCCGCACTGGTATATGTTTATGTATTTTTTTCCGTTATAGACGGGATGCTCCGAGCCGACCTTTTTAATGCCATATCCCCCCGTCATCAATTTGTTCCTCTCGCTCATTCAACCCATGGTGCATGTAATTTACTTACTGGACAGAGCAGTAACACCAGGGAGCTCCTTGCCCTCCAACAGCTCCAAGCTGGCACCGCCACCGGTGGAGACGTGGCTCAGCTGGTCCTCGACGCCATACTTGGCGGCGACGGTAGCAGTGTCACCACCGCCGATGATGACAATCTTGCCGTTCTTGCAGCCCTCGACAGCGGCGTCGAGGGTGGCCTTGGTGCCGCCAGCAAACTTCTCAAACTCAAAGACACCGGCAGGGCCGTTCCACAGGATGGTCTTGGCCTCATCAATGGCCTCCTTGAACAGTTTAACGGACTCCTTACCACAGTCAAGGCCCATCCATCCATCAGGAATACCGTCCTTGTCAGTAGCGAAGCCAGTGCTGGCGTCCTTGTCGAACTTGTCGGCAGTGATGAAGTCGACAGGCAGGACAATCTTGACGTTCTTGGCCTTGGCCTTCTCGACCAGCTTGGGAACGGTCTCGGCACCAGCCTTGTCGAAGAGAGAGTCGCCAATGGCGAGGTTGTCCTGGACCTTCTTGAAGGTGAAAGCCATGCCACCGCAGATGATGAGTGTGTTGACCTTGTCCAGCAGGTTGTCGATGAGCTGGATCTTGTCAGAGACCTTGGCACCACCGAGAATGGCAAGGAAAGGTCGCTGAGGGGACTCGAGAGCCTTGGCGAAGTAGTCGAGCTCCTTCTTCATGAGGAAGCCGGCAGCCTTCTGGGGCAGGTCAACGCCAACCATGGAAGAGTGAGCACGGTGAGCAGTGCCGAAAGCATCGTCTATTTGATATTACAATTTAGCCACACAATAAAACAACAAAAAAACAGCCTTGAGACGAGAGAGCATATGCACTTACTGACGTAGACGTCTCCCAGAGCAGTCAGGCCCTTGCGGAACTCCTCAACCTTGGCCTTGTCGGCCTTGGTCTTGTTGCCCTCCTTATCCTTGGCGCTGCCCTCCTCCTCAATGTGGAATCGGAGGTTCTCCAGCAGGATAACGGCACCGTTATCGGCGTTGTTGACAATGGCCTCGACCTCGGGGCCGACGCAGTCAGGAGCAAAAGTGACGGGCTTGCCCAGGAGCTCCTGCAGCTTGGGAACAACGGGCTTAAGAGAGTACTTGGCGTTGACAGCGCCATTGGGACGTCCGAGGTGGGACATCAGGATGACAGCCTTGGCGCCATTGTCGAGAGCGTGCTTGATGGTGGGGATGGCGCCGACAATGCGCTGGGGGTTGGTGATGTTCTTGTTCTCATCGAGGGGCACGTTGAAGTCGACCTGGGTAAACACAGAGCATGTCAGTCAGCCACGTACGAGTCAACGAAAACCTCCAAGGTTCGAGATTCAACATCCCCATATCGTCCAAAGCCAACGAGGAATTAGCCTTGTCGACGGCGCTCCTCTAGCAGAGCTTTGACGTCGATGCTAAGAGCTCCAACCTCATCCCCTCCATTTTCATCACAATGCAATGGCGGGGCAATCCGGACTCACCCGAATCAGGACCCTCTTGCCCTTGACGTCGACGTCGGTGATGGACAGCTTGTTGGAGAGAGACATTTTGGCTGGAAATTGGCGTGGGAAGCGAAGCAAGAATCGCGCTGCTAAGGAAAACGTTGTGGAAGAAGAGACGGGCTCTGTGGTTTTAAAGAAGAGTATTGCTATTCGGGCAGTAGATTTTTGCTATTCGGGCAGTATTCCAACCCAACTAGGCCGTTTCTAGCTAGGTTCAGTAGGGCCCAGGCCGGCCCACCAAAATACAGTATAGTGCACTGGGATATACAAAATTAGTTGCAAATAAACATCATAACTTCATATCGTAATATCGCGACTTTAAATTCCTATTAGAATCACGATGGAACGGGCACTATCCTTTAAAGACTTCCTCAACGGCCTTAATAATAATTCTGCCTGGCTATATAACGTTAAAGATAGCCCTCAGCCTGCTGACGCCCCTGAGGATGAAGTTCATAAGGAAAATGCCACAAATAAAGCTATCCTGAGCGTTGAAGACAAAGTTGAAGACGAAGTTAAAGCTGCCGCGAGTCTTACAGAAGCCCCAGCTCAAGAGATCCCTTTGCCGCCGCCGGCACAACAATATAACTCCTTTGATGAGCTCTTTAACTCGTTGCAGAGCTATTATCGTGATTACGGCGCTGCAATCATCAAGAAGTCGCCCAGCAATAAAGTCAACGTCAACGGCACAGTCATCCCGACTTTCTATCTGATATTATGTGACCGCAGCGCTCGCCGAGCCTCTCAAAGTTCAGGCGTCAGAAAGGCAACAACAAGCAAAGTCAACTGCCCGTTTAAAATCACAGCTTCTGCCTCAAAGAAAGCCAACTAAAAGTAGACTTTTCGTATCCTAGAAGGCCGCCACAATCATAAAGCTTCCCTTGATCCATCGGCACATAGTATCCATCGCCGCCGTACAGAAAAGCAACAAAAGATCGAAAAGTCGCTGTCAGAGCACAAGGCCCTCCCCGCCCGCAAGATGGGAGAGATTATAAGGTCGCAGACTGAAGGCGCTTCCTATTTTCAATCCAAAGATATCTATAACGACCGTCAGACGATCCAGAAATCAAAGCTCAGCGGCCTCACCCCAACGCAGCAGTAGGTTAATCTCCTGCAACAGCACAACCTTCATCATTTCGTTAGCTATAACGAGGATCACAAGGTCAAGGCAGTCTTCTGGACTTACCCTTGGTGCAAAGCGATGTGGAAGCGTTTCCCGGAAGTTCTCGGCCTAGACAATACATACAAGACAAACAGGTTTAAAATGTACCTTTTTCAGGTCACTGGTGTCACGGATCAGAACTCTATTGCAAACTTCGCCTTTGGGTTAATCGGAACAGAGCGTCAGGAAGGCTACGATTGGTTATATGACCGTTTGGACGACTTCCGGCAGCAACTTCAGGTCCCTCCGCCCTCTGTTGTCATAACTGACAAGGAAAAGGCACTGAAAAACGCGTTAGAACGCGTGTTTCCAGACGCGCAGCAGCAAGTCTGCCTTTATCACGTCAACGCAAATGTCCACGCCAAAATAACCTCACGTTAGAAGAATGACAACTCTAACGAGGCATTTAACCCTGATGCTGATGAACTTGCTGCCCCAGAGGCCACAGAGACCGCCTCAGAGGCCACTGCAGATCCTAGCAACAAGGAAGAAGAAGATTACAGCAAGGAACACCTCAAAAAGGCTTGGAATAAGGTTGTGTATGCTGAGGAAGAAGATGACTTCGAGGCAGCCTGGGCACAGCTCCTCCTCGCCTACGGCAACCGCCAAAAGGCCATCGTT